TTGCTTTTTCCATTGCTTCTTTTGCTTCTTTTTTGATATCCTCATATTTGTTAGCTTTTTTCTCCAACTCTTTACTGGCCTCTGTGAGTTCTTTTTTTAACCCAGGACATCGCTTTTTTACTTGTTCTACCAATTTTTCGCAAAGTTCTTTCTTGACATCATCTTTCTTGCCATTTTTCTTTTTGCCTGTGCACAAAGTTCTAAGTTGATTGGTTGCATTCTTCCATGCTACGCAATATTTTTTAAGTGTATCCTGGCATTCTTTCTCTGTTTTCAAACTACCCTTTAATTCATCGATCACTTTTTCCTCCAATTCCTTTCTTTCAATGAATGATTTACACTCCTTGTTAAGCTCTTCACACTCTCCACCATTAGCTTTCATTAAGCTCTTGCAACTTGAGATGAATTTGCTACAATATGGTTCCCATGATGTACATATTCTTTCCCTTGTATCGTTATTTTTTACATTTTCTAAAACTTTATTTGTTTTCATATGTTCATGCAACCTAGCACACTTAAACCCAACTTTTTCTGTAAGAATCTTGCAAGTAGTATTCTGTGCTACACATGCAAGAGTAAAATGAGTTCTTCCTCTTCTAGCCCAATCATTACACCACTTTCCCAAATTTTCTACACATGAACTGAACTTATCCAAGTCTTTTGTTTTTTCTTCTAACAATTTCTCCTCCAATTGCTCTGCAATTCTTAAACGGTCGCAATGCTGATTCAATGTAAGACATGGCCACTTAATTTCTTTTGAATCTTGTCCCAGTATTCTGCACTTTTTTTCTAATTCTTTACAATCTGTTTCCGTTGGAAAATCTCGCTTCTCGTCTAATTGTTCCCGTAGAAAAATAGCTCTAAATCGTAAATCTGTTGAAACTACAAAAGCAGTCTTTTTTGGCTGCAGACACAACACAAATAGTTCATCGCTCTCTTTTTTTAATTTCTCACAAGCTTTCACTATCTCCTTTTGAAGGCTTTCATGCCATGCTTTATTCGAACCTTGCAATTTTCCCCGTAACTTATCTTGTAATGCTTCATTTGCTGGTGCTTCAAGCCCTTTTTTATAACATGCTGCCTTTAAATTATCACATTCTTTATTAAGAGGACCTTTATCTTGAGCAAAATAAAAACAATCTGACAACAGTTTCGTGCACTTCCTTTCACTAAAAAATGTATGCAACATATGCCAACTAATAATTTTCTTCCCATTAGCTATGTCAAGATATTTTTCAATCTCTTTAGAAACAATTGAAGCACGGGTTGTCAATTCTTTATCTAATTCTTTGCATTTTTCTTCTGGATTATCAGTGATATTTTGATTATTACACAAATCTTTTAAAATAATGTGCTCTTTAAATTTTTTGCATTTTTCTTGAATAGTATTTTTACATTTATCTACAACTGTAGACCCTGCACCGCTTTGACTTAGTAACAATAAAAGTTCAGCAGCATCTCTTGTAGGCGGTCTTCCAATATGAACTCCCTTTTTTGCTGCCTTTTTATAAAGTTCTTCCAATTCTATTTCTTCTGCCAATGTAATTCCTGATCTTATAGGCTCAAAATCTGAACCCGGCTTTGTATAAGTTATGCCTTTTTCTTCACAATTACTCTCAAGTTCTTTGCAATTTGGTTTATCTCCAGTACAATCCGCATCATAAAAGTAACATTTCTTAAGCAATGATGGGCATTTTGTTTGCAATTCGCCTTTTTTATTTAGCACGTTTTTAATTTCATTTTTGAGAGATTCGCAGTTATATTGTTCCTTAGTCATGATACTCTGGCACGTTTTTTCCTCATCAAAACATAACATCATCAATTCATCACTTTCTCTGCTCAACAACGAGCAAACCTCTTTAAACTTCTTTTTACATGAATCTTTTTCCTTAAGACTTCCACTAAGTGCCCTTAAAAGAACTTTTTCTGCTATTTCATCTCGTTTTTTTTGATAACATTTATTCCTTAGTTTGTTACAATCCTCTACAAGATCAGGGCATGCTCCCTCCAAAAATAGGCATTGTTGTTCATTCTCTTTGCAATTATCATCTGATGGATTTGTTAACGCTGGTCCTAGCTTTTTTGTTTTAAAATTTGTACATTTCTCCGTAACTTTGGCTTGTAGACCTTGACATTTTTTATCTTGTTTTCCATTATCACAAAAATCTTTTAATTTTTCGTGTACTTGTTCTATTTTTAGATTTACTTCATTTAATTCTTGGCAATATTTTTTTAGTTTTTCTTTGCATTCCTGCTCACTTAGTCCATCTTCCTTTAGAATTAAAGCTAAAACATGCTCCTCATCAATGCTATTCTGTGCCCCTGCAGCCCGCCGCTTGACCGCCCGCGCCACCGCCCGCGCCAAGCTGTGCCTGACGGGGGTGGGTTTGCGCTGTGGTGTGTGGCTGAGTTTGGGTTTCCGTTAGCGTATTTTGATTGGACGTGAGATGTTAGAGCCATGTCTTCAAATTTGAGTATTAAATTATTCTTAATTTTAAGAGAGTTCAAGTAAACTTAGTGATAAAACTTGTCAGAGAAGCAGTGTGTACCAAATACATTTAAAGGTGCCCGCTTTCTTTAACGTGTAGTTGGCAACTTCGCGATATTTTAAATTTGTGTGGGGTAAAATGTGGGGTAAACGCGATATAAATATAAAACTTGAATAAATGAAAAATAGAATGTAAAAAACTTTAGACAATAAAAAAAGATTACTCAGCTAGAGAATAGGGGACAACTGGCTAGGGAACACGTGATTTCATGTGTAATGCACTTTCAATTGATGCTGAAGAGATGACTCAATCTACTTTACTCTTTCCTGTCCTACCCTGCTCATTTATCTATTAAATATACATGCTGCTCTTATATCCCATTCCCATTTTACATCTAAATCATGAATGAAATCATCATTACCACTAGCACCCCCCTCATCACACTCCACCCACTCATCCTCAGCCCCTCACTTGGCTTCACCTCTCCTGCATCATCTTCCTCTCCTGTCGTACACTTGGTCGGTTTACATCTTCTTGTCGAAGTGAGTGTTATTCTTGACGTGACTGTGGATGTAGTCGTAGAGGTGCTGGTGTGTGTCGACGTCTTTGTGACCCATGTGTCTGTCGTTTGCAGAGATTGACAGTCTGTTGCTTTTGGATCTGTAACGGTTGTTGTGGTGGTGGTTGTCGTTGTGGTTGTTATGTTTTTAGTTGTTGTTTCGTGTGGCTTTACATCCAAAGGCTTCAGATTGCGACATGCCTTATTAATCTTTTTACATACTTTTTCTAACTTTTCACAGTCTTCCTTAATCCCGCAATCCGAGGTTAATTTCTGACATCTTTCTTTCAAATCTACATATCTTTCTAATACTTCTGCAGCCAAATCAAATGCCTTGGCTTCTAATTCTGTCACTGATACATCCTTAACACCTCTTCGTAGTATTTTCACATGTTCAGTGATATCTTGACGTTTGCTTGGTGTGGTTTTATTTTTGTCATTGTCTTCGCTATTATTTTTTGGTACATTATTTTCATCTTTTTTAACGAGTAATAAAACAAGACTGGACTTTTCCATTACTTCCTCTGCCTGTTTCTTAAGTCTCTTATATGTCTCAGAATCTTTTTCTAAATCATCTGCCGGTTGTTTTAGTTCCTCTTGTAATACTTTGCATTGCTGTTCCACCTCTTTTACTAGTTTCTCACAAAGTTCTTTAGCTTTATTGTCATTCTTTTTAGGCTTATTATTAGCACTATCTTTACATAATCCGCTAATTGACGTGTTAGTTACATTTTTTAATGCTGTGCAATATCTTTCTAATGCAGATTCACATTTGGATTTATCACTTAAATTTCCTTGAAGTTCTACTTTGAGAGCGTTTTCTAAAGCCTTTCTTTTGTAAAATGGTTCACAATGCTTTTTGATCTTTGTACAAAAAACATCTTCTTCCACAAGATCTGGACAATTAGGTGAAAATCTATTGCAGTATGGATACCAGGAAGAACAATTTCTTTCCAGTATTGTTATTTTATTTTTATTATTTCCAAGAAATTCAATAATTTTTGAATTCTTTATATTTTCTTTGAATACTTTGCATCTATTTTGTACATCATCAACCATCAGCTTACACGTACTTTCCAGAAAAACACACAGAAGAGAAAAATGATTGTTTCCCCTTCTAAGCCATTTATTACATTTTTCTTTTAGATATGTTACACAGTTTTCATGAGTTTTCAAAGTATCCTTGTGTTCATCCAATAAAACCTGCTTTAAAATTTCTGTAGTCCCCAAGCGATTGCATTGCTGCTCCAGTGTATGACATGGCCACGTAATTTCTTTTGAATCCTCTCCTAAATCTTGGCATTTTCTCCCTAATTCTTTGCAGTCTTTATCCGCTGGAAAATCTCGCTTTTTATCCAAGTGTTGTCGTAAAAAGATAACCCTCATTTGATGGTCATGTGTGAGCAACCGTGCTGCCTTTGCAGGCTGTACACAAAGAACAAATAATTCATCGTTTGAGAAACTTCCTTTATTTTCTTCTTTCAATTTCTCACATACTTTTATCAATTTTTGTTGAAATTCCTTAAGCCAGCTTTTGTTTGAACCATGTAACATTCCTCGCATATTTTCTTGCAGCACTTTGTTTGCCCGTGCATCAAGCCCTCTTTTGTAACATGTTGCTCTTATATTTTTACATGCTTTTTCACCATCCGGACATTTTTTTTCAAAATAGAAACAATAGGACTCTAATTTCGCACAATCTTCGTTGCTAAAAAATGTTGGCAACCCTTCCCATCCAAGAATTTCGTTATTTCCTTTTTTTGGGTCAAAAAGACGATTATTTGTAAGTTTTGACATGAGAATATCACATGTTCTTTTGATATCTTTTTCTAGCTCATCACATTTTTTCGTTCCATCATCACTTAGACCACTTTCCTTACATAAACTATTCAAGGCCTCATGTTCTTGTGGGGTTTTGCATTTTTTCTCAAGAGCTTTTTTGCATTTTTCTTTATCATCATTACCTGCTACACTTGGGTCTTGAATTAACAACGCCAACAAAGCCGTTGCATCTCTTACATGTTGTCTCCCAATAAAAACACCATCCTCTTCTGCCTTCTTATAAAGCTCTTCCAGATCTATGTCTTCTGCCAGTGTAGCCTCTGGTCTAGTTGGATCAAAATCGGGTCCTGGTGGTATATAAACAATGTTTTGTTCTTGACATTTCTTTCCCAATTCATCACACTTTGATTTGTCTGCTTTGCAATTCCTTCTGTAAAAATAGCATCGTTCAAGAAGTGGTAAACATTTTCCTCGTAATTCATTCTCTTTTTCAAGTGCTTTTTTAATATCCTGTTCAAGAGTAGTACATTTTTCTTGCTTTTTTGATACAAATTTGTTGCATATTGTTTGTTGATCAAGACAAAGCTTCGTTAACTCATCACTTTCTTGACTCAATTCTAGGCAAATCTTTTTAAGTTTTTCTTTGCATTTATTTTCATCTTCAATATTCCCACGAAGTGTCCTCAAAAGGACTTCTTCTGCTATTCCGTCACGTTTTCTCTGGTAACATAGATTCCTTAGTTCATTACATTTCTCTTTAAGTTCTGTTGGACATGCTCCTTCCAAAAATAGGCATTGTCGTTCATTCTTTTTGCAATCATCATCTGTCAGTTTTGAAATTCCTTTTCCAACTGTTGTTTGAAGTTCTCCTTTGAATGTAGTGCATTTTTGACTAACTTTGACTTTTAATTCGTTGCATTTTCCTTCTGCTTTTCCATTTTTACAAAAGCTTTCAAGTTTCTCATGTATTTTTTTTTCTTCTAATGAAGCATTTTTCAATCCTTGACAATATTTTTCTAAATTTTCTTTACATTTGACATTATAATCTTTTCCTACAATCAAAGCCAAAAGATAAATTTCCTCATCATTTGCTCCTGCTCCCTGTGTTTGTACCTGCCGCTTAACCGCCCGCGCCACCGCCCGCGCCAAGCTGTGGCCGACGAAAGTGGGTGGGCTTGTGCTGTGCTGTGGTGTGATTTGAGTTTCTATTAATGTGTTTTCATTGCACGTGAGATGTTAAAGCCATGTCTTCAAATTTGAATATTAAATTATCCTTAATTAATTTTAAGGGAGTTCAAGTAAATTCAGTGACAAAACTCGTCAGACAAGCAGCGTGTGCTAAGCGTATTCTTAGTGTGTCCATTACAAGTGTATCTTGATTTCTTCGTGAGATGCTTTAAATTTGTGTGGGGTAAATCCGGGGTAAATGTGGGGTAATCGTAAATCTTAACAAGTGAAAGGTATAGTATAAAAGGACATAATAAAAAATAAAAGCAATTAAAAAAAAAATATGGGCAAACTATGTAGAAAACTTTTATAGTATTGTTCTGTTATATCATTATAGATATTAGAAAAATTAGAAAATTCTCGGTAGAGTATGCATTGAATATGATAGTTATAGTGGCTTTTTTTCAAATAAAATTTTTCATTCGATATACATGTGTTAATATTATTAATAGATTTTCTAGTTCTATTAAAACTAGCTATAATCTCATTTTTAAGATTATCGTATTTTTCATTTTTTTAATTCAATATTTTTATCTATAAAAAATATTGTTATTTTAGATTTTTTTATTCCAATTTTATTTTTTGTCTAAAACTATTCTACATATCTTTATTTTTTACTTATTTTTTGTATTTAGTTTTATCAAGTCAAAATCTAAATTCAAAACTATATAGTTTCTCGTATTCTATGTTTTTTGCTGTTTTTAGAATTTAAATTATAAAAATACTTTTTAACTAATGGTAATTATTTTTAAAAAAATATTGATGTTTTCAAGTATTTCATTAGTTTTTTATTTTAAGATTATTTTTTTTAGTTATTTATACATGTTTTTTGCATATTTTCTACATTAACAAATTTTATACAATTTGACTAGTTTTAAGAAATTCATTTTCAATTTAAATTTACGACTTATAGTTTTATTTCTAAATTTGTGTATTCTTAAATTGTTTTGTTTTGGAAATTTAGATATTTATTAAACTTTTTAATTTTTTATATACTTTGAATTTTATATTATTAAATTTATGGTATTTTTTAATTTTTCTTTCTATATTGATATTATGTTTTTAAGATTGTTAAAGGTATTTTGTTCTATTATACAAAATAGTTTTTTAGTATAAAAAATGTTGATCCTTAAAATCTAAATTTTGACTGTCAAAAAGTTAGGTTAATTTACAAAAAGGATGTTTTTTAAAAGAGATAATAGTTTTAGAGAATAAACAAATAAATATATCCAATATATTCAGTCGTATTTATATGTCCTATAGCTCTACCAGAGATGGATTGTAAAATGAAAAAATTGTCTTTTAAACTATGATTAACCATTAAATATTAATGCCCAAAATTATGATTTATTAGTTAGTCTGATACCCACAAAACAATAATTTCTATATTTATTTTCCAAAAATATTTAAATAAATCTTATGAATAATTATTAGTTTTACATAATTATCGTCAAAATGCCCCACAAAAATATTAGTAAATATATATTGTTTTAATTTTAAATAATTATCCATAGTCCCAATATTATTCCTGCAATTTCCAAAATCAATTTTATCATTTGTAATCTCTGTGCTCTGAGTCCATAACCTTCTTCATAGTCATCCCGTGACATTGTTGGTCTAGGTCTTGAACGCGTGGATGTTGATGAACGTGTAGTCGATGTACCTTTAGATGTGCGTGTAGATGTGCGTGTAGATGTGCGTGTAGATGTATCTGTAGATGTGCTTGTATCTAATATACTTGTTTCCGATGTGGCTGTAGTTGATGTGTATATATCTGATGTGTTTGTAGTTGGTATAAGTGTAGTTGGAAAGCTTGGCGTAGTTGGCGAAGCTGCAGTTGATGAATTTGTAGTCGGTAAACTTGTAGTTGAATTTGTTGGTTTTGGTTTTGGCATTGGTTTTGATGATTCTGGTTCTGATGGCTTTGGTGGTGGTGGTATAGGCGGTTTTGGTGGTAATGGTTCTGGTGGTGGTGGCGGCTCTGATGGTGGTTGTGGTTGTGGAGGTAGAGGGCCTGGTGAAGTGCATTTAGTCATAGTGCTATTACATATACGAATGATTTTATCGTTAATTCCATTACAAAAATTTCCTATAGATGAGCATAAGGATTTCAAATTTTCACACTCTGAATTAGAAGGGGTTGATAAAAATTTAAAAATTTTCAATGCAAGTCCATGACATATTTTTCCTAAATGGTCTATTAGATGCTTGCATGTATTATTAATATTAGTGCATGATATATTCATTTTTTGTTTTGTAGTAGAATTTTCACATATTTTATGTAATTTTTTCTTACATTTTTCATGAGTGGATATTCCTTCGCCAAAAGCCTTAATTAAATTATTAAGTTCGTTAGTTTGAGTTGAAGTATTATTACACTTTTTCTCAACTTCAGCACATATGTTGTTTAAAGATCCGGGACAACTGCTTTTAAGCAATTTACAGTGATATTTGAAACTAGCACAACGACTATAACTGATATGAGTTATATGGTTATTGGAAACTTCATAATGTGATAGATAGCGTGAGAGCTGTGTACAATATGCTGAAACACGCTTGAGTATGTGATTGCATGTTTTCGTTTTATTACGACAGGCTGTATGTGAATACGAACTATTTTGTGTGCAATGTTCAGTAAGATGTTTGAGACAAGAAGATTCATTGTATAAATTTGAGCCTTTTTTAAGTATATTTACTCCTAATAGTATTTCCTCATCTATATTTTTACAAGTAGTATTAAGTTCTCCACATAACTTTTTAGTAGATTGAAAATAAAATCCCAATTTATGACATTCTTTTTTATACTTTTTACACTTGTCATAGTCAGGATCCATGAGAGTATCTTTTAAGTTTTTTTCTAAATCTTTGGAGTTGCTGTTAACAAAAGCTGTTAAATTTTTACATGTTTCTTTTGGGTGCAGACAACTATATAGTATATAGTAACTATAATACATAAAATGTTCGCATTCTTGTACAAGAACTTTTTCGCAGTTTTTTTGATTGCTTGAAGACTCAGGACTATTTCCTAATGTTAATTTTCTATTTAACTTTTTCATTAGAGCCATATTAGCTGCTTTTTCCAAATCTGCTTGGTAACAAACGAGTCGTATATTTTTACAAACATCATAACCTGTCCAATAAGTAATAGTTTTATACATGAAATAACACATTGTCAGATACTCTTCGCATTTTTTTTCCGAAAGAGGGAGGTCTTGATACCACCAAAAGTTAATACCTTCTTTTAATTTTTTTATAAGAGAATAACAATAATCTCTAGTTCCAGCATACATATTATAACAAACATTATAGTTGCCTTTCCAATCTTTAGAAATGCACATGTGTTTAATTGATTCTAAATATTGTATTAAGGAACATTTTTTATTTAACGCATTTTTACATTCCAAGTATCCTGGATAATGTTCTTGAACCAAAAAGTTGGCCACTTGCAATTCTGAATATTTCTCTACTCCGGTAACACGGATACCTAAATCACACAATTTTTCATAGGTATGTTGAATACCGGTTTCATCTAGATCGGTAGATGGATTTTTAAAAAGATCAAAATTATGGCCTCTTGGATTATAGAAAAAGCCTTTTTCAGAACATTCCATTCGAAATGAACGACATAGACTGTGGAGATTTTGGCAATCAGGGATAACATAATAACATATTTCTAACCATTTTACACAATTTTCTTCTGTCATTATTCCCTGTTTTGATAAAAATTGAGTTCCAAAATTTTTACATTCTTCTTGAGAGTATGAAGTAAATTCATTACAAACTCTGGTATAATCCATACACAAAGTAAGCAATTCAGGGCTTTGTTGACTAAGTAATTGGCATACATTTTTTAATCTTCCTATGCAAGATTTTGAATCACTTGAAGTTCCTCTTAAAATATCATAGAGAAGTGTTCTTGCTACTTCCATACGGACTTTATTATAACAGCTCTCTTTAAGTTCTTTACACTTTTCATTAAGATACTGCATACCATGGCGTTCGAAAAGAAAACATCTCATTTGTAATTTGTTACACTTATCATGCTCAGTTATTCTCTTGTCTGAAAGTTCTTCATTAGTTTTTTTTATCCCCATCATTATTTCATTGTATGCATGATTACATATTGTTTTAGATGTACAAATTCCTTGAATTCTTTCATTCATATTCTTAATACCAGTACATATTTTATTCACGTCACTTTGACAATAAGATAATCGACCTGGAGCCAACATAGCAGCAACATAATAATAATCATGTTTATAATTGTACCAGAGATTTTCAAGTTCTAGTTTTTGCAATTGATATGCTAAACGAAGATCATAAAGTGCACTCCTATGAGTAAGGGGAAATAATGAATCGTCTTCATTTAGTGGAGAATAATTAATAAGATCTGAAAGATTAAAGTTGGAATTAAGTTAAATAAATATTACCCAAAAAATCTTCGTTTTTTGAAAAAACTGTTTTTATATCAATTAAATTCAGAAGAATGTATGCTTTTACAAAAAGTGACATAAACAAAAAAGAAACAGAAGAAACTAATTTTGAATTATATTATTGATTTAGAAATGCGGATAAAAAGGGGCAATATTAAAAAGGGGATTCGTAGAAAGAAAATTAGTTAAAATATACAATAAACAAATAATGCTATTTTTATATATTATATATTCATTTGTTTTAATATTTTTTGAAATATTTATTTTTATGAATCTATTTTATAAATCTATTTTAAAATGCTAATTTTTAAGTTATTTAATTTAGAAGACTACTTGAAAATTAGTTAAAAATTTTAATAATACTTTTATTTTGTTTGAATAGCTTTTTGCATATTAAGAGTGTATTTGATCTTCCAAGGATCTTCAGGTACACGATAAGTCTATGTTAGTGAGATTTATATTGTTTTCCTGAATTTGTAAATTTTTGATTATATTTAACTATTAGATAGTCGTTAGATAATTATTAGATAATTATTAGATTTACATTTTTTTTTCTAAAATTTTTATATATTATTTGATTTTTTGAAAGATTGTTAAGTGCAATATCTTCATGTTAATCAAATTTGAAACTTTTTTCTGATCTCCACAATTTTCCGACCATTTGTTCTAGCGTTTTTAAATTAGATTTACGTAAGTTTAATAGTAAATTTGTAAAAATTAAAACTAGATCTAAATAAATTTAGTTAGATTATATATGTCTAAATTAGATTGTAGGGTTAAATTAGACTAAGGTTTAGATTATAGGTTTAAATTAGTGTGAGTTTAGATTTACGTAGGTTTAACCCGTGTTTTACTTTTTTTTAAATTTGTATATTTTTTACTTTTTCAAATTTACATTTATTTTTGTATTTATTCTGGTTTGTTTTTAAGTTTAAACTGTTTTTTTGATTTTAATAAAAATATATTAATTTTTTATATATTTAAATTATTATTGAATAAATTTTTTTCTATTATTTATTTCGTTTAGAATAAATAAATATTAATTAAAATTTGAATTATTTTTATAGTTTTTCTAATTATTAATATTTCACAATACAATTTGATAGTAAAAATATATTAATGAATCATTTAGTTTTTAAGTTTAGGTTTTGATCTATATTTTTTAATATTTGTTTTTAAAGTTAATAATAATGGTTCTGTGATTTTTTAAGTATTTTAGAGTATTTTAAGTATAAATTATTAAAAGTATATTTTAAAGTTAAAAATAAAATTTATAACCATATTTAAAAATTTAAAGATTTTTAGAAAAACAGTTAAATATAATTAATGAAAAGGTTATAATTAAGTTTGAATTTAAATTAATACAATTAAGTTAAAATTATTGTTAATAGAATTAAGATATATCTATTTTAATAAAAATAAAATCATAAAATATCCAACAATAATTGTTCAATATTTAACTTTTGACATTATTTATATTTTTATTAAAGGACAATTGAATATACATTATGAGACAATATAAAGATAAAAATGAATGTATCCATTAAAACGAGTTTTATATACAATATATGTTTATTTAATCATGATTTTTAAATTATTACGTTTTTTTTTCGCTTTTATTTCCTCACATAGTTTCTTTACTAAATAATATAGATCTTCTGACTTCAAGTTTATATTTCCTAAATCTTTATGATATTTTAGTTTTATCTGATATTTCTCATTTACTGCATTTTTCAATATTAATTTTTTTTTATTATATAGAAAATATATTAATTCTGCATCTTAAGATTATTTGAAAGTTATATATTTTACTAAATCTAACGAAACATCTTTCATAAATAAATTCTAAAAAAAATTAAAAATGAAAAAAAGATGAACATTAATATTTTTTAAGAAAATATATGCTATTTTAAGAAAATTAGTTAACAAAAATATTTTGATTTTAATGATAATAAAATTTATAAAAATTTTTTATATTTTACATTAAAAAAATGTTAAAAATTGTTTTGAAATAAAAAAATACCAATAATAAATAGTTAATAATTGATATCTAATAAACAAATAATAATTAATATTGCTTCTATTATATGTTTTAATATTTTTTAGTAAGTATATATTATCTATTGTATGTTTAAATTTTTATATAAAACTATTTTTAAAATAAAATTTAGAATATAATTTTACTTAAAGTATATTTTATTGTTCTTATATTTAATAATGTTTATTTTTCTACTAACAGTTATATATATATATTAAATAGGAAATTACTTTGTCTATCGTTAATTAAATTATTAAGTTTCAAACAATAAGACTGGTTTTCTGTTATTTTTATTTACTACATTTCAATGTAAGAAATTCTTTTTTTATCTTTTATTATCTTTTATTATCTTTTATTATCTTTTATTATCTTTTATTATATTTATACATATAAAAATATCTTTATATCTCTTATAATTTATTTTTTCTAGTTTTTTCATTATTTTTTAATTTTATTAAACTTTCTTTTATAATCTTTTAAAATTTTCATTATATTTTCCTTTTTATTATTTATTTTTGATTTAGAGTTATTTAAAATATATTTATTTACTTTTTATGCATTTACTTTTTAAGCACGTATAATTTTTAAATACTAATTTTAAAATAATACAAATAATGCAAATTTAATATTATTTATGTTTTTCAACTTTCCTATATATATTATGATATTTCAAATATTTTTAGGTTTTGCTTTGTAATAATAGAAGTATTTATCTCATTTTCATGTTGTCTATCTCGTTTTTTCATTATTATTATTATTTAAAACATGTCTATATAGTATAGTTTTATAATATTATTTTTGATTAGCTTGATGTGTAATAATTTTGATAATTATTTTTGTATAACAATTTTATTCTATCTTATTAAGTGTTAAACTATATAATTGTTTTTATTTTTTCAAGTTTTTTATTTAATATATTTAAAATTATGATTTACTTTTTTGAATTTTTTTAAAATTTTCCATTTTTTAAATTGCTTATGGTTATTTTAATATATTTTTAGTTTTTTTGTTTTTTTAACTTTTAATTTTCTTTAATTTTAAATTTTTTAAGTATAATTTATAATCATTGTTTTATTATTCTCTTATTTTTTATATCTAGTTTTCTTTTTAATTTTTCGATTTTTGTTTCATTTCAATCATATTTTTCTTTTTAGTTAGTTTTTATTTGTATTCATTCAACTTATATTTATAATTTATTTTTAGTTTCAATTTTATTTATTTTTGATATATCTATTTTTATAATTTTTATATTTTTAAGTGTCAAATGTTTTATAATTTATATTTTGTTTTATTAAAATTTTTATTTTTTTTTAATATTCCTAAAATTTTGAATTTTTATCTTTTAAATGTTTTTAAAACATTTTATATATTTTTATAAATATAAATGCTAAACTTATAGAAAAATATTAACATTTTTGATATTTTAAATAAACCTTTTTTACTATTTTTAGAGAAATTTACTATATTTAAAATTTTTTTATTTTAATTTTATAGTTTTTATTAAAGCGATTTTTTATAACTTGTAACTCAATATTTTGATAAATTGTTCTATAATTAATTTCTTTTAATAGAACTATGTATTAGTTATAAGCCTTTTAATATAGATTTAATGAACGAAGGTTCTATTATTAATTTTTAAATACTTGTATTTACGAATATATAATAATTTTTTTATATTATACTGATTCTCTATTATTTTTATTTTATTATTTTGTTTTTAATATGTTTTATATAATTTTGCAAAAATATTATTATAATTATAAATTTTATAAATTTTTGTATTTTCAAATAATTTTTTATATTTGATTAATGAAAAAAGTTATTTTATTTACTTTTTAATTTCTTGAAATATTTTATCTAAATATGTTTGTTGTGATTTACAATGCCTTTTTTATTTAAATAGATAAAACATAGGCTATTTTTTTATCGTATGTTGATTATTTTTAATAAATCAATAGTCTTTTAGTTCGATCTCTATAAAGTAATACTATTTTCAAATTTATTAACATTTAGACTAAATCTTTTAATAAATATGTTAGTTATATTGATATTTTTGAACTGAAAGTTTGGTAATTTAAAAAGTCATTTTTTAAATATTATTTTAAAATTGCTCTAATATTTTAAAAAATTATTTTTTAGGTGGATTATACAAAAATAGATATTAAATTTATAGAAATGATTCTTTTTCAAATAAAAAGATATAAATTTATTTATTTAATAAATCACGTAATATTCTTATTTTTATTTTCAATATAATTAAATTATTTTGACAGTTGAGAGTTATTAAAAAGTTATTATATCTTTATATTAAGATATTAAAATTATTTAAATTTATATTTAAAATTGTAGAAATTAAGGTCTAAATTTTTTTTGAAAGATCATAAATAAATTCTAATAATATATACATATATATATATATATATATGAATTTATTGCAAATTTTGGAACTTTTTAACATTATATATTAAATTTTTAAAATAAAGTACTTTTTTAGAAGATTTAAAACGTATTTTTCTGCTTTATTTCTAAAAATTTTTAGAGAACGTCTGACCGATATCGATAAGACTAAAATTTATCAACAAAGTTTGATAGTAATGATAAGTGATGTTAAACTTATAGATTCATTTCAGGGACGACCAGGAAAACTTACTACTGTACATCCTTTGAGACTTAAGGATGAAAATAATCTTGCTACACTTAAGATGGAAAGATCTAAAACGACTGTTGAGGTAGGTTAATTTTAATTATATAATCTACAACTTTTAGGCAAACAAATAGATTAGTTGTTGAAGAGTTGTAGCATTTTTCTTAAATAAAAAAGAACTAATATATTATTAGTTGCAAGAAAGATTAGCAACTGTTGAGGAACAATTAGACACATCTGAAAAACATATTACAATTGTTAAAGCACAACTTCAAGAGTCCCTTGATAATCAAATACGACTGGAAGAAATGCTAGAAATAAAGAATAAAGAGTTGGAAAAGGCAGTAGAAGAAAAACAAGAGGCATGTAAAGCTTATAGAGAACTTGAAAAAGAAATAGAACGTGAAGTATTTAGTAAAAAGAATATTTTTGGAAAGCTAATATTTTGAAGCGAGCAAATATATCTTTAGAAAAGCAAGAATGGAAAAATAGGGAAGATGTTTTATGTCAATCTATTAGAATTTTAAAAGAAAAATCACAAAAATATCGTCAAAGTCTTTCAAAAATGAACACAAATGATGATCAACAGCTTAAATCTTTGCACTCTAAAGATAGCATTACTTTAAGAATTGCTATTCAGAAAAAGGATACATTAATAGAATCTATGAAGACTGAGATTAGTGAACTACAGACTCGACTTGAGGATATTGAATATCAAAATAAACAATGTTTGCAAGAAATACAGAATCAACTTAGCGAAGTTCAAGAAGCAAATGTTAGACTTGTAGAAGATAATGAAAATTATCAAATTCTATTGTCTGAAAAGGTTTTTGCCTTGAATTATTCCTATCTATTATTGACAAGATAAAAAGATGCATTGTGAACTTAATCAAATAAATTTGAAAAATACTTTTTCAAGTTCAGGTAGTAAAACAACTAAGAATTGTAATTTGGCATTAGAATTGAGTTCTGCTGAACAGAATGAACTGTGTTCAAATACCGATGAATTGAATCAGTTTATCAAATGTAATATTAAGTTTTTTATTATTAGTTTTAATTAAAGATAGCTTTGAAAAATGAAATTCAGACTTTAGAAGAAACAAATAATGTTATGAGTCTTTATATTTCATCAATTATAGAAAAACTTATGGATAATAAAGAATATGAGCAGATTTTATCTAAAGATGAGTCTAAATTACATTCAATTAATCAAAAAACAAACGTAGAAACCTTAGATTCTTACATTTCTGACCCACCTATCAACAATCAAAAAAGCAAATTTTCAAATATAATTCGGCTATTTTTACGTGAGCCAAGTTTTAGAAAAGCATTTAGTGTTCTAAACTCTACTAATCCTGTTAATCATGTGCGTAAAGTTGTATCATCTGATTCTTTGCATTCGAATGCAAATAAAAAAAATAGTTGCGTAGAAAATATTGCATACCAAAAACTTAATTTATTATATCCAATTAAAAATAATTCATCTTCTAATAATCTTAGTATTTATGTGGATAATATGAATAGTAGCAATAAAAAAGAACATAAATGGACTTATGATGTTAAATTAAAGACTAATCTAAATTTTCAAGAAAAATTTAATAGCTGGACAGATTGGTTTAAAAAAACAGAAAAGTATATTTATAAAAAATAAAAATTGTATTTGAATTAATTAAACTGTTTTATTTATTAATGTTTAAACTATTTTAAGTATAGAATCATTAAATCTAGAAACTTCATGTACTTTTATTAATGTTATATTCACATTTTGCATTTGTATTATAGGTTTAACTTTTTAGTTATGAAATATTTTGTTTTTGGGTTTTAATATTTATATTTTAAAAAATTAAAATTTTAAAATTTTAACCTATTTAAAATTATAAAAAATATTTTATTTATTTTTTAAAATTAATTCATTTGATTTAAAATTATTATATTTTAATTTTTTTATAAAAAAAAAATTGTTTATATTGTTTAGTCTAAAAAACTATATCAAATTTTTACTTATGCATATAAAAAATATAAAAAAAGTCTTTTAATATATTTTTTTAAAAGATTATAGTTTTTATCGATAACTTCCCTCAACTAAAAAAATTATAAACTTTAAATTTTTAAAGATTCAAATTAAATATTTAGAAATACTTAAACATGTATTCACAAAACGTTGTTATTCTTTCTAGGATTATGTAGATTATGTATTCTTAAATATGGGAAAATATAAGGAAAAAAACAATGTTATACAAAAAACAATAGGTAATAATATCTTTAAACTTAATAAAGATATTGGACAGCATATTTTGAAGGTAATTTACTTATATAAGTTTCCTTACTTTTATATTAACGTTTAATGTTTTAAGAATCCTTTGGTTGCTCAAGGAATTATTGATAAAGTTATTATCTTTAATTATAATACAGAAAATTAAATAATGTAGGCAGATTTAAAGCCTTCTGATATTGTTCTTGAAGTTGGATCTGGTACTGGAAATCTTACTGTTAAAATTTTACAGAAAGCAAAAAAGGTTATAGCTGTCGAAATGGACCCACGTATGAGCATGGAACTTGTTAAACGTGTACAGGCAACGTATAATTTATTAAAACTTTATTATTCTTAGTAATGATTTTTAAAGACCTGATGAAAAACGTTTAGAAATACTTCTTGGAGATGTCATTAAAATAGATCTTCCATATTTCGATGTTTGTATATCGAACACCCCATATCAAGTAGGTTTTTTATTATTTTCACTAATACTGATACTACAAAGATTTCTAGTCCTCTTGTTTTTAAGTTACTTAAGCAATCTCCTCCGCCTCGATTAGCTATACTAATGTTTCAACGTGAATTTGCCATGAGACTTGTTGCTAAGCCTGGTGAGCCTCTTTATTGCCGTTTAAGTGTCAATGTGCAAATGTGGGCAAAAGTTACGCATGTAATGAAAGTAGGGAAAAATAATTTTAAACCACCTCCTCAGGTAGAAAGTAGCGTTGTTAAAATTGAACCTAAAATTCCACCTCCACCAATTAGTTTTGAAGAATGGGATGGGTTAGTAACAGTATAAATTATTTGTTTTAGTTAATATTGTAAGTCTTCTTCGAATATGTTTTGTTCGAAAAAATAAGGTATTTGGTTTTTTTAGTTATAAATTTTCTAACTTATTAGACTATTCTGTCTGGATTCAAAACATCTTCGATACTTAATATGTGTGAAAAGAATTATAATATTTGGTGTTCTCAAAACAACATACCAATGGATGGTATTCCTATAAAAGATAAAATTGAAAAAGTGTTAAATTCTGTAAATCTTGGTAATAAACGGGCTCAAAAATGTGATGATAGTGATTTTTTAAAGTAAGAATACTTTATTTTTATTGTTTTTAACTAATTTTAGATTATTATATGCTTTTAATAAAGAAGGAATTCATTTTGCCTGATTGTTTATATGTCTAGTTATTTATATTAATGGTTAACATATTATTCTGTTATTCAAAAATATTGTTAAGAGTACTTAAGACATTTATTTAAACACTGGTATTTATATTTGATAATGTTAGAAACAAATTTAGTTGAAATTTTATGATGAAAAAATAAATCATAATTGTACATAGAAATTTAGTTTATTGGTGAAATTAAGAAAATGATAAACTTTTTTTTAATTTTTTTATATGAAAAATTAAATAGTATAAAAATTAGACTTAAAGCAATCTTTTAACAGGTTAATAAAAAATATAATTATGAAATTACTACAAAGTAATAATGGATATTATAGTATTATAGAATCTAGTAATGGGAAAGGATGGAATAAATATTTGTAAAATCATAATTTAGATTTATTTAGTTTATAAATAAGTAAATAGCACATTTTTATTTAATATATTAATTTTTTATTTTTTCATTATTTTAAAAAAATATTATATTTGAATAAATTTTTATGAATTTATATATTATTTTTTCGACGGGGGAACTGGGCCCTTGTGGTCCATCTGGTCAATGTAACCTTTCCTAAGGTGTAGTGTTCGAAAATTCTAATAGTAAATAGTTGAAACGATACAGAGAAGATTAGCATGGCCCCTGCACAAGGATGACACTGCTTCCAAAGAGAGGAACCCATTTTTTTCGGAATCTATGAATAAATTATTTTTAAAGTTTAAATTATTGTGTATTTTTATACAACTTAAATTCAATAATTATTTAAAATTATAAATAAATTGTTTATCATTATGTTAAACTATTATTATTACCTTTTATAGTTTAAATTTTATTTTTATAAAATTAATAATTATTATACTTATAAATAAATTTTATTTCATTTAATACTTAAATTTTCAATTAAATATATAAATAAAATTTTAAGTTTAGATTTATAGAATATTTTAAATATAAATGAAAATCATTGTTTAAAAAGTAAGTTTATTAATATCTATATATTTTTAACATCTTAACATTCTTTTGATTATGAGATATATACATTATAAAATCTGTTTTATAATCTAAATCATTTAAATAAAATAATACATTATAAAACTTTATAAACAATTGATATTGATTCTTGAATTAAATTTAAAAAGCTGAAATTTCTTAAACTATCAAGATTTAAACAAAAATTTCATAGCAACCTTTTTATTAATTAGAGGTAGTTATGTCTATCCGTCGAGATTTTCTTACTGCACAGGCTCCAGAGAATTATGTTGCAGGTCTTGGAAGAGGTGCTACAGGATTTACTACAAGATCTGACCTTGGACCTGCGCGTGAAGGTCCTTCAGAAGATGCAATTAAGTGAGTTTTTTCTTAAGATTTAATAACTGTTTTTATCATATTTATATTTTTATAGGGCAGCTTTAGCACGACGTGCTGCTGCTCAAGATCCATTTAGGTTTTCTGACTTTCAAGATGTCAATGATACAAGGGAAGATGAAGATGAAGATAAATATCAGGATCCGGATAATGATTACTGTCTTTTTGCAGGGGCACCATATGATGCAGACGATGAAGAAGCAGATCGTATATGGGCTGAAGTAGATCAAAAAATGGCTCAACGGAGAAAATCACGTAGGTAAAGTTTTAAAAACATTTATTTCTTTGAGTTTAAAATCTATATAGAGAAGCTAAAGAACGTAAGGAAACAGAACGTCTTCTTCTTACAGAAAGGCCAAAAGTTCAGGATCAATTTGCAGATGTTATACAGGGGTTAAGTGCAATAACAGATGAAGAATGGTTGAATATTCCAAATGTTGGGGATTTGACTGGAAAAAAAAGGAAAAAAGTTAGTCCGCACGAAAGATTTTATACAATACCAGATTCTCTTATTTCTCGTGCAAGTCAAGTAGAACAATTAGATACTAGTATTGATGTTACAGAAACGGAAACAGAGTTTAATGATGGAAAAATGACAAATTTTGCAGAAATTGGTGCTGCAAGAGACAAGGTTCTTGGATTAAAATTAGATCAAGTAATTATATATATGTATTATTATTTGTTAATATTTATTATAAGATATCATCTGATTCTGTCACTGGACAGTCTACAGTGGATCCACAAGGATATCTTACATCAATGAATTCTATGGTTTTAAAAAGTAATGCTGAACTGGGGTACTAATATATTTTATTTTGAATATTATTTAACAACGGACTAGAGATATTAAACGTGCACGTTCGTTAATGCAGTCTTTGATTAAAACAAACCCAAATTCAGCAGCTGGTAATTGATATTGATTTTCAATGTTTTATTATTGATATTGTTAGGATGGATGTCTGCTGCTCGTATAGAGGTTGTAGCAGGAAAATTGCAACAAGCAAGAAATATTATTGCTAAAGGCTGTGAAAATTGTCCTACAAATGAGGATATTTGGATTGAAGCTGTGGGCCTTAATGTATTTTATATTTATTGTTCAAAACTTGCTTATTGTTAGTAGAATGCTCAAACAGGAAAATTGATTATAGCTGAAGCTGTACGACATATTCCGAATTCTGTAAGATTATGGCTCCAGGCAATAAAACTTGAAACAGAAATTGAATCAAAGAAAAGAGTTATTCGAAAGGGTAATTTTTCGTATTTATTAATTTACTTATTAATTGAATTAAAGCTATTGATATTATACCTTATTCTGTAAAGCTTTGGAAAGAGGCTGTAAATTTAGAAGAAAGTCCTGAAAATGCTAAAATTTTACTTGCAAGGGCTACTGAACTTATTCCTTTATCTACAGAATTATGGCTTGCTCTTGCGCGTTTAGAAACATATGAAAATGCTAAAAAAATTTTAAATAAAGCACAAAATACTATAAAAACAAGTTATGAAATTTGGGTTGCTGCTGCCCGTTTAGAAGAACAACAAGGAAATGATCCTGATAGAGTTATAGCAAATGCATGTCGTCGTCTTCAACAAAATGGTGGAATGTTAACGAGAGAACAATGGTTAGCAGAAGCAGAAAAATCTGAAAAAGATGGTGGTACTAAAACAGCAAAAGCTATCATCAAAGCAGTTTTAGATCAAGATTTAGATGAAGAAAATAAAGAGTCAACATGGATAAATGATGCTGAAAATGCAATTTCTCATGAATGTTTTGAATGTGCACGTGAAATATATGCATATGGATTAAAGGTATTCCCGAAAAATGAAATATTATGGAAAAAAGCTATTTCAATTGAAAAATCATATGGAAATAGCGAGTCTTTACAAGGTGTTTTGGAAAATGCTGTAGAAGCATGTCCACAAGCAGAAGTAATTTGGTTAATGTATGCAAAAGAAAAGAAAAACTTAGGAGATATACAAGGTGCTCGTGATATTCTTGAAAGATCATTTTCTCATAATCCTAATTCTGAAGAAATTTGGTTGGCTGCTGTAAAATTGGAATATAATAATAATGAGAATGACAGAGCTAGAGCACTCTTAAAAGTTGCGAGACAGGAAGCTAGTACTGAAAGAGTTTGGATAAAATCTATAACATTTGAACGTCAATTTAATAATACAGATATTGCTCTTCAGCTTGTAAATGATGCATTATTATTATTTCCAAAATATGATAAATTTTGGATGATGAAAGGACAAATATATGAAGATTTAGGAAAGATAGAGCAAGCTAGAGAGACATATCAAATAGGTACAAAATCTGTTCCGAAATCCGTTCCACTCTGGATTTTGCTTTCTAAATTAGAAGAAAGTGTAAATAGAATTGTTATTGCTCGAGGGGTATTAGATCGTGCACGACTAGCTTGTCCTCAAACACCAGAGCTTTGGGTTGAATCAGTAAAATTAGAATTAAGAGTAAATAATATAAATCAAGCAAAATCAAATATGGCTAAAGCTCTTCAAGAGTGTCCAACAAGCGGGCTTGTATGGTCAGAAGCAGTATGGATGGAACCTAGGTCTCAAAGGAAAACTAGATCTGCAGATGCTTTAAGGAAATGTGAAGATGATCCATATATACTTACTACTGTAGCAAGAATGATGTGGAATGAAAGAAAGATAAGCAAAGCTAAAATATGGTTTCAAAGAGCTATTAAATCTAATCCAGATATTGGTGATACATGGGCATGGTATTATAAATTTTCATTACAGCACGAGCCTATTGAGTTACAACAGTCTCTTATTTCAGAATGTATTGCAGCAGAACCATTGCATGGTGTCGTTTGGCCTACTGTTTCAAAAAATATACAAAATTTTAGGCTTAGTATAGAAGAAATATTAAAAAAAGTAGCTGAAAAAATTTCATGAACTTTTTAATATTATCGTAAATTCAATTTTTAAGATTTTTAAAATATATAAAATTTTATTTTATAATTTGTAAATCTAATTTTTATATTAAAATATTTTAAAATTATCGTTTTTACTTTATTTTTTAAATATCAGATTTAATTTCAAGTATTTGAAGAATATTAAATGCCATTTATAGGAATATGTGGGGATATATGTTCCGGTAAATTATATGAAAATGGACCATTTTTTGATTATTTTAGGAAAACAAACTATTGCTAATTATTTAGTAGAAAAATTAAATTTTTCTATTTTAAAATTGCAAAATTCAAGCAATAATAATATTAAACTAAACAATTGTTCATTATTAGATGCTGGCTTAAAATGTTTGAATAAAAAAGAAGAGAAAATATTTAAAAACCCGGTTCAAATGCTCAATTATGTAACTAGCCATTGGAGAGAAAGATTTGTAACTATAGATATTTTTAGTGAAGAAGTATTAAAAATATTTGCTAAAAGGCCTTTTTTCTTACTTATAAGTGTAAACTCTCCGGTAATGCTTAGATGGGACCGTTATAAACAATGGTATGTTTTGCTATTGTAAAAAATTAAATATATATTGATAAAGTTATAAATATCGAAATTTTCATGAATTTAATTTGGAAGAATTTATTAAATTATCAGATGATTTTTTTTTTAATTCTAAAAATGGGATAGTACATTTATTTAATAAAGCTCAAATAAAAATTATAAATAATTATAATTCTTTAGCAGAGTTTTATGAAGTTCTTCAACGCATAGATTTAGTTAATGAAAATTGGTTTCGTCCTTCCTGGGATACGTATTTTATGCATTTAGCATCTTTAGCAGCACTCAGAAGCAATTGTATGAAAAGAAGAGTTGGCTGTGTTCTTGTTCGAAATAAGCGTGTTATAAGTACAGGATATAATGGGACACCTAGAGGATTTGTCAACTGCAATCAAGGTGGATGTAAAAGATGTAATAAAGGGCAAGGTAATGGACAAGATCTCGATGCCTGTTTATGTCTTCATGCTGAGGAAAATGCATTGTTAGAAGCAGGAAAGGAAAGAATAGCTAATGATTCTGTGCTTTATTGCAATACGTATTTTATTTTCTTCTATAATAAACAATTGCTAATTACTAAAAGTTGCCCGTGTTTAACATGTTCAGTTAAAATAACACAAGTTGGAGTATTTTTCTATCTTATTTGATATTATTTTAATTTTTTAGGTTCGTGAGGTGATATATAATCATTCTTATTCAATGGATAATCAAACATCAGAAATACTATCTCGCTCTGGAATTATTTTGCGCCAACATGTAATAAATTCAATAATTTTTTTAAAAGACTAATTATATAGAATATATCTCAACTATTTTTCTAAATAGTAGAATAAATAATTATAATTTTAAAAAGAAATCACTAAAATAATATTAAAATATTTAAAATATTCTAAAAATTTATTATTTATAAAATTATATAATGTAAATGATTTTATAAATTTTATGTATTTTAATTAAATATATTAAAATTTAAAAAATTAATTTTTAAAATAAAGTATATATTATTAAAAATATCTATAGTATATATTATTCTTGAATCACTAAAAATAATATTTATATAACTTATAAAGAATTATAAATTTTAATCATTTTAATAATTATTAATATTTAATTTTTGAAGATAAACAGATAATATATATATAATAGTAATTAGTAATCAAAATAATAAAATAATTGCAATATTTTGATTGTATTTAATTTTAAAAATAAAAATTATCTAATTAAATAGAAATTAGTTAAAAAATTTAAAATATTTTTTGTTATAATATATAATAAACTTATTTTTATAATTTTGTCTAAAAATATTTTTTTCAAACTATAGAAATAATCCAATAAAATTTTAATAATTATATTTAGAAAAATTTATATATTATATTTATATTGTTTTTTAAAATATGATATTATGAATATGTTTATAAAATATATCAGGTGTTTTATATTTTAATATAATTATAATTATATATATAGTAATTTTTAAAATCTTGAAATTTCTTATTTCGATCGATTTTTAAAATTCTAACAATAATCTAAAAATTAATAAAGGCTATTAAAATTATATAATTATTATTGAATATATTTAAAAAATCTACTATAAGCTTTTTTATGATAAAAACTGATAATTTTTATAATAAATTAATCATAATTGAACCCATCAAATGATATGATTAGAATTTATTTTTAGAATTAACATTAAATTAGTTAGGAGTTAAAAAATGACAAGAATAGAAATAAATCCACTATTAAGGAAACTAAGATTAGTACTAAAAAATAAGTGGGCACAATATCAAATAATAATAACAAGCTTTATTAGTGGAAAAATGAATAGAGAAGAATTCGATTTACAAATTAATTCAATTCTTAAAAAAAAATATTGTCAAAATCCTAGAGTTTAGTAAATAATATTCTAACCTTTATGGTAGTTTATCTTCATAATGAATTACTACTTGGAATTTATACAAATGCCATATGTGATTTTCCTCCTGAAAAATCATATGTTTTTGAATGGACCAAGAAGATGAAAGAATTTGAACAAACGGATGCAAATGATCAAAAAAGCTGGCTTAAAAGCGAAATAATGAGCCTTCATTATCTTGATAGAATTCGGATCAAATCTATTAAAAAAGTTAATATAATAAATAAAATATAGTATATTTTAACATTTTTAGGATTCTTTAGATAGATTACAAGAATTACCGAATATATTGTTTGAAAATAGAATAGCAAAACTTCCTAAAATACCTCTTTGCAAGGATAAAGTATATATAGGTAAAAATTTAACGAATATTTAAGTTAAGTTTGATTCGATATAGCAAATTATGTAAATGATATTCAAAAAGGATACCATGTTCCATTGAGTTGTGATTCTATGGAAATGCCAGATATTGATAGTTTACGTGAAAGAAGTTTAGCAATTGCTTTAGAAAGTGGATTGATTGGAGGCTTAAAAGAAGGAGTTCCTGAAATTGTTCTTGCAGGGCTTGAAGTACGTCTGTTTATTTATAGATTAATATTTATAATAATTATTACAGCATCATCTTAAAAATGTTTTGGCTATTACTATTTCAAAAGTTAGATTTCAGATACCCAATGAATCTATTCAGACAGAAAATTTAAATAATATTATTTTATTTAATCAAAATAAATATAAGAAAAAGCAAATAATAAAAAAATGTTCATCATTAACTGTAGAAGAGCTTAGTTTGGCTTTTCAGTTAGCGCCTTTTTCTTTGGTCGAAACACCACCTCCTATTACTAGAATATGGGCAACAATATTAACAAATAATACAACATATCAAGACAATAAAGTGGAAGAAGCCGTATTAAATATCATGAAGGAGAATCCAGAATGCAAAGAAAGATATGAACTAGCATTGATTTTAGATGAATTACTTGCAGGTGTATAATTATTTTTACAATTTAATAAATTTTATGCATTTTGAACATATTATAATGAAAAAATATACATAATTATTTGTTTAAATAGTTTTATTTTAAAAACACTGTATAAATATCTATTAAAGTAAATATTAAATATTATTTCATTTTTATTCACTTTTAAGAAAAATTGGAAATTATATAGTATTTCCAATAAAAGTTCATAGTTACTAAATTGTAGTTAATGTATATTTTAAATAAAATGAAAATTTTATAAACCAGTAGTTTAAACGGATATCCTTTGTTTTTTATTTGAAAAATATGTATTAAAAAACTAAAAACAAGGAATTGGAATGAAGTTAATAAAATAATTAACATAGTTTGTTTTTTGTTAGAGACTCTAGGAACAAAGATTGTTAATAATATCACAGTGAGCATTAATATGAAGTCTAGTTAATAATTAACAATAAACTAAATATAATTAGAATTTTTTACATGTTGTAGATATAATAAGAGATTCTATGCCATATTGACTATTAAAAGTTTCTAAAATATATATTGGAATATCATTATCATATCCATTAAATGAAATATTTCTAATTCGAGTAAACATATATCCAGAATTAAAAATTAAAATAGAAGCCTAAAAAATAATTAATGATTTGTTTTTTCTAAAAAAATGAGTGAATTTGACCAATGATAAAATTAGCCATAATTCTTTTTTAGTTATAATAAAAAATACAAAAGAACGAATTAATCTTAGAAAAACTACTGATAAAAAAGTAATAAATGCATAGAAAAATACTTTCCCATAATTTATAAACTGAATAATACGTATTGGCTGTTTAGTTTCTTGTGAAATAATTTGAGCCAACCAATTAGATGAAATATCTCTAAATTTAATAAATATATAGAACATATTAATGTGCAAAAATACCCGCTCTTAATGTTCAAAATATATGGTGTATTTTTTCTTGAAGCATTAGGTCCTATAGTTGCAGGATATAACATAATTACAGGAACTGCTGTTAATTGAAGCTAAGTATAATTTAGCATAAGAATATAAAACATAAAGTATTACCTTTTCAAATACTTCAGGACCATCTGAAAACTCAAGAATTCCAAAAAATAATTCTTCTGATTTAGGATATGTTTTATGTTGTGATTTTGCAACAAGTTTAAAAATAGGCTCCAATTTTCTAAAATAAAATATACTTAATAATTCAAAATAAACAAAATAAACTACTTGCAAAGATTACAATTGTATTGTTCTTCTGTTGTAGTAAACATAATAACCATAGTGTAGTTTCTTGGTTTTGTAATAACAGAATTAATGGATTTACTATTTAACTGAATAATACCATTATTTGCTTTTCTTTCCTTTAAAAAATCCTGAATAATAACTTGAGTTGAAAAAACATGTGAAAAAAAACATAATATTAAAAATATTTTTTCTAAAGTAATTTTCATTTTTAATGTAAATGTCGATATTAAGGTAATTTTAAGTTAAAATATATGATTAAATAGTTATAATGATTTTATTAAAATAAATATATTAATCTTTGTATTATTATTAAATTTAATGTATTATTTATGTTGTTATTTAGATAGATTTAAATGTTTTTTTGTTTATATGAAAAATGTTATAACGTTTTTAAACATATTTAATGACTTTAAAAAAAAACATTATTTCAATATTATAAACAAATAAAGGTAGATTTAAGCTTTTAGGAATCTTAAAATTCTAATATAAATTTTAATCTTTAAACGAATTAAGAATTTGAAGATAAATTTATGAAAACATTTTCACAGTTCAAATTAGAAACACTTTTGTTTCAATATTTAAAATATTTTTTCTAAAACTTTTGGTTTTTATATTTCAAAAATATTATTAAGATGGATAGGAAAAAATCTTTATGTAAATTTTGCAATAATCAGTATGGAAAATATATATGTCCCCGTTGTAAGCAACAATATTGTTCTTTAACATGTTATCAGTGCCAGGTTTTGTATCTATAAAATTTAAATATAAATTCAGGATTCTTATACTTTAGGCACATTTAGGATGTTCTGAATTTTTTTACAAAAATAGTGTAGAACAAGAAATTAAGAACAGAAAAGTAACTAAAGAAGAAAAAAATAAAATACTAAAACTTCTTTTAAAATTTAAATATGATCAGGAAAATGCAGAAAATCTTGAATTTTTCTATAATAATGATGAATTACTAGAAAAGGAACTAGAACAAAGTGATTTAAAAGAACGAATGAAAGATATTGATTTAGGTAAATTATCACATTATTTATTTAAGAAATTTATTTTTTTATAAAAAAGAAAGTGCATCATTTGAAGAAATATGGGAACGACTTAATTCAAATGAAAGGGAAGAATTTGTACATTTAGCATTACGACAAAAATAAAAAAGATAGTGATATTAAGTATTTTTATATATAATGTTTTTGGTTTTTTGATATAAGAAATAAAGTATCATAATTAATATTTATTGTTATAAATGAACTATCAATTTTTTATACTATTAGTTATATATAATATTCATTAAGAATAAGAGGAGATAAAAATTAAATAAAATTTAAATAAAAATTTGATAATATAAATTCATTATTAAAAAAAATACATATATATTATTTTATGCTACTTTAATAATTAAATCAAACTCTTATAATATATATAAACAATATTTCAAAGATTTTTATTTAAATACTTTTAAGATTATCTGTGAAAAATATCAAAAAAAGTAATTCAAATTCTAAAAAATGCAATTGAAATAGTTAATATAGTTATTCAATTGTATATATATATACATATATACATGCATACGTGCATATTTAAATCATAAACTATATTTGAAGTAAATCAAAATCATCAAGCTTGATTAATTAATAATTATTATAATAATATATAATATATATATACCTTATCATTATATTTTGCAATATTTCTTTTGATTTTACTTGAATCTACCCATGTCACAAAATCTTCCATATTTCTAGTCACAAAAAACGCTGGATCTGTAATAACCTTATAGTAATAAGCTTTTAAAAAAAAAAGTTAAAGAATATACATCAGGTCCTACACGAACATGACCATGTTGAACATATTTAAGAGCAGTAGAAACTGTTTCGCACATTTTTAGTCGACACATAACGATAGGTAATCTTCTACGGCAAAATGAAGATACTGTAAGCTTATTCTCTACATCAGAAAGTTTTGATGTAGTACTTAAAAGTCCCATATCAAAAAGTTTTTCTAAAAGCATTTTTTTATAAGAAATTCCGAAAGGATCATTTGGATCAAGTAAAGATAGCTTATGTGCTATTTTTTTTAATAATCCAACTAATCGATTATATCTATTTTTCAATTTTAAATATTCCTGAAAACTAGTTTTTTAAAAGTTACTTTATATAATCTTCTCTTTTTTCAATATTATAGCGTCTTATAACATTTATATCTCTGTGATTATTGTCATCTTTTTTATAATTTAAAAAATTATGTTTTTTAAGAAGTTTTTGTTCATGATATTTTAATTTTCTTGTCATACTTGAGTATTTTTAACAAATTAAGTTTTATTTAAATATAGATTTTGAAATATGTTTATCAAATTTTCGATGTCATTTTAAAAGCTTTAAAATTTATGATTAAAAATCAATTTTTATAAAAATATGGATTTAAATATAATTTCTAAATCATAAAAGGTTTAATTTTTTATTTTTAAGGCAGAATTTTTAAATAATTTATAGTATTGAAAAATATTAAAATTCTAATTGTTTTGGATAATTTTTGCTCTTAATATATTTATGTTATATATCTATAAAAATTTATGGTTTTGATTTATTTCATAAAAATTTTAAAAATTAAAACATAATTAAACTATAAATATCATGTTTGATTTTGCTTTCTTAAAGCATTTTAGACCTTTAGAATTTTAAAATATGTTTTTAGTATTCTAAAAAGTTTTATCTTTCATTTTCTTTTTTAATACATTTTTTTAATATTTTTCTATGATCTATTATAATTAACATTTAAAAATTTGACATTTTTATTAAAATTGAAATAAATATTTATCTTGATTAGTATTTTTAAAATAGATATGTTTAAAATTTTTTTAATAATTATTTTGTTAATATTTAGAATTATATGTAAATTGATGCATTTAATTTTACAAATGATCTTAACGTTTTGTTTAAAATATCGATTCTAAAATACTAAAATATAGTGTTGAAAAAAAAAATTAACAATATTTTAAGAAAAAGAATGTTCATAAATATTGTATCATCTTCTTATAGAATGAAATTACAGTCTATCAATTTTAGAATATTCGAGAATTTTTGAGAAATTTCTAGAAATTTTGAATATATATATATATGAGTGATGATTTCATATTGTTTCAAAAATACAAATATTCAATATCAAAACAATTAATAATAGCATTCAAAGAATATCTAATATTTATTGATAATTAAGTTTAAATGGTTTCTATTTCTCAACTAGCTAAACAATCTTTATTCCCTATAGATTTGGGACACTTAGTTCAAGCACTGGATCAACCAATGTATTGTTCTCAGTTAAAAGGGAATTTAAATAATCGGTGTTTGATGCCAAAAATTGATATGTCAGAGTCATCTCAGTATTATATCATTGAAGTCGAGCTTCCTGGATTAAAAAAAGAAAATTTATTGCTTGAATTTATTGATGAAACCACGATACTGATTGAAGGATGTATTAAAAGACAAATTAGTGACAAGTTTGCTCAATATATACCAGCTGTAGAAGGTGCACTAGATAAGAATGTTTCTGAAGACGATCCTACATATGTTAAAATACACGTTAAAAACAATCTGAAGGAACTACCCCAGGCTACATATTGGTATAAGGAACGAGTTCTTGGTCAATTTAGCCGCACCATTTCGTTCCCAACAAGTGTTGATAGAGATAATGTAAAAGCATCTTTAGAAAATGGACTATTATATATTATGGTACCTAAATCAGCTGCTTCTGCTCCTAAAAAGATTGTGGTTGATTAGGATTGTATAGGGATCAACCCTTTTATTTATCTTCATCACCTTTATATATTTAAAGGTTATTTTTGTATGTTTTAATTGTTTTTTGTAATTTTAAAATTTTTGCTCTTAGATAATAAAATAGTTTTGCACTAACTTTTGCTTTTTATGTGCTTTCTAATATTAGTACCTCTGTTTTGATTTTACTTAAATAGATTCAGCGTATATCTGTTTAATATAGATACTCTTTTGTTAAAAAAAATATTTTAGCAATTATTTTGGCAATGTCTTATTTATTTAGAATACCCAAAATATTATAAATTAAAATGTCTTCAATTATATTTACTATATAAAATTACATGTAATTACATATAATTTGTATTTTCTTATTATTTATATTTTCTTATTATTTATATTTTCTTATTATTTACATTTTATATTTATAATGCTTTCACAGAATAAATTATATATAAATAACTTTCAATTCTTTTAAATTTTTATTAGATAATATAACTTAAAATTTATCTTAAGATATTTTAGATAAAATTTAGTTTTTTTAAACCCTAAGTTTTAAATTAGAAAAAATATAGGATCAGGGTACGGTTGAGTAGGGTTAAATAAAAAAGTAAAAACGTATTTCTTTTACTGACTAGTAAAAATTAATGGATTATTGAAAATTTCAAATAAAAAAGCTTTTAAAATTTTTTTGAATTTTTGTATTTTTATATATTAGATTATGGTAGGATATAGACAAAAAAGAGTAAGCTTTTCACTGATAACTAAGGGAATTGATCGGGCAAACCGTTCTACTAAGAAAAAGGGACGAACAGCACCCAAATCGGATAATATTTATCTCAAGCTGTTAGTCAAGCTGTACCGATTTTTGGCACGTATGTATTTTTATGTAAAAAGGGTAATATTTATAATTTTGTAAGGCCGTACAGAGTCTCCATTTAATAAGACTGTACTTAAACGCTTGTTTCAGTCTCGTGTAAATCGGCCTCCAGTTTCAATTTCTAGGATTATTCGTTCTTTAAAAAACCTAGAGGACGTTGACAATAAAACAATTGTAGTAGTTGGAACTGTGACAGATGACAACCGTATATTAGAAGTCCCAAAAATCTCTGTTGCAGCTTTACGGGTTACAAGAACTGCACGCACTCGTATTCTTAAAAGTGGTGGTGAAGTCATTACTCTAGATCAGTTAGCTGTTCGTGCGCCTTTAGGGAGTAATGTTATTTTATTAAGAGGGAAAAAAAATACTAGAGAAGCAGTTAAACACTTTGGAATGGGTCCTCATAAGGTTTGTGTTATTCTTCTTTTTTGATTGGTTTTTTTGAAATATTAACTCATTTAGCATAAAAAACCTTATGTTAGAAGTAAAGGAAGAAAATTTGAAAGAGCTCGTGGACGCCGTCGAAGCAGAGGATTTAAAGTTTAGAATGTAGACTATAGTTGAATGTTAATATGTTTAAGATTTATATTATTTCTTGTATATTTTTTTAATAATTGTAAACTTTTTTCTACCACATCGTTAACTCTGGTTAATGATGACATGTTCTCATTTTTTTGAGATTTGTGCATCAGCAGCTAGACAAGATACTTACAATAGAGAGTGTACACAATGCTTTGATTCGTGGGATGATTTACTAGGAGTTGATATATGTCTTTCATGTTTTAATACTGGGTGTTTAGATGAGGAAAAACATCATGCACTTATTCATTTTCAACGAACACAACATCCAGTTGTTGTTAACATTAAAAGAATAAGAGTAGCTACGGATGTAAGGAATTTACGTATTTATATGAAGAATTAGAGTTAATGTATAAGTAGCGTCAAGAAAAACCATTACAAAAACAGGTAAAATTAGTTATTCAAGAGGAGACAGGACTATATGATATTCAAACATGTGTTAAGTGTTATATATGCAAGATATCGAATATTAATGAAGATTCTGATGATGTATTTTTTACTTTTTTATTTAAGGAAGTATAATAATCTTTTTGAAGTTAGAAAATATTATTAGTTCTATTATATCTTCGCCTTCGGCTGTAGAAAAAAGTGAAATTAGCTCATGGGAGCATGAGCTAACTAGTTGTGAACATGTTTTTTCATTACTTCAAGACAACATGACAGAAGATTTTAATCAATCTTTATCATTATGTGTCGAATGTGATTTAAAAGAAAATTTATGGTTATGTTTACAATGTGGAAATGTTGGTTGTGGGCGTCGTCAATTTTTTGAAAACTCTGGAAATGAACATGCGTTGCAGCATTTTGAGAAAACGTTGCATCCCATAAGCATCAAACTTGGAACAATTGCTCCAGAAGGAATACCAGACATATACTGTTATCTTTGTAATGATGAGATTCTTGATCCAAATATTGATATGCATTTAAAACATTGGGGAATAGATATTAATCAACATAAAAAAGTTGAAAAAACTTTAGTTGAACTTCAAATTGAACAAAATATGAAATGGAATTTTGCATCTTTTGATAATAATGAAAATATAAAATTTTTATATGGGCCTGGTTTTACAGGTCTTAAAAATTTTGGAAATACTTGTTATATGTCTTCTATTTTACAAGTAATATTTTCTTTTAAAGTATTTGAAGAACGGTATTTATAATGCCATTATATCTTTAAAATCTATTAATTAGCATGTAGGTATATGTCATCTTTTCTAAAACATCCATTAAATTGTAGTTTTTTATCTCCATCTTTGTGTCTTGAATGTCAATTAAACAAAATTGCAGATGGACTTATATCTGGTCGTTATTCTATTCCTATAAAAGATAATAATTTTTTGGAAGAAAACAAAAATTATGAAAATACAATCACACCTATTATGTTTAAAATGCTTGTAGGAAAAAATCATTCTGAATTTTCAACTATGAAACAGCAAGATTCTTTTGAATTTTTATTACATCTTTCTAAATTAATATCTCAGCAAAGTCGTGCATCTAATTCATTTGATCCTACTACAGCCTTTCGTTTTCGTCTTGAACAACGGTTACAATGCCTTTCATGTAAACGCGTTAGATATAGCTCATATGATCAGGATAACATTTCTCTTTCTTTTCCTGTAAAAAAATATTCCGATGATGAAGATATTCTTAAGGAAATTACTTTAGAAGAATGTCTTGATTTTTTTACTAGTGAAGAAAATATTACATATTTTTGTAAAAGTTGTGGGCAAAGAGAAGGTGCTACTCGAAAAAATTTGTTTTCTACTTTTCCTGAAATTTTTATTATTAATATTCAGCGTTTTGAGTTAATAAATTGGGTTCCTAAAAAATTAAGTATTTATTCATCACTAATATTTATTTTATTTATAAAAATTAGATGTTTCTATCATTTTTCCTGAAAATATAATTAATTTAGATAAATATTTATTTAAAGGAGCTCAACCAGATGAAGATATATTACTTGATGATCAAGAAAATGACTCGTTTTATGAACCATTAATTAATATGAAATATTATGAGCAATTGCAATCTATGGGATTTTCTCAAGCACATTGTAAAAGAGCTCTTATAGAAACAGGAAATTCAGATATAGAAACAGCGATGACATGGATGTTATCTAATCAGGATTGTTTAAATAATAATGCATTTGAATCAGATAGTTTTGAAATAAATGAGGAACAAGTAAAAATTTTAGAAGATATGGGTTTTTCATCTTCTCAGGCAAAGAAGGCATTAAAAGAAACTGTACGTATTATAACTTATTTTGATTTTTTTTAATCATTTTAAGAATTCGAATACTGAACGTGCTATAGAATGGTTATTTTCACATACAAATGACAGTGATGATTTTAAAATTAATAAACAAAATGTTATCATGGGTTCTAGTGAACTTCCAATATCATATAAGTGTCAAGCAATTGTTTGTCATAAAGGTGGGAGTGTTCATGCTGGACATTACGTAGCTTTTATAAAAAAACATATTTCTAATAAAGAAGAATGGGTATTATTTAACGACGAAAAGATAACTCAGGTTAATGAAATTAAAGAAGCACATAAAACTTCATATATATATTTTCTTTTAAGAATTTAAATTATACATATTTTTGATTATTGAAAATATCATAAGTTATTATAATATATTGTTTATAAAATATTTAAATTTAATCTTTTAATGAGTTTAGTATGAGAATATTTATTGTTTTTGTATGAATTATTTATACTTAAAATTAGAGTGTATTTTATAATTCTTATATTAATAACACTTTAATTATATTATCAAGAAATTTAAAAATATTAATGTAATAATTTTTAATTAAATAAAGTTTTGTATTCTTTTAAACAATCTATAGTTATTTAAGTTTAGATATTTTTTTATTTATTTATAAATTTAAAATTTTCTTTTTTAGTTTGTTTTAAAAAACAATTATTGCTTCATTTCTTTAAAATTTGTTATTTTTATAAAAAAATATTATATAATTAGTATTATTAAATAAAATTTAATTACTAATAGTTTTATTTTGTTAATATAAATTTTTTTGTTTTTTTGTTAAAAGTACATTTAATAGAATTTTATATCGATTTAACAAAACTTATTTTTTTAATATTCTTAAAATAAAGGAAATAAAAGTTATGTAAAATTTATGAAATTAAGTTTTATTTTATTTTGATAGATTATTTGCTTGTATATAAACCGTGAAAGTTCATAAAAAAAACTTAACAAAAATAAATTAAATAAATACAATAATTAATATTTTTAAAGTGAAAAATTTTAAAAAAAATGTACAAATTAATAATGTCCAATATTTCTATTATTTTGAAATTATTTCCCAAAAAGTATAATAATTTTAATAGTAAATGTAGTATTATGCAATTTTTAAAATATTAACATTTAATAATTTTCGAAAAAAAGTCTTTTGAAATTTCATAAGAAAGCCAAGATGTTCCCTATTCTTATTAACTTGAGAGCAATCCTAATTTTTAGTATGAAAATACCATAGATGGAATAACCTATATTAATGAGCTTTTAAATAAAAAAAGGTAAAAAAATATACCTTTAATAAGTTTGGTAAAAGTCCTTGATAAAATCCTTTCCAACCCTGTTGTGCTAATATTTGTTTTAAAGCATCATATATTGAAACATATTTATAATTTATTCCAGGCATGCAAGTAACCTAATAAAAGCATAATTAGAATATAATATTTATTCATAAATATTACTTGGAATCTTCTTCTCAAGACATCAGCGGGATATGTAATAGTTTGAGCTATAGCTCCAGATATTGCACCACTAAAAAACTTTCCAAATGCTGTAAGCTGACCATTTTCCTGTGACAGTATTTTTTTCATAGATTCGTATATCTTTAAGAATATTAATATTAATATTTAATAATACTAATATATTTACTGCAAAATTTAAACCAACATATGGAGCGATTCCTAAAATAGTAGGCCAAATGCCTTTATAAAGGGCTTTAAAACCGCCTTCGACAGTATATATATTTTTCATTGTTTTCCATACTCCAAGAAGCTCCTGGTTTCCATTTATTTGTTTAAGTGGTAAAGATGCAGATTGTATTGAGAGTCGAGTACGTGTAATATCAAGAGGATATGTTACAACTTTTAATAATTAAAAAAAAAAACTAGACTTTAAAGAACTATACCAACAGATGTAATTCCAGCTAGCGCTCCTGCAGTTAGTCTTTGTGGTGTATCAAGCTCCGTTTTCCCGAAAGGCATAAGTAACTTAAAAAACAGTTAATTTATAATTTTAAAGTATAGAAAAATCATTATTAGAAGAATACTTCTTTATAAACAGCATAACTAGCAAATTGCATGGAAGAATATGGGAAAATTCGGAGACTTAAATTTTAACATTATTTGGTAAGTTTAAAATAAAAAAACATACCAGTTAACGCCATTACCTCTCATATATCCTTTAAAACCTTCTTCTCTCCAAATTTTAGATAATGCGGGCATAATACCTTGGTAATGTTTGTTTTTGTCTTGGATCTGGAAAATTATTTTTATGCGTTCTAAAGGTGAAACAACAGTTCTAAAGTTAAAAGTTAATATAAATAAAAGATGAAAAAGAAAAACCTTGATACTATTCCTATGAAATTTTGTAAGAATTCCTTTTTTTAATAAAAGCTAGTTACCTGCAACTCCACCTGATAAAAAAGATATGAAAAATGAAGCTGAAAGTTCATTTGACATGATAATTTTTTTTTTTTTTTTATTTTTATTAACATCTTCTAACATCTAAGTATTTTTGAATTAATTTTCTTTCCAAAATCCTGATTATTTTAATTTTATTATAAAATACATTTTCCATCCTCTATTTTCGAATTTTATAATTATATTTTCTTTAGCTAAGAAATTTAAAAAAATAAATGTATTTTAAAATAAAAATAACTATGTGTAGCTTTTATTAAATAGTACTAAATAATTTTTTTTATATAATATAATTGAAATATATAAAGTTTTAAAATAAATTCAAGAAAAAGATATAGTCATATATTATTGACTCTTATTTATTATTTTGTGTTATATAAAATAAAAAATGGATTTAAGATAAAATTATTAGAAAATATGTTTAAAATTTTTAAGAAAAACTATATAATAGTATATATATATATTTATTAAGTTATAAAATTGATATGTAATGATTAAATTTTAAAATTGGATACGTATTTAAAAAATATAAAATTGCTAAAATATCATATTAATCAGATTAAGTAGTAAAATAAGTTAATTAAACTGAAAACAAATAAAATTACATGATTTTAATTTTTAAAAAAAATTGTATTTAAAAAAATAATTTTTATAAAAATTAAAATATTATATTATTTTAGTAATAAGAAAATTTATATGATTATTTGAGATTGTTTTTTCAAATAAAAAAGATTATTTTTGCTAATATAAAAAAATTTTCCTTTTGATACAAAATAAACATTTAATGCTTTTAAAAATACATAAGATTTTTTAAATATAATATTTTAACTACAGATTTTTATAAAATTTTTAATATTAATTCTTAGAATTTAATTATTACACTATTAATTTTAATAAAGTCGTTTGAAAAATATTTTTATATATGAGGAAATAATTTATAGTAAGAAATAATAGTGAATGTATTTTAAACATAATGAATATGAAAAAGTAATTATTTTTTTATTATAAATTTTATAATATATTGATATTATTTATTATAAATAGTTTATTATAAAATTTCCTAATAAAACTAATGTTTCCTAATATTGTTTTTCATTTAAATAAAAATATAAAACTATTATGAATTATTTAACCATAAGATATATTAATGTTATTAATGTATGAATTAATATTATAATATTATATAATTAAAAAATATATAAAAATATCTATTGTTTATTAAGAATATTTGATAAAAAAGCCAGCTTTTTTATATTTATGATTTCTATCTCATAAAATTATTTTCCTATATATAATTATTAGTTTTTAGTTTTATTCACTGCCGTTTAATGAAAAACTGAAAAATGCTGAATTTTTTAATATGTGCAAAAAATTCCAAAATATAATGGTATGATATATTCAATTACAAGAATTATTTTTAAAAATACAAAAATTTTAAAAGATAAAATTATAAATAATATATTTATATTCTTTAATGATATCATTATATAACAATAACATTATTGATAGTAATCTATATTACGTTAATTACTATATGCCGTTTTTTCCCTAGTTTAAAAATAAGAACTTTCCCTTCCATAAGCCAATCTTCTGTAATTTGTATAAACGGACTAGTTATTTTTTCTTTAATAGTATATATTCCACCACCTTGAAGTAATTTGTTTATTTGTGCTAATTTTTATTAATTCCTATTAATATCTATACATTTAAAATTACATTTACTTAAAACACCCGATTCTTTTATAACTTCAGGTACCGTTTTTCCAATAACTTTTTCCTTATTTAAAGTAATAATATCTTTTTTATTTGAAAACATTTCGAAAATATGAGAAATTTCTAATTTATTCCTTTCTTTATCTGAAAATAATAATTGCGTTGCCATTTTAGATTTTTCCATTTCTTCTTGTCCATGAATTAACATAACAACTTCTTCTGCAAGTTTATGTTGTGCATAACGTTTGTCTGGACTATCAAAATGCTGTTCTATAATTTCAGAAATAGTATCTAAAGGAAGTAGTGTAAAAATTCTTAAATATTTTTCAACAATTTCATCAGAAGATTGTATAAAGAACTATACATAAGATATATAGGATAATAAGGGACAACATACTTGATAAAGTTGATATGGAGTAGTCATATCAGAGTTAAGCCAAATAGTATCACCTATACTTTTACTAAATTTTTCTCCATTTTTTTTAAGTAATAAAGGTACAGTAACTCCATATGGCTGTACTGCAGACACTGAATTCCCTTCTTCGCTTTTTAGATTATTTATTTTATTAATAAGTTCTATTCCTGCAACAATATTTCCCCATTGATCATTTCCTCCTATTTGTATTGAAACGTTGTAATTCTGATTTAAATAATAAAAATCATATGCTTGAAGTAATTGGTATGTAAATTCAGCATAGCTTATTCCTTGATCTGAATTAAGTCGATTTTTCACACTAAACACTATATTAAATAATATAATATTTTAACTTTTCTAATACCTTTCTCTTGCAAGCATTTCTCCTACCCTTATGTTCGATCCAACTATTTTTAAAAAATCAAAAAGTAAAAACCCATCATACCATTCTAAATTATTCATAATGTAATATTTTCCGACATTTGAAGCTTTATATCCTCGTTTAAGTGCATATATTAAACCATTTTTGAAAAAAGAATTAAGCTGATTCTCAATTTTTAGTGCATTTTCAGATATAAAATCCAATTTTAATGCTTTCCTTTGCTTTGTTCTACCTGACGGATCACCTATACGAGACGTTCCACCACCAACCTTATAACAGAACTTGTCATTACTAATAATGTATTCTTCTTTCCTCTCTTACTATGCTATAACAATTATGCCCCCTTAAATAGAAGTGAAAAAGAGATAATAATGTAACAAGATTCCCAATATGAAGTGATGCCGCTGTCGGATCTACACCCATATATACTGAGACCTGATCCGTGAGTATTTTTTTCTTAGATTCTAATCCGCTTATTTCTCTTTAGATTCCCTTCTTTATCAAATAAATATTAAACCTTGACATTACTTCTATAAGTCCACGTGCTTTTAATTCATTAATAAGATCTATTTTTTCCTCATTCTTTTCAAAAAAAGTACTATATACTCTTTTAAAACTATTTATTATGTATTTTTTGTATATTCTAGTCATAATATCTTATTTTCTACATCCTTTTTGTAATATTATATATTTTCATGAAATTAACGTATTGAAAACGTTGTGCACTAACATACGGTAGAAAAATAAATATAAAGAAAAACAAGAATAAATGTTAAGAAATGAATAATGAGAATAATATAGTTGTAAAAAAAGAAATAGGACTAACAGACGAGAATATCAATGTAAGCTATGAAGACTATGAAGATGATGCAGGTGATTTGGACATGTCAAAGATAAGAAGCAAAGTATGGCTTGTAAAAGTTCCAAAATTCCTTTTAGATAGGTGGGAATTAGTCAAAGATGATGGTGTAGACCTTGGGATTATTCGTATTCAAAAGTATGTGCATTTGAATGCTTTACTTTGAAATAAACTTACCGATTTAGCGGCAAATCAGATAATGTAAAGCTAATCAAGTGTAATCAAGAACAAAGCTAATAAATTGTTAAGATTAAGCTTATAATACCTGATGTTGAGAGTAATAAAGACCTTCCTTTAGAATATAATGTATTTGTAATGAATCGACATACGCGCAATGCCTATGTTTTTGCAGAAAGAGAGGAAAAGTCTATGCAAAATTTCTCTGATGCAACATTATTTCGAGAAACGTGTCGTAAAGGAGGATCTAGCCCATGCAAGCCTTCACAAAGTATCTATATTATATTTAGAATTGAATTTATTTATTTTTGGTAGAGCATATTGCACTTGTTGGAACAATTGCTCATGAATGCAATATTTCTCCTATTATTAATGAACAATATCGAAAGGTCATGCAGGCACGATCTAAGGCAGCCTCTCAGCCTAAGCGGAAAATACAAATGCTTAGTAACCATAGTTCTCTTACAAGGAATTTTATGACTTTAGGAATGCCTGAAACAAATGCTGGACGTTTCAGTTCCTTTATTGTAACTACCATTATTTCGTGAAATACTAATGATTTATATGCCTGTTTTTTAGAAAAATACTAGAAAAAGTGCCTCTGATCAAAAGGCTTCTCGATTGCCACGTAATGAACTCCTTGATATATTGTTCAAATGCTTTGATGACTATGACTATTATTCTATGAAAACCTTAAAAGAGATTACAAAACAGCCAGAGGTTTGAATATCATATTTGATTTATTTTTTTACTTTAATAGACATATCTTAAAGAAGTTTTGGAATCAATAGCAGTATTACTTAAAAAAGGACCATATATTATGAAGTGGACACTTAAAACTGAATATAAAAATAGAAATAATTTATCTGCTAACGAAAGAAAACAATTGAACGCCAGTACATCGGCAGCTGCATTACATAATGCTTATCCAAATCATGAGGGTTTTAAAATTAATAAAGGGGAAATGGGTAACGATGATAAAATGATTGACAGTACTTTTTGAGTTATATTTATATTGGGTTCTTATTTAGATACAATTTGTTTTGTACATATATATTATTATACGTAAAAATTCTATTTTTGTTTTGATTCTTAGTAATTGTTTCCACAAAAATAAATGGTCCATCTATGATTATTCAATTTTTAATTACTCCCTCTTTTCTGTTATTTTTATACTTTTAATATATTCGATTTCAATCCGTTTAATAACTACAATAAAACCAAAATTACAAAAATAAAATGGAAGATAATTGTAATCATTCAGAAGATTTATTTCATGAAGATTTATCATTTAAAAAAAGAGAACAGAAGTCTCAACGGTCAATTTTTCCTAAGATGGCGACAACAGAAGATCCTTATACTCGATTGAAATATCTTCAACGACATTTGGAAATGCTTGAATTACAAGAAACATTTATTAAAGATGATCAAAAAAATCTTAAAAGAGAGCTTATTCGTGCACAAGAAGAGGTAAAGAGAATTCAAAGTGTACCTCTTGTTATTGGACAATTTTTGGAAGCTATTGATGAAAATACAGGTAATATCGTTTATATATATTCATTTGAAGAATATTAATATAACTAGCCATTGTGGGTTCTACTACAGGATCTAATTATATTGTCCGTATTCTTTCAACTCTTGATCGTGAACTTCTTCGTCCTTTTTCTAGCGTTGCTTTACACAGACATAGTAGTGCACTTGTTGATATTTTGCCTCCAGAAGCTGATAGCAGTATTGCTATGCTTCGTCAGGATGAAAAACCAGATGTCACTTATCAAGATGTTGGAGGGCTTGATATGCAAAAGCAAGAAATTAGAGAGGCCGTTGAGCTACCTCTAACACAAGCAGATCTTTATAAACAAATTGGTATATATTAGTTTAATATAATTTAAATATATCTGAATGAGAGGTTTCAGGTATTGATCCTCCAAGAGGTGTTTTATTATATGGTCCCCCAGGAACTGGTAAAACTATGCTTGTTAAAGCTGTTGCAAATTCTACTACTGCAAGTTTTATACGAGTTGTTGGGAGTGAATTTGTTCAAAAGTACCTTGGAGAAGGACCTCGTATGGTGCGTGATGTTTTTAGATTGGCTAGGGAGAATGCACCATCTATTATCTTTATCGATGAAATCGACGCTATTGCTACAAAACGGTTTGATGCACAAACAGGTTATTTATTGTTATACTTTGGATATTGGTTTATTGTTTATAGGTGCTGACCGTGAAGTTCAGCGTATTCTCCTTGAACTGTTGAACCAAATGGATGGGTTTGATCAAGGATCCAATGTTAAGGTATATAATTCAGAATATAGTCATAGTTTAAGCATTGCATAGGTCATTATGGCTACTAATCGAGCAGATACACTAGATCCAGCATTGCTCCGACCAGGACGTTTAGATAGAAAAATTGAATTTCCAAAAACAGATAGGTATGTTCTAATTTTTCTAATGATTTATATCAATTTATGCAAAGACGTCAAAAACGACTTATATACAATACCATTGCTGCAAAAATGTCGCTTTCTCCTGAAGTTGATCTTGATAGTTTTATTCTTCGGTAAGATAAATTTTCATTAAGTTTTTCTAATCGCTTAAAGTCCTGATACAACATCTGGTGCACAAATTGCTGCTGTCATGCAAGAAGCAGGTTTAGTTGCAATTCGAAAAAGTCGTTATCTTATTATCCATTCAGGTTTATATTATTTATAATTTTATCTAATGTTAATTTTTTTAGACATAGAAGAAGCATATAGATCTCAAATTCAAGATGCAGATTCCGAAAAGCTTGCATTTTATACATAGATCCTGATGATATTTGTATATATTATTTGAATATAATTGTTTTGCATAACTAGTTCAATATTTTTGTATAAATTATAATGTTTTAAAGAAAAATAAACATTAGAGTATCTTATTTAAGATATTTTAATTATGTTTTTATAAATCTTATCGAAATGTTTAAATTTAAAACCTTATTTTTTATTCATTGGTTTTCAAAATATTTAAGACAAATGTTTCGAGTTCTTATTAATATATTTAATTCATTTTAAATTCATCTTTAAAATACCTTTTAGATATTTTCGTCTACTTTTGTTTAAATATGTCTGTTGTTAATATATTATCTATTGATATTTTAAATAATCCGGCTCCTTTTTTATCGCCTTATGAGTTTGAAATTACCTTTGAATGCTTAGAATCTTTAAAAAATGGTATATATATCATGATTTCTTTATTTCTAATTGATAAATATTTAGATCTAGAATGGAAATTGACTTATGTTGGTTCTGCAACATCAACATTGCATGATCAAGAACTTGATAGTCTTTTAGTTGGTCCTATACCTATTGGAATCAATAAATTTTTGTTTCAAGCAGATCCACCAACTGCAGAGCTTATTCCTAAGAAAGATATTCTTGGTGTCACCGTTATATTGCTTACTTGTGCTTATGATGACAGAGAATTTGTAAGAGTAGGTTATTATGTTAATAATGAACTTCCAGGAGTATTATTAAAGGAGGATGGGACTCCAGATGTTGAAAAATGGTCAGTAGAGGATGTTCAGCGTAATATTCTTGCAGAAAAACCTCGTGTAACTAGGTTCAATATTCGGTGGGATGGTGAAGAAGGCGAAGAAATGCCTCCAGTACAAGATGAATTAGAGGAGGAGGATGAAACAGTAAGGTTCTATTCATAGCTTGAAAAATTTAATTTGAATACAGTATGATGCAGAAGAACGTCTTACGGATTCTTTTGAAGAAAGTGAGGACGAGGCAGAGGCTTTTGAAATTAATATAGATGATCCAGAAGAAACCAATTCATGTAAACATGATTTTTTATATATTGATAAAGCAGAAAACTAAATACTTTAATATTTAACTTTTTCGGTTTGCATAAGAACATCTGAAAACTCTTCAAAAGGAGTTGGATAGTATGGAATTTCTTTCCAAAGGTTAGGTGTTAAAAAACCATAAGTATTTCCAATTGCTGCAAACGTTGCCTTGACAAAATTTCCAAGAGTGCGGGTAGCACCACGAGATGACGTATAACAGTCCTGAATACCGGCAAACTGAAGAAGACGTTTAGGTGTTGGTGCAGCAACAATGCCCGTTCCTCGAGGTGCAGGAACAAGACGGCACATAGAAGAACTGCATTTCCCACTCACTTTTGCACATACTGTATGGGGTTCTCCCAAAGAATTTCCCCAATATCCTCTCCGGACAGGTATTACCGATAGCTTGGCAAGAATAATAGCTCTACGTATAGCAATTGCAACTTCTTTAGAGCATTTTACACCAAGGCCTACATGTCCATCTGAATCTCCAACTATAACAAACGCTTTAAATCGTGTTCTTTGACCTGCACATGTCTGTTTTTGCACCGGCATTATTTTCAATACTTCATCTTTTAGTTTAGGTAAAAACCAGTCAACAATTTGATATTCTTTGATAGGAAGTGAATAAAGATATATTTCTTCAAGGGAACGGATTTTTCCCATCTTAACAAGGCGTCCAAGCTTTGTTACTGGCACCCAATCATCTTTTTCTTCTTTATGAGCTCGTCCTCGTCCACGACCGCGATCAAATCCTCCTCGTTCAGGTGCAGGGCCCATATTATTAATATTTGGTATTTTTATTTATAAATATTCAATAAAAGTGCCTTTTTTCCCTTATAAAAGGCGTTTTTTATCCAAAAGTTAGCTTATATTTTTCAAATATAATCTCAAAAAGCTGGTGTCGTTGAAAATCGGAAGATATTAAGGGCGGAGAAAACAGTCACATAATAAATAGGATAGAAAGAAATAAATGAACAAAATTAAATTTATAATATGTAAATATGGCTATAATAAATAGCTAATCAGATTTTATGATCTCGATAAACTTTTTAGAGGCAGTTTCACGAGCTTCACGCTTCTTTTTTACAACCGAAGAAGCCTGTATAAAATATTAAATAAAATATATGTAATATAGAAAACATACATGTTCCAAAAGAACCTTTGCATATGGATTAAGCTTGAGCATAAGGCGGCGATTCCTAAGGGGATTTTTCTTCTGGCAAACCCTGCGCCGTGTCTGCCGAGGACCTTTTGCTCGAAGAACGGACTGAATTTCGTCTGAATTGATGATACGAGTAATGTCTGGCTGAGCAACAATACTAAATGGCAACGTATAATTCTTTTTAAGTGAAGCCGGGACCTCGGTTGTGCCATACAACGAATCAAGCATCTCAAATGCAGACTGTGTCCATATAATAAACCGTCCAAGATGGCCACCCGGTGCTAGCTGGAGAAGATTTAAAGCACGGACATTGACAAGCTCGACTCCCGGGATATTACGGAACGCCCTAACAAGCCCCTTGTCTTCTGCATAAACAATAAGAGGCCCCCGGCGCTGGCGGTACCGCCTATTCCTCATTTTACCCTTCCCTGCCCGGTATTTGCGTGAATCAATCACTTTGACCACATCTGCATATGCTTTAAGAGAATTTAAGACCCCAACCGCCTCCCGTGTCTTATGAAGCGACTCCACTCTCTCCGATACCACCAAGGGTATCTCCGGGACCGTCTCAATACGATGTCCCCGTGCTAACACAAGAGATGGGACTGCTGATGCCGCCAATGCTGATGAAATTGCATACCGTTTTTCATTCAAATTCACCTTGAAACACCACTTCCTCCAGACCTTTGTCGGGGCAAACATATGGCCTCCACGGCACATATTCCCATATCTGTTCCTCCACGTCAATTTTTACTTGTATTTCACCACAAACATACGCTGCCTGTCCTGCACGGTGAGTCCCTCCTCCTGATACTCGTGGAACACGTGAAACTGCCCTTCCTGTTCCCCATGACTCTGCTGATGTCTGGTGTCCTGCCCGTGAACTCACTGCATACGGCTGCCGTTTATTCTTTGCTACTAATGTATGGACCGATTGTACAAGATCCGGCCGTATAGGTGCCTCTAAAACACTTGGAAAACACAGTGTAGAGCCTGTTAAGCCTCCTGTTTCATCATAAACGTTGATTTGAGGCCGATTTAATGCCATTTTTTTTTTTTGTCGTTGAGCTGTGCAGAAATCGTGCACGATTTTGCGCCTTTAAGCAGTCACTTCGATATATAATGTAGCAATAATATAAGTGACAAAAAGCAGGTTACAAGGCGAATAAAGCATGAAACAGAGGATATTGAGTATAGAAACAGGGTTTAGTAGGGGTATGATTGTTATTTTGAGTATTGTTTGAAAATCAGGAGACGGGGAGACGGGCTGAGGGAAAAGGAATGAATGAGAGGAAGGAGTGTAACGAGAAAGCTTTTGGTGGCATTTTAGCTAAACAGCCATTTGGGGAGATTTTGTATTATGTTATTGTATTATTTGTTTACTACTGTTATATTACGAGTATACTACGGATATATTAATATATGTACATTGTCGGCAAATAACTAGCAAATTATTTGTATTATTTATATTATTAATAGATGATATATTGTTTATACAGTATGGGTAAATCCATAGTATTTCATTAATATTTTATTATTAATATGTTAGGGTTTTACACTTAGTACGATTGAGACGGTTTTTCGCCGCTCAACGACGACAAAAGATTGAAGATGGGGTAAGTTGCAGTATTTTGGTGAAAAACAGCGAGTATTAACACAGATTGCAGTGCCTATAAGTATATGGAAGGTATGTGTGTCTTTCGGTGGAGTTTTGTGCTTTTTTTTCGGGAAAAAAAGCCTAAGATAACGTTGATTTGAAAAAAAGTAGCTGATGGGGGTGTGTAGAACTGTACAAACACAAGCAGTCGGATGTTCTTCGTTTTTTGCTAAGGATACGTTGCTGGTGTGTTTTTTGGCGGCCAAAAAAGCAGGAATAATGTGTATATAGGGAGTACCGCCAGCTGAATGTTATTCATCGGGCTTCACGTCCATCACGGCCAGATAAAGCACGGCGGCTTGGATATAAGGCAAAACAAGGGTATGTTGTCTACCGTGTTCGTGTACGCCGTGGAGGCCGGAAGAGGCCAGTGCCTAAGGGAGCAACAAACGGAAAGCCTACTAATATGGGTGTAAACCAGCTTAAGTATCAAAAAAGCTTAAGAGTTACAGCAGAGGAGCGTGTTGGGAGAAGATGTGCAAATCTGAGGGTTTTGAATAGTTACTGGGTTAATCAGGATTCTACTTATAAGGTTTCGTAGGATGGTGCAAATGTATTGATTAATTGTGTAAATAGTATTATGAAGTGATTCTTGTTGATCCAAATCATAAAGCGATTCGACGGGATCCTCGTATTAATTGGATTGTGAATCCTGTTCATAAACGCCGGGAAGCTCGTGGTCTTACTGCAATTGGAAGAAAGTCTAGAGGTGTTGCAGGAAAAGGACACTTATATAACAATAGTTCCTGCGGGAGAAGGAAGATTTGGTATGATATAGTAGTTATAGTTTTATTGTTAATAGTTCTATAGGAAGAGACATAACACATTATCTCTACGTAGATATCGTTAGAAATTGAATTTCATTTTGTATTTAAAAACTGAAGTTTATATTTAATATAAGAATTAAATATTACGTTGCCTATGACCTTTTTTTAATTTCGAAATAACTAAATTCCTGATGCTATTTGAAATAATAAATAATAAGTTTAAATATTACATTATTTATACAAAATACATGGATATTTTTATTATATATTTCCGAAACATTAAATGCATTAAAACATTCGGTAGGATTAAACATCAAATGTGAAAAGCTTTTTAATATAATTCCGAATATGTATACCAGTACTATAAATGCTGTATATGTATAAAGTTAATAAATTATTTCGAGGTTATTAAAAGTCCATCATCCTATAAAAATGATTCAACATGTAAACATTTAGTAATAAAAGTAAATACCATTTTTCTAGATCCCAAAATAATACGTCCTTGTTTTTTTGTTATAATAGTATCTATAATCCAGTATTGTAATATATTCATTCTAAAATTAAAAACATTAGTCTATATCAATAACAAAAAAATATATTAACATTAAAGGAATAAACTATTTTTGTAAGTTTATTAAAATATATAGATAACATACAAACATAGTAAAAAATATTTGTAATTTTTCTTGACTAATAGTCCAAGAAAGCAACCAATTCGCTGTACTATCTAGTATAGGTATCTTAAGAATAGGAACAATTAAAATCTTCATAGATATAAGGCCAATAATATATATAAACCTATGGAACACGTTACTTTTAGACAAAAAATCACCATATTATAAACATTTGTTTCCACCACCAAGTAATTCGAGGTGGATCACCATCATAATCACCTGATTTAGTCCCTATACAGCCCATAAAATTACAAATTTTTCCAATAATTCGGAGCATTAGCCAAAGTATAGGAACACCTACTGTTGTATCAATCTAAGATTAATTATACAATTGTATAGAATTATATATTTTTTACCACAATGTTTAAAAGGTACCTAATATAATGAATAAGTTATAATATTTAAAAAATAACACGTATATTACCATACACAGGGATTAGAAAAGCCTTTTTCCTTTTCATTAAATCCAATAATATCAGAAATGACTACATTTAAAACATGAATTACACCAGCGCCAATAACTTGCTTTGAAACATCAAGGAACCTTATAATACAGTTAAAATTTTCTATATTAATAAAAAAAGTGTTGTATTTATAACACTATTTCCAAAACTTACCATATTCTAAAAGATCGTTGAGGTAACTCCCAATGTCGTTTAATTAAAAGCGAAAAAAGTACAAAAGTCCCCAAAATGCATTGGACAAGAAGTGAAAATGGGCCCAATATCTCACATTTTTGTATATTTTTAAGGGTATTTTTCATTTTACAAAAATTTATTTAAAAAGCTTTCAGTTCTTAGATTGTTAGCATCGAAATTTAAAGATTAAAATTATATATTTAATAAATAAAAATATATAGTATTAAGATATATTAAGATATAAATTATTTAAAATTTACCACAAAATATTCATTTCAATTTCCCATTTAAAAATATTTTTAATAGTTTTTTTTAAAAAAAGTACAATATTAACAAGAATTATAATTCCTGTATACAATTACTCTGTTTTACTAGTATGAACATCATTAATTTCTTTATTGTTATTGTTAGTATTCTATGATAAAAAGTCAGTTTTTTTATAAGAAAAAAGAAAATGCCTAACATTTTTATTAAAATCAAAAAATTGACTTCGATCTATTGACAATCCTGCAGATACTAAAAGAACTAACAGTGTAATTCCCTTAAATATTATGTTATTGTTTTTTCAAAAAACTTAAATATGAATGGTTTACATACTTGAGCATACATTCGAGCTTGAACTAATTTCTGAGCTTTGGTGAGATACTTGTCTCTCCATAAAAATGAAAAAGATCCTATCATGCTTAATGCCCATGATCCTGCTATAATTTTCCATTTATTTTCTGAACACCAAATCAAAAGAGCACTTTGCCAATTAATTTTTTCAGCTGGTTTAATAGGATCAAGAGAGCCATATTTACTATCTTGATATTTCTTTGATGCATTATCAGTAGAAATTACGAGTGCTGTCTAAAAATATATTAGAAAACTTTTAAATAGTTAGGTTGAATGGAAATTACTGTTGCTATGCTAGAGACAAAAAATGACTAATTAGATAAAAATTAATATAAAAGAATCATGCCATTGAGGAAATAAAACCTTTATTGGAAGAGTTAATTGTCTGAATTTGTTCCTAAAATAGATATTTATTTTAATAAAAAGTAAAAATGAATTAATGTACCATTTCTTATTTAAAATATAAGCACCTACAACTGAAATACCTAATGCTATTATACCCGACTTAAGACCTGCACGTACAATAATTCGATAGTGTTCTATCAGTATAAATATTAATGCTTTATCTACGGTTTATAATCTTCAATGAAATAACCTTCTTCTTCTTCTTTAGAATAAATTTTCTAAAAAAATTAATATTTTATATTTAGTAAAGTTCTAGATACCATAATATTATATAAGTTATCTAATCCTATAATTAATAAAATTTGCTTTAATCTTTTTATAAATAATGTAATTTAATATTAAATTTTGAGAATTTATGAAAAATTAAGAGAATAGAATTTTAATCATTATATAAATAAATTTATTTATATGATATATGTCCTTTTTCTTTTTAATTTTATTATTTAAATAGTAAAAATTATTATTAAATTTAAAACCTTGAACAATTTAAATTAGTATTTTATAAATTATATTATTCTATTATATCTATGTAATACACTTTCTAATATTTAAAATAATGTGAATTTAAAACTAAAAGTTTCATCAAGAATATATATTTACTTTTCCTTAAAACTTTCTATAATAAATATAATCTTAAAAATAATTTTTAAGATAAAAATCAAATAATACAGTGTTTATTTAGTTATTTTTATTTAATTATTGATTGCAACATAAATGTAATGATTATATAATATATTTAGTAAATATAATGCTTATTTATGAAATAGCAAATTCAAAAATAAAATATAATAAATTAATATTATATATAAATCTATTTTTTTTAAAAAAATTAAAAAAATTACAATTATAAAATAATTAAAGTAAATGATTAATACTTTTTATAAATAACAATAATACAATTTAAACATAATCTATTATTATTGAAAATAAAATCCATTATATTTCATAAAACTATCGATAAATCAAAATATTAAGTCAAATCATAATTTGGATCATAAAAAAAATTAATATTATTTCCATTTCTCTCATTCATATCAAATAAAATTTACTTTTAATATTCCATGCAAAACACCTATATAAAAACTAATATACAAAATATAAAAAAATCAATGTTATACAACAAAATTTTAACTTCAGTTACATTAAATATATTTAAAATCTATAGATTTAAAATCATTCCTTTTTATAAAATATTTTGCTTTATATTCATTTACATAATTTATAATATTAATTACTATTTTTGCTTTTTTTTACGAAAATATATAAAAGGGGAAATTGTCACCGAAAATCCAATTAAAAACCTTATTTTTTCTAACTTGATAAAAATTTTAAAAAATCTGTAAAAATTAACATATATTTATCATAGAATTTATATAAGAAACAACATGCAAGGTTTTAGCACATTTATTAATAGTATTTTAAAATTTTATTGATACTACATTCCTTACGCATTTATACGTGCCTTTTATTGTTTAAGAACATTAAGGACGCTAAGGGCGCTCAGCAAGTGGAATAAAAACAGTTGAATGAAAATTTGTTTTTTTATCGATTTTCAAACTTTTTGTGTTATTGGTGTTTTTTACACATTGTGTTCATAAAGCCTATTTGCTTTTTTATATAGTGGAATTTGCAATCTGCATTAATGTCCAATAGCATATATTTTAAATTTAAGTCTCAGAAGGAGCCAGGACGTATTTCTTTTGACGGAGCAACTGGGCTTTCAGTATTTGATGTAAAACGTGAAATTATCCTACAGAATAAACTTGGTTCAGGAACAGAATTTGATTTAGCTATATACAATTCAAATGACGAGGGTAATTTGTTCTCCAAAAAGAAAAAGTGGATTATTAATATTTTAGAATATGATGATGATACTACTATTATTCCCCGCTCCACCTCTATTACTGTACGCCGATTGCCGCCCTCTAAGCCTGGAAAAGGTACTGCTGCTCGTTATGTTTCTGGAAATCCATCTGTGTCGTATAATCGAGCAGAAAATTATTGTAAAAAGCCAGTAGAATTAAAAACAAAACCGGCATCATCTATGTTTAATATAAATACTGTTGCTTGGAAAAAGAGTGACCCAGAAGAAGCAGCAATACAAGCTATGTTTGCTGCTAGTGATGAGCAGTGGCAAGAAACACAAGATAGATTAGCAGCTGCTACTCCAATATTCCGTCCCAATAATAGAAAGTCAGTACCAGTAAATGTTCCAGATAAGCCTCCTCCTGTTGGATATGTTTGTTATAGATGTGGAGAAAAAGGCATGAGATTGATTTTATTTAAATGTTTTCTCATGTTTTAGGTCATTGGATTCAATTATGTCCTACGTTGTCTGATCCTAGTTTTGATGGTAAATTAAGAGTAAAACGTACAACAGGTATTCCAAAATCTTTTTTGAAGACAGTCGAAAAAACTTTTGATGGTAACTATGGAAGTTTTATGGTCAATGCAAATGGTGAACATGTTGTTGCTGAACCCGATAAGTATTTCTCATTGTTACTATTTACTGTATTATTAATAAATACAAGTGCATCATGGGAAAGCTATAAATCTAAAACCAAGATTTTGACAACATCAAGTATTTATTCATTTAAACCAGATGATTCGACTTTAGAATGTAATTTATGTCATAAATTAATGAAAAATCCAAGCAAAATCCCTTGTTGTCCAGAAGAATATTGTGAAGAATGTATTCAAACTGCCTTATTAGAAAGTGATTTTATTTGTCCTAAATGTGGAACAAAAGATACTCTTTTAGATACTATCCAAATAAATAATGATAGAAAAAAAGAGATTAAGGAATACATTAATAACAAAATGGGAAATGAAAATATTTCTGTAAATAAAGTATTTTATCAAGCTATTTTGTTCTTGTTTAACTATTTTAATTAGTCATTTTCAGTCATTAGTAATACTGAATCTGCCCAAGAATCAGAATTACCTATAGAATCTAAGAAAAGACCTCTTTCTGACAATAATATAATTCCCCAAACACTTCCGGAACAAAATGATCAAGTAAAGGACAAAGAACAACTTAATTCTCAATTTTTACAACATAATATTTCACCACAAATAAATGGGAATTTTATGCAATTTTTTTCCGATCCTTATATGTTAAATCCTTATATGGTAATGCCTATGGACTCAATGATGACACAAAACGTATATGGATTACCTCTTTATAATAATTATAAACATTATCCTTTAGATATATCAAAATATGGGTATTTTCCAAATCAACAAAAAGTATTTAGCAAAGAAGATAGTCCTTATACACGGATACCACTTAATGACCGCAATACCCATCGTCATAAAAGAATGAGACATGCTGATTTTAGAGAATTAGCCTAATGAAAACTATATTTATGTATATAAATAATTTAATGATTTTGGTTTAATAAGCAGTAATCCTAGTTATAAATATTGTTTTTAGATATAATTATATTAGGTCTCATATTATTCTAATATTAGGTTTATTAACAATTCTGCAAATTTAAAATCTGAGACTAAGAACTTATTTCAATATAGCTTATAATTAGCCGAAATACATTAAATTATACTAAAATTGAAAGTATTTGAATAATATTATTATTTCAAATATATATATAAAACTATTAAACTACTAGGTAGTATTACAAATAGTAAGAAATACGTAGTGTTTATATTTCATTTTTAATATGAATTTATAATTTCTGTAAGCAATTTACATTCATGTGCCCAATTAATAAATGATGCACTCATCACTTGATATCTTACACGGACAGCACCATTATATGAATCTTGTTTAGCACGAACTCTAAACACATAACTTTTACAATTTGCCTCATGAAATATGTTTAATGCAGCCTGTTCATTTTCTTCCTAAATGAAATAAATAAATAATTAAAGCCTAATTATTTCTCCTACCCTCATTTGAACAATATCATCTGCAGATTTTCCTATAATTAAACGACCAACATCATCAAAACAACTAAGCCAAATCTGACCAGTATGATCATTAACAGAAATGGTCAAAATATAACTATAAAAATTAATAAAAAATAATTTACATTTTATACTAACCGATATTGAGGCGCAGGAAAACTTTTATCACATTTTTCACATCTCCATCCCCCTTCATTATCTTCAATAACTTTTTTGTTACATCCAGCAGTAGGACAAGCAGGATAAAATGCATTTTCTTGTTTAAAAAAAACTATAGTAGCTTTTATAGAAAAATAATCAGGTTGTTCTGCCATCCCAAGTTGTTCATCTTTAATTTGAGCAATAGTTTTTCTTTCCTCTTTACGAATTGCAGTTACAATTGATTGGTGAGTCGCAAATGATTCTTCTTTTCCTTGCTTATCATACCATTTTTTTAAAGAATAAGCTTCTTCAATCTGCGGGTTAGCAATTACCATACCACTATTTAATAGTGATAACGATCGTCCATTAAATTCACTAACTTTTAATCCTTTAAAAGCAACAACTGTTTCTTGAGGTATGTTAAAATCTAAAGCATGTTTCCCCCAAAGTGTTAAGCGGACAGAATAATTCGAGCTATCAACTATGAATATATCCCTTTTTGAATACTATGAATTTATTAGTATTATTCATTTTATAATTATAAAAACAACAAATTTTTGAGTAGTTCTTGAAGTAATTTCAACACTTTCATGAACCTCCTTTAAAATCCCAATAACATCTAAATTATCAAAAAATATTATTATAAAAACATACTAACCAATAATTGAATCCTTTTCTACATTATCAAGATCTTTTAAAAATACAAAATTAAATTTTGCCTGAGGAACAGTAGATTGATCAGGACACTAATAATAGATTTATTAGAGAATATAATAAAATATTATTACTAACTTTTTCAACTTCAGTATCTCTTTCAAAAGTAAGTTCATATTCGTTTTGAACATTTGAAAATTGCTTTTTAGCAATATTTACTCGGCATTTTGATATAAAATAAACCTTGAAAATTCTTAAATAAAAACAGTAAAATACTAACAAATTATTACTTGTCCTTCTTGTAATACGTCATACAACATATCTACTTGATCATTGAAAGCAGTTGCTCGGATTTCACCACTTTCATCCATAAATACACACGAAAAAAGTTTCCCTTCTCCTTTTTGATTATGCCAATGTTTTATTTCAGTTTTACTAGTTACACGTGCTTTAATAGTCCATCTATAAATATTGGTACATTTTTAATAAAATTGACATTAATGTACCTATTTTGATAAGGCGATAAACTTTCAATAGGATATATTGTTGCAGATGAAACAGATGATATGCGGTTATTTCTAAAATTCTAAATAATTTGAAAAAATTAATAAGAAAACATACATTTCTTCTTTTTGATTCTGTAATATGGGCATATGCGGTTTATTCCCATAAAATGTAGCTTGGTTAATCGAAGGAACTTCTAGATTACGGTTTTCTTCCTTATCAACATTTGTTGGAGGCGCTTCAAGGCTAGTAGGAGTCCCAATTTTTGGAAGAGTTCCATATTGTTCTAAAACATTAAGATTTATAATAATAATAATCCTAGCGCTTAAAAACAAGAACCCTGTATTTAAAAATAACTAACCTTCGTTCTTTCATCATATTTACAGAAAATTGTGTTAATTCAACAATTGCTCCTTTATGAAGCTTTCCTGATATCACAAGTTCATTTTTTTGAGATGCTAGCATTGATTGTGCATAATGAATAGAATCTGATAACACAACACGATATCTTTCAACTCCATTATTGACTGAAGTAAGCTTTCTTACTTGAAGAACCTGAAAAATAGGCTTTTGAAGAGCTCCTGGTTGCATATTTCTAATTAAAAAATCAGTATATATTTAATCCAATGTTAATTTAAAAACAAAATAGGCTTTAAAGATCCTACAGAAATGGGCTCTGTCATTACCAAAAATTAGGTTTAAAGGATTTTTTATAATTCCTAAATTTTTGATTTTAAATAAATTATAAAATATCACGCAAATAAGTCTATATAAAAAACCAAAAAATGTATAAAAACGATATTTCAATAATAATTTTTATAAAGTTAACTACTAAAGTAATTAAAATTAAAACAAAAACTAAATACAATTTTAAATTAGTTTAATAATATTTATAAAAGTATTAACATTTTTAACAATGTTTAAAAAAGAAAAAGTGAATATCCAAAAGCAGAAAATAATCTGAAATTCAGTGTTAAATACATGCAAATAAGAAATATGAAAGATAAACGGTCTAAAAATGCAATTATTTTGTATGTTTCAAAATACCTTATATAATAATATATCATTGCAATTGTAACACAGATCTGTAACCATAAAACATTCTAGGATGATCTAAGAATAAAAATTAATAAGATAATTAATCTGTATTAATTGCTGTTTTCGTGAAAAAAACGAAGGATAATAACTAAAGAAGCCTTTTATAATCAATTGAAAGTCCTTATTTACATTATAATCCCTAGAAATAAATCAACTATTATTTTTTGTGGAAAAAGTACCAAATTAGAGAATCGTTTTCAAGAGTCGAATGATCAGAGTTTTCTAGTCGAAATTGTGCAATACTTCGTGATATTGATTTGCTGAAAAATGCAGAGCGAAAAACAAAAGGAACATCGAGCTGAAAGACATAACCAAGCAATACCAATTTATCCTCTTGATAGTTGGAAGTGTTATCTGAAACAATTGATCTATATAAATTTGCTTGGTTTACCCTTTTCTTAACCATTTTTGATTTTAGTTTTAGCGATTCAGAGTCCTCTTTAGAACTATTACCAATACTATTAATCGGATTAAGATCTGACCATGGTTTTGAACAAAAAACAGAGATATTAACTTTTTGTATTGAAATTTGCCAGAAATTGGGATTAAAGGCGACCATTTCAAGATCCATCACAATAACTTGAGGAGAAACAACAATATTAGTTGCATTTGCAATTTTCGGTTCCTGAAGAGGTTGTGTAATTACTATGAGTATAATAGTACATGCAAGGAAAATTAAAAAAAAGACAAAAAACCATTTAAATTTTCTAAAAAAGATATGCCGTTTCCGTTTACTATGCTGATGACATTCATGATATCGATCTTCACTAAAACATCTAATGTCTTTATATAGAAGCGGAATTCTTTCATAAGGATAAAAGTCATCATGAGCTGCACAAAATTGACTAGTATTTTTGTCCATAAAATGGCGACGACACGATGCATTATAATGTTTTAGTTTTTGATATTTATAATGAGGAGATGATGGACATGAAGTCGTGCGTGATCCAATTCTATGAGGTGAACGAAGCCCCGTTTCAACTTTTGACAAAATGCATGAAGGAAACATAGATGCTCTTCCAGGAGAACGAGTATTATCTTTTTAGAAAAAATAAGAGTTTTTTCTCGTAATCGAATTCACAAATAATATACCTGAAAACATAATAAATGAATCTTTATGATCCGGATCAGAAGACCAAGAATGGTTCGTAAACTTCATACTGTGCTTTCCTGAAAGGCCAATTTTCCCATCATGTCGTGAATGAGAAACAATTGAGGAAATAGAAGAAGTCCTCGACAGTTGGTGCGGAGAACGCATATTTGTCTCATAGACAAATGTTTCATCCGAATCAGAATCAATATTCTCGTCAATAGCCGATGCTATCTTAGCCGCAAATACTTCGGATTTCGAGGGAACTAGAAAAGTTAGATGCCATTCAAGATTTCTTATTTATAAGTGATATTTAGCCCTTTTGCACTTATAAATAACCCATTCTTCCCCAAACTTACCATTTGTCAATCGAGAACGCTTCTTTTTTGCCCGAGTCCCTTTCACTGTCTCCATGCCTTTTCTCTGTTTAGGTGCCAAACCACCTGCCGGAACTTGCACTGTTTCTGTTTCCACTGTCACCTTAAGAGATCCCCCCTTCATCCCATCAAAAAATCCTTCTCTCTGTCCCTCTCTAGGCCCATTCTTGAAGCTTTCTCCTTCTCCTTTGTTATTTCCCAAAATATCCGCTATCAAGCTCTCTTTTGAATGCATTTTTAATCCCCTCAATATTGGATCATTAAGGCCTTTTTTCACTGCGTTTTAAACACTTTTCTTTCCTACTATTCCTTTCCTATCAATACCCTCCTATTTTATGTCTATTTCTTTCTTAAAAACTCTCCTTTAACAATGCCGTTTGTCAATTACTTTTAAACGTAATATAGCTCAATAATAATCGCTCAAAAACCCTATCTTTGATAATTACTACTAAAAAAACTTCTATATATAGGAAAAATGGCCATTCCTTTGCCCAGATTCCTAGTAAATACTCAACATATTACTCAATAACCTAGTAATTTGTAAAAATATCTGTCGGAGGTACTTACCGGAGTAATAAGCTTGTTGCCCTGGAAATGGCCAACGATTAACGACGAAGCAACCCCAGCAATTCTGAATATTAATGACAAACCAGACAAAATAAAATTTGAGGCTTAGATATTATGGAAAACCACACAGGAACACGTAAAAATCAAGAAATAGGGACTCAAAATATAGGGAACATTTCACTTGAATCAACTATTGGTCTGCGGGTGAAAGTCCGAACATTATTGGATGAAATACAAACAGGAGAAAGTAAAGCACTAGAAGCAAAATAACACAGCTAATAAAGACCCAGTTTATGCATATGATGCAACTACAAATACTCTGATGCTTCAGAAAGAGTCAAAGACCCCACATATGTCTCCAGCAGCGTGGGATTTTGTTATTTTAAAAATTTCGTGTTTAAAAGATATCCAATTAGAAGAGACACCTGAAGCACTGTGTTCACGGATGGGGGGAGATTCAACAAAGGATCAGGCTACATTATTGCGTTCACAAATACATATGAAGCCGGTTTCTTTGGATGTTTTGCCAGTAAGAGAGCAAGCGTCAAGAAAAGAACACCAAGCAGCTGTTGCTCGGAAAGGAGTGGGTGTTACACAAGAAGCACAGAATTTGTTTGATTCCTTGAGCAAGACGTGAGTGTTTTCCGCTCGAATTTGTCCGTTGACCTAAGTATTCAGTCTTCCATGTCGCTGGGAAAAGCAGTCGATTATTGTGCTCGACGAGGTCTATATTGATCCTCCGTATACAGTGGAGGCATGCTGGACCGATTCAAAAGACTCTAAGAGCTATTCAAGAGTCTGCAAAGTGGTACTATGTCTGTTTTTCGGAATTAAATTAATACAGATAGCTCGAGGGCGAACGGCAACGACTTGATGCTGTCTCTCACCGCGGAGGCTAGCTCTGCCTTTGTCTTGTGAGCGTGAGTACAATGTGTTTGGATGGTTTCTTCCCCCTGCACATGTGTTTCTTGTATTTTTTGACATTCTCTATTCTTCATTGTCAGATACTTTGGATATAGTGCTATTTTTACACATAGGATGCCCTCTATCGGGCTTATTTGTCAGTCCTGTCTATTGAGCCCATCTGCTGGATTGTTTTACATGTGGTAGGCTATTTCCTACTTGCAGGCATGTAGACAATGCATTTGAGCTCGGACTCGTCTCTGCAAGAGTCACGCTGTTTACTGATATAGAGCTTTTTTGTTTACTGCTGGACGTTACAAACAGCTGTCTAGAAACATCTCGGCACTAGCGTTGCAAAACAAATACCATCCGTATTATCACTGTGTTGTTTATTATTTATATATTATCCATCGTTGTCCACATTGTATCGTTCGTCTGCATCCGGTCCAATCTCCAACCACATGAGCGTGCATCTACCGTTCATGCCGTATACACACCATTGCTGATACTGTTACTCTCATTACTATTTGTTTGTCGCCTTGATTGCTGCCATACTTGTTGCCACCCACTGTTGCTCTACTAGTACCCATAGTATAGTGCCCACTGTATCATTAATACAACTAATGTCATACAAATACAGCCAATTGCACCAAAGCACTCATATTACCTCCAACACAAGCCGTATAATGCAAATAACACCCCCATCCCCCTACACCATTTCTATCACCCTCCCCCAACGACACCGGTTATACATATGGCTTTGGCTCAAAAATACAGGTCCAAAACAAATTATCTATTAAGTACAAATTATATACTCAAACTACCCCTGCGGCCCACCAGATGCACATACTAATCCTTCTTCCACTCCTCCCCTCTTTCACCCCTTCTCCCACTATATTTCCTCGCTTCTCTCTCCAAACGTCCCATTGGCTATCTGCTGTGCATCTGCCCCCCTTTAGACCTCTTCCCACACACTACCCAACCCACCCTCGCTATCTGCCGCGTGTCCTACCCCCGCCGACGCTGCCGTATCGCCCGGCACCTCGTCTACCGCCTTGCCGTGCTCCGACGACCGCCGTGACGATCCCCGGCTCCCCCGGCTCCCCCTACTCCCCCGGCTCCGCGTTCGGCTACGACTACGGCTCCTACTCCTGCTTCTACTCCTGCTCCTACTCCTACTCCTGCTCCGGCTGGGGCTGTGCCGCCGCGTGCGGCCCCGTGCACGGCTTCCACGGCTCCGTGTTCGACTCCGGCTGTAGTGGCTACGCCGGTGCCGCCGGTGCCGACTGTGCCGGCTCCGGCTCCGTGTCCGGCTCCTGCTTCTGGTCCGTGAGCGGCTTCTACTCCTGCTCCGGCTATCGCTGTAGCTCCGGCTCCGGCTGTACGACCGATGCCGCCTCCGAGAACTGCTCCGGCCCCGCCGGTGAGTCGTGTATGTACGGTCATCAAACCGCCACGACGCTGACGGCGACTTCTTTGCCCACTTCTCCTCAGCTTCCCTCTTTTCTTCTCTTTTCTCCTCTACCTCAATACTCAGCGTCTCCCGCCCAAACCGCGCCCCGTGCAGGTCATGGTACGCCTCGTCCGCGTCCCGTGAGTCCTCATACTCAACAAACGCAAACCTATTGCCTCAGAACACCCCTCCAGCTCTATATACCTACGGCCGCGCGCCCAGTTTCCGCGGTACTGGGATGTCACACCGAACCAATCGCCCAAACCTGTGGATCAGTATATAAGACGGGTCTATTAGACGTGTTTTTGCACTGTTTTTTGCAAAAACACTGCCTATACGGCCTACTTTTCAAACTTGTGCGCGAGGTCCTTTGCACGGACGTCGCTCGAAAACCCAGTAACATAGAGGGTCTGTCTACGGGTCATCGGTGACAGAGAGGTGAGAGTGATTTTTGTGTGGGGTAACGGCAACGGAGGACGGGAGAACGGAGAAGAGAGAAAGAGGAAGAAAAGAGGGAGAAGAGGCGGAAAAACGACGGACGGGATCTGGACGGCATTTACACAAGGGCTGGGTGGCGCTTGGGCGGCGTTTGGGGGGAAAACAGGGGCAGAGAACGAAAGAAGCGAAAAAAGAGGAGAAGAAGGGGAAAAAAAGGGAATTGAGGGCGAAGGAGGGGAGAAAAGAGGGAAAAGACCAGTGGAGATAGAAGAGGGAAGGCAGGAGGAGGGGGAAGAGTGTTTTTTTCCGGGAGAAAAGGGGGGAAACGGGAGATCAGGGGGCAAAAAAGAAGGAGAGAAGATGGAGGGGGAAAAAGAGGAAAAAGAGGGAGAAAAAGGGACTGGAAGAGACTGGGAGGGAGTGGCAGAGGCAGCAGGAGAGATGGACGTGGCGCAGGAGGGCCTGGAGGGGGAAGGAGGGGCGGAAGAAGGGGCAGTGGGGGTGGAGAGGCTGCGGGTGCTGAAAAACGAGGTGATTGGGTATCCAGAGCGGAAAAAGCAGCTTCTGGAGCAGGGAGTGCTTGGGGTGCTTGGGAAGGTGCTGGAGAGGGGCGAGGAAGCGGCAAAAATCGAGGCAATTATAGTGCTGCGGTCGCTTGCACAGGGTGAAGAGACAAGGGAAAAGGAGAGGCAGGCTAACAGGGACAGGAGGAGAAAAATATGCAACGTGTATCTGCAGATCGGGGATTGTGGACCAGCTGTTTGGATTTGTTGTGGAAGGGACAGAAAAGCTGATGACGGTGTCTCTCAAGGCACTGGTGACAACGCTGAGAGGAGCAGCGGGGGTTCTGGGTGGATTGGAGGCGTTGGGGGTGCAGGGGATACCGCAGGAGGCAGTAGATCGGTTTGTGAGTATTCTTAGGGGGTGGAGGAGGGAGGAATTTTGGCAAAAAGGATATGAACAGGCATCGTTGGCAGCACATATCATTGCGGTGTGTGCAGGAGCAGGAGAGCAGAAAAATGAGCTTGGGGGATGGGGTATTCTAGAAATATTGGTAGAGATTGTGTGGGAGATTGGGGATCGGTCGAAGAAGAAGACAGAGGAGCGTTTTTACAGCACAAAACTATTAGATGCAGCGCTGCAGGCGCTATCATCACTTAGCCACAAGCAGGATATGTATGGATCGCAGATAGCAGCGTCATACAGGCAGCCAGGAAGCAATATAAATGAGGGATACCCGATGATCAGCAAACTTTTGAAGCTTGTGAAGGATGTAGAGACGCCTATCCGTTTGGGGGCATCAGGATGTCTGGCAAACATGTATAGGAGTGGAGCGATTCCAAAAAGATACATAAATGAGCTAGAATATACAGTGATTCCAATTTTGGTTCGATTACTTGATGAAGAGGAACGTGTGAGGGAGAGAGCACTGGCAATTTTGGGTAGGACAAGGAAGAAATGGGTGGGATAGAAGATTGACGAGGTGTTTAGCATATCTGGTAACAGACAACGATGAAATGCAGAGGGCAGCGTGTGATGCAGATGTGATAAAGAAGCTGGCAGGCATTCTACACCATATAAACAACAGCCCGTTTCAGGAAGAGACGGGAAGCACAAATGACAAGATTGTTGAGGCAGGTTTCGTATGTATACTAGTAGATACTAACAAAGGATTCAGGCAGTCTTTCTTGCAATAGCGGCTTTGACATTGTTCAAGGATGATTATCGGAAACAAGTGATTAATGCAAAGATTGTTCCCTATATTGTGTTGGCATTGTCGCACCGGTCGGCAGGGGTGCGTGTAGCAGCATGCCAATGCACAAGAAGCCTATCACGAAGCGTTTGTGTTCTTAGAAGTAACTTGGTGGATGCAGGGATTACGGATCCCTTGTTTGTATTGTTAACGGATGATGATTTGAAAGTAAAGACAGCAGCGTGTGCAGCTGTTTGTAATTTAGTGTTGGATTTTTCCCCAATGCGCTCGGTTGGTTTAATATTAGCATCAGTAGTGCGTTGACTTTGATAAGGCTATCATGGAAAAGGGAGCACTTAAGATTATGTGCGAACATGCTAAAAATGAGAATTCGGCATTAAGGTTGAATGCAGTATGGGCATTAAAGCATATTGTTTATGCAGCCGAGACAGAGATTAAGAAAAATGTGTTAAAAGAACTGGGTTATAATGCACTTATAAAGTATTCTTTCGTTTTTTTTTAAACTTGAAAATAACGGATTAAGATTATGTGATGATTCTGAAATTGGTGTTCAGGAACAGGCCTTGGATGTCATTAGAAATGTTATATGTGGTCAACAAGAAGTAATTGGTTCTTATAACATACGTTTCTAATTCGTTTAGAATATTGATTTATTATTGAACAATATAGGGACCTCTCAAATCATATCTATTATAAAGGGAAAACTTGCTTCGGGCTTTACCGAGATTATAACTGCTGTAATTTGATATTTGCTCATTTTCAAGATTAACAAAAATAGGCAATATATATATGTGTTCATATTGCATCTGGCAGTGATATACATAGAAATATTATTATAGAAGAAAATGAAATTCTACAGTTAATTTTAAAACATATAGGACATACGAGCTTTGAAGTCCGTTTAGGGTGTTTATGGGTATTAATAAACCTCACATGGAGCGACGATAATTCTGATAAGGTGAATGCATGTATTTATAGACTATGGTAAAACTAAATATAATTAGGTTATGAAAGAACATCGAAATCAAGTCCTCAAGGATATAGGTTTTTTAGAAAAATTGAAACTTATGCAAAATGATTCCTCTTCTGATATTCGTGAAAGAGTTAAAACTGCATTGGTATATGTTTTTACTATATTTATATTAGTCTTACGCATTTGATAGTCTCAACTCGAATGAAATGTTATATTTCTACACTATCACTCTATGAAATAAATAATTTGTGAATTGGAAACGTATTTACTGATCTCCTATATATTTGAATTATTCGGTCAACCTATATCTCTATCGTTTTATATATCTACTAGATAATTCTGCGGTACTTCTGCTATATACTTAATATTTTCCAATTTTTAGACTTCAAATTAAATTTTTATTGTTACTGAAAAGGATTGGTCTATTTGCATTAACATTTGTTTATATGGTAGTTTTATTGAGTATCATAAATAGTAATTAAGTCAGATTTGATTTAGAAATCTTTTTTCATTGCAATATAAAGATATTCAAGAAACTTTTCAAATAAATGTTATATTCAAAAAAAACTACTATTATAAATAGTTAATATATTTATCATTATCTTTGGTTTAATTATATGAAAACATTAATAATATTTTTTTTATCAATAATAAAGTTTCGCGTTAATTGATTGTTTCAATTTACCAAATCATTAAAATTAATTTTTTTTGGATAAAAATTATTAAATAAATATAAAAAAACATGTGAAATACAAGAATATCGTCTTTTTATGAAAACTAACACGTTATTTTAGCATTCTTCTTTTTGGATTTTTTTTTTTTAAATTAAAATGTTTTATTCAGAAACTATTCTTTCAAAAAAAGTATAAAACATTAATTGTTTGTTTATTTCTATTATTAATTATTTTAGGGACCTTTGGCAAAGATCTGGCTTGCAGCACATTGGGAAAAAAAGCTTTCAAAGTCTCAATTTTTGCAGACAAATATTAAACAAACAGTTAATGCAATTGTCAATCAGGATCAGATTCCTATAGCACTTAGATTAAGTGGACAGTTATTGTTGGGTGTTGTGAAGGTTTATTCGCGTAAAACGCGTTATCTTTTAGAGGATTGCAATGAAGCCTTGATAAAAATTAAAATGGTAAACACAATATAAATAATTATTATTTACTAATTTTTAAGGCTTTTAGACAAGGAAATGTAGATCTTCCTGCATCAAATAATATGAATATTGCACTTCAGTCTGCTCAATTAGTATTGCCTGAAACAATTACTGAGTTTGATCTTTTGATTCCTGATCCTACATTCAACATAATGTATTAATTTCTTTTCTATATGGAATTGATATTTAATCGGAATAGGGATATAGACGAAATTCCAGAGCCTTCCAGTTTTTCTTATGTTTCAAAAAAACAAGACATTACACTTATATCAGCACTTGATCCATCTATTGAAGTTGGCCGAGGACATCAACTAAATTTAGTAGATGATCCTCTTGTTCAAATAGACGAAAGTCAGAAAATTGATCTGGATCTTGGAATTGGCGATAATGATGGTTTACAAAATGATATTTCTGTTGAAATTGGTAGAGATCGTGTACCAGAATCACGCTTTAGCCAAGAATTCAGTAATATCATTGGATCAGAGAAAGATGTGAATGATGAAAATATTTTTCTTACTGATGTAGACATGGGTAATCATTTAGATACTATACATTCAAATGACATGCATGACCCTCTTGAGCCTGTAACGGAGTTTTCTATTCATCAATTAGAAGCTATAGATCAAAATAATGGATTGATATTAGAAGACAGAGAAAGATCTATTTCTGGAACTACTAGCACATTGACAGCGGAAATTTTAGAATTTGATGAATTACAAGCTGGGATACCTGAATCTAATGATAAGACAACTCAATCGAAAACCCATCAATCACGGTACAAAAGGGTATTGGAAGATTCCGCTATTGAAATATCTTCAAAAGCATTCTCTTCTCAGTTACGAAATACGTCATCTATTACTAAACAAAATAAACTACTCTCTTCAGATCCTATTTTTTTGACATTAACTCAGCTTCAAACATCAGGTAAATTTGCAACACATATATTCGAGCCTTCAAACGTTCATCCATCAATTGTATCTTTGCTTAATCCTGGTTATATTTCTTTTGTACAATCCAACTTATTTAAACGAAAGCGTGTAGAAAATATAAATCAAAATGATTATGACTCAGCCAATGTGTCTAAACATGCCAAAATTGATACTACTCCCATTAATGAATCCAGAATAGATGCAGATTTGTCTAACAATAATCTTGGAAATTTTGAGCTTGAAAATTCTAATATACTTCTTCCTGTTGATGATAACTCCATTTCTATTTATGATAATTCAGAAATAAATGCAGATCAAGGTTTGATAGCTTTTATTAATATTTTTTTCTAATTTTTTTAAGTCTCTAAATCATCTATATATGACTTTTCAATTAAACAGGACAAAGAGATAGAATTAGTTAATGAAAGCACATTTGATTCGGGAATTTATGATGATTTAGATTTAATTTCCACTTTAAGAAATAGATTTAATCTTGAGAAAAATGCATCTAAAAATACCATTAGCTTTAATGATCTTATAGAAAATGTATAGCTTGTTTAATTTATATTCATTTGCTAATATTTTTTAGGCATCACGTATAGATGTTTCAAAAAAATTTCTTGAAATTCTAGTTTTGGCGACTAAAAATCTTATAAACATTGAACAGAAAGAAAGTTATGGTGATATTCGGATTAGTGCATCTAAAGAGCTTTTTGATAATAATATAAAAATTTTACTTGAAAAAGACCAAAATATACAAAATAATGTAAAAAAAATTAACATGGTTAAATCTTCAAATAATTAAAGTCTATAACATTCTTATATATTTTTTGTGATATTTTAGAGTATTAGTTTTAGGTCATACTATTGATATGGAATGTATTTCATACGTGTATATTATTTTATTATTTTAATAGGTAAACGACTTGAGTCTATTTGGGATTAATAATAAGTATATTTGGAGCCTTGGATTTTAAATTATTTGAGTTTTTTTTATTGTTTTGTAAAATTTTAAATTTATAAAGGATTATTTTTTATTTTGAAAAAACTACTTTCATTTTGTTTTGCTAAATTTATTAATCGTCTTAAGTAAACAGTGTATTTTATTAAATATATTACATTATTAATAATTCCTTTGACCAAATATATTCAAAAATCTATATAAATTATACAGGTTCTAAGAATAATATCAAAAAATAGAATAAATTTGTATTTTTTTAAAAATATTAATTCACAAACATAAATAATTAATATATATTATCTTTCACTTATTATAATATCATATTTCTCTTGCATAAAAACACTGATAAAAACAATAATAAAAGCTTTTATGTCATTTAAAAAGAAAAAGTATTTGAATTAACATATTCAAAGTTTTAGCAATTCTTTAGCAATTATTACAAATATCTTTTTTATTATATTAAAACATATCGAAAGGTAAAATTCGATATAATCAAACGGTCCAATAACGAAATTATTTAAAAAGTATAAAAACCATGGAAAATGTCTAAAAGAGAAGCAGAAAGGCAACTTACAAAGAACGACACTATATTTTCAGGGAATTCTGAGCAGGATATAGTAGATTACGCAAAACAAGCGCCTAAGGAAGTGCTTTTACAAAGAAAGTACGCGTCTTTTATTTGTAAAACAAAAGCATGAAAATAAGCATTGCTTGTAAAAGAAAAGTTTTTAGAATCTTTTAAAGGAACAATATAAATTGAAAAAGAATTTTTTTTTGAATACATATCTTTGAAGATTCATGATAATATAAAATAAGTACAAAGATGGCGTTTTATGTGCAGAAATGCTTTTGAGCTGTCTGTATTATATTATGGATGAATTTCTAACTTTTTTCAAGGATTGCAGTGCCACAATCACGAAAAAAACGATGTGCAGAGCTGTCGTCAACATATTCAAACCCGTTTGCTAATCTATCGGAGTCAAATAAATCTCAAACGTTTGCTTTGCCGATTCAGCCACCTACATCTGCATTTTCATTTACACAGCCATTAAAACAAGAAAAAAAGGAAGACACATCTTTCAAACCATTAAATCAGCATTTGAATCCACCATTATTTAGCGATGAGACGAAAAATGACTATGATTTGTTTTTACGTCAAAGATCTGTAAATTACTTCTTTCAAAAAGCAATTAATACGTCTATCAACAATGATCCATTTGGAGATCTTACTAAAATTTGTCATGAATACATTGGGTATCGAGAGGAAATTGATAAATCAAATGAATCAAATAATTGCAAATATCCTGAAAATAAACAATATATATCTTCAGAAGAATCATCTAAAAATGCCTCTTTGCAGCAATCTTATAAATTTATGTCAAAAGCAAATAATTCAATTAATACTTCAGTTTCAGCACACTCTAAGGATACTTTTGATCATAAAAATGAAATGGCTAAAAATAATTCATTCTCTTTTCTAAAAAAGCATACGGAAGAAAATGATAAAAATATAGGAGAAATAAAAAACGATTCTCACTCAAATAAATCATTATTTCCTACTTTTATACCGTCTACAAAAAAAGACAATGAAAATATTCAATCAGCATTTGAATCACAAACGAGTAATGATAAAAGCATTCTTCAAACAAGTTTTTCTTTTGGAAATACAAATAACTTTACTGAAACTCCTATTGAAAAGAAAATGCAAAATCAATCAAATATTGAAGATTCATCAAATCTTGAAACAAAAAATTCATCTACTTCATTTATTACAAACACACCTAGCTTTCCTCTTTTTTCTAATATTTCCGAGTCAAAAAATTCTATAACCAATAAAAATATTGAATCAAATCCAATAAAATTTTCTTTTGTACCTGAAACAAACAAAACAGAACAAAATCCTTTTTTATTTGAGGCTAATAAATCGAATACTGAAATAATTGATAAACCAAATAATAATGTAGATAACAGTAAAAATTTATTTAGTATTACTTCAACACCAAAAATAGAAACAAATATTTCAAATAATACAAATTCTACACCTATTTTTAATTTTGGATCAACTACAAAAAATACTAATTCATCTGATTTTTCATGGACACCAGATAAAGGAATCAAATTTGCTGTATCTCCATCTAAAAGTGTAAATAACACTATGGATAAGCCACCAATTTTTCAATTTATAAATCCTTTGTCAACTGGAAATCTTAATAATGAAGATATATCTCAATGCAAATCTAATGAAACTGTTGGTTTTGAATTTGGAAATAAAACGAATACTGGTTTTTCTTTTGGACAGTCATCAGCCATTAATTCAGCATTTATGAATTTTCAACAAAAGAGCATCCCCGCATCTGAAACTACGAATGACGATATGTTTCCTCAAGAACCACGAACAAATGATCATTTGATCGCAAGCAAAGGAGAGGGAGAAGAAAATGAAGATGTTATATTTACTGCAAAAGCAAAAATATATAAATATTTAGTGAAAGAAAATAGATTTTCAGACCTTGGGGTAGGTATATTAAAACTTAATGTAGATAAAGATACATTAAAGGCGCGGGTTTTAGCGCGGCTAGAGGGAAGTGGGAAAGTTATTATTAATGTTGGTTTACAAAAGGATTTTCAATATTTAACTACAGGCAAAAAAAGTGTTAAAATTCCTGCTATACCAAACGAAGGAACAGGTATTGATACATATTTAGTTCGTGTACGAGATGAAGAGACATCGAAAAAGCTTGCTGATTTACTTGAATCCAAGAAATTAGCAAAACAAACAAATTAATTAAAATATATTACATGACTTCAATATAATTTCAGTACAATTTCATCATATTATTACATATAAACAAATATTTATTTATTTCTGAATTGGCCATATAAAAATGATTCTTAATATATTTCTAAGAAAACAGCTGTTAGTTTACTAATATATATGTATATTTTATAAAATATAAATTTAAATATAAAATTTTTATATTCTGGAAAAATTTTAATATAAATGAAGAACTTTATTAAAATGAAGAATTTATACTTCAATCTTTCCAATTATACTGCTAATAAGTATTAAGTATGGTGTTTAAGGCTTTTGGAATTATTAAGCATTGCAATCATTATTTCTATTTATAATTAATGACAATATCTTTAAATGTATTTTAACTTTATTATTAATAGATTAAAAATAAATTGATGCTACAGTCTCATGAGTTTACTAATAAAAATAAAATTAATAATTATTTTTTTGCTTTTTTAGATTCACGTGGCTTTTTATTTACTTTCAATTTGTTTGAATTCTCTTCAATTTTCCCTAAATCTTTTAATTCTTTTAATTTTATAGAAAATTCAGAATCATCTGATTCTTTTCCATAGAGCCATCTTAAAAGTTTAATTTCATCTTGCCATATCTTTGGGTCATTGTTTGATGGTGTTTCTAATATAAGAGGAATGTCTTGCATCCTTTTATCATTTATAAGGACTCTAAAGGCTTCAAGCCCTATGTACCCACGACTTGAATCAATTAACATATATCTTTAATGTTTTTTATAGCTTACCCTATATTGGCATGAAGATCTCTTTTAGATCCAAGAGGTGTTTTTGAATCATTTAAATGAATACCTGCAAGATACTTAAACCCGATTATATTTTCGAATTTGTCCATAACATTATGGTATGATTCTTTAGTTCTTATATCATATCCTGAAGCGAAAAGATGACATGTATCAAGACAAAAGCCAATTCTGGATTTATCTATTAATGTTTTAAAATAATATTGTAATATTTATGAAGAATTTACCTTCAACTTTATCTAAAATGGTAGCCAATTCTTCAAAACTATTTCCAAGAGTATTTCCTTGACCAGCCTGCTATTGTTTAAAACAGATAATAACTTAAATTTAAGATTTAATACCATGTTTTCCACAACAAGTACTACATCACTGACTTCTTTATGTGCCCTATTTATGCAATCTGTTAAATGTTTTATTCCATCTGCTCTTATAGAATTTCCGCATGAACCAGGACTAAAAATAATTCAATTAAGATATATAAATTAGGAAAAAGTTACTGAAAATTGAATTTCCCTATTCCTAGCTTTTGACAGCGTTTTACATCATCTATAAAATTCACATAAGCCTTATCTCTCTTCTCTTTATCGGAATTCGCAAGATTTACAAGATATGATCCATGAGGAAGAACATGTCTAACATAACATAAATTTTTCAATATAAAAATAAACATTCTATACTTTTTTAAATCATAACCATATTCTTCAGAAAGCTTTTTAAAATAATCAATATCTTGTACCTTTAATTCAGAAGCTACCCATTTTCTTTGAGATTTCAAAAACATAGCAAACGCATTTCCACTTTTATTCTCAATCAACATCTCACAAAAACAATCATGAAAATACCCTATACTTGCACTATTGACTGCTGCATTATATATTCCCTTTGCTGCAGAAACATGTGCACCAATAAAAATACCAAAATTCTGCATTTTTGATGACGAATCCATTGATTTATTTGATTCAAATGATTTTTTTGAAAATACAGAGTCTCCATTCGAAAATTCACATTCTTCTAATGAATCAATCTTCCTCTTTTCAGGAAAATGTATCTTTTCATTCTCTAATTTCTTATACAAAACCATTATTATTTTCAAAAAAAAAAAACATACAAACATCCACTTTAAAGGCTTCAAAATCCGGTTTTCTGGAAATATCTATCATCCACTCGTATTTGCTAGTTAATCTTATATATCTGATCCCTTTCTGCACCTTTATAAGCTTTTTTACTGCTAATAAACTTATCTTTAATTAATATTGAAAATCTCGAACGTTACGTCAATTAAACGATGGATCTTGATATAGACGCGCTGCTTGAGTTAGAACCAGTATTTAATAAAGAAGATGAAGGAAAAAAAGATGTATCAGAGCTCATGAAAAGTTGGATTTCAGAGAGAATAGCACCTGAACTTTTGCCATTCCAAGGAGTGCTTTTAGAAAGAATGATGGAACGAGTTCAGCGGCAGATAAGCATTTTTCAGGCGATAAAAGTCATGCTAAAAGAATATAGACTGAAATGGTTGAATTAAAGATTGGGAAAGATATAAAAACCAATTTTCGGATGGTTTTAGTTCAAATGGAGATTGAAAGAATCAAATATATGATTCGTTCGTATTTGCAAACAAGAATTTATAAGGTAGAACTGAGAAGAAATATTCAATTGTTTTGAATACATGTTTTTTATTGACAGGTGTATTTATTTTTGGTAGATGGACAAGTATGCATTATATATTTTACAAAAACCCGAGTTACTGGCATGTCTTTCTTCTTTGGAGAAGGAATATTTGAAAAAGTAGATTATTTATGAGTGGAGTAATGCATCTTATGTATTTTAATAGACACCAAGAAATTCTTACAGATTATTATACATCAGCTGTTCTAAAACATCTTCCGGAAAAGTTAAGAAGATTAGATGATACTCAAGGAGGGATATCTATGAGTATTCTTTAGAGTGTATATGATTATAAATAAACTCATAAGTGTAGTTGAAAAACCAGATATGGATGCTGCTGTATTTTGCAGAGTAATTAACAATATTGAACATGATATTCCTGTCAATAAAAACGAAAGTATTACGCTTGATAAGGGCAACATTTACCTTCTCAAGTATAAATTAATACGGTCATTTATATTTTCAGGAGATGTTGAATTGATATAAAATGACAAAAAATTTCATAGAATTTAGACATCAATACCGATTAATGTTAATCCTTTAAGATTTATCAGATATTTTCTAAAATTTTGTTTTTTTGTGTTATGAATGAATAAATGTTTCTTTACTCAAAAATATTATAAAATTTGGTTAATTATTGGGACTAATTAGACGGTTTATTGTTAATTTGTTAAATACAGAAAAACTAACAATTCAAAGTAAATATATATATATTATTTATTAATGTTTCAAAGAAAGTACTTAAAAGAAGAATTTTATTTATAAAAACATAATTTATTCACTGTTTAATACTAATAATGACTTAAATTATAGTGTAGATATATTTTTTGATTTTACAAAATATTGTTATTTAACGGTATATTCAACAAGAGTTATAGAAAATCGAATTTAAATGCTTTTGATAAAATACAAACATTATATCATTTTGTCTAATCAAATATGATATCTAAATATTTAAAGTACAAATTATTTATTCAGTAATTTTATCGATATATTATAATTACTTATATTTTCTAAAGGTACATGATTTCTAACTATTTTGTTGGATAGGTTATCTTTATTGAAACAATTTATGCATTACTTTCATATAAAAACAACTTCGCTCATTCTTCATATCTATAAACTCCGTTACTACGATACTGTAAACTACAAATTAAAAAAAAATAAGATTATAAAATAACTAATACTGAACAATTCAATCATTTCATGAATAAACAAATCTTTTCTTTAATATAGTTATGGGTATATAGAAGAAGCAGATGAAAACATTTCAAGAAAGAAGTTTATCCAAGAAATGGGATCACTGTGAAATTTGTACACCTGAAACAGCACCAAAAGATACTGAAATCTTCTGGATTCAGTGTAAGCCTTGTCGGAAATGGTATCATATCAAATGTATAGATGGGCTTTATTCAGTTGATATGATTGAAGATTATCATTGTCGTTCATGTGAACCGATTTATGGATTATCAACATGTAATGTTATTATTTGATAATTTAATATATTTTAATTTGAAGTAGATCGTCCTCAACTTAGGAAATCTTCAAGGCCTCATTCTTTTGTAGATTATGTTTCACTAGATCAAGGTAGTCTTGCTTTAGCTAATCAACATGCATATACAGCAATGATTGAGAATAAAATATTTACTGAAAATACATTTAAGAAGATAAAGGGCATTGAGTTAACAAAAGAATGGGCAGAAGAAGAGGGTTTTAATGAACCTGTTTTAATTCCGGCAGGGTGGGATTACGAAGGATTAGAAATGAAAATTCCAAAAGATTTAACTGTTCGAAAGGTTTTAGAGATGTTAGGACCTCATGAAAAAATAGAAGTGATTGGTTATCAGAAATTTTTGCCTTGAAAATAAATTTAACAATTATAGATGTACCTTTGCAAAAAGAAGTTTCTGGTTGGTCATTGGGTGAATGGGTAGAATATTATGAAAAGCCAGCTGAAGAGCGAGATAGAATAAGAAATGTAATAAGTTTAGAAATAAGTTTGTCAGAATTAGCAAAACATATTGTCCGTCCAAAATTTGTTAGGTATTTAATTATTTATTTACAGAAATATCGAAATATGTTTATATATCATCTAGAGATCTTGATTTCGCAGATTGTATGTGGCCTAAAGATTTGAAAGAAGCAGGACAGTTCCCAAAAGTACAGTTATATTGGTTTGTATATTTAGTTTAAATAAAATTAAATATTGATATTTATAGTCTTATGTCAGTTAAAAATTCTTTTACAGATTTTCATATTGATTTTGGCGGAACTTCAGTATTTTATCATGTTATCAAAGGATCTAAAACATTTCTTTTTATTCCTCCAACTCAAACAAATCTTAAGAAATATGAAAATTGGTGTCTTAGTCCTAATCAAAGTGAAACATTTCTCGGAGATCAGGTAAAAGAATGTATAAGAGTTGATTTAAATGAAGGAGATACAATGTAGTTTTTATGTTTATAAAAAAAAATTAACATATATAGGTTAATTCCATCTGGATGGATCCATGCAGTTCATACACCATCAGATTCTCTTGTTTTAGGAGGGAACTTTTTAACTTACCTTCATATGGAAATGCAGCTATTGGTAGCAGACATTGAACGACGTACTAAAGTACCAGAAAAATTTAAATATCCGTTTTTTGAAAAACTTCTTTGGTTTTCTGTATTTTACTATTTATCTCTGCCTTTAGAAAATGTTGAAAATTTTGAACATTACTTACATCATAAGAAATTTTCAAACTTAAAAATTGAATCAAAAAACAGAAATATACATCAAAAAGAATTAGTAGGTTGTGAAGTATTGGCTAAATATTTATTTATACGTGCGCAAATGGCAAAAGGACTAGCTCCAGTTACTGCAAATGGTGAAAAATTGAGTACTCCTACTCAAAAACAACTTCGTGCTATGAAATTAGAATTGCCTTATCAATATTTTTCCGGTGATTTTGTAGAATTAGCAAAAGCATTTGGAAGATGGATATATTATAAAAAAGGGTTAAGTATAGAGGAGCATCCTAAATGGTGTTCATTTGAATCACTTGAATCTTATAGTTCAGAACTTAATAGTATTTTTATACGGAAAAAAGAAAATAAAGTATCTAAGAAAAAAAAGAATTCTTTTTACCAATCTAAAATTTCTTTAAATACCTTTAATATTAAACAAAAAAATGGATTAAAACATAAAAAAACTACACAAGCTTCAAAAATGGTTAATTTTTCTTTAAATTCAGAATTAAAATGTTCCATAAAACATCAAGATATTAAAAATACAATTAAAATGGAAGATACCCCTATATCAGTCTCAATTTTATCTAATTCTCAAGTTGAAAATAAAGATACTACCACGCAATCAGACTTATCATATAATATTTTTTCAGATAATACCGTAGATAACGCTACCAAACAAGCAATAAAAGCTGCTATGTTTGGATTAAGATATATTAAGACAAAAAAGTATCCTATTTCAAAAATATCGTCTGTAATGCAAACTTAAATAAAAATTATGCATATTATTTATACATTTTTTCATAAACTTAATTTTTAAAACATATAATAAAATCTAAAATAATACATAATAGATAAAACAAAAACAATTTATTACAAAATATTTTTTTTAAAATGCTTTTATATCAAGGTTTTTTAATATATTTTTAATATGTTCAATTTTTATTTTTAAAATGTAATTAATTAAATTTATTAGACACAAAAATTTTTACTATTTTACATTGTCTAATATTAAAAAAACAGACTAAATGTCTGTATAAATATAAAATATAACAACAAAACAAATTAATTCAAACTACTTCGAATATATCCAAAGATAACATTTGATTAAAATAATTAATTCAAATTTACTAAATATTCCAATGTCTTACTAATTTCTGAGAGTCGCTATTATAGAAACACTAACAATAACACCGATAAAACTTGATACGCCAACGATCACTCCAAGAACACTAGCAATGAATTTATACCTTTTTATATCTTGCTCCATTGTAAATGGCGTATAAGGAAGGTACAGATCTAAACAATGAAACCCATAAAGGATCCACAAAGGTGGAAATATTAGGCCAATAAATAATATAACATAATGTGTATAATAAAGCTCTTTTAATGGAAAAGATAATGAAATAGTTGATGATGATGTAAGATATTTGTCTGGAGATAAATGTGGTATTTCATATTGAGGAATAGTAAATGGTCTTCGAATAGCTTCTGTAAAAGGACTTAAGCTTGAAGTATCCGATTTTAAATCCCCACTTTGAATCGGAGTTGCCAATGGTCTTAAACCAGATCTTCTGGGAAATGAAAAATTCGCAGTTGTTCTTCCAGAATTCGGATTTGATGAAAGCGTATTTTCTATACCTGATGGCTTCTGTGTACTATGTATTTCAGGAGGAAAAAGAAAATATGTATGACGACTTTCTTTAGAACACTTGCTACCTGATTCAGAACTAAATTTAGATTCAGGTCCTTTTTCTAAATCAAGTTTTTTCATATTAGGAGGTTCTGTTGTATTATGTGTATTACGCCATAGAAAAGGCTGTGAAAGCTTAACAACTGGAACCCATATCTTTTCTGAAGGTTTATCAGGGTTTTCACGTAAATGATAATGCTCAACTTGTATATTTTGATCTGATACTGGTGTAGGTAAAACTGTTGCAGACATTCTTAAATAATTTTTATTTTGTAAGATATTTCACTGATTTCTTTTAAAAAAAAACTTCAATTATAGTTACTATTTAATATCCAAAAAAGATTCATCTAATATTTGTTAAAATAAATGTAATTTCTTTTGAAAATAGATTTTCTTTGCATTAGTTTATCAAAAAAAAATTTCGTCTTTTACAAGACCGAAGATCATCTCAAAACCAAAATATCAACATAGTTGCCATAGCAACCAAGATAGTCTAATTAATAAATTATTAGATAATTTTTGAAAATTTCTAAAAATGTTAGATAAATATAATAAAAGATTGATTTTAGTTGCAAAAATGAAATGTTATGAAATACATGAGAAATATATAAATATTGTAAATTTTAAAAATGAAATTGAACAATTGTCCAAAATAAAACAGTTTGTAGCAGATAAATTAAGAATGTTTTGAAAAAGTAGATGATTCTCCAATAGAGTTAGTGTCATTATCATAAAATGTGTTTTGAGCAGAGATATTGGATTGGAAAGCCAAATGCATTTTATTAAGACCATATGAATGATTTAGGGCAATTAATTTAGCCATCATGGCTGATACACTTTTTAATTCTGCTTCCAAGATTTCTCTTTGAACTTTTCTGTTATCGACTGTATCAACAAAATTGACAATTTTCTGTGACTCGTAATTAGTGATAAAAGCATTGAGTTTTCCTTCATTAATCTTGCAAATAATCAGTAATAAGATTTAATATTTATTTAAAAACAACCATTTTTAAAACAAATTCTTCCGTTAAATTATAAGAATCTTGTGATTCTAAAGAAATACCATTCCAGGGGCCAATTTTCCTGTTAATATCAACAATAGAGAGAGATGTATAAATTTTTCTAAGTCTATATATTTCATGATATGAAAGAAATTTTATCGCATATTTTATAAGTTCGTTATTTTTATCCTAAAAATTAATTTATAAGTACTAGACTTGTCATATCATTACAAACCTTGATGAAAATATCTCTATATTTAAAGTAGAGATTTTTTATTTCATCATGATCTTGATGTTCGTACGCTTCAGCAAAGATATCATATGCTTTTCCAAAAACTTTATATGATTTTATACAAACAATATCAGTAATATGAGGAACTGGCTCTATCTAAATAATTTCATAAAAACCAAAAAATTATTTTTGCAAAAATTAATATACCTTTCCATTTACAATAAGACTTAGTATAACGAATTTCTTATATGCATTAACTTGAATAGCCGACGTATTAAGAGTAGGTGCAGAAATAACCTTTAATCAATTAATCCATAATTAAAATTAAACAATTAATAAACTATTCTAAGAAAATGCAATGCCCTATGGAAAATTTTCAATTTTACGTATAAAATAGCCCCATAGAAATGATAAAGCAAATGATCAAGATAAGTAATCCCGTTCTAAAATATATAAAACATTTGTTAACAAATTAAAGCAATAAATTACATTTTTATCAAAAATTTCCATATCTTGATCCAGAAGAAATTGTGCTTCTTTATAAGCTTTTGCAACAAAACATTGTTTGACAAAAATAGCATGAATTGGCGTTAACGTGAGTCCAAAATCATTATATCTTTTAAGTGTAGAACACAAAATATCTATAGCTAGAAAAGACTAATTTGATATCATCAATAATAAGAACATAAAAAATATAGCTTACTCTATTTGTGGTATTTGCGCTATCACAAATCCATGCTAAAAATTGCTTAACTAAAAATATTAAAGAGAAAAAAAATGAAAAAATATATACATATTACAGATGCAAACATAGAAACCATTTTTACATTAAAAACAGACAAAAATTTAACACAATCTTCCAATATTGAATCAAATCCCAATATTTGTCCTCTAGCAAACCTATAAATACATAAGAAATAATGTATATATACCGTTGATAGAGAAAATACAAAATATAAAGATATCCAATACTATAAAGTTCAGGATCAAGAGTTTTTAATGGATCCTGTTGATTTATTTTGGCTAAGAGCTCATTGGAAGATCGTTTAAAATACGGTATAAGAATATTCTGAATTGCTGTTGCATCAGTACAAACTTTAATCATTGAAATAAGATCATCGTCTTGATCATGATCATTCATTAGAATTAAGGAGTTTCAAGGCATAAGTATGAGTAAGAATTCTGAGAACATATGCATTAAAACACACATTTTATTCATTAAGTATATTAACTCCTTTACCGAGGAAAATGAAAAACGATAGAAAACCCCAATTATTTAAAGTTTTATGAGTTTACAAGGAAAAAAAGTGAAATTGGATATTTAAATGAAATAGGTAATTTAAGAAAAATCAATAAAGTTTAATCTAAAAAGCTTTAAAGACATTTTACTAAGGTTTTCAACGATAAAAATACAATAATTTTTTGTTACAAAAAAATAGATATCATATTTAAAAAATATGTATTTTATAAATGTTAGGAACAAAGTTAGTAAAAATATAGGAATATAAAGTCATTATTTTTAACATTTTATGTAAAAATAGTGTTATATGTTTAGTATTTTTATTGTTGTATATACAATATTTTTTATGTAAACTTTTATAGTTTTATGTATTAAGAATCAATTGCAAGAATTATATCTTTAAATATAATATATTTCTCACTTTTATAATATTAAAAATAATTCGTTTAAAATTAAAAATATTACTTAAACTTTTATGTTAATGCTTTTTAAATAGATCTTTTGATAGAAATCAAAGCATTCTTATTGCAATTTCATTCTTACTAAATATTTTTTTTTGAAGTTTAGAATTCTCTATTAATAGTAATAAAAAACCAACATTATTTTTAAAATAATCATAAAAATTATCCCTACTTAAAAATATAATTGTAACCATATACTATAGGAAATTGTATATATTAGTTTTTTCACATATGGATGTTACAAAAATCCATATTTTTAAAATTTAAGAATATTTTCAAATACTATTCAAAATCAAAGAATTTAAATATATTATAAATTAAAATGTTAAAATATATAAAAACAAAATTTATATAATGAATTCCATAAATTTTTATTTATAAAAATATAACATTTTAACAAAAATGAAGGTAAATAAGGTTTATAAAAATTAATATTTATTTTAAAGATGTTACCGAAGTAACACTGTTTATTTTCACCGATAAGTTTAATAAAAAACAAAAAAGACTATGGTATTAGAATTAATAAGATAAAACGTGTTTTTTTAAAATAATTTGATTACTTTTTTCTATTTTTAAATGATTTCTTTCAAAGAATCTATTGAAGATCAAAAAGAAAATATCGAACCATTACGACAAGGACGGTCTGTAAAAAGTTTGGCAAAAGCTTTTTCAGAAGATCCATGCTCATTGAAGATAAAAAATGATCAAGAAAGACGTGTTTTTGAGTCTGAAATTGAAAATTTAGATGATCATGATGATCCTTTGGATGTCTGGATCAAATATATTAAGTGGACAAATGAAACTTATCCTCATGGTCAAAGTGCAGAAAGCGGACTTGTTTCATTGCTAGAGAGGTGTATTCGTTGTTTTGTAAATGTTTCTTATTATAAAGAGGATCCTCGATATCTAAAAGTATGGATCCAATATATGAAATACATAGATGATCCTCGAGAATTGTTTTGCTTTTTAGCTTATAATAATATCGGGCAATCATTAAGTACATTTTATGAAGAGTATGCAAATTTTCTTGAGGAAAATGGAAGGTATTTAATTTCATATTTGATGCCTTTTTATAATAGTTAATAGAAAATTTCAAGCAAATGAAATATATCAACTTGGAATTGAAAGGAAAGCACGTCCATTTGATCGTTTGCAACGAAGATACAACGAGTTCTTAAAAAGGTCTGTTGAAAATCCTTCTATTAATGGACCAAGTTCTCCCGCTTTAGCACCTATCCGTTCAGCCCTATCTACAAAATTCTTATCTAGTCTTAATGATTCAGGTAATTTAGTACAATTAAATAATACAAAAAAACCATCTGGGATGTCGCGTATAAATGTATATGTTGATTCTGAAAATGACGAAAGATTTACTAAAAGTTTCAAAACTAGTAAATGGGATAATATTGGAACTATACAAGAAAGAAGAAAAGAAAATTATCAAGAAGCTAAACAATGGGTTGGAGAAAAACTTCCTATGAAAAAACAAAATCAACAATTTTTGTTTACAGAAAAATTTACTGTTTTTCGTGATGAAGTATCTTAAATTAAGTATATTGCTATATACTAATAAATAGTAGGAAAATAAAACATTTAAAGAATCATTAAATCTGTTTGAAAATCCGCCTATGCCTAAGAAAGAAGAAAAAATTGTAGTTAATTTAGAAGCAATATATTGTAAAAATGGAGAAGAATTTTCGCTAGATGAATTGAAAGCTAAAGCGATGGGTTTACTGGGAAAAACCTGGGAAGATAATGCGGCAGATAGTGCAATGGTTCCATTATGTTTTGAAAGTAAAACAGTATTAAAAGGTTTGATTTTAGACACAAAAATTATAGTATTCATATTATAATAGATTCGTCTCAAGCATTTGACCTCTCTAAAAAACAAGCATCACCTACTATCAATACAAAGGCAGCCTTGGCCGATATTTTTGACATTTTTAATCAACCTTTAAAATGCGAACAATCTGATAGTAGTTCAGATGAAAATAATAATGAGATTGGATATGAAGATAATTCAGTACAAAAACACATGGAAAATGTGTCACAATCCCAAGATTTGTTAGATGATGAATTCCATCCAAATAGTTTTAATGAAGAAAATAAAGATATTAATTACAAAGATCAAAGTGAAAGCATAAAAACTTTAAGAGAAAACGATAAAAATGAAACAATTCAGACTTATAATAGTTTTACTACACCAAGTCGTGAAAACGTATCTTCATTTCCGCTAGATAAGCATAGCTCATCTATTAATATAACGACACCTATAGTTGAAGATACTGAGCAACTTTTATTATTGAGTCATTTAAAACCTGAAAAAAAAGAAAAAATGCAATTTAATGAAGAAAGTGATCTAATAAGTACTCCTTATTTAAATTTAGAAAAAAAAAAACCAACACATTCTACGTCATTTAAACACCAATCTTTATCGAATTGCTATGTTATAAAAGAACCTATTTGTAATCCGTTCGAGGATAACATTCAAAAAACTATATTATCAAATTTAAATCCCTCAAATTTTTATGGCGGTTTTTATAATTTTTCAGATAAAATATATGGGAAATTGGATCTTGAACGTTTTAATAAGCCATCATTTAAAAAGTCTTCACACAATAATCAAGATTTATTAGTGAAATTAACTGAAAATACTAGTTATCTCATAAAAAAAAAGCTTGGAGAAGGTGCATTTGCATTTATATATTTAGCCGAAACTAAAAATTCTTCAAATTCTACGCCGCAACTAAGAGCTATTAAGATCGAGCGTTCTTCTATACCTTGGGAATTTTACATAATACGACAGGTAAAGCATCGTCTTAATTTACATCGTGCATTAGAGTCTATTATTGATGTATATGAAATGTATATTTATCGTGATGTTGGTTTTTTAATAATGAGATACCGGGATCAAGGAACGATTCTTGATTTAGTTAACATGTTTAAAGCAGAAACAGGTAATGGTGTAGATGAGGTTCTTGCTATATTTTTTACTATAGAGCTTTTAAGAACATTGGAACAGTTGCATAATAAACATATTCTTCATGGAGATTTAAAACCAGATAATTGTCTTGTTCGCTTTGATCCTGTTGAAACAGAGTGGCTTTCTAAATATCAAAAAGATGGATCAGGCGGTTGGGCATCTAAAGGAATTGTAATTATAGATTTTGGGAGAGGAATAGACTTAAAAATGTTTTCTCCTCATGTGCAATTTGTAGTAGATACACAAACAGACGAACAAGATTGTGCAGAAATGCGAGAAGCAAGACCATGGACTTATCAGATCGATTACCATGGATTAGCTACTATAATTCATACTCTTCTTTTTGGTAAACATATTGAAACAATTCCAGAAAAAACATTAGGACTAGGTGCAGTGCGTAAAAAATATCGTTTAGCTAGTGGATTTAAAAGATATTGGCAACAAGATCTTTGGAAAAAATTATTTGATTTGCTATTGAATCCAATAGCTAATGCTGGTGAAAAAGGTCTTCCTATTACTGAAAATCTTAAACAAGTACGTGAAGAAATGGAAATTTGGCTTGTAGAAAATTGCGAAAAGGGAATTGGTCTTAAAGGAATTATATGGAAAATTGAAACTTTATTGCAAGAACGAAAATAATATTGAATATATAAATTGATATGGGTATTTTATATTTAAATAATTCAGATTGGTTTAAATTTTAATAATTTAATATATAATTTTGGAAAATAAATATAAATTTATTTTATAAATATAAATTATTTTTGTATATATATTTGCTATGTAAATTCGAAATGAATTCAACTTATATTACATAAAATATTTTAATAGCTTTCAATTTATATAACTTTATGAAAAATAACATATAAATAAATTAAGTGTTTAATGTTTATAAAGCTTACAAGCAACTCTACTTAAATTAAAATATCTGCTTTATTAATAAAATTATAAAACAATTTAGAAGACAATTGCTTTCCTAAAATATACATTCTTAAATTCTAATAAATTTTTAATTTGAAAACATTATTTTTAATTAAATATTCATAAATATTCATAGAACCAATTATCGTTGAATGATTTTTATAAATTTATCAAATTTTTTATAAAACCTTATTAATTTAAAAAAAAAAGCTAATAAAAGACATAAGAAATAGGCATAAACGCAAAATATTTTACTACAATATATATTTATCATTTTTCTATTTTCTAATAAGATATATATTTCTAAAGATTTTATATTCTTGCATAAAATAATAACTTTAAGATATTTAAGAAAAAAACATATTAATATATCTAAAAACAAGAAATGAATAGATCAGGTCGTCAAACATTCAATCAAATAGCAGAAATGCTTCGTTCTCGGGCTGGTAACAGTGGACAAGGAGCTGGGAGCGGTAATCATAGTGCACTTATAGGAGTAGGACTGGTTATTGGGCTTGCAGGTCTTGGTACATTAGTGAATTTGTCACTATATAATGGTAAACCAGAAAATTAGTTTTTGAAACAGAAATAGAAAATACTAATTATAAACAGTGGATGGTGGTCACCGTGCTATTAAGTTTTTATATTTAAATTATAGAAAATAGTTAATAAGAGATTAGATACAGTAGAATTTCAGGAATCAGTCCAAAGATATATAGTGAAGGGACTCATTTTTTTATCCCTTGGCTTGAAACACCACAAATTTATGATGTTCGTGCTAAACCAAGAAATATTGCATCTCTTACAGGAACCAAAGGTTATTTGTTTAACATAAAAAGAAAAAAGATTATTAATAGCTATAAAGATTTACAAATGGTTAATATAACATGCCGTGTACTTTCTAGACCCAATGTTACTGCTCTTCCAACAATATATCGTACTCTTGGCACCGATTATGATGAACGAGTTCTTCCTTCAATTGTTAATGAAGTTTTAAAAAGCGTTGTTGCACAGTTTAACGCGAGTCAACTTATTACACAGAGAGAAAAGGTTTCACTTATCCTATAGCTTATACTTTATTGATTGTATAATAGGTATCAAGACTAGTTCGAGAAAATCTTGTTCGGCGAGCTCGTATATTTAATATAGAACTTGACGATGTTTCATGTATTTTTATGAATAAAAATTTTAAACACTACTAATTTTCATAGTAACACATGGTTTATTTAACTATTTTATCTAAATTATACAAACATATTAATGATTTAAATAGTGCAATTTTCTCCAGAATTTACTGCAGCGGTTGAGGCTAAACAGGTTGCACAGCAAGAAACACAAAGAGCCGCATATTTAGTAGACCGTGCTCGTCAAGAAAAGGTTCATCGGTTTCAATATTATATTATTTTTAATAGTATTTAGCAAGGTGCTATTGTCAGGGCTCAAGGGGAAGCAAAATCAGCAGAACTTATTGGAGAGGCTATTAAGAAAAGCAAAGGATTTCTGGAACTTAGAAAAATTGAAGCCGCTAGAGATATTTCACGCATTCTTGCCGAGGGCAATAATAAAGTATTTTTGAATTCAGAAAACTTAATGCTTAATGTTACCGAACAAAAGTATGAGGCCGATGACCAATACAATGATCTAATAGGCAGCAGGGATGAAGCAGTGAAAAAATAAAGTGTATTTTTTATATCTAATGTATTTTTCTTTATGTAGTTCATAAAAACTATACTTCCATCCAATATTAATACATGCCTAAATATTTCCTTTCAAAATACGTTCTGCTAGTTTCTCTTTAGCCATTTGATAGGCGTTCATAAGCCCTTTTTCACTTAAATCAACCTGGACAATCCCATCAGAAAACGACGGCCGTGAAATACGCGAAACAATAACAGATGGTTCTGTTTCTACAATAATTCTAGATAATATTAGACATACTAGCCAAAACCTGTATCATAAACCCGTTATCACATATCTCGTTCACTGCAAGAGAAAGTAAATCATAGTTTTCAAGCAGTGCATGTTTATCAATAAGCATTCTTGTCTCCATTAGAAACTCAAGAAATAGTAAGCTGTCAATCTACTTAAGAAGCATCTCCAATGTTTCTTTCAATGTCGTCAACACTTCATATAGCATCAATTCATTCTCATCCTGTCCTCCAACCACATATATCATAACATCTACTGATAATTTATATACAACTGTACGGTTTTCATATAAAATCACATCATTATTAGTCTTCTTTGTTTTCTCCCAAAGTCCTTTCTCAAATATTCGTTGTTCCTTTACTGTTGGATAAAGATTTGGATGAACATATCCAATTTGCGGAATTTCATGAGGAGATTGACAATACTTAGCAAACAGGCGATTCCCTGTTGAATCCAACTAAAAATATTAGTTTTTTATGTAAAAAATAACACAAAAACAATCAAAATAGCGTGGATTGTATAAAGTGTGAGGTTCGTCATATAATATGTGTAACGAGAGCAGAGTACAAGTAAATGAAGAGGTCGTTGGCATGGCAACAAGAGAATTAGAATGAAATATTTGATGAATTTTTTGGAAAAATGTATGAAATAAGCTTTAAAAGGATATATATGGATACTTAGAAGAGGAGGGATTAGTGTATTTTTGTGAGAGAATGAAAATTTGTCAAATGTGTTTATGAGCTTTAGTCTTTGCACGAGTATTAATGTCGTTTTTCCCCATCATTATCTTAACTGAAGGAACACAGAGGGGGGAGAGAAGATCAGAGTCCCTAAGGGAATGAATAAGTTCTTTTTCTCTTGGAAAAACCTTTTCTTTGTCGTTTAAATGTGGATCGACAGGCAAAGAATCCCAATATGCAAGAATACTGCGTACTGCTTTTCCTTTTTTTGTAGATCCAGGCTGCAGTTTAATTTTATATTTGTATTTAGCCATAGAAGAGTATGGTGCACAAATAGGAATTGCATCGATCAATATATCATCGGGTAGTGGAAAAGACACAAGTGCATCCAGATTTATTTCGTAATCCTTAAAAAAATTAGATTTGCAGAAAGAAGACAAAACTGTACTTTTTTATCTTCAGATGTTTTAGAATTGTCTTTTTTTTGTAAAAGTATGTTCTTTTTTTTAGGATTGTTTTGAGGAACCATTTGTTCAATATTACAATTTCCTTTTTGAGAAAGTTCTTTCACTTCCTTATTAGCAACAACTTTTTTTTTATTTTTATTATCTTTCAAGTTCTCTTTTTTTTTAGATACTTTATTAGACCCTAGTAACTCCATTCGCAAAGCCCTATCATCTTCATCTTGATCTGCGTATTTAAGCATTATTTTTTTTAATTTCCCTTTTTTCCCTCTTACATTTGTCGATAATAGGGAAGTATTTTTTTCTTTTGATTTACTTGTATCTATTTGTTCCGAATTTAAATTTGAATTATTTTGATTAAGATCTATATCGTCTGATTCAATTTTTTTTTGCTTTATCTTTTCTGTATTCTCATTTAATTCTTGATTTTTTTTTGTACGCATATTTTTCATGTCTCGTCTTTCCTTTATACTTATTCTTTTTTTTTCTATTTTCTGGTAAGAAGCACATATATCCGAAATAATTTGATTATTTGATATCAATGGCTCAACATATTCTTCTACACCATATTTATCTTCACTTTTTATTTCTTGTGTAGTTTTTACTAGTATATCTTTTAAATCTATTGGCAAGTTTTCTTGATTATTAGTTTCTTCAAAATTATTAAAATTATCTTCTATTTTAAGATTATTAGTATTCATTTTCTGTTCCTTATCATTTAATGAAAAATCAGCTATTTCTTCCGTAATAGACGCTGCTTCATTTGATATCGTATGAACTGATAACTCATTTTCATTATTTTTAGACAACTTATTTTCAAGACGACGTGCTTTGCTAACTTCATCAATAGTCCATAAAATCCCATATCCAAGAATAAGTTGCGACGGAGGCAAAAAATTCTTTTTTCCTTGAATCATAAATGTTCCTACAGTTGAATATTCTTCCATTTCTTCAACTTTTAAAACTTGATCATAATAAACCCTAAAAATTTATTATTAATAATGCTAATATATGTATATATACATATATATATTACCACCATGCACTTGTGACAATTTTACTAGTCCTAAAATAGTTGGTATAGTTTGATCAATAATAATTAAGTTATTACCATGCATTTGATTTAGCTATTGAAAATGCTCCAGCTTGGTTAAGAGTATTTGGAGGAACAAAGGATGAATCAATCATATTTTTAATAATAACAACAGCAGCATCTTTCAAATCAGCATGCACATATATGTCATTTTTGGAAAAATGATTTTGGATTAAAATTTTGTTTTGTAATAAATCATGTCCTGCTAATACTAAATACCCATCTGAACTAATAAACCACAAAAATTTCTCAAACCATTGTAAGTTTCTCATAGGAACTAACTTTTTTTTTTCTTGTGCAGTATTTCTTTTCAAATCAGAGTTAATTTTACGTTCTGCATTTTTCAAAGCTTTAGAAGATGCAGCTATTGTTTTCTCCTCTTTTACTGATGCTGCTTTTTTTTTTTCATAATAATCTCTAGCATTTGCTTGATTTGATTAATATTAAAAATATTATAGATGGATAAGTTTACTCCATGCATTTAAAGATAATTTAATATCAATATTTAACGTTTCCGTCTTATCATTTTGACCATTAAACAGACCAGTTGTTGAATCATTTTCATAGATATTATCATCTAGGTGTGGACAAGGTAATTGAATTGTAATAGTATTTGATTCTAATTTAAGAGGAAGTAATATTATTTCTGCAGCAGGATTACCATATTCTTTTTCTGTTTTTACTAATTTAGCAATGTCTTCCCTATTTATTTATTAAAATAAACTATATTATACATAATATCTGTATTTTACCAATCCATACTCCGTAAAACACAAGTGTTAACCGCTTTAATAGTTTCATCAACCTAAATAAATTATTATAACAGTTCAATAATTTTAAAACATACTATTTCTTGATTTTCTTCAATAGCTTTTGCTTTTTTTATACAAATATTTTGAAATTTTTGTAAATCATCAATCTTTTTTTGATGTTCTTCTTTTGTTATCTGTAAACGCCGATAAGCAATATCTTTTTGGTTTTTTAACTTCATGTCAAATTTTTGAGATTCTAATGAAGAAAAATATTTATCTATACAACTGTTGTATCCATCATCAAATGTAATAACAGAATAATTTGGATTATTAGAGTACTGTTTTGGAATAAACGGATTAAAATCTACATATATCTTCACAGGATCTGGTGTAGATTCTAATGTAATATCATTTAAGTTGATCCTAGTTTTTGATTCAATTTTTTCAACGATATATCCTGTGACAGAACCTTCTTCACATTTCTTGATAAGATCATCAGCTCTTTGAAACGATAAAAGTAAATGCTGTAAATTAATACTTTCTAATAAATCAGTAAATAAAATGAGAAAATGAATAGAAGTAAAAAATTATTAATGATTAATATACTAACCTATATTATGATAAAATTCGTCAATTTTCATATCTGGATCAATATTCGCATCTCTTATAATGTGCTCAATAAGCGCATTTCCATAATTGCTTAATTCCCAAGAAACCAATTTTTTTAAAGGAAGCTCTCTTGGTTTTTTTTCCTTTTTTGACGTTTTTTTAAAAGAAGTTGATAAATTCATTTGTTTAGGTAAAGGCTCTTCTTTTGGACTTAAATATTTGTCTTTCAATGTTTTTATTAAAGACCGTAAAACATCTTCTGTCATTTTTTCAACTTGTTTATTTTGAGGAGTAGGTGTAATTTGATACAATTGGCCAACAGAAAACTGTTGATGCATCCCCCCCGGACGCACAAGTCGAAGAAGAGAAAGTATTTTCATATCACTGTCTGTTAAAAGAATATTTCCTGCAGCGTAAAATTCAAAAATAAGATAATACTGAGGCTTAAATAATTCTACAGTTTCAGATCCACAACCAAAACCAAGATATACTACTCTATCACTATTAATCTGCTTTAAAGATACTAAACGCTTTGATTTCAAATGCTTTCGCAGCTTTGCACAAAATTGAGAAGGTAATGCCGCTGTTTCACGGACATAACATGTTAAATGGATCCGTGATCCGCTTTCCACAAGAAGATGCTCTTTATGTCCTGATGTTGCAAACTTAAATTGAAAAGTACGCTCTGAAATATCATATATATTTTGCAACCGTAATCCTATTAATTTTTGTAGCTCGCTTACAACACTTTTTAAATCTAAAATACTAAGCTGTTAACCACTGGTTAAAATTGATATTCAAAAAATACTTAAGCTTTTGTTTCATTTTAAATATATGTTTATAACTTTACATCATGATTTGCCATTATTCTTGGTTTTTATAGTTTTGTCAGTTTTTAACGTAATAAGTCGTTAGAACAAAGTAATAATCTATAAACGACTGTCTAGTAAACAGTCAAAAAAATAATGTTAAAGACTATGTTATAATAAATATAAAAATTATATATTAAACACAAATATTCATTTAAAGAAGACCACATTTTTTTGTGTCTTGTGTTTTTTTTAAATTTTAGTTTAATTGAAAGCCTTTTGAAAAGATTATAAATAATAATTTTAATATTTAACAGAAGACATAAAAGATTTTGTTAAGGATTAAATTAAAACATAAAAATAAAAACAATTTCATATTTTAAAGAAGTGTTTTTATATTTTTCTATTAACAAAATTAATAATTTGAAAAAGTTATTTAAAATAATAATAAGTTTTTCTTTAAAAAATAATAAAATGTATGGAACCTTCTTATAACATAATATCTTATTTTTTATATCTACTGAAGAATTCTGTTATATAACATATTTACTAAGACATTTTCCGACAAATATCAATATATCATGTATACCCTTTAAATTATATACCTTTTAAGTCAATTTTAAATGTATCTTTGAGCTTTTTCATGTATTATAACATAAAGTATATAGTTTATATGAAAAAAATTCAAATAAAAACATAAAATTGATTAGATATGTAATTTAATTTGATTATTTATAATACAAAATACATTTAATGAATAATAATATTTGTTATTATTAACTATTTAATGGTTATTTTTGAAATAAAAATATAAAATATCTTATAAAAAAGTAGTTAAAAATTTTCATAGGTATTCAAATATCATTTCAAATTTTACAATATACTTTATAAAATATAATTTGAAATAACTTAAAAAATAAGTTCTCTTTAAAAAAAGCTTTTATAAAAACATTTATTTATTTTTAAATGTAAAAGCCGGAATATAAAACTTGATTATATATGTTAATTTTCTAAACGACAAGATTTTTGTGATTAAATTTTCAAAAAAATGTAAGTTTATTTGCATCATTTCTTAAAAATATTTTTAATATATTTCTAGGATTTTAATTCCCTTTATATGTTTTTAATATTTTAAATTCTATCATTATTATTGATAAGATAGAATTTTAAATATGGTATAAATGTAAAAAAATGGAGAAAAATGATTTTTTAACCAGAATTTTACCTGTATCTTCAAAATCTATTAATTTTTATAAAAAAGAATCAAAAAAACATCATTTTGATGCAAGCTCTTTGACAATTTCATCGCCTGATACTCTTAAAGCACTTCAAGAGGCAGTACAAGTTCTTAAAGAAGGAATATTTCCTATAGCATTTCCTACAGAGACTGTATATGGTTTAGGAGCGGATGCTACTAATTCAAAAGCAGTGATGTCTATTTTTCAAGCTAAAAATCGTCCATCAGACAATCCTTTAATTGTTCATATATCCTCACTTGATCAATTACAACGTATGTTTCATTCTAATGTTGAAAAAATAGAAACAGAAGACATTATTCCTCCTATTTACATGCCTTTAATTGATCGGTTCTGGCCAGGTCCTCTTACTATTATTCTTCCAATTAAAAATTTTAAAATTTCACCAATTGTAGCCGCAAAAAAAGATACAATAGCTATTAGAATGCCATCAAATCACATTGCTTTGGCTATCATTGCACTTTTTGACATGCCTATTGCTGCACCATCTGCTAATATTTCAACGAGACCTTCATCAACACTTGCTTCACATGTATATCATGATTTTAAAGGGAAGATTCCTATCATTATAGATGATGGTCCATGTCATATCGGCCTAGAAAGCACAGTAGTTGATGGTCTTGTGGATCCTCCAGTGATCTTAAGGCCAGGAAGTATTACTAAAGAACAAATCAAATCATGTGGAGGTAAATGGAAGAACGTTCTTGTCTATACACATAAGGACACAAATGAAGTTTCAGAAACAATTCCACGTGCACCAGGTATGAAATATAAACATTATTCACCTAAGGCAAAAGTTGTATTATTTGAACCTACATCTGAAGAATCTGTGATAAAATGGGTTACACAAAATATTGATGTTAATATTGAAAAAAAAACACTAATTGGAATCATGAGAACAATGCATTGGAAGTGGGAGCATTTAAAGGAAATTTATTTAAAATGGAAAACTCTAGATTGTGAACTTGGGTGTACTGGTAGTGAAATTACTAAAAATATATTTTCTTCATTAAGAAATATGGATCTTCAAAATGTAAATATAATTCTTATTGAAGGCGTTTCGGAAAAAGACGAAGGGTTAGCAATAATGAATAGAATTAGATGTTCAGCATCTATAATTGTTTTGAACTAATTTTCCCCAATATTTATATTTTTTGGTTAACATTTTGTATCATTTCTGGAAATAAAACATATTTTATTTTAAGATGCATTTTAAAAATAGTGTTTTTAGGATCTCAACTAAAGAAACTATTAATAATATAATACTTATAAAATGTAACAAGTAATATAAAACTATGCGATTTCATTATCTAGGTTTTAACAATATCACATCATACAGCTATGAATGATTCTTTTACTATATTTTTTTGTGTTTTTAATTTCCGTAGCTCATCAGCCCAAAAAATACTACTTGTAACAACAATTAAAAATAAAAGATCAGATAAACTTAAGGATTCTGTATGAAATATTCTTTGAAAAAACGGTATATAAATAACAGATATTTGTCCCAAAAAAGATCCTAAAATAGCCAGATTAAACATATGATTAGAAAAAAAGCCTATATTGAAAATAGATTTTGTATTAGAACGACATGTTAATACATTAAATATATCAAAAAAAACAAAACAAGTAAAAGCCTATAAAAATTAAAAAAGGAAAAATAATAATATTATAATTATACCATAGTAGTAGATTTGCGTTCTGTACTTCTATTTATTTCAAATATATATATAAAAAATGTCCCAAAAACAATGAGAAATGCAGAAATAAAAACTTTTTTAAGAAGAGCTGTTGTTAAAAGCGGGGTATTTTTTTCACGAGGATGGTTTGAAATAACATTTGAATGAATAGATTCACAGCTAAGACTTTGTGCAGGAGGACCGTCCATAAGAATATCTATAATTAATTTTTTTGTTAAAAAATATGTATGTAATACTTATCCATAAAATTTGTGTAGCAGTTAAAGGATTCTGAAAACCAAAAATTACAGCAAAAGATACCAAAGAAAGCGCAGCAATAGATGTTGATAATTGAAATGTTATAAATGCACTAATATTATGGTAAATTCCTTTGCCTAATAAAACATAAATATCAATAATTAATGTTAAAAATTAACTTACCTTCTTCAATTGCATTTAAAATAGTTGAAAACGAATCATCAGTCAATATCATATCTGCTGCTTCTCTGGCCACGTCAGTACCATATTTTCCCATAGCAATACCAATATTAGCAAGCTTTAAAGCAGGAGCATCATTAACACCATCACCTATCATTGCAACTATATTACCCCTTGTTTGAAATGCTTCTATTATTTTCATCTTATGTCTAGGAGTAGTTCGAGCAAATATATTAATATTGCTTATGGCCTCAGAAAGTTGTTTATTTGTCATTTTTTCAAAACTATTACCAGATATCACATTTTCAAATTGCTGATAACCCTGATTAATCTTATGTGATTTTGGATACTGAATCGGTATGCCAATGTTATATGCAGTTGATAGAGCAGTTGCCTCTGAATCTCCTGTTATTATAACAACTCTAATAGAATTCTGAAGTAAACGTTGGATAGATTCTTTAATATCTTTTTTAAGTGGGTCATGTAGTCCAATAAGACCAGCTATAGTAAGGCCTTGATTAGAAGAACTAGATAAACTGGCTAAAGCTATAACTCTCAAGCCTTCACTGGCCATGTTAAGAGCAGCTCTATCAAATTTTTCAATGATATCTTTTGTCAATGGTATTTCTATTGCATTTTTTTCTAAAGCAGAAACAGATTTCATACGTATTTCTTCATAAGAACCTTTTACATATACAGAACTTAAAGATGGAGTCATAGAAGAAGGATATGCTGTAACAGACATCCATTTTCTATTTGAAGAGAAAGGGATTTCTTGAGTACGTGTATATACCTGTTTATTGTTAAAAATGTTTGATAATAACATTAAAATTACCATACGATTATCATTATACCCATATCTTTCAATTAATTCCATAATTGCAACATCAACAGATTGACCAATGAATTTTCTGTTGTTACTTTTTCGAGCATTATTACAAAGATTGGCTAAAAAATATGTTTAAATGTTAAAAAAAAAAAAACTTACCAATATTTAAAAGACATTTAAGAGTTTTGTCATTAGTAAATAATGGTTTTTTCAAATCTGACGAAATATCTATGAGGCCATCTTCACCCAATGTAAATATCTTTTGTATAGTCATATGGTTTTCAGTTAATGTTCCTATTTACAATTAAAACATATAAAGATAAATATTAAAATAAAAACCAGTTTTGTCACAACACATAATGTTAACACTTCCTAATGTTTCAACACTTGGCAAGTTTTTAACGATTGCTTTTTTATTTGCCATACGATGAACCCCTAAAGCTAAAGTAACACTCACAATAATAGGAAGACCCTCAGGAACAGCCGCAACGGCTAAAGATATAGTAATAGTAGACATTTCTAGCCATGATCTTCCTTGTAGCAGTCCTGTTAAAGATATTATGACTATAACAATAATAGAAAACAAAGAAAGTTGTTTTCCAAGTTCATCCATAGATTTTTGTAACGGTGTTCGCGGTGATTTTATCTAAAATTAATAAATACTAATAAAAATATTAAGTGTTATTGTACGCGTTGAATATCTTCAAAAATTGAACCAAACTCTGTATTTTTTCCTGTTCTTATTACAATACCTGAACCACTACCTATATTCATTAAATTTTACAAAGACACTAATAAAATATTACCGTGCTTTACCAATGTTCCCATAAATCCAATACATCTTTGCTCACTGATAGGAACAACCAGTCTGTCTTCTCGAAGTGCATCAGTATTTTTACAGACTGCATTCGTTTCACCAGTCAAATTTGATTCATCCAACTCAAGATCAATCGCCTATATACCCTGATGAGACATTTAAATATCTACATATGTGCAGATACTTCAGTAATTCGTAAATCTGCAGGAATTCGATCACCTATTGAAAACTTGATCAAATCTCCAGGGACAAGTTCTGATGCAGCTATATATTGATTCTCTCCATTTCTAATTACATGACAATTATATGATACCATATTATTTAATGCTTTTAAAGACTTTTCTGAGTGATATTCCTGCAGAAATCCCACTATTTAGTACATCAACTAGAAATCAGAGAAACGTTAATATTTTACCTGAAACTACCATTATGAGCGCCTATACGATATTATTAACCAGTATTCTCAACAATGTGTTATTTTAATACATACTATTATAATACTTACTGCATCATTAACATTGCCCACAAATAAACTTATTAATGCACTTATAAGTAACAACATCATCAAAAAATTATCAGTTAATTGTTTGAAAAACCGAAAAAAAAGAGATTCATTGCTTTCAATAGTTGTTTTATTAATACCATAGATAGACTGACGATATAGAATGTCTTCATGTGTCAACAGACCTGTTTTCCAAGATGTATGAAGTAGTGCACAACATTCTTCAACACTTGAACGAAAAAAATCCGTTTTAAGGCAAATTTCAGAAAAAGAATCATGATTCCATGAATTCCCGAGCTTATCTGAAGGTTTTACTGGCATTTCTAATAATTATAATTGATTATAAGTTCATTTTACCTATATTATGAGCCTTTTCTACGGTTGATGATGAGTAAAATCGGAGTATTATAGTTAAAATAAGGAAAAATATAATAAAATAATTTATAAATAGTTTATATAAATAGTTTATATAAATAGCAATGTAAATAGCAAAGAATAATGTGATGATATTTAATAGTAAATATAATGAAAATAATTATTAAACGAATGTCAAGCCGTATATAATGTAGATGCTACACGACCTCCATGACCTGTCCAATTAATATGAACATTTTTGGCCTCTTGAGAAGCAGTATTTGATGTTTTTGGAAGAAGTTGAAGAGTATGTGCGCCTAATAAGTAAGTACAAAGCGTAAAAGAAAAACGAAATACCAAAATAATCTCTTTGGGCTTGGATTAAATTAGATGGAAGATGTTCACTTCTATATCCATCAAAAAATGAAAGAGCAGTTGAAAAAGCAGGCGTTGGAATTCCCATTTCAGCTGCACTTGCAACAATTTTTCTCCACGAAGGCTCAGCAGTTAATATGGCATTGTGGAAGAATGGTTCTAACAAAACATATAAGAAAATATATATTTTAAAGAGATCATTACTTAGTAAAAGATTTTCCAATTCAGGTGATTCTAAATAAGCTTTGGAAATTTCTTTTAAAAAAACACTACGAATAATACACCCACCTTAATTAAAATTAGTATAATATTAATGAGAAGACTTTGATACCTTGCCACATATGTGCAATGCTAGAGTTATCAAGTTTCCAATTATAATTAGTAGCAGCATGTTTCATTAGCATAAAACCTTGAGTGTATGAAATGATTTTGCTGGCATAAAGTGCCTTTTAAATTTTAGATATGATATTATATATATAATAAAATCTACCTGTTCTAAATGGCAAATGAATTCTTTTTTGTTCCCTGTGTATTTAGTATTTAATCTTTGAAATTTTTTAGAAACATTAATTCTTTCTTCCTGCATATTTGAAAGAAATCTAGAAAAAACAGCCTCAGAAATAAGAGTTGCTGGTACACCTAAATCAAATGCAGAAATAGCTGTCCATTTTCCAGTACCTATATAGAATATTGAGTTTATGTATACATTTTAATAAAAAAATAAATACACCTTTTTGCCCAGCAGAATCCATAATTCTATCAATTATATATTCGTCATTATCATCTTTATAACGAAAAATATTACAAGTAATTTCAATTAAAAATGAATTAAGAACACCTTTATTCCATTGCTCAAATATATCACCAATTTCTTGATTACTCATCTCAAGGCCTCGTCTCATCAAATCATACGCTTCACTGATTAGTTGCATATCACCGTATTCAACCCCGTTGTGAACCATTTTGACATAATGTCCTGCACCAGATTCACCAACCCAATCACAGCATGGCTTATCATCAGAGTAAGCAGCAATAGTTTGAAAAATATGTTTAATATGCTTCCATGCATCAGAATTTCCACCAGGCATAATCGATGGCCCATGCCTAGCACCTTCTTCTCCTCCTGATATTCCGGTTCCAACGAAAAGAATACCTTTAGCTTTCAACCTTTCATAACGAGTATTAGTGTCAACAAAATAACTGTTTCCACCATCTATATCTATTAGTATTTTAAAGAATAATTACTTCTTTTACCAATGATAATATCTCCTTTTTCAATATAAGGAAGAAGAAGTTCAATAAACTGATCTACTGGCTCTCCTGCTTTAACAAGAAGCATTATGCAACGAGGATGCTTTAAAAAAGAACAAAATTCTTCAATGGAATGTGCACCAACAATAGGCTTTCCTTAAATTATTAATAAATCCTAAATCAAAAATCACAAGAAGCTAAACCTTGAGCCTCATTTTCCAAAAATTGATCAACTTTTGATACTGTTCTATTGAATACAGCAACTGTGAACCTACAAATTGTCTATAAGAATCAAGATTTACTAAATTAATTGCTCTTAAAGAGCAAAAAATTCTATTAACAAACCCTTTATCTGCAGCATTTAAAACAAGATTTTGCCCCATAACGGCCAATCCAATTAGCCCAAAATCTACAGAACCAATTAAAAAGATGTACTTTGCTTGAAAAAGGAACTTGAGATTTACCAGCACTATATATTTTACTTGATTTAAATGTACTGATTTATCAGTACATTTAAATCGGTTTCTTATCAGTTTTAATTCTAGAAAAAAACACTTATACATACACTTTTTTTGAATTTAAATAAGCCATATTTCAATGACAAAATTTCTACTCCAATCAATGTTTTTTTTTGCTTTTAATTATAGATTATTTAATCGTCAAATAGTAATCGGCACCGTTGAATTAGTTATGAAGAATATTTGAATTTCAACGTATATGTACTTATATATATATAAATATACAAAACCAAGTGCAATAAATGAATAAAAGCACATATAGATATATATAACAAATATATGTAAAATTGGGCATGGTAGCAGCCCAAAACATACAAAAAGTGTGATTAAAAAAACTAAATTATTATTTGAAACAATAAAAAAACAAGAATTCATTTAAAGAAATAGACCATGCTAAAAACTAACGATAATGGTGATCGGCTGTGTATAAATCAGAAAAAGAACAGGCTTATAAAATATAAGATAAACTTTACCTTGAATTGACTTGGCAATCTCAGCTTCCCATTTATCACCATTAGCAAGAAGCTTTTCTTTGTTATACAAGAGCTCTTCATGTGTTTCTGTTGCATATTCAACATTTGCTGTCTCAACAATAGCATCAACTGGACAGCTTTCCTGGCAATATCCACAATAAATACATTTTGTCATATCTAGGCCCAGTAAGTCCATGATACATAGACTATCATAGTCAATCAAAATACCTATATCATATCGTGTTGTCCGACGGGAGCCATCTGCACGTTCTTCTGCTTCAATAGTAATAGCCTGAGCTGGACAAACTGCCTCACAGAGTTTACATGCAATACAACGTTCCTCTCCTGTTGGATAACGACGAAGAGCATGTTCTCCTCTAAAACGTGGAGAAACTGGCCCTTTTTCAAACGGATAAAACAGTGTATATCTGTAGTTTTGTTCTCATCAATATTTGTCCTATCAGACTAAAAAAACCTACGGTGTTCGAAAAAACTGTTCTAAAGCAACATACATTCCACGAAGCATTTCTGGAAGTAAGAAGTATTCTCCTGCTTTATCTATAATAGATGATTTTGTCGCCTGTGATTTAGCTGGTGGCTGTGGACGAAAACCAGCTGGTGGTGCTGCTCTAACAGGTTTTGTAGAAACAATATTTCTATAGAAAATACGAGGATTTATTGATAAAAGCTTTTTCATTTTCTATTCAAAAATATCCTTAATTTCTTGATATCTTAGTTGCCTTCATTTAAGTGTAGTCGTTGATATAAAATCATATTAGCAAGAGTTTCTATGGAAACCAGACACCCGATAAATGTTACATAAGCGATCCGTTTGAACGTCAGTATATTTTGCTGTCAAAGATTTTGTGAGAAAAGGTTGTTTTCAGAGTGTATTTTTAAGTAAAATCTGTTTGTCTTTGAAAGGATATATAAGTTTTTGGGTAAAGGTTTTTTTCTGGTTTTTTTCTGGCCTTTTTTCTGATTTTTTTAGTCTATTTTTAAATGGGAAAAGTGAGTTGGTGTTGTTTGAGCTTAATGTGCTAATATTTGTATTTTTATAGGTTCATGGATCTCTTTCACGGTGAGTTTTACTAGGGAAATATGTTTTTTGCTGATTTATGTGTTTGTAGTGCAGGAAAAGTAAAATCGTAAGGGCTATCTAATAATAAAAATATTAATTCAAACAAAAACAGGCAAACGCCAAAAGTAGAGAAGCAGGAGAAGCCAAAGAAGGCCTGTGGACGTGCACGTAAACGGATATTATACAATCGCCGGTTTGTTAATGTCACTTTGTCGTCAACTGGGAAACGAAAGGTATCTATTTTGCGTGTGCTTTTGGCAATTTACAAGGGATCTAGATGAATCCAGCACCAAAATCATAATTTTTTTCTTAAATTAGACAAATGGGTTATTTACAAAGCATTTGTTTTTAATAATATTATGTTTGATCTTAACATATTCAATAATTTATTATAGAACTTATTATGTTTATTAGGACTTTATGTATTTTTGTTTATTATAAATATATTGCAAATATTAATTTTCATAATGTTTAATTCTAAGAATCAAGCCTTGATTTTATTTAGAACAAATAGTATCCGCGGATGTGCATATTAAAGAAATTAAGAATAAAAAATATTTTTTGAATAAACACTTTATAAATATTAAGACTGCATAGCTATAAATAATATAAATTAAGGGATCCCGAATATATATACACTGTTATAGCAAAACATTGTAAATAAAGATATCCGCGAACACTTATTAAATATATCTGTCAGCAGTATTATCAGGAAGGCTGTATATCGATAGAGAGCAAAAGATAACTCTGAGAAGAAAGAAAAGTCGATGGAACAACCTGAAATCCAACCCAAAGAAGATTACCAACTAAAGTTTCTATGGGACTAATAAGTCATGAAATAAGAAAAAAAGACTTACTGAACCCAGGAGAGGCTTTCTTAATACGAATAAACATCTTTTGGCAGAAAACGTAGTTTGAGACAAAATCTATAATTGCAATTAACCTAATCATTATAAGACTTATAATTCACAAATAACTAAGAAGGGATATAAGATACCTTTTCCTCAAATATGGTTTAAAACAAATATCTCCAATAAGATATATGTTACGTTGATTTTTAGAAAGAGTAATTACACCACGACATAATATTTTGCCATTTTCATTAATACTAATACTTTCAATAATATCGTTTTCCATAATTCCAAACTCTTTCCACCATATGCCATAAATTAATCTTTCTCTTAATGCACTAGCCTCTAAATTGCTTCCCATGGAGGATGATCGCACATAATTAGACTTGCCATTTTGATATGCAATATTGCTGAGTATATCTACAAATATCTCTGAAAATGGACTTATATCTAAAGATACACTTGAAAATGTGTCAGGAGACATATCTAGAAATATATTTGATGGCTCCTTTAGAGACACATTCAATGAAAGAAAATCATCACACGAGACCTGTATAAAATTCTAGTATACTAAACACATTATGTGCTTCCATTCACCTCAGGGACACCATTGCATATCTCTTTGACGGGTAGCAGAATAAATATACTTACGAGACTGAGCTGAAGTTGTATGTTTTAATGGCTTTACAAAACATGATAATGACATTTTATTGCTGTTTGCTTCTACCTCGTCATCTATAACCATAGAACATGGTGACATAAGAATTTCATTATCAAATTCATTTTGACTATTTAAATAATAAATTGTATTAGTGTGTGCCATGATAATATAGTTTGATCTTTAGTAAATGTCTTCTTAGGAATAATATAAAGCTGAATATACTGTTAAATACATTTTTTTGCAAAAACTATCTATTATACTTACTCTTAAAATCTACAGAGATTTTGTATAAAATTAAAAATATTTGGAAGACCGATCCTTTATAATTTTTAGGTTTGTCTCAACAACTTAAACATAATTAATATAATGATTAAAATAAATCAAGCAAAATATAAATTATACATGATTATTAATAAAATAAAATTATTGATATTTTTATAACAATTTTTATAAGAAAATAGAATTTACCTATAGTTGATAATTTAAAGTTATTTTAAAAATAGAAATTATAGATTAGAAATAATCAAATTGTAAAACTGAATAATAAAATTGAATATAACTAAATAATAAAACTAAATAAAAGATTTGTATGAGAAGCTTAAGGGTGTTTATTGAGATAAAAAGAATGTTTTATGTATTGATAATGTACAAAAAAAGTACAGGCATTGAAATATATTTTGATTTGAATAAAATGTATTTGAAAAAGAAAATAATGAAATGATTGGAATAAAAAAATATGTTTATGAATGATTGAAGTTTTTTTCCTTACTAAAAATGATATTTTTTAAAATAGATAAAATTTGAAAAAACATTGTAAGCTTCAAGAAAATAAATTTCCTTGTCAAAATAATATTGATTTTAGAAGGTTAAAATTTTTATAAAAATAAGATTTTTTTAAAAAATGGAATAATATAGTTAAATATAATTTTTAAAAGAATAAAATTATACATATATAAGTTTTGAAACTGAGGTTTTTATAAATGCAGTTGAAAAATACAATTTTTAAAACGTAATTAGCATGTTTTTGTTACCTCCTCTAAATGCGGCCTAGTTTTATTTATGTTGGTATTAGAAATATTGACATTTTTATTACAATCATTATTTGCAAACGTATTTTCATCACCTGAATTTGGAACCTTACAAGGAACTGTTTTTTTTTTTTTTTTTACTAATGAATTGAGGTCATTTACATTAGAAATCATTTCAGAGAGGGTTCTTTTCATATTATTGTGCGATTTTCCTATTATATCTTCAAAATTAGATGTTATTTCCAGTTTTTCAGAAGGTTTTTGTAATTCATCAATCTATGTTTTTATTAGTATTATAGTATGTTTTTCAAAGTGTTAACCTTTTGTCTAAGCTCTAAAAGCATTTCTTGCATGTCATCTACTTCTTTTATTTGTTTTTCTTTGCCTTTTTCACATTGCTGCTCAATTTCAATACGTTTTTCTAAACTTTTGATAGCCCATTCAACATGTTCAATAGCTTTTTCACGCATATCGGCACCTTTCAAAAACTCAAGTGCTAATGCAAGTTTATAGTGTGCTTCACTAATTAATGAGGATTCTAAAGGATAAACTTGAGATTTAAGGTCAAGAGCAGATTGAAAATCAGTTGATGCCTGTTGAAAGTTTTCTGCTGTAAATTAGAGCACAAAAATTCCGCCTAATCCGTCCTACAGACCATTTTCAAGAGAAATTTCTCCAAGTAAATCATATGTATCTGCAAGTTTTTTTTGAATCTCATGATGCTCTGGAACTTTTTCAAATTCTATCAGCACCTCTGCTTGGTTGTTTTCTATTGCATTCAGGATTTTTTGGTACAAAATCCTTGCAAAATCCAGTGTTTCCCATGCAACTCCAAAATCATCTTCTTTTTCCATTTCTTCTTCACTACTTTCGTCACTAGATAAATTAAATACCCTTTTCATATGTTCCTTGGACTTCTCCTGCATCATATTCGATATAGTTTCAACAGGTGCTGCACCTATTCATTGATCAATCTTCATCTTCACCCATATTTAAAAATGACCTTTCAGTGGCAACCCCGCCCCTCCAAAGACACCGCTTTTTTTTACTGCCAAATGAAACAATGCCCTTCCATATGCATAAATCACATCTACGTTTATCAAACTAGTCTCTCCCCGTGCTTCAACTAAACGTTCTAATGCCCAACTATACGCTTCTACTGCTTCTTCATATTGTTTTTCTCTATAAAATTGTTCTGCTTCCTTAAGACCCTCAAGAGCCGCTTCATAAGTGTCAGATGTGCTATTTTCAGTGTTATTTTCTGCTATTTCTCTCCTAATAGCTGTGTCTTCTGTCATTTAGTCTGTTAATTGATGTCAGTGGTACACGTCTAGCGGATTATGGAGGGTCGTCGTGGAAACCGTTTCTATGACAACGCTTTTCGAAAAGTCAAAACAAACGATATGTTGGAAGAAAGATGAATGCAGAGTTTCTTGACGATGAGTTTTAGATATTTCTCCAGCAATTACACCTTTTATTGTATTACATGTAAAAGGCCCATGAAAAGATCTGCTATCAACTATAATTTATGCTTTCGAGTCGTTACCATAGTAACAGCGATAATATTCAAGATTGTAATATACGATAGACGTGCAGAAATAAAACAGCAGGAAAATTTTGTAAATTGAGGAAGTAAGTAGTTTTTATTATTCAATGACTTTAATTTTTGCTTTAGGGATTCTTTTAAGAAGCATCAGTGCTTTTTTTCTGAAAAAAACAGTGAAAAATGAGATAATATAGTATAATTTTTGAAATAAGAAAAAGCAGTTTTTAACAGTCGAATAAGAGACGAAGAATGGCACAGAATACACTGTGTGCACAGCCTTCAGGTAAATATGTAGGATCAAAAACACCTCTCTTTCTGGGCGTAAGTATTGAGCTATCACAATTGCGGCCAATTGCATTTCGTGTATTTACAAAAAGACATAATTTAACATTAAAATCCGATGCTTTTAAGGAGCTTGCGGCTTTTATAGGAAGAAAATGTGGTCAGAACTGGCATGAAGAGAGTGAATCTGTACTGGATGAGATTGCTCGGCTTTGGAAGAAATCTCAAGGTTTGTAACTGTTTCTTGATAGATTTGTATTAAAAATATTAAGAAAACAATTTTCTTGTCTCAGGTCATTTGCTTCTTCCTATTCTTAAAACATGGAGCTTGTCATATAGTTCAAAATTTGCGGAAGGACAAGTATCAACCTTATTGGATAATAATACACTCTCCAACACGCCATTGAATGCAGTATCAGAAAATAATTTTGACACCAAAGAGTTTTTTGTGTATGTAGATGCTTTTACTCAACCAAAATATGTTTTTGATATGACACACAAGTTATTTAAACGGTAATATTTTTTATGTAATAACATGTACCTACCTAATTTTTATAGCTCAGACGAATTGCCCAAAATATTTGGAAATGCTTCACATAAAATTTCAATTTATAGAGAGAGATTTTACCTTATTAAGCAAAGATTACTTTCTAATCCAGCATTTCAAGAGCCAGGGTTTTATGGATTGATATTTCATAAAGAATGGCATAAGTTAATTATATTTAAATAGTTTGTTTTTATTTTTCTGAACATTATTGTAGATAACTTCTATTAAAAATCTTTTGGGTAGAATTGGAAAAGAATTTATGTTACTTGGAATGATATCATATGGTCCTGATGGAAAACTTTGGTTAGAAGATACAGATGACAGGATTATGTTGGAAACAGATGAAGCAATTAATGGAGGAGGGTGGGTTGTCCCAGGGTGTATTATATTAGCAGATGGCATATATTTGGAAAATGGAGCATTTCATGTATTTGTCTTTGGACATCCTCCATGTGAACCTAAACATTTATCAGAAAAATTATTTGAACATGTTGACTTTCTGGGAAAGAATTATGATGAATTAACAAAAAAACGCTTAAAAGATGAAGAGGCAAAACTTGATCATATACGATTTGTATTTGCGGCAGATGTTATGCTTGATGATATTTCAGTATTTAATATTTTTTAACTGAAGGATTTTACTTATTTGTACTAGACTATGAAAGCTCTTAGAAAAATGCTTAATATGTATGAAATACGGGACGATATTTTCCCTGAAGCTATTGTTTTAATGGGAAGTTTTATTTCTGCACCATTTCATAATAATGGATTTTCAGCTGATTATAAAGGTATAAAATTATATTAACTAAATACATTGACAATAATAAATAAAAGCATTATTTAACTCATTGGCGTTTCTATTAGAATCATTTCCGAAACTTACACAAAAGTCAACTTTTATTCTTCTACCTGGACCTAATGATCCTTGGGCACAAGGAGGCATACCGCTACTTCCACAGAAGGGAATTCCTAAAGTTTTCACCAACAGGATTAGAAAATTATGTAAACATGTAATTTTTGCTAGCAATCCATCAAGGTATATTTACTTAAAAACCATACTATTCTAACTTATTAGATTATTATATTTTACACAAGATATTGTATTATATAGGGATAATACCATGGAGAGACTAAGAAGACATTCGCTTTGCTTTAATAGTATACATATATCATCTATTCATGAAAATGAACCAAATGAACCAAATGAACCAAATGAACCAAATGAACCAAATGAATCAAATGAATCTAATAAAAATCTGAATAATGATGTGTCTATAAATAAAGTAAAAAACAATATTAATGAACAAGAGAACAACATATCCGATTGTTCATCAGACTCTCAACAAACTCAAAACGTATTTTCATGATTTTTTACATTCAATTAACTTATTTAGCTCGTTCGGACTTTATTGGACCAATCTCATTTGTCTCCATTTTCTTTATCCTCCAGACCAACTTTATGGGATTTTGATCATACTTTAAGACTTTATCCAATACCGCATTTGGTATGCTTTTGAAAGATTATATGAAATAAACTAACACATAAAAGATGGTAATTGCTGATACGTCTTGCCATGCTTTTCACATTTCTTACTGTGGATGTCTTAGCATAAACCCTGGGAAATTAGCATATAGCCATAAAGCATCTTGGGCAGAATATAATCCAACTAAAAATAAAGTGACTCTTTTTCAAGAACTGATATGATTTTAGAGGTGGCAAACCAATTTACACGAATACTTATAATTCCAAGAATTAGTTTGTCGTCAAATGTTTGTGCATGTTTGCTAGTTTCTTCTTTGATACGGGTGAAAACCATGGCCTCGTCCGTTACGGGAATACCCCATTCTATGATTACGCGAAGAAAGTGTAGGTTTAGATGGTCCTGTTGGTGCATTAGGGGGTGGCGTTGATTGTGAAGGAAGAACAGGTGGTGATGTTATTTTTGATGCAGGTGTTTTTGATTCACTCTTCTGAATATCTTTTTGAGGTGGTTGAGATGGTTCTTTCTGTATTTCTGTATTTCCATTATTATTAGATATAGAAGACGGTTCTTCATTTTGACTTGGTCCAGGTGTTGTAGTTGGGTTAATTTCATTAAAATTCCCTATAGGACCCATCATACCATTTATTTGACCCAACATAGGATTCATTGGCCCCATATTCATGCCTATTGGAAAACCTGGTATACCCGCCATACCGGGCATCCCAGGAATACCAGGCATAGTGGGCATGCCTGGTATTATACCTCTACCCATGCCGATTCCAGTAGGAATTTGCATACTTCGACCCATAGTTTGCATAGCAGTCATATATGCCTGCATCCTTTGATAATATTGCGCAACAACCGCAGGTGACATGCCTCCGTAAAACTGTTGCATGACTTGTGGATCCATTGGGAAACTGAATCCATCATTATTTTTACCATAAAAATTTCGTTGATAATTGCATCCGCTCATGTCTTTTTCTTTCGTATTCACACGTTCTTTTATATTTCCTTTAGGTGTAGCACGCTTTACTTCAATCTATAACGTGTTACCTATTTGCTTATTTTATAAATTTTAAATAACCTGTTTATCATGAATCGCAAGATAAGGCTGTGACATGGCATTTTCTACTGCAGCATCCGATTCGAATGTTACAAATCCAAATCCACGAGGCCTCCCTGTATCTTTATCAATCATTAACGTGGCATCTATAACTCTTCCAAAAGCACTAAAAAATTCCCTAAATTCATCTTCTGTACAATCTTGTGAAACGCCGCCTACAAACATCTTAGCCGTTTTCTCTTGTTCTTCCCTAGGAATTGCGCGTTTTGGATCAATCTTGTATTCTATTAATTTATCTATACATATTTATATAAAGTACTTTACAATTTTCCCGTCAAGATAATGTTCTTTTACCATAACTGTATTCACACACTTGGGATCCTTGAATGTTAAGAACCCAAAACCTCTGGATCGACCTGTAGAGCTGTCTCTCATGACATTACATTCGGTAACTTCTCCAAATTGCTCGAAATATGCTCGAAGAGACTCTAATAAAACAGAGATAAGAAAATATTAAATAAAACAGCAATCTTATTCATACCATCAGTGGTTTCCCAATTTAAACCTCCAATAAACATTTTCCTATAAAATATATTATCAGTATTTTTCTAAACTATATAATAGTAATATGAATGTTTTTTTTTTTTTGAAATATAAACCTAATGCTGTTTTTTTAATCTAATTTGAAAAAATAAACGCACTAAAGGAACAAGCCAGCTTATTTTTTTGCATCTGACTTTTAGTCCCATTTTCTAATATAAAAAGCTTCTTTTTAAATACACACGGATATTCCTATGGTATCAAAAGGATGCAAAAAACACACAAAAACATTATCCACCCATCTACGGACTTGAAAACCTTATATCCAAGGCCTTCATTGACTTTTACATACCCATCTTCTCGAAAAGTAGACCCTATTATGTCAGAGTGTGTTTGGTCCGAAGATTTTGATAATTGTGCATCTACTGCAGACAAACTATCATCCACGCCACTTAACCCCACTTTTTCTACATCCTGAAACTGCTGTTCGTTCTTCCCCCCCTCTATCGCCTCTAAAACACTTTTTTCTTGCAAAAGAGGCGATACAATTTTCGATGAAACACTATCAGAAGCTTTATCTTGCTTTTTAGAGGCATTGCTGGGCTCTTTCACTGCACTTTTCTCTATTTCTATGTAATTTGATTGTTTTTGCTCTGTTTCTTCATCTCCACTAAAAAAAAACCATTAATAGTCCAATTTGAATACTTCAAAAGGGATATTACTAAAGATCTTTAAAAAGATCATCTTCTTCGTATTCTTCCATGGAAAACAGATTTTTTCTAGTTTTTAATTTGTAAAAAACTCTGTGTTTTTTCTTACCGAAGTTAATCGTGATTTTACCGGACTTTGTAGGATGTGAAAAAAGATAGTATTTAAAATACAGTATGAAATGACAAGAGTTAAGCAGGTTTGTGTTATTTTTTTAATAAATATAAGCTAAATATCATTAGGAAGTTATTCAAATAGGTATGTTTTTGAGTGAAAAATGTGGATAAAGATTTTGTTAAGTTGACATATGTTTTTTAGATAAGGCAGAGTAAGTATGCGTTAAAAGCCTTTTGAAGGTGTTTTAATGGGTTCTGACTGTCTGTAAGTATGGGGTTTGCTTTTTTGCGGTCCCAGAAAAGTGTTTCTGATGAAAATTTACGGTAAATAATGTTTTGTATTTTTGGGAGAGATTGATGAGTATTTTTTTGATCAGATTAAAAGAAAGACATTGTTCAAATGCGTCTATAGTCAAGGGAGCATCTTATTCTCATACAGATGCTTTAAAAACACAAAGGTGTGTTTGTTTTTGGTCGAGTTATTTCTGAAAGGTTACTAGATCTCAGTCACCTTCTAAATCATCATACCATTTGCAAATAAAGAATCTTATATCTTCGACTAATGTGCATCGGAAGAGTGCTACTAGTTTTTCTGATTATCTTTCTGAAACAGATAGTGATTGGGGCACTAATATAGATAATGATAACAACTTTTTGCAATTATTCAAGAAGAATGACTCGTCTGTGTCATTTATATGTGACAAAGTGGCTAGTTCAAATGAGTCGTCATATTTTTCGTCTCCAGAAAAAAAAACAAGGTCTAAATGTCCAGATAATAAACAAGTAATTGGTAAGAATAAAAATATGATATTTTTTCAGTAGTTAAGTTTGGGCTTAGAAGCTATTTGTTCTTTAGATCTCCATAATAAACTGTTTTTATCTCTTGAGCAAAGAACTAGTGTAGAAAATGAAAAAATAAACTTTGATGAAGTAAAAGTGAATCGATTTAAACATATTCTTAATGATGCAAATGTGGACTTGGATGTTTTGAAAAAATATGCATGGAATGGTGTACCTGATGAATCTCGTCCCGTTGTATGGAAATTATTGTTGGGATATCTTCCACGCAATGCAAATAGACGAGAAGCTACACTTTCTCGTAAAAGAAATGAATATTATGAAAGTGTTTTACAAACATATGGAAAAGGAACAAAAGAATTAGATCAAGTAATATGGCATCAAATACATATTGACGTTTTGAGGACAAATCCGACTATTAAATTATATCAATATGAAACTACACAAAAAGTAATTTATTTTTCTTTTTGATTAACATATAATAAACGTTTTGAAGTCTCTTGAGAGAATATTATATATTTGGGTTATTCGTCACCCTGCAAGTGGGTATGTTCAAGGTATTAGTGATTTGGTTACACCCTTTTTTCAAGTATTTTTATCTGAATATATTGGTATGTCGTTTAAAGAAATATCATGTTTTAATCGATTAGATGATGATCCTGAGTTATACGATCCTGCTAATTTACCTAAAAATACGTTAGATATTATAGAAGCTGATACTTTTTGGTGTACTTCTAAATTATTAGATGGTATCCAGGTAATAAGCATCTCGGTTTCGAGTCAATGATTCAATTTGTGTTTAGGATAACTATATTTTTGCTCAACCTGGAATACACAGGCAAATTATGAATTTAAAAGAATTAACTGCTAGGATCGATTATCCTTTATCTGTTCATTTGGAAAAACAGGGTGTGGAATATATACAGTTTAGTTTCCGATGGATGAATTGCATACTTATGAGAGAAATAAGCGTTAAAAACACTATACGTATGTGGGATACATATTTAGTACAACTTTCTTTTTCTTAAATATTTTACTAATATTCAAATAAAGGCAGAAGGACAATCTGCATTTTCAGATTTTCATGTTTATGTATGTGCTGCACTTTTAGTAAAATGGTCTTCTCGACTTTTAAAAATGGATTTTCAAGTTTGTTTCTATGAATAATTGCTAATGCTTATTTTTTTAGGAAATTATTATTTTTTTACAATCGTTGCCTACTCAAAATTGGACATATAAAGACATTGAAATACTATTATCCGAAGCATTTTTATGGAAGAGCCTGTTTAGTGGGGCTAAAGCACATTTACGATAGATATTATTACATAAAACGTTTTCCTTGTTATTCTTGCATTAATTATATTTGTTTTTTTCTGGAAAAATATTATCTTTCTCGAATGTTAGAAATTGTAGTTTTTTATGCTTTAAATATATATTATTTAGACGGCTTTAACATTTTCTTTATATGTTGCTGCTATGATATCAGGCCATGACCTTCGTTTGCTTTCAGCATAACTTGGATGTCTTTGGACTGCGGATAAAAGACCGATTGCACGGCATCGGCGAATCGCTTTAGCAAGTTGTCGCTGGTGTTTTGCCGTACAGCCCGTTTCTTCTCTTGGCAAAATTCTACCCATTTCTGTAATAAAATCTGATAAAACATTGAAACTCTAGATCCATAAGGATTTAAATATTACTCAAGATTTCTGTTTAATACTTTGTATTGTTTTAAAGGTGTTGTATGAAGTCGTTTCCAGGGATCTTCTTTGATAGGTTTATAATAATAACGGTAGTTTAGATTTTCTTCAAAAGAAAGATCTTTAGGTGAATAAAGCTGGCAACTTTTGAATGGTGTATAATAATATTGGGGAATTGGTTTTATAGGCAGTTTAACCTCTAGTTTAATCATTAACATGGATCAGCAAAAAATGGAAATATCCATAGGTAAAAAATATACCATTCAACTTAGATTCATGATTTGTATCCAAATCTATTGCTTTTTCGTTGTTTGGATTGTTTTTTTCAGGAATATTTGATTTGTTCAAATCTGAAAAAATAAGTATAAATGTAATGTAAAAATATAAAAATAAACCAGAAAAAACGGTATTTTTATGAAAAAAAGCTGTTTTTAAAGAAATTGAAGATTGATTTATAGAAAAAAACTTCTTTTTAGGCCATTTAATGCTCAATAAACATGTATTCATAATGGTCAGTGGTAAGTTGAGTGGTACGTTATCGATGGTATTTTATAGAATACGCGATATAATGGACAAGTAATATATATAAGTAAAAAGAAATCATGTAGTCAAAATACATAAACAAGTTATTATATTGCAGATACCTCTAAAACATAAGATAGAGATATTTGAAATGCTTAAAAAACGATGTAAAGGTGATTGAGTAGATGAAAAAGTACAAAAACATGAAAAATAAAACACATGGGAATTATAGGTTTATATGCCAGCCTTCATTCATGTCATGATTGTTGATTGAATACGTTTCAGGACCATAATTTCCTTCGTATATAATAGCACCTGCTTTTCTAACTTTATTCACCCAAGCCACTTCTTTGGTCTCCAAAATCTGTTTAGCGGTCGGTCGATCTAAAGGCTTAGGTGCTAACATTTGTTTAACAATGTGATCTAATTCACCATGGCCTATATATCGGCATCCTGGTTGTTCGTGAGGCACTAATACACTTTCCGGAATAAAAGAAACGGTTTCAGAAGAGGACAACCGAGGTGCATCTGAAAGATCACCTGAACGAAGCTTTTGCCATGAAAGCCCGTTCTGAGGTAGTACAATATTCGCCGCCACTTCAAGAATTACGAGTCCCAGTGAAAATATATCCGCAGGTTTATCATAGTGTTGTGACGATAATACTTCTGGCGCAATATATTCCCTATCTCCTTCGCGTTCTGTCCCTATAGGCTAAATCACCTTGTAAAACATTTACCGGAGAAATGTAAAGACTTATTACCACAGGCCATGCAGATGCCATTCCAAAATCACCGATTTTCAGCGTTCCTTTAAATGATATAAATATATTTGCAGGTTTCAAGTCTAAATGAATGTATCCACTATCATGAATATGCAGAAGACCCTGTCTCAGTTAGTCCAATTGACTATTTCGAAAAAAAAAAAAAACACAAACAACGAACCAAAGATAACTCTGTCATTACTTTCCACACACGAAATTCATCTAGTTTTGCTACTCTCCCATATTCCTGAAGAAATACGTCTAAACTCCCGTTATCACATAATTCCATTTGAATATACAAATATTTCGATTGCTCCCAAGAATCCAATAACTCTACAATATGCTCATGACGCCCCAATTTCCGCAATATATTCACTTCTTCAAGTCGTCGGTTCCTATATCTATTAGTCTCGCGAAAACACCCCAAATTGTGCACGAAAACCGTTCTTTCGACCCCGTGTATGCAAATTTCGTTTTCTTCACTGCTGATTTTATGTTGCTTTCCCGTTCTTCTACTCGATACACTTCTGAAAACTCCCCCGACCCAACAAGCTCTATATTCCGGAACCGTAACGTCAATTGCCCTATTGATGATGGACTCAACTCTTTCACACTCATACACTCCTCCCCTATTACCCCATTCTCTTCATTCTGCCCATTTTCTCCCTCTAATATCCCCTTCTCTTCCTCCGATGCCCCTTTCTCCCCTTCCATCTCTTCTCCCTTCAACATTCCCTTCGATATTTCTTTCAGCTCCTCCTTTGACACCTGAAAAACCTCAATATCTCTCGGAGAACCCGATAAACACCCTGAAAAACATCCCCCTTCCCCTTCTCCATTCAATCCACTCAGCCCATTTAATCCCCCACCTGTTCCCCCCACGCACATCCCCGTCTCCACCTTCCACCGCTTTCCAACCCGCTCATTCTCCATAAATACTCCTTTTGTCGGCGTTACTGGGCAATCAAACTCTGAACTGCTGCTGTTGTATAAATAACTCATGTCAATCCCCTCCAAACTTTCTTCCTGTGATGAAAACGATGTATCTGTCGTCCCTGCCACCGGCGTCCCCGGCACCTGTGTCATATCAAACACCACTGGGCGCTTGCACGGCGTATCCGGCGGGTGCATTCCCGTATTTCCTCCATGCGGCTGATTCCGCTTTGACAAAAGCCCCGTAGACATAAATACCGTCTGCAGCGGCTTCACCAACTTATAGTCCTGCGGCGTATAGAACGTCTGCCGCCCAATTCCTTGTTCTCCCCCTATTCGTGGCGATAGGGTCCGTCCTATCGCCTTTTTTGCCACTTCCACCGGCCCAACCGGCCCCATCGGCACCATTGGCCCCATTATCCCCCCGTGCACAATCTGATCTGTTTGTGGCACCTGGAAAATCCCCTGAATTCCCCTCATTCTCCCCTGTTCCCCCCCATTCGCCTCTCCATACGCCCCATACCCTCTATATGCCCCATGGACCCCCGGTGCAATAAAACTTTCCACGGAAAACTGTGTCCGTAACCGGCTCCCTGATACCGGCGTCATAAACTCCCTTGCAAACCCTGCATGCTTTGGTGTTGTCACCGACGACACCCGTGCATTCCGTTTTGCCACTGGCGAGCCCTGCCCGCCCTCAGCCTGCAGCATGCTTTCATTTCGTTTCAGTGGTGATCTCCGGACATTCAGATTGCTTGCAGACGCCGTTGCCAGCGGCGTTTTTCCCTCATCACTGCGGACAAAGGGTGATGCTGGTACCCGGAAACCTGTGCGGCCAACCGGCCGCTTCCGCCCCTGTTCTGCATACATTGTGCATGCAGACTGCTTGATATGATGAGCAGTTGTGTTTTACGCTGTGTTTTATGTGTTTTTGCTGGTTTTTTGCGCGTTTTTTGCGCTCGTTTTTTCCTGAGTCTTTGTTCTCTGCTGGTACGTGTTTGTCTCTATATAGCGCCCCTGTAGACCCTCTATAGGCCCTCTGCAGAGCCTTTGCTGTGCCTGTATACAGGTGACTATGCTGTGCTGCGCGTCTGGGCGCGTATATATATGTGCTGCTGCGCCGATGCCCGCGACGCAGTCTGCTCGCTTGGAGCAAGCAGCGCGTCTTATGTCGTGGGTGAGTTGCTGTGGCAACAGATGTCATGGCAACGCGGCCGTATTGCAGTGCATCTGCTGTGTGCTGTAATGCTGTGGATTGTGTATACTGTAATGCTGCACACCGTGTATACAGCGCATATAATGCGCATACAACACGCATACACAGCGCATATAGTCGGTTGAGTGCATACGTTGTGCATACACTGCACATATGCTACACATATGCTATGCGCATGTGCTATACATATATGCTGTGCGTTGTATGCATACACCGACGTACGCTGTACAATGTACGCCGTGCGCTCACATTACTGCACGCTGCTGTGCATACAGTGTGACATAACGTGTATATTGTGCTGTATTATGTATGCACTCTGCACAATACGATATAGCATGCATATATATGTATATACGGCACACGCAGCACGCATACAACGTAAGCGTACACATACATGCACCATACATACGTTTGCAGCATATATACAAAGCATGTGCGCACTGTATGCACAGTATGCTGTGGTACACGCAACATGCATTGTATGCATTGTATGCACTCTATGCATTAATGTCTGAGTGTACGGATATAACGTACAATGTACAGCATACAACGCACAGAACATATGTATAGCACATCGTATGTCAGTATATGCACACTTTGCGTTTATATGCTGTGCATACACTGTAGACAGTGTCTATGCATATATTATACATAGTGTATGCACAGCATATACATAGTGTACACACATTATATGCACACTCTGCTGACTATGTGCTGTATATACTATATGTGCTATACACTATACTATACACTATATGCTATGTACCACATACTATACGTTGCGTTGCACGTGATGTTCACGTGACGCTAGCATTACGGTGCACTGCGTGGTGTCGCACCATATAGCAGTAGAAGCACACACAGCTGGGCAGACATATGGCATAGACAGTATGAACAGTACACGTGTATGCAGTATGCACAACACATAGTGTATAGTTACATAGCACACCGTAGTGTTGCCGCTGTTTCCGCATGGTATGCATATGCTAGCATAACACCGTTGCCCGTCCGAGTCAGCGGACACAGCTGCTGCACACATGCTGTACACACGCATACACCGCGCATATATTACGCATATATTACGCATACATCGCGCATATAACGCACCATCTCGTGTCCACTGCCCATATGCAGTGGGCCAGGCTGTCGTACGATGTGCGCGCCGCACGCCTTGGTGACTCTCCTGCTGGCCGCCTGCTCGCACTTATTGCGCGCAAACAGACAAACCTCGCACTTGCCGCCGACTATATGCGCTCTGCTGACCTTCTTTATGCTGCAGATCTCGCTGGCCCGTATATATGCGTCCTGAAAACGCATGCTGATGCCATAGACGACTTTTCTCCTGCAACTGCGGCTGCTCTGCGCGCAGTTGCGCGCAAACACGCATTTTTTCTCTTTGAGGACCGCAAATTTGCTGACATTGGAACGACTGTCCAACGACAATATGTCGGTGGAATATTACGTATAGTCGAGTGGGCCGACTATGTTGACGCACATATATGTGCGGGCGATAGTGCAGTGTGTGCACTGGCAGATGCTGGGCGGCCATATGGACGCGGGTTGTTTCTTATTGCAGAGATGAGCACTCAGAATGAGCTTATTTACAGCGCCAGCAGCAAAGACAACGCTGGCATTGAGCAGGCATTGGGGAATAATATAGACAAAGCGGATAGCACTGCTGCTAATCGTGTTATCCGCAAATTTAACAACGATAACGATAAAGTTAGCAATAAGGCAGAAATTGGTGAAAATAAAGATGACAGAAAAATGTACAAAGAATATCATATTTGTAAGGGTTACAATAGCAATAAGCCCGATAGACATGTATATAGTGGTGGGGAGAGTTTTCCGGCAGCAGCACTGGCAGAGCGGCATTGTGGGTTTGTTGCAGGGTTTATTGCACAGTGGAGGCGGCCATTGGCCAAGGATTATGTGTGGATGATGCCGGGGATTGGCTGGGCATCTGCCCAGAGTGACAGTGCAGAGCGTAGTGGCAGCAATGGTGCAGAACGAGGGTGTTCTGGGGCCGTTGGGGGCGAGATAGGGTCCCATACGGGAGAATTAGGGACTTCAGGACCAGGGAACGGTGATCTAGAGGCAATTGAGTCTCAGGATGGCGGTGGAGAGGTCATTGGGTCTCGGATCAGTGAGCACAAAGTCGGAAAACACAGGACAGAGTGTGGACAGAGTGGAATTGGCACTGGAGGCGCAGACAAGTATGGGCAGCGGTATATAACGCCGGAGGATGCAGTGCTGGAGCGGGGAGCAGATGTGGTGATTGTAGGGCGGGGGATCTGTGGGACAGGCAAGGATATTGTGAAGGAGGCGCAGCGGTTCAGGGTATGTGCATGAAAACACGGTGTCTTTGGGGCAGATGGGGGCTGACAGGCGCAGGATGCAGCGTGGAGGGCGTATCTCGTGCGGATTGGTGCGGGACAAGAGCAAGGAGCGGCTGTGGCATGCATAGAGGCACAGTGAGGCACAGCGTCGTGCAGAAGCATGGAGAGGCACAAAGAGGTGTTCATAGGCATGCATAGGCGCACAGGAGAGGATGTTCTGTGTGTTGGATGGGCTGGAGGACTTGTGGGGTGTTTGGGGAGGATTGGTGTTGTTTGGGCGTGTTTGGACAGTAGTTCACGGGCCTGGATCTGTTTAAGCGGACTATGGGCGGCGTCTGCATACGCAGGCAGCAGCTTATGGATGGGTGCTGGTGTATAGATGGGCAGCGGGGGTTTTGAGGCGCATTTGGGGTTTTTTGGGGCACTCAGGCGGCAGAGACAGGCTCTACCAGGCACAGAAGATACTGCATGGCATTTAGAGAAGCATTCGTGCTGTTTCCCGCGGATTTCAGCGTGTTTGGCCGTGCTTTTGCACACTCTCCTGGTTCCAGTGAAGATGGGAGGTTATGTCACGTGATAACCACGTGATTAGGGCATAAGAGCAGGCGAGGCGGGCAAGTGGTGGCGATGGCGCGAACTAGTGTGTCGATCAATATCTATGATTTGCTGCCTGAAGGGGCGCTGTCAAGCATTGCATGGGCGCTTGGCGTTGGGATCTACCATAGTGGAGTAGTGATTGGGGACAAAGGTGAGTTTTGGGTTTTTTCCGTTTTTTTTCTGGGTGAAATAAGGGTTTATATGTATTTTTATGTATTTTGAACGAGATATGTGTTTTGGGGGGGTCTTTTATGGGCTTTTTCCGGTGCTAATAATGGGTTTTAGAGTATGCATATGGGGGGCATCCGGTGGAAAATGTTTCTGGTATTTATACAACGGTACCACGAACACTACCGCCGGGTGGGCGTTTCAGGACGTGTATTCGATACGGATACATTACAATGACAGAGAAGGAGATTGAGGAGGTGGTATTGGATGTAGGAAGGGAATTTCAAGGGCCATCGTATAATCTTTTGACGAGGTTTTGGCTAGCAATAGGTTTTATGTTTATTTACGGGGGATGTTGATAGGAATTGCAATCATTTTACAACGCATCTTTTGTATCGATTGACGGCGTTTTCGACGCCTAAATGGCTTAATCGTGCAGCAGCAATAGGCGTTGCGTTTCCGTATGTGGTTCCGAGTGGCTGGATTGAGCCGCCTACGGCAGATACGGTGGGTGCAGTGGGTACAGCGGGTACTGTGGATACCGTGGATACAGTGAATACAGTGGATATAGTGGATATTGTGGAAATAGAGGAAATACTGGACAATGATACAAGTCCTGAGCTTTCTGAGCCACATTCTAGCAGCACATCAGACCACTCATAACACGTTTTGAGATGTAAAACGCATTACTGGGCCGTAGAATACACTATTGGACACAGAATGTTTTTTCTGTTTTAAAAAATCCAAAGATTATTTAAATACGACTTTTACCAAGAAAAATGGGTGCTATTGTCGTCATAGTTTTACATTTTTTCTCAGGATTGTAAATCTTTACTATAGGTTGTATTTACATGTGTCTTGGGGTATTTCTTTTTACCAGCGTATTATATAATAGCATTAGGACTGTGTGGCATGTATTTTCGTGGGTTAGGCATTGTTGGATCCTGTTTTTCCAGAAAAGGGCAATCTGCCTCTGAATATCAATGTTGTGATGGATCCTACTGAATCGACTCTCGATGGACCATGGTTTTCAAATGCACCCATTGTACTAGTCTGTTTCAGCTTGTGTTGGCTTTAGTTTTTTCATCAATTATGTGTTTTGCATCAATATAGCTGCTCTCTCCAAGATATTAGGTATGAAACAGAACTCGTCGCTACAAAATATCCTTCATTTTTCACTCTAGACTTAGTAGTTATGTATCTTTTTTTAAAACATTATTTTCAAGATATTTTCCAAAAAATCTGGAGGACCTGGGTATCGAACCCAGTACCTTGCGCAGACTACCGTGCTAAGCGCACGCTCTACCGTTTGAGCTAGACCCCCGTTTCTTCCAGGCTCCTCAAAAACTGTATTAATACTAGATATTCGTTAATTTTGCTTGGTGTTTATTTTTGGTGTCACGTGACCTGTTGCCTGGCCTGTTGCTATGCCGAAGACTAAGGTTGATTTAATATACAGTTGGGATAATCGATCTGGTACATGATAAACTAAAAATAAAGTTTTAGCAGGTTATGGGGGAAAAAGGGTTCTTTAGAGCGGTTTAAAGGGGATATTTTAAAGGATTATAGAGTTTTTCAGGTAATTTTTTACTAGTTTGTTTTTTTTTTTTTTGAAAAAGGTCATAATTAATAAAAAACAGAACTTTTGTACGGTTTAGTAAGTTTTGGCGGTAAAAAGAGGGTTTAATTGATCGTACGTGCCTGTACTTTGTTTTTTCCGTGTGAAATGTATTGGCCCGTTGGTGTTCCATCTGTTTTTCAAACAAAAAATGGCCCTTTAACGGGCCTGGAATATGCGTCAATGACGTTAGATGAGAGGGTTTTGGCGCTGAAAAGGCTGTGTAATGGCACTCATTTTATTGTTTTAACGTCGAGACGTATTTATATATGGCAATCACGGGTTTGAAATGGTTTATTTTGGTGGAAGGTAGTTCTTACGAAGCGTTATAGCCGACCGTGGTTGTTTCATGTGTTACACGAACAGCTATTTCATTGACTCTATATGGTGAAAATAGGGATATTTTTGTAAAGCAAGATTCTCAATTGGCTGCTGTGAAAACGTCTTTAGGGTTTTTATTTATTTACTCGATATGTAACAATACGGGTCAAAAACTTTATAAATTTCATTATCCTCACTCTAAATCATCGGTTTTTGACTTTTTAGATCTATATCGATCTACTGAATATGATTTTTTGTATTTGAGATTCAAGACAATGATCAAGGTGGATTCTGGTATATTATGGTATTTGTAATACATGTATTGTTTGTAGTAATATTGATGTGCTAGTATAATTGCATTGGATGAGTTTTTACTATTTTCAACAGCCAATCCACCATTGATTCAGTCTTTTTTTTGGTATAAAGAGTCAAATCATACTGTGACGACATCCGATCCTCTAGCACAGATGGATTGGATTGAAGATAAAAATGGTACTAATAATCTTGTTCTACTATTTGTTATTTATATGAATGATTACTTATATTAATTAGTTGCGATTAATGATATGATTCATGAAAAAAATATGGATATATATATATGGGTTTCCTTGAATAGTAAGGCATACTTTGTTCGAAGAAGTCCTTATGTATTTTTGTTGCCTTTTTTTCCGATTTACAATTAATACTTTATATAGATAAAATCTAAAAATCAAGAAAATGTTAAAAATTGGACTGGTGTTTGTTTCTATGTTCCAGAAACAGAAGAGGACTATATCGTTAAAACGGATATAAATATGCATCTGTTGTTAATTGCTTTTGGATGTAAAAAGTAATATTTGTTGACGTTTTAATTTTTTGATTTTAATTGTTAATATTAGTGGGAAAGTTAAATTGTTTCACTATAAAAAAATTAAAAACCTAATAACTCATTTACATACAGTTGTTTTAGATGATTTTCATGTAACTGGGAATATTGAATGCATGGCATGGTCTGAAGATGGTTATGTGTTTTTTGTAGGATTTCAAAATACATGGGCTTTATGGAGTGCTTATGGATGTTTATTATCTTCTGGTCTAAGGGCTGAACACGTACTTGAAGGATTTTCTGAAGAAATATATACGGCAGGAATTGGTCATGTTTTGTGGCTTAATAAAGGAAGTGATTTAATTATAATTAGCAATAAGGAAAAATCAACAAGGAAATTGTGGAAGTTAAATATGGCTAGAGGTATTCCGTATTCTTCTCTTAATCCTGTTAGGATTGTAGAAATATAAACATAAATATTAACGTTATATAGGAAAATTCAATTAATTTTATTTTGCAAATTTCAGATCGACTTCTTGTTTATAAAGGCTATGAAAAATCGGACATTGACCTAATAAATCCTGAAGAATGTCACTGGCAACAAATTGAAATACCACCAGATTATTTTCGTAATAATTCTTATATAAAATATAGTGCTTTAAGTCCATGCGGACAATATTTGGCGATAGCAGGATATCATGGAATAGCCTATTATAGTTTCCAAGGTGAAAAATGGAAAATAATTACTAAAGATTTGAATTCTAATTTTCATGTTTCTGGTGGAATGTGCTGGTATCATCATGTATTGATTGCATCTATACAAATTCATAATACTTATGAGTTGAAATTGTTTTCTAGGAAAAATACAATAGATGATATTCGGGTTGTGTTTGCTATAGACATGAATGTTCCCGTGCATTCAATTACTATAATATCAGAAAATCTTCTATTATATACTCAAGATAATTCTGTTTTACAATATCTTATTATTATGAATAACAAAAAAGTCAAGCTTGTATTTGTTGGAAGTATTAGTTTAAAAGATATAGTTTATTCCTTTAAATCTTTAAGAGCCTTTACATGGTGTTTTTTAACTGATCAAACCCGTAAGTAATATTAGTTTTGTAAATCGTTACTAATGATTGGTTTCTAAAGAAGGAACTCTTATAAATAATATACACATAGCTAATATTATCATTCTTTTGGATGATAAGCTTATGTTTTTGAAACCTAATAAAAATAATGATTTATCAGTAAAATATCATGTTTATTTGTTTTCAGAAAAGGTTGAGTATTTTCTATTTGTCAATCATTCATCTCAATATATGAAACCTTCAATATGGGCATTTTGTGGAACAGAGATTAAGGTAATTTTTCAATTAATTTTAGTTTATATTTTAATATTATTAGATATGGATGGATTTCTCTAATACAATTATTGAAGATATTAATACTCTCGGTAATCAAGAGAATCTTTTGAACTTAAATAGTGACAACAATTTGATTACAATTTCTTTCGATCTTTATCCTATCTTTTTATTATTAAATAAAGGAATTATTTTAGGAATAAAAAATGATATAATTCGACAAAAAAATTTAGATTATTTTGATTTTAGGATTAATGCTGTTGTAAGTTTTATATTTATATATGCTTTTTAATTGTATTAGGCAAAACCTGTTTTACCGTATATTTTAGAAAAATATTTATCTAGAACCAGAATTGAGGAATCTGTTATTTTGGCTTCTAAGTATCAATCAGTAATTTATTTTAACCATATGCTTGAATTGCTTTTACATAATGTATTAGAAAAAGAAGTTGGTTCTTCAAAGAAGTCTGATGGTAATATATACATATATATATAATTTAATGATACGAATTTCAGATCTTTTGCTTCCTAAAGTAGTTTCTTTTCTAAAATGTTTTTCACAAATGCTAGATATAGTTGTCGCATGTGCACGTAAAATGGAAGTCTCTTTTTGGGAGTATTTTTTTAGTGTTGTAGGGTCTCCAAGAGATTTATTTGAAGTATTTTTCTTTTTTTTTCTTCATAATTTTTACATATTAGGATTGTATGAAACTAGGAAAACCGGAAACTGCTGCGGAATATTTGATTATATTGCATACTATGGAAGCATCAGATGATCTCAGTAAAGTTATTTATATTTATATTTTTATAAATTTATTTTGATATATTTAAGGATATTATGAGAGTTTTAGAAAATGCAATACAATTTAAAAAATGGAAGTTATGCATGGAATTGGCTCGGTTTTTTATTTCATATAATAGTAAGCGATTATTATTATAAAAGCTGATAGCTGATTAATTATCAGATGATGAATTGGCTTTGAAAACGTTCACATTGACTCTTGATATTTTTAAAAATATGCCATTAGAGATAAAAGAATAATATAATTTTTTACACAATTATTGTTGACATTTGCTTTATTATAAAAACCGTCTTATATATATATATATTCATAATATAATGTTTATGATATTAAATATATGATATAATTGTAAAAATAATATTGTAGAAATAATGAAAAATGGGTTTTTTAAAGTGTTTGTTTATTTTTCTGCATATCTTCATTTTCTTTAATAGTATCCAGTCTTACGTCTTGTTTTTTTTTGTATATATCTTGAAGTTGATGGATAATAGAGTATTCTCGAATTTTAAAGCCAAAAATTCTGGGTACGTATCGCTCCTGACTTCTTTGTGGTATCAAATAAGGGTAAACCTGAAGCATAATGTGTGGAAAAGTAGTCCCAAAGTATGCACCATCAATTGTTGCATGCCGTGATGATTTGGGCGTATAAATATCTTCACATTTTATACAGTAAAGTTTGACAGAACTTGAATTAGGGATATCTGACAAACCAATAGGCAAAAGTGCTTGTGAATGACAAAAAACCCTAGGACAACAGCCGAAATCATATTTTTTATATTTTTCAAGCTAAGTTATTTAATTTATAATAAAAAATAATAAAAGATACCATTTTTTGGAGCCCTCTACTTGTAAGAATAAATCTTGCATGAATTAATCCATAAAGATGCTGTGCAGATTTTTCAACTTGGTCTCGAAGATCTTCACTAACATCATGGTCTTTAGAGTTAATCTATTGTAATATATGATTCGTTTATTAACATACCAAACACATCTGTCACCATGTCTATAGCATAATTGTAATGTTGTACTTCAGTATTAATTCCAGTTAAATTAAATTTATCTTGAATATATTCTTCATCAATTTCACAAAAAAATTCATTTCCTTTAATCCCCAGGAACCAATCAATCCAATATTTTGAATAATCTGAATCACTTATTTTTAATGAGTATTTAATACATGTTTAATATAAATTTTATTTAAACCTTCTTGATAATAAATCATCCATTTTGATTTTTGGTATTTTTTAAATTTTGAAAAAACAATTGTTAAAAGATCCTATAAAATGATATTTTCCTTTAAAATAGAATGTTATTTAATGTTTTATTTTTTTGGTTTTCTTTTAATTCTAAAATATAAGTTAATATTTGATTATTAAGATTTTTGATTTTTTTCACGTCGTTCAAAGGTAAATATCATTATATTTTATGTGCAAAAAATATCTAATTTTTATAGAGTTATTTCTGCTATGGCATCATATTTTTGTTAAATATTTTTGTTAAAAAAGCATTGTTTTTACTGGTTTTATTTTGGTAAATAATTTGGAAATTTCTTAATATTTTGTGCAACATATTTTAACTTTTTTCTGTATAATTTTTTAAAAAATATTTAAAGTTTAAAAGAGACTGTTTATCTTTCTTTAATATGCTTAAAAGGTATTTATCTGTTTTTTTTGTATTAGAATTGTATTGATTTTGAGAATCTTAGGTTTAAAGGAAAAGATCATATTAAAGGAATAACACAAGTCAAATCGTCTACACAGAAGGCATTACGGATAAAAATAATAGAGTTTTACCCTGACTTGGAGCCTTTTATGTCTGAAATTTTCCCTAAAAAGTCCCAATTAACACTCGTTAAATGGTTGCAAATGTTGTGTGGTTTTATCTAAAATATTGATTGCTATAGTGAAGAACGGATTTCTTTATATACACTTAATAATGATGTTCTTTTTTTTAAAATTTCTGAAACTATATACCCTCATTTAAGATTATTACATAAATGTATATATCTTTTTTTTTTTTTAATTAATTTATTTTAGATCCTGATGCATTTTTGAAAGTTCAAGCAGATAAAGGTGTTATTAAGTCTATCCTTTCTGGTGGTATGTATTTTTATTTTTATTTTTATTTTTGAAATAATTGTAGCTAATCTTATGTGCCCTGGATTAACATCAAAAGGTGGATATTGTCCTGAAAATATTGAAGTTGAAAATATAGTTTCAATCATGGTAGAAGGAAAAGAACATGCAATTGCTGTGGGCGTAGCAAAAATGTCTTCTAATGATATGTAAATATTTTTCCTTTTTTTTTAATAATTATTAATATATAGAAAATTGATCAACAAGGGAATAGGTATTGAAAACATACATTATATTGGAGACAATTTGGTATTTTTTATTAAATTATTTCTATTTATTTATATATTATAGTGGAATTTAGTATTAGATTAATTATGATATGTATATTAGAAGCATGTTTGTTTTTTTTATAAATAATATTGTTGTGGTTTTCCGGACAAAGGGGATAATAAAAACAAAAGGATTTTTTATTCCTTAAATTATGAAGTAGGTGCATTTTCGACTTTATTAAGTTCTTCAAGGGCTTCGGTATATTTAGTTGTTATTCTTTGGACTTCACGTTGTTTTCCTAATTTTTTTAAATATCAAAATAAATAAAATATTTTTTTTAAACCTATTGTTGTTAAAATTTCTTTTAATAACTCTCTTTTGTCTAATCCTGCAACTTTTGGTTTCCAAGAAACAGAAGGGTCATCCAATATAGGTCCTAATAAATACATACAAAGTTCTTCTAGTTTATCTTTCATATTTTCCTCTGCAATTTTTCGAGTATAGGTGTTTAAGATGGTTTTATATTCATCTGGTGAATGAAGTATTGCTGCTGATGAAAGACGATTCTAAAATATTAGTTATTTTGGATGTTAATTTGTTTTTGAGACCAACCTCCAAATGACTAATACTTACACTTGTTTCGAAACCCTCATATCCCTCTAAAAGCATTGCACTTTTTACAATTCTTTGTAAAAATCGTCCACGTCCTAATTTCATTACTTCATCATCTGTTCTTCTTTCAAGCATTCCGATAATACCGGATTTCCCTTTTACTCCTTTGAAACCACTTGAATCCCAATATTGACTGCCTACTGCCCACCATGCTTCACTTACTTTTAACCACGAATACATAGCAGCATCATATGTAAATCCATCACCATCAGAAAGAGTTATGATTACTTGTCCTTTGGAATTGATTGCTGCTGAAACAATGGATGGTGCATTTTTTAATTCTGAAAATTGGAAAGTTGATGCGTCAAGAATAGGTGCTAAAGAAACAGGAGGATGTGGTGATAATTCAAGTATGACATTCCTTTTATTTCTTAGTTAATTAAAATAATAAAGAAATGATTATACCAAACATGCAATAATCCTATAGAGGTAATACACATGAGAAACGGTCCTTGACACTCGAGAAAACAAGGAGATGATTCTAAGATAATAGATGGGAATAATCTGTTTTTTAATTAGTGGTATACGAAAAAGTTATTTTACCTTCTGCCGCGAGGTGACCATATAATAATAGTACCATCCTCACAACCTGCTGCCCAAAAAAGAGTATTTCCTGCTAATAAAAGGACCGCTTTTGGCAAAAACTCTTTCCAAACAATATTTCCTTTTTTTATGGCTGTTATTTTTGTAGGTTTATGTTCTCCTGTTCCATTACGAACTTCAAGCATATAATTGGTAGAGTTAATAGACATTGAAATAAAAGAAATAACTTTAGGCACACCTAGACGAATCTGTGAAACGCTTGTAGAAGGGCATATTACTGATGGTCTAATAAATTCTGGTATATTTGTCTATAGATTTAAATAAATATGATTAATATATGTTGTAAAAATACTTTTGTATGATCATTCGTTTGTTTTAGTTTTCCTTTCTTTGGAAGTGGATGTTCGTTTTCTTCAGATGTATTTTTTCTTTTATTTCCTATTATTAAAGAACGAACACCTCCTTTTGGAAGGGCATGTGAAGGTTCAGAGAAATCTAATGCTTGGCAGTGTATATTTTGTTCAGGATATGTTTGTAAATGTGATTCGGGTAATGAATTTACAATAGGTGTATCAGATAAACTGTAATTAGTACAAATAATATGTTTAGTTTGTTTCCCTTACTTGGAAAGAAGTTGTGGAGCTACACGTTTTTTTCCATCCTTTGTAATTGTAACTTTTTGTTGAATAGGTTTTTGTAAATTACTTGAAGGTGTTAATGATAATGAATTTGTTTTGAGGGTTTGTTTAGGTGTAGATACTGTTGATGATTTTTCTGTTGTTTGTGTTATATTAGATTCTGTTTCTTTATTTGAAGAGTCTTGTTCTGCATCATCCGATATACAATTTATTTTCATAGGTTCAGTGTCACCCATTAAATCTTGCATTCTTTTAATATGAGCAGTTGCTTCTATTTCTGCTGTTCTTGTTTCAAGTTCTAGCTGAGCAGTTGATTCTGGAAGAATTTCTCCATGCCGTCCATGGCCATATTTTGATAATAATTTTTCCTGTAAAAAATTAGCTTGAATACAGAAAGAAATATGTTTTACAGTGTCTGCTGCTGTTAATGGTTCTCCAAATTCATCTTTATCAAATAAACAGGCTACAATACTTCCATCATATGAACAAAGGAATAAGGATAGCCCATCTGGTGACCTAATCTAGATAAGAATCACTAATATTTAGAGCAATGTATAAAAAATAGATACCAACAAAGATCGCCTATACTTTTTTCTGCAATTTCTTGAGTAACAAGTATAGGGCGAGGATTCTGCGTATTCCATATACTTAACGTCCTATCCTGTCCAGCACATGCGATAATTGTTATAATTTTGTTATCTTCCTTAGTTGTATCGGGAAGTCGAAAAAGAATAGGGTTAAAAGAAGTTACTTCTACAGCTCCTTCATGACCAATAAGATTAATAAGACTAGTCCATGTTCCACGCTCAATAACAGCAACACTGCTTACAGGCCCATTCATTGCATTTGGGCCTGCAATGTGTGATCCATCTGGTGACCATGATGGTCGTCTAAAATATGTTGTAGATGGTGAATTTTTGAAAGGCTTAGAAACTGTTTTTTCAAGAGAATAGTCTGAAGTACGCCATATTTTAATGGTTCTATCATCACTTTCTGTTGCAAAATATTTTCCAACAGGATCAAATGTAATTCCTTTTACATGACTTTGATGTGCATCAATTTTTTTTAATTTTTCAAATGTAGATCCATGCCATACAATGATAGCACTGTCTAGGCCAACACTTACTAAAATAGAATTGTCATGATTCCATGCTAAATCCTGAATATCATTGTCATGACCTATTAAACGTCTAAAGCTCCTCCAGTTTTCGACATTTGTTTCATTATTTCCAAAAATTTTACCAAAATTGTGGCTTGTTATGTCTTGTTGCCATATAATAATAATTCTATCATCGCTTCCTGACGCAAGATACTTTCCATTAGGTGAAAATCTTACAGTTGTAACAACACCTTTCTTGGTCATTTTCATCTTTTAAATTTTAAAAATACCTGTATGAATACTCATTGAACACTATTTTATAATAAGCGTTATAGATGTGTTAATCTGAATGAAACATACCAACTGTTTTGGTTCATCACTATGTTCTTGAAGAATTGCTTTAGTGGACCATATTTTAACTTTAGAATCTAAAAATTAAGACTTTTGGCTAATAAAAATGTTTAAAATACCAAAACCACCTGATGCAAGGCGTAATCCGTCTGGTGAAATATGAACAGAGAAAATAGCTTTTGCTTCGTTACGTTCATCTGATATATAATACTAAGTTTTCTGAAAAACAGCTTTTGAGATACTATAACATACCAAAATGTCCTAACCTATGAATTTTTAAAACAATTATTTATTTATTTATTTGTAATTTATTTACCATGATGGCTTAAGAAATAACATGAATTCTTGATCAAAAATGGTACAAACAGGCCCTTTTGATGATTTTTTAGTTAAAAGGCTGTATTCTTATTCTACAAGATATAGAAAGTATGTATTTTTTATTTTTATATGTATTTTTTTTTTTTGAATTTTCATGTAAATGTTGGTTTATAAAAAATATATTTAAGGTCGATATCTTAACAAAAATGATGAAAAAAACAACATTTAGTTTGATGGATGAAAATGACAAATTGTAATTACCATTATATGATTTTCCTAATTGTCTAATTCTATAAAAATGATATATCTATAAGCCTGTATTTAAATAATTACATAAAAACTCCATAATTAAATACATCTAATATATGAAGAAATATTTTTGTTAGAATAGATATAAAATATACAAAGACGGGTATTATTCTGGAGTTATGTAAGTTTAGACAGGTTGTCGAAAACTTTTGAAGTTTTAGAAGTGTTATTTAATTTTTAAGTATGTGATTAGTAAAAACATTCTGAATCAAAATTTTACTATTGTTAATACCTTAAGAATAGAATGTGTGATTTAAAAAAGATTAAAAATTATTTGTAATATTGCAGGTTAGACATTCATAAAGCACCTTTCCGTGTCATCATGTCAAATCGTTTATATGTGTATCCTACAAATGCTAAATTTTGATCAATATCAGAAGGTATTTTATTTTGAAAGGTAGGTTTTGAATTCATAGGAATATCAGGGACGCTATCAATTTCTTCGAAATAACTTGTATCTGTAATACTTTTGAGTTGTGGAACAAAGGGTGCATTTATTTCCCGTATTGTATTCCAATCTACTCCGCGAAAGAAAGGATGGGATTTTATATCATTTGCACCATGTCTACCTAAACGCTGGTCTGCTGATGTTAATAATCTATTTAAAATAATTAGTTAGAGATAGTAATAATGTAAAATTTACTTTTTAATTAAGTCTTCTGCTTCTGCACTAAGATGCAGATCTTCTGGAAAATAGAGATGTTCTTTCCAATTTATGATTTTTCTATATGTTTCGTGTGCATATTCGCTACAAAATGGAGGCCATCCAATAAGACATTCAAACATAATTGCCCCAAGACTCCACCAGTCGCATTCTTGTCCATATCCATGCTGTGTAAAAATTTCTGGTGCAATGTAATCTGGTGTGCCTACAGTACTATATGCCATGATTCTTCTATTTTTTTTCCATGTTGCAATTTTATCTTTAGAAGACATTGTTAGAAAAATTGCATCTACCATGACAGAATTCTCTGTCGGTGTAGATGTATTTTTATTTTCAAAAAGTCGCTGATAATAAGCATTATCGTGTGTTTTATGAAATCCCATAGAAAGACCAAAATCAGATAGTTTAATATGCCCGGTCTTATCAATCAAAATATTATCGGGTTTTATATCACTAAAAGTAAGAAATCATTTTGTTTAAAAAAGAAACTAACCGATGAATAAAGCCAAGCTTATGAACTGCTTCTATTGCTAAAATGCATTCCGCAATGTAGAAACGGGTTACATCTTCTGAAAAAGTATCATATTTGATTAGCATAGTCATTAAATCTCCTCCTGGTAGAAATTCCATAATTAAATATAAATACTGTGAATCCTGAAAAGAATAGTAAAGTGATACAACCCATGGAGAATCTGATTCTGCTAAAACGTCCCTTTCCGCTTTGACATGTGCTAGTTGGTCTTTTTTGAACATTTCTGATTTGAGTAATGTTTTCATTGCATAAATTTTCCCTGTATCTATTTTTTGCACCAACCTTACCTATTTGAAATTACAAAAAGACCAAGGCTTAATAGGAATGTTTTTTTATCTAACCTCTCCAAATGCACCCTTACCGATTACCTTAACAGTATGAAAATCGTTCAGAGATAACCGTGTACGTCTTAATCGAAGAAATTGGGACTCTTTTTGTCCTAAAGAATTAAGTTGACGTCTTTTCCTTTCTTCTGAACCGCGGTCCTTTGCCAATTTTGCCTCAAAATCAATTCTTCTGTTCTCGTATTAGAATAAAATATCTAATACACAACTATATAAAAAACCGTTGATTTCTTTCTACTGTCTGCTCAACTGCAACCTTATAGAGATGTTCTAGTTTCAATTTTACTGAGGCAGCTCTTTCATGTGTTGTTTTTTTAAAACTAGATGGATCGCGTACAAAATAAACTGGATCACTAGACAGTGTTGATGATGTCTGAACCATCTCGTTATTAGTAGTTGTATAATCCTAAAGTAATTTAATTCATGTTTAAAACTATTTATCTTATATACTGTTCCTTTTTGTTGAAAAATTGTCATCTTTTTTTCTAGATTAAAACTCTATCATAAATATTCACAAATTTATTGTAAAACTCCTAAATAGTACCTAATTTTTTTTTCGTTTAAAAAACATATATATAGATTTTTATGTATTTTCTTACCTATATTTTCCTTTCCATGCTATTTTCTCCTTTTCTTAGCTTTCTTGATGATTTTTTAAATGATCTGTTTTTTTTGTCGGTTGTGTTTTGTTGGTAAAAATACGTTTTTCTAATATTTTTACAGAAAATATATATGTATATATAATAGATAATAGTCAAAACAATATGTCTTTTTATCAAATATTTTCTTTTTATTTAAAGAATCTTGTTTTTATAGAGTTTTACTGTTAAAATTGAACAAATTTATGAAAATGTGTTTTTATATATTCTAATATAGTAAAATGTCTGATAAGTATTTATTTATGAGATATTATATGTTTTTATATCTTTTATATTTTGCCCTGAAATACTTTATTCAAACGACGTTTATTTAACGACGTGCTTCGATCAAGATCAACTGTAAAAGTTTAAAAAAGGCTATTAAAAATAAGTCTAGCTATGGATGGAGCTATTATTACGCCTGTATCGTCTGGGTATATAGTTGTTTGTTTTTTTTTCGTGAAAAAACGATTAATTTTGGTTTAGATTTGATGTAGAAGGATCATGTCCATTAAAGGCTGTTCAAGTAGATTCATTAGTTGTTTTAAAGATCATAAAACATAGCCGTGAGTCGTTTACAAGTCATTCTGCTGCAGGTAGCTTTGATTAATATGAAAGATTTTTTTTTATTTTTAAAAAGGACAACTTTTGGGACTTGATATAAATGGTGTTCTTCAAGTCACTAATTCATTTCCTCTATCTCATGGACATGAAGGAGAAAATGCATCTTCCTTAGCACAGAACAGGATTAGTTATATGCAGCAGATGATGCGTTGTTTAAAGGAAATTGGTGTTGACAATAATGTTGTTGGATGGTACCAAAGTGTTAATTCAGGAACGTTTATTAATATGAATCTTATTGAAAATCAATTTTCATATCATCAGGCGCTTAATGATATGACGGTTATGTTAGTTTATGGTAAATTTAGTGTTAATTTGTTGAAATATTATTTATCTCGTATATTTAGATGCGTCTCAATCAACTCATGAATCATTATCGTTAAAAGCGTTTCGTTTGACACCTTCTTTTATTGCTGCAAAGAAGGAAGGAAAATTTAATGCTGAAAGGTAATAATTGAATATGATACTGTTGGTTTATTTAATTCACTATATAGCATTTCTAAATATGGATTATCTCATTCTAACGTTTTTGAAGAGCTTCCATTGATTATTCACAATTCTCATCTTGCAGTTTCACTTCTTCACTATCTAGATAGCAGATATAGATTTGTTCCAACGGCTCCTGCTTTGTCTCTTCTTCCACTTTCTTTCAGTTTTGACAATCTTGAGCCTGTGGTTGATTCTTATTTCGAAAAGATCATGGAAAATCTTTTAGAGGTGACTGAAGATTACCAATATGAACAAAGTAATTATCAATATTATCAAAGGGCTTTAGCAAGAGAACAATTAAAAATTCAACAATGGCTTCAAAAAAGACGTGCTGAAAATGCTGTACGAGCTGCAAACAACCAATCGTTACTTCCTGAAGATGAATGGCAACGCCTTTTTAAATTATCTTCTGAACCATCTTTACTAGAAAGTATTCTCTTGGCTTCACAAATTGGTAAGGAAAAAAATAAAATTCTTTTTTCATAATGACTGAACCATGTAAACTAATGATTTTTTTACAGATTACTATTGTAAAAAGATTGATTCTAGCAGCGCTCCTGCTTTAACAAAACTTTATGCCTCTATAGCTAAATAGTAGGTGAACATAGATTTTTTAAAAGATATAATAATTTCATGGATGCATTTTTAGATCATATATATGTATAATACGAATAATTGGTTTGTTTTATTATGTATAATATTCTCGATAAAAATATTATTTTTTTTTCTTGAATTCCCGCTTTTTTTTCTACCTAAATTCTAAGATAATTAATGAATAAATCTTCAGGAACAGCATTTGATTGGCGTCGCCTAAAAGAAATTAGGTCTTATGGGCGCTCATATAAGCTGATGATCGTTTTTCCTTTAGCAGTTCTTTCATTTTCCGGACTAGTTATTTATGATAAAATAGCAAAGAAAAAAATTATAGAAAAACATTGTAATAGAGTGAAGTCGCTGGCTAATGAACCAATGAGTCCTTTGGATCTTCCTAGAAAAGTAAAAATTTATATGAGCCCGTTTCCAGGAAGTGATCTTCATGCATCTCGAATGCAATTTCAAAAATATATATGCCCTATTCTTCAAGCAGGTGCTGTAGATTATGAAATTATTGAAGGGAATAAAGAAGGTGACCTAAAAAACTATGTTTCTGAAGAGATTCGATGCCTTCGGCGTGGAGAGTTATCTATTGATCCAGAAATGCAAAAAGTTATGGTAAACGTTCGTCCTAGCACTGAAGAGGATTGTGCCATTATTGTAGGAAGGCAAACGCTGAAAGAGTACTTGGCTGGCATTCATGAAGGCTGGCTTGAGCCTTTAGAGTCTCCACATGCATCCTCTAGTTCTTTAGAAATGTTAGGAAATAAGTCAAAAGATACTTCAGCTGCACCCCTTGAAAAATCTCTTCAATCGTCTTTACCTGCTGATTTCTCGATTCCAATACTCCAATATATTCCTTTACCTTGTATTTTTGGGTTTTTTAACATACCGTTTAAGATACTTCAGTTTTCAAATAGACGTTACCTTGCTCAAATTATTGCATCAAAGATAGTAGATGTTGTTTTGGTAAATGAAACTCGTTATTGGGATGACAGTGATATCCTCCTTGGAGAAGAAGAGACCTGCAATTGGCCCAAAAAGTATAGAAAGCGGACAACAGCTGGCGTATGGACGGATGATTTGGCATTAGATAAACAAATCATGAGCCACGTACGTTTGTATTGTTCGTCTTAAGAATTCAGAGTATTGTGTTTGTTTAGAAAAAAAATTGATATATTTAAAAAATTAGTATTTCGAAAATATATTCCCCATTATATATGACAATTATTTTCATTCCTGTCGACTTTTTATAAATTCTTTAATCTCCCGAAAGCAAAACAGACACAGTGTGTGCGCCAGTTTTTTTCGTCCGCATGCTGGACATTCATTGAGGTTATATAAATCTTTTAAACCCTTAGTAGCCTGCCGCATCCGTTTTTTAGAATATGATGTTTTTTTTTTTGGTGCTGCCCATAATATTGCTGTAGAAAGCACTTCACCGCCATTCTCTATGCATAATGGATCTCTGTTTTGCATTGTATCAACAAGTATTGGAGCCCAAGGTACTCTGATTGACTGAGTAAGTGTTTTGGTTATTTTTCCCCAGAAATTGAAAAATATTCCGCAATTTAGAAGCATAGACATTATTCCAAGTCGTTCAATACGTATTTTTTGAGAAATACTCTTGTACCAGCACTTTTTTTCAAATTAATTTTTATTTGCAAGATTAAAGCTAAAAATGCCTTAAAAAATCCTGAAAAAAATGCCTCCTTTAGAAAATATCTTTTCTTCTTATATTATAATCTATTTTCTCCTGTTTGTTCCCTTTTTTCTGCTGAATAATAATTGTTTTTTCATAAATATATTTTGTTATTTATATCACGTTTAATCATTTCTTTGACTGTAGATCGCTGCTTTAGCAACTTTATCGCTGAGTTGTCTTAGCAACTTACTTTTAACCACATCTAAGATCCAACTTTTATCTTTTTGAAGATATTAAGATAAAAATAGATAATGAAGGAGTTTTATTAAGAAGAAATATATATATATTGCTTTAAGAATGATTATTTATGTGTTTTTACTAAGTTTTAACTTTTTTTTAGTGTTAAATCGGTTAATTGTGATCTCCGGGCCATCGGGTAGAATAAAGATATGAATTTGAGCGGAGCTGATTGATAAAGGATCAGGGAAATCAACTTTAATTCGTCGTTTATTCTCTGATCATCCAAGATGCTTTGGTTTTTCTGTTTCTCGTAGGAGTTTTTTTGAAATATGGCATCTGGTTAATGGATAATGGTAGATACGACTCGTCTGCCACGGGCAACTGAGAAAGATGGTGTACATTATCATTTTATAACGAGTGAACGTTTTTCTCAGCTAGTATCAGAAGGAGCGTTTATTGAACATGCTGTTTTCTCTGGGAATATGTATGGTACAACAATTAAAGCAGTTGAAGATGTGATGGCCAAGGGCTATACATGTATTATGGATATTGACATTCAGGTACAATGCTGTTGCTTGTGGTTGCAATTTCTTATGGTATTTTTAAAGGGTGCTCAATCAATGAAACGAGCGCCGATGCATGCAAAATATGTATTTATAGCACCGCCTGATTTGATTGTTCTTGAGAAAAGACTGAGAAGAAGAGGTACTGATACAGAAGAGAGCATACGAGAACGGCTAGCAAGAGCAGCTCTTGAATTAGAGTATGCAAAAACACCGGGATCTTATGATTTGGTATTAGTGAATGATGATTTAGATGAGACGTATAAAAAGCTGGAGAAATTTTGTTTGGAAGAGATACCTTGATACCTTGAGGACAAAAAAATATAATGGGAAAAAGATATATTGTAGACTAACACAATAAATGTGTCTTTACTTCAAAAAATGTCTATGACATATTATCGCCCATGGAACCTCGGGTAATGGGCCGAGGTCCAGAACCCATTGCAGATGACTCTTTAAGTGCGAGCAGTTGGCGACTGCGGAAGTTTTCATAATGGATTTGTGCTGTTGTCTCAATCAAATCTTGTAGATGTGTACGCGTCAAGAAATTTCTCAAATATATGAATTCACAGTGATTTTCATTTTCAACTAGTGAAAAATCAGACATAGTTGCTAAAAAAAAGCTATTACTGTTGATAACTCCCCATTTATTTTGGCGTCCACGAACAACCTTTCCGTCAACGGTAATTGTTTTTTCAGATCCAACAATGCAAAATGGAATAATGTTTTTAATCTGTGAATTTAAAGCCCTTTCTTCATCACTTGATTCTTCGCTATCATATGGGTATGTTCGAATCCCATGGAAACCAAGTTCTTCACGGATCTAGCTGATATGAGTATTTTTATAAGGCAATTGGTTATTACTCTTTTTTTGAATGCTATGCGCTCGTCTACTGTTAAAGCGTCTGATTTTGCAATAACAGGTACCACATTAACTACATTTGTAAGCTTCTTAAGCATTACAATATCAATTGGTTTAAGGCTTATAAATGACTTGTTAGCAATATACTTTAACAATATAGCACTGGTGCTTACGAATGGCCTGATGGCTGGATAAAAAATAAACAACAATGAATACGTGTGTCTTGAATATGTCGGTCTCTTTGCGCTGTAAGTTCTTTTTTTAAGTAAGAAGAATGCTGATCTTTAATATATTTGATAATGGGATCCCAACTGTTGCAATTGAGCAATATATGTTTGATAAATTAATAACACTTACCATCGATCATTGTTGACAAGATCTCCATATCCCGGTGTGTCTACAATATTTAGTTTTAAATGGATCCCATTTTCTTCCAAAACTAATAGGGCAATTTGTTAATATAGTAGCTAAAAATATGAATTTATACTATGAGAAACTGTGTGAATTTCTGTTGTTTGACGGATTGGCTCTTCTGCGTTTAAACGCCCTTTACTGTCAACCAAATGTGCAGAAAATAATGTGTTTATTAGTGTAGATTTTCCAAGTCCTGTTTGGCCTAAAAGTGATACTTTTAGTTTTTTCTTTTTGTTTTTTTTTTCAAAAATCTTACCAACACAGATAATATTAAATTGAAATCCTCGCCTTACAAGTTTCCGTTCAATTTGTTTTGTAATTGAGTCAAATCCTATATGGATTTCTTTAGAACAAATTGTCTTGAAACATTTATTTTTGTTTATTATTACCAACATAACCACCTAATTGGATAGGACTCTTTTATTTACAAAATCAGCTTAAAAAAATACGGGAAAAAAACATATTTTTACCTTTTGATATGGAGGCATGTTTGGGTTTCTAGGAGCAATGATTCCTGACATTTTTAGGTCCAAAATTCTGCTTTTTTTTTTTTAATATTTATTGTAAATCGTTACTGTTGAGATCGGTATTTTACGGGTTTAATAAAGTATCAAAGTTCGGTATGATAAAAAAGATATACAAAAGATAGTTGATATTTTATTAAGAAATATATTTCATATATAAATGATGAGCTATATGTCTATAGATAAAGCAGCATATGTTTAATAATATGATTAAATTTGCAGTTAATTAAAAAAATCAAGCTTTATATCTCTTTGCAGTAGTAGAAATATTTGTATCGTAATTATGAATTTCTTTTTTATCATTTGTTTTTTGAAAGGATTCTTGTTCTTGTTGATTTAAGACACGATTGGACATTTCGTTTAAAATATAGGATGAGTTTCGTCTATAAAACGTTAATTTTTAAAAAAGATCCTAAATATATGTACTTGATGTTATCGTTGTTTGCAAGGCGTTTGGCTCCAGACAATTGAAAAGGATCAGGGTGATAATGTTTTGTATTTGTTGGTGGTGCGCCAACAAGCCGTGTTCCAGGTGTTCGTTTAGTTTGATTAGCTGTTGGATGTGGCACAGTACTTCCTAAGCCATTTTGTCGTCGTATTGGTGTTGATTTTGTATGATCTAATCCCGGTGTTTTCCTTAAAGAAGGACTATCAGTATGTGGATTGAAAGCTATGCTTGAAGAAACGTCTGCAGTCCCTTTGCCATTCATAAATGCTGATCGTGTATTTACAAACATTGGAACATAGTCTGGAGGATGTTCTTCATTTTGCAAATGAATTTGTTGATTTGCTGGATGAGTCGTGGGAGTTTCTTTAGTTTGATTTTGTTGAAAGTTAGCTGGATTTTCAATATTATTTGCTGAATTTTTATTTAAAGAGTTATCATGTTTAATCCCATTTTCTAACTCTTTCTTTTGAGGCTGATTTGTAGGGTTGTGTGAAATGTTTGGTAAAGAATTTTCTTTAAATGATTCATTTTGGGGGGGACATGCAGGTAGAACAGACATGTCTTCTGCAATATGAGCGTTTTCTTCAACTATGTCTGAATGAGAAAAATTTGAAAAGGTACTGTTCTTTATTAATATTATTTTTATGGGCAATGAGGAAATTACTCTTCAATATCGAATTCTGATTGATGAGAGAATTCAAGTTCTATAGGTTTATCCATTTCTTGGAAATCAATATCATCAAAATCGTCGCCTAATTTCTTTAAAAAAGCCTAGATATTTTATAACAAACCATATTGATAAAAATCTGATTCTTTCATTGATGCGGGGATATTCTTCAATGCTAAAGGATTGTAAATACTTCTTTAAAACACAAAATATAATTTTACTCGTACATTGATTATTCTGGATTAAGTTTGAGGGTTCCTTTTGTCCGTTCGGTTTTGGAGGGTTATTAGGAGGTATGTGATTTAAAGCGCTTGGATGGCGGTAAAGTTCAGAGATATTAAATTTACTCTGTGCTATTGAGATTCTGCTTTCAAACAAAAGCATATTATACCTCTGTTACATGTACTTTCCCAATTTCTTTCAAGTAAGTCTTATCGTAAAGACAATTTCCTAAAACATTCCCAAAAGTCCGTAATGCTCTTTTTAATGCATCTGTTGTTCCTTCTTTTTTTGCCTAGTATATTTATTAAAAGTCGAGATCCTTTGTAAATATAACTACTTTTTCAAATGCTGCACCTTTTCCCTTGAAATTTTCGACGCATCCATACCCAATATCTTCATGATAGATTCCATTTTTTAATGTTACGCGTACAATAACTGACACTCCTAAATTCAGACGTCCTGAATCTTTAAATTCTTCAATCTAACATAATATATTAATTACATTTAAATTAAAAAAATAGCATTTACGTAATCTACTTGAATATTTTGTATACTAGAAGACCATCCATTGAACCCAAATATCTCGTTTGCTAAATTAATTACTTTCCATCCTTCAAGATAATATACTTTTGATCCATTGACTCCTGGACGATATGAAATATATTCTGGGCCCAATTGACGGTCTAATAACGATTGTACTATAGCTGTTTCTTTTTCTGTGTATTCTGTTATGCTTTCATGTCCTGGTATATTGTAAAATGTTGGAAATTTTTTTGGATATGTTTGATTATGTTGATCGCCTGGTTTTGGCATTTTTGACTCGGAAAAAAACAAAAATTTATGAAAACTAAGTAAAAAATGGCTATTTGGCTTTGATTTATATGATAAAAACCTCTTTTTCTTTTTTCTCTTCTATTTATTTACTTGAATACAATAATAAAGGTGAAGTTATCTCGTTGGATAATGTTTAATCGTGCATGGCTGACGTCAAAAAATGAGCATAAAAAAAAATTGCTAAAAGTCATTCTTAGCGAAGAAAAAAGGCTAATTAAAAGAATTTATAAAGAATACAGAGTTCTTTTATACTATTTTATTGATTTTAATGTAAAAAATGATTGTTTAAAATGGAAGATATGAAGGAAATTCAAGATCCATTTTTTGAAGCGAAAGAGTATAAAAATAATAATCTAGAATACAGGCTGATACTCAGTGTTAAAGGAATGTTGTTTTAAAGCTGTCAGATGTTTGTCGTTTGCATGATTTATATCTTAAAATGCAGAAGGAGAGATGTGTTGAGTCATCAATGGCGTTAGCAGATGTTATGAAGGAGTTTCGGGAAATGGTTGATGATATTGACAATGATCTAGTGGATTTGGAGGAAGTAGTTTGTGTTGTTGAAAATCAACCTGAAAAATATGGTATTTCGAATGAAGAATCCTTAAAACGGCGTGCGTTTGTTGATCAGGTTCGAAGTAATTTGGTGCAGATACAAAAAGACTTGGAGAACCCGTCTTCTGATCCTTTGGATTTGAAAAATAAGGCATGTGTTTATTTTTATGTGTTTATTTTAATAGTCTCAGAATTCATCTTTATTACCTGAAAAACCGTTGAGAAGGGATTCTGTATCAAATATAGAATTAGCACAAGAATATCAATCTCTAATTATGAATGAGCAAGATACTCAATTGGACTATGTATTTGGAACAGTGCAAAATTTAAGAGAACAGGCATCGATTATGGGTAGAGAACTTGTGGAACAATCTGAGTATGCAATGTTGTATATTTACCATTACTCGACTAAGGAAGTGTTAGGTTGATTGAAGAAGTAGATATGCGAATAGAAAGAACAAATGAGAAATTGAAACGAGGATTTAAAAATATGAAACGAATAGTTGCTCAAAATGAAGGTTAGTTATGTTTTTGTATAAGACGTTGGTAAATGACGTTTACAAAGATAAAGTATCCACCTATTGTATTTTTTTTTTGATCATAATATTGGTTATTTTACTAATACTTATATTTTTATTTTAAATATCGAATTTGAATGCTCTAAGAAGATTTTACATAATAAGGCTATTTACGTTTTAGCTTTTTTCTTTGGTGGCTCACTTTCTGATGTTTCATCTCCATTTTCTAAAACAGCTTAATACTTATAATATATGAACAATAAAATATACCTGTTTCCAAATCTATTTCCGCATCCTCGTCTTCTTCCTCATTCTCTTGCAGTGCATCAGTGAAGTATTTCACTGCATTTGGATATAGATCTTCTGCAATAAAAATAGCAAGTTCTTCACCGTCCTCAAAAACGTCATTATTGCCTTCTCCTGTCCATGAAAACCATGTGAAAAAGCTTGGTGCAACCCCCTTTGCTGGTTTTGTGAAATTTTTGTTTTTTTTCCATTTAATTTCTACTTTTTTTGAAATTAGTTGTGATGGCTCCTTGTCAGAATTGGATGATGATGCTTCGGCCTTTTGACTTGAATATGTAAAAAGCTTTTCAAGATAAAGACTATTCTGTTCTAAGTATTCGTTTGGTTCAAACTCAAAAACAATATTAATATCACGAGGATCCTCATTGGGTCGATACACTCTTAGATCAATTAAATGTTCAAGAACCTTGTAAAGTTAATAATAAAAAATAATACTCTTTTTTTCACATTAGCATCCTCTGAACTTATATATGTCGCTAAATCTGTCAGTTTTTTATATATTTTTGAGAAAAAAAAGTATACAAAGCTCGTCACCAGGTGCTGCTTCTAGCTATGAAATATGTTAAGTTTGTTTAAGAAAAATACATTCTAACTAACCACAATAGGCCAAAATTTAGGGATTTTCCTTAATACACATGCTCTTTTTTCATAAAGTGGACTGAATAAATTAATTTGATGTTTTACTGTTTTTTAAATGAGTTTTTATGTTTTTAGGTAAAAAAAACTTACGAAGTTCAATTTCTGCCTTTTCAAACTCAAGTTCAATATCAGCAATTGCATCTAGTGATGCCGGGTTAGGCTGTGACAAGAGTTCTTGTTTTTTATCATTTATTCTTTTTGGTGTCATTTTTTTCTACGTGAAGTCATAATTCAAAGAATATAAATATTTTTTTATTTAAGCACTAAATAAATAAAATGAATGAATGAATGATTTTGTTTTATTAGGTTTATTTTTAAAATTACTGTATGATTTTATTTTTTCAAGATAATGTTATGTTTTATGGTTTTTATTTCTTTGGAATAAATAGGTTTGTGTTTTTTAAGAGCCAAAATATAGGAATTTTTATTAAAGTGGTCATTTGTTTGTTTTTGTTAATTTTTTTAACTTTTTTTGTTAGATTTAAATTGATATTTTTGTATAATATATATATGATACTTTTGGATGTCGTTTGCAATAGATACTGAATTTATTTAAATTATTACATAAATCTTTTAAATCTTGCTATTTTTTAGATCTTATGGATGGATAAAAAAGTGAAAAGGATATTTATATTCTTTATATTGTCTAAGACAATATATGTAATTTATATATATAATAAACATAGTAAAATTTAGTTTTTTTTTTTTAATTTTTAAGCACAAGGGTTTTGTATTATGAGTATTTTAGTGATGTTTTGGAGACTTTAGATAGTATAAATGTAATAGAATGTTTCTATAAAAAGACTTTTTATGAAACTTTAAAAAGATATATATTTACTGATATATTCTCAATTACATTAAAAATGCAAAAATGGAAAGTATTTCTATGTTAATGTTATTTATATAAGGGGTTTTGTCTTTAATCTTTAAACATTTCAAAATGTCTTTTTTTTGAAAAAAAAAAGGCTTTTTTTCTATATTACTTTGTTTTTATAGTAAATTCTTTATAAAGTCACTATGGTTTTTCAGTTTTTGTTTTTATATAGCTTATAGATGTTTTTATTTTTCTGAGATTGCCTTAGATTTTGAAATCGAGATATCTTTAAAAATTACTGATTAAAAAGAAAACATTAAATAAGAATAAATAAAGACTAGAATGTTAATTAAACTTTTATTTTAGCATTTGTAGATTATGCATATTTCTTTTCTATGTTTTTAATACAAAAAAATGACACAATTTTCGGATAATATAGATATTTATAATGATGAAAATATTCTATCTACAGAGGAAACTTCACTTCTTGGACATAAAAAATCATTGATTTGTTTGAATTCTTTTTCAAAAAAATCTAGGTTTCAAAAAATTGTTTTTCTTTTTCTAAAAAATACGGCTATTTTATGTGTGGTTGTTATCTTATTTGTATTTGGTTTGGTTTTGATAAATGGTTATGTTCAAAAGAAATCTATTTTAGATGTTTTTTATGTTACATTTAATAGGGTTGATATAAAAAATATAACTGAAAACGGTCTAGAAGTACAAGTCATTGGTTCTATTGTTGTAGACTTATCGAAAATTTCTTCTACAACCATAAGAGGTTTATGGAGATTTAGTTCTGGAATGATAAAAAGGGTGACCCTATATCCATCAAATATTAGTTTTTCATTTCCGGATTATATGAGAAAAAGCATTGCTGTGGTAACTTTACCTAAATTTGAAATAGATATCCGAGATTGGTATCGTACTAGTTTTAATGAACTAGTTTTTATAAATTTTCGAAATGCAACGCCTTTTGTCCCTATTTTTAGAACTTATTTTCGAAGGGGACTTCACAATATCAATGTGTCTGGAAAAGGTTTTTTTTATTTGCGGCTTTTTCGTCTCCCAAAGTTTCGAGTATTTATTCATAAGTCATTGACTATTTATGGTATATTTTTATTTTTACTTTTACTTGTATAACATATAGAAGATTTGCCTCAAGTAGATCCTTATAAATTATTTGATGTGGATTCTGTAAGAGTTAAAGATTATTCTACAGCTGGTGGTCTTGAAGCTAAAGTTCAGTTAAGTAGTAGGACTATTTTTTCTGTTAGTGCTCCTCTTTCTCATTTAACCTGGTACGCATTGATTCCTTCTTGCGATCAAATAAAATATATAAAAATTGCAGAAATTGTAAACTATTTGTATTATGTTGAATCGACGAATAGACTTAATATAACTTTGGTATCTTATATATTACCTTTCAATAATGAACTTTTGGAGGCTTGCCATGGTTCTGGAATATCACCATTAAATAAATTAGTATCTGGGTATTTATCTGGACAACATTCGGATATTTATATTGAAGGACATGTTTCTAAGTCTTCTACGGAAGCATCCATTCCTTTATGGTTGTCACATATATTAACACATATGAAAATTTTAGTTCCTTTTCCTGAATTCTTTAAAATTAATCTTCTTAGATCGATAAAAATAAATAAGCTTTTTTTAGGATATTATCAGAAGGATTTTGTTTCTAGAACCTTTTTTCATTTTCCTGATTTTGTTTGTGACATTACTGTAAAAATAGAACTTCCAAATGCTTTTGATTTTTATATAAATATTACACATATTCGTTCTAACATTGATTGTTTGGATAATGGTACTGCATTTGTTGGATTAATACAAAACGATTGGGTTCCTTCTACTAGTATAAGGTCATCATCTGTGTTATTAGTAAAAACAAAAATATACCACAAATATTTTAGAATTTTGAATATGACAAAGTTTAATGGATATCTTAAACAGAGTATTACGAAAAAAAATAAAAATTTTACAATTTATATTAAAGGGAATGTATCATTAAAAATGGATTCTCATTTAGGTTTACTTTATTTACAAGGAATTCCAGTTTCCGGAAATGTTTTAATTGAATATTGAGTTTGTACCTGCTTTATCATTCCTACTATTCATTTTGTTTCTGCTTTGATTTCAGTTCTCTATATTAGATATAATATATTCAATTATCATTAAATGATTTTTTTATATATGGAATTATATATAGGTTTTGTTGACACTAATTGTTATGCTATGTATGTTATAAAAATACTTTTATCTACATAAAAATCTTTGTTTTTCTTTAAAGTTATTTACATATTTATTTTTTATATAATATTAATAAACTTTTAATATGGTCGATTTTTCAAAAATTTCTGAACACTTTCGACGACTTCATAAAAAGATGGAAAAAAGATCACCAGTAACATATGTGCAAACACATAGTGGTTCGCGTTTAAATTTGCCTAAAAATACTCTTAATCCTTTGGGAATAGTAAATGATGTATTAAATAAAGTTTGCTCTGGAAATTTGTCTCGAAAAAGTATGTTTTTATTTTTTTATATGAAACTGAATGGGCATTAGGTCTTAAAAGAAAAATATCCGAGTATGAGGAGATGCAGTGCACGTCTTCATCTAGTCCTTTTGTTTTTAATTACAAGAAACCGCGAATGACATGTTATGGACGTTCATTGCCCATTACGAGGCTATTAGGTTGATTTAATTGCTGTTTTCAGTGTTTTAGGTGCTAATTTACATTAGAGCATCTAGATTCATCTTCTCTTTGTGACATTATACAAACACTAGTCAATCGGCATCCTACTTTGCTTTTAGAAGTGGCTAGCTTATCTTCTCGTCCTGATTTATCCTCTGTTATTAGTACTTTAAATGGTATGGAGGAGCAGGTTCGTCGTTCATTCCCGTATGGTGGTGATTCAATGGGAGAGTATGCCTATAATAGGATACGTCCTGTTTTACAAGCGCTTATGGTATATATATGATGACTGTCTGAGAAAATATTTATACTATGTATAGGATGCGTTGTTGGAATATACACGTATTTTTTTGCCTCCTTATGAGTCAAACAAGAGTCTTACATTAACTTTTCTTGACCATATTACGTCTATGGCTCATCGGTTTCCTGAGTGGAATAACCCTGAGCACAATTATATTAAAGAAGAACTTTATCATGAGATTTCGAGTGCGTGGATTTCTGTTATCCTTAGTATTGGCAAAGAGGGCTGGGGTGGAATAAATGGTTATGAATGGATGAAAAAATTAATCAAACATAATGAAGCAGGAAGAGGCCGGCTTGAATCTGTTATAGATGTGGCTCGTAGTGAATTGGCATGTTTTTTCCCTGAAAAGATTGAGGATGGTATATTTTCTTCGCCAAATAATAAGCTTGGTTTCGATTTTGCTTCTTGTTATCAGATATAATTTCAATGAATACTTGTTATTTAATATTTTGTCAATTTAAATAGGATTCGAGAAAAACACGCCTTGTACTTCTTTAATGTCGCGTATTAGTAGTTGATAGGTTTATTTTTATGTATTTCAGTATTTTATGGTTCCGAGTATTTTTATATTTTACTCTTTTATTATACGAGTAAGGATGTTATACTTCTATTTCTATATGAACAACATGTTGTAAGTTTCCTATAATGGACATATATCAGTATTGTTTTAACATTTTGTATTAAAGTTATAAATTTTAACTTGCTATTTAATTATACATCTATTCATATGTATATGTTTCTACATATTATGACAAATTCTCTAAGTTTAATTAATTGATTTCTAGAAAAATTATATTATATTATATAATTATAAATTTTATGTTTTAAAGTTATCGGCGCGTTAGCTTTAACGCGTTAGAAATGACTGATCACGTTATAATAATATATTATTGTTTTTATAGTTAATAAAAGGATAAAATATTATTTTCTTATGATTTCTTTAGAAGAGTATAATTTCATATATGTATTTTTGGATTCTTCCTTTTTTTTTAGAAAAAAACTTATGTTTTTTAGTTAATTTTAAATTTGATTTATATGTTTGATTATTGAAGATTATATAAAAATGTTTGATATTAAAGAGCCAAAATATGCAGATGATGGTGGGTTTATATTTTCAAATTAGTTATTGACTCAGGCAATATTTTAAGAGCTTTTTAAACAAAAAATGGACACTCTTTATATGGGACTTTATCAGCGATGGAAAATGTACAGAGAAGAACGTGTATCTTCTTATTTTCGAAATGAAAATGTGAATGAGTTTTGTCCTGTAAGGGATAAGAAACTTCGGATGTATTTAAGAGACGTACGTTGTAATCGAGAAATGCTTTGGTCAAAGAGACGACAACAAGATGACGATGTATTGCTAGATGAAGTTTAACAAGTGTTATGCTTATATTTTTACAGCAAAAAATGCGGTCTGTTTTTTTTGCAGAGGAGAAACAGCGACGCCAATGTCTGGAAAAAGAAGCAATGTTTAATCAAATCACATTTGAGGAGATCTATGATGATTCGTTTATTAATGATGATGGTATGTTATTTTTCTTCTGATCTGTCTTTAAAATATTAAAGCTCTTATATTTATTGAGAAAATGGAAATGTTAGAAAATCAGGGACTTAGTTATCTTGTTGAGAAATATTTTCAGTAGAAAGCTATAGAAAAGTACTACAATGTTAATTAGTTTACATTTTTTAATATTATTTTTCTATCACTTCTTAACATGTCCTATTTATATATATCTGTTGATATTTGTCTTTTGCATTATTGAAAAGGAAATGTACTTTTACTTATATTTATTTGTATTTTTATATAGCTTTTTCATTTTGTATATTTTTTAAATATATAGTCAAGAGTTGTTTGTTTTTAGGTTGTTATGATAACGTCTGTCTACTCAACGACTTTGAACGTCGAGTATTTTTCGAGCATAAAAATTGTTTTGAAAAAGCTATATTTGTTCAAGAAAAGAGTTAATTAATGTCTGGTTTATGCAGAAGTAGACTTCAGGAGGTTAGTTTTGTTTTTTTTTCTTTTTTTTTGAGTTAAAAATGGCTATTTTTAGGAACGTAGACAATGGAGAAAAGATCATCCATTTGTAAGGAAAAAAATAAGGGAACTATGTTTTTAACTGATAAATATTAAGGGTTTTTATGCAAAACCAAACAAATTACCTGATGGCACTATGGATTTAATGAACTGGAGTGTTGGGATTCCAGGACGTCCAAAAACAAACTGGGAGGGTGGAATGTTTAAATTAGCTATGTTTTTTCCTGAAGGTGATTTACTGGTTTTTGTGTTTTTTGTGTTTATTTTTATTTAGAATATCCTACAAAGCCACCTAAATGTATTATATTTTTATTTTTTTTATTTTTTTTATTTTTTTCATATTAATAGGCAAGTTTGTTCCTCCACTTTTTCATCCAAATGTTTATCCATCGGGAACTGTTTGTTTGAGCATCCTTAATGAAGAAGAATCGTGGAAACCTGCAATAACAATAAAACAGGTCAATTTTTAAAGATAATTGTATATTTATTAATTTTTATTATAGATACTTTTGGGTATACAAGATCTTTTAAATGACCCAAATCCGAATAGTCCTGCACAAAGTGAAGCATATACATTGTTTAAGTTTGTTTATTTCTATATGTTGGTTAATGATTAACAATATGATAGGAAAGATCGAGCTGCTTATGAAAAACGAATTCGACAGCAAGCTCGGGAAATGGCTCCATAATTTTCATAAAAAATGTTAATAATGTTCAATAGTTAACTTTTTATATTTCTTTTTTTGTTGAATATTTACATTACGTTTTAGGTTTTAGACATAGTATATAATAATTCCTTGTTATTTAAGAATTTTAAGAATAGTTTAAATATTTGATTATTCTAGATAATATTAAATATAAAAGAAGCTTATTTGAAAGTACTTATTCTAGTATTTAAGCTTCTACATTTTATTAATATTTATAATTAAATTTCATTTAAAAAATGTTATTAATAAAAATTATAATCCTGTAAAAATTTAGATTTTTCATCATACGAAATTTTAATATTAAATTTTCCGTTTTTAAAAATTCAAACAAGGACTTGATTGTCTTAGAATAAATGGTATTACGAAACACTTTACAATATTAAAGTGTGGAATTCTTAAAATTCTATTTTTTATAGATTATAATAAGCTATCAGTAATTTTATTAAAAAACTCATGTTAAAGGTTCAAAAATTGACGTTCTTGTATGAATAAAAATGTAAAGATATTACAAATATTACGTTCCTGGTGGATGTGCAGTTGTATGATAATTTCCTGTTTGTTCGGAACTTCCTGTTTGTTGTTGTCCTGCATTTGCCATATTTCCTTGTTGATAATATTGCTGGTCTGAACAAAAGGTAAATATTTTGCATACATTTATTAAATACTCACAATAAGATTGGTAATATTGAACATATGCTTCATAACCACCATAAGCAGCATAAGGATCTGCTGAGTATGACCCAGAAACACCAGGAGGTCCTGCTGGCGCTACGGGTACTTGGTACTATAAAAATATTAATAATTGATGATTATATAAAATAATAATAACCCCGGGCGCTGATCCATATGTATTATTTTGTCCTCCATATCCAGAAAAATTTTGACCATGTGGTGCTGCTTTGAATTGCTCATATTGCTGTTTGACGCTTTTTAAAAGATCTTCACATAAGTTTTTAGCTCGTTGAACTTCAGTAGGATCAGGTCCGCTAAAAGATTAGAAAATATAGAAACAACATATATTTTACGTAATATGTAAATAAAGAGGCTCGTCGCTTTCTCGCCCAGTAGCTGGCTCCATAAACCCTGATCCTATGCCTTTAATCTGGACACGACATTTTGTTTCTTGTTGAACATGTTTGACATATTGTCCCTTGAAAATTAATTATTATTTATAAGAATTAAACTCAATATACATTAGGTCCAACAATGCTAGCACGTAAATGAAATCCACGAATTGGTTCAAGACCGATATAAAGTCTTTCTTCTGGCCATTTTCTCTATTTAAGATAAACTTAATATAAAAGATAAAGATGCTATTACTCTTCCAAGTTCATCTCTTTCTACATCATCCTTCTTCCTAAAGCGTCTCTCATCAACTAGAGATGGTAATTCTTGAGACATAAGCTCCTCAATCTTTTTAACTGCAGCCTCCAGTCCAGCCTTGGTTGTAGATGTAATATGTAGGTAAAGAGGTGGATCTCTTTCAGTAGCCAAACACTTATCAGGATAATATTTCCCGCGTGTTGTTACGTCTAAACATGAACTATAAACAAGCGATATTTATGATGAAATGATTATAAACAATACCTGCACCTGTGTCTTCTTTGATCTAACAACAAAAGTTAGTAAATAAATTTAATTGGGTCAATTAAAGTTTTAAATTTCTTCAGTAGCCAAAAGGCTTTTTAAAATGGAATCTGTATGTATAAAATAAGGCAATTATATCATACCATCTTTTGAGTTGATCCTTTTGTAAGAATATATCGATTTCTTAAATCATTCACTTCAATGTCTTTTACATAGTCACCATCTTGACTATACATATCACGAATTGCAGGAACAGATGGTGGTGGTGGTGGTGCAGTCGAAGGTTTCTATGTTAATTAGTATCTTCTTATATAAAAACCATAAATGTGTACAGGAGGTTCTGATGGAACAGAAGGCACTTGTGTTCTATTACTGTACATAGCGTTAATACGTGCTGCCGCTGCCGCTATTTATTTTCAATATTAATCTGCAAAAAATATCTTCACAAACCTGCTATTTCTGCAGGGTTTTTCGGCCGTTTTTCTCCAGATGAAGATGTATTATGAGATGAAGCTATTTCTCTAGATTCATGTGTAGCTGATGGACGAAGGCTTGAACTTCTTCTTCGATTTCTAGATGACTTATCATCTCGATCATGTCGATGTCTCCGAGAACTTTCTTTTTCTCGTGTTGAATCACGATAAAAACGAGAATCTGATTCATCTCTTTCCTGTCTATGACTATGTCTGCTGCTTGACATATTGATATATTTTAATCCTTTTAAACAGCTCTGAAAAATGTATTAATAGATATTGGAAGAGGTTGTGTCGAAAAAAGGTCGGGTAACTTAAAAAAAAGTGAATTTAAAAAAAAAAATTAAAAAAAAAAAGAGAGAATTGGTGAAAAGATTCTTGATTAATCATTGTTTCTTGATGAGCCATGTTTTTATAATTTCTTTGTATTTATTTAAATATGTTGAGGAATTAAAAGTAAGCAAAAAGAATGAAAAATAATTATTTTTGTTACTCAATATGTTTTAATATGTTTTTAATAATTGTTTAATAATTGTTGAATATCCTTTTTTGTTGCAAATGATAAATTTTATGTCTTTGAATAATAACTTTGTTATAGAGTCTTTCTGATGCATATGTAGTATTTGTTTGTGTTATTTTATAATGTTTATTTTTATAAAAAAGCTGTTTTTCCTCTTATGATAAGTTTTTGCTGTATAGAACATTTATTTTGACTGTTTTGATAACAGTTTTTACAACTTTTTTCTTTAGATAAAATTATAAAAAAAGGAGTTGTTTTTTTCTTTAGATATATTTTTTTTATAATATTAAGTTATTGAATAGTCATAATTTAAAAAACATAATAAAATATTCTTGTTGTTTTAAATCATATATGTATATGATTTCTTTAAAAAGTTTGAATATTATTTTGCTTTTTATGAATAAAATAATTTTAAGTTGAAAAAAGTGCATTTGTTGTACTGTAAAAATGTATAATTTTTCGCATAAAGTTTTCAATTTAATATATTGTTTGTTGTGACAAAGGTTCTTGAAACGGTGAATATTTTTTTGATTTTTTATTCTTGAAGTGTGAAAATGATGATAATAAAATAATTATTAATACAATAGTTGAAATACCTAAGAATTTAGTAGAACATGTCCCTTCTTTTGATATTGGAAATTTTTTTTCTTTTAAATATTTCATTCGATATTTTTCATATGTATAGTACGTTTCATAATGTGTGTCATAGTTAATATGTGAATTATTATAAAGACTTTCTTGCGTATATTGGCAGTCTGAAAAACTGCCTTTATAGCCATCCTTATTGCCATGCTCGAAAGAATGAGCATTTTCTATTGTTTCTCGATATAATCCTATAAAATGATAATTAAAAAAACGCTTTTTCTTTTGTATGTACCATTATAAAAGACATTTTTTGCTGCTCCAAATGATTTAGAATTCATTTTTTGGTTAATCCCCATTCTCTCGTCATATTCTTTCCGTTTAGTTTTATGGGTTAAAACTTCATATGCTTCTTTTATTTTTAAAAACTTTTTGCATATTTCTTTGTTGTTTTTATGCAAATCAGGATGAAATTTTTTGCTGGAAAAACACTTAAGAAAAAGAATATCTTGTATATATAACATATACATGCCTTAGTTGATAGTATTTCTGTTTAATTGTTTTGTGAGATGCATTTTGCGACACATCTAAAATATCATAATATGAGCTGAAAAAACGTTTGGAAAAAGTATTTATAAGAAACATTTTTACTAGATTACAATTAATATCTTTTTTATTAAATAAATCTCCTGGATGACTGCTTTTAGAGCTTAAAATTTGAGGCTTCATTTAATTTTGTATGAACTGACGATCGATATCGTTAAAATAAATTTAATTTCTTTTATTAAACGTCAAGATGGATAATAAAGACCATTCTCAGGCAGAAACGCTTTTTAGTTCTACTTGTTTGAATGGAGGTTTGTATTTTTTCTTTATTTTTTTTGAAAAAAAAAAAAATTTATATTTGATGAGATTTAAAAGTATTATGTCAAGATGGAAAAAATGATAAAGGATCTTTTTCTGAAAATGTTGATAATATTTCAAAGAACTTATCTGAAGTTTCTGGTAGACAATTTTCTTTTTATCTAAAATAATTTATAGAATGAGTAGTTACAAAAAAAAAAAGAAAGAAAAAGACGTCTCAGCTACTTAAACAGACTGATCCCCCAACTGTTGGTATTACAAAGTTATTTCCATCAGGAATTTACCCTGAGGGAGAGCAGATGGATTATAAAATTGAGTATGTCTTTTAAAAATACTATATTTTTGTATTCATATGTTTTAAGCAATCTTTTGCGAACAACTTCGGAAGAAAAGCGGCATTTGGAGCGTTCTCTTCAAGGTGACTATAATGATCTTCGTAGAGCCGCTGAGGTTCATCGCCAAGTCCGTTCCTATGCTCAAAAAGTCATTAAGCCGGGTATGACAATGATAGAAATTGCAGAAATGATCGAGGATTGCACTAGGACATTAGTAGAGGAAGATGGCTTAAAAGCAGGTATTGGTTTTCCTACAGGTCTTAGTTTGAACCATTGTGCTGCTCATTATACGCCAAATGCTGGAGATAAAACATGTAGAGTAGTGTCTTTTAACTTTATAGATTGATATTTCTAGGCCTTCAGAAAACGGATGTTATGAAAGTGGATTTTGGTGTTCATGTAAATGGTTTGTTTATTTTTGTTTATATTTCTTTTGGATTCATAAATTTGTAGGGAGAATTATTGATAGTGCGTTTACAATGGTTTTTGATGATAAATATGAGAAATTGCTTGAAGCAGTTAAGGATTCTACTAATACAGGGATTAGAGTATGTTTTTATGTTATTTCGTTATTTCTGACTTTTTCCAAAGGAATCAGGTATTGATGTAAGACTTTGTGATATTGGTGCTGCAATTCAAGAAGTTATGGAAAGTTATGAAATTGAATTAGACGGGAATACATATCAGAGTATTTTTTTCTATTTTAAGTATTTTCTTATGATTTTAGTTAAACCTATTAGAAATTTAAATGGGCATAGTATCACTTTGTATAATATACATGCAGGGAAATCAGTTCCTATTGTTAAAGGTACCGATCAAACAAAAATGGAAGAAAATGAAGTTTTTGCCATTGAAACATTCGGAAGTACTGGAAAAGGTTATGTTAGAGCAGATGTATGTTAATTAATTAAACGGAATAAATTGGATTTAATTTATTCAAGGATGATTGTTCACATTATGCGAAAAAGCCTGATGTTGGCTATGTTCCTCTTCGTTTGACACGCTCAAAGCTTCTTTTAGCAACCATTAACAGGAATTTCGGAACTCTTCCATTTTGTAGAAGATATTTGGACCGAATTGGAGAAACAAAATATTTACTTTCTGTAAATACTGTTATATGATTACATAAGTAAATTGATTTATATTAGTTAAATAATCTAGTAAATGCTGGCATCGTTGAGGCATATCCGCCTTTAGTGTATTTTCATATTCATTTATAGGATATATTTAATTTATTTTTAGTGACATTAAAGGTTGCTATACGGCTCAGTTTGAGGTAAATCCAACGCTTAAAAGATGACACTGATATAGAACTAGCATACTATTCTTTTGAAACCGACAAGAAAAGAAGTTCTTAGTAGGGGGGACGATTATTAGTGACAGTTGTTTGAAAGAATATAATATAATAAACAAAGTGATAAAAATAAGAGTGTTTTAAACTATTTTAGTTATAAATACAACCTACTATGATTATCTGTGATTCAATTGGATTTAAAAATAGAGGATGTATTGTAATTATAAAATAATATAATAAAAAAGTAAGAATGATCGCTGGATAATAAAATGAGTTCAGTCGACCAATTAAAAGGCAAAATATGCCAAAAAAAACGCTATTAAGCAAAGGGCTATACAAATATGAATAGGAACACTTTTACTGTATATATATTAAAACATAAAAATGTATTGAGGGAAACTTTACGGTCCTGTTGCAATCATCATTTTATCCGAAAAAGGATGATCTTGTTTTTCGGGTTTATTTATAACTCGATAGCGTTGTTCCGTTTCTTTTAATTGGTCCTTGAGTTTTTTTATTGTTGTTTTAGCCTCGACCAATTGAATAGCAAGATTTTCGTTTGATACTGAATTCTCCGATGTTCGGTTAACTGATGCATCGCTGTTAAATGGCAATTGGTTAGAATCAAGTATGGGTTTGGTTATTGCCGAATCTGCGCTATAATTATGGTTTTCTGGAGATCGAATAGAGCTATATTTCTATGTAAAAATAAGTATTCACATATAGTTACCTAAAAAATATACTTCATTGTCATTAAAAGATTTTTCCAGAGTATGCTGTGTTGTATTATCTTCTTCAGGCGTAAGAAAAACACATTTAATCTTTTTTTCATGAATATCTTCTTTTGAAGCTGAATCAAATAACAAAAGCTATAAAAAATAATTATATTGGAGACTTAAATGCTGAAAAATAGAAATATACCAGACTTTGTGTGTCTGTAACATCTTTATTTGTAAGAGCAATTGATTGAATAAGGAATTTGTCTCTGCATTTAAAATCAAGAGGAGGCTCTTCTTTTAATGCTTGAAACAATACTTTTTAAATAAGAAAAATGCTTTGATAAAGAGAGTTATTTCAAATATACCTAAAACTTCTATTTCTTGACCTGCTTCGATACGGCCAGAATTTGGTCGGACGCACTATAAACTTTGTTAGATATATTGTATATTCTGCATTTTTTTAATTCATTTCCAAATATACATACATATTGTCTAGGTGCTGTTGTCTTAATTTTAAATACAATTGGGCCCTTGTGTGGATTGTAAAGAAAAAGGGACACTTTCACCATTGATGTAAGCGGGCGACAAAATCCCAGCTGACTTTTGCACTCTACTGACATCCCTTATTATTTTCTATTCCTTAATATCTATCTTTATCGTTTTTTGTTTCAATTTAAATATGTTGTGTCTGTATTTTTAAATATTTCTTTTTTATGTTTTTTCTTCAAATAGCAATGTTTCTAAGTGTTGGAAAAATGTTTTTTACTTTTTCCTATATTTTTTCTCAGAATATGTCTTTTTTTTTGAAAAAATTGCAATTTACTTAAGTTTTGTTAAACTTTTGTTTTCAATTTTCAGTTTTTTTGTAATATCGTTTCAACGGCATTTTGTCTACCGACAGTTAACATTAAAAGAACGTCAAAAAAACATTTTAAATAATAGGTGAGTATAGCAGATAATATAATAACTTTTTATTTATTCTGACTGTTTTTATCATTAGGTATCTGTTTTTACTTGAAAGTTTTGATGTAGTTTGGTGAAATTTGAATGAATAAAAGTAAAATATTAAAACATAAAATATAAAACATAAATTGTTTGTTTTTCTTGTTTTTCTCTATTAATTTCTGCTGAATATGTGAAGAACAGTATTTATGGATCCAGAAGAGCATTTTTCCGGTGTTGATCAGGTGAATTTTAATGATGTAGGCAATACCATTGTAATTTCTTGTTTGAATGAAAATTCTAAGGGTATTAAGTCTGATGGTTCTGAAAATGTGTTTTTTGTAAAGGACGATGTAGAGGAGCATTGTCTTAATGCATCTGATGTCCATTGTGAAAGATCAATAGAGGTGGTGTACTGGTTTATTAGTAAATATATGATATCATTAACGTCTAAGCAGACAATCCCATTGACAGATGAAGAAAAGGAAAAGAAGCTAGAAAGTCTTAAGAAAATTCTTAGTGAAAGGCGTAAGTTTCAAAAGATTAAAGAAGATAGAGAGGCTTGTGAAAATGAGGTAATTTTGATATGTTACTTGTTTTTGTTAATTAACAGAGTTGTTAAAAGTTAATTCGTCGAAAAAGAGATCGGGAGTATGTACAGTTAATTGAAGAACAGAAGCGTCAGGCGCAATTAAGAGATATTATGTTAAGAAAAGAAGAAAAAAAACAAGATCTTCTTGAAAAAAAGCGTATTATGCAGCGAATTGAAGATGATAAACGTGAAAGAAAAGAACGTGTATGTAGTTTTTTTTTTTGTTATTTTTTATATCTCTTTAGCAGGAACGGGCATGTCTTATGAAAAGCGATGTTTCTGAAAATGCCTCGTCTACTTTACCTGTTCCAAAAACGATTTCGTATGATACGTCTAGATTGCAAATACGTGTTGAAGCGGGAACAAGGTGTTCTCCGATTGTTCGTGTGTTTTCTTCAGAGGATACATTAAGGTTAATTGCTCAAAATATTTTTCCAGAGTCTGGTGTTAGTCCTGATACAGCTATTTTTGTTTCTACTTTTCCTAAAAAAGAGTATTCTGGAGACTGTTTGGATAAAACTCTAAAGGAACTTCGTATATAATAATATTTTATTATTCATGTGTTTATTTTTGCTAGAATTGGTTCCATCTTGTGTGCTTATTCTTCGGTCTTGTTTATGATAAAGAAATGGTTTTGTATTATTTTATTTGTTAAATCACATTTTATATTATTGATAATATTTTTAAGACAAAAAATGGGTTTTACATAATGTTTTGTTTTTATTAATAGTTTTAAAATAATTAAAATAAGAATATGTTAATACAATATTTGAAAATATCTTTAGAAATACAATAAAGGATGGAATGGAGGTTCTAATATTAGCTTTGAATAGTAATAGACATGCCAATTTTATGGGCAGCTTCTGATAATCGCTAGATAAGTAAGCGTTTTAAAGTTATTAAAATCATCTGGTTTACCTGAGTATCCAAAGACAAACCGAGTCCGACTTTAATACCAGAATAAAGAGTTTGTGTATAGGAAAGCCCTGCAATACCATCGTTATTGATTTTAGCCTTTTCTTGTTAAATTTTTAATAATAAAGTAAGATTTTTACTTTGACAAAAACATCTTTATCAAGGAAATGTTTTGTGCCTACTTCAAGAGCAATCATACTAGACGGTTTTTTAGTATCCCATGTCATTCTTCCAGCGACCTAGTATACTAAATAAATGAATATATCTAAATGATAAAATTACTTCTGTAAGTGAATTCACACGATGATAATAAGATGCTGAAAATACGCTGAGATTTTGCGTAGCTTGAACAGCAATCGAATATTGGGGTTGAATGCATCCTATAGATGCTGCATAGTCGGTAATTGAGCCGTTAAGAATATCATAACTTATATTTCCTCCAGCAAGGAATCCATCTTTTCCTACGACAATATTGCCAAGAAAAGTAGGTCCTTTAAATAAATCAATAGTTGTACGAACGTTAACTGTAGGTTGTTTATATCCTAGTCCAAGTTTTGCATTTTTAGTGTTAGATGATAGAAATAATGTAGTATTGATATCTGCACTTAAACCCTTTGCAAGATGATCTTGTAATTCGATTTTTGTAGCCAAAGCATTGTTTGTTGTCCAATTTTGTAAGAAACTAAAACCAGAGAGTTTATCAGAATACTTTCCTTCAAGTTGGCCTAAGATACTGCCGATCTTTGATGTTTGATTTCCCTTAACAGAAAACTCCTATAAATTATAAGTATTTATACATTTTTAAAAACATTATGAGTATTTTGATAAACTTACAACACCATTAGGGGCTATTAATAATATATGAATAAGCTAATGTGAATATTGAAAATTTTAAAAAAGGTCTTACCTTTTGTTCTTATATCTAATGATGCTCCACTATGGAATTAATATATATATAGATTAATATATAGTATAAGTACTTACTCAATTGGAAAATCTTTAGAAAATATATCATTTTGCTGTTTAGCAAAATCATCATAGCTTGGAACACTAATCATTATTTATTTTAAGACAATACTATATAATAAAGATTTATGCAATATATATATATATTTATATTTATATATATTGATTTTAACCTAATGATATGTTTATTATTAATACAATTTTTAATTTGAAAATTAAAAGTTTGTAAATTTTAATTATCGAAAAATGTGAAATTATTAAAAATATGTAAATTTAAATTATCGAAATATATAAATTTTATTAAAAAATATAATGGAATAATGTAGATTTGGTAAAATAATGATGAATAGAATTACATGTTTGTTATCCCTGCACTAAAACATAAAGATCGAAATACACCATCTTGTTTATTAAAAAGTTCTTGTGGAGAACCAGATTCAACAAGGGTACCTGAATCGATAACAATGATAGTATCGTAATTAATAACAGTTCTAGATATAAATGTAAATGTTAATAAAAAGATAATATGGAATTACTTGATTCTATTTCCTATACATAAAAGCGTTGCATTTTTAAATTCATTTTGAATGGTATTTTGAATCTTAACAAATGTTAATTAAAATAATTAGATAAGAATAATTTTTTACTTTTAGTTCTGTTCTAGCATCTATGCTTGATGTTGCTTCATCAAAAATGATAATTTTGGATTTTCGTAATAATGCTCTTGCCATCGTTAACAGTTGACGTTGTCCAAGACTAAAATTTTGTCCGTCTATTTCTACTGGTGATTCTAGACTAAATTTTGAAGATCCATCTTTTTCTGATGTATATTGTCTTTTAATTGAATCTAGAAACCATGATCTTTCCAAACTATCCCATACTTCTTGATCAGTATACTCATTAAACGGATCAAGATTAGATCTAATAGTTCCTTCAAAAAGGGTTGGTTCTTGTGGAATAATGGATAGTTTGCTTCTTAAGTCATGAAGACCTATTTCAGAAATGCATATTCCATCAATAATTATTGAACCTTTAGATAATTCTACAAGCCTATAAAGGGCTACCATAATTGAACTTTTTCCAGCTCCTGTACGACCTAATGATATATTATTTATGTATATAATTAAAATGTTTAATATACCAACTATGCCTACTTTTTCCCCTTTATTAATACGGATATTTAAGCCTTTCAATGAATACGGGAGCTCTTCTCTATATTTGAGCCAAACATCATTAAATATGATTTCCCCATTCTGAGGCCAATCTGGTGGTGGTCTTTTTTCTGGAATAACTAAAGGTGCTTCTGTTCCTAATTTATCAGCATAATGATGAAGTCTTTCTACTGAATTCATGTTAATTTCGACCTCTGCAAATTGTCTCAGCATCCAAGACATCATGCTAACAATTTGAAGACAATATGAAAGAATAAGACCAGTAGTCGTTGCATCAATATCTGAAGTTATTGATAAAATAGTAATAGACAATATAATCATATTTCCAATTGCATCTAGTCTTAAAGTAAGCCACCTTTGACTAGCAAGTGTCAAAAAATATGCACTATTTGATATGTCGTTTTTTTTTTCATTTTCATGCTTAAATCTTAATTGTTCTCCATATGCGCGTATCACTACAAGACCTGTTAAAGTTTCACTAATTTGAGCATATAGATCTGATTTTTGTAAAGAATCTAATCGTTTTACTTCTCGAGAAGATACTCTATAAAATGACATTAAAACAAAAAAAAGTGATAATAAAAATATTAGAGGAATAGAAAACTGTACATTAGCTATTAAATCATTAAGTTTATAGGCACTTTACATAATGAAGAAATACAGTAATAAGAATAAAAATAGCAACAATATTTGAAGATGTTAATGAAAATAATAAATAAGAATCTGCCAGTGAATTATCCTGATAATGTTAATAAAGTATTTCCTAATAAGTAAATATACCAAAATTTTAATATCTTTTGTAAATTTATTGATAATTCGTCCTAATAAATGTTAAATATGATTAAAGTCGAAGATGTATAACCTAAAGGAGTGGTATCAAAAAATAACATAGGTGCTCGAATAACACGTTCCACAGCCTTATTAATATTAATATAAGTGTAAAAAAAGAATAGCTACTTTATGGTGCATATTTGTGGTAGCATTTTTAGAACAAGCGTAATATGCATAATAAATAATGAAATCTAAAAGTGTTTGAGCAACACCTAAAGCCAAGTATATAAATATCTAGAGAAAAATATTAGGTATAGATAATGACATGTTTTGATGTATACATAAAAATTTGGAGACTTTTGAAATTGATTTTTTGACCAAAAACTCAACCATAGATTATTTCTGTGTATACTTAAGTAGGTTGATTATTCTTTAAAGAAATAAATACCCAATATTTACGAATTCAAAAGCACTTAATAAAAGAATGATCACAGGAACTAGCCAAAGGCCGCCTGCAGCTCTAATAAATTGAATATAAACTATCCATTTTATTGAGCCTATTTCGCGTTCTTCTTTTTGCATTAAAGTATTAAATTCATTTTCTTTGACTTGAAATCCTTCTGTTGTTTTTTCTGAGGTTTCCTCTTCTTGTTCTTCTACTTTAATAAATTCTTCAACAAAATGGTAGAAATATTCTTGCTTATTAATTAAATCTGAATATTTTCCCATTTCCATAATTTCCCCGTTTTCAAGATAAACTATTTTATCTGCTTTGCTAAGAATATTAAGGTGATGAGTTACAAAAATAACAGTTTTATCTTTAAGAAAATTACGAATACATTTCTCAAAAATATCTTTGCTAACATTAGAGTCAACAGAGGATAATGAATCATCTAATAAAATTATATCGGCATCGAAATAAACAGATCGTGCAATATTAATTCTTTGTTTTTGCCCCCCGCTAAGCGTTACACCTTTTTCCCCTATTTCTGTTAAATCCCTATTGGCAAATGTTTGAATATCAACATCTAAACAACAAACATTAATTACTTTTTGATATTTATGTTTGTCATATGGTTTCCCAAAAAGAATGTTATCCATAACAGTTGAATTCTGAATCCAAGAGACTTGAGAACAATAACCAATTGTGCCATTTATATTTATTGTTCCATAGATTTTATATGTTTCATTAATAATAGAAAGAAGAAGTGTGCTTTTTCCTGAACCAATAGGACCTACAATACATACGAGTTCGCCCTTTTTAATTTTTAAATTAATGTTTTTAAGCTGTAGTTTGAAGTCAAATTCTTTAAAATCATCATCGTCAGAATCATCTTTAGTCTCACTTTTTGTTTGAGGTATGATGTTATTAGAAATATTTAAATCTTCTGCTTTTTCATTAAATTGACTGTTTTTTAATTTTATCTTATTTTTTTTTTCTGAATTTAGTATTTTTCCTGAACTATTAGAATGACTTGGTATGTGTTTTTTTCCAAAAAAAGATTTTTTTGATGATAGGTGCATTTTTTTTGATTCATTGTTTGCATCGTCTGATGGCCAGGCAAAATAGCCATTTTTAATGACAATAGAATAATTAGATTCATCAATTTCTGGATCTTCAGAATTTTCCAATTTCCTAGATTTTAAAATATCTTGAATTTTTTTAATAGAATCTGATTGTTCGAAGTTGTCTTCATCAGAAAGCATACAATCAATTCTTTTTATTGAAGCTAACATGTTGCTACAAACAACTAATGCTATTTTGATAATTAAAACTAAAGATTTGGGAATTTAAAAAACGTACCATAAATAAAAAGCATAAGAGGTATTCTGAGATGATTAAGAAGAGTTAACGAAGAAAATACAATGGAAGGCTCAAGAGAATTTTTTATTTTGTAATAGGTAATAAATGTTACTATAATACAAAAAAATGTAATGTTCTGTAGAATATTAAGAAAGTTTTATAAAAAAAATGAACGATTTTTATTACCATTGAAAGTGAATCAATTATAGATCGTACGATGTGTAGCGATTTTATAGATTTTGCTTCTTTCAGTCTTGCACCTAAAATGTTTTTTAAAAAGCTCTTTTCCCATGTATAAAATTTGATCACTTTGATAGATTGAAGCATTTCGTTTGTTAAACGAACACGAATATCTGTAATTGCTGAAATCTCGAGATTCTTTTTTACAAGATTCTTAGCTATTTTCGCCACTAATGCTATTAGATTTATTTGTTAAAATGAAATGATTTTACAAATAGGAATAATGACAATTATCAATGAAAGTCCTGCAAGAGTAGAGATTCCTAAGTTTAAAAATAGAAGAATAGAAATAGAAATGGTTTGAATAACAGATGTCCTAGTAAAGTTATGAATTATTTAAAATAGAAAAAAAAAATACCATATAATATTTGCATATCCAAAGCCTGTATCAATATTGGTTACATCTGTATTGATAAGATTCATGATCTGTAAATTAATATTTTTTCAATAAAGCTATAGTACATACTTTGCCATTATTGAATTTTAATCGCTGTGTATTTTTAATAGCAAGGCTTTTGCGATAAATACACGAAATTAATGCTGTTCTTGACATAGCACCTATCATAATACTTTGGTAAAAAGAATGGTGAAGACAAAATGAAGAAAGAGTTTGCATAAAATACAATGTAAAACAAAGCATAATACCATATGCAATGTTTGGTTTAGAATAGACATTAGGTTGTTCATTATGAAGTGCTTTTTTTTGTGAGAAAATGATGATATACTGATAAAATATTAACAAATTGTGTATTACAAAACAAAATATACTTTAATAACAACTGTCGAAAAGATAATAATCATATCAGACACAACCTTAAATCGTTAATTCACTATTATATATATTACACAAAAATATACCTTTATTAATCCTGATAAAAAATATCTCTTCCCATATGTATCTTTTAATGCCTTCAAAAGTGCATATTTAGATCCTTTCCGTCGTTCATAATTTTCATATAGCTGCTTATCTAAATTTTCCGATGATCGTGCTTCATCAATATACCATAAATCTGTTGCTTCCAGTGGACGCTTATACCCCAGTACAATCAAATGGTCTAGCCAGCTCCATATAAGCCGTGAAAATATATTTGCATGTGCCTCTGGAATGACCTTTGTGCATGATGGTACTGGTCCTAATAAAATATACTTCATTTTTGCACGAAACCGCTGTATCAACGGAATTTTTTTTTCTTTTTCCTCTATATTATCCATGCCTCGTATATGATTCTTTTTGTATTTTGGCCCCTGTTTAAATTCCTTCTAGGCAACTCTTGACCCCTTTATATACTGTTTTTCATTCAAAAAGTACAATTATATACGCTGATTTCTCTTCCAAACTGCTCTTTGTTTTTTCTGGTTTCTCCTTGGTCTTAGGTCGTTATCTTTCCAAAATTTCAATTGGTTTCTTTATTTCAATCTATCCCGTCATTATTTTATGATATGGTTTCTAATATGCATACTATATGCGTATTGTATGCGTACTGTATGCGTCTTATATGCGATCTATATGCATCCTATATCTACTCTTCTCTATGTTTCTTATTGTGTGCTATTAATATCGTTACTATTTTTTCTTCAGACTAATATTCTCCCTGTGTTCTTATATTCTCATTATATATCTTCTAAACCCTTTTTTCTTTTTTATCTTTCTTTTTTGTTTTATTATCTTTGCTTTCTTATTATCGTTTATTTTTTTTGGATTTTCTTTTTATCCTTTTTCAGTTAGAATATTCGATTTTTTTGAAAAATTTTGAGATGAGAGTGAAAATTAGGCGTAGTTTGGGATGGCAACGTAATTAATGTATTTTTAGTGTAGATTATGTATGGTTATTTTATATGGATAATTGTAGCGGTTTATAGAAAGATTCAAGGCATAATAGAGGAGATATAGGTGTATAAGTAGGTAATATTAAATTTAATAATGCATTTATGGAATATAATATATACAAAAGTTTCGAGTACGAAAAACACAATGGGGTTTTCTGCATTGAATAAAATATCATTAAAGGAAGGATTGTCTGGTATTTTTGGGTAAGAAATGAGTATATAGAAGTATATTGATGAAGATTTAGGTCTATTTCTCTTGCTTCATGGTTTGTTTTTTTTTTTGTTTGATGGAAAATGATTTAAAAGAATAAACAGGATTATTACGGTGTATCCACAGTTAATTGAGAATTACCGGCGAAAATCGTGAGTATAGTGGTAGTAAAGGAGAGACATTGGTAATATAGTATGTTTTGTTTAGTGGTGATTCAATATCACTTCCGTTCTTGTTTTTATGGCTTGTGGGTGATATATTTGGGTTGATAGGGTATGTTAAGAATTGTGTGGGAGAAGTGCTTAATGGAAGAAAGATCAGTATGGGGGAAGCTTATACATATTATTATTGTTATCCAGGTTTATTTTTTTCTGGCTGACTTGGTGTTGATTCTCCAAGTTTTGTATTATAAACATCGATATCATTTGCGGAATAATGTGGGTTTAGAAAATATAGTAAATATTCTTATTGGTTGTTGTAGGTACAAGAAAAAGTATTTAAAGGGACGACACCATTACAAGTATTTTTGTCGATGCTGATTGTAATTGTGTTTGGTGTTCTTGGTTGGATTATTACGGTTGCAATTGGTGGAGTGAAAAAGCCTGATACACAAACACCTAATTCTGTCGGATTTTTAGTATTTGGCTATATTGGTGCTTTTTTATATTGTAAGTTGTTGATTGGTAATCATATGTATCTATTTTTAACTGATTGGTATATAGTATTTGCGAGAATTCCACAGATTAAGAAAAATTTTGAAAGCAAATCGACAGAAGGTAGACAGTTGTAAATGTTAGAATGGCTATTAAATGACATGTGTAGGTTTATCTCTTTTATTTTTTGTTTTTACGCTTTTGGGGAATATTACTTATGCGATAAGTATTTTATTAATCGATGTATCACGCAAATATATTATGATGAATCTCCCATGGCTATTAGGAAGTCTTGGAACGTTATCCATGGATATATTGGTATAGTATTTAGTGATATGGTAATCGATATTAAAGAGGTTTTTATTAGATATTTTTTCAATTTATGATATACAAACGAAAAGAAAATGGAAATTCCACTTGATTTAATCGAAAAGACCGAAGCCCATCTGTGTCAAATATTAGTGGTTTTAGGATATGAAAGAAAAAAATGCAATACGTCTTCATCAGACTCTTCTACTTCTTCTTCCTTTGGTGCTTCTTCGACTTTTGTTTCGTTCGCTGTTGGAGCAGGTGCTCCTTCAGCTGCTGACCTTGGTCCTCCAGTGCCTATATTTAAAAGAAGTTCCTGTAATAATAAGATTTTTTTTTTTAAATATATAACAGACCTTAACATTTCTGCTTTCAAGCGCTTTTGCAAATAGAGATATTAGGACATTTTCAACTTGGACGCCTGCTGATTTTACTAGTGTTTGCAGTTTGTCTGAAGTTATTTCAATGCCATCATCGGCTAAAATAAGAGCTGCATAAGATACTGCTAGTTCCGCTGACATCTATTGTTATTAGTTTTGTTTAAAAGATAAAAAAGTGTTTTTTTTAGAAATACAGTAAAAATATGTTTTTATATAATGAAAAACGTAGAAATAATACTGTCTTAAGGCTAAGTTTTTGCTTTTTTATACGTAAGTGTATTCGTTTTTTAAGGGTGTCCTTAAACATTCAGTTAATGTATACTTTTTAATACATGAAAAAATTAAATTGAAATCTGCCTGAATGGAAATAATGTATAAATAGATATAAGGATTTCAGCATTATGATTATTTTTTGTAAACAATGCTAATTATGTATTTTTCTGAATATATAAGTATTTTAAAATAATTATTATTAATTAAAAAATAAAAAGTACATGACTTAATAGTACAAAACATGAGTTTGTATGTGTTAGTAAGTATAAAATTTTATATAGTTCCCAAAAAAAGCATTATGAAAGGTTGAATACAATTTTTTGTAAAATAAGTTATGGCAGTTATATTTTTTAAAATAATCACATTCGAATAATAGAAAATTGGTGATTTTTTACAGCATTAAGATTATGAAGGCTATCCCACCAAAAAAACATGAATGAACGGCAAATGAGTTCAAACCATGGTGTAAAACTAAAATCTAGTGAAAAATAAATCTGTTATCTACTGAAGATATGATGCTACCTTTGCATTTTAACATTTTACGAAGGTCATCCTGACTAACATAGCGTGCTGTTTCTACTTCATTTGGATTAAGTTTTAGATCAACATCTGCCTGAATAAACAAAATATAATCAACTGTATTCATCAACCGTTAGGTACTTTTCCTGGGAAAATTGATACACACTCTCATTTTCTCCCCATATTTTATCGCTTTCTGCTTTATATTGCACTCGTGTTAAATAGTGGAATTTTTCTAGTGGTACTTGACTTGAAACAATCCCCAACTCATGATAAAGTTTCCGTTGTGCCGCACGTTTTACACCCTCAACTGATTTCTCCATGTTCTCACCATATTCACCTATGACTTGCAGAGGATGTGAGCAACATGTATTTGTCCATAATCCAGGAAATGTAATTTTTTCATATGCTCGTTTTTGAAGTAACAAATCTCCTTTCTGATCGAACAAAAATACTGAAAACGCCCTATGAAGCATTCCTTCTTGTATGTTTTTTAATAAATGACCTTTTTTTTTTAGTTTCTTTAAAAAATATTAAAATTTACATTGTTTTTTTGATGCAAACCCAATCATTTTATCATTTTCGTCAACTAAAATGCATGTCTCACTCATCAGACGTTGTTGTTCTGGATCTCTGTTTTTTAAATCTTCTTCTTCTAAATGGTTTATTAATTGTTCTGGCATTTTATATTTTTCTGATGTCTATGAATATTTAAGATCGATGATATTACCTTACTCCGCAATAAAATTAACATTGACGATATGCAACTTTGGTAAGATGAAAATATTTGTTCAGAAAAAGTATCTAATAAATGTATAGATTTAGTATATAATAACTGCTTATATTAGAAAAGAAACTTGGGACATGTTAATGTGTTTTTTTCTGATTAAAAATGCCAGGAAGATTGAATGAATCATCTAGAGGTTCGGTATCAGCGTTAGAGACAGGAAGTGGAGGAGATGCGCCAGTGAATCGACGATGGAATAATCCAGTATGGCGCCGTTCTTCTGATAGGACGTCGTTGAGACAGTCTTCTGTATTAGATTTGGCAGATTCTTTTGGTTTGGTGTCTCTATTTTCACAATATCCGGCAACAGAGTCTGATGAACCACAAACTTCTTCAGAAGTTTTTGAAGTTATGGAAACAGTAGATCCTTCTCTGTTCCGTAATGTATCGAATATAACAGGGACATCTGAAGGTGAATCAACTGGGTTATATACCTCGTTAGCGTCATCGTTGAATCTTTTACGGCGACGTGAAATGAGGCTTCGTGAAATGCGTGCACGAGTGGATGGTATGGCAGAAAGGCTTGCATTGATGCGTGAAATACGTTCAACAGCAAGGCGTGTGTCTCCTATTAGGATGGCTTCATCATCATCGCATGCTTCGTCTTCTACTACTTTGCCAACAGAGCCGATGACATGGCCGTCTAGTGCAGTAAGAAATGCACTACGCGAAACACTGTTTGCGTCAGATGCGTTTACGGATGCAAATGGTAATGCTTGGCCAGATGATAAAATGTTATCTGAGTTGGATGATTCACTGAATACTCGGCATGCAGTTTTGGATGGGGAGTTTTCTGATACTTCTACATCTTTGTATCCTTCTATACTTTCCTCTTATCGTATAATTGACGGTGTTCTTTTTAACTTGGATGGTGAGCAAGTAGGCCGTCTCTCAGCTTTAAATACGGAACTTAGAAGCTGCAAAGAACTCTATGATGAAATGGCAATGCATAGTTCATTTTTATCTGATCGCAATGATGATAGTTCGTTATATTTTTATAGCACGATTGCTCATAATGAAAGTAAACAAAAGAGACGGAAATATTCAGTCGATTTATCTGCTGGACGCTAATATGCATAACATGTTTAAAGAGTTTTGGTGCATAAGACTAGTTTATATTTTCTTTTTTGTCTTAAAGATGAATTTTATGAGCTTTTTTTATAAGTGTCTAACCATACATTTAAATAGATAGTATTTTTAAATCGGATACCTGAATCACTTTTTCTTCTAAAAGTTTTTTTATGTATGTTTTAAAAATTGTTTCAATGTTTTCTATTTTGGTTACATTTTCTAATTCCTTTGTAAATGTCGTCAAATCTGAAGATGCTTTTTGTATAATTAATTCCGCATCAGTTAGTACTTTGTCGATTATATCTGGGGGCGTGTTTTCACCAGCATAGAAATAATTTGCTGTTTTTAATGACTGTTTGATAATTTTTTTAGTCTTTTTCATAGTTTTCTTTTGAATTTCTTTAGCTTTTTTTTCTTCTTTCTGTAATTCTTTTGCTGCTTCTTCTTTTCCTTTCTTCTCTTGTTCTTCTTTATCTGTTTTTTCTGGTGTTTTTTGCATATTTATTTTATGTTCATGTTTTTTTGCTGCTTTGGCTGCTTTTTCTTCTTGTCTGAATTTTTTGATGCGTGGATCAAGGCTTAAGCAGTCATCTATTAACCTCCTAAGACGTGCAGTATCTTCTGTTTTACGTTTTGCTCGTTCTGCTCTATTTTTATGTTCCTGATATCTTTTGTTATTACGACTAGGCTAATTAGAATAATTTTCCATTGTTTCTGTATCATTACTTATATGAATCATCAGGTGTATCTTTGTCTAGATATTCAAAAGATCTCCATGAATCAAAATTATACCAAAAATTATAGAATTCTTCCACGTCTTTTTTGCTAGAATGTTCGTCTCCTAGGGTGGGAACGGGATGTTGGTTCGAAAATCTTGCTTCGCTTTCAAATACTTTGCCCCATTGTTCGTAAAAGTTTACTGTTTCTTTTTTTGAAGGTGGAAAGACATTAGCTTTTTCATCAATAGAATCGTATTGTCGTCTTTTAATTGGATCTGATAGGATTTCCATGGCTAAAATTTGCCGCATTAAATATACATCAAACATAGTCTTTTTTGTACCTTTTTGGATACATTTAAAGAAAGAATCGTCATGTGTATTGTTTTGTGTGGCTTTTTTGTCTGGATGATGTTTTAATACTTTCTGACGATCTATTAACTCATTGGGTTATTTAATGAACACTTTATGCTGAAAAACATACATCCTTGTTTGATATCTTCTATAGTTGCTTTATATCGAAGCTTTGAGAGTCCTAAAACAGCATAATGATCTTGTTGCTATAAGATATAATTAGATTCTTTAGGTATAAAAATAGTTGTAAACTTTATATTCTTTTGGATCATAACGAAGAATTTCTTCATCTTCTTCTTCATCATATACTTCTGATTTTTTTTCTTCTTTTTGCTTTTCTTCTAGTTCATTCTCATTTTTATCCCATGCTTGTCGACCAAGTTTTTTTTGTGCGTATTTTAAAAAATGCTTTCCTGCTGCTTCAATCTCCAAAAGCTTCCATTCTCCTGGTACGTTGAGTGCTTTAAATGATCCATAAACATCTGATCTGCATGATCCTGCCTTTATTTGTTCTGTCTTTATTATAGGCATCGTCATATTGGCATATAATATTCTCTTTTATCGTATTCTTTATATCAATTATCACGTGATTTAGTCTCGTAATATTAATGTATCTACTTTTTTCTCCATTTTCTTTTAAGCAGAAATATTGAATTTATGTTTTCTGTAGTTTATATTTCCTGTTTATCTTTATTTATTTGTTCAATATCTTTTTCAACATACTATTTTGTCCTCGGTGGTGTACGCTCTTTAAATGTCTGCTATGGCTGTTGGGAATGCTGAATAATGCATCCAAGACAAATAATACGGGAAAAGTAGATGATTCAGGTGTATTTTTCATTGGAAAGCCCTCAGAATTAAATGGACATACGTTTGAGCATCTATTAGAGCAGGCTCTGGCGTTACCGGCATCCGAACTGAACAGTGCAGCTGAACAAGATGTCTTTGCATGTGCGGAATTAGTGCAGATTGTAGTTCGTGCAGGTCTCCTTGGAGTTATTAGTGATTTTCGTCAACATATATCTTCTTTTTTTGAAAATATGTGCAATACATGTGGAACAAATGCTGCAGTGTTGCGTGCGCAACAGAGTTTGCGTCTTGTTCAGACTACGGTTCAGCGGACGCCTAGTGTGCTTCATGTGACAACTAGTCGGGAGACAGGTCGTGAAGAAATGTTGGTGGTATGGCTAACGTGGCGAATGGCACTGTTGTTGCAACGCGGGATAGAGGAAGTGTTACAGAAGGATATTTGTGAGACGTATGTGGGGATGGCAGTAAATGGTGCAATGGGATTGGAAATACTTGATGCACTTAAAGAGCTTGTAGAAGGTTTAGTATAGCGAAGTTTTGTGGAATTCAAGTTAATGGAGTATGTAGTATTAGTATTTCATATAACGATTTCAATTTCAGAATCTGGGGAAAGATATAATGAAAAGATTTTAAGACTTTTTACTGATGTTCCTGAGTTTTGTCGATTTTCTGTATTTGATATGCTAGATATTGTTGGATATATATTTCAGATGATGGTAGACTGGGTATTTGATACACGAGTTGCTGGTGTTGTTTTTGCTTCTTGGTCTTTAAGTTGGATTGGATATCATGTAGATACTTTATGGAATTTTTTGACGTTGTTTTTGTCGAAGTCTGTTTCTGCAAATCATGTTGTTTGGATTCATGCTTTGTTTTTAAAAATGCTAGGGACGATGTTATGTCACATGGTGCTACAGTCTTCTGTAGATGATTTGCATATATGTTTTAGAATAACTATTACTCTTATTTTGTTTGGGCTTGAAATTATTCATTCGGATGAGATACTTGACAAGTTGAATCGAGTCCTTCAAGAGGCTCTTTGTATTGGGCTTTTAGGTATTTCAAAAATATTAAAACGGTTTCCTGAGCATATGTCAATGGTTTATACACGATTGATGCCATCTTTAGATCGTTTTCAAAAGAGTCCAATCAGGTTTATGGCAACTATATATGATTTTAAAGTAAGGTTGCAGTAATTTATGTTTAATTTAAAAGATTAGGTCTGTTATGTGTATAGTATTTTGGTTTTGTCGTCAAATATGGCAAATTTTTATAAGCAAATGTTTAATGTGAACGATTTGGTTAAATTTTTATTTCAACATTTAAAGAACATAAAAATGGGATTCGAAAGTGAATACTTAAAAGAAAGATATTTTTTCGTGACTGATTATGTTAAAACAATATTGAACAACTGTTTTGAGTCCAATGATGATTTAGAAATGGAACAATTATATCCCTCTTCTGATCCTGTCTTTTATATATCTCGACATATGTCTACTGTTTTTCCTCAATTTTCTGGAAAAATTGATTGCATTTTTGATGAAATTCAAAACTTTCTTTCTGATATGAATCTTGATTCATTACAATATAAAGTTATTTTTGAAATTATTGGTTTATTAAGTTGTGCTTCAGTTGGATGTTTAACTGTATTTCGATTAGGTTATGATAGTAATTTTTCTCTTCTTTGTAGTTTATGCGATCATCCAAATATATCTGCTAAGGTTTTGGATTCTTGTAAAATTACTGTTCGCTCGGAATTGATAAAGTCTTGTTTGAATTTGGAATGGTTTACACGTTCTAATAAATTGAGGATTATTGCTATGATGACATTAGGTAGAATTATTAGGCATTCGACTATTGGGTCTGAAATACGATTGTCAACTTCTGTTCTTGGGAATTGGTGTATACAGTCACTTCAGAGTTCTTTACGTGGATTGAGAATACAATCTGGGTAGTTAATATTTGTATTGTTCTTTATTTTCTAATATACTAAAGATATACATTATGTTGTTATTATAATAAAAAAATTTCTGGTGATTCTAATAATGAATTGATATTGGAGAATAGACGTTATATTTTTGATATATTAAGAGAATTATCTGCAAATGATAAGAAAATATATATGGAATCTGTAATATTGTTTTGGGCTGAGCTTGCTAAGTATGTTTTCTTAATATAATGTTAATTTTAATTCTATATAGAATTTCAAAAGCAGAAGAGCTTAATTTAATTTTAATATTGCTTATAGAATATTTGGGACGAGGTAATTTATTTATTCAAGCACTTATTTTTCAAGAGGTAATTTTTTATCGCGATGTAATAGATTTAAAATATAATAGATTCATTCTATTTCTGATGCTCATAACTTGACGCCTTGGCAGCTTTTTTCTCCGTATTGGAGTACTGTTAGTGTCGCAGTTGTGAGACAGATGCAAAGTCGACCTCAAATAGTACAGATATTTTCTACTATCTTGGGGATATCGTCATCAGATTTTCTTGCACGGACTCAATCTTATACTTTACCTTATCTTATTATATCAAAAAGAAAAGATGTTATTGAACAAATTGCTTTTTCTGTACAGAAAGATGTTTCAAAGCTTTGTCTAGATAATATGCCCTATATTTTGGCTGTACTTTTGACTCAAAATGTCACATGTGTTGAAAGCGCGACTATGCTTTTGCTTTCTTTAGCTTCTTCCGATTTCAAGAAAGTGGATTTATCTAGTCTTGTCCGCTCTGAACCTATATTAATTGTTGTTGAGTTGTTACAAATGTTTTCTAGTGAAATTGATGAGAAACGTAAAAGGGTTTGTATTTCATTTAAAATCTTTCTTTTCTAAAATTTTAGGTTTTAAGAGCTCTTGAAATCGTTTCTGCAATTGTTTCTAAAATTCCTCTTGATCAGATTTATTCAAATGCGTTTAATTCTGCTGATCTTCTTTCTAAGTTTTTTACTCGTTATACGTTAGGGATAGTAGCTCAGTTTACTGATCTTATAAATGATGTGAGAGGTAAGAATTCCGTTTCTCAAAAATTGCGTTATTTGTCCGGCATTGAAGAATTAGTAAAATTATCTGGTAATTCTATTAGCAATGCTATTCCGCAGGTTAGTTTTATTGTTTTTGAAATTATATTTAATAGTTTTAGGTTTCTGCTTGTCTTCAGTCAGCTTTATTAGATCCTTTTTTAAGAAAAGCGTCCTTATGTTCATGGTCAACACTTGTAAATAATTTAAATGATTTTGATTTGTCTGGTATATTAGGACAAACATTTTCTTTGTTTTTACGATATTGGCATGAATGTTCGTTTATAGAAAAACAACTGATTCGAGATCTTTTTTTGTCTTTAATTAATGATCGTAGAAATGTTGTTGAAGAATCTATTGCAAATATACCATGTTTAAATGTGATAAATCAATTGGATGATATTGAAAAAGAACTGTCAAAATTTAGGAAACCTATTTCATTTAGTGAACATTTGAGGAACATTGCTCGAAGATGTGCTGATGATAGTGAAATTGTTTGTTATCAAGGATTATTGGAGCTTCGAAAATGTTTATATAAAAATCAATCTAGTTTATATTCATTGATAGTTAAAGAAAGGACTGAGCAAGTGATTGACTATATTATTAGGATTCTGTTAGATTTGTGTCAAAAGTATCGAGAAATAAACAAAGACATTGTTGTAGTTTCTGCAGAATGTCTTGGTGCTATTGGAGCAGTAGATCCTTTAAGAGTTGATGCTGAGAAAAAAAATCAAGAATTAGTTGTTCTTTATAATTTTGAGAATATAGATGAGAATGTTACTTTTATTTCGTCATTTATTCAAGAACAACTTGTTGGGGCGTTTCGATCTGCAACAGATACTCGGGTTCAGGGGTTTTTGGCATATGTCATGCAAGAGTTATTGAAGCTTTGTGGGTTTACTGTTTCCAATATTGCAAATACAAATGAGTCTTTTTTTGAAACATTTAAAAGATGGTCATATTTTTCAACTAGCTCAAAACAAACTCTTATACCTTTGTTAAATTCTAAATATTTTGTTAACTCATCTCAACTAGATATGATTTCAGCTTATCCAATATATTCTACAGTAAAAACTTATAAGACTTGGTTGCATAATTTTTCTTTAGAGATATTTAGAAGTGTTGAAGGAGATAATGCTAGAAAAATTTTTTCTATTTGTGCTCATATAATTAAAAATCAGGACTTAAACATAGCAAATTTCCTGCTACCTTTTGCTCTTTTGAATGTTGTATTAACAGGAACAGAATATTTAAGAACTATGATAACAAATGAGTTATTAGATGTATTAAAGGATGGAGAATCTGAAAAGGTGAATATAGTTGAAGCGGAAAAGGCACAATTAGCATGTCGGGTATGTTATTTAAATTTATATTTAATTATTTAATAATTATTAAAGACTGTATTTTCAATAATAGATTATTTTAATACTTGGCTTCGCAGGAAAAGAAGTTTCAATAGTAGTTGTAAAGTTGCTTTAGCTAGAAGGGCTAATAGATATATGGTTGCGGATGATGATGTCGATAATGATCCTCTTATTAAGAAAGTCGAATCTTTGCTTTTAGTCATACCAGCGGGTCTTATAGGACGTGCTTCATATAATTGTGGGTCATATGCACAAGCTGTATTTTATTGGGAACAGCATATTCGTCAAGAACGAAACAATGGTTTAGATAATAAAACACTTAGGCCTTTATATAAGCAGTTACAGCAAATGTATATGAATTTAGATGATCCTGATACGATTGATGGAATTTCTTCTAAATTCCATACTTTTGATTTAGATCAACAGATTTTAACTCATGAAAGTGCAGGTCGCTGGGCAGCTGCTCAGACATGTTATGAATTGTCTTTGGATGAAAAGAATCCGAAGTTTGAGTTATTAAATGGTCTATTAAATTGTTTGAAAAGACAAGGCCATTATGGTATTTTAAAAAAAAAAAATATTCTAATTTAATTATATTTTTAGAAACATTATTAATAGAAGTCGATGGTCTTATTTCTTGTAATTTAAGTTTTACTAGTAAATTAATAAATATCGGTGCTGAGGTTGCCTGGCAATTTGAAAAATGGAATGTTTTAGAAAAGTATTTAAGTCTTACTGATGCTAAATTATTTGATATTGGTCTTGGAAAAGCATTGTTACTTTTAAAGAGTAGAAAGTATTCTGATTATGAAACATGTATAGCTGAGTTACGTGCACAATTAGCTACTTCTTTAGGAACGAGTAATATTGATTCTACATGGCAATGTTATGACATATTATTTAAATTGCATATGTTATTTGAACTAGAATATGTTTACAATTCTTTTAAAAATCATAATGATGATATAGGATCTATTATGAATGTATTGGATCAAAGATTTCAATTAATTACAGCTTCGTTTGAACATAGGCGTTCTGTTTTATCTTTGAGACGAATAATTTTGGATATATTAGGGTAAATGTTTTTATGGATATTTATGTAACTAAATCTTTTAGTTCTTCTGAAGGTGCTAATCTTAATGATGAAGTAGCTGAAATATGGCTTAAAATAGCGAAACTTGCTAGGAAATCTGGTCATTTACAACAGTCTTATAATTCAATATTAATAGCTGAGAGTAAAGGATCTCCTTTAGCAAGTGTAGAACATGCGAGATGGTGGTGGAAGCAAGGAGAACATAGGAAAGCTGTTGAAAGTTTGGAGAATGCTTTTGCTGCTGGGGTTTTTGATTTTCCTGAAAATCTTAATTCTGGGACAAAAAATTTCGATAATTGTTTAAATACGTATTTATCTACAAAATCTAAAGCATATATTACTGGAAAGGTTTTTTTTTGAAAAATAATTATTTTTCTTATGTTATTAATTAGGCTTCTTTACTTCTTGCTAAATGGAAAGATACAGGAGGGCAAAGTAATGCGCGTATATTGGTTCAAAAATACCAAGAAGCAGTTAAAAGGCATGATAGGTTAGTAAGATTTTTAATTTTTAATTTTATATCTTCATTTATTAGATGGGAAAAGGGTCATTATTATCTTGGACATTATTATAATAGATTATATGATGAGGAAGCAAAGCATCCACCAAATCAACAAAGTGCTAATTTGTTTGTTAATTCGTATTAATATTAAGTTTTTAATAGAATATAGTCTAGAAGGTGAATGGATTCGCCTGATTTGTATTAGTTATGGACGAGCTCTTCATTATGGAAGTAAATATATCTATCAAACAATGCCTAAGTTTCTTACATTTTGGTTGGATTTTGGGAATAATGTTGATAAAATATTTTCTGATGTTGGGACTAAGTATTGAATTTATTTTAGTACTTTAATTTTTTTAATGTTTTAGGGAATTTCAACAGCACCTTCTCCAAGCAAGGCATAATCGATTGAAATCAATAAATGAGAGTGTTAAAAAATATGCAAAGCGGTTGCCTGCATATTTGGTATTTTTATTTATTTAATGGTTAAAGCTAATAAGTTAAGTTTTTAACAAGTTTTTCTCAATTGATTTCTAGAATAACTCACTCAAATCCTTCTGTTTTTTCTATATTAGAAATGATAATTGTTTCTGTTATTTCAACATATCCTAGGCAATCTTTATGGTATATTCTTTCTGTATCTAAATCTCGTTCAAAAATACGTTCTGAACGTGGTAATATTATTCTTCAAAAATTGATGGTATTCATCCTTATTTTTAAACGGGTCTATATTCTAAATTTTCTAGACTGACATTAAGCCATCATCTTTAAATATTAAAAAATTAATAAATCAAGCACAATTATTAGTGGGTCAGTTTATTCGACTATGCAATACAGAAATTACAAGTAAAAGGAGCATACAAAGTCTTTCGAAAGATTTTAGGTTTTCATCTTCTGTTGTACCAATAGATATTGTTGTGCCTATTCAGTCTGTTTTAATAATTGCTTTACCATCTTCACCTGCTGCTATTAAACATCATTCACCATTCCCTGATGATCAGCCATGTTTGCATGGTATTCATTTTTAAGACTTTATATAGTATCTTAGTTTTATTAGGCTTTTTGGATGAAGTAGATATAATGAATTCTTTACAGAGACCTCGTAAAATTACTATTATTGGTAGTGATGGTCGACATTATCCATTTCTTTGTAAACCAAAAGATGATTTACGAAAAGATGCACGGTTAATGGAGTTTAATAGTATGATTAATAAGTTTTTAAGAATAGATAATGAATCTAGAAAAAGACAGTTATGTAAGTTGACCTTTTTTTATGAAAATAGACTAATTTAAGATATTCGAACCTATAGTGTAATACCTCTTAATGAGGAATGTGGGCTTATTGAATGGGTTAATCACACAAGGCCTTTAAGAGATATCATACTGAAATCATATAAACAAAAAAATATATCTATTAATGTCTTTATGTTTATAAAGTTTTTGTTTTTTAACGATAAATAGTATTCAGAAGTTCGTTCAATACTGGATATGGCGTCATCTAGTTCAAATCCTGGTATAATATTTACTGAGAAGTTGATACCGAAGTAAGTCTCTGAAATATTATTGTTATTTTAATATTTGAGTAGATTTCCTGCTGTTTTTCATGAATGGTTTGTGGAAACTTTTCCTTCACCGATAACTTGGAGAGCAAGTCGTTTGAATTATGCACGGACTTTGGCCGTTATGTCTATTGTTGGGTATGTTTTAGGGTATATTTCAAGTTTTAATTATTATTGCAATTTAATATTAAGTAGTCTTGGAGATCGTCATGGAGAAAATATCTTGTTTGATGAAAATAATGGAGACTCTTTGCATGTAGATTTTAATTGTCTTTTTGAAAAAGTTTTATCTTTTTAAGTAATTTAGTTTTGTTTATTTTTTTTAGGGTCTCACGTTTGAAAAACCTGAAAGGGTTCCATTTAGGTTAACTCAAAATATGGTTGATGCTTTGGGTGTAATAGGTTATAATGGTAAAGATTAGTTTGCTATTAAATATTATTATGATAATTTTTATAGGAGTTTTTAGAAAGTCGTGTGAAGTTACAATGCGAATATTGAGGTCGAATCAAGAATCATTGACTAGTGTTTTGGAAACTTTTATTCATGATCCACTTGTAGAGTGGGATAAAAAAAAGGTATTTATTTCTTTTTGTTTTTAATTTAATTTTTTAGAGGAATGTTTCTGTAAATAATTTAAATATGGAAAATCTTGAAGCAAAAAAAGTATTAGATTCAATTAAGCGAAAATTAGATGGGTATATGGCTGCTGAGGTTACTCCTTTATCTATTGAAGGACAAGTAGAAGAACTTATTTTGCAAGCCGTTAATCCTGAATTGCTTGCGTTGATGTATATAGGGTAAATTGTTTTTTTTTTTAATATATTTTTTAATAATTTTAGTTGGGCAAGTTATATGTAGTATATGTTACTTTAATATTTAAGAATTTCTTAAACATATTTGTTTGGGTTTATGGTATTTATATATTTATATACTTATACATCTATATGTCTACGTATTTATGTCTGTTTGTTTTTGTATGTGTTTGTATTAGTTTTTGATATTTTAAAATTGACGGGATTTTTATGTATTATTTTAGATTAAAAATATATTATAGTTTAAAATATATTCAAATATTATAATAAAAAATGAAATTAGTTCTTATTGTTCGTTTAAATTTGTTTTTGTACTATTCTTGTTTGTCTGTCTGAAAGTGTGTTTGGATATAGTTTTAAGGCTATTATATTAATTAGGTTACTATGTCGATGATTAAATTTTTAAGCAAATGAGCCCTGATGTTCTTTTAATCCCATTTCCATGGCAGCATTCATATGGTTACAAGTAAGGTCTGTTTTTACTTGTAATATTTTTTTATTTTATCTAGTTATGATTATCTTTTAGAAGATACTGTTTCAAGAATTGTTACAAGATATGGAGCATTTAGAAAGCTTGAAGAATCTTCTTTCTTTAATATAGATAAGGATATTAACGATACTGATGATTGCTTGAAAAATAATCAGAATTTTAATGTTTTTGATACATCAATTGGTTTAAAATATGATTTTCAACAAGTAAAAGAAAAACTTATCAATATGATTGCGTATGCTAAAAAAATTATATATATTTCGATTTAAATTTCTTAGTAATGCTCAAAATGAATGTTCTTTAATTCTTGATTTTGTCTCTTTATTAGTATCTTCTGTTAAATCCGCCTTAGGGAATTCTAGTATGTCTACATTTTTAAAAGAGCGTGTTCCTGTTGGATCATTTGGTACTGAACGGGTTAAAGGAGATATTTGTGAAGAGGATAAAGCAGTGTCTAAAGGTTGGAAAATACAGGCTTTATCTAAAGCTGCATCAGATCTTTTAGATGCATCAATTAGGATTGACAAAGAAACAACTTTAGAGACTAAGTTTTGGCACCATGTCACTTTATTAAAACAAAATGGATGGAATCTCATGCATTCTCGGATTAATAATTCAAAAAACCTTATAGTTAATTATGGAATTATGGATGGTATTAGTTTCTATTTATTTTTCATTAATAATTAGTAGTTGCTCGCATTTTTGGAAAAGGATTTGCCATTTTGCAAAAAAATACCGAAGGTGGAATTGAGTTTGATGGAATAGATGTGAATGAGATGTTTAAAACTATACGACTTAGATTTGTTGAAAATAATATTGTAAAAGGTGATGTAGTTTGGGATAATTCTTCATTATTTGATTTTTTTGATAAGAATATTCAAACTTTATCTCGAAGAAAAGATAGTTTTTTTGAAGAGGAATTGTTAGAAGAGGTTTTTCTTATCATTAAATTTTTCGTTGATTAATATTGTAAGATTATAAGAGAAGTTAGTTTTTTTGATGATTTAAATGCTATAATAATGGATAATGGTGTTTCTGTTGAGATTTTAGGGCCTAAAAGGGTATTGTTAATTGATATTGTGATTTTTATATTTTTTTATATATTCATTTCTGAATATTTTAGGTGGATGCTTCAATAGAAATTAAAGAATCTAATGGGGAATATGATGTTTTATGTGAAGCTATACTTTTGGCATTACATTTGTTTTTTTCGTATTATGAGAGCCAGAAATTAAAATGGATAGATGATTTGCCTTTTCTGTCAAAAATGTTTTTTTTGGTATTTGTTTTAAGATGCTAATTTTTATAGGCAAAGTAAAAAACAATCGCGTGTCCTTTTTCCTGTTTTATCTCAGTTAGCTCATTATTTTGTTTTGAATGAAATATTTGAAGAGTTGAATAATTGTATTAATGTTATTTTGCTAGAAGGATGGTCTGTAAATTATAAAATTAGAAAATATGTTGGTATGGATTTTGGTGTTTCTGAAGATTCTATTATTCAATCCATTATTGATGGTTCTCAAAGCGTAATTGAAATATATCTTCCTGGATCTTCTCAAATAGTAATTAATATACAAACAAATAACTATAAAACATCTTTTGAAGTTGATTTTCGAGACTCTGGAGTTGACGAAGTTATAAGTAAAACCGTTTGTGGAAGTATTTTTGAAGTATTAGACTGTATTATATGGTCTATTAATAGGGATTTTATGAACGTTTTGCAAGAGATTGTTGCTCCACAGTGGAAAATTAAAAATGGTGAATTGTTAAATATAAACAATGGTAAAAGAATTAAAATAGATATTTTATTACAAAGGGGTGAAGATGGTATATGGAAAATTCTTTTATATAAGAATGGAATATTTATTCATGTAGAAAATAGTAAGATTAGTGATTTTATATATAAAATAATATAGTATTTTTCATAAAATTAGATCTAAATAAAATGAGGTCGCAGATCGTATATAAGTTTTATTCATATTTCGAAGAATCAATACCATGGTCGTTATGGTTAACTAAATTGAACCATGGAAATAATGCTGTATTTATGAGTATTTTTTTTGCAAAAAGGAACTGGATTACAAAATTTAAGGGCTGAATATTTTGAATTTTGTGCGGCAATTTTTTGCATATCTTCTGAGAGTCTTGATTTTCCATATAACGGTATATCTTCTGCTTTTTTTTTCTGCATTTCTAGTTTATCCATTTCAATTTCTCGTATATTCTCTCTCCATCCCCAAAGCCTTACTATACATGATAAGTTTCTTTTTATTCTTTAATGTTTTCCTTACAGCTTGATCTTTGATATGCTAATAAAAAACCCCCACATAGTCCTAGAAAGCATCCTAGTCGAAGCCCTGGTATTAGTTTTGCTTGGTTCATAGATGGTGACCATTTTTCTTGTTCTTTTAGCACTTTTTTATATGTTTATTCTCTTTGTACCCATAAGAAATATTCCGGCAGGAAAGCCTATTGTCCCTGCTATAAAAATAAGATAATCTGATGGTCTAGCATATCGAATAACTCTAAAAAAATGAGGATCTGTATCAATCACCTAAAAATTTATTAACAAAAATCGTTTTATTGCTTTTATACTTGAAACTTTGTATTAATTTCTTTTTTTTGCGTCATTTTTTAGTAAAATGTTTTATTTGTTTGGTTTTTGAATGTCTGTGAATGCCTAGAGATTTATTCATAACGATGACCAGTTTATTTGATTTAGATGAAAAGGACGTGCATATTGTTGTAAGACATAAAAAAATCAATAAAACTTTAGAGGATGTTGATAATATTTCTTCTACGGTTGAAGCTTTGAAGCCTGTTCATGTAGGACTTACAATGCATAAAAAACGTCAAGAATGCTTAGATAATTTGTATGATTTGCTTTCGAGTTCATCAGATTTGGGAATTGATGAAGAAGTGTCTATTCGTACACGTAAGTCTGTGGCAAAATTGGATGATGAGAAGTAAGAGAAATAATGTGGATTTTATATGGCTGATGAAGGAGATTATTGTCAGAGAAAGGTCTTGTGCAAATTGTTCATCAGGCACCTCAGAGAATGCGTTTGAAAGGAAAGGGATATGAAGTATGAGGCATATGTCTTAGATTTTTTCTCAATTTGGGTAGTTTGAGGATTTGCGGTCTCTTTTGTCATATTATCAGATTTGGGCTCATGAACTTTTTCCTAAAGCAAGGTTTCGTGAAGTAATTCGGATGATTCAAAAGTGTGGACGCTCTAAACGTATTCGAATTGAACGTTCCCAATGGATTCGTTTAGGAAGGGAAGGTGTTTTGAAACAGGTGCAAAATAAGTCGAAAATTGGAAATGTTTCAGAAATGGTAAAAGACGAGTACATGGAGGCTTTAGAAGCTGATAAAGGACTGGATGTTTGAGTATTTTTATTTAAAAATGTTTTAAAATATTTTGTTTGCATTGGGATTCTTGATTATTTTCATTTTTAGATTAGAATGCTTGATGTGATTTAAGTGTATAATTTTAGTTGAAAAGTTGATTTTAGGACTAATGGTATTTTGATGTAGTGTTTCTTTAGTATATTTAATAAATATAATGTATAATGGGTAGGATTCTGTTCTTTTTTTATTGTTTTATTTATATAAAAGAGGTTTTATATATTAGAAACAACGGACGATGTATCTTCGATGTTATCTGGTCTTGATGATACATTCGAGGAACTAAAAAAGTCTTTCAGTCGATTACAAGAAGAAAGAATAATAATTAATGGGCATTTGAGGAAAAAATTAAATGTTGGATTGTCCAAAGATGAAGTTTTAGTACAATTGGAGGCATTTTTGACACCACCGGTTGAGTTTTCGATAGAATGGTTGAATCAGCTTCAAGTGTAATATAGTATTAAAAATTGTTGATATTAACAGTGGTGATAGATATGTTGAAAAAGAAGTGGATTACAAGGATTTGTTTCAAGTTTTTCCGTTTATTTTTCAGACGACAGTGCAATTTGTTAGGGAAGGGCTTGATGGTCGAATTGTTGGATATCAAGAAGTATTGAGTTATTGTTGTATGTATTGTATTAATGCTTGTTTTTTCTATTTAGGAGATTTTTTCTTTGGAAATTAATTCAAAAAATTCTACAACTTTTGAACGTAGGCCTGCTTCTCTTGGTGATTTTGTCCGAGGACGATCTACATTTTTACCTTTTATTTCTGAAAGATTTAAAGTTTTGAATTTGGATAAAGATTCTTGGAACTCAGAGTATTCAGATTTATTTGAGGTTGCACCAGGGCTTTCACGTACAGGTATTTTGAAGGAGTCTAAATATTTGGATGAATATCTATCCGAATTTGAGAGTGTAGATCCTAATAATTGGAAATTTGATCCTATAGAGCTTTTTTCATTAAATAAAGATGAAATATCGAGTTCTCGGACTGATAATAGACTAGATGCTTCTTTCGAGCCAATTGATGATTTTTTATCATCTGAGGTAATATTATAAATTGTATTTTGTTTTTTGAATGGGTTAGTTTTCATTACTTTCTTCAAATATTGATATTTTGAAATATTCTGTAAAGCAGAAAACTAAAGAATGGGCTCATGTAGTTGATATAAAATCTGGTTTTCCTAATTTTTATGAATTAGTTCCTAATATGGCATATAATGTATGTATGTTTTTTATAGGTAGTATTTTCTAAATATTATTGAAGTTTCCATTTGAACTTGATAATTTTCAAAAATTTGCTATTTATCATCTTGAAAGGACTGAATCTGTATTTGTATCTGCTCACACTTCTGCTGGAAAAACTGTAGTAGCTGAATATGCTATAGCATTAGCATCAAAACATATGACAAAGTTTTTTATTGTTTTTTGCGAGTATTTCTAAAATTTGATAGGGCTATTTATACATCGCCTATAAAAGCACTTAGTAATCAAAAATTTAGAGATTTTCGTAATACATTTGAGGATGTTGGAATTTTAACAGGGGACATACAGATTCGACCAGAAGCTAGTTGTTTAATTATGACAACTGAAATTCTTCGATCAATGTTATATAAAGGAGCTGATCTTATACGAGATGTTGAATTTGTTATATTTGATGAAGTTCATTATGTTAATGATTTAGAAGTATATTTTTTGTATTTTTGTTTTTTATGACTTATTTTTTTTTAAGAGGGGCGTTGTTTGGGAAGAAGTGATTATAATGTTGCCAGAATACATTACTTTAATTCTTCTTTCAGCAACTGTTCCAAATACGAAAGAGTTTGCGGAATGGATAGGAAGAACTAGACAAAAAGATATATATGTTATTTCTACTCCCAAGAGACCAGTACCTTTAGAACATTTTTTGTGGGTAGATAAAAAAATGTTTAAAGTAGTTGATGAAAAAAAAACTTTTTTGGTTCAGAGGTTTGTTTTAAAATTTTAAATGTATATTTTTAAATTGCATAGTTATAAAGATGCAAGTATGGTATTAAAAGAAGATAAGAATAGATTTTTTACACAATCGAATGAAAATAATAATTATGGCAATAGTTTTCCACGTGGTAAAGGACAAAGTAATTCAGATTATAGTGGTAATATTCGATGTGTTTATGGAAAGGGAAGAAAACCTTTAAATATTCACAATTATCATAGAAACGGATCCAGGTCTTTTGAAAAACAAGATAAAAGTACTTGGGTATATCTTACTAATCATTTGCGTAAAATTAATTTATTGCCTGTTGTTGTATTTGTGTTTTCTAAGAAGAGATGTGAAGATAATGCTAATTCGTTGGTTAACTTGGATTTGTTGAATCATACTGCAAAAAGTGAAGTTCATATTATTATTGAGAAGTCAATATCTAGGCTTCGTATAGAAGATAGCAGACTTCCTCAGATTATTAGGATAAGAGATATATTGTCAAGAGGTATTGGCGTTCATCATGGTGGTTTATTACCAATAGTAAAAGAAGTTAAAATTATTACATGTTTTGTTTTACCATTAATTTATATTAGATTGTTGAAATTTTGTTTGCTAGAGGCTTAGTTAAGATTCTTTTTGCAACTGAGACTTTTGCAATGGTGAGTTAATATAAACTTTGAACGACTTTTATTCAACAAATAAGGGTGTAAATATGCCAGCAAAATCTGTAGTGTTTTCAGGAATACGGAAACATGATGGTCAAGAATTTCGTTATCTTTTCCCTGGAGAATATACTCAAATGGCGGGACGTGCTGGGCGAAGGGGACTAGATACTACAGGAGTAGTAATAATTATGTGTGATGATGAACTTCCTGATGTATTTTTTGGTTAATGTTTTTGTTCTTTTTTTTCATTTTTTTTAGATTAATACTCTTACACATATTTTGTTAGGAAATTCTGCTAAATTAAGAAGTCAATTTCGTTTAACTTATAATATGATTTTAAATGTTCTTCGTGTAAAAACGTTAAAGGTTGAGGAAATGATAAAGCGAAGTTTTAGTGAGAATATGAGCCAAAAGTTACTTCCTGAACATCAAGAAGAAGTAACTCAATATGAAAAAAAGTTAAATTTGTTAAAGCAGCAGCCATGTTCTTTTTGTGATATCGATTTAATACTTTTTCATAATGAAAGTATAGAGTATTCTCAACTTACGAAAATATGTTATAGATTTTCACTTTCTTTTCCTCCTGGGCGAAAGATATTTTCTATTGGAAGAGTTGTAATATATCAAGAAAATGTATAATTTTTTTTTTTTATTATTATTAACAAAGTTAGAACTTTTATCGGTCATTAGCAATATTACTTGGTGAGGCTCCTTCTTTTAATAGTGAAAAATGCTTTTATGTTTTATATGTAAAACAGAGAGATCTTAAAAAGCAAGGTAATTTTTGTTTAGTTATTTGTATGTGATATAATTTTGTCAATTTAGCAAATAGATTTCCTTTTATACCTGTTTTTTTTATTTACGATTTTGGATTGGATACTTTAGAGGTTGAACAATTTGGAGAAAAAGTCTTATCTCTTTCATCAATTGAATGGATTACACAAATAGTAATCAAGGTATTTAAAAAAGAAAGATATTTTAGAATTTTGATGGATTTAGCTTGATATTTCTGCAATTCGTTTTAGAACTAAAGAATCTTATTACAATATCTACGAGCAGTTAAAAAAAGCTGAGTTATTTAAAGATCGCAAGCTTTTAGAGTGTAATTGGGCAAATATTCGAGATTTAGAATTTAAAGAATTATTTATGAAACGGAAATTATATGAACATAAAATGTGTAATAGAAAATGTTTGGAGTGTCCTGACTTTATTTCTCATGTTAGACTATTTTTTGTTTTTTTTTTTTTTTTTTAAAAATTAATGTCGTTAGTTTTTGGAAGCTCATAAGAGATACTTAATAATTGAGAAAATTGAAATATTAAAAGAATTGATTTCAAACCAAAATTTGGAACTTCTTCCTGACTATGAGCAACGTATTAGTGTTTTAAAAGAATTAAATTATATAGATGATAATTTGAATGTTTTATTAAAGGGACGAGTAGCATGTGAGGTTTGTATATATTTTTATTGTTTTATTTGCAATCAACCCTTTTCAAGATAAATTCGGCTCATGAATTAGTATTAACTGAGCTTATTCTGGAGAATACTTTGGCTGAATTTGAATCTGAAGAGATTGTTGCATTACTTAGTGCTTTTGTATTTGAAGAAAAGACTGAATCTGTGCCTTCTATTTCTCCTCATCTTGAAAAGGTATTTTTTGTAAACCATTTTTATTTTTTAATTAGAAAAGGGGAAAGAAATAATACTTAATGCTGCAAAAAAGATTAATTTGATTCAAGAAAAATATCAGGTTTTATTTTTATGTGACTCATTGAATTTTGAGAGTAAAACTCGTTTTGGTTTGGTTGAAGTGGTTTATGAATGGGCTCGGGGAATGGTAAATTATATTTTATTATATCAATGGTTATATTTATAAGTTTAGTCTTTTGAGCGTATTATGGATCTTACAGATGTTTTGGAAGGCTCAATTGTTCGTGTTATGACACGATTAGATCAAGTACTTCGGGAATGTGCTAGTGCTGCACATATTATAGGAGATACTTCTATGTATTCTAAAATGGTAGATTGCCAAGAAAAAATTCGGAGGGATATTATATTTTCTCCAAGTCTTTATGTCTAAAATTCATAATATTAAAAAGTTTCAAGTACTTATCTCTGTGATATTATTTAAATTTCGTTTATAGATAAAAATTATAGATAAAATTCAATATTCTATAATAGTATTTATTTGATGTTAATAATTAGTATTAAAATATTTCTATTAGTGAATGATATATATATTTATTTATTTATATTTATTTATTTAAATACTATTTTGTGATATAAATATCATTTTAAGTAATCATTTATAATATATGTGAATTAGCGATTTGAATTGGTTTAAAAAATTTAGATTTTTGTAAGGTCGATAAAGTTTATGATCATTAAGAGTTATAAAGGATTAAGCTTAGTTCTTTTCAGTTTTGGTATTATTAATTATTTATAAGTGTTTTTTTATTTTTGATATTAAAATTTATGGAAAAAAATTTACATCAAATTTTTATTGCAACCTTAAGTTCTGATCCTAATATTAGAAAAGGTGCAGAGTCACAATTAAAACAAGTAAATTGCATACGTTTTCTATTAATTTTTTTAATATTTTAAGTATTCTATGGCATCCGGTTTTATTGGTGCAATACTTGATCTTATTGCAACAAATGATGATATTTCTATAAAACAAGCTGGTATTTTTTTAATAGAAAAGTATTGTAGCTAATATTAAAAAGCTTCAATTTATTTAAAGAATAGGATTGGAAATGCTTGGGAAAGAAATGATTCTGATTCTAAAATTTCAGAAGATGATAAACATCTTTTTCGGAAACGCTTATTGCCAACATTATTATTAGTTCCTCCGATAATACATTCCCAAATTATATCAATTGTTGGTGTTATATTGTCTCATGATTTTCCTGAGAAATGGTCCGATTTTATGGATCAGGTTGTTCGGCTACTTAATTCTCAGGATGCTCATTATATATATATTGGATTAATAAGCTTTTTGGAAATATCAAAAGTATATAGATATAGATCAGGTGTGCGAAGACAACCTTTTGATGTTGTTGTACAAACTGTATATCCTCGTTTGTTAGAAATTGGTGATCGAGTTGCTAGTGAAAATGATTCTATTGCTGGTGAAATGTTGAAAATTATTTTTAAGTCTTATAAATTTTATATAACGGTTTTTTTTTAATTTTTATATTATTATGTGTTTAATTCTTTTAGCTTGAGCTTTCTCCTTTTATTCAAGATTCAATTGTTCAATGGGTTACATTGTTTTTGCGTGTAATTATAAGAGATCTTCCAATAGATATAGTTATAAATAATCTTGAAGAAAGAGAGCATCATTCATGGTGGAAAGCTAAAAAATGGGCATATTCTAACTTAAATTGTTTGTTTATGAGGTTAAATGGAATTTAATATTAATAATATATTAAGATTTTTTAGATATGGAGAGCCATCAAAATTGTTTAAAGACACATTAAAGAAATATAAATTTTTTGCAAAAATGTTTTCTGAAAATTTTGTTCCTGAGATATTGAAAGTATATTTACAGCAAGTGGAACTTTGGAGTGATGGTAAAATTTGGATTAGTAAACGTTGTCTTTGTTCTTTAAGTATTTTTTTTGAAGAATGTGTTTTTCCAAAGTCTACTTGGACTTTGCTTAAAAGTAAATGCTCTTATTTGATTTCTCATTTTATATTTCCTCTCCTGTGTATAACTAATAGCGATATTGAGTTATGGAATAATGATCCAGTTGAGTATATTCATAAAAATACAGGTATTTATATTTTTACTGTTCTAATTTAGTAATTTCATTAGATATATATGATAATTTTCATTCTCCTGCAGTTTCTGCAACTAGTTTTTTTATTGCATTGGTTGATAATCGTAAGAAATTTACTTTTATGGAAATTTTAGAATTTATAAATGATATTCTGAATACGTATGTTTTTTTATATTTAGGAGTTTCTAATGTTTTAGTTATCAACAAACATGCTTTGAAGAAAGAAATAGCAAAGAAAAAGAAGGCGTGTTGCGGATGATTGGGAGTATATCGCACGTTATTTTAGCTAAAAATAGTCCTATTATAGATAAAATGGAAAATTTTTTTGTTATTCATGTGTTTCCTGAATTTTGGAGTCCTTACGGTTATTTAAGAGCACGTGCGTGTGAGATTATGACTAGATTTGCGGATATTCAGATTAAAGATCAAAATGTATAAAAAAGCCTTAATTAATATTTTTAATTTTTTTAGAATATTGCGCGAGCATATGAAGGAATTATAACATGCTTTCATGATCCCGAGCTTCCTGTTCGTCTTGAAGCTGCTTGTGCTTTGCAGCCAATGATTCAACATGAATATGTAAGAAAAATGGTTGTTTCCCGTATTCCTCAAATAATACAACAACTACTTGATCTTATAAATGAGTTGGATATTGATACTCTTACTACTGTAATGGAAAAATTTGTTGAAGTTTTTTCTGAGGAACTTATACCTTTTTCTGTACAATTAACTGAACAATTGGTGATGTTTTTACTCATAAAATTGTAAAGCTAATTAAGATATAGAGGGATACTTTTTTACGAATTATGCATGAATCTGATACATATGTTGATCAGAATTCTGAGTTGGTCGAATCTAATTATGTTGATGATAAAAGTATGATTCTTATGGGGATTTTGAATACAGTCGCGACCTTGATATTAAATTTAGAAAAAGCACCTGAAGTTTTGTTTCATATAATTAATATTATATCTCCTGTTATAGTGATTATATTAGAAACTGCTTCAGTTGGTAAGTAAATATTTGTATTGAAAAGATTATTGTTTATTATGTTTAGATTTATATGCTGAAATTTTTGAAATTATTAATAATTGCATTTTTTCTGTAAAAAAAGTATCACCTATAATGTGGAACATATATGAGTTATTATATAAAACTTTTAAAAATTCTGGAATTGATTATATTGATGGTATATTTATTTTTTGTTGAATTTAGAATTAATTTTTTAGAAATTTTTCCTGTCCTTGATAATTATATTTTGTATGGTAGAGAACAAATGATATCTAATCCTTCATATTTGATTATTATATATGATATAATAGAAACAGTTAGTAGAATATTTTGTATTTTTATATTCTTACGGTTTTTATAGATATTTACAGCAGAAGATTTAACTACACAAGATAAAATACATGGATGTAAGCTTATTGAATCTGTTTTTTTTAATTTAAAAGGTCATGTTGATCATCATTTGCATTCTTTTGTAAAAATGGCTATGAATCAACTTATGAACGATCTCTGCAAATCATTTAATTCTAGAATATATTTTATAGAAGTTATTATTAGTGCTATTTATTATAACTCTTTAATTACTCTTCAATATTTAGAAAATTGTGGTTGGATAGAGCAATTTTTTAATTTTTGGTTTTCTGATATTGACCGATTTTCTCGTGTTTGTGATAAAAAGCTTTCTATTGTTGCAATATGTAGTTTTTTGTCACTTTCAATAGATCAAATACCTAAATGTATTCAAAAAGAGCTTTCATGGATTTTTCGGGAACAATTAAAGTTATTTCAGACTTTACCGCAGGCTATAGAGAGTTAGTTTTATGGCTTTTTTGTTTTTTATTTATTTATTTTAGATCGTGAAACTATGGAAAGGCTTTTACAGGATGATTCTGAAGGGTTTTCAAAAAATGAGAATTGGAATGATGATACAGATGATGTAGTTGATGAAGATGCTGATAAAGGTTAGAAGATATATTTATAGTATTTTTATTTATTTTATTAAAGATATAGAAAAAAATCATGACTATTTAAATTCTTTGTCTCAAGAGGTATATGTTATTATATTATTAAGTTTTTGTTTACATTATGAAGGATTGGTTAACTTTAGCTACTAATGACGATAATTATACTCTTGAAGAAGAACCTTACGACACTTTGTTAGATAAAATTAATGTTTATGTAATATTTAAGGATTTGATTGATGGTAAATTTGAATTCAATTATTCAAAACTAATATTTTAAGGGATGCAACAGTATAATCAAGCAATGTATAATGAAATTACAAAGGATTTGTCTCAAGAGCATTATTTGATTATTCAGACAATTATAAATCAAGCTTATGCATCTAGTGTTGAATTGAAATAGGATTATAAGGATTATATATTGACGATAGATCATTTGAGTGAAAATGGGAAAATGTTTTGATTTTATATATTTTTAAATCTTATGGATTATATTATGAAATTACATTGCTAAGATTATTAGTTTTATAATATTTAGAGGCTTATAGCATTTGATAATTTATCGAAATATGTAATATAAATTAAATAATTTAATATGAAGTTTTGGTTTTAATGATTGTATCTATTATCCAAGGGAATTTTGGTATTTCTCCCGAGCTTTATTTAGAAGTTCTTCTTGTTGTCGCAAAAGTTCTTCTTGAGACATTCCTGATGTTTCAAGCTTTGATTGTTTTTTTTCACGTGTCTGTTATTTTTAGTGAAAAGTATGGGTTGCATATTTAAGTTACTTTTTGCTGTTTTTTGTGACCTGAAATAACTTGATGAATTTCATCAATATATCCTTGAAATCCAAGTTCTTCAAGAGCTTTGATTACATGTTCTGCTGCAATTGTTTTTTTTGCTTCTCTTTCACATATTTCATTTGCTTCCGACGATATGAGGTGAACGAATTCTACGCAACATTCAATTAAAAGATCTTTTGTTTCTTTTGCAAAAACAAGATCAGGTGGTAACATTTCTGAGACAAGTTTCTGCACCGTCGCTATATCATATAAACATATTAAATATAAACGCGATTTACCGTTTTAAATACCTTTTGGAAGCGAAAGATCATCTTCTATATCTTTCTCCATATGAACAGATTATGTTTCAAGGTCGAAATAGGGCCGTCTTTCTGGTCACGTGAAAAAAATTGGATTTCTTTCAAACTTTAATTTAGATTAAATTTTTAAATGACAGTTCTTATTGTTGATAATGGAGGATATTCGATTAAGTATGGTTTTTCTTTAGATGATTCTCCAAAAATTGCACCAAACTGTATTGCAAAATCTCTTTCTGAAAGAAGGATTTATATAGGATCCCAGGTTTTAGGATGTAAAGACTTCTCTTCACTTCGGTTTCGACGTCCGATTGACAGAGTAATGTTTAACATAGTTTGTATGCATTTGAATAATTTATTTTAGGGTTATCTTGTAAATTGGGAGTCTGAAAAGGTTATTTGGGATCAATTGTTTTCTCAAAAAGATTTTATTGTAAATGGTTGATTTTAATTTATGAGTTCTTACTTTATAGGTCGATTATAATGAAACATCACTTCTTCTTACTGAGCCTCCGTATAATTTTCCCCAATTGCAGTTGGCTTATGATCAAATTATTTTTGAAGAATATGAATTTCAATCATATTATAAATGTATTGGTATATTAAATATCTGTTTCTATGAGAAAATTAAGTTCTATAAGCTAGTTCTTTAGTTCCGTGGAATAATGAAAAAATTTATGAAGTTCAGACAGAAATGAATAAACCACGAGAATTCTCTCTTGTTATTGATAGTGGCTTTAGTTTTACTCATATAATTCCTCTTATTTCAGGTGAGATTCAATGGAAAGCGGTAAAAAGGTTTGTATTTACTTTAAATTATGGTTTATTTATGTTTATATCTTTAGACTTAATGTAGGAGGGAAACTTTTAACGAATTACTTAAAAGAAATTATTTCTTTTAGACATTATGATATCATGGAAGAATTCTTTTTGGCTGATCAAATTAAAAAATCATGTTTTTTTGTGTCTTCTAATTTTAATGATGATATAGAAATTAGTAAAGGGAAGAAACCAGGTAATCTTTCGATTGATTATGTTCTTCCTGATTATAGTACAAATAAGCAAGGATTTGTTTTAACTCCAGGTTCGCAAAGGGATTTAATTGAAGAACGATTGATTTTGACTTTAAAGAATGAAAGATTTATTGTTCCTGAAGTATTATTTAACCCGAGTATAATAAGTAAATATATATATATATTGTTTGATAATTGATAATTATGAAGAATTAAAGCAAGCTGGGATTCCTGAAGCTGTTATGCAATCTTTGAAATTATTAGAAGATGATTTACAGGAGCTTTTATTAGCAAATATTTTTCTTATTGGGGGTAATTCCTTTTTTAAAGGATATTCTGAAAGGCTGTAAAATGATTTAAAAATGTTAGTATTACTTCTAAAAATAAATAGTAGAAAAGAACTTCGATCCTTAGTACCTGCACATTGCAAAATTTTGATTTATCAACCATACAAGTAATTATATTATTTTTTTATTTTTATTTAAAAATGTTAGTCCTGATACATTTGCATGGATGGGTGGCTCTTCCTTGGCTCGTAATACTAAAATATTTAATCAAAAAAAGGTTACAAGAGCTGAATATATGGAATATGGGAGTAATATTTTTTTAAAAAAAAGTGGATTAGATCGTAATAAAGAATTTGATTTGGTTTCTTATGAATAAATGATGATAATGTTTTAAATGGATAATATGTGGTTAGTGATTAAAAACAGTGATTTATTTGTATATATATTGATATATAATTTTTTTACTTTTTTGGGTTAAGATTTTGTGTAAAATATTTTATAAATTGTTTAGATATTTAAGAATGATATATTGGAATTTGAATAATTTAATATTTTAAAATATCTTAATTATAAAAAATATTAATACATTTTTTAACAATATTAATTTACGAAAATTACGAAAATTATGATATATTTTATTATATTTTGTCAAATTTTATATGGAGTTATTTTGAAATATAAATATGTTAATAATTTTTTAATAATATAGTTGTTATTCATTTATAATGTATTTTAAATTAGAGTTATGAGGATAAATTGTAGGTATTTATAAGTTAAGAAATTATTAATTTATAGAATTTTTTTTATGTTTTTCTTATTGTTTGTATTTAGCTTTTTAGTTTAATGAAATTTATTTGTAGTTTATTGAAATATAATATCTTTAGAATCTTGATTTTATTGTCTTTTAATATAAAGAGGAATATTAATCTATATTATTTTTTATATTAATAGATTTTTCTAATAAAAGCTGTATCAGAACTGTTATTATGTAAAATTGTAAATTGTTAAAAATTTTTTCAATTATCTAAAATAATTTTGTATGCATTTTTATTTTTATTATTTGGATGTTTTTTTTTGCATTTATTTTTGTTAAAATATATTATAAAATTATTATGTTTTTAGAATTAGTAATTTTATAATTAAAAATTTTAAAATTATTAATAAAATATACTATAATAACTTATGATTTTATTTTTTATATTTAACAAAAAATTATAGATTTTTTTAAAATATTTGATTGTTTTTAAAATTTTTATATAGTACACAGTATATTTAATTAATGATTTATAATAAAATTGTTTTTTTTTTGTAAATATATTAATGGAAATTGATTCTTAAATTTTATTATAATTATAATTTATATTAATAATTAAATCAAATAAAAATTTTAATAATTAAATCAAATAAAAATTTTAATAATTAAATCAAATAAAAATTACTTTAAATTTATTTTTTTTATATATTTCTGTTCATTACTTTTACTATTTAATATCATTTATAAATTTTAAATTACATAATTAAAATTATTGATCATGTTTCAAATATATTTTCAAGTATAATTTAATGATTTGTATATTTAAATATAATTTTTTGGAATAATATGGATATAGTTTAATTATATAATATTTACAAATATGTTTTTATATAATAACTTTAAAATATTGATATCTTGAAAGTTATCTTTTGTCGAGATTTTATAAAACGGTGTTTAAATAAATTTATAAAAATAAAAGAAATATTAAAATATTAAGGGTTATTGATATATATTGTTTGTTAGAACATGTCTTGGGGAGGTAGAAAAAAGAAAATTTAATGTTTTTATTTCTGGGAAAAAATAATATTTAAAATTAGATTACATTAACAAGAGTCTTCTTGAAACTGGGAAAATTACAAATGCTGCTATTGCTTCTCGAGAGGGTACCAGTGTGTGGGCATCTAATGATGGATTTAGTGTGAGTTTATACTTCTATATTACTGTTGTTTTTATAATACTTTGACTTAGTTAGGACTTGATGAATTAAAAATTCTTGCATCTGGATTTGACGACCCTACTCAGATTCTAGGATCAGGTTTTTATCTTTCTGGGAAGAAATATGTAGCAATTCGTGTTGAAGGACGAAGTATATATGGTAAACAGGTCAGTTTTTTTTTTTAAAATTTTAATTTATGCTAAAGTATCAATATAAAGGGGTCCGAGAGTGTTTATTGTGTGCAAACAGGGAAAACTATCATTATTGCATGCTTTCATAAAACTACGCAGACTGGAGAAGCTGTTAAAATTGTTGAAACCCTTAGTGATTATCTTATTAGCGTAGGGTTTTAACAGTAGTGAATAATAAAATTGTGCATTTTTAAATATTCAATTGTTCATTATATTTCAGAATAGATGGTTTTGGTTAAGATACTGGATTTAAAACATTATTTTTGTTTGCTAGTTTTCGTATTTTTATGAGTTTTATAATTATGTTTTTCATTTATTTTTAAATAAAAATCCTTGTTTGAATACATATTTTTAATAATATTTATTGGTTTTGATTATTATATTTATAGAATATTAGAAAGATGAGAAATATTATACTGGTATTTGATATATACCCATTGTTTTATCCAAGAGCTTATTAGAGAGTTAGTAGCTTTATTTTTTTATATAATACCATACTTTTTTGACTATAGAGATTCTTAAAATAGGTCCGACAATAGGAAATTGTGTTAAGAAAGAAACTATAATTGGAAAGAAGTCCCCACTATTATATTCTTTAGATACATGCATATAGATTTATTTAACTAACAAAAGATTTATAAATCCAAATATCTCAATGATAAATCCAAGAAATGGTTTTTTGAAAAAAACCAGAAACATGCCAAAAAAGAAACATATAGATCCTCGAAGTTTTTGTTTTCTTGAAAAAAATACTAATGTTTTTATTAATCCAATAATTAGTATAAGCCCTGAGATAAATAAAAGCTAAAATTTAAATTAGCATAATAATTTATAATTTGATTGGATCACATTTCCAATGGCCAATAAATTTGCATCAAATAATGTAATTATTCCCTAAAGTTTAATAAATGAATGTAAGTTTGGCAGAAATAATTTACAAGTATTATGAATCCTATTCCGAAAGCTGTCAATACTACTCCAATTTCTATTAACATATTAAATATTTTTATGAAACTAATGTTTACTTTGATTATCTGTAAGCCACATATTTAGCATAAAAAAGATATGTATATATTAAAAGCTTATGATGTTTTTATAATTTTTTTTAGACTTAATCATGTATTGTTGAATTGTTGATAATGTTCGATTTTAGTTTAAAAAAAATATGACTTATGGATATAGAAAATAAAACTAAATTTACTGATGTTCATCGTGCTTTTTTACAGGTTTTTATTTCTAGAAAGAGTATATTAGAGGAACAAGCGATAAATTTATTGTTAATGGCTATTTGTATTTATGGTATATCTTATTAAAAAAGTGATATTTAATTATTATTTCTAGAAAATGCTTCTGTAGATTCTGTTCTAGTGAATATAAATACTCTTGAGTCCTATATTTCTGATATTAATAATGCAATTATTGCTTTAGATTTGGAAATTCGAAAGACAATAGATCAATCTACAGGTGTAGCTATTTGGATACTAGTAATATATGTTTTGAATTTTGATTTATTTTAAATTTTATAAGATAAATACTGCTTCTGATGTTTTTAGTCAGTTATCAACTAATTATAATCCTTCTGAGATTGAATTTTTTAAGCAACTTCTTGATTATATTTTAATAAAAAGTAATACTCGTCAATTAGAAGTTTTTGCTATAACCTCTAGTCAAGCATTAAAGGAATCATGTATAAAGAGTGCAGGATTGTCTAAAGTTTCAGCTGAAGCTTCTTTAGCTGCATTTGTTGAGGAGGGATGGCTTTCGAAAACTATGTAAATTTCTTATTTATATAGAAATGAAATTAATTGTTTAAGGCATGGAACTCATATGTATTTTACTTTGTCACCTAGATCTCTTTTAGAGCTTTATCCTATAATTAAAATGTATATTGACGATTCTGAAAATGATTTAAATCATGAAGGTGCTAAAATAACATCTTTGCTTAAGAGATGTAAAGCATGTCATAATGTTGTTACTCAAGTAATTTTTTAATGCTTTTGATTTTTTAAAGATTAATTTTTAAGGGTTTTCGTTGCTTAAACATTGATTGTCCTATAAGATTTCATGAGTATTGTTCTAAAGCATATATGGCTAGACAAAAAGATAAATTGTGTCCTAAATGTGGAGAAATATGGATAGAAAGAAATTTTGTTGGTAAAAAGGCTGTAGAAAGTGCTAATACTTAATATAAATGGTTTTAAATTATGTATAAGTTTGACTATGATATAGATTTAAGTATAAATATATAAAATTATTTTCTTTATTATTATATTATATACAGATGATATATGTATAGTGATGTAATAATTTAAGGTTTTAGATATTAAATATCTTCGATTTCTTTAATTTCTGAAATTTCTGATGAATTTGTAGTTTCTTTTGTTCTTAATGTTGATAATGATTCTACAATTTCATTTGAAAAACTTAAATCTACTTCGTCTATTAAATCCCATATAATATCTTCTGCAATTTGTTCAGTATATCTTTCAAAAAGTGGTATTATAGTTGATCCAAGTGAAATATCTTTAGGGGGGTATTTAAAAAGAGGGCCAAAATTTAGTCTTACTATACCACCACGATACATGCTTATAGCTGGATAATAGCCTAGCATTCCATCATTTATATCTCGTGTTTGTATAGTTTGTGAATTAGGAGGTAAAAATGCATATAAATCTTGAAATGCTGTTCCCATAAATTTTCCATTTTTATAAACTCTTATAAAAGAATTTTTGATAATTGGTGGATTAGTGATAGGTTTAACTGAATTTGATGCAGGATTCATTAAATCCTCCATTTCTTTTGAAGGTATATATTCTAACTGTTCAAAATAAAGCTGTCCTTTATAACGAATAGGAATTCTGTCTCTAAAAATGTTATTTCTTAGAAAAGATGTATTTTTTGATGCATTTTTTGGAAGAGATACATGGAACCCTATTACATCACCTGTACCAAATGGTTCCATAAAATCGCGAGGTCTAGACATGTGAACTTTTTGTCCACCTTTATCTCGTAATGCATAAGAATACCCATCAAAACCAACAGGTGCATCTAATGAAGCTTTGTGTATTAAATTTAATATGATCTAAATATTTTAAAACTTACCTTCTCTTCGAGCTATTCCAATGCGTACAAATCCACCTTGATCTCCATTTCCTCTTTCAATAATGAATTCAAAATACCAGTCGCCTTCATTCATACAAACATTTGTTCTTGCCATTCTGAATCCTTTTTCTGTTGTTGCAGTCATTCCATCTTTGTCTAAAAGCACATTTTGACTAATATCATTCCAACTAATTCTTGCTCTATATGGAGGTAATTCAATTTGTCTATACATAATATTTGGCATAAGTGGAGTGGCTTCACAAGGAAGATAGCGAAATGTTTTTCTATTAAACGGTTGATCTGTTAGAGAATAAAATTCTTGATTTATATTATTATTTTCAATCCTTATAAATGTAGGTAAACGAGGAGTTGCATTAAAATCAGAAGGCCGATAAGGAGGTGGCCGGATTCTAGGAAGAATAGAGGTATTAAAAACATTAGTATCCAATGTTTTATCTTTTTTTTTTGAATGAGATTCTTTTTTTTTCCATGTTTCCTTTCTCTCTCTTGGTTCTTTAATGTCTTTTTTATTTTCAATATTTTCTTTTTTTGTATTATTAAGACATGCATTCTCAATAAAATTAGAAATAGCTGCAGAATCTTTTAGAATTTTTGTACATATGTTTTCTTCTTGATACATTGAACCTTGTCTCTTGCGAGATACAGTTGATGTTAATTTATGAGAACTCTATTATATTTTAGATGCCAATTTAAGGAAAATAGATATCAAGATTTACTAATACATATGTTGATCTAAATTGGAAGAGATTTGTATCAATTAATGAATAAGGGCTATTTTGTGATCTATTTCCTTCGTCTTGAGCCCTAAAAGCATCTTTGCTCGATGAAAGCAAACTCCCGAGTGTTGATTGCCTAATTAATATCTAGTTAATACAAAGAAAAATAATATTGATTACCATGTACTAGTTTTTTCTTTATCAATACATAAAACTCTCCAATTGAATGAATTTTCAAGAAAAGGAACAATATCTGTTTTTTTTGTAAAAAAATATTCAAGTCTAGACAATTCCATATGATTTTTACTAGAAATCATTTCTTTTGTCCATTTCGGATGATCTGATATTATTTTCTGAGCAGTAAGATTTGCAATAACACATCCACAAATAGCTCTCCATGAGGCTATTGACCGATGGAATTCTTCAATATTTGTATTGCTACATAGACTACAAACTAATGTATAGTTTATTAAAAATGGTAATACTTCGCCCAGAGGGGATCTGAAGCATCGAGCATGAAAGAAATTTCTGCAGACTATACTTTAATGAATATTCCTTTAAATTGTTATATATTGATTGCAATTACCACGACATTGGAAATCTGGTTCATCTAAAGTTCTATCTTGAGAACAGTAGCAATATTTATGTTCTAGGTTAATCGTATGTGTAGAATTCCATGTTAATTCATTAGGATTATAGCTTAATATAGGTTTTTGTGGTATATCTTTTACAATATAATCAAATTCCATTGCTGTCTGTTCTATTTTTTCTTTTGATAATATTTTGTTCAATTGTTTTTCATTACTTACATGTGTATTTGTTTTATCATTATATATATTTATTTGCAAATCATGATCATTTGGAACGCTTTCGTTCATTTTTGTGCTTTAAACAAAATATTTGTTTAAACAATTTTTTAAAATCTTGAAATAATTTATTGAGATAAAATTTTAGATAAAATTCGTTTTATAAAAATAATTAAAATATTATGATTTTTAAATAAATAATTTTAAATAACAATGAAAACAAAAAAATATAAAATAGGGAAAAGCTATAAAGGAAAAGAAGTTTTAGATGGAAAACTTTCTCAAAAAATTCTTAAAATTGCTCGAGAACAACAAGAAGAATTTCATGATAAATATTTTCAGAATTTTCAAAACTTTTCGTTGAAAGCAGCTGAAGATTTCGGTTTAACTGAGTCTTCCTTTGATTCTAGTTGTGATGAAGAGTATTCGGATTTAGAAAATACAGATTTTGAAGAAATTGTGCATTTTTTCTTTATTTTGTATTTGTCTAATTTTAATAGGAAATTGATAAATCTGATCAAGATCTATTTGAAAAGTTTTTGTCTTTTGAACCTATTTCTAGAAAAACTATAGAAAATCAAATATTTAATAAAATAGAAGGACATGGATCATTTATAGGGCTAAATAATAATAATAAAAGGAGTAATTCTATTTCTTTGCCTCCAAAAGTTGTTGACGTTTATACTAAGTAAGTATTTATAATATTATATTGTATTGTTGATAAATGATCTAAGAGTAGGTGTATTATTGTCGAGATATAAATCTGGGAAGCTTCCAAAAGCATTTAAAATAATTCCTTCTTTAGGAAATTGGGATGATATTTTAGTTTTAACATGTCCTGAAAAATGGTCACCTAATGCATGCTATGAAGCAACACGTCTTTTTGTGAGTAATTTGAAATCTTATCAATTTCAAAAGTAATTTTTTGAAAAATAAATAAAAAATTAATTCCTTAATAGATTTTTGTCTACTATACTTTTTGATAGGGTTCGTGAGGATATTTTAGAGAATAAAAAGCTTAATTATCATCTTTATATGTCTTTAAAAAAAAGCATTTATAAGCCTGCTGCATTTTTTAAGGGCTTTTTATTTCCTATTTGTGAAGTATATTTTATTTGTTTTAAATTTTTTCTATAATGAAAATAGAGCAATTGTACACTTAAAGAAGCTGCTATTATAGGTTCTGTTTTATCAAAAGTTTCTGTTCCTGTTTTGCATTCTGCTGCTGCTCTTTTAAGATTATCGGAAATGGATTTTTCTGGTATGTTTTGTGTGTTTTTATAACACTGTTATGTTTAATCTTTATAGGTTCTACGTCATTATTTATTAGAATATTGCTAGATAAAAAATATGCTCTTCCTTATAAAGTTGTGGATGCATTAGTATTTCATTTTATGCGTTGGAAGTCTTTACAGCGCCCTTTAGCTGTTCTTGAACATCAATCTTTTTTAGTTTTTGTTCAAAGGTATAAAAATGACCTCACACCTGATCAAAAGGATGCTTTGTTAGATGTAATAAAGGTTAAAGGACATGAAAAAATTGGGCCTGAAGTAAGAAGAGAATTAGTTAATAGTCTTAATAGAGGCGATGTATCGGTAGAATTTATGGAAACATAACTGTTTATTAAGGATATATTTCAATATTATATTTTTATATAATATGTAATTTTTTATGACAATAATGTTATGCTATGTATTTTTTTGATACAAAAAGCATCTGATATTACTATTATATCCACTGTTTTTCCATAAATGATTTCAGGTATTATAATATTAGTGTTTAATATACCATGTGTATATGTAGACATAGTTAATCGTTTTAATGCATGAACTTTATTAGATATATGGGATGTACATAATACATACCAGCCTTCTTTTTGAGGTTTTGGGAATTTTGGAGTGTAAAGTATGTAATCTGAGTGATAAGGTTTTGTATCTTTTATAATAGATACATTTAATATAGATTTTTCTTTTTGATAGACTTTTACTGTTATTGCAGGTATGCTTTTTGAAACTTTTATAAACTGAAATTTTTAGTATTTCTCTTTGTATTTATATTAGTTACTTCTGCTATTTTTTCCTTAGGAACTTTAAGAAGTAATCCTAGTTTTTCTAGATCATTTTTAGATTTTTTTGGAAGAAATTCTAATTTTATTTGTGATATTTGTTGTAAATTTATTGCATTTTCATAATTTACACCTGGAAGTATAGATAATTCGGGTGACTCTGGCCATCTGGCTTGCTTTATATATTGCATAAGGGATATGAATTCTAAACATGCTTCTAAATAGCCTAGTTCAGCTGATACATCTATATATGCCTATAAATTATTAAATATTATATAAATATTTTATGATTTTTTTACCTGTAAAATTCGAATACTTTGGTCTAAAATAGAAATAGTATCCGTAACGTAATCTATGATTGGCAAATTAAAATGTTTTAAATGTGCCTGAATAAGAAGAAAAGTTTTTATATGAGGATCCCACATAGGTAAAGATATTTCTTCACCTTTGAAGGGTAGTTTTTGAGAAATTTCCTTATTAATGATATCCTTATTTAAATTAGTTGTTATATCGTTTTAAATATGACTTACTTCATTATGGCGTACCGATAATTCATCAAATTCTGATGCTTCGGATAGAAGTCTTAGACAATTTTTAAAATTAATTTCAAGTTTCATTTTATTCAATAAATTTCTAATAGTTTTATGAGATATGTAATAATAGCTAGCTATAGAGCCAAAAACGGTTGCTTTAAGTGTTTCATCCTCGTCTCTATAAATACAATTAGATATTATAAGTTCATTGATTGATGTATTAATTATTTTTGATAAATATATGTTTATATTATTTGAAGAACTATCAGATAAACCATAGTATGTGGGATTTTTATAAATCCTTCTAAAGAAATAAGTCCATGTTAAATATTTTATTGCATCTTGCTCTGAAGAAATTGTTCCATTGACTATTTCGGCAGAAATATGATCAGTCAAAACTTTATGCAAAGAAGATTCAACAGGAAATCCTGTATGAAGAAAATGTTTATAAAAAGATTTTTTAGTATCTTGAACAAATATTTTTGCTACACCTGTTGTATCGAATTGGGGCCTCCCTGCTCTCCCAAGCATTTGAAGTACATCAGTTAAGTCCATATCTTTATACCCCTGAGTTTTTGCATCAAAAAATTCTGTACCCTTTATAATTACTAGATGCGCTGGAGTATTTACCCCCCATGCTAATGTACTAGTTGCAATAAGAATTTGAATTTTATTATTTATAAAAAGTTCTTCTGATAGTTTACGATCGCTTTCAGTTAGTCCTATATAATATTTATATTTAAATTTGGAAATTTATTTTTATATACCCGCATGATGAAGACCGATACCAAATCCTAATGCGTTTTTTAAAGACTCGTCTTTAACTTGACTTAAAATCATATTTAATTTGTGATCTGATAAGTGCAAAAATCTTTTTGGATTTTCTTCTAAACCACAATAACTTATTAAATCTTTTGACGTTAATCTAGTCTGTCGTCTTGATGATACAAATATTAGTACTGGTTTATTTGGAGAATGATCAAGAATAGCTGAAAATACTGGTTTATTCATTGATGCCATTCTCTGACAACTATAATGATTAGAAACTGCAATAGAACATTCTGTAACCTAGCTATTTGTGACCAGGAAATCCATCAATATAAATTTTTAATGGGACAGGTCTTACTGAGTGTCGAAAATTGTACAATCCAGTTTCTTTTACGCCTAACCAATCTGCCAAATCATATGCATTTGTTATAGCAGTTGTTAGTCCTACTATTCGAATATGCGATTTGTTTTGAGTAGCAATATAGTTTATACGCGATACAATAATTTCAAGTATAGGCCCACGGTCACTTCCAAGAAGATGAATTTCGTCTATGATAACTAATGATATTTCTTGAACATACTTTCTCTTTTTCCAGCCTCTGCTGATACCATCCCATTTCTCAGGTGTGGTTATAATTATATTTGCTTCGTGTATATCTTTGGACTCTGGTAAAGTATCACCTGTTAATTCTATAAGTTTTTTTTTTAATGGATTTGTTAATCTTGTAGTCCAGTCTTCAACTCTTTCTCGAACTAATGCTTTCATTGGTGCAATATATACTACTTTAAAAGATGGTTTTGTTTTAAATGCCCACCTAGGTTTTTTTAATATGCTGTCATCTTAAATCTAACTTTTTACCATAAAGAGAGCTCTGCTGCTATTGTTTTCCCTGATCCAGTAGGTGCTCCAATTAAAACATTTTCATTAGTATGATATAGAGTGTAGAATATTTGTGTTTGTATTGCATTAAAAAAAATGAATTTCTTAGAATAAATTTCCTCTAAAATAGGATTATCTAATGCTGAAATCTATTATTTTTTAGATGTTTTCTTAAAACTTTATAACATTAATTACAGGAAGAGGTTGAAGATCTAATAACTCTGTTATTGAATTTGATTCTTCTGGGAAAATAACATTATTAAGAGATATTGGGGTCATTGTCTCTGCTCTTAACCATCTGTCTGATATTGCCCAGACAAGTATTTGAGATGGAATAATATCTGGTAGAAGAATAGTGAAATTTAGAACCGTTTCTTGATTTTTTTTTTTAGAAAGCAGTAAACGAGCAGAATGTAAAAGTTCCATAGAATCTGAATTTTCTAACCAAATCCAAAAAAATTCTGTAGAATTATGGAATGCAATATCCCATATAAAATCTGACTGTATTGTTAGTTGAATTTTTAAGATTCTTTTTGCAAGTGGAAAAATATCTGCGTTAACCTTTAAAAGGGGAAATTTATCAACATAATTAGATATAATTCTACCCAAACGAATATGATGAACAAGCATTCCAAGTTCTACTTTACTCATTGTCCTCAATTCTTCTATATTTTTAACATTATTATGGACTTCTAGTCTTTCCAATATTTTATTAGGTAGATTAAACTGACTTAGTGGATGTTCATATGACCATATTTTCCTGAAATTTAATATATCTGATTAAATAATAAGAAGAAAGATATAAACCTTTCAAGAGATTTACAAACATTTAAAATAGTTAAAGCAGATACCCAGTTTCGAGATAGCGCTATTTCCTAGTTCAATTATTTAAATAAAATTTAAAGTGTTTACGAATAATTTACAAATAATGCTCTACAAATCCTATTGGAATTTGTTTCTATATAATTTGAGTCAGATATTAAAGCAGAATCTTCTATTGATGCTTTGGAAATACAACTTTGAAGTAAAATGTTAACTTTCCCATATGTTGAGTCGACAGCATCCTTTTAAAATGATTAGTATAGAAAAAAATAGTATATAATCACTTTGATTTTATAGTGGCAATTTTTTTTTAGAAGCTGTTTTAATTCTTCGTTTTCATTTTCTATATATATTAAAATTAAATATATATATGCATTTCTAACCCCTATATTTTATTTGTGAAAATTCTGAACTTCTGCTTAAAACATAAAAGACTTCGGTTTCTGTCATTTTTGATTTGAGTAATAAATTAAAGTTTTCTATGCTCTGTTGGGAAATATAATAATTAGATGCTATTCTTCCCAAGTCTTTTGGACTTAGAAAACCTGTTTTTTTATTAAAGATTATCATTTGTGTCTTGTATAGTTTTTTTGCTGCTGAAATTATAAGTTCTTTTCTTCTTTCATATATTTGTGGGTCGTTAAGGATCTGTTCATGAGTTAATCCATATATAAGAGGATTTTTTTTCATTCTTATATAAAAATATGTATAACTTAGCCATGATACTGCTTCTTCTAGATTTGTCACTGTTCCTAGCGATATTTCTGCATTAAGATTATCTGTTATTTTTTCCATAAATCTAAAATTGTAAAATTCTTTTGTTAACTTGGTTTTAGATTGTACCTAGATTCTATAGGATGTTGTTGAGTTATTGAGGATATATAGTGTGCTAATTTATCATTAGATGTAATAATGTATCCAATTCCACGATTTTCGTATTGAGGTCTTCCTGCTCTTCCAAATATTTGAAGAACCTTAATTATTTAATAAAAATAATTTATATTTGGATGATTTTTTACATCCAAAATACCTAAATCAACAAATGCACCTTTTTGTGGGTCATAAAGCTGAGTCTGTTTTCTTAAAAATGCAAAAGCAAATATGTTGTACTTACTCCTTTTATTATGACTGCATATGCTGGTAAATTAACTCCCCATGCTAAAGTAGCTGTACAACACAAAACTCTAATAATTCCATTGCTAAAGTATTTTTCTATGATATTTCTATCTGATCTTAACATCCCTGCATTGTGAATTCCAAAACATTTTTCAAGTAAATCTTTTATTTCTTTGTTTTTTAACTTAGAAATGTCTTTTTTGAAAAAATGGTATTGTATATGATTTGAAGGATTGAAAATATCTTTTTATGTTAGAATATATAAGTAGATATATATTTAAGAAAAAAACAACCTCCATAGCCATCGTTTATTGCTGAATTAAGAAGTGTTCTTGCTGTTTTGATTGTTTCTTTACGTGCATGAACAAAGACCATGACCTGATGATTATTTTTAACAAGCTGTATAACCTTTTCATATGTTGTTAAATCTATATTTATAGTTGACACTTTTGATCCAGATTTTCCTTTAACACCTATGAAGTGTTGTTCTAGAGGAACTGAGCGAAATTGATTTGAAAAATAGAATAATCCGCGATAGCAATTAACTCTTATATGATTAATAATATGTATTATGGGGAAACAATTTTAATTTTACCCTAGAAATTTTGCTACATCGACATAATTTGGTAATGTTGCTGAAAGTCCTATAATTCTAATCATTGTTTGACTAGACTCAACATATCTTTGTGTTCTTGCAACTAACGTTTCTATAACTGTGCCTCTTTCATCTTGGAGCATATGAATTTCATCAAGTATTATGAGTCTAACTTTTTGTATTAATTCTGTATCGCCTGCACTTTTTCTTGTTACAACATCCCATTTTTCTGGTGTTGTTACAAGAATTTGTGTCGAAATCATTTCTGATTTTGTTAGTTGCATATCACCTAAGATCATGTTATTAAAAAAAACAACTTATATAATTTCTACCTGTGAGTTCTTGAACTTGAATACTTAACCATGATAGGCGCTTTTTGATCTTTTTTACAATTTCTGATGCGAGAGCTTTCATTGGAGCAATATAAATAATTTTGAATGCGTTTTTATTTATTTTGAAGTCTTTGGATCTAGGCTGTTCATACGGAGATGGGTATGAAAATTGTGATATCACTCGCATAATTGCAAGTATAGCAATATCTGTTTTTCCCTTATAATATAATTAGAATTATGATATTATGACAATAAACTATATAACTTACTGCTCCAGTTGGTGCACATATTAGCATGTTCTCGTTCGTGCCATATGTAATAGGATATACTAATGATTGAATATAATTTAAAGTTTGGTATTCTTTGAAAGATCTTGCACAAAGATCGTTCATTTCTTCAATAGATAATATTTTCTTATTCATTTTTTGTGTTTCTTGAGCAGAAGGGTAAATAGTAATTTCTTCGTAAAGCTTTTTAATCGTTAATTGTTGTAGTAATTAATGAATACTTACTGGAGAAATATTTCTAGTTGAGCCAGGAGGTAGGCAGAATTTAGTGCCAAAGATATTTAAAGAGTTTCTTGAATTTGAATCTTCATAAATATTTGGATATGTTTCTGAACCTTTATATGGATTTTTTTCTAAAAAAAATACACTGTTTTCATTATGTTGAAATGTATCTGTTTCTTTTTGATCTACTTTAGTGGAAATATCTTCAATAGTTTTATCTTTTAAAAAAAATATGTTTTTTTTTTCTGAATTGAATTCATTATTGATATGTAGTAATTCATTCTTAAGATTTTGAGCATTTCGTGTTATTAATGTAATAAAATCTAGGTTATCATATCCTAAAATATTTATTAAATCATTTTGGATATCGATTTCTAAATAGTTAAACAAAAAATAATAATATATTGTTTTTTACCGTTATTTGCTGATAAAATTTGGTTTTTGATAGTAATAAAAAGATCTTGTGTATATGGAAACTTGTTTTTTTTTTCTATATATTTACAATAACTACATTGTTATAGTATATTTAAAAGTATACAATATTTTTTACCTCTTAAAACCCTCCAAATTTAGGCTTTCTGGGTTATAAATATAATTTTGTGTTTTTATTTGATTTTCTGGTTTTTTTCTTAATGAATCAATAATCAAGTTTAGGTTTGAAAAATAGTTCTTAAAATTATCTCCATAAAAATCTCTTACTTTAATAAAATATATGTTCTTTTTGCAATTTTCGTTATGCAAGTCTAATAAAATGTATAAATATTAATATATTATTTATAAATATATATATGGTATGTATTCTGACCTTTGGACTCATCTAAAAAATCTATCATATCTTTTAATGAGCTATAGCTATATAATATTTTTTAATTTGTTTCTTTTTCTCAACGCTCTTTAATTTTTTAGATTTTTATATGGTTTAGATAAAACATTTAGATGTTATAAATGCATATATATGTATAATATTTTCTTTCTATGTGTTCTACACTTTTATATATTTAACATTTGACTGTATTTGTTTTTTTTTTTAAATTTAATTATACAAATTAGAGTTTGAATTTAATTTTACGATGATTCCATTTTATCGAGAAATAATATAAAATACTTAAAAAATAATTGCATTTTAATATAAATAACATAAATAATGTATCTTTATTATATAGCTGTTTTGAGAAATGATGAAAAACCGGCTCAGGAACTTGCAAGTGCTGTAAATTTGTCTTCTTTCGGTTTTTTTCTTAGATCAAGGTAATGATTTTTTGTTTAATTGATATTAATTTTAAAAAAATAAGTATTAGTGAATTTATGATCTTGTTTAGTAGGATGATTGCTGAAGAAACACAGGCTGGGCAACGTAAAAGCTTTGATCAAGATAGTTAATTTGATTATTATTTATGTATATTAAATGTTTATTTTCGTTAGATTATGCTCTTCATGCTTATTCAAGATCTGAGAGTATTGTTGGTGTTGTTATTACTGATAAGGAATATCCTGTAAGAGTGGCTCATTCTCTTTTAAGCAAAATTTTGGATGAGTTTTTAATGAAATATCCACCTAGTTCATGGCCTAAAAAAAATAATCAACGTTTGTCATTTAATCTATTAGATGAATATATAGTGAAATATCAAGACCCTCGGAAGGCTGATAATATTATGAAAGTTCAACAAGAACTTGATGATATAAAAAATGTCTTGGTATGTATTTGTTTATTTTAATTTGTTTTTAATATAATAAGTTTCAAACTATTGATTCTGTTCTTCAGCGTGGTGAAAAATTAGATGATTTAGTTCAGCGTTCGGATATATTGTCTGCTCAATCTCGATTGTTTTATAAACAGGTATATAGGTATATATCTATTTTTTGATAACTCTTATGTAAATAATAGGCAAAAAAAAATAATTCATGTTGTATTATTGCATAATTGCATAACATTTTTAATGGTATAAAAATATAATGTAAAATATGTATATGAATTTTAAATTTATTTTAAATTTTAGAAATTAGTTTGATTTATAAAATTTTGAAATTGTTTATTATGGCATATATTTACTTTTTTGGTACTTCTTAGTATATAATTACAATTCGATGGTTAATATTACATAATGTTATAATTTTTGTTTTTTGATGCTTAAATTAGTACTTTAATTTTGTCTATTAGAATAGATGATTATATATTTATATTGAAAATGTATTTATATGAACTTGAATTTTAAACTTGAATTTTATAATGTGTTAATTTCTGAATTTACTTTTTTAGTTTTAATATTTTTTAATATTATTTATATTGAAATATGTAATCTTTTATTAATTTTATATAATCGTTGTATAATACATATATGTCATCATTAAATTATATTAATATATTTTAAAATAATTTAAATAATTTAAAATTATAAAAATAATATATTAATATTCACTTAAATATATTTTAATATATTAGAAAGTAAAATACCATGATAATATAATAATTTATGTAATGATTTATAAATTGAATATTTTTTTGAAATATCAAAACTCATCAAAACCGCATCATCAAAATTATTCACTATCTATTCACTATGTAATAATTACTCTATATGAGTATATAGTTATTTTTATTATTTTAAGTAGTATTTATTATATATGATTTTATTTTAAAATTTTATTTAAATATATAGACAAAATTAATTGACATTATATATTCTATCATATAATTATAAAATTATATTATTTTAATATATTATTTTAAGATTACAGTTTTTAAAAAAATAGTATAAAACAATGATAAATAACTGTCTATATTATATTTTATATTTTATATTTTTATATTTTAATTTTACTTGAATACACACTTATAATAATTATTTAACATTAAACATATTATAAATCTAATTTAACAAAACAAAATATCAATATCTAAATTATTAAATTTTTTAAAATTATAAATTGTAAATTTTAATACAAATTAGTGCAATTTTAAATGCAACATTTTATTAATATACTCAGATATTAAATATTAAAAATAAATATATATGTTTATCATATCTTTTTAAAAATTGAAATAAATCTAAATTAATTATATATTAAATATTATATACTATTATATACTAAAATCTAGTGTTTTAAATGTCTATATTAATGGTATTACATTAATACATATATACTTAAATGAATTTAGAAAATATATTTAAAATATATTTAATTATTATAATTATTATATTTTTATATATATACCAAGATTATTTAAAATTTTATTAAAAAATATATTTATATATGAATATAATACCAATATCAAAAATTTTAAGAATTTGTATAATTTAATTCAATATTACATTTTTTAATTACATATTTAAACTGATTATTTAGACAATTTATATCAATATATCACTTTTATTTTTCAAATATTATAAAATATTATATTACAATATTACAATAGATATGCATTTTACATTTACATAGACAATATTTCATAGATAACTTTTATTATTGTTTTTATACTAAAACCAAATATATTTTTACCATAATTTTATCTTATCTAAATTCGTATAAAAAAGCCTTATTAGCTCTAAAAGTATACAACCATACACGTTGGTGCCCCGATTCATTCTGTATATCTTTTAACGATGACCATAATTGATGAACATAATGTCTTTGATGAGCAGGCGCAGTATCAATTACTTTATAAAAACAATTAAAAACCATATATAAAATTGTTTTTTTATAAATCACCTTTTCTCCATTGATATTCTTTTAAACAAGTATTTTTTATTAATTCATATATATCATCATTTAAATCAACACAAAATACAACAGGCTTTTTAGAACAAATATCATTAGTTAATTCAGAAATATATTCATAAGCTTATTTTTTTTAGTAATGATCAAATATACATAAATTAGTAAATTACCTTTATTAATTATAAACTGTTTTTGTTTTAACTTAATTTTGCGATTACCTTCTAACAAAAATCGAACTGATAGCTCATTTTTTTTATTAGAATTAACATCTAATACACGTTTCCGTATCATAATATCATTGGTATTTATTTTATTTGTCATATTAAACTTAGTTAAATTATCAGACATATCTTGTCTATTCCTTTCAGTTATTTCTCCTAATAACCATGGAACAAGACTAGAATATAATATTTCTTCATCATGTTCAGATGCAATATTTTTAACTTTTACAGAATAATCCTTAAATAACCCTTTTGCTTCATAACTTTTATGTCTTACTATTACAATCCAATTAATACCATTCTTTTTCGCAAAGTCTATAATTTCTTCCAAAGTCTCTAAATTTGATCTTGAAAGTTCAGTTTTAATATTAAATTTCCATAATTCACTTAAAATTTCCAGACACTCATTTAAAAATCCATGATTTATACTTGAAACCAAAACATCACATCTTGCAGCATTCCAAGGCCATCGAAAAGAAATAGAACCTGTTTTCGAATATTTTCGAATAGGGAATTCATTGAAAGAAAATTTTAAAAGAGATGAAAGTATTTTTTCAATATAAATAGTTATTCCAACAACAGAAATAGAAATTTTTCTGGAAGACAAAGGAGGAAGACAATGATGAACAAGAGTATCATATCTTCCACCTATAGCAAAAATATCACATTTTTTATTTTGCATTACTAACGCTTCAAAAATTAAACCCCCTTTATAAAACTGATAATTATGTACTGTTAAAGGAAAAAAGTATATTTCATGTTCTATATGAAGATATTTTGAATATAAAAAAACTGATCGAATACTTTCTATTGAACGTAAAAGATTTTGATGCATCGACATATCAAATATATTTAATAAACGTAAAATACCAGCTTCGAATTCATCTATTTTGTCAATTATTTTATTAATATATTTAATTTATACCCTGAAAATTAAATTTATCAAGTTGTTCTAAAGAAGATCCAGAAAGTAATGACTCGGAACGAAGCTGATTTTGAATTTGTTTTAGTGTAATAGTCTTTCCTAATTGAGATAACAATATACTAGCTCTAGGCCTATAAGGAATATCTATTCCACAATAATCAAATATAGAGTCTCTAATCAAAATAAGTAAAATAAATTAGAATATCAAAAAAAATACAATATATCACAATGATTTATATTAATTAAAATCTTCATTTTTGAAAGAGAAGGAACTTCATTTACAATTTCATCAAGTATTTTAATACATTCGCTTTCATAAAGACTCAAATTGTCTTCTTTCTTAGTAACAATATCAAAATTAACTTCATTTAATGACCAAGGTATTGTGTCAATAGTACTACTTCTAATAATATTAAATATTTAACACTGAAAGAATCATAAATTAACCTATAAACTTTCCCAAAACAATAATATTTTCCATAATTCAAAGAATATTTTGTGAGATGACGAGCAAAAGGTAAAATAAGATCATATGGAAGCTAATTAATCTAAATATTTACTTTACTTAGCAAAATATGTATACCTGCAAAAGAGTACCATGCGAATCTAAAAAAGTAGCAAGATCCTGCACAGAATTATAAATATCATTTTTTGGAAATAATTGTGAACGGTCATTATTAGAGATTGCACCATGTCTTTTAAAAATAGACGTCAAACAGTTTTTAAGCCAATCCATAAGCGGTGATTCAATATTTAAAGAATTAGTCTTTTTAAGCATTAGTTATTATTTTATAAAAATAAAACAAAAAAAATAACCATAATATCATATGTATAATCTTTACATTTATCTATATTTTGAGAAAATAAAGTTTCTATAAGTTTAACATAATACGGTGTATTCGGATTGGCTTAGTTCATTAACTATAATTTCATAATTTTTTTTATTATTTACCAAGAGTATGAAGACTTTCACGTATATATTCATCTTCTACTTTCGGAGGCAACATATCACACCGTAAAAGCTGAAAACTAGTGGGACGTGTTTTAGGATCATGCTGTAAAAGCCATGAAATAATATGTTTTTGATTCGAAAATTTATTTGAAGGAAATTTTAAGGGAAATATAATGTTAGGATCTCTTAAATTTAAAATAGTCTTTCCAAATTAATCAGCATAAAACAGTGCTTATACGTAATTTTTACTTTTATACGTTCCATAGAAGTTTTAAAAGGATAACACATCTCAAAAAGAATTATTCCTAAAGAATACATATCCACTAGTTCATTAACTTTAATAAACATAAAATAAATATATAACCTTTTTGATTATAAGAATGATCAATATCACGGTTTAAAAGCTCAGGAGCAATATAAAGAGCAGTACCAATCCCTTATTTAATAATTTTAACATAACTATCAATACAAAATAAGAACTACCTGATGTTAAATCATTATCATTTTCAATATTCTCAGAATATTTTTTAGAAACCAAATTTTCAATTATTGTCCAGCATTCAGTAGCCAACCCAAAATCTCCTATTTTAACATCACCATTCTCATCCAAAAAAATATTGCTTGGTTTAAGATCTCTATGAATCACACCTTGTCCATGAATATGCACTAAAGCATCCAAAATCTGACGAAACAAACGCCATATTTCATCAATATTTACATGTTTTGATTCTAATATGTCTTTCAAAGTACGTTTTTCACAATATTCCATTTGAATATATAAAATTCCTGAATTCGAGAACTTTAGATCAACAAATACACTATTATTTACAGATTCAGAACTTTTATCTGACAAATTTTCACAAATTTCACTTTCGAAATAATTCAAAAAACTTTGTTTTGGTCTACCTGAAGAAATGTACTCACTAAAATTAGATGTTACTATATCAGATTCATGTTTGTAAGAATCAAAAGATCGTCCAAATTCCCTAGAACCATGCTCACAGACAGTTTCTTCACTCGACAAATCTTCTAACCATGCAGAAAAATACCTTACAATATGTTGATGATGAAGTCTTTAATATCAATCATCAAATTACAAATAAAATAAAATTTATACCTTGAGAGAGTAATAACTTCTCGAATAATACGACTATATTCATTTTTATTTTTATTTAAACAAATTCGTTTAATCTAAAAATACCATTAAATCAGATAAAACAATTATTATTTTAATACAGCATAATATTGTCCATCAAGTCTATTTCTCACCTTTATCACTTTACCATACGCACCTTTTCCAAGCCATTTTACTTCTTCAAAATCATTTTCATATCGAGAAGCTAATTGCAATGTAGAAGACTGAGACCGATATTTAGAAATCCTTGGAAATTCATGTAAAGGTTTAGATATAATTTTCGTATTTAATCCTAATGTTCTTGCAATTTGTCCACTAGTAAAAAATGGAGATGCTAAAAGATCAGAAGCAGAGGGCCTTTTATGCCAATTCACCTGTAAAGCAAGATTAAGAAAATCAATCACTGTACTAGGTATTGCTAAAAACAAATTAGTAAAACCATACATATATATTATACCACAAAATACTAGGGTCACATATTTCTTTCAAATTAGAGTATTTTGAAATAGAATCAATACCAAAAATCATTTGAAGAAATATAATACCAAACATCCATATATCACTTTTTCGATTAAATACAGGATTTTCACTTTCAAATTTATATTCAGGAGGATGCCATTTCTTTGAAATAGGACTTTTTTTAGAAAAAGATTTATCATTTAATGTAAAGCTACATAATTTATTCATATGTTGAAGACTATATGAAATACCATAATCGGATATTTTTGCAACCGATCGCCCTTTTTCAGACTTAAATATCAATATATTTCCTAAATGCAAATCTAAAATAATCAATATTTAACTAGACTACTAAAAAACATACTTTTATGTAGAAATCCACGACGATGTGCCTCATTAATTCCTTCAAGTAAATCCATTGCCCAATTTCTAGCAATATCTAAACTTACAGAACCAACGTTTTCTAATATATCTCTAAGAGAGCCTCTAGGTATATATTCTTGCAAACACAACAATTTCCAGCTACCAGAATTCAGAAGAGAAATTCTACATCCATAAAACTGCACGATTGATGGATGTCTTAAAGCTATAAACGCTTGTAGCTCTTGTTCCATTCTATAAATTTCTTTTGTTCCGTCAAATGACTTCCAAAACTCAGAATTCAAAATAAGTTCCTTTAAAATCAAAATATTATCTCTATTTTGGTCTGTAACAGGGATTGCCAACTTAACAGTCATAAATGACTGCTTACGGAAAGTCAATAAATCCTTTACAGCCTGAAACCTAACAAGTCCATATTGTTCATTTTGTATTTCCATTTCCTTATCAAATATTACTATATCATCACTAAGTCCTTTAAGTTGATAACAATCCTGCTGTTGTCGCTTGTTCGCTTGAATTATTTGTCCTTTTCTTCTAATTAATTCTTTTTGAATCATTTCATCCAAAATCCTTTCTTCTTCTTTTTTAAAATGTTCTTGCTCTTTTCTTATTTTTTCTTCTATTAATTGTTGTTTTAATTCTTCTTCCAAAATTCTTAAATGTCTTTCTTGACTTAAATTAGTGGAAGGTCGATATTCGTTTTGCCATTCATGAAGAATATCTTGAACATTAGACGAAATTTCATAAATCATTTCACGACCCTCTAACTCATTTATAGTTTTTGAAATAATGTCTTCTATTTGAATCAATTGAGATTTAAGAAGATTAACAGAATTATCGATAATAACTTTTGGCTTAGTTTTTGGGTAGGTAGTTGTCATATAAATCTTTAAATCTAAAGAGAAAAAGCTAACTCCGTTAAAATCACTATGCAAATGTATTTTTAAAAAAAAAGACGCCAATTCCTAATAACCTATTAAAAATTCACTTTTAATTTTTTTAAAAAATACATCAGAAGTATGAGAAAAAACATTATTATCAATATATGTAAAATCGTCCATATAAATAGCTTTCAAAGCTTGAACTTCATTTTTCTGAATTTCAAAACATTCTACTAATTCAGAATCCATAGAGTAAAAAGTATATTTAAATCATATATAAAATCACTTAATTATCATATCATTTCAAAATTATAATCATATTCACATCTATTTTAAAATATCGTAAATTTTTAAACTTTTTCAATTTTAAAATTTATTACATTTATTAGATTAGATAGAAACATATACAAGCATATACATATATATTAGTAACCTACTATGCTTCATAAACAACAAAATATTTATATTCAATATATATATATATATATAAATACAATATTTTTAATACACATTTTCAAAATAATATTGTATATTACAAACATTCAAAACACATAATTATATTTCAAAATATATACATTTTAAATTATATATCTATCACAAATTTAAACAATATTATTATTATCAAATAATTCACAAATTTAATATTTTTATTCTAATACTATTTTTTAACTATACGATATTTTTATCTTTGTTTAAATATTGTGAAATATACATAGCAAAGAATTGTTAAAAATCATAAAAATTAATGATTATGGCTCTTTAAATTATTTTCTATTTTTTTAAGAAATCATGATTTTTTATTGGAATACTAAAACATATAACAAAGATAGTACTAAAGAAAATCAAACTTATCAACCAAACAATAATCAAACTCATTCCACGTTATCAAATGAAATACCAAAAACACCATCAGCAACAACTTGGGTTTTTCAAGCTTTTAAAAACCATTTTTTTCATATAAAATATCCAGAAAAAATATCATATTTTAAAAATAATGTCAACTCTTTTCTTTATAAAAATCAATTTAATTCCACTATAAAAACTAATTCCAATACACCTAACCCGAAAATTAACATACTAAAGATAACCGAGGATGAGAAAAATGATCTAATGAAGATTGAAAAAGATATCAATAAGGAATTTAAAAAAAATGTTCAAATTTCTGTCTCTAAAACTGTCACTCAAAATCAACAAAATAGTATACTTAAAACTCCAAAATCAAACAGTATACGTAAAACAGTTTCTTTTTATGAAAATTCAAATCATATCAACGATCTTTATTGTTCAGGAAAAGAAACAAATCTTTCTAAAAAATTCCCTGGAAATTTTCCTAGTCCATATATACCCAAATTACAAAGCTTTAAAACAGATCAGACATATTTAAATATCAAAAGTTCTAATGATTCTGAAACTGTTGTATTAAATTCCAAAAAGTTAACAAATATAATTTGTCAACAAATTGATTCACTTAGTCAGAATAATCAAAAACTCAAATTCCTAGTTTCAGAAATTTGCGAGGAACAAGAAACTACTCATAATTCTCTAAAAAGTAATTCATCAGAATTTGATATTACAATTGATCTAAAGAATTCTATGTCTTTTAAATACTGGAAGACCAAATTTGAAACATTAAATGTTATTAAAAGAGATCTTGAAAATGAAGTCCAATTTTGGAAATCTAGATGTTCTTATTTAGAAAAACAGTTATATAAACTATCTAAAATAAGTTCAACATTTTCTAAAAAAAATACTAAGAATAATTTATTTATAGAAGAACCTGAAAAAAATAAAAAATTAATAAACGACTCTTTAGAAGGCGATTTGTTAAATATTAAAGAAAATTTAGTTAACATACAAAAAAATAAATCACAATTAATAAAAAAATCATATACTCATCCAATATTTTTAAATCCAAATGAAATTACTCAATTAGAAGAATCAGAAAAAAAAAAAGTATCTGATTTTAAATCATTAAACAATCAACATTATTTATCTAAAAATGAAATTTCTAAAAACTTAAACATTGATATAGATATAAATCAGTATGAATTAGAAAAAAAAGGTAGACAATCACCAAATATATATAGTATTTATTTATATCATCAAGGAAAATACAAAAATTCAAACACTATTTTTATACTTAATGATATGTCTCATATAAAAATAAAAAACAAAAACATCAATCAAAATTCTTTAAAACCGTATTCTGGAAGTAAAATAAGTTATGAAATAGCTAATTTAAATAATTTTGCAAAAGATACTCCAAATAAAGAATATAATTCAAAATTAATTATAGATGATATGTCTCGATCTCTTAGCAACTTTCGACAACTTAAAGAGATAACTAATGAAACAAAAAAAGGATCTCAATCCACAACAAAGTCATTTCCTAACTTATTTGAATCAATAACTAGAAAAGAAGCAGCAGCAAAACGATTAGAAGAACGTCGAAAACATAGAAGTGAATTGTATAAAGCCAAACAAAACAAAATAGGGAAAGAAAACGTTATTTCATTATAGAAATATGAAAATGTCATCCTTATTATTAATTTTACAAATATTTTTAATAAAAATATATTAAATATGTACATTAAAATATAATATCCATATCTCCGAAAACTATCTTAAATTAAAATTATTCAGCATTTTTGAAATTAATTACTTTATTATATCTTAGAAAATGTCAAATTTATCCGCAATTTTTTCACAAATATCCTCAGAAAATACCAAACGAGCACTGCAATTAAAGAATCAAGGCAACAAACTTTTATTAGAAAAATCATTTTCCGAAGCAATAAAACTTTATTCTCAAGCTATAGAATTAGACCCAACTAAGGCAGTTTATTTTACTAATAGAGCTTATGCATATATAAATCTCGAATCATACAGACTAGCTATTGAAGATGCATCTAAAGCCATTTCTATCGATCCATCTTACTTAAAAGTATTTTTTTCCAATAATTAGCTTTTTAATAAAGAAAATAGGCATATTATAGACGAGCAATAGCGTATACAGCCACTTTATGCTACTCTGATGCGTTAAAAGATTACCGTACTATAATAAAACATATTCCTAATGACTATGAAACTAGACGAAAAGCTATTGAATGCGAAAAAATAGTTCGTAGAATAGAATTTGAAAAAGCTATTAATGTAGGAGAAGAGCCTTCTGCTACAGAAGGAATTGATTTTGATGCTATTGGTAACACTAACACTAATAAATAATTCTACTGATATCTTAGTTATAAAAGATGATTATGATGGAAAACCATTAGGAGACAATATGACTTTAGAATTTATAAATGATATGATTTCAAGATTTTCTAATGGAAAAAAAATTCATCTAAAATATGTTTATCAAGTAAGTTTTTACAAATATACACATATTTTAAATATATCAGATAATAATTGCAGTCAAAAAAATCCTTAGTTCAGAACCAACAATGATGGAAATAGATATAAAATCTAATCATATTCTTACAATTTGCGGAGATGTACATGGTATTTCTTTTATTATCAATTTATTATATCAATTTATTATATTAGGACAATATTTTGATCTACTTGAAATATTTAGATTAAATGGACAACCTTCGGAATCTAATTGTTATTTATTTAATGGGGACTTTGTTGATCGAGGTTCATGGTCAACAGAAGTAGTCCTTTTACTTTACGCTTTCAAATGGTTATACCCTACTGGCATTTTCCTTAATAGAGGAAACCATGAAACTGATGATATGAATAAAATATATGGATTTGAAGGAGAATGCAAAGCAAAGTTGGAATATATTTCTTTTATTTCTAATTAATTTTTAAAAGATATACGGAACGTACTTTTAAGTTATTCTCAGAATCTTTTAACTGTTTACCTCTTGCAACATTAATAGGTAGGACATATTTAGTGCTTCATGGTGGTCTTTTTTCAGATGATAATATTACGTTGGATGATATAAAAAAAATAGATAGAATTTCTAAGAAACAACCTGGAAATACAGGTTTAATGATGGTAAGTAGACTTATGTACATAATATTATTCTATAATGACTACAAAGGAAATTCTTTGGACAGATCCTCAACCTTTACCAGGCCGTGGTCCTAGTAAAAGAGGTGTAGGTTTACAATTTGGTCCAGATGTTACCAAAAAATTTATAGAAACCAATAATTTAAAAGCTATTATTAGAAGTCATGAAGTCAAGCCTAATGGTTATGAAATAGAACATAATGGTCATTGTATTACAGTATTTTCTGCTCCTAATTATTGTGATACACAGGGAAACAAGGGAGCATATATTCGAATAGGTTGTAACTTAGAACTGGAATTTAAAACTTTCGATGCTGTTGCTCATCCCAATGTACCACCTATGAAGGTTAAGTTATTATATAATTGCAAATTATTTTAACATTTATAGTATGCAACTGGTTTAATATCTATTCTTTAAATTCATATTAATGATTCATAATAATTGTAATCTAACTTTTTTTGAATATAAAAAGTTAAATTATATATATCTAAGCAATTATTTATACTAAATATATTTTTAATTCTTATTAAAATAAATTAAAATAATATTTTTCCAAAGTAAATTTTAATTCAAATGAAAATACTAAATACAATTTAAAATAATTTTATTTTAATTATGTTTAGATGTTATCTTAAAATATCATTTTATTATTAATATTTTACGATTTTAAGAATAATTGAATTTGACATTTAATATTTTATTTTTTAAAATTTATTATGTTTAATAAAAACAATAAAAATATTCATCAAATGTTATTTCTATTTTCAATTTCATAAAAAAATCAAATAATTTATAAATTAAATATTTTTTACTAATATAATTATTAGTATTAACTAATCATAAAATAATTCAAACTTAGTAACTATATAAAATTATTAATAAAATAAAACACAAAATATTTCCAATTTTACTAAATTAATATTCACTTAAAACCATATAATTTTCATAATGTCATATATTGTTATAAATATGTTAATTTATATAAAAAATACAACTTTTTAAATTTTTAAAAATCTAAAAAAATTATAATTTATATTTTTTATTAATATATACATATATATATATACAAACAATATAACTAAAAATATTCAAAAAAAGTTTTCGAAAAAAATTAATAATTATAATATAAATTATATTTTAATTTCATTTTAATATTTTTTAAAAATACTCAAAAAACATCTTAGATCATAAAAAAATCAAATTCATTTAAAATATTTAGATTATATAATAATATCATATATATTATATATACGTTTTATATTTTACATTTTATAATAAAAATATGTTTGATATTAAAATTGAGATATATATAACACCTATTTATTAAAGTATAAAAACTTTAAATTTTAAATACATAAATATTTTAAATACATAAATATTTTAAATACATAAATATTTTAAATACATAAATATTACTAAAAAGAACTAATTTAAATTAATATATTAAAACTTTTAAACCACGGAAAATGTGTCCTATAACACATACCCTACCCTTTGTCTTCTATTTATTGTTGACTTCACTAGTCTGTCCCCTGAAAAAAATAACATTAATTATTTCAACACCTATAGTCTAGCTTAATAGCCGTTTTTAACAGATTATATAGATTGCATTGAAATATTATAAAGATGGAAGGTAAAACAATAATTTTTATTTTAAAATACAAATATTAAAATTTTTATAGAAGAAATAGCTGCACTCGTTATTGACAATGGATCTGGTATAAAGTACTTTAATGAATATATTATGATACTAATGTAGTTAAGGTATGTGTAAAGCAGGATTTGCGGGTGACGATGCACCAAGAGCTGTCTTTCCTTCTATTGTTGGGCGTCCACGTCACCAGGGAATTATGGTATATTTTTTTTATTTGAATTTATTATTATTCAAGTAGCTTATATTAAAAGGTAGGAATGGGCCAAAAGGACTCGTATGTTGGCGATGAAGCGCAGTCCAAACGCGGTATTTTAACTTTAAAATATCCTATTGAGCACGGAATTGTTAGTAATTGGGATGATATGGAAAAAATCTGGCATCATACATTCTACAACGAACTTCGTGTTGCACCAGAAGAACATCCTGCATTGCTTACAGAAGCTCCTCTTAATCCGAAATCGAATAGAGAAAAAATGACTCAAATAATGTTCGAAACATTTAATGCTCCTGCATTCTATGTAGCAATTCAAGCTGTTTTATCACTTTATGCTTCGGGGCGTACTACAGGTATTGTACTTGATTCAGGAGATGGAGTCACACATACTGTTCCCATTTATGAGGGATATGCACTTCCACATGCTATTTTCCGTCTTAATCTTGCTGGAAGAGACTTAACAGACTATCTTATGAAAATTTTAACAGAGCGTGGCTACAATTATACTACCACTGCAGAGCGCGAAATTGTTCGTGATATTAAAGAAAGGCTCTGTTATGTTGCTTTAGATTTTGAGCAAGAAATTCAAACTGCCTCATCATCATCTACCTTAGAAAAATCATATGAATTGCCTGATGGTCAGGTAATAACTATTGGTAATGAACGGTAATAATTAATTGTTTCGAAAAAATAATTTAATAATTTCAAAAGTTTCCGTGCTCCAGAAGCTCTTTTTCAGCCATCTATACTTGGCTTGGAAACATGCGGTATTCATGAAACTACATTCAATTCTATTATGAAGTGTGACGTCGATATTCGCAAAGACCTTTATGCCAATATTGTTATGTCAGGTGGAACAACAATGTATCCAGGTAAATTAAAAGTAAAAACATAAAAAAATTATTATCAATCATATTAGGTATTGCGGATCGTATGCAAAAGGAAATAACAGCTCTTGCACCCTCTTCAATGAAAGTCAAAATAGTCGCTCCACCTGAGAGAAAGTATTCTGTCTGGTATTTTATATATAATTTTGTTTTATAAATACTAAATAAAAATAGGATTGGAGGGTCTATTCTTGCCAGTTTATCGACTTTCCAACAAATGTGGATTAGCAAGCAAGAATATGATGAAAGTGGGCCGTCCATTGTTTATCGCAAAGTATATAAATTCATAAGACATAATTTAAATTAACAGCTTTAGTGCTTCTAAAATATATACTTAAAGATATACTTTAATCTCATTTTAGTTTTGTGAGATTTACATTATGTACCTTTACTATGTATGCTAATAGATTTTAATCTTTTTTCAGATGCATAGAAATAATTTTTTTTTTAACATTTTTATATATAAAAATTTACTATTTTTTTAACTTAATTATTTATCTACTTAATACTCATAACTACATAAATACATGCCCCAGTATCAGTATTATAAACATGAATTCATTAATAACATTCAATAAATATATTTAAGTATTCAAAAACTATTAAAAAACTAAATATAATTTAAAACTGATATTTATATTAATAAAAGTATCTAGTAATTTAGTAATTATAGATTAAAGATAAATTGAAATCAATCTACTAATATATAAAACAATATTTAGAATTCTATAAAACCTAATAAAATATTAATACTTAATTTCAAAAAATTATCAAAAATGACTTTAATAAAAACTTAAAGTATTAATATAAATTCTTTTTATAAACAGTTACAATAAATAAATATTCCAAAATATATAGACAAAATAAAAAAATCAATAATACAATAACATTATTTTTTACTATTAAAATAAAATGCTCTTTAATGTAATTAAACTAAATGATATATTATTTGATAAAGATTTCAATATTGAAATATTCAAAAATAAAAATACATAATTTGAAAATCTATAAAATAATTCAAATCCAAAACTCATATTACAAAACAAAACCATAGAAACCCAATCACAATATTAATTCCCATATTAAATTATAACAAAGGCATTAAAATATCAAATGAGCCAGTACCAACATCTACAACTTTCCCCATAACTAACTTTGCACTAGGATTTTTAAGGAGATCAGTATCACCGTGCAAAGTTGCTTCTTGAAGAAAATTACATGAAGTCTCATAACTCATTTTCAAAAAAGGAGAAACATTAGAAGATATAGACGTTCTATTAAAAGCTTTATATGAACCATCAATTGTCATATAATCAGAAATAAGAATGAGATGTCTAACATCAACAACTATACCGTAACTAAAAAATTAACTATTTATAAAAAATAATCATAAATCATACGCTTTAAACAACTTAGAAATTTCAGTTATTATTACATTTCTAGCAGCTTCAACACCGTATGTACGAAGAACACTCGTAATATCATTAGAATAAAGTGTATTTAAAGATACAATATCTTGAGCTTCCCAAATCCCTTTAAAGTTAACGCCATCTGTACATAAGACACGCTTTTATAATAAGTTATCTCAGTAATTAAAACATTTAATATAACTCACTGAAGTATCCCATTTCGACTCTGGTGGAATTCGAAAACATTTTGAAATGCCAGCCATTTCTCGTATTACAGTCTTCTGACAAGCCATTTCTATAAAACCAACTAATAATAACTTAGGCATATCAAAAGGATACTAAATATTTAATAAGGAAACAAAAGTAAACATAACTACTCACAACTAACTCAATTTCACACCATTCTCCATTAATGTTATCAAATTCAAATCTTGTGCAATTTGAACATGTATAATACGTATTTTCTAAAATTTTAGTATTTTGAATAACAGAATCGTTATTATTTTCCTTTATTTTAAATTTATCTAAAATATTATTTCCATAACTTTCACTGTCTGAATAAACCTCAAGATCATAAATCTCATTTTGATCATTAATATCATTATCACTATGACTACTATTATTTTTTTCTTGAATAATTTGTTTATCATTATCGTCACGATCATCATGATCCTCATCATCATAATCATCATTGTCACTATCATCATTATAAATCGTCCTTTTAGACTGAAAAGTAGTTTTCATAGATATAATATCACTATCAACTCCATTCATAATATTATCAGATAAAGAATCATCCTGATCTTGTAGACCTTCAGAATTTTGAAAAGAATTTGTATTTCCAATATATGGTGTAGCATCATCTTTCCCAATAATATTCTCTTTGTTTATTCTTTTACTATTTTTTTTAAACACTTTTTTTAATATTTTATCTAACTCTTTCAAAAAATAAATTTTCATAACCTTTTTCAATTCAAAACTCGTTAAATTATATTCTTCCTTATATTCTGATTTCGAAAAAAATAGAATTTTAATCTCATATTTTTTAACTCTGGTCTTAACTAAAATATACTCTGTAACAATTATTTTGTCAACTAAGTCAGATAAAATAAGTTTACTAATATTTTTTGCAAACATTTCAGCCTCATAATCTGATATTTTATCTAAAATCCGAAAAGTCATTGTAGGCGTCTTAATGTTCAAACCAGCTGTTAAGACTATCTCTCTTAATCTTGGAACACCAAGAGTAACATTCATAGCACCAAAACCAGCAAAGTGAAATGTATTGAGAGTCATCTGAGTAGAAGGTTCACCAATAGACTGACCAGCAAGGACACCTACAGCCTCACCAGGATAGACTAGGGATTGTTGATACCTCATATACATAAGAAAACGAAACCTATCTTTAGAAATATTATTTTTTATTAATTCATTGTTTTTATTTTTCTGAAAAAAATTATGTGGATCTTTACTAATATACTATTTTTTTTAAAAAAATAAAATATAAAGACAAATACCTACATTTTCTATAGATTGTTGAAAGTTCTCAGAAATACTTCCTAAAAACCTACTTGGGCTATATTTAGAAAGAACAGGATCATATTTCAGTGGATCTTTAATAGATTTTCTCGCATATAAAACAGCTTTTTTATGATCGAGATATTTATAAATAGTTTTAATGCGATATTTCCGAGCCAATGATCTACAATTCATAACTGAAAAATCGAATTCCAATAAATGCTTTTGTTTTGTAACATCAAGAGAATCTTCTCCATAATGAAACTAAATAAAATGAAAAAAAATCGGAAAAAAACAAAACTAACTTACCTGAACTATACTCCCATCAGAATCACGAACAGTATCATCATAATGTACTCTAATTCCTTCAAGATGTTTAATTAAACATCTTTGAAGATAACCTGAGCGACTAGTTTTTACAGCAGTATCAATAAGTCCCTCTCTACCAGCCATGCAATGGAAATAATATTCTTGAGGCCCAATTCCAGTCAAAAAACGCCCATAAATATATCCACTAGCACGTGGACTCATATCATATGGTTTAAATGAAGGTAAACTTTTCCCACTAACCATTATAGGAACTCTACGTCCTTCTAATTCTTGTTGTCCTTCAAATATTAATATTTTTAACATTTAAAAAAAATTATACCTAAAAGACAAGAGATCTGTGAAACATTCACACTATTACCCTTAGCACTAGAAACAGTCATCATTTGCATATTATTCCATGGAAACTTAATATAAAGCCCTTTAGGAATACATTCTTTAATAATAGAAGAAGTCAAATTGCTCATTTTATTTTTCATTATAACATCTAAACCTTGAAGTTTTTCATCATCTCTATAAATTTGCTCTAACTTAGTTTTAAGAATAATATCATCTAATTTATCATAACCAGATAAACCGATATAACTTTTGAGATCTTCCATAGTACAAAATGATTTATCATTAATTAATTCTTTTCTACAATTATCGCCATCACTATTCAAACATAAATCATCTATACCACACGTAAAACCTCTCATTTGAATATATTTAGTAAATAATCTACTCAGTACACCGAGAAATTTTCCTGCAATAGATGATCCATATACCTCATAAATTGAATGTACTAAACCATAAGATGAAGCTCCAAATTGTGATTTATCAAGAACCCCGGAAAGTAAATACCCATCTTTAAATAAAATTATTTGTTCTTGAGTATGAATCCCCCAATATTCTCCACTAACTTTTGCTTTTGATATAAGATTTAATCCAGGATAATTTTTAGGCTTTAAATTCAACAAAACAGTTGAAATAATTTGTTTTCCAGTCCAAAGAACAGCAGGCTTAAGTATTGTAGGAAGTAACGTTAATATCTTACCACCATTTGAAGCATTATCTTCAGGTCTTAAAGGACCATATAATAATTGTTGATATTGTTCTTTTGTAAAAAAAGTATCTTTTTTAGTCATCCAAACACCTGTAACAACATGATCTTGTATTAATCCACGAAGTGGAGCACCAGATGTTGGAACCAAATACTGAGAATCTGTATCAGCGATTAATAGTGCTTCTGTTCGAGCATTTTCATTCTGAGGTAAATGCATATTCATTTCATCACCATCAAAGTCAGCATTATATGTATTACAATTAGCATAATGCATTCTTATAGTTTTTTCTCCTGAAAGAACACGTGCCTTATGTGCCATTATAGATGGTTTATGAAGAGTCGGCTGACGATTTAATAAAAGAATATCATTATCTCTAAGGTGTCTAAATACTTTTTTATTCGTTGAAGAGATCCTTAAAAAAGATGAATTTGTTCCTCGATATGTTTGTGAAATTAACAACGTATTTGCAATAGCAACTCTTTCTTCAAAAGTTTTCCTCAACAATGAAATCATATGTCCGTCCTCCAATTGAACCTGAATTGCCCCTGGCCACTTTGCCGGACCATTAATAACAGCGTGCCTTAATAAATCAACATTATAAGGAGTCACTGGCTCAGGATATGTTAATTTCATAGCAAAAACAGGTGGAACACCAATTTCATTAGTTTCAATATTTGGATCAGGAGAAATAACACTTCTTGCAGCATAATTTACACGCTTCCCCATCATATGCTTCCTAAATAAGCCTTCTTTTTTCTCCAAAGTCTGTTTTATTCCTGGTGGAGGAAGTCTTCCTTGAGGTAAGTTGGTAGGATTCCGATTACTATCGATAAAGCTATTTACATCATGCTGTAATTGAACAAATGCATTTATTAATATATCAAAATTATAATCTTTATTTTCGAAGTAATCTTTATTATTAATTAAACTTGAAGCAGAATCATTCAATTCTCTTATACGAAGACATGATTGAAGTATTTTTGAAAGTAATTCATTTTGGACATTTTCATGTATATCAGTAGCAACAACAGAAGCCGGCCTAAATTTAGTAGGAGGAACAGCTATAACATCTATAAAAAAAAAATCGGGAGTTATAGAAAAATTATCTGATTTATATGAACCTTTATATAACAATGCCATTATTTTTTGTTCATTAACAAATAAACGTCGCAAATGATTACGAATTTCTGTTGGCAATACATATCTAGGATGATTACTGGCCTCAAAAGTTTTATAAATTGCTGATTCACTTAAAAAATGATCTTGCTTAATACTCTTTTTATCTCTGAAATTATCTTGAGAATATTTTAAAGAATCATTACCGTTAGACAATTTTTGACCCATATTTTCTTTTGTTTCTAACAACACATTTATTCGAACCTTTCCAAGAATATTCATCTGCTCCTGATGCTTTTTTGAAAGCGGGAGCTCAAAAATTTTTACATAACCATCTTTACGAAAATTAGGCGATATTCTATCAATAATTAAAAAAGAAAACAAAAAAAAACACTAAGATCCTAACGATGAACAATTGTCACACTTCTTTCGAGAAACAATTTTTTCTAAAAATTCTTTTATTAAGTTTCTTTTTTCAGAATCAATTAATTTATTTTGCATTAATCCACCCAAAAAAATATTACTTTTTGTAAGACATTCTTGCACATATGATTCTCTCCTTTTAAAAATACTTAAATTATGTTTAAAATTACTATCATCAGCTTCAGTATCGTCCTTCGAATAAATTCTATCAATTTCTTGACTTTCATAAAGAAGACCAGCATCTAAAAGTCTTAATTTACAGTAATAAAGGTCCACTACAGAGGATGAAAGCTTAAAATGATAGCAATACAAACAAGTTGCTCTTAAAAGCCTATATAACTGAGATAAAAACAAAGGATGATATGTAGGTATTGGAAGAGAAATGTGTCCAAAATGACCTGGACAATAACGCTCATCCAAATGACAAGTTGAACAACTTTTATATGTAAAAAAACTATCAACATTTTAAAATAATTTACTCACAGTGTTGAACGATTTACAGGACCAAGAGCAAGATCATAAAGACCACCTTTTGAAGGATGACCTAAATAATCAAAAATCACAGGATTAACAATTTGTTTTACTGATATTTTTTCTATTTCTTGAGAAGTATAAAAACCGAAATTTACAGAAAAAACTTCTGCACTAACCGGTTGAGATATATTCATAATAAACAATAAAGAAGAATCAGCAATAAAACGTTTAACACTTATAACCCATTGCAGTATTGGTAAAATATTAAATTTATCTATTTAAATATATAATTTAATAATTTTATAACACTTCGAAAAACACTAAAATTTATACTTACATATTATAAAATACCAAAAAAATTAACCTTAAATCCTTAAAATTCATTATCTATCTATTTATTTATAGATAAATAGATAAATAAAGATTTTAATATTTCCATAACTAAAAAGATTTTTTTTCTATTAGAAAATCAAAGAATAAGTATAAAATTCAAATCTATTTTTCTTTCTAAACAATTAGTCAATAAGATTGTATAGAAACAAAAAATCTACGTTTCTTTGAAAGTCTATTTTATAAAAATAAACAAATTTGATGAAATAAAAAATAATTTTAATTAATAAAAAAAACTTAAATCATACAACATATTTTCAATTTACATTTCAAAATAAATTTATTTTTCTAAATTTCGAAAAATTATAAATTCGAAAACTTAAATTAACCAATGATTGATACAATTCATAAAAGACTTTTAGATGAAACAAGTGAAAAAACACAGACAAAAAAACTCAAATCTGATAATGACGTAACGAAAATAGCCCAACACATATATTATTATATTTATTATGTTTAGCTTAAACCTATTTCTAATGGTCTTACACGAGAAGAAATTATACAGAAAGGAAGAGCAAGTATTTTAGAAAAAATTAATAAAATGAAAAAAGCTCAATGTAAGAAAATACATTCTGATAATCAATCATCTGAAATTACAGCACATACCATAAAATCAGACATCCAAAGAAGAATTAGAGAACACGATTTAATCAATAAATCTACAATGAAACTACGTATGCAGGTAAATAATAATAAATTTTTATATATTGCTAACAATATATTTAAAGATTAACGAAATGGACGATGACAATGAATTTCAAGGAAAGGGTGGTCTTTCTGTTGGAGTTCATCCATCTTTATTAACAGATACATCTAAAACTGGAAGTGATAAAAGGAATAAAATTCGCCCTAAATTTGCTACAACAATGGTTAAAAAATTCAAAAATATTAATAAAATTTAATACTATTAGGCAAATCTCCGATCAGCACCACCTCAACCACGACCTAAAAAACAAATGGAAATTTTGCGAAATCCACCAGACGATTTTATGAATAAATATATGAATATTTATTATGATCCTAGAATGAAAACAAAAACTAATTACAATATCCATCGTTTTAGAAATCAAAAAGCTCTTGTTTTTAATGAACCTGGAAAATACATAGAACAAGCAAATGCCCTTAAAGCTCAAGCTAGATTAGAAGAATTGAAAAAAAGAATTGCAGATAATGCAAAAAAAGTTGGACTAGAAGAAGAACTAGATATTGATAAAGCTCTTTATGTAACTGACATCAATTTAAATATTACATATTAAATATTATATTAGAAAGAACCTCCGCCAGATATTGAATGGTGGGATGAAGGACTTGTAACAAACAAATCATACAACGATCTTGATATTGGTCTTGCAAAAATCGATACCCCAGATTCAATTATTTCTTTCTATATTCAACATCCTATACCAATACCTCCTCCATTCGAAAAAAATCAGCCACCTCCAAAAGCACTCATGTTAACAGAAAGAGAACGGCAAAAACTAAGACGGCAAAGAAGAGCGGAAGATCTAAGAATAAAACAAGATAAACAAAGGTTAGGATTAGAAGAACCAGAACCACCTAAAGGTATATAATCTATTCTTAAGTATCTTAAAATAACTTATCTAGTGAAACTATCAAATCTTATGAAGGTATTAACTAGCGAAGCTATTAAAGATCCAACAAGAATTGAAGCAATGGTACGACGTCAAGTTGCAGAAAGAAAAGAAAAACATGAAAAAGAAAATAGCATCAGAAAGCTAACGCCTAATCAAAAGCGCCAAAAACTAGAAATGAAAAAAGCAGAGAATGCATCACGTGGAATATACTGTAATGTTTTTAGGTAATTTAATTCTTAGGAAACTATACATTCTTAATATATAAAGAATTGAATATTTGTCTCATGGGCAACATAGATTTAAAATCAACAAAAATGCGGAACAACATAGCCTTACAGGAGTAACAATATTACATCCAAAATTTAATTTAGTTATAGTTGAAGGTGGCTCGAAAGGTATTAAACGTTTTAAAGATTTAATGCTTCGTCGTATTGATTGGACTAATGAACCAAATTTACCCACTATAGTATATAATAATCAACTAATTAAACAAGATGAACAAACACCAGTAAATTATTCTAAAAATAAATGTGAACTAGTATGGGAAGGAGAATTACGTAATAGAAACTTCCGAACTTGGAAATTTAGAAACTGTTCTGATGACAAAACAGTAAAAGATATCTTAGAAAAAGGAAAAGCCTACGAATTTTGGAATATGGCTAAATCTATTAAAGAACAAGATGATTTTGCATCATAATTGAGCTCTTATATACGTTTTTTTTATAACATCATTTTACAGAATTTATTATTTTATGTAATCTATTATTATTTCTAAATACATCTTTTCCTTATATCTATATTTTTATTCTTCATTATTTTCATTTTCATCATCAGTTTCTGATACAATATCACCTAACTCTCTTAAACGACATTTATCTCTTTTTCTTTTCTTTTCAAGCTCTTCTATTACTAATAACCATGATTCATCAGCTTCTTTAAAATTTTTTTCAAGCTCATTTTTTTGATCCTTTAATTCCAATATTTCATTCATTAATTTACGCTCCTATAAAATATTATCAAACCAACTTCATAAAAAAAACCAACTAACTTTAATCTGTAGTTGCGATAAGTCATTCTTACAAGACTGTAGAGACATTTTTTCTTGAAATAATTGAGATTGCAATGAATCTCTAAAAGATCTTAAATCCAAAACCTCAGAAAATATTTCACGATAATTCCCAAGATCTTTTTTAAGTTCGTTAAAAACAATATTAAAATCTTCATTGTCTTTTTTTCTCAATCCAACAATATTAGCCAACTCTTTCTCTGTGTTTTTTAAAGATAGAAAAAGCTCCTGATTCTCAAGTGATAGTTTCTCAAGTTCATTTTGAGACTTTTTTAAGCTAAAATCAAGATTATCATTTTTCCGAATAAATTCATTTTCCTGAATCTTATCAATCAAATTAATATTAATAGTTTTTCATACCATATTATCAGAATTTTTTTTTTCTATTTCTAAATCAGCCATAATATTCCTAATTTTTAAATTTTGTTCTTGAATATAATTTTCTTTTTCTTCCTGCAATACTAATAACTCAACCCTTTTCTTTTCAAGCTCTTCAGCTAAAAAAACATTATTCTCAAATAATTCCTGATTTTTAATGTTAATTTTTTTAATCTGAAGTGATAAATGTGGACCCTTATCTATAGCTTTTCGAATTATTCCTAAAAAATTAGAGGCGTAACACTTAAAAAGTCATAAAAACCATAATTGTCTTTAAAAAAACTAATAAATGTATCTTCAATATATATATCATCTGTATTCTCTTTATAATCCAGTGATATATAATCTTTTAAGAGAAGATGCTCTTTAAATTGAATAATTCGATTAACAAAAGAATCACGACCAATACGATCAATAAGAAGTTTTAATGACCCTCTACAAACAATTAGCATTCAAAAAATAACAAAATATATATTACCTAGATATAGGTGACAATTCATCTGTAAAATGGTATGCAATCGCCAAAAGAGTAGCAGCAAGACCTTGCAATATTATCCCTATTTTTGAATTCTGCAAAACTGAGATCAAATATTGAACAGTACTTCCTTCATTAAGGAATTCAGAAATAGATTTATCGTCCTCAAAAAGCCAAAATACCAATAACATTAAATATGCGACACTTGCTCTATATTCAGACGGGTAACCTAAAGAACTAACTAAATTCGCTGATATTATTTGAATACATGAAACAGGCTCCTCTCCTAAAGCAGGATCACCTACAACAATTTCCCTAATTAACTTTTTTGCTTCAAGATTTTCTTCAATAATATGCATCAAGATAATACATGAAAACCAAATTTCAAATGAACTAAATTTTTGTGTTGCATTAAACATCAAAATAACACTTAAAGGATTATAAAAACGAGCTATATATCATTAATTCTTAATATATATATATATATAAAGAACAAACATTCTGAATAATCATTCTTTTTAAACATGTCAATAACATAAATTAAAATATCAATTCGTTTTGATGGATCAGATGAAATATAAGACTGAAAACAATAACAACTAGCTAACTTTAAAGAAAATTTAGACTCTAAAGGTGAAAGTGCAATAAAAAATAAATGTTGTACAACATTATATTCAGAATCTACTGAAAACTGTATGTTATTCAAAGATAAAAAACTTTTTGAAAAAAAATTCTGACTATCTATATTACCTTTAATAAGGTAACTACATGTCTTCACTGCCTTAATATTATTTAACAAACTTCAAAAATAAAAAGACAATTTACCTCTGCTTGAAGCATAGATGGTATATCAGATGAAAAAGAAAGCTCTATTATCTTAATAAAAACACCTTCTTTAAGAATAGCAATCTAAAAAATCTAAGAATAAGAAAACAATGATTTATTTTAATACCTGATTAAGAGTATTTCCCAAAGTTTCTTTAGGAACAAATAATCTTATGAATTCTAAAATACTTGCAACATTAACAAGTTTTTGTTTATCCCACAACACATTTGTTTCTTCTTTACTCAAAACATCGTCTAAAAAACTTTTTATTTTACTAAAAAGCCCCATTTCCCGAAACCAATTTTGATTACTAGAATTATAACGAACAAGATTTTGTAGTAAAATTAAACAATCAGAAATAATCATATTCCCATACAAAAAACCTCCCTCATATTGCATAATAGCTAAAATACGGTCAAATACATTTTCAAAAACTGCCCTTTTTTGTAATTCGATATTATCATTAGAAATAGCAATCAAAAGTAAAATAGACTCTAAAACAAAAAATAATGTGAATATAAATATGTATAGAAACAATTAATACCATTTCTAATAATATCTCTTTTATCATCAAGAAGAGAAATTACTCGAGATATTCCAATAGGACTTAAAAATATACACTCTTGAACTTGAATCAAACGATATTTAATAATAAATGATACAATTTTGACAGAATAAAGACGAATATAAAAATCGCTTTCTTTTAATATATCTAAAAGGATTTCAAAATTCTCATTTTTCTAAATATTATTAAATATATCTTTTAAAAATTTATACATACAAGAACAAATTCATCAGCAAGCCAAAGAGACGTATCATCATTACCGATGGAATTACGATTATTAAACAAAATAACAATTGTTTCAAGAGTAATTCTCAGTATATCACAATCATGCCTATCCTGTAACAAACTTTGAATTAATCCTTTCAAACTCCCCACAATGACAGCCTAAAACTTTATATTAAACAATTACGAACTCATTAAATACAATAAAACTTCAGGATACTCCCTACTAAATCCTTTTAATCCAAGAACAGCTGCCCTTCTATCTTCGAGTAATGTTGCATGTTCTAACCTATCACATAATTTCATAATCGTTTCTTCAGCAATTTGTTGCTTTGGTTGAGGGAAAAAATTGTATCCTTTAAATAAAAAGTCCATCAGATAAATACAGTCCTATAATATAGAGAATAATTCATAATTATTAATATTTAATGATTCAAATTCAATCGAAGTTTTCGAATATCGTTGAAGAAATTTTTAACATAATAAAATTATTAAAAAAGGTAATTTTATACTTAGAACTTAGATATAGTCATATAAGCATAATATATGATGTCTTAGAGACATTTGGCTTAATACCATGTTTATAAACATGCGCCATGTTGAAAAAAATAGCTACCTTTTATAAAAATTCTGATTTTTATATTATATTCTATATCAAAAATGTGTTTTTTATATACTTTTATTCTAATAAAGAACAGATTTAAATTCAAAATTTCAATGAGCTCTAAATTCATCTAAGAATTCGATAAAATTATATTATTTACGAAGTCCATCTGTATTTCTATTTTTTATTCATACTTTAAAACAACTCTGAAATATTCAAATAGTAATTATATAATTTCTCTTCCATATATGTATATATACATAAACTAATAATTCTTCAGTTTTAAAGAAAATCCATTTTTTTTAAATTTTAAAAACAAATTCAAAATCATTTATAATGGGTAAATTAACATAATCTTAAAAAGAAAATTATAAATTGACTATTGAACAGGAGTTCCTGCACTTTTCCGTCATCTATCAAAAAAATGTAATTAGGCCTTCAATTTTATTATTTTCATCTCATAAAACCTAGATCCAAAAATAATAACGCAAGTTATAGAAGAAAAACCTATAGATGTTGATGGAACTTTAATTTATCCATCACTATCTCATCCGAATCCAAATGGCACAGAGTTTGATAATCTTTATCTTGATATGAATGGTATAGTTCATCCTTGCACCCATCCGGAAGATAAACCAGCACCCACAAATGAGGATGAAATGATGCTTGAAATATTTAAGTATACAGAAAGAATCATCAATATGGTTAGGCCTAGGAAACTTTTAATGATAGCACTTGATGGTGTAGCACCAAGAGCTAAAATGAATCAACAAAGGTCAAGAAGATTTCGAGCTGCCCAAGATGCAGAAAAGAAAGCATCTGACTTAGAAGAATTTTTAAAACTTTTAAAAGCCTCAGGAAAATCTATAGATGAAACTTTAGAAAAGAAGAAAGCATGGGATAGCAATGTCATAACACCAGGGACACCCTTTATGGATGCTTTAGCAAAATCTTTAAGATATTGGATTATTTATAAAATCAATTCGGATGTTGCATGGAAAAATGTATGTTTCAATTATTTAATAATTTAAATTAACTCTATAGTTGAAAGTAATTGTTTCAGATGCTAGCGTTCCTGGAGAAGGAGAACACAAGATTATGGAATTTATAAGAAGTCAAAGATGTAGTCCAGGATACGATCCTAATACTCAACATGTTATATATGGGTTAGATGCTGATCTTATTATGCTTGGACTTGCTACTCATGAGCCTCATTTTCGAGTTTTGAGAGAAGACGTTTTTTTTCAGGATGCTAATTCAAAAGGTTGTCATATTTGTGGTCAAATCGGTCATTTTGCAAGAGAATGCACTGGTGTTAAAAAAAAAGATGAAATAGTTGAAGAAAAACCAAACCATTCTTTCCTAAAACCTTTTATTTGGCTTCGTATTGATATTTTGAGAGAATATTTAGAAGCGGAACTTAATATTCCAAATACTTCTTTTCAATTTGACCTTGAACGTGCTATAGATGATTGGGTCTGCCTATGTTTTTTTGTAGGAAATGATTTTTTGCCACATTTACCAAGTTTAGATATACACGAAGGGGCAATTGAAACCTTAGGAAATATATGGAAGGAAAAACTTCATGAAATGGGAGGCTATTTAACTATGGATGGAAAAATAGACTTAAAACGAGCCGAAATCATTCTTCAAGCATTAGGTCAGCAAGAAGATCACATATTTCGTAAAAGACACGAAAGTAAACATATTTTTAATTCTTTTCATTAATTAAATTGAAAAAGCAGAAGAGCGGTTAAATGAATCGAATAAACGAAGAAAAATAGACAAAAACATTTCTTCTCAACATTATAAAAAAACGTCACAAGAAAAAACTCTTTTATATAATGCTAATTCTGGAAATACAGAATTATCTAGCTCCAAATATATACCTTATTTACCAAACGATCTAATAATGCCTTCAAACAAAGAAGATGTGAAAATGATTACAATAACAAATAGAAATGCAGTCCTTAATAGAAAAAATTTAAAATTAGCCAATAATACAAATAAAAATGCAATACAACTATTAAAAGAAATAAATAACGATAATTCAGAAGAAACTCAAGAAATAAGTTCTATTGTAAAAAAATCATACAATTACCAAAATTGTGCTGTTAGTACAAAATCATCTATTCTTGGAAAACGTAAAGCAGATACATTAGATGATATTTCAAAACAAAACTCAGCGCATGATAATAATCCAGATAATGTACAAGATACTGTTCGGTATTTCCTTTATTTTACTTATTTATAAGATTAATTTATTAGCCTTTGGGAACCAGGCTTTCAAAAAAGATATTATGAACAAAAATTTCATATTTCAGAATTAGATATAGAGTCTCGTAGAAGGTAATTTTCTTTTGGGCTTGTGAAATGATATATTTATATCTAGAATTGTCGAATATTATATAGAAGGAACTTGCTGGGTATTACTATATTATTATCAAGTAAAGGTATTATTAATTTAAATCAAAGTATTAATAAATACTAAGGGCTGTCCATCGTGGAAATGGTATTATCCGTATCATTATGCACCTTTTGCATCTGATTTCAAAAATATATCATCTTTAAATATTCAGTTTGAACTCGGAAAGCCTTTTCTACCTTATGAACAACTAATGGGTGTTCTTCCTTCTGCTAGGTATCTTTTAAGAATAATATTTCAAAAAATCTAATATTAAAAAGCAAAGATAGCCTTCCAAGACCATTACAATCTCTTATGATAGAAGAACATTCTGAAATTATTGATTTTTACCCAAAAGAATTCCCTATTGACATGAATGGAAAAAAGTTTTCATGGCAAGGTTTATTGCTTTATAAAATCATTTCATATGCTAATTTAGGAAAGGAGTTGTTTTACTTCCTTTTATTGACGAAAAAAGACTCCTTAAAGCTATTGAGAAAGTATATCCACAACTATCAGAAGAGGAAAAATCCCGAAATACTATAGGAAATGATACTCTTTTTATATCAGAAGGGAATGCCTTATACGATAACTTAATTCTATCTTTATGTAGTAAGAAAAAGGACTCTGAAAAGGTTTTTTCAATTCCTATAATTATTTTTTTCTCATAATATTCTTTAGTCTATTAAACTAAATACAAAATTAAGTAATGGCCTCTCAGGTATTGTTTTACAAGATGAAAATTGGATCCCAAATAGCACAATATTTAGTCCTTTAACAAAAGTATCTTTTCCAGATGTTGAAAATGATAGATCATTAAGGTAAAATTATAAAATTAAAAATAAAATTAATATAGTTAATTTAGTCTTATTTACAAAATATCTAAATCTTCAAATATTCATAAGTCAATGCTTTTACGTGGCGTAAAACTTAATAAAAGACATTTAGACATTAATGATATACGACTAGTTCATTTAGGATTATCAAATCCGCAAAAAAATAATTCTTCACAGCATTTTTCTGGATATATAAATTTAAACAATATTTTTTCAAAACAGTGTAAAACACCAGAAACTAATGTCAACCCAAATCCTAGTACTATATCTTTTCATAATCAAAATGAAAGGAAAGAACATTACTACAATTTTAATATCTATAATCATCAAAAATATCATGACACTTCTCAAAAAAAAAGTCCATTACATTATCCAAATTATCATAATGAAATAAACCAGAATAAATCACCATGGCTTAGAAACTATTCAGCAAAATCTGATAGCTATAAAAACTACTTAGAGTTTCCATCAAATTATTCAAATACATATCCTTATAATCATCATTACCAATAACTCAATAAAATAATCAAAAATAGCCATTTTTATATAAATACGAAGAAATCAAAAACAAACAATACAACATAGTGATAAAATCTTTTAATTCAGATAAATTTAATTGAAAAACAAAATACTAAACACTAGATCATAGGATATAGGTAGATATTTAAAAATTTATAATATACAAAAACTTAATAATCATTAATCATAGTAGTAATTAACTGTTCAACAAGGTTTAAACGTTTTTTTGTATCATTTTCAGTTAAGCTAGAAAAATAACAACAATTCTTCAATCCAGAGAAATTAAGATCTTCTAATAATAATATGCGTGACTGTATAGAAGCCCCTGTAACATTATAATAAGAATTTGACACAATAATAAGATAGAGCCTTTGAACTATACTTAAAACAGAAGGATTTTGAGTAGTATTCATAATAATACTTGATCTATATTTTAACTCATCACAACTAAATTAAATTAATAAAATAAAAACCAATACAATATCCTTACATTAACCGAAAGGTTTCAGGTATTGCAACAGATGCTTCAATTAAAATACTATATAGTACAACCTGTTCATGCTCATTATCAACTGAATTAAGCATTTCCATAATTATAGAAAGAAATAATAACGCAATCATATTATCAGAAATTTCAAATTTAGTATATAAAATTGATGAAATATCTGATATTTCATGAAACTTTGACTCAACGTCATTTATACCAATAAAAGACAATAATTTTCTCATTTCTACTATATTTTGTGAAACAAGAAGTAATGGAATAATAAATGCTAAAACATCAGTACTTAAAATATCCATTTTCATATAATTAGTAGTCTTTAAAAAATCTACTGTAACTTCCAAAAAAGACATCAATAAGTCCATTGTAATTGATCTAGTTGAAGATTTTCGCAAACCCTTTAACAAGATAATAACAATACTAAAAGGAAAATTAATACCAAAGCAAATACCAAAATTTTCATTTAATTGTTTTGTAATATCTGCATAAGAAGTCATAGATGACAATAAAACAAAAGAAATAGAGTTCTTGCTAAAATATTTATTTTTGTTCATAGCCCTTATAGATGATTGCATTAGTAAAGCTGCAGGACCGAAAAGATTTATATCTTCAATTTGAATTATAGAAACAGAAAGCCAAAATATAATTTGATAATATTTTGAATAAATGGACATATTTTGCATCATCCTTGAAAGACACATCAATACACTTACAGACAATAAAATATTGTTTTCCGTATATTCTACTAAAGATTTATTTAAAACAAAAAACACCTGACGCATAATATCTAAAATATTTAGAAAAGAAATATATTTTTTTAAATACCATCTGAAATTTTATCATTCGCTAAACAACCTAAAGAAATCATAGCTCTGGTCTGTATAGCAATATTTTCTCCGAATGCTATACTAGAAACAAGACTCATCCAACGACTTCTCCAAAAATTAGCAATATCTAAACCAATTAAATAAAAAACATAATTTCAGAAATATAACCTTCTAATGGAGCAATATAATTAAAACTATCCAATAATAACAAAATTAAAGCCTCAAAAGCTCTAAGATCCGATATATCAGATAAACCATAAAATACATTATTCTGATTATCTGATTTATTAGTTCTAAAATCAAGACCAAAAAGAAATTGAAATTTAGATGTTTGAAACTCATCAAATAACATCTTTAGCTTAAAAAGGTTCTGTTTATCAATAGGCAAAAATATACAAAAAGAGTGAATACTGCTTATAAAAAAATTGTATATAATTGAAGTTTCAAAATTCGAACCATTTTTTAAGGTCAAAGATACCACATAAAAAATATCAGGCAAATGAAATAGTGCTTGATGATTTGTAAATGAAAAAATTAAAAACATATGAATTAAAATAGATATTTCTAACCAAACTTCACATTTAACTAAAGAATAAGCAAATTCGAGAGAAGATCTAACTAATGCCTATAAAATAAGCATTTATTAAAAATAAATACTGTAAAAATACCTTCCTTATTCTAATAAGTATTTTACTTTTTAAACATACCGACTGCATAGCCATACATATATGTAATATAAGCTCATATTGTGGAGTCCCATACCCAAATGTAATACCATAAAAAACTAATTCATCAATAACAATATCAAAAATTTTATGTATTTTCCCTAAAACTGACCATATTGAAATATCAATAAGTCTTAAAAACTAAAATATTCTCAAAAAACGATAAAATAAAATAATTAAAAATACTTCTTGATTTCTTAAAGAAAAATCTATAAATAGTCGAATTATTTGACGAACTTTTTCCAAGAAATTAACACTTTTATATCCATCAAGCAAAACTTTTTCAAAATTATTAAGCCAAGATGAAATATACAACAAAGAATAATGCTTTTCAATTGAAGAATAAAGTGAAAAAGTAGAGCAAAATTCATCCAAAAACTGCAATGTCAATTGAGGTTCTAAAAAAGATAACTTTTCACTAAGAAAAATAATATGATAATCATTATTTCTTGGTACAAAAATATCTTAAATATAAAAATATATCTTAAAACAACCAAGAAACTTACCCCCTAAATTTAAATAATTCAATCCTAAATCGAAATGAAATAATTGTCCTAAAAGACAAAAAAAAACATAACTAGAAGAACGAAGTTCATCATCTTTGTTCACTGAATTCAAAAGTACTATATTAAGCAATCGACCCTGAATATCCTTCGGATAAAGATTACTATCTAAGCAATTCTTATATAAAGATAAATAGTTCGCTTTCGATTTTTTAACTGCCTAAAAAATCAAACTATGACAAAAAAGTATTCAAATAACCTTTACAATTGAATATCTTTTTGCTCCACCAAACAAAATAGAAGCATTTTCATGATTTAATCTGAAAAAAAAAATATTTTTTTCAGTTGAATCAACAAAAATATTTATATCAATTTCAGAAATATGATATATATCACTAATATAGGACGATATACTATGAAAGATATCATATTTTTCATCCTTATTTTTATCAGAATAATAACAAAATTTTAAAACTAAAACATACAGTAAATATTTGAATATATTTATACCCTATTTTAATCGATACATCAATCCAAGATTCATAATATACATGACGAATAATTGAATGAAAAGTAGAAAAAGTATCATTAAAAAAAGAAACTACATATTAAATCGACTATATTTTTAAAAAGAACATCTTACCAGTTTCTTTAGAAAGACTAAAGTCCTCTAAATTAGCATAAATCTCTAACTCTTCTTTACTAAATAAAAATAATATTTTTGAAAATTTAAACAAACTAATAATCCTTTCGAACGAATTTTGCAACTTTCTTCGAAGATAAGTACTAAGATTCAAAAAATAAATTACTGAACAATTACTAAAAGCTTGATGAGGCAATAATAATATAATAATCTGAAATAACTGAAAAGCATTTTCTCCAGACATATTATATTCAGTGCTATCAACCATAACTTCGAAAGAATTATCCCAAACATTTTGAACAGTCTATAAAAAAAATATTAAATATAAAATATTATTTCAAGTTCATTTACCTTTAAAAAATAGTATACAATGTACTCAAAATTATCATAAGTAGCATTAAACTTTCTCAAAGACAAATAAAGGATAGGTCGTTTATCCTAAAATTATAAGAGAAATAAAAACAGAAAAATAATAACTACTCTTGAAACACCTCCTTGACGTATTAATTCAAAACCACTAATTGACTTTATATTTCTAATAGAATTTTTTTCCATAAACTTTTCAAAAACCATATTAGACATATCAAACAAAATATAATTCGATGATATTTTAAAACAAAAACGTTGAAGAGGCAATCCCAGAAAATCCAAAATTTTCCCAAATTCATCAAACAAACCTTTTGTTTCCTGAATAGAATCATGACAATAATGATCAAATATATTGCGTTTATCAATCATTAAACCCGTACGAATCAAATCGTTATATTCAACCAAGAAAGAATGTATATATGAATAATCATATTGAAAAGACATTACTAACAAAGACCCTAATTCATCACTTTCTGGTACCAACTATAAAGAATTAGTAATATTTTATTAAATTATTATTCTACAGATATATTTTTAAGGAACTCAGTCACACGATATAAATTTTCCTCTAAAAAATCATTCAAAACAATCATATAAGACTCTTTTTCACCAAAAACAACATTATTAGCAAGATTTTGAATAACTTTTGCAATCAACAACAATCCACGACGATTATCTTTCAATGCAGATTCAAAATATATATTTTCAGATTCAGGAGAAAGAATTATAGGACATAAAAAACGAAGAAATATAAATCCACCAACAGATATATAACAAAAATCAGGAAATTTCCTAGAAACGTATGTAACAATACAATGACATATTCTCTTAATTGCTCTTAAAAACAATTTAGATAATCAGATTAATCAATGAGAAGAAATACCTTGGAATTTCAACAACTGAAGAACATATAGCATCCAAGAATGAACCTACTATGGATTTCAAAGAAGAAATATTATCATTTAATTTCTCTTTCGATTCAATTTTAGAAGGATCAAGCTCTAAACAAAAAATATCTGGATTTTGCAAAACTTTTTGCAATAAAGGTTTAAATACTTCATTAATATACCTAGAACCCTCTATTCGAGCAGATACAGAAAGCATTTTACTAACTATACTATTTCTTCGAAAAAGTTCAGATTCAGATCCTACAATAATAAGAAACAATTATACTGATACAAACATACTTGTTTCCATAACTTCTTTTTCTATTAACATTTCAAGTAGATACAACCCTTTCCCTTTCGAGGAAAATATTCGATATAAACTAGATGCTAAGTGATTGATTTGAACAGAAGGACATATATCACAAAGAACCATAGTAAATCTTGGATTTTTCAATAAAAACTATTGATATTAATAATAATTTATAAGTATCAAAAACAATTAAAATAATACTTCAGTCATTCTCCAATATTTGTCTTTATCAGTATCTTCCAAAAGATTTCCTAATTTTATATCTTGTTTAAAAGACATAGTTAATATTCGAATAAACGCACTTCTTATAATTATATTATCACAATAACACATATGTATGTAATATTTTAAAACATATTTCATATTTGAAAACAATAAATTAGATAAACCTAAAATAATAAAATCCCATAATAATGTTAATTCATTTAAAAATTCCTTTGACTAAAAAATATTAATATTAAATATATACTAAACTTCAGTTACTTTAGATAATAATAACTCAATTCCAGAATTTTCCTTACAAAAAGAAAAATCAAAATCTTTCATCTAAAAATCTTACAAAGATATCAAATAAATCATAAAAACATACCTTAACGAATTTACATTTCAGTAGTAAATTTTTAAAAAAATTAAAATAAGTATGAAATAATACATCATGCGACTCAATATCATTAACATCTAATAAATTTAAAGAATAAAAAGGAAGCTTATATAAAAGCTGAGATATAATTTTTATACAATTTAAATCCAATTTTTTTTGTAATTTATCAGATTCATAAAATTCATTTAATAAAAACACATCATCATTTACTTTCTATAATTATATTTATCAATAAACAAATAAATAATATATTACTAACCAAAGAATCGGAAATCCAATTATATATAATTGTCAAGATACTATTTCTTCTTTTAAACTCTTTTTGAAAGCTCAAATCCCTTAGTATTATGGTTTCACATAAATAACAAAATTTAACACGAATTTCCAAACATGCTAAATTCTTTTCCAAAAAATCAAGATAACGAGCAATATATAAAATAAGACAAAAAAAATCAAAAAAAAAATATATATCAAGAGATTTGTCCAATTTGTCCAAAATATCTTTGAGTAATATTATTACTTGTTCTATAAAAATAATATTCTTTTCATTTTTAATAATTCCGCCTTTGAGATCAAAAAAACTTTTAATTGTGCTTTCAAAAGAATGAAATAAAATTATATATAGTTTTTGATTTAAATCAGACCCCAATATTACACGAACACTCTCACGAACTATAGCTGAGCTAGATGATAGTAAACTTACTAATTCCTCAAAAAATTGCATAATAACTTTTTCAAGTTCATTTAAACCCGAAATACCTTTTGTTATAGAAAAAAGACCATTATTAGGCAGAAAATATTTACTAGTTGTTGCATAATCTAAACAACATGCACTTAAAGCAACAAGAAATCCCGTATAGTTTTGCCATTCTATAATATTTTCCTTACAATAATAAGACAATATAATAACAGAGAAACAACTTTACCTCTATATTCTCTCTAAACCTCTTTATTTCTGTTTTCGACTTCTTTTTTGAGATATTAAACTTTTTATGATATAAAAAATCAACTCGATCACCAGGTATATCAATAATTATATTTAGTAGCATAGCCCATCTTTTCAACATTTCATCCCATGTCATAATAACTCCTGATGTAGCTTTAATCTTAGACTTTAAAAGCATTCTAAGACTTTTCTGAAAAACATCACGACCTTAAATAAAATTATAATAAATCATAAAAAATATTTTGTATACTCATAGGAAAAATCTCAAGAATAAACTCACTATAAAGAGAAAAGTTACTGTTAAAAGATATTTCCAAATGATCTGAAAAATCTAAGCTTAACGACTGATAATGAGAAAAAAAAAATCCAAAAGCTTTTACAGACATTAAATATATTTCTGTACTTGATGAACACAAAAGTACCAAAAACGCCATTTCGGCAACAACATTAAGCGAAATACATTCCACAATATCCAATTTAGAAACAGATTTAAACATCTTCATTATAAATCAAGTTAAAAATAAACGAGTAAATATATATAATACCTGATATACATCCAAAAGTCTAATTAAATAGTGGATTAAATTAGTAAAAGCTTCAATAAAAAACTTAATAGAATTACTAGAACTTTCTACATCCAATAATTTCCCTATAATAGACAGCATCAAATGCGATCTAAAGCCGTTATTGTTTATTTACTTATTATCATATAATACATACGTAAATATCCAAAATTTTTTGGGCCCTTCAGAAGAGTCAGAAAGATTTTTCCAAAGAAATAAATCAGGATCAGAGTATAGATAAAGAATAAATTTTACAACCGAATTAATAATCAAAGGAGATATATTATCCATAGACTGAGAAAAAATAAAAGAAAATGTACTTAAAATGTCTTCATTTTCAGATTGAGCATCCATAATCTGAAAAAAAATCAATTTTAATCACAATATTAAAATGATTCTACTTGTAATATTTCTGGATCTGATTTCCAAATATTTAAAATAAAAATAAACATATCTATTAATTCATTTCCTTCTATATTCCTTTTTGATTTCTGCAAAACATTATAGATATAATCAGAATTTTTAAATATAATTAACAATTCCTAAAAAATAAGCTTTAATTAACTATATTTAATACCAAAAACCTTTAAAATAAATTCAAGGTGAATAATTAGCTTAGGATATAATTTTACAAAAGGAATCCAAGGAAAGCATTTATACTAATATAAATTAGATCATATATAAAAACAAAGTAATACTTTAAAAACTATATCATAACACCCTTTAACAAATATTAACTGATTAAATAATATAGCTTTTGAATCAAAAAACTGCTTAAGCATTTTCTCTACAAAATGTTTTATATCCAAAACAAAAAGAGACACAAATGCATCAACAAAATTTTGTTTACTAATAACAGATTCTTCATTGCGAAACAAAATATTTTCAAAAATTCTATTCTGCAATATTTAATTAATCCAAAGATAAAATATTAAATATATTACATATACTTCCTGCTCAATTTTAGGGGTAAATTTTCTTAAAGAAATTAAAGGCGGAGCAAAAGATATAGCCTTCAGAAAATCAATATAACAATTAATAGCCACAGGAAAAGTTTTTGGGGAATCCAAAGCCCTTTTTAAATCATCTAAAAAAAATAACTAGAAATATTATTAAAAAAAGATTATAAAAATTATAAACCTTTTTTTGAAAAACAGGTAATTTTTTAAGTATTTCAAATTCTTCATTGAATATATCCGGACAAATAATTAAAAGTATCATATTCAAAGGCCAAAATATCTCTTTTCTTTTCTGACTAATAGAACATCCATATATAATATCAAAAATCTGTAATGTTGCATTAGACATTCCTCTTTGTTTTTTATGTAAAGAAGTGAATTCTGCTGGAAAATTGTGAATCCAATTCCAAATACCAATTCTTAAAGAATTTGCAACCATAATTTGATAATTTTTTCGCATCCGAGGAAACGTAAGAACTAAATCTACAATATTTAGCTTTAAAAATTACTTTAAATATATAACCATGCAATATAGATGTCATCCTCGTATAATCAAGACAAAAACATTCAAGAACAAAAAAATTATACTGAAAAGAATCCTCTTCAATATTCAACAATTTCTTTCGTGAAATATCCTGAAAAAATTGAAATGCAACATTCCAGTTAGCAACACTAATATAAAAAACAATACGACTTGCGTGTTGAGAAATTTCTTTAATAATATCATCAATAATTACACGTTTTTTTTCAACAAAACCAATTGCGTTAACCATTAAAGAAGAAACCAAAGAATAAGAAGTAATGCGAAAATATTCATAGGAAACAATAGTCATAAAAACGTATTTTGCAAGCGACTCATCCAAAAAATCAAAACTATCTAACGACGGAAGCGGACAAATCTTTGGAAATTCACTAAATTTTGGAGAATCTAAAGACTTCTTGACATCTACAGATAACATCCAACGCCTAGAAATAGAAATAGATATAATTCTCAACAAAACAAGCTGACTATATAAAAGTTCTATCGATTGTGCATGTAATGGAAGTGTTTCAGTAGATAATTTTTTTAGTTTTCTCAAAAGCCCTATAAGAATAGAAAACATCTTATTAAAATGCAATGAAAACAGTTGTATAATAGTTTCAATAGTCTGTTGGATATTTACATTTTTTTCAAACAACTTCCACTCTGATCCATTAACAACAGGAAGCTATCATAGTCAATCTTTTTATTAAAATATTTCAGAAAAAACATCATCCCATAACTTCTGAACAAGTATTTCATCTATATCTTTCATCTTAGTCATACTCGATTATCGGTTTCTACAACTTTACAAGCTGTATTAACCCGTTAACGTTAAAAGTTGCATCTAAAGATCGAATCATCAATAACAAATTTAATAAATGATAAATTTTACAAAAATCAACAACTTAAACTAGTTAATTATATCATATAACAATAGAAAATAAAAAAAAATAACTTTTCTGTATTTTTATTATATCCAAAAGATATCGAACAAAGTATATAAAATTATAAATTGAATATATTAATAAGACATTTAATTAACCAAACATAAAATTTTATCTTATTAAATATCTAATATACTTAAAAAATACATCTATTCAACATTCTTAACACTCTCTCCAAAATATTTATTTAGACAGAATTATCAAATAATTATAAGTTACATATTTTTCATAAAAAATAAATACAATTCTGTCTTGTAAAAGAAAATCCTTTTATGTAACAAACATACCATTCATATATTTCATATTCAAAACTTATCCAAATTTTTAAATAACCGTTGTTACATAGAAAAACGAAATTTAAGAACAAGTCTAAATATTTAGATAGACTTTGATATATATAGATATATAGATATGCAGGAGGAAAACATATATTTAGCACAAGAAGCACAAGAAAAGGGTGACTTTGGATATGCAGAACGGCTTCTAATTGAACAATTAAAAAAAGATTTTAATACCAATGAAAAAGAAATGAAACAACATGAAGAAGCACTTATTAAACTCGGGGAACTGTATAGAGATCAAAAGCAAGTAATACATTTTAGTTGTAAATATACTAACAAATAAAATGTACAGACGACTTGACGAATTAGCGAAACTAATTCAAGAAAGTCTTCTATTTTTAAAAAACTTCGCAAAAGCAAAAACAGCAAAAATTGGTATAAATTTGATTTCTTTACCATTTTTAATACTATTTTATAGTACGGAGATTAATCGATTTGTTTTCTTCTGTTCCAGGTTCTCTAAATCTTCAGATAGATGTAACAAAAGAAACGATTGATTGGGCGAAAAAGAATAACAGAATATTTCTAAAACTATCACTCGAAACACACATTGTTGAACTTTACATAAAAGCACAGCAATATACAAAAGCATTACAGCTTGTAGAAACCCTTTTGATTGAGCTTAAACGTCTTGACGATAAATTCCAACTTGTAGAAGTATATTTACTTGAATCACAAATCTATTATGCAATAAAAAACATTCCAAAAGCAAGAGCGTCTCTCACATCAGCAAGAACGTGCGCAAACGCAATTTATTGCCTTCCACATATCCAAACAGGACTGGATCTCCAGAGCGGAATACTTCATGCAGAAGAAAAAGATTATAATACTGCATATAGTTATTTTTACGAAGCATATGAAGGCTTTTCTGCATCTTCTAATCCTCGTGCTGTCTCAACTATTAAATATTTATTATTATGTAAAATTATGCTTAACGCAGTATATCACATTATTTTGTTATCTATCCTTCTAATATAAATATAGAGCAGTGATGTTCAAAGTTTTATTAACACAAAAGTTTCTCAAAAGCATGCAGGGAGAGATCTGGATGCAATGAATGCAGTAGCTCAAGCTCATCAAAACCGATCTCTTGCAGACTTCGAAAAAGCACTAATTGATTTCAAAGATGGTATAAAATATTCTTGTTTATTTTCTCAAAAAAGATTAAAACTTTTTAAAGAACTAGAGGATGATCCTATTGTTCATTCTCACCTCACTGTCTTGTATGACACGCTTTTAAAACAAAACCTTTCTAAAATCATCGAACCTTTCAGTCGTGTTGAATTAACCCACATTTCTAAGTTAATAGGAATATGTATCACTAAAATAGAAGAAAAGTAAGTATTACGACGTTTATAATTTTTATTCTCTTACATTTTTAATCCAGACTTAGTCAAATGATTCTCGATAAAGTTTTTCACGGGATCCTTGACCAAGGTACAGGATGTTTAATTATCTTCGATGAACCAGCACAAGATGCAACGTATAATGCGGCATTAGATACTATTAAAAATCTCAATACAGTGGTTGATTTGCTTCAAGAAAAGGTCATTTCTTTTATTTTTTTCTTTAAAAAAATTAAAAAAACTTAGGTTGCTAAGCTATTATAATAAACATTAAATTGTCTTACCTTATTTTGTACATATTTTTCATTTATATTATATATATACATATATATAATTTTGTCATTCATACCTTTCGATATCTTCATAATTTCAAGTATATCATTTAATGAACCGCGGAGTACCGATTAATCTAGGAAATACTCAACCCTATTACCATGCAACACAGCAGCCATTACAGAATGTCATTGGGAAGAGACCAGTCGTCTCAACTAATGATCCAACACAATCTCCAAAACCACCTAAACCAAAACAACGGCCTACGGACCGTTCGATTCCTGCCAAAATTCAAGCGCTTATTCCAGATTCTAAACTGTATCACGATTTGAGAGATATTGAAAGACGTTTAGATGCAGTAATGACACGAAAACGGTTTGATATTCAAGATGCAATCAATAAAGGTTCTAAAGTAAGTAATCTTTTTTTTCAGCAGAAAATCCAACAAAAAACATCTAAATACATAAATAGATGAAAAAAACACTTCGTGTATTTGTTTCAAATACATCTTCTAATCAACCATGGCAAACTGTAAACAAAAAACTAGATAACCATGCATTTGACTTTGATACTGGAGCGATTCCCACATGGACACTTCGTATTGAAGGCAAACTTCTAGAGAATAAAGAAACAATGAAAGAAAAGCTAAAATTTTCAAGTTTTATAAAAAGTATTATAGTCGAGTTAGACAGAAACAATAGATTTTTTTCAGATGAAAACATTGCTAAAGTACTCTTAGTAATTAAACTTTATTTAAAATTAACATAATTAAGTGGCATAAATCGTCTTCAAGCATAGAATTTGACGGACTTGAGATTAAACGAAGAGGAGATATGAATATTAATGTTAATATTTTGATTTATCTCAACGAATATCCTGAAAAATATAAACTTAGTCCTAGGTTAAGTCAAATTCTTGATATAAAATCAGAAACTCGCACGGAAATTATTATGGGGCTCTGGGAGTATATCAAATTCCATAAGCTGCAAGATGAAGAAGAAAAAAGAATTATTAATTGTGATAATAACCTAAAAGAAGTTTAAAGCACTCAAAAAAAAATAAAGATATCTTACCAATAATAGATTTTCGCTATGGATAGAATATTCTTCCCTAAAATACCGGAAATAATAAATAAACATTTGCTTCCTTTAGATCCAATTGTCATCAAATATACAATTTGGTATCATCAATATCAATAATCAAACGTTTTCTTATGCATAATAGTACAGACAAAGACCTTAATATGTCAGAGTTTGCATATGATATTGAAGTGGATATAGATGATCCAATACGCCAAAAAATGATAAATATTCTTTCTTCATTATCATCACAAAAAAAAATAACAGAACTGGATGACCAGATTGCTTCAGTTATTCAAGCAATTAACAATTCTAAAGTTAAATATAATTTTTTTGAAGGATTTGCACAAAATCCTGCTATATTCATTGAAAAGTGGTTATCTAGTCAGTCACGTGATCTCGAAATTATACTTGGAGATGATGATGCTCGTGAACGAATTGGTATTGAAGATAAACAACGAAGTGAATTTTATCATAAAGATTGGGTCCATGAAAGTGTATTTCATTATTTGAGTAGACAAGAAAGCAAACGTATGCAAGAACTTCATTCAAAACAAAAATAACTATTTTTGAGTAAAAACCCAATTTCATTTAACAGAACAATTTATATGAAATATATCATTTATCTATTCCTTCTTTTGCAACCAATGTTTTTATTTCATCTTAAACCTTTTATATTTAAAAAAATTATATAAATTATCTTTAAAACCAATATAATATATAAAAACAATTAAATAATCCTATTTATAACTCAACACTTTAATGCAGAAATACTGCATCAAATCTATCTTAATAGATACCCAACAATTATGTTCAGTAAAATACAGTTCTTTCATAAACAAAATCATAATTCACACATTCACGAAAAATAATTAACTTTAAGATATTAAACCAAAATAGTTAAACCAATATTCATTTTTTCCTCATTACTTATCCAGGGATAATCATATTAACCAATACATCTATTTTATATCTTACTAACGGAAGGAAACTGTTGCTGTACTAATGCATCAAACACTTCAGTATCTAACGCATAAGCTCTTATATATTCAATTTCCAAAATATGTATTCGGTGCCCAAACAAAATTAAAGAATGCAAAGGTGAACCAAAATCAACACTAGCCAATTGTTTAAAAGACCCTGCAACTATCTTTTCAGTAGATGATCCAATTCTTGCTACACCTATAGCCAATGTTGATTCATCATACACTAAAAAATTCAACAAAAAAAAAAAAGACAATACAAAATACCTTTTCTACCACATAAAAACTCCAATTCTAACATCTGTCCAATTGCATGTGAAATACTCATATAACGAGGTGACTCATAATTTTTTTTTCCTCTTGCTAAACTTTCAAATGAAGGTTCATTTATACGTAAGTCTATATCATCCAATAAACATAATATAATAGATTCTATATCTTCAAACTCACCTAACAAAATTAATGTATGAAGCCCCAAATCTCTGTTTTCTTTAATTCGAAAATAAATACTATTAGGCTTCCATGTTTCTGTAAAAAAGACTAAAGAAACTGTTTGTCCAAAATTATATAATTGCAGACCCACTGCACTAACTGCATTCATTATAGATGCATTGTGCACAATCTGCGTCAAAATACCCTTTTGGCGTGCTCTCAACAATAAATCTATATGGGTAGTTGCACTATTGCCTTCAATAAAGCACAATATTCTACTTATATTCACCTTAAGGAATCACCCACAACCAATAGTGCTATATCTGTCTTATATGCATCTTGTAACAAAACATCACTGTCTTGTTCTACCATTTCTCTATTTGCAATAATAAGTGAACGACCATAAAATTCTTCCTTTTTTTCTATTTGTAATTTTTCACAAATTTGCACAACTCACCAACTTTTCCTTATCAACACCTAATAAACTCGTATACGCTTCCAAATATACTTTATAACATTGCCGAATAATCTCTAAGCCCTTTACACTAATATCTTTTTCATCACCAAGACCTAGTCCTACAAGATACAACATGTAGTCACTTTCAGCCGTACACACACGAAAACTCAAATTAAACTATTAGCATTGATTGTATTAATTCCATAAAAACAAAATATTATTTTAAACAAAATATTTTTAAAATAAATATTATAAAATAATATAATGAAAGTATATACATTATTTAGAAATATTTCGAACAAGCCAAGAATCTTCAGGAGTTACCCACCACATCACCAAAGCACAACATGTAATTATAATAAGCATTACCGGGGCATAATTAAAAGTTAAAGCTGATAAAGGAAACTGACAAGGTGATGACAAAACGACAACAACAAAAGTACACCATATCAAAGTAATAATCTGAAATAACTTAGATAGTTTTCCAAGAGACCACTTGACTTGTAAACTTTTATCTGTTTTAGATAATAAACGTAAAACTAAATATCTCCTAAATATAATTTTAAGTGTCTATTAATAACTCACATGCTATCAACCCATATGAACATACAGTAGGAAGAGTCATTGCACTAATAAAACTTGTAAATGCCACTTGACTAAAAAGTATTGTACACAGAATAATAGAAGATGCAATCCAAATCAATGTCACAGAATTCCTCGGTTGACGCTGAACATCTATTTTAGAAACCCAACCTGATAAAAAAAGAACACCATCACGAGCAATAGCATATGCTAACCTCGAAGAAGCCAAAATAGCCACAGTTGTATTTAAAAGATGCCCAAGAATAATAACAATATTTAAAAATATATGTCCTTTTTTGCCAAGGGACAATACATAAAACTGTACAAATGGTTGAGGAGCATCTAAAGCGAACAAATTATTTAGGCTGGGCTTTAAAACATAAATTAATCAAAAAAATAAAAAAATTATAATATACCGAACAAAAAAGAAAAAGAAAAACAGAAGGAAGACCCAATAATCCACTCAAAAGAGCGCTAGTAAAAACACCTCGTGCGGCATTTAGACTAGCATTCTCGGTTTCTTCTGCTATATGCCCCGGTGCATCAAAACCAACAATTAAACTAGCAGTTGAAAGAAAAGACAAACACCAGTTCCATACAGAAACAGCGCCTGTACCATTATATGTTTTCATAAGAAAACTTTTATCCTGAAATCCATATGTTTTCGAAACTCCAATAGGTAACCAAATTATATTTAAAAAAAAGTCCAAAATAATAATTATACATGATGCACGAAGTATATATTTAAACAAGTGTGCTAAATCAAAGGTAAAAAATATAAATTTTTCAATTTAAAAAACATACGTTTAAGATAATTAAACGAAACAGATAAAGCTAATAAAACTTCACTAAGAAGCCATTGGACGACCCTAAATTTAAAAACACTTGTAGATGTTGGAAAATCCACATGAAAAACAGCAAGCTCCTTACAAATTTAATAGAAGTATACATTATTATTCAATTTTGCCTTACAGACAAAAAAAAATTAGCAGCACTTTGAATATTACCCGCAATAAAAGTTGTCCATGCACTAACGGACCACCATGCTACAATAAAGCCAACCAATCTAGTATATTTTGGGCTAGCATAGTGAGAAGCCCATCTAAAACATATTATAATTTAGAAATTATCTCTATAAAATTTACAAATAAAGTGAACCAGATACAGGAAGCGCAGAACAAGATTCTGCCATAACGGCAGCAGTAATAAGCATACCAAAACATGAAAGGAGATAACTAATCCTAAAGATAATTAAAAAAGACACCAAAATAAAGTTCAAAAACCAAAATGCTTGCGGTCCACCTGCAAGAAGACCAGTAGTAAATACCACTCTTACAGCACCAATAAAGTATAATGCCACTATAACGCTATCAGCCCAAACCTATATTCATATCAAAACAAACCAAAACCAGAAGAAAAATTATCAAAAAATTTATATGTTCTATGTAAAGACTAAAAAATAAATCATAAATACTAAAGGTAATATTTCATGCCTGTTTATATCCTAAGGACATCTTAATTATTTTTATTAGTTCTTAAAAATAAAAAGAAAAATATTTGCTTCTTGAAGTTTTCTAATGTTAACATAATTTTCAAATCTTGATTCAACTTTTTTAACACAGACTAAGCCTGATTAAATATTCAATATCATTGGTTAATGTTTATACAACTATTTAATATAAGTACAAACTATTAATGAATACCATACTATTGATCTTAGAAAACTCCTTAAAGCTTACATCTTATCTATTTAACTTACAAGTTGTTTTTCATCTTGATTTACGTCATGTTTATCAATATGTATATCATTCAACTTTTCTTCAATATAAGAAGAAAGCATCACAAATCTTTCAGTCACAATTCTAAAATGTTTAAATTGATTATATAAAATAAACTAAAATTTTAATATTTTAAAATTCTAAAGTCCACCTTTTATTCCGGATTGTATCCGAAAAAGACAGTGTAACGTTTTAAAAAAGTCTTCGCAGATTATTTATAAACGTGTTTAAAAAACATCAATCTAAATAATACAATATTTTATCATTCATATCATCATTCCCGATATCCTATTTTACTATGTATTCCATACTTTAAAATATTCAACCTTTCAATACATTATTCTAAATCAAACTAAAACAATTAAAATTATCAAATATACTTATAATATCCACTATATATATTATCCAAATCAAATACTTCAAAAATCATACCAAATTCACTATATATATCTAAAACATATATCACAAGCACAATACGCATATATAATATATATAATATATATACATTATCTATAAAATATCTATATAATATCATATATTTAACCAATTGTATTCATTGTTCATAATTACAGATATAATATTATATATATAATTAATTCTTGCATATTTCACTGTATTTCAATAGATACAAGTAATTAAAGCATTTATTCAATTTATAGAATAATCGTTTCAAAAAACATCAATTATAATAAACTCCTTTACATCAATATATTACTCATTTATACAAACTAAACGTAATACTATTATATAACTCAGAAACGAAAACATAGAAATACGTTAAAAACAACTAAATAAAAAAACCTTAATTATATATCTAAAACTCTGTTCAATTACAATTCCAAAAAAATTTTAAGAAATCAACAGCTCCTACATCAAACAATATTACTTAATAGTAGATAATATACTATATTTTTCGAAAATCGTGAATCACCAAGAATAAATCACGTTTGAAACGCAACAAAAACGCCGACGTGTCTGGACAAACAAATCAAATCAGAAACATAGAGAAAGAACGATGAAGAGTAAGCATTTAAGTGAACAATTAATCAAAAATGTCTTTAACATTATTCAAAGTAACATTTTAGCCTGAGTAAGCTTTTCGCCGTAAAAAACAGACTAATATGTCATTTTTAAACATCTTTGCATTTAATCAAGGAGATGAAACATATTCATCACCTGGTAAGATAAATTATGTCTTAAAGTGCATGAAAAGCCAATAAAACACGCTGTAGAAGATGCACGCATGATATCAGGTAGATATCGTGTTCTTCCGCATCGGAAATCATTACTTTTTTGGACGTCGCCTAGTCGGGAACACAGCACAAATATTTCGCCAATATGGTTTGAAAGTGGCACATATGAAGGCAGTTTAAACGAAAACAGCACATTACTTGAAGGTCTTGTAATCGCACCTCAAAAAAAACTAGTTAAACGAGTACTTTATGGGTTTTGGAGACGATTATTTATACTTAATATTTTACCATCAGCTATTGTTTTTCACACTTTAACGATTTTAACACCCTAATATAGCTTATAGGTTCTTATTTGGTGTGCTATTCCTTTTCCTTTATCAAGATCATATATAGATAATCCTTTATCGCCCTTAGTAAAAGATCGTATTAATTTTTGGTTTTTCTTGTTTATATACTATGGGTTTTATAATGCAATTGGTCTACTATGGATTACTAAATTATTTAATTTATTTTCCCTTAACTGGTTTCTATTTTTATTTATTAAAATTTTTCCTTCAACTAATAAGAATAGGTGGCCTGCTTCTTTAGGAGGTGCTATATCATATACATTCTTTTGGACATTTTCTGTATTTCTTGGGAGTTTAATTTATCTTTTTTCTGAAAAGGCAGAATACACTCTTACATGGATTCTTCTAACTTTCTGTACTATGGCAGGTATATATTCCGATTAAGCTTTTTTAAATACTTATCTTCTTTAAAGGTCCAATAGTTGTTGCATTTGCTGTTTTGCGAGCCTCAGATAGGCATATGAATCACCATTCATTATCACATACACAAGAAACATTTTTCAACAGAACTTTTGATTCACATTTTCCTTCTAGTTATATCCGATTCCTCTGGTTCTGTTTAATATTAGTTATAGGATTAGCAGCATTTGCTGCTGGCGAAGTATTTTTCTTTTAAACTTTATTTAAAAATATATTAAACAATATAGGCATATGCTAGACTATATTTAAAAACATTACCTCACAGTAGTACAGATGCTCTCCTTTATGTATATTCGTAAGTTTTTTTTTTTTCTTGGATTATATTAATTTTAAATACAGATGGGTTACAACGGTATATGTATTAGATATCATTACATCTTGGATTTTAAGCTATAAAATTAAAAGTGAATCATTAGCATGGGTTTTTAAGTTATATTATGCAATGACTTTGCAAGTAATTCCTTATATATATTTATTATAAAGTTTAGTTCCTTTTAGATTTATGTCCGAAATTTATATGCTAGACTTCATTCACCTCAACAATTTGCAGTAATACAAGGTGCTAGCTCATTTACAGTAATTATTATTGTCCCGGCTCTTATGACAAAATGGTCATATAAAGGATATTTATTCTTTACTAAAAGTCAAGTCGATTATGAATATTATAAAAAAAACTCTGGGAGATCATTTTATATTAAGACATTGGTACAAATTTATCCCAGTGTTTTGCATTTATTAATAATTAAGGCACAAAATATAACTATGATATCGTTTTTAGGATGGATCTGTATTCTTCATTTTGGACCCAATAAATCCGTGTATCCTTATTTTACTTTTAGCTCTAATGAATCTTCTAATGATGATGTATACTCATTTAGACTAACTTTCTTTGCTACTCTAGTGGTTTGGGCATCTGAGCTTATTAGTTCATTTATTACAAGATTAATAATGAAATTGTCATTCAAATTTGAAGTCACAAAAGAAGCATTAAAAGATATGATGGAGTTCCCGGATATTTTACCAGCAGCACTTGCTGTTTGCATTCATGTATTACAAAATATGCTATTTTCAATTATTCACCTTGGATTTACATAATTTCATAAACTACAAATCTTCGCAACAAAAATAAATTATATATACAAAGAAATAAAAATAATGTCTAAAACATGAGTCTATATAAAAATAATATTAAATCAATTAAAAAATATTATTCTACATTTTCCTGCAGATAGCCTTCCCTATATCATTACAATATTATCTACAATTCTAAAATAACAAAATTTGTATCTTTATAATTCTTAATATAAACTCGCCTGGTTCCTTAGAAAACACAAACATCTACTCTATTTACGATGTAGACCTCGAAGTATCACTCATAACTGTATTATTTATAGTATTTATAGCTACTACAGGCTCTACAAAACTAGATACGTTATCTTCCATCTGCTTCTTATATTGATAATCAGTAGTTCCCACTTCTATTTTAATATTCTGTGTATTATATTTAGTTTTCACAGATTTATCATGTTCCAAATTATTCTCAAGTTCTTTACTTTCAGAATTAAGAGCCCTAGAAAAATCTTCTGAAGAATTTGAACTTGTGTTTAAAGACTCCGAAATAGTAATATTGCGACGATTTCCTTCACCTTCATCTTCTGAATCACTGAATTCATCAGAACGTTGAGGTTTATTCCATAAAACTCAGAAAAATTAGCTTTAGATATTTAAGAAAAAAAAAACTTACAAATTTTGCGTTTATCATAATTATCTTCTTGATCTTCACAATTATTATCTCTATCTCGAGGAACATCTTGCATTTGTACACTAGGAGCAAATTTTGTTCTTGAAAGATTTTTTAAAACTTCTACTTTTATTTTTTCCAAATATTCTTTTGAATTCATATTTTGCATATTGCTTGCAGGAACATTAAGCTCATAAGTAGGCCCATAATATTCATAATAATCATTAAATGGCATCTCTATAATTTTATAAGTATCAAAATAACAAAAAAATAAACTAACCAGGCCCTATTTCAACGTCATTAATTAAACCAGTTTCATATGTCCATGTTCGAGAAACATTTCGCATTGTATATCCACCACCACCTAAAACTAATGTAGGTAAACCAAATTTTTTAACAAATTTAACACAAGAAGCATGCCCTTTCATACTCAAATTAAAACAACCAAGACGATCACCTGCAAGACTATCTGCTCCACATTGTAGGACAACTGCACCTGGGCGATACCATTCCATACATGCAGAAACAACTGGTTCAAAAACGTAAGCATATGATTCATCATCAATACCATCACGCAAAGGAAAATTAACAGAATAATATTTCCCTTTTCCAACACCAATATCTCTAAGCTCCCCTGTTCCAGGAAAATATTCACCATATTTGTGAAATGAACATGTCATTACTCTGTCAGTTGTATAAAATGCTTCTTCTACGCCATCTCCATGATGTACATCTATATCAATATAAAGAACTCTAGGATAATACCTTAAAAGTTCAATAATGCCTAAAACAATATCTTGTCATATATTAATAACAACTTATAACTACTTCCTTAAAATATACAAACCATTCACGTAACAAAATCCACTTGCCTCAGATTTTTTTGCATGATGTAATCCACCAGCCCAATTCAAAGCAATATCACATTTACCTCTATTAAGTCTCGCAGCACCTTCTAGGAACAAAACATTTTAAAACAAAAACAAAAAAAAAAAAAATTACCCATACTCCCTCCTCCACTGATAGCACAAAATTCAAATAACCCTTCAAAAACAGGACAATCATCACCAACATTAACTATAAAACATTTAAGAGATTAAAAAAATCATAAATAAAATACATCTTCCTTGTTCTTTAATATAATTATCCATATTTTCAAGAGTTACACGAGAAAGAAATTCAATATAATCATCAGAATGAAATTGACACATTTCATGCTTTGTTGCTGGTTTTGCCCTCTAAAAAATCAACGTAAAAACAAAAAAAAAACATTTTATATACATATATTTCCATTTTTTTATATAATCCATAATTCATAATCAGAGAATGAGTCATTCGAATACGATGAGGTTTCATAGGATGACCAGCGCCATATGCATAATTTCTATGAATGAGAAAAAATAAAAACAAAAAGAAAGCAAAAAAGATACCCAACATCAGCTAATGTTAAAATTTTATGTCAGTAAAAAATTTAAAAGCAAAATAAATATATTTACAATCATAAAAATATGCAACACCTAATCAATAATTAGTTTTATCAAGTTGAAATTCTTTCAAAAAAAAGTACGTCTAGAAGGTTGCCCATTCAAAGCAATTGGCTCCAAAACCTTTGCCTGATTGCTCATTTATTCTTTTCAAATCAAGCCTATTTTTTTAATTTTGAAACAAACTTGTATAAGCATAAGTACTCTCGAAAACCCAAAAATCTAGATTTTAAATCCAAAAATAAAAAAATATAAAAATATTAAAGAACAAAACAAATTCAAATAAAAATACATTTTAAATTTCATATCAAAATAAATAAATAAAATATATGCAACATATATAAATTAAAATATAAAAAATTAAAGATATAGGAAAAACACAGGAAAACATATAAATTAATAAATTTGTGCTTTTCCAATTAATTCATGCTTCGAAGACCATCTTCGACATGATTTACCATAAATAATCTAATAAAAATTAAAAATCTAAAATATAAAAATTATTAACATACCATAGGTACAGTTGCAATAACCGTAAGAAACACAGGTAACGCAAGAACTGTAACAGAAACAACTGTTCCACGGGAAGCAGTTAAACTAGATTTGTTAAAAAGGCTAAATAGAAAAAAAAATAGTACTTATTGATAAAATAACCAACACCAAATACCCAAAAATTCTTCCATAAACATGCGGTAAGTGCTATTTGACTGCTAAAAGGTTTATAACTAAAAATAAGAAAACGAAGACTAACAAACAAAAACTATTTACCAATCAATTGCATAAGTAACAGCCACCGTTTGTATAGCAGACATTCCTGACCCACAAACAAATAACCCCAAAACACAAACAACAAACCAGTTCCATCCTTTCGAAATACCGACTGCAAAAATATACGCACCAACTAAACCAATCAAAGTCCATGGAATGACATCCCAAAGACGCATTTCGGCTTCACGAATTCCGTTATTTTTTTTCGTTTGATATTTGAGTATAATATCATTAAACCATCCTGCAAACAAGGTACCAAGAACACCACCAAAAACAAAACCAAGATTTGTCATACCCACTTGCATCGCAGTAAAATTATATGGGGCAACACTAAAAACCTGTGACTGAATAAACCCGATCGAAAGCAAAAGACCAGCTGAACTCGTAAACGCCAATGAAACCTTAGGACGTAAGCCAAAAAAATATTTTTAAATTTACTAATATACATATAAAACAGCTGGCCACATATTAATAATAATCGGCGTAGATAGAAGCTCCCAAATAGAAACTGTCTTATCTGGAGAGCTCCAAAGTTTCCATTGACGAGGACTCGGTTTCCCATAACCCCATACTTCACTAAGTCCCTCGACCTTGTGTTTCTCCAAGGCGTTATCATCACTAGTTTCCACATCTTTAGCAGCCGTAGTATTACTATACAATTCTTTGGGAAGAACAGTCACCTGAGTCACTGTCCGATTATATTTTGTCTCCGGCATTGTAAAGAAAATAAAAAGCTGAGACAAAATCATAATTGCGGATCCCAACCAATAGAATTTCCTCCATCCAATCGTATCAGCAAAAGCACCTGATATTGGTGTTGAAATATAAGACGAAACAATTAAAGATAAACTGCCCTATTAATAACAATAAAAAATACAATATAACACATACTATGCAACACCATTGTAATACCCACGTTCATGTGTAAAAAATAAATCAGAAACAATCATAGGCCCCTAAAACTCTCATTTAACCCTATTTCATATTTATAAAAAACATCTTCATACAGCAACTTCAATGGGTGCAGCAAACACACCCGACAAAATACGTGCTCCCATCATGCTCCCATATGTCTTAGCAGTCGCAGTCCATATATAGGAAAGAATAACAAAGATATTCGTAAAAAAAAACATCGAACGACGCCCAATCTTCATCGACCATGGAAGTGTAATAAAATTCCCAAACCCAATAACAAGTGTCATCACCGTACTAAACAATGTCACCTGCATCGTCGTAATTTGGAAATCCCTCTCAAGCACCGGATATAAAGAGCCAAATGCATTTATAAAAAAATTTGCAGACCACACTAAAACACCACATATTACATTCATGCACCTTTCTCATTTAAAATTACTCCTTACACCACCCAAATTCATTCATCAATGTAATCCATTTCCACCGCTTTGTCCAGTTTAATGGATCATGAATATCCTCTGTCGGAGCTGGAATCAACGTCCATTCCTGATGTTCTACATCAGACACCTCATCTGTCCCTGGAGGATAATCCAGCTCCTTATCTCCTTTATATTTATAAATCTTATCGAAAATATTCATCTTTAGCATATTCATATTCTTTACAAAAAAAAATACAATAAAATTTCGTTCTCATGTGTCCCTCTTCATTTTTGTTCTGTAAATAGTTTCTTTTGTTTTTTTCCCATCAAGACCTTTTATTAACATCACCTGCATCTAATACTTCGTAATATGCTTATTTATTGTATATATGGAATAATAATTGATAAAAAAAAGAAAACAGTATATATAACGAAAATAAAAATGGTTTATAAAAAATATGCAAGAAAGACACAATAATGCCCGATTAACTCAGTTGGTTAGAGTGTTGTGCTAATAACGCAAAAGTCACAGGTTCGAGCCCTGTATCGGGCAGTTCATTGCACTGCTTTTTGCCTGTTTAAAGACGTAAACTTGGAAAGTATCAAGAAATATAGAAAGAATATAAAAATAGAAAATTATGAAGAAAATTAATAAAGTATATTCAAGAAGAGCACATGTGAGTTTTTTTTTATGTTTTTTTGCGTTTTCTTTAGGTTAAAGTTTTCAAGAAAAATAGGTTGCCTTGGCAATTTGCCTTGGCAACAGAAACTGAGGATGAAAGACGTGAGACGTCATGAAAAGGAGAATAAAAAGTTTTGTATGTTTTTAGGGAGTTTTAAGGGATATTTTAAAGAGAAAAGACGAAAAAAAGATGGAATAAAAGGAAAAACAAAAAATGAATACCCGGGAGACAGCACGTGCAAAATTAGCAGAGCTTCGAGCACTAAAAGCAGCAGGAAAAACACGTCTTGAATCGTATAAAGTAAAGGATGAGGAACGTATATATGATTGGGTAGATGACGAAGGGTACAGGAAGATTGTAAGACAGCGGCTTGATCAAGATGATTTTGTAGTAGACGACAATGGTGAGGGATACGCAGACAATGGGATAGAGGAATGGGAAAGAGAGAGAGAAAGCTCTAGTGAAGAGGAGAAAGTGTATTGTAAGAAAAAAAAGAATAGGAGAATATGTTTACGTTTATAGGGGGAAAAAATGAAAAAAAAAAGACAGAAAAAAAGGAAATAAGTCAGTTTTTTAAAAAAAAGGTACCAGCAACAACAGTAATACAAACAACAGAAGAAGAAATCGACTTTATGGCAAATATATTAGGAGAAATCGATGGAGAAGAAAAGTATACAATATCAAAGAAAACAAGTGAATTGGGATCAATTCCGCAGAAACGTCAGGCATCCCCCCCATTAAAAAATTCAAATATTTTAAACCGACTTGAAAAAGCAAATTCTATATACACAAAGAAAAAGCAGAAGAGTCCTCTAATACATCTATTAAGTGATGGCTATGATATCCCAAATCATCCATACAGCGATACAATGCTATCGGATCCACCATCTAAAGGTGATACTCCATCATCATCTGCCATTAACCAAGCATTCCATAAGCTGAAGACAGAATCGGAAGACGAAGACGAATTTCAAGTAAAACAACTTACAAGACAAAATGTAAAACAAGACAAAACTATTATTCCTAAAAAATATGACGAATTTCCACTTGAATCAACAAAAATTACATTTTTAGAACCAACATCGTCTCCAATTACTGAAAAAATTGACGCATCATCATGGTTAGATATGAATAAAAGTCTGAATATCATGAGTAGTTCGGAGACTTATACAAAAAAAAAAGAGAATTATGAAGATTTTATAGAAGATGACGGTTCTTTAAAAATGTTTTGGATAGATTATACAGATTTAAACAATACTTTATGTCTTTTTGGGAAAGCATATAGTAGAAAATTCCAGAAATATGTAAGTTGCTTTCTTCAAATACACGGTATTATGAGGAATCTATATTTTTTGCCCAGAAAATTTAAATTACACAAAAATCATTCAATAGAAGTTACAATGGGCGATGTTTATGAAGAAGTTTCAGAATTGTTCGAAAAATTTAAAATTGATGAATTTAAATCAAAACCTACAAGTAGAAAATACGTTTTTGAATTTCCAGATGTACCGCATCAATGTGATTATTTAAAAGTCCTATATCCATATACAAAACCAACAATTCCTCAAAATACTTCTGGAAATACATTTAGTCGAGTATTTGGTACAAATACATCGTTATTTGAACAATTTGTATTATACAAAAGAATCATGGGACCATGCTGGTTACATATCAAAGAGCCGCAATTCACATTTGGACAGAATTTTTCATGGTGTAGACTTGAACTAGGAGTCGTAAATCCCGAATGCATTTTTCCTATTTCTGATTCAGAATCAAACTATCCACCACCTCTTTTGACATTAATGAGTATTGCTCTGAGAAAAATCATAAACCATAAGGAAAATAAACAAGAAATTGTGGTTATAAGTACAAGAATCTATGAAAATATATCTTTAGATGATCCAACACCGCCTAATAATTTACCTTGTCAAACTTTTACTATTGTTAGACCTATTAAACAATTATTCCCCACAGGATTTGAAGCATTAGCTAAAAAACACAAAGGAACAATTAAGGTTGAGAAAACGGAATCTTCACTTTTAAATTGTTTTTTAGCAAAAATTCAAAACGTAGATCCTGATGTATATATTGGTCATGAATGGTATACTGTAGATTTTGGCATTTTGTTATCAAGAATAAAAGAAAAAAAAATTATGAATTGGCATCGAATTGGTCGCCTTAGAAGAAAAGAATGGCCCAAAATGTCAGGCCATTCTGGGATATTCGCAGAAAAACTTTTGGCATCTGGCCGTTTAATGTGTGATCTTGCAAACGAATTAGGTCGTTCTTTAATCAAAGCCCAGTCTTGGACATTGTCAGAACTTTGTAGCATTCAGTTAGGTATTGAACGACATGAAATAGATGATGAAAAAGCTATTTTTTCCTGGACCGATACAGCAAAAGGCATGATGGAATATATTATACATTGTGAAGTTGATACGTATTTTATTGCAGCAATTGCTCTTAAAGTTCAAATACTTCCTCTCACTAAACAATTGACTAATCTAGCGGGAAACAATTGGGCAAGAACATTAACAGGAACCAGAGCAGAAAGAAATGAATACATTTTATTACATGAATTTCATCGTGAAAAGTACATTTGTCCCGATAAGACACTTACAAAATCAAAAATAATAGATATTAATGAAGAAGATGAAATAGATGATACAGTCCCACTTAAAAAAAGAGATAAATATAAAGGAGGTCTTGTATTTGAGCCAATAAAAGGATTATATGACAAATATATACTTATTATGGATTTTAATAGTTTATATCCTAGTATTATTCAGGAATATAATATATGCTTTACGACTATTGATAGACATGAATGTGATAACGACGAAAAGATACCAGAACTTCCTGATGAACAAATACCGCAAGGAATACTTCCAAAACTTATCGAAACATTTGTTAATAGAAGAAAACAAATAAAAAATCTTATGAAGGATAAAAATGCATCATCTATTCAAAGAATGCAATGGGACATAAAACAACAAGCTTTGAAATTAACTGCGAATTCTATGTATGGTTGTTTAGGATATACAAAATCAAGATTCTATGCAAGACCACTAGCTGTTCTAATTACTTATAAAGGAAGAGAAATTTTAAGAAATACAAAAGAACTTGCAGAAAGTTTAAACCTTCAAGTATATATTCATATGTGTTGTAACAAACTATTCTAATTTTACTAGGTGATATATGGAGATACAGACTCTGTTATGATTAATACTAATGTTGAGATATTTGAAGAAGCTATTAAAATAGGCAATGAATTTAAAAAACATGTAAACGAGAGGTATAAACTTCTTGAAATAGATATAGATAATGTTTACCAACGTATGTTGCTGCATGCGAAAAAGAAGTATGCAGCTTTGCATTTAATAGAAACTAACGGAAAAATGGAACCCAAAATTGATGTAAAAGGATTAGACATGAAAAGAAGAGAATATTGTATTTTAGCAAAAGAAGCTTCATCGTGGGTAAAAAAAACATAATTTCAATATTCTAATATATCTAGTTATGTTTTGGATCAAATATTATCAGGCAAACAAACTGAATTTGTAGTCGAAAAAATCCATGATTACTTACGAGATTTTGCAAATAAAATGCATATTGGTGATTTTCAACCAGCAAAATTTATTATTTACAATGTTATAAAATAATTCTTTTAAAAATAAATATTAATTTATCTCTAGAAACTTGGGAAAAACCCAGAAGAATATCCAAATGGGAAATCTATGCCTCATGTTCAAGTTGCTCTTAAAAAGAAAGCAAAAGGAGATAGTGTAAAAGTAAATGATGTTATTGGTTATATTATTACTGGAAACGAGAACGACAACAGACATGTTGCCGAAAGGGCATGCCTTCCACAAGAAGTTATAAAGTCTTCGAACATGAAAATTGGTATATATTTTTATAATATCAATTTACTTATTTAAAAACAATAGATTATAATTATTATTTAGCGAATCAAATCCTTCCTCCTATAGAACGACTTTGCGGTCCCATTGAAGGAACAGATCGAACCAGACTAGCAGAATGTTTAGGACTTGATATTAAGAAATATCAGATCAATGAAATCAACAATTCGGAATATAAAATTTCTACATATGAGTCAAACTTAACTGATGAAGAACGCTTCAAAGGTGTAGCAAGCTTTATAATAACTTGTAATTCATGTCATGAAAAAATTGATTTTAAAGGACTTGCAAAATCTAAGGTATTTAAATGGTTATAATGCCAATTCTGTTATTCAATTAAACTAGGAATTCGTTAATTCAGAAGGAATTTTTTGCAAATGTGGGAAAAAAATTCCAATATATACAGTTAGTGCACAATTGGAATCACAAATCCGAAACCACAATTCAATTTATTATAATGCATGGTTATTATGTAATGACCCATCATGTGCAAACCGTACACGGCAAATTGGTGTATATGGAAAACGATGTTCAATCAAAAATTGTCAAGGTCAAATGTATTTTGAATACTCAGATAAAATGCTTTATACACAACTGCTTTACTATGACACTCTTTTTAACGTAAATAAAGCACGAGAAATTGCAAATCAATTTCCAAACCCCGAATCAATACTTATTTGTGCAGAATACAATCGTGAACGTTTTGAAAAGGTGCGATATGTTACACAAAGTTATTTAAATCATAATAGACGTCGTTTTGTGGATCTTCAAAGCATTTTTAGTTTTACATAGCATTCTAAATTGATGAATTAAATTCAAAATTTATATTGTTTATATCAAAATATTAATATGTTTTGATATAATTGTCATTCCTTTAACTCATTCTTCCAACACTTGTCAATACATACAATTTTTAATACATCTTTTTAGTACAGCATTTAACAATTTTAGTGGACTATTCTAGCATTATTCTTCAAAATATTTATTTTAACTAACTTTTGGTAATATTTATTTTTAACATCGTCTAAGAACCTAACCCTTAACAATTAATCGAGAAACGGAACAAAAATTAATTTTTACATTATTGATTTATATTTAAACATTAAATAGACAGTATGTGTTAAAGACAATACAATCTAACACTGCAAAATAATGCATTAAAAATCCTAAAACAGATTTTGAACCTTTTTTTTAAAAAACATTTAATAAAACCAAAAACATTAAAAACGTCTTTAATAGAACAACCGGGTGTAAAATCAGATCATCTGCTAACAACGGAACATCTCTATCTCCGACAGACAGAGTATCAACCAAGTGCTATTAAATACAAAAAACACAAAGCAAACGCTCAGCAAAAGCCTAGCAGGAGCACAGGAAAAGCTTTGCAGAGTATATTTTACAATATTAACAAAGCGCCTTTTGCGCAAAACTTCAATTATCCACATCACGGTGAAACAAGTCGCTAACCGCACCATTGCGGATTTTCCATTACAACAAACAATAACACAAGAACCCCCTCAAAATGTATCGTCTGAAGCAGCAGCATCATTATTTACGCCTCTACCGAAATCACCTATACAAGAACTACCTCAGCTGCAACTTCCAGACGATCTATCAAACGAGCTGACAAATGATATGTCAAATGACTTGACATCCGCTCAAATTGCAACGATGACACCAGAAGAAATAAAACAAAATGTATGTATAGCTGCAAATTCCAATAGAACCATGAAAAGCGAATAATAAAGCTATCATCAAATTGTTAAACAGCTGAATAACTTTTATTCCAACAACTGATATAGTTTTTACTCGAAATTGTTGCTAATCTTGATCTTTAGTTGCACCGTGTAATGAAACAAGTAGCACTATTGCGTCGAATGTTACGAGCAGAGCGTAGAAGCACCGCACATCACACATTACAACATAAATTGTTAACAATAGAACTTCATGAAGCACAACAGTCACAAACAGAGTTAACACGGATACGGCATGAAACAGACCGCTTACTTTTTGAGCTCTCCATTCCCGCAAATGCATGTGCTGTATGTAGACGACATTGCCAAATGATCCAGCGACGACTACGTAGGATATTGCAAGAACAAAAGCATGATGCTCCTACCAGAACACTGCGTACGCAGAAAAGACCAAAAAATAGACTAGCAGCATTGAATACAACACTTAGCACCACACTTAAAACAGCAAACACAGAAACACGCACAAACAGTACTTGTAATGCTCTTTCAACATGCCACGGCCTAATGAGTCCTATCTCGTTTCGTCCTGCACGCCGAAAACAACAGAATACTACAAATGATGATTCTAATATATCCTCAAACACTCTAGAGCGACACTTAACCCATCATTATGCTCTTCGATCATACCAATCTTTACCCATTAGTCCCAATGCTTCTCCATCATTACGGTCATGAGTTTTAACAAATAATTCCCTAATACATCATCTACGAATCAACCAGTCATTTCGTTAATAATTTGTAATTTTCAAACTATCATAGATTCTTTACTCATGTTTTCTAAAAAAGTAATATTTTTTAAAATAATGCACTTTCCCAATGCGTTGTTTAGTTTATCTTTTTGTTAATTATCAATAACAACTAGTGTAGAGTATGTAAATAATTAAATACGTAATTTTTGTTGTTCGCCACCTTTGAAAATACACATCATGAACCATTTCTTGAAAATATCCTTTGCCCAGCGTCCAAAACACTAAATTGTAACACATGTAGCCATTCATCATACATTTACCATAAGAGTAAATATACGGACATAATACTTATACATTACTTCATAACCCGTTTCGTTCCTTTAAATCAAACATAAAGTAAACAACAGGTGCCCTAAAGTTGAACCACAATCGGATCATCGTCAGAATCACCATTATCATATGAATCATTGTCGCTCATATCAACTAACTCATCATTTTCCGAATCATACACCAAAGACGTAGAATGCAGATAGGTTCCCTTTTGAATATTCAAATCTATGTGGAACCGCTGTTTCAAAGTATCCAACAAACACATAAACGCCCTTTTTACTGCATCCAAAGATCCCACTGAAGCTTCTGCATTCAAAATATTACATTCCAACCTCTACAAAAATCATCCATCCAAATATTAAAAACAAAAAAGAAAAAAACACACCTTAAGAGACTTCTTAATGTATCCTCTATCCTGAAACACATCTACAAAAACATCTTCAGGGCAGTATTGCAACTGTATCCTAAATGCATCTAAAAAAAGCCATTAATCTCCCATTTTGTACAATTCTTACCCATCCAATGCACATAAAAGCTCGAAAAAGAACCAATTGCCCTACTACACGACGAAATCAACGTTATCATCCGTTTCCATTGCTCCAAACATGATCCATTCGAAACAAAAATAAAGACAATAAAACACATCTGAAATTCTCCCAAAAAACGCCCAATATCTACCCAATTTAGACCAAAAAAACATTCTAATCCACCCGCACCTCCCAAACACTCTGTCTCAATAATCCGCTCAAGTTCCCAACTTTTGTCCAGAAATCCCTCTGTTACTTCTTGTCCCACCGCTCCTGGACGCCATGTCCGCCGAAGCTCAATCCCAAGCAACTCCATTGTTCCCTCTGCTTCAATCACCGGAAGACCCGGTAATGCTTCGTCTAAATAGGATGATGTTGCTGATGTAACTTCCCATGGTACTGATAACACTTTGTCTAGCATACTGCATGTTATCCAACACATTAACTGCCCAAAAATCGACCTTTTTCCCTCTGTAGACACTTCTCCACCGACTATATGCACGTTTTTACTTATTGTATGCGTGCTTTTATCCACTGTACAAGCCTCTTTCTCCTCTATATCTGCACCTAACGCTCTGTCTCCTACCCTGCAGCCAAACTCCGATATATATGCTTCTGATCCAAGTATATGCGCCTCTTTGCCCACTCTATGCTCTCTATTTTTCTCCACTGGAAAGACAATCAGCCTCTCCTGCACCACTGTCTCCAGTCTTGTCTCTGTTATTTCTCTCTGTAGCATTTCTCTATTACTATTATATTGCCAAATTACACGATCTGCAGCCTCAATTCTAAAGAAAAAGCCCTGACAAAACCCATATTGTCCTTTTTGTGCCTCACAAACTGATATTGTATAATATGCCCAGTGAAGACCCTCAGGAACGTCCTGAAAACCACAGAAATATTCACCTGTTTTCCATGTGTGTCCATCAATGCCAAATAGTGCGCCTCGTGGGAGGTTAAGAACTATGAGTGACGCCATCGTGGACACTTCGCTCTGCTATGTACAGCAGTATATATTATACACATATTAGAATTATATATTATACATGGTATATTTTATACACTATAGACTATACATGCTGTCTATAACATCCATTGTGTAGATTATATATTATACAGTAAATGTTATACAGTATAGATTATATAGTATACGATATACATTATATATTGTATGGTATACAGTATATGCTATATGGCATACATAGTGTTGTAATGTACAGTTGAATGTGTATACAGCATAGTATACACAGCATATTATCAGTGATATACAGAATATGTATAATGTGTATAATATGCACGATACACGTTTGCGGTAAATATTATACACGTGCACTGTACGCACAGAAGCAGCGATATAATGTACAGAGTTTACTGTATATACACCACGTACACAGCAGACACTACTCTGCAGACAGTACAGTGCACACACTCCACATTATATATAGTATGTACAGTATATATACTATTTATACTACGTATATCCTGCACATTATGTATATAATACATAGTATGTATACACAACGTACTGTCTATACTACAATATATACTATACTGCACTGTATACTATACTATATATATATACCATGTACATAGTAAACAGCATAACACAGTATAGATAGTATATATAGTATATATATTATGCTATTCACAGTAGACATTATACATACAGCCTCTGCTGCGTACATTATGCATTCTATACACTGCAGACTGTGACGCTATACGTACCATCCATACTATACTATATACTTATACTCTGCACTGCCCACAGCTAACGTGCACTGCACTTGACCCGCCCCACAGTATACTATGCATCCCAAAGACTATAATATGCGCTCAGCATGCTCACTACACTCTGCTGTAACAAGTGCGCTACACTATACACACACTGTACACACACTGTACAGAGTGCACTACACACCGCACAACGTATATCATACATACATATATATACATACATATATATACATACATATACTATAATTATATCACAGTGTATACCATAAATGCACTATAGACATACTCTTAGATATACCACAGCTATACCGCACTGTGTACACCATAGACATATCATATATATACATATATATACTATACAGACACTATACACATATTATACGCATGTCATGGTTATACTGCACAGTGTATAGTGCACAGTATATACTATAGACATGCTATACACATATCATACACATACCGTACACATACCATAACGTATACTGCACACTGGAAACTGCATGTACACTATGCTGTATACGCTATTCTATACATACACTGTACATATCATACTACATATTATATATCTAGACTATACATTCTGTATGTACCATGCACTACACACCACACTGCACAGCTACACCTGTACACTGTACTGCACACTACATCATGCACTATATTATACTATACACTGCACTGTCTATAGCATAGACCATAGACCACACCTATATACTATGCACATTATACAGCATACTATGCACACTACACTATGTCTGCTATGCACACTACACCGTATACAGTATACATTATGCTACATACAACCTATACTGTATACACTATAGGTACCATGCAGACTATATACACTGCACAGTACATGCTAAACATCACACTGTACACACTATTCTATACACACTATGCTGTGTACACATCAACGGGCACTCGTAGTGTTGTCATGGCAACCATTGTGACTGCTCAGTCCTCGGCAGCGTCTCCACAGCAACGCAACGGCAGACCAACCAGCCATGGCGCCAAAAAAGACGGCGCAGACGGTCGAGCAGACACAGTTGGGGCCGCAGATCCACGAGGGGGAGCTGTAGGTGGCAGTTGGCGCAGAAAATGCTTATCAAAATAGTGTTTTTGGAGTTGCACACATATTTGCAAGTTTTAACGACACGTTTGTGCATGTTACCGACCTCTCGGGGAGAGAGACCATTGCACGGGTGACAGGTGAGTGTGGCCGGCGTATGCACTGCACAGTGCACACATATACAGCATATATGCATGTATGCACAGCGTATACAGCATACACGTGCAATATATACAGCATATGCGTGCAATATATACACAGTGTATGTACTGTATGCACAGTATACATAATATATATTATATACATAATATATATATATACTATATATATAGTATATATAGTATACACGCATATATAGTATACACGTATATGCGCAGTACATGCATAGTGTAGTGTGCACTGTATGCATAGTGCATGCGCTGTGCGCACTAGGCAATACTTAGGGCACAGGTGGGATGAAGGTCAAAGCCGACCGGGACGAGTCGTCGCCATATGCTGCTATGCTGGCAGCACAGGACGTTGCTGCGCGCTGCAAGGAGCTCGGAATCACCGCTCTCCACATCAAGATCCGCGCTACAGGGGGTCCGTCTACACTGCATCCACACCTCTCTGACACACACAGGCACTTCTACCAAGACACCCGGCCCCGGCGCACAGTCTGCGCTGAGGGCGCTTGCCCGCTCAGGCATGAAGATCGGGCGGATCGAGGACGTGACGCCGATCCCCACTGACTCAACCCGCCGGAAAGGCGGGCGACGAGGCCGCAGGCTCTGAGCCCGCTGGACTACACAATATACATAATGTACAGTACACACAATACACAGTATACACAATACACAGCGCCTGCGCCCAGCGACGTCTGCCCTGCGGCGTTGCCATGACAGCCTCCGCAGACGGACGCGCGGCCTGGTTTCCGTGTTGCCATGCTATGTACAGGCCGCCACACCCGCATACACCGCACACTACCCGCACACTACATACAGCACATACACTGTATACAGCGCATATATACGGTGTAATACGGTGTATGTGGCGTATATGCGTGTATGCGACATACTAACGATAAGACTGCGAGCGTTAGGGGGTGTCCGTATATTAACGGGACACACCTTCTGGTACCTCGAGCGAGCACCGCTGCCACCAAACTTCTTGGGCTCGCAACGCCGCGGATCAGCGACAAGCAGTGTGCGGTCGTACGAAATAAGAGCCTTTTTGAGCTCTATTTTGCTCTGCTCATCGGCATACTTCTGGTAATACGCAACGATCGCCTTTGAGATCGCCTGACTGGTTTCATTAGCCTAGCAATGCAGCAAAGCAGCAGAGCAGCAGGCGCCTACCGGATAGCATAGATCTGAGACACGTGACCTCCGCCGGTGACGCGGACACGGATATCGACGTTGGCAAATTTGTCAATGCCGGCAACAAGCAGGGGCTCGTAGACCTGGAAAGTGAGTACAGAAAAGAGGGAGACGGGTACCTTGGGGTACCTTGAGGCGGAGGATCTCGGGCCTAATGAGCGAGACAGGGCACCCGTTAACCTTTAAGAGCCCGCGGCCGGTTTTACAGTGCGCGACGGCGGTCGCAGTCTTTTTCCTTCCGAAGGTCTGAACGGACTCCATCGGGCGCAAACCCTTTTCGCCGCGCCTTATCGAGCGGTGGTTGCTGCGGCAACCAAATGTTGCCATGACAACAGGGGAATGACTTGCACGCGCCGCCGGCTGTCCGTGGCCGCTCTGGATGTCACGTGTATGTCACGTGACATAGAGAAACGGCACGTGCAGCGCGGTTACTAGCGTGAACACACTTATACACGCAGCGCGGCGCCGGCACAAGACGGGAGCCAGCGCGAACAAATATACACAAAAGTGCGCAGAAACACACATAAATAGAAAGAAGCAGCAGAGCCAAAGCTCAGCCCAGCAGCAGAGCCCAGGAAAGACCTAGCCTCAGATAAAACCGGCAGCCAGGGCAGCAGACACGCATGCAGCAGCACGCATCGTCTGGGTGGCGCATCCAGCCGCGCCTTAGCACGGCGTCTCTTGCGCCGCCGTGGAGCGTTTTCTCGCGTGCAGTGATCCTCTCAGTTGCCGCCTTTGCACGGCTCGTCGTGGCCGTCGGCCAGAGGGAGGCGCGCGTAGTCGGGGCAGAGCGGTTCCACGCGGCACGTGACTCGGAGCGCGGCCTGATCACGGGTGAGTCAACTCAGGTCACGTGATACTGTTATTCACGTGATCCAGTAGGATCACGTGACTTTTATGAATATCACGTGACTTCATGTGGGCGAGGCTGATGTTGCAGTGTCGAACCATTTGAGCGTGTAAGTCGACGTCGCAGAAAAGCCGAAACACAAAAGACGCAGCAGAGGGGAAAAGCGGGGGGAAAAGAACAGAATAAACAGCAGAAATGAAAAGCCCATGGCAGGGAAGAGGCTGCAGGTCTTTTTTTCGGAGTTTTTTGGCGATTTCTATGAAGATTTCATGTGTTCCATCTTACAGAAACTAGTATGGATGATCCGCTGATGTGGGGGCTATTTCCGCTGAAAACATGGATGAAGGGGCGTATACGGTGGGCATTAGGAGCAGCAGACATATGTTTTACAGAGCCGCTAAGGGCGCTTTTTTTTTCGCTGGGCCAGACGCTGCCGATCGAGCGGCATGGGGCAGGGCTGTTTCAGGCGGGAATTGATGAAGCTATTCAGCTTGTTTCGGACCCAGCACGGGGGTGGATTCATGTTTTTCCGGAGGGACGTGTCCACCAGGACCCTCAAGAGACGATTCGGTATTTCCGATGGGGTGTTGCGCGTATTATCCTTGAAGCAGCGATGCGTAGCGACCGGCTGCCCTGTGTTCTTCCTATTTTTCTCCGAGGGTTTGACAAGATTATGCCGGAGCAAGAGTCAGCAGAGTTGGGAGATGTGCACTTGGAACAGCAAATGCAAACGAAAAACAAGTCAATGGCACAGCAGCCGCTTTTGCAGCATTTTTTAAAACAGTTTCATTTCTTTCAGCGGTTGCCTCGTCTTGGCCGCAGCATCGAAGTGCATTTTGGATCTCCTGTTCCAGATTCTCAGCTTGCCGGTTTTGTAGATGTTTGGCGAAAGCTTTGCTGGAGTTCCAGAATAAAGGCGTCAGACAAAGATATCCGTTTAGAGGAAACAGCAAAAAAAAAGGAATCGAATGCATTTCCCGAGTCATTTTCAGCATCTATGGTAGAAGATTCTCAAACAGCACGACAGTTGCGTAGTGATCTTGCAGCATTGCTGCACCACCACGTCGAGCGTCTCCGCTACGAAGCTAGCCTCAATAATACGCCTAGTCCAACAAAAAACAGCTCATTATTCTTTTAATACAATTGCTGCTTCTGTTATGCATTGACTAAATTAGGTTTAAATGTCGTCAAAACTTTGGATAATATTGGGCTAAATACCACTCGTCTTGGGCTGGATAAAGCTTGAACACAAATCAAGCATTCGTTACATGCAAACTAAATATTGATTTAATTATGCTAAGCTTTGATTAAGCTTTGACTAAATTTAAATTTAAAATAGTTTTAAAACCAACTAAATATGGCATAAACTTTGTTCAAACATAGATCAAACTTAAACAAAATTCAGCTTGAATTTGAGCTAGAAGTGAACAAGAAATAGTTTAAGTATTGTCTAAACTTAAACATCAATTAAAACTTAATTAAAATTTAACTAAGCCTAGGTTCAAGGTAAATGTATTCATAATCCAGTTTAATTCTAGCTTGGAACTACATTCTGTATCTTTATTGTCTTTTTAGCAGTACCAATTACTGTATGATTCACTTTAGTCGCAAAGCGCAGACTACATAAACTTTCTGATAAATGCTGCACTAATGGTGACAATGTAACAAGCATCAGCGTTTTTGAATTACCACCTAGCGAATATTGCAACAAATATGTCAACTATGTTCAATGTAAGAGAATTTCAGAAAAAAATAGAAAGAAAACCTTTGAATTGCGGTATGGAATATGGCCTTTTGAATTACCTAAGGAATGAATAACGTCGCCTAAGCAACTAAGACTTTTATTGATTGCTTGTGTCTCTTTAAGTCGGTCTCCAACGCTCTGACTATGTGATAAACGTTCGGATCCGGCCAAATCAATCAAATTAAGTGTGCCTTCAGATATTTCGCCTGTTATAGTATTCGTACCATGAAGAGTTAAAATAAAAACAGAATGAGAACGACTAGATCGTTCATTTGCCTCTGTTGCTGCAACAGAACGATTATTTGACGCCTTTTTCAACAAAGTAAACACTTTAGTTGGTGTATCAAGCACTACAGTTGTCAAATCAGTTACAATTGTTTTGCATTCTTTTGGATCGTGTCGAATTTCATGCTTTTTCTTGTCAAATTCATCTGGATGGCCAAGCAAGTCATTAATATGTTCATTATAAATCTCGAGAAATTGGCCCTCCATCGAATAGCACCAGCCTTTCTCTGTTAAAGCATTAATAGTCTCATAAATTTGATGTACTGCACGTGGAATCATTCCATCTTCAGCACACATCGTGTATGTCTTTCCAGAACCCGTTTGTCCATATGCAAAAATACACACATTATAACCATCCAATGCACTTTGCACGAGCTGAGAAATTTCATCAAAGACTTCATTGTTTGAGCATTTTGGCGAAAAAACCTATACCTGTTAATTGAAAAGAGCAAATAAAAACTATTACTTTGTCAAAAGTGAAAGGATAACTCTTAGTATGAACTGATCCTAAAGATGATTCTGTCGTTTGTCCAATAATTTCAATTTCTTTTCCTTCTTTTGATTCATCGGGGTATTTGATATCAGCAAGCCCATTTTCAAATTTTTCATGTTCCAAAAATGGTCTGACTCTACATAACACACGGATATTTCCTTTAAGCTCTTGAATTTGGTTATGTAGCTTTCTACGCAATGTCTCTTCTTCTCTAAGTTTTCTGTGGCATATTTCTTTCTCTTCTTGAGCATTTTTGGCAGAATCAGAAAGTTCTATAATACATGCTTTTTGCGAAGCAACCTGAGCTTCCAACTTTTCAATCTCACTACGAAAGACAGATACAGATGATTCAAGAGTTAAATTCGATACACACTTTTCATTTACAGCATTCTAGAAAATATCAAAATCAAAAGAAAAGAATATACTTGACTTACACGAAGAGAAGCATTTAAGACTTTCTCTCTTTCAAGATTAGACATAGCATCATCTAAGGATGCTTTCATCATTTTCAATTCTCTCTCTTTTGCATCAAATTCTAGGTCAATCTTCTGTTTTTCCAAAGCAGTTTCTGTTTTAAATTTCTGCAACGCTACAACACTCGCAGAACACGCTTCTTCTACCATAATTTTATGTTTTTTCTCCATTGTTTCAATTTCATTCTTATGGTTACTCATCAACGATTCTAGTTCCTGTTTTCCAGCTTTTTTTATCTCATTTATTTGGTCTTTATACGCTTTTTCAAGGGATTCAGATTCATCTCTGTGTTTTCTTTCAAGACTCTCAATATCATCTCTATGTTTTCTTGTAAGATCATCTATTTCATTTCTAAAATTACGGCGCTCATCATCCAGTTTTCTTTCAAGTTCTATAATTTCAGATTTTAATTTATTTATCTGCTCATCGGTTTCTATTTTCCGAGTCAGCAAAGAAGATCTCACAGTTTCTAATTCAGTCATCAAACTAGCTTTAACCAATTCCAGTTCATTTACTAATCTTTATAAAAAAGTCTTCAAAAACATGGAAAAACTCACATTTATGACGTTCACTTTCAAGTGCAGTATAAATTGCATCCTTTTCAGTATTCCCAATCGAAATCTGTTCTTTCAGCTCAGAATACGCAATTTCCATATCTTCAAGTCTTCCTCTCGTATCCCAAGCAGGACGCTTAGGCCTATCACCCAAAACCTTAATATTTGGCCGTTGGACCGACTGAGAACAAGGTATTTCATTAGATAAGCTTCTCCCAAGAATGGAGGAGGACGATAAATGACTATTTTCATTCAATGAACGGCTTAAACCAGATTGGCATATCTTTTGATAACTGGATGAGGCTGGTTTACTTTGTAATAATGTAGATGATTTATAAACACTGGTAGATGGCTTTCGAGATGCACCTGCACGCTCTACAAGCGTTTTTCTCTCAGAGATAGTAGTATTTTTACGTTTGATAGGATCCAATACTGATCCATCTGATCTATCAGCAGTTCTCTTTGTCCCTGAAATACTTTTTTGTGGAATAATATTAGCCGATGAGGTTGAATCAGCCAATGGATTTATTTTCATTCTTGTCATTGGTGATACTGTTTTGGACAACGGCTGTGGGAGCCTTGACTGCTAATAAAAATAACGTTTAGCACTATTTTTTACTCAAAAAACGCAAATATACCGTTTTTTCATCCATTTTACTCACTAAATGGCTTATACGAAGATTTAAACCGTAACATAAACAATGGTTGCTGTAACAACCGCGTGATTAGAGACAAATTATAAAGTTTTCTATTCAAGAAGATTTATAGACAAAAAGCATACTAATATGACGTATTATTTTTAGAAACACAGTGAACATATAATTTTGTGTATAAATCTAGCTTTTTGAAATATATGTTTTTTTAAATAGAAATAATCTTTTTTTGATGTCTAAAATAAAATATTTTTCAATACAGATTGGATACTTATTATTAAATGCAAATTGAGTTAATTTATAAAATATTATTTTTATTTTTTTATGGTCAAATTAATCACATTAAAAAATTAACCAAAATGACGATAAACCATTCATATCATTGTATGTGTGTTTTTTATTGAAAACAAGATCTTTAAATGCTGAAAATTACATAATTTCTATTGGAAAAAACAAAAAACACAATATAATATCAAATTAACTTTTTTTTTTGATTAAAAATATGTTTTTTTCATATTTTTTCTAAACATCAAATAATCTTCAATATTTTTTTTATTCAATCACTTAAAAAAAATTCAAGGATTTTTCAAGAAGAACAGCTAATGGAATTTATAAAAATACATAATATCTATATACATTTGTTCAGATATATGTAAATTGTATCACAAATATATTTAATAACAAATGGAAGACAATACAGAGTTTTTGTCTAATTTTCAGGGTAAAAAAACATAATAGCAAAATTCAAGAAGTGAATAATACTTCTTAAAGGAGGGAATTCATTAGCGGAAGCAGATCCCGGTCCTGTTAAGGATTTTGTTGCAGAACATGGAGGACATACTGTTATTACCTCTGTTTTAATTGCTAATAATGGAATTGCTGCAGTAAAAGAAATCCGCTCAATAAGAAAATGGTAACTCAGAGGAAATTCCAATTCCTTTACTTTACTTAGAATAGGGCATATGAAACATTTAATAATGAACGAGCAATTCAATTTACAGTAATGGCAACACCAGAAGACCTCAAGGTCAATGCAGATTATATTAGAATGGCGGAACAATATGTAGAAATTCCAGGAGGGAGCAATAATAATGTATCATATAACATTAGCTTATAACCATAATTAATATATATGTAGAATTATGCAAATGTAGAGTTAATTGTTGATGTGGCAGAAAGGTATATAATCAGAAACAAGTAGAAAATTCATATTTCTTATTTCCTTTTAGAGTGGGCGTTCATGCAGTCTGGGCTGGATGGTAATATTTTTCTAGATCCTTATTTATTATTAATATCATAGGGGACATGCTTCTGAGAATCCACGATTACCAGAAATGTTGTCTCAAAGCAAAAAAAAAATTGTATTTATTGGGCCATCATCGTCAGCTATGAAATCCCTAGGAGACAAAATCTCATCAATTATTATTGCACAGTCTGCCAACATTCCCTGTATGCCATGGAGTGGAAGTAATGTCAATAAAGTACAAATTGATAAAAAATCTGGAAAAGTTTTTATTGAAGATAGCGTTTATCATGAAGCATGTGTAAATACCCCGGAAGAGGGCCTTGAAAAAGCTCTTGCTATAGGTTTTCCTGTCATCATCAAAGCAAGCAAAGGTGGAGGGGGCAAAGGAATTCGAAAAGTTGAAGATAAATCATATTTTAAATCATTATTTCTACAAGTAATGGCAGAAGTTCCAGGTTCACCAATTTTTATTATGAAATTAGCAGAAAATGCACGTCATCTGGAGGTGCAAATTTTAGCAGATCATTACGGAAATATTATTTCATTATTTGGTAGAGACTGTTCTGTACAAAGAAGACATCAGAAAATTATAGAAGAAGCACCAGTAACTATTGCGAAACCAGAAACATTTTCTGCTATGGAAGCAACTGCTATAACTTTAGGAAAGATTGTTGGTTATGTTTCAGCAGGGACAGTGGAATATTTATACAATCACACTGATGATAAATTTTACTTTCTTGAGCTAAATCCCAGGTTACAAGTAGAACATCCTACAACAGAAATGATAACAGGTGTAAATCTTCCTGCTGCTCAACTGCAAATTGCAATGGGTTTATCATTGCATAGAATTAGAGACATAAGATTATTTTATGGCCTTGATCCTCGTACAATTACAGAAATTGATTTTGATTTTTCTAATAGCGAATCATTACAAACACAACGTAAACCTCAACCTAAAGGTCATACAACAGCATGCCGTATTACTTCTGAAGGTAAATTCAAATTGCATATTTAATTAATACTGAACTTTCAAAAAGATCCAGGAGAGGACTTTAAGCCATCCAGTGGGATGATGCACGAACTTATCTTTCGCTCTTCTTCAAATGCATGGGGATATTTTAGTGTTGCAGCACCAGGTGGCATTCATAATTATAGCGATTCACAATTTGGACATATTTTTGCGTTTGGTGAAAACCGTACAGCTTCAAGAAAACATATGGTAATAGCACTCAAAGAATTAAGCATCAGAGGAGACTTTCGCACAACAGTAGAATATTTAATTAAACTATTAGAAACACAAGATTTCGAACAAAACACAATAACTACAGGTATATTAATACATAAAATTATATATCCCTGTATTTATATTATTATAGAATGGCTAGACACACTTATTCTTCGCAAACTTACATTAGAACGTCCAGATAAAATGATTGCAGTTGTTTGTGGTGCAATTATAAAAGCACACGTAGCAAATAAAGAACGAACCTTGGAATATAAAACGTGTCTTGAAAAAGGTCAGGTATTAAGTCGTGAAACTTTAAAAACAGTTTTTTCTATAGATTTTATATATGAAAAAGAAAAATTCAAATTCACTGTAACACGAAGTTCTATTGATTCATATAATGTATTTATCAATGGATCGAAATGTATAGTTGAAACAAGACGTCTTAGCGGAGGAGGTCTTTTGATACTTTTGGATGGAAAGTCTCATACAGTATATTGGTCAGACAATAAAACAAGCACAACAATGAGTATCAATGGGAAAACATGTATACTAGAACAAGAAGATGATCCTACTCAATTAAGATCACCATCTCCTGGGAAACTTGTAAAGTATTTAATTCAAAATGGAGAACATGTAAAAAAAGGACAAACCTTTGCTGAAATCGAAGTAATGAAAGTAAAGGCATTTTTCAATATTGAAAATAAACCCTAATTCAAAATAGATGCATTTATCACTTACAGCAATAGAAGATGGAATAGTGCAACTAATAAAACAACCTGGAGCTACTTTAGAAACAGGAGATATTCTTGGAATTTTAACAATGGACGATCCATCTCACATAAAGCATGCTAAACCTTTTGAAGGACTATTACCCTCATGGGGTCTACCGCAAGTCATTGGAAATAAACCTCCTCAGAAATTTAATCAACTAATTGGAATTCTAAAAAGTATTTTACAAGGTTATGATAACCAAATGTTAATTGCATCAACTTTAAAAGAATTAATGGAGGTTTTAAAAGATCCTGAACTACCTTATGGTGAATGGCATTTTCAATTTTCTGCATTATCATCCAGCATTCCATCAGAACTGGGCTCACAACTCATAGATATTGTTGAGAATGCATATTCAAACCATAAAAAATTCCCAGGAAAGAAGATATTGCGAAAATTTGATCAATTTATTAAAGAAAACATACTATTAGATGATATAGAAATACTGAAAATGAAATTAAGTACCCTTTTTCAAGTTTCATTAAGATATAAAGATGGGATAAAAGTTCATAAATATTCAGTACTTTCAAGTCTTTTAGAAGAATATTGGGAAATAGAAAATCTCTTCGATTCACAAAATGTCAGAGAAGAAGATGTTATTTTGCAATTAAGAGACGAAAACAAAGACAATGTAGACAAAGTGCTTGAAATAGGTAGTTTTCATTATTTTATTTTATAATTTCTAATAAACTAGTACTATCACACTCAAAAGTAAATGCAAAAAATGATTTAATTTCTGCAATATTAGATGTTATTAAAACATGTCCATCTTCAGATATTTCAAAATACATAGGTTCATCTTTACGAAAACTTATTGATTTAGAATCACGAAATGCAACAAAAGTATCACTGAAAGCAAGAGAAATTTTAATTCAATGCTCACTCCCATCTTTTTCTGAAAGAATTTCTCAAATGAAACATATTCTTCAATCATCTGTTATTAAGGCAGAATCACGTGACAAATGGAAATATACAACACCAGCTCTTGAAATTTTAAAAGAACTAATTGACTCTAAATATAATATTTTTGATGTATTACCTTTTTTTTTCGCACATAAAAACCATTGGATATCATTAGCAGTACTTGAAGTTTATGTTCGTCGAGCATATAGAGCGTATTCTCTTTTAAACTTAGAATATCATATAGATTCAGGTATTCCATTTATAATTTCATGGAAATTTCAATCAAGATTATCGACTATTCAAGGAATTAACAAATATATAGCCACTCAATTGTCGTCAATATCAACAGAATTTACCAAGAATGGGAATCTTAAAAGAGTTCCATCTGTTGGTGATATGTCATCCACTATCTTCAACTCAAACTTATCAAGAACTGGAGTAATTATACCTACAGAAACATTAGATCAAATAAAAGACCAACTTCCACGGGCTTTAAGCAAGTTACCTGTTGATAAGGAAACTACAAATGATTACGAAGGAGAAAAATACGAAGTCAATTTATTCAACCAATTAAAAAATTCAACTTCAAAAAAACAGCTTATACATGTTCTTAATATTTTAATTCGCAACCAAGAAAATCTAGACGACAAAACCATAATCGACAAACTACGCCCAATAGTTACAAATTATACTCTATTGTTTCTCCGTCATAAAGTAAGACGAGTTACTTTCGTTTGCGGTTGTCAAGACGAATCGTCTAATCCTTTATATTATACTTTTCGAGGACAAGAAGACCTTTCAACTGATATTAAAAACATATACATAGAAGACAAAAGTATACGTCATATTGAACCAGCATTAGCATTTCAGTTAGAACTCGGAAGATTATCAAATTTTGATATTGAACCTGTTTTCACAAGAAACAGAAATATACATATATACAGAGCTATTGGCAAAGAAGCGCCAGGAGATAAACGATTTTTTAGTATATATTATTAGAATTCATTTTCTTTTACTAATATTATCCAGTTCGAGCATTAATCATACCAGGAAAATTAACAAATGAAATTCCTACAAGGTACATTTATTCAATTAAATATTAAAACTCATAAATAAAAAATATAGCGAATATTTAATATCAGAAACAGATCATTTAATGAATGATATTTTAGATGCATTAGAAGTAATAGGAGTAGAATATACGGTTTAATTACTTATTTTTGTATTCATCAATTAATATCATTTTAGGATTTAAACCATATCTTTATTAACTTTATTCCAGTATATCAATAATTTTCCTTCTAATCCAAACTTATTTTGCATAGAATTTTAATCTAATTTCAAATGAAGTTGAAGCGACATTAGGAGGATTTATTGAGCGATTCGGACGACGACTCTGGAGATTAAGAATAACATCAGCCGAAATACGAATTATATGTACTGATTCTTTAACTGGACTTGCATCTCCACTACGGATTATTATTTCAAATGGTATAAAATCTATTTTTTTTACATATTTAAAACAAATTTTTTAGTATCTGGTTTTGTTGTATGTTTTGAACTTTATACTGAGGTAAAAACGGAAAAGGGTAACTATATTTTTCAATCTATTGGCCCTCCTGTTATCTCACCAACAATTGTATACAAATTTTAATTTTTATATAGGGATCTATGCACCTTCGTTCTATTACTACACCATATGCAACTAAAGAATGGCTTCAACCAAAAAGATACAAGGCACATCTTATAGGGACAACATACGGTACATTGAACATAATGTCTTATTATATTACTCACAAAACACTTTTTAGTATATGATTTCCCTGACATTTTTAGACAAGCCGTACGAATATCTTGGCAAAAATACGCTCAAAACAATAATAACTACAAAATGCCAGAAGATATTTTAGAAGTCAAAGAATTAGTAATGGATGACAAATTACAACTTCAAGAAGTTATTAGAGAACCAGGAACCAATTCTATAGGAATGGTAGCATGGTTAGTTACGGCCAAAACACCAGAATATCCACAAGGACGCCGATTTGTTCTTATTGCTAATGATATTACTTTTAAAATAGGCACCTTTGGTCCAGATGAAGATCAATATTTTCTAAAAGCAACTCTTTTAGCTCGTCAATTAAAAATTCCACGAATATATTTGTCTGCTAATTCTGGTGCACGCATTGGCCTTTCAGAAGAGCTTATACCACATTTTTCAGTAGCATGGAATGATATTAAAAATCCAGAAAAAGGATTCAAATACTTATACTTTACACCAAATATATATAAGCAATTCAAAGAAAACAATAAAAAAGATTTCGTTGCAGAAAGAATTATTGAAAATGGTGAAGAAAGGTTCAAAATTACAGCTATAATTGGTGCAGAAGATGGGTTAGGAGTTGAATGTTTAAAAGGAGCAGGACTCATTGCAGGAGAAACTTCTCGTGCATATGAAGACATTTTTACTATAACTTTAGTTTCATGTAGATCAGTTGGTAGGTTATGCTAAATTTAATTTTATTCACTTAATATCTAAGGTATTGGTGCCTATCTTGTTCGATTAGGCCAGCGTACAATTCAAGTGGAAGGCCATCCTATTATTTTAACAGGAATATCTACAATTAATAAATTATTGGGATGTGAAGTGTATTCATCAAATTTACAACTAGGAGGTACTCAAATTATGTATAAAAATGGCATATCTCATTTAACTGCAAAAAATGATTTTAATGGAATTTCTAAAATAATGAAATGGTTATCATATATTCCAGACAAAAAAGACAATCCTATTCCAATTTTACCTTCTTTAGATTCATGGGATCGAGATGTAGAATATGTTCCATCAAAAGGTACTTATGATGTTCGATGGCTTATCGAAGGGAAAGAAGAAGATAACCACTTTTTTACTGGACTCTTTGATAAAAAATCATTCCATGAAACTTTAAGTGGTTGGGCCAAAACTGTTGTTGTTGGTCGTGCAAGGTTAGGAGGAATCCCTTTAGGTATCATTGCAGTAGAATCTCGCTCTATTGAGAATATTTTACCGGCAGATCCTGCTAATCCAGAATCCTATGAACAAAATATTATAGAAGCAGGTCATGTATGGTATCCAAATTCTGCATTTAAAACAGCACAGGCAATTAATGATTTTAATTATGGAGAACAGCTTCCTCTTTTTATTTTAGCGAACTGGCGAGGATTTTCAGGTGGTCAACGAGATATGTTCAATGAAATATTGAAGTATGGATCATATATTGTAGATGCTCTTTCAAAATATAAACAGCCAGTTTTTATTTATATTCCACCTTACAGCGAATTAAGAGGAGGATCTTGGGTTGTTATCGATCCTACCATTAATGAGGATATGATGGAAATGTACGCAGACGAAGAATCTCGTGCAGGAATTTTAGAACCAGAGGGAATAGTTGAAATCAAATTTAAAAAAGAAAAATTATTAGCATGCATGTCTCGTTTAGATTCTACCTACGCTTCATTAAAGAAACAACTTCAAGAGCCTAATTTGTCTCAAGATCAATTATTTCAAATAAAAACTAAAATAAACGAGAGAGAAAAACTTCTTCTTCCTATCTATCGACAAATAAGTATCCACTATGCAGATTTACATGATCGCCCAATTAGAATGAAATATAAAAACACAATTAGACGGTCCTTACAATGGTCTCAATCTCGAAGATTTTTCTATTGGAGATTACGCAGACGTTTAAATGAACATTACAAAATACAAAAAATAAGAAAAGTTAATAATAAACTATCTTTTCATGAGTCTGTTGAAATTTTAAAAACCTGGACATGTCAACTTTCTAATAATGATCTTAACTGGGAGGATGATGATAAAGAAGTAGTACAAATTCTTGAAAAAAACGAAGAACATATACAATTTTTAATTAAAGAACTAGAACAAACAACTATATCTAACGAAATTATAGATATAGCTAAAACTAACAAAACTGGTGTTCTTAATGGATTTTCTAGGATTTTAAAAGAAATGCCAGACCAAGAAATAAACGATATTATTAAATTATTGTCTGAACGGAAAATAATTAAGTGAATATAATTTATAATCTATTTATAACAAATAATTTTCATTATATATTGTCAAAATAAACACAAAAGAAATCTTTTCTAAACAAAAATTGAATCCATTGTTTTCATTGTTAATCATTACAACACAATTACTCATAATGATAAATGTATTAGTAGTATCAATTCAAAAAAATCATATATAAAAGAAATAACAAAACCAGCATCCTGAGTTTCATTAGATATAAGAAAATCTATTAACCAAAATTTCAAGTATATTATCATTTTGAAAATAAATTTATAACATGAATCATCAATAAAATATGAGCATTAGAAAATAAAGAAAAAAATATCTACAAACAAAAAGAATTAATGAAAAACCAATCTATATGATTAAACAAAGATAAAATTTCAAAAAAATTGTATATAAATCATAATATATTTTTTTTGAAAAAAAAAATTATATAATTATTCTATAAGCTAAAGATAATATATACAATAACCATAATTTATTAGACAACAAACATTTTTAAAAATATATTGATTTTTTTCTATATTAAAATCTAACATCGAGAACCCCATTTCATAAAAAACTAATAAAAATGGTAAAAATCTAAATTTTTATAATGTTTTTGTCATTTTAATATCATTGCTATTAGGCAAATACATCATCAAAAAAACAAGCAAAAAGAAACATTGCAGCTATAAAAAAACTAAAAATTGGAGGATTTATTAGTAATTTAATTTTTATTGGTATACGTCTAATATATTATTATTCAACAACAACAAAGTACACATTTGTTTTGTATTTTTTGACATTTTCTCTTTCCATGGGTCTATCTTATTTACTTTGGTCTATGGGTTCACCGAAATATGAAAAAGAACACCTTAAATTTCCGGGAGAAGATCTCAATCAAAATGGAGTTATCAAATACATGTTCTATACTATTTATGTAACATGGAGTATCCACATATTAGTTGCTATATTTTCAGATAAAGCATGGCTTCTTTATCTTGTACATAAAACATTAATTTATTCAAACTTTTCAATAACTTTTAACAGGTGTTATGTTTTCCGCTTTTCAAGAATACTCAATCACTAAATTAATATCAATAGAAAAATATTTTTCAAAAAAAATAAATAAAATTCAAGAAACATGAAATAAACCGCTAAAATATCAATTATATACATGCACTTTCAATTAAAAACAGCTTTCTTTAAAAGTTTGTCATAAAAATATTAGGAAATAATTCACATAATATCTCATTGATTTAAACAGAGCATTTTAACATTGTTATCAAAGTTATATACCAGTCTGTAAAAAATGGAATCTCAACAAATATCTATTCCAATACATTGTATGCATTCTATATATTCTATCTAGAAAATACAAATCATTATATACTTACCTTATACATTTTCATTTTTATCCTTTTATATCTTAGATTAGCATTTTATTAACGATTAAGCCTTTCATGACAGCGTAAATCACATCGTTTTTTAAAACAAAATAAACGCAAAAATATAGCAAATTAAATAGACAAAAACACATTGGATCACAGGAAATTCAATAAAATATCATATTTCAGAAAGCTAATCTGAGTAAATTCTTTTTTTTTCCAAAAAACAACCTTTTTAAGCAATCTACAGATTTCTCCATATTTTTAATATGTTAATCCCTAAAGAAATAAATATTAATGGAGAACATAAACTTATAAAAGAAGAAAACATATCTCTTCATGAAGAAGATGGTTTTTGCAGTTCAAGCCATAACGATTTAACGTAATGACATGTGAAACAGTATATATTAATATATAATATTCATCTTTTTTAGGGATATTCATTCTTATAAAGAACGATGTAAAGAGCTAGAAAAGGCATTGATGGAAACCCGTTCTGCTTTAGATGACTTTCAAATAACAAGCAAAGAATTTGAAGATGCTCTAGAACAAGAACTTGAACATACAGAGAAACAATACCAGGCATTAAAGGAAAAGAACTTGTCACTACAAAAAGAAGTAGAACGATGGAAGGCATGAAAAACTAAATAAAGGAAATTCTACTAATGTTTTTGCAAAAGAACATGTATGAACAGTATCGAAAAGAAAATACAATATCAACATTAGCAATGCAACAAGAAATTGAAACACTTAGAGAAACACATAAATCTATCAAGTCTAAAGTTACTGACCTGGAACTGAGCAATGATGCAATAGAACGCAGGGAGAGGTATAAATAGATGATATTATATTTTTACTAATTTTTTTCTAGAGCAGTTCAATCATCCTTTGAAGATTTAGGGACTAAATATAATAAAGTATTAGAAGAAAATGCTCTTCTTGAAGCAGAACTTGCTACCCAAAAGTCACTAGAAATCGATAACCAAAGATTAAAAGATGAGCTGCGTGACACATGTCTTGAGCTTTCATTAACAAAGGAAAAACTTAAGCAACTACAAGCAGAAAAAGAAGAAATAGCATCAAAAGTGTTACTGTGGCGCCATACACACCGTCCTCCTAACTCTTCAGTAACACAAACAACTATACCAACGACAAATGCAATTCAGGAAGAAGAAAAACAAGCAACAGACGATGATCAGATTAATACATCATCCATAATACCAACACAGGAAACAAATGAAAAGCATGCCCAGCCTTATTCAGTCAAAGTGGTGCAAGAAATGACAAAGCGTGTCAAAGTATTAACTTTTTTTTCGATAAAAAAAATAACCATTAATAGAATCTTGAATTACGTCTTCATTCATGTCGTATGCTAATAAAGCCACTCTCATCACGTTCAACACAATATGGTTCACCTCTCCCTATTATGATGCCTAAATTAAACAACCATCATGACAAAGCATCAGAAACTACGGACTCATCATATCATAGGCCTGCATCATCACCACCAAGTCTCCAGCATACAGAAACATCTCAGAGAGACTCATCAATAAAAAATACTGAATCGCTGTCTAACAATTTATTAATTCATTCACATAAATCCAAGATGCCAGTAAGCAAGATAACTCCTAAGACACCAGAAACATCACCACTTAAGAAAAATACACATGAATCACCTAGTAATATGAAAAGTAGTCTAAATAGATCATTCCGAAGGTTTTCAATAAAGAAAATGGCATTTGAAGGAAGTCCTATGAAATCTCCAAAAAGACAAGCCATGCCTTCTGCAATACCTGTTCCTAAAGAAGGACTTAAAAGGAGGATATCTAATATTCCTCAGAGCATCCATCCTATAAAACTTACACAAAGCTTATTGAAAAAAAAAAATAGCAACATATTTGAAACATCGTCCAACCATCCTCAACGGAAGATTATCCATATGTCAAGCCTAATCAACTTATCTAGACATAAATAGAAAATACACAGTGCGGCTCGAAGCAATGCCATAAATACCCTACAAAACAGTCATAAAACAATAACAAATAACATTATAAGAATATACCATTAATAACTTCACAGAAAACCTTTTGACGATACCAAGCAACAGTTTTTAGAACACATAAAAGCCATTTGTTTGTGCATACAAACCCTCTATGTAAAATACCATTTTAATTGTATTTTTTAGGATATTTCTAAACACTTAACAATATAAATTTTTAACACCAAACATATTCTGCATCAATCACCATTCTCAGCTATTCATGCTCTATGGATTCTCATCTCATCTCACCCCGGACCATCCCATATCTAAAATTCAATCCTTGTTTGAAACATCACAGGTATTTTTTTGCAATCATTTTCACCTTTTGCTCAAATGCAAAAGATGTAATTGGCATGTCAACCTCATAAAAAGGATTCATCAAACACTTTGTATACATATCATAGACCTCCTGAAAAAAGTGCCGGATCCCATCTTCATTGCGAATTTCATGCAGCAACATGAACTTTATATCTAAAAAGTTAAAAATACATAAATAAACACAAAAATCCCACTTCCTGCAGTAAGAAATGTAGAAACCATCGCTTGGTGGAATGTATCAAGTGATTTCATGTACCTTTAAATATAATTAGTATAACTCAAAAACTGCCTCCTTCAAAGATAAACTTTTTAGGGCTAATTCAGGGTTATTCTTCATAATATCAATTTAGGGTATCAATTTAGGGTTAGGGTTGGACACCACTTAACACAAGCTCCTCCAGTAAAAAATAAAGCTTTCCAGCACATTGTATACACCATATGCATTAAATACACAAACAAAACGCATATAATAACCATCTATGCACCTAAACACTGCCCATATACAACCCTACTACTGCATTGCTTATCTCTGTATCTGCACCTATATTGGCTATTCATACATACATTGCTGGCGATACCCATTGGATCTCCTCAACCAAGTCAAGTGTTGCATGCACAATAAACTGGTTGCGGTGGCGAGTCTCTTCCCGAAACTATACGCGCATATAAGCCATATAAACGCAGTAAAATAGCACAAACCCGTGCAACACCATCTCCTCCTGCTTTACGAGTGCCAAACTCTGCTTGAAAAATCGGGTTGTCTTTTGTACCTACAATAACAAGGAAATACGACATATTTATAGTTATCGTAAGCCTCGGAAGGTATCACTTATAGCCGAACACATATATCCGGTGCAAAAGATAATTATCACGCATTGATCCACGCATATATACAGTCAATTACTTCATTTGATACATGCAAACACACATGCCAATTTATAAAGCACTTTTATGTATATATCTAACAACATCACATCATATTCTTATGTATTATAGTTTTCCGTATATTTGACAGAATCTAATGAATAATATACACAAAATACACTATATAATCAATATATACACATTATATGCTTTCTATATGCTTTCCTCACCTCTCAACTAGTGCACGATATGGATCCCGTACACATCCCAGGTGCCTGGCAATATGGATGGATAAGCAAAGAAAATATATCATTTGAAGCAGAAGAACAAGATAAAATGCAAGAATGCAGCAATATAGAGGAACATTTGGAGGAAGTGAATGCACGTCTAAAAGCCCTTTCAAATACAGATGAAATAGAACAATGGATCGAATCATTGGAAAAAGAACTGGAGATTCTTGAGGAAGAAGTAAGTATTAAGGAAAAATAGAAGAAATAGAGAAAACTGAAGGCATATGTGCAGGAAAAAAAAACAATATCAGAGACTATATATGCAAAGGAAAACATACAGGAAGATAGAAAGAAACTTGAGAGATATAGAAAGGCCATTGAGGAGTGTATAAAGGAAGAAAGAAAAGAAGGGAAGATTGGGGAAATTTTTTTGGAAAAAGAAGGGGAAATAGGAAGCAAAAAGGACAGAGAAGAACAAAGAAAAACAGAGAACCAAGAAACAGCATTTTTTATGCGATTATATGCGTCAATAAAGCTTTTATGGCGTCTTGAGGACGCTAAAGGATGTTTAACGACGTTAATAGGCCTAGAAAAGCGAAGGTTTTTACATCAAATGCATGTTAAACAAACTAAGTATGTAATACAGCGATGAAGTAAAGAAATATCTTGAAACAGACGAAAAAAGGGCATTAAAAGTATACCAGGAACTGATTGAGTGGAAAAATGATACTAAAAAGAGCTATAAAGGAAGAGAGCAAGGTTTGACGCATGTAGAAGCATTTATCCGGACGAAAATACATGATTTATGGGGAGAAATGGAAAAAAGGCTCTGCAGGTACATATTTTAAATATTTATAGAGAAATAAACAAGAAAAAGAGATTTCCGTGGGCATTTGGAAAAAATAGGATGGCCAGATAAAATCAAAAAAGGCATTGTGCCGGATCCCAACTGTTTTCAACGCTTTCGGATGAGTTTTCAGACATTATTGACGCAGCATCAAGAAGTGTATAGTATCCTTGGTAAAAAAACAATAAAAGTGAAATACTAATATAGTAAAATAGCATTAAAAACTTTAAGGATAAAGACAAACGCATTATGTGTGCAAACGTAAAGCATCAGGATATTCTATTACCATTTCTTATTATGTCTGATCCACTGAATGTCCAATTTCGATACCATTTCATGGAAAAACGAAAAACAAATAGAATTGATAAGGTTTATTAAATCGTAGTTTATTTTTCTGTCTTATTTAAACCCATTTAGCCAGAATGGTTCTATACATATATATTGGATACTATATCATCATTTGCCGATTTTTTTTGTATTGAAATACAAAATATTATTAACGAAACAACAGAAAATGATAGAAATTCTCTCAATGAATTCATTACTTGTTTATTAAAAATTCTAGAAGAAAAAATCCAAGAATCTTTAGAATTTCTCTTAATGGACGTACACCTATTTTCGCATTTTGTTCATGAAACAATAAAGTTTGATAATGTTTTGGAACATGATTTCGGTTATTTCCCACACAAGAGCCAATGGGATGGAATTGTTAATATAGTCCTGGGGAAACCAGAAACCTTTACAGCATGGGTTGAACTTGAAAAGAAGTGTAAATACTCCATAAACCCAAAACATATTTATATTAATATTTCAGTTTCAATCGAACAATTTCAAAATATCATAGATCTAACAATATCACCTGATGCGTGGAATTTAGATTATGATAGTGTAGATGAATCAGAAACGAAACCTACAGTTTCCTCACTTAGAATCAAAAACCTCATAGAAGGAATTACAGGTTAGTTGAGTTGACATATTTTTGAATTTTTTAATCTTTAGAACAATATCATTCTTTAAAAGATTTTGATCAAAAATCAATATTTTTTACGGAAATCCAAAGCCATATTTTACATAGTTATTATGAACGACTAAAGTCTGCAACTGATGCATTTGAAGTGACTTTTTCACGAATTATCAAGGCAGTATCCATGACAAAAACGGATGAAATAATTCATGGAGCAAAAGGATTAGAAACACTATGTAGGATATATGGTAGTTGTATTTTTATAGAGTCATGTTTATTTGATTGGGATGACGATATTGTAATAATATCCGTTTCTATACAAGATTTCTTATAATCAATTTAGTTCTTTCTTGAATTATGGCAAGGCTTCATATCCAATACTAAAGAAAATAAAATAGTTCATAGAAATACTGATCTTGGAAATGCAAATATTCTACAAGAACCCAACCAGGGTAGCTTATTTAGTGAAGTCTCGTCTTTATACTTTAATCTTCATAATCGTATTGAAAAACTAATAATTCGACATCTTGAACGTGAAATAAAAGAAGAATTGCGACCATATTTCAAAATGTTAGTATAAAAAGGGATGAATTATCCATATATTTACAGAATTATAGTAATACATGGTCTTCTTCTGAATGTCCATCATCATCAATGGCTATGTCTTGTCCCGTTTCAATTCAAATGGTCGATGTATTAACACTCACGGACTCTATGTTAAATTTTCTAAAAAAAGCGCTTTCTTATTTGACATTTCTTCGAATTTATAAACAATTCTCATTAAATATTGAAAATCTCCTATGGAACAAGGTAATATTAAAAAATACATTTTCCGCAAGAGGTGGAACACAGTTTACCAGAGATATATGGGAACTCTGGACCACATGTAGCAAATATGTTGAAAAACCAGAGCAAAATATGAAAAGGTATTGCTATTATAAATATATTAAAAATATAGCTAACAAGTTATAGATTAGAAGATGCATGTACCTTATTGTCTTTGCATTCCTCTAATGATAATCACATAAAATCAATATCAAGCGTTGGTGCAATAGTTTTCGATTTATATAAAAGCCCTGAGGAGAAAACACAATATCTTAAAGAGATTGGCGTCAAATGCATTAACATTGCAGAAACGAGAAATATCCTTCAAAGAAGAATCGATTGTTGGGCACAATAACTTCAAAAATCCATTTCCAAACATAAAACCACTTTAACTCAATATTTTACAAATACTTGTTATTTTTTTAAATGTTTGATTTCATCCATAAACAAAGCCATAAACGTCTTTATTTCCTTTACTGTTTTAAATAAAAATGTCAGCATTTTTTCTCAAAATGTATTAATATACATAAATTAGGTTTATGAGAAAGACGATAAACCCAAGCAACACAACGATTAAAAGTCGGTGAATCCAACAACTAAACAAATAAAAATATTTAAAACTTCAAATAAAAATCTTACTTTTTGTGTTAAATAAGGACTTGTTATTTGGAAAAATAATCGTCTCCACATTTTTTTTTTCGAATACTTCGTGACGTCTACGTCTGTTTTTTTATAAAAAATTCAATGGAAACAAGTATTACTACATCATTCAACCTTTCTTATGAAGCTTTACGTGAAAAGTTTGCACGTCTTCAGCTTCTTGAAAAACAACGAAAAAAAACATCATTAACACCTTCTTCGCCATGGTCTATAATGGATTCTCAAGAAACAAGAAATCTTTCAAGAAATCGATATTATGATATTGTTCCATATGACAAATGTAGAGTAAAATTAGTCGATCAAGAAAATGATTATATTAACGCGTCATACGTTTTTCTTCCAAATGGTCAGAAATATATAGCAGCACAGGTAGGTTTTTTCTAAATAGAAAAATATTCATATTAATAATATTTAAGGGACCACTACAATCCACTATATCACATTTTTGGAGTATGATATGGCATGAACTTGATAATAACGGCATTATTTTAATGCTTACAAAAGCGGAAGAACAAGGCATTGAAAAATGTGCTAAATATTGGCCAGAAGAGAAACAAGAAGCGTTAATCATTACAGAAGTGTCCTTAAAAGTGGAATTTGTTGAAGTAAAATATGAAGAGAAGACAGAAAGCATCATCCGTCATTTAAGATTATCAAAACTTGGAGAAAATAAGTCAGAATTAGTAAAACATATCTTTCATGTATATTTTGGGAACTGGCCTGATCATAGTGTTCCCCAAGACCTTCAACCTATTATGGATCTTATCTCTTTGATTACTAATATAAGAAAAAAGAAAGATGATATTATTCTTGTTCATTGTAGTGCAGGCTGCGGTCGAACTGGAACTTTTATTGTTCTAGATTATTTAATATCAACATTGTCCGAATTTAAAAATGATTCAAGTAAGAAAAATCATATTTTTGACGACGACAAGGACCCTATTTTCGATGTCATTAACCATATTAGAGAACAGAGAATGGTTATGGTTCAGGTATTACTTATTCAATACATAATATTACAATATTTATATACAACAGAGCTTTTCACAATTAGAACTTATCTATAAAATGGCAGAATATTTTCTAAACCATAATAACCATTCTTAAAAATATCATATAGACAATAATTAATATGCACTATTTTCAACATAATTATTTATGCATCGCATTAGTAACTCAGATAAAAGCACTGCTTCATTATCCCCTAATTCTCTAGATCAGAAATATTTTTTGCATCTGAAGATTTTCTTTTTTTTTTTGAAGGATTTAATGTGAATGTATTTACTTTTTTTAAGGAACTGATTATTTTCCCGTTAGAAGGGAGGCGGGGCTTTTGTTTCACAAATAAGTCTTCGTCTTCTATTAATTCTGTTCCACCAGATTCCAATAGCTTCGACTTTAAAAACGGCTGTACCAAGCCAATCTGACAATCGATCACATCCATTGTTATAGGCGCGAATCGCGGAGGAGGAATGTGTTTAACTTTTCGTTTCATATTTCTACAAATTAAATCAAAATAAAAAAAACTAAAAAAACATACACATGATTTGGAACACCTATTCCTTGTTGCATTCTATTTTGTAACAAGTGAAATGGAACCTTTAAAATATTTAAAAGAAGTAATTACCAAAAAACTATCTTACTAATAATGAGGAAAGACCAAACTCTTTATCCAAACCAAGTTCTTTAAATCCAAAAAAGTCTTCACCTATTTTTTCAGCAAAATCGCCGCTTATTTATTATCAAAATGCATTTCATAAAATAATACTTACTGAATTAAAGAGTCATTATTTTCTAATTTTTCTTCATCAAAACAAGATAATGAAGATTTCTATAAACAATTAGTATAATTAAAAAAAATACCAAAATACTATTGTTTCAGTAAGACATGTTCGCAATTGCTTATGGATATCGTTAAGTTTACTACTGTATCTATCTATTTCGTCTTTAATATAAGTCTCAAATAAAGAAATATTCGAAATCCCATTTTCATAAAGAGCGTGTAAAAGATTTTCCTATAGACTTTAGAAAGACGAATTTAATTTTAAACATACTTCTGCTGTTTTACTTGATTTGCTTTCTAAATATAATTTCAATGTTTTCCCAAGTTTTAATAGAAATGAACCAGCAATATCAACCAAAGTATCTAAAGCACTGCTTTGATATTCTATTGAACTTAAGAAAACAATAACCTGGAATCCTCCTAACCTTCAAAACCTACATGATATAACAACGTAGAAACAAATTTTTCTAATAAACAACATCCTAACTCTTCTGACATTACTTCTACAAAATCAAATGAATCACCAGTTTTATCAGGAATTTCCAAATTTAAAGGTTTATGTTCTACAGGTGCTTTAAAACAATTATAATATAACTAAAACAATAAGTTATGGAACAAAAATTTAAAAATACCAACAGGACTCGCTTGTTGTACCATTCTTAATGTGTATACTTTACTACAAAGCTTTCTAATTTTTCTTAAATCTTCAATATTTTTATATATTTTGCGACAAATGCCTTGAGAAGGAGGATAAAATCGTGGATTAGATATGACATGTCTATAATGTTATTTATTTACTTGTTTTCCATAAAAACACTTACAAATAATCTTGAAATGCATTAGGTGAAAAATCATATAATTCATCATTCATAACAGATATTTTAGGTAAACCAGAACAAACATTATAAAGAATCATATAGGAACTTTCAGACAATTTTTCATCAATATCATCTTTTTCAAGGTCAAAATTTTCAGATATTTCACAATCTGAATAATGCAATATATTACCATTTTTTGAAAAACCAGCCTCCCATTCTTGAAACTTCATCATTAAGTTTGAATTTCTACATATCGCTACAGCATTTCCTCTTAATTTATCTCCCTTTAAAAGTCTGTATCTTGCACTCTATTTGATTAAATGTTTAAACACAAATCTAAAAATACTAACACAAATCTCTGCACGAGCTTTTTTTGTTAATGTTTTCCATGCTTGATATATTAAATCATCATCATCGTCGTCATTGTATTCAGTGTTTTGAGTCAAATCTAAACCTCCAACTTCAAATTTCGGAGCATATTCTTTGCTAAAAATATTAGCATCATTAATCATTTCCCCATTATTCTCCGAAGAAATGTTTGATGTTTCCATAATATTACTAGACAACTGTGTTTCAGATAAATCAGTCTCAAAATCTTTCGATTTAACAGGTTTAGAACATACAGTTTTCTTAACCGTAAGTGTCTGAGTTTTTGATCTATTCAAAATTCCTAATTCTCGTTAATTAAAAAAAAAATCAAATAAATATTAACCATTATCACCAATTTTTTCTTTATCATTATTATTAAAATTCATTTTTTCAACATCTGGTCCATTCTTATCATATATGACAATATCTGGAATAAATTTAATCAAAGACAATGTTTTTTTACGCATAGCAATTGCATGTTTTCTAAGAAAATGTGCCTTTTTTAGTTAATCAGTATTTTTTATAATAAATAAATAAGTACAGGATCAGCATTATAAACAAGACAATTTGACCAAATAAGCATAAGATCGTCGACGAATTCCTTTTTACTATTATATTGAAAATTCCTAAGTTTTTTCATAACAGTTCCCAAATCCATTGGATTTTTAATAACTATAGGCCATTAGATCTCTATAATCATTAAATATAGAACATACCATCATAATAATCAGGTGCTTCTCTTTTACTAACTTTATTTAAAAAAGCAGTAGAATGTTCCTGAATTAAATTAATACAAAAAAAAAAAATATTTCATACAGTATAAGCTCGTAATTCAAGAACAACTTTTTTTGCTGCGTCATAAAGCTCTTGACAAACATGATCTTCATAAGTCTATAATACAATATTAATCAATATACAGCTATAAAACTCTCATTACCCATTTCGATCTACTTTTTCGTACTTCAGACAAAAGAGTGCGCAATTCACAGTCCGAAATAGATATAAGTGACCGCTTGCTTTCTATAGCAGATAAAAGGTGCTACATTTCATTAGAAAAATGGTTTATAGCACAAAAAAAACCTTAAATGACATGTTTTCCATTTCAAGATTCGAAGTAGTCTAATATCATTAAAATAACAAAAAGATTTCATATTTTTTATAAATACATCCTCATCATAAGATACAGGATCAAGATCCATAGATCGGTCAGAAATCTACTTCATGTCAAAACTCGTCATTCCAGTAACAAGTCCTACATTTAATTTATGTAACTCAGCCATTGCATTCTCATCATCATCTAGTATATAATAAAAACGATTAATAAATTCCCTAATTTTCTCATTTGCTTTTTTATTTATTTTATCCATATCTTTATTTGTCATTAAGATCAAAAACAAAAAAACATCATACTTTCTTTTGTACTCAGCTTTTCTAGACTATTTAAACTACTAAACTGATCTTCATTGTCCTCTTCATCATAACAATTATCATCAAAATCCATCACTGTTCTAAAATCATGCTTTTTACGCATTTTTTCTTCATAATTATCTAAACCTTGTAAAACCAAAGATTGATCCACTTTAAAAACATCACTTGTATCAGAAAATATATGAGATTCAATTGCTTTTTCATAAAGCATAAATCTAACTCGAAATAACACTGTAATCCTCTTTAAAACTTCCGATGATGATAAAGTTCCTGTAACATTTGACTTAAAATGGATAAATTCATCCCAAAGAATAGGATCATCAAGATAACTTAGAAAGATATCACCTTCTAAAGGCGTTAAATATGCATACCATAGCTCTTTTTCTTTAATTAAAAGCGCCAAATGTCTTAATAACTCTGAATTAGCCGATGTCCACAATGCTTCCATTTTAACCATTTTAAACCAACAAAAACACTATTGACATTTTTCAAAAGCCATTTTCTACAAAAACTTTAAAAATCAGTTAAAATATCTGAAAACAAAGCACTTCTGGAAATATTATAAAACTCGTACAATTCTACAACGTAATCAAGGTTTGAAGAGAGTAAAAAAGGTGTATTAAAAGAAACTAGAAAAAATAAAAAATAATATAACTTTATATATTAATAATGCATACAGAGATATATATATCTAATCATCTACCCGGTATACTTTGTCCCTTAAAAGGACGTTGAACCATAGGTTGTGAAGCTTTAGATGATACTTGCTGCTAATGAAAAAATTAGAAAAGCAATAATTATATATAATCTACCTGTTGACTGGGCTCATTTTTTATTGTCTCATCAACTGATAAAATAAGAGTAGCTGCTTCAGTGGCGGATAAAATAGCATTTGTTTTCACAGAGCCAGGTTCCCATATGAATTCTTGAAAATTATCGGCAACTCCTTCAGACTTGACAGAAACTCCTGCCCATATTTCACCTCTTGCATGAAGCATTCGTAGATTGCTTAAAATATCAGTTGAATCAAGACCCGCATTATCACATAATTGTCGTGGAATTACTTCCAACGCTTTTGCAAAAGACAAAATAATAAACTGTTGTTTGCCAACAATAGTCCGAGAATACTCCCGCAAATATTTAGAAACTTCCATCTAATGCATATTTTAATATTATATATATACGTATACATTTAAACTTACCTCACATGCACCTCCGCCTGCCACAATAGAACTATTCTTAATTGTTCGCCGAACAACCATAATAGCATCATGGAGTGATCTTTCAACTTCAGCAATAAATTGCTCAGCACCCCCACGAAGGATTATAGTACAGGATTTAGCCCCAGGACATCCTTCAAATATATTAAACCGTTCACCACCAATCTGCCTTTCTTCAAAACTTGAACATGTTCCAAGATGATGCGGTTGAATATTAAAGCATGTAGACTGAATAGAACCACCAACTGCCATTACGACTCTATTCAAATCATCAGACGCAACTCTCCCTGCACAAAAAACATCATGATCAGCAAAATATTGAGTTGCTAAATCTCCTATAGGTAATTTCGATAATACAATTTTAGCACCAGTATTAACCAATGCTTCTAATTTTTCAAATATAATCCTCCATTCAGCATCCACAATAGCTTGATATTCCTGAAACAAACATGTTAAGCTTAAGTTAAAACAGTATCAAAAATACCGAGACTTCTTCCACCCTAACTTCTGCATTATCTTTCTCAGCTTTAAGTTCAAGTTCTACATTCAAACACACTATTTTAGGGTTTTTATATAATTTTCGTTGTTGTTCAAATCCTGCATAAGAAAACGTTTTTTTAAAAGCCACTCCATGAATTAATAAAGAATCCTAAATTAAAAAAATTAAATAACAAAACAAAACAATAAAAACAACTACCTCAACAGCACCACCAAGAACTTTTTTAATACCAATCAACTTTTCATTAAGCTCTTCATCAAGTGTTAAAACAGCATCTACAACCATTTTGGCAAAAATATCTTCATGAGAACGAATAAGCTTGGAAGACATTGATGTAATTGCACACTTTACAAGATACTCACGGAACTTTCTAAACAAAAATTAACCTTTTAAATTATCAATGAAAAATCAATGTACTCTTTATCAGACTTTTCTATATTAACCGAAATTTCTTTTATTTTATCAACTGCAAGCTGACATGCTTTTCTATAACCCAAAGAAATAATATTAGGACTCACACCTTCCTCTATATATGCCTTTGCTTCTTTTAAAAGCTCACCAGCAAGCATTACCACAGAAGTAGTCCCATCACCTACTTCTGCATCCTGACTTCGCTAAAAAGAACATTAACATAATATATTAAGGAAAATAACTACAATATACAGCAATGTCAACAAGAATTCTCGTTGCTGGATGTACAATATCCAACAATTTCATAATTGTCGCCCCATCATTAGAAATGACTATTTGACCTAAAATTTCGTTGAAATATATTCAATAAAGACATAAGAAATACCTTTACTATCTACAATCAGCTTATCTGCACCAAGAGGACCCAATGTCGTAGAAATAGCAGTTTGAATAGCAAGAACAGCATTGATATTAGATAATAATTGGCCTTTTCCTTGCGAATCACTTGTTCCTTCCTTAAGAACTAAGATATTACTAATATACAGATAAAGATCCATATATTCAAACCTATAATAGGAACATTTTCTCTAGGGAAAGACATGATTTAGATTTTTTTAAGATTTTTACTAATATTTGCGGTGTCCTTAAACACCGACAAAAAAGTGTATAAAATAATGATTTATTGCAAATTATACATATAAACAATTATACCAATACACCCAGAAAGTAAAACATTACTTGAATAAATTAAGAAGATCTTCCAGCATCTTAAATTCGTACGCAACAGCAATATTGTTAAATATAGCGAAAAGATCTTGATAATAATCAATTGTAGAAACCCAATTGCCTGAACATGTGCAATATTCTTGTAAATTACTCTCTTTTATTTTTTTGCATTTTTCACAACGAAAATCTTGTATTTGATAAATCATCATCATATGTTGAACTTTCCCAATTAACATTTCTTCAATAGCGAGTTTATTATATTCTGAAAAACACTGAGTACATTTTAAAACAAACATTCTTTTCCCAAATTGGTCAAATGAAAAAAGATCGTTGTCTCTACAAAGATCAATGTCACGTAAAAAACCACAGCTTTGACAAATAACAGAAAGCACATATGATCGACTTGGATTTTGAAAAATAGATTCAGGACTAAATTCACTAATATCCAGCGTTCTTAATAAATCTCTTCGCAACATTCTTACATCCAAAGAAAACTCTTTCACCAATTCAAAAATAGCACATATACATTTTACGAATAACAATACAGGATTACTAATTTCCAAATAAGAACCCGGTAGATTAGGAACCTCAAAATCTACAGCTAATTCTGAATCCCTAAAAGAATTATTCTGTTGATGAACTAGCAGAGAAGTACGTTTAATCAAAGGTTTAGCTATTTCATTCAAAATAGCATTTTGGCCCAACTCTTCAAAAACTTGAGACTTATTTACATGATCTTGATATTGATATTGAGTAGAGTATTCATCCAATGCAGACATTTTCGATTTATACATAAGTGATATAAACTCTGCTATCCAGGCTTTAAACTCATCTTGAAGGATCTTAGGAAGAAAATTAGCAATATGCCAATGCAATATTGTATCCAAGTTTTGCCCTTCCTTTACTTCTAAACATGCTTTTCCACCATAGTTAACATCATCCATCCAAAGAAGATAATCCCAATATTCCTTAATATTAATATCTAAAAAGTTAAAAAGAGGTTTATTTCTAATTGTTTTTATAATATATGATCCATATGTATAAGCATTATCGAGATTTTTTTTACTGGTTTGTATAAGAACACGAAATGTATTAGCAAACACAATTTTTGAGCCTGATCTTTTTAAATCAGAAAGTAAATTTACAAACGCCTTCTTTAATATTCGTTGAACATAAATATTAAGAGAATTATCATATAAAAAAGAATCTGAACTAGAAACCCATCGCAAAAAATGTTGTACCATCAAATCAGCATTCCTGTTACCTGTACTAGCCTCAAACAACCAATGCTTAAGCAACAATTTTAAAACAAGAATCACAGAACTAGAAATATTAACATCAATAAAGTTTTCAGAACCATTATATATATCATTATCTAAAAAAGAAAATTCATCAGGTATTTGATCAGAAGCAGAATCAAATGCATTAACCAAAGCCGAATTTAAAATAGCAGAAACAGCCAAACTCCTAACATCAAGTTCAATACATACATTTTCATAAGACCCTGGATTATTAACCAGTGGTATATCTAATCCTTCTTGTGTATATAACGTCCAATCTTTTTCATGCCCCCCATAATCTGGAACAGAAGACCTTGACCACCATAACAAATAATTATGCTCCATGAGACACCTTGCAAACGTAACATCAATGACAAATTTTGAATCGTCTTCCAGAATATCACAAAAAGGTATATTACTATATCTAGAAAGCTTAATCCTATACGAAACAAAAGCAGATAAATGCAAAAACGACGTTATTGCTTTTTTTCCAACATAAGTTTGCCATCCTAATGATGGTATATTATTATCATCTTGAGGAAATTTCATAAGAGGAAAATCAAACAAAATAGGAGAAAAATGATTTAATTGGTCATATTTTAAAGTATGAATCAGAATAGTAGGTCCATGCCTTTCTGTCTGATACTCTCTTATACAATTCGATAAAGACTTATATAGTTTTTTCTCATTTTTTAAAACAAGAACTTTGAACGCAATAGAATCATCATACTGAAAAGCTAAATCATCAAAAAGACCTTGAGATTTTAAACTAGAAAACAAATCTTTATAAAGTTTTTCAAAATTCGGAAATACTGGTGTTTCACGAGAATTATCCAAAACAAACAAATTAGCTATAGGTTTACTTGAAAAAAATATTGAAATAATTTGCGTATTTCCGGAAGAAAAGTGAGTTAAAAATATAAAACTCAAATTAAATTTCTCTAAATATAAGACATTTTTGTCAGACTTTCTCAACATTGTTAAATCAAATCCTTTTTCCAATGCTTTTCGTAAACTACCTTGTTCTGTATCTTTAAATTCACAGATTGCACCCAACAACAAAACCGCACGTTCCTTTGTAGATATCTGGCTTTCAAATATACCATCAATACTTGGATGATTTAAAAAGTTTAATAATGATTTCTGTTTATTATTATAAACTTGTTCTGGAATTTTAAGTTCAAAAAGATAATCAGAATATTTTCCAGTTGGTAAAATTTTTGAAACCTTTTCAATTTCACAATCTTCTATGTTAAATTCCGGAACATCACTAGATTTAAAATTAATATATATAATTCGAGGAATAACCAATTTAATACTATGCAATACATTATCAATTAATACCCAAGCTCGAAGTTCGCCTGCTATATCTGTTTGATGAAATTCTAAAACTTCCCATGTTTTTGTATAAGTAAAAATAGCTTTATCTCGAAAAAACCCCAAAAGATTATTATTAGCATCAATATTCGGACCAAATAAATGACGACGCCTATCTCTGTTTTGTTTCTGTATCCTCCATTTATATTTTTGATGTTGAAGCCATGACTTATAATCATAATCAATATCAGCAGCTGGAAGATCTAATATAGCAAAAAAATCATCTTTGTCAACTTCCTTAGTAATTTCTTTAGGTTCATTAGTTGCTTTAAAAGAAATTTGACTAGTTTCTTGAAAAGGAAACTCTTCAATATCAATAAAAGAAGATTTTTTATCAGTATTAGTAATATCTTCCATAACTTTAGGCAACACTTTAAAACTCTTCATTATAGAATGTTGCTTAAATTTATCAAGTTTAGCAGCATGTCTTCTTTGAAGCCATTCTGGCTGAGCAACACGAGGAACAGGATTCGATACCATTTGCATCGCAGCAGGAATTGTTATAAGTTTCTGTATAACAGAACTTAAACGCTTTACATAATAATCCCAATCAATAATCGTCCGAATATCATAGTCCGAAAGACTATTATCATGAAGCCACTTTCTTAAAAAATGCTTTTTTATACTTTCATCAGCAGAAAATATTGCAACTGGAATGGCTCTTTCTACAATAGAAGCATCTTTAGGTTTAGAAGATATAATAAATCTACATAACAAACCACGATCTTTGGTCACTTGATCACCCAAAAATTCAGCCAAGCGTCTTGCAGTTGATATAGAAGTTGATTTTTGCACACCATACTCTTCTAAAGTTTTTGACATACTTCTATTCTCAGATATCAAATCAATTAATTCTTCGTCAGCCAATGTTGAACCTTTACTATATAAAATATCAAGCCATTTGTTTGCAACAGTTGCAACAGCACCATAACATTCCTCTAGAGTAGTACCCTCTAAAAATAATTTAAAAGTTTGAGACTGAAAAATCTTAATCAATTTTAGTTCCCCTCGACGCTTAACTTCAAAACCTTTAAGTTCTGCAAATGTATTGTCATCATTAAATACTGCATACTTCTTTTTAATAGTTTTGTCCTCTTCTACTGACGTAGGTAATATCATAGCTTTATAAGGACCATCTATTTCAAAAAAAATACTGTTTTCACTACGAACTTCATATTTATATCGAACATGATCAACAAGATCATGATATTGATGATTAGTAAATTGTGAATGAATTAAATAGTTTAACATAACGCATGGATATGATATAAAAAAAGTCTTCCCATTTGAAAAATTAAATAAATAGTTCTGAGGAAACGTTGATGGCAAAATACACCAAATACCATCAGTATCAAGTTCAAGAGGCCTACCAACTTTCTCAATTAACTGACGAGCTGTTTGAATAATTCTGGCACCAGTTAAACAAGTAACACCTGCCATTTCCATAGAATACCAACGTGAACCTTTACGCATAACATACCCATAAAATGAATTTAAAATTACTTTATGAGCAAGCTGTAATGAATCATATAGTACAATCATTTTTCGAGCTTCATCAATTTGTGAAAGATCTGAGGGAGATGCACTGTCAAGTTTTTGTTTCCATTGTTTCAACAAATCTTTGAGTTCATAACGTCTATCACGAAAACTTTTAACTGTATCGACGTAAAAAGGATTTTCTCTTTGACATACTATAGTTTCCCGTTCTACTACACTGGAATCACGAATTCTACCATATATTTTTTTACAGTATTCTGTCAACCGTTTTTGAATAATAGAAGATTGTTCCAAAACAGGTAATTCATCAAAACTCTTTGAAGTACCTGAAACTTTCCCAGGAAAAGATTCATTCCTTAGAGCATGTTTAATCATATTATATTCATCACGTTTAGCTGGAAAAAAATCACCATGCCAAGACCATGTCATTTTCTTATCACACAATTTCCCAGGTTTATTGAAATCACAAGAGGCACATCTAAACTCATCAATCATAGAATCTGGCTGAAGCCTATTTGTAATCATAATATTAGGATACATAGATGCAACATCCAAATGATAGATTTTAGGATATTCCGTCCTAATAGGATTTTTCTTAAATTCCTCAAGTTGTAAAATAATTTGTTGTTTTATCTATAAATAATTTAGTTTAAAATAATTTTTATATATTTTCTCCAAGAATTACTTCATCATAATTAATAATATCTGAAACTTTCTTTTTAGCTTCCACTTCAATGCTAAATTTAAGAGCAGGATCAAGTTCACTTATAAGCTGTAATCTAATTAGAAATTCTATATAAACAAATAAAAAAACCTTTTCAACAATATTTGGATCAATACTAAATTTTTCTAATATATCGCTTCGAAAAACACCTGCCTCAAGACTTTCAACATGACCACCAACATATGTTTCACTTTCTAAAAGATGTCCTTCATAATGCTTATCATAACGATCAATATGCTTATTAGGTAGGATAATTCCTTTTTTAAATGCTTGAACCTATTAAAACAATAAGAAACTAGATATATATATATATATTTCTACCATTAAAAGCATTTCACATAACGTTCCAGTACCTTTAGATAAAACATCACCAGGATTTAAAGGAATAATATTACACAACGAAAATATAAAAGGATGTACATATTTCATATATAAATAATAAGTTGAAACAGCATCTGAAACTGAATATTGAGCAAGAACCTGAGGCTTCTCGCTAGCATATCTAACTCTGGTAAATAATGCACAATAAATACAACTCAAACGTACCTTGTCATTAATTCAGGGTCCAACTCAATTGGATTATATCCTAATTTTGCTTTTGTCACAGCTTTCAATCCTTGACTACCCTGAGGCAAATAACTATCTCTTTTAACCCAGCGATAACAATCCATATGAACACAATATGAACTTTGATATTCATCGCTCTTATTTTTCATAAATCCTATTTCTTCATACATATTTAAGCTATACATAGAGGCCCTAGCATCAATAAATGGCCAATCAAAAACATCTCCATTATATGTAGCAATAATCGTAGGTTTTACATCTTTGATGTGATTAAAAAATCGTTGAATCAAACTTTTCTATTAACAATTAATATACATATTAAATCACCACTAATTTATCATACCTCGTCAGATTCATTAAATATCCAAAAAGAACCTTCATATTCAGGTTTAGGTGTATATTCAAAGTTATCTATATCAGAGGACACAACATCTCTATTTGTGATCAAAAATCCCTAAAAACATTAAAGATATCTCATAAACAGGTTTATCGTACTTGACCATCAATCATATAAGAAATCATTATAATCTGATCAATTGTTGAATCGGGAAATTTTAAAGGCAATTTTGTTGTTTCAATATCAAATACAAGAACTACAGGTTCCGCACGAGTAATACGATCTTCAATTGTGTTCATGTTTACGACACCTGCCTGAACCTTCACATGATACCATTTTCCAACACGAATGTCATTATCCATTGCAACACGAACACTATACGGCACATCATATTCCCTCGCATCAATAATATAATCCTCTGATAAAATCAAACGAGAGGACTGAGACGTTTCTTGATGAAGAATCACATCAGATGTTGCTCTAAAAACAAATCACTTTCTTCGATATTATCTTTATTATCAGTCTACGTTACAACTTCATTTAAAACATCCAATGCATCCATTTTTCTTTTGTTTGCTTCTGCCATAGGTACAAGAACCTTTTGAACACTTAAAAGGTCAGATGTATTCTTGAAAAATAGCTGTAAAAATAAACGACGATATCCTGTTAAATGATTCGGCTAGTGATGTTAAATAATTCCGTAATCAATACTTCCATACCATTTGAAGATCTTCTTTAACACAACGAGATATACGAATAATTGTTTGAAATGTTTTACGTAAATATGCTTCCACTTCAACATCACAACCTGTCTACACAAATTAATTCATTCAATTCCATTGTCAGCACTCATTTACTTTACAAGCAACAAAAAAATATGGCTCGAATGACATAACTGTTTTAAATGTATTACCATCTTCTTGAATAAAATAAAACGCCATAGCAGATTTTCCTCCTTGACTATCATCTGGCAATGAAGTCTTTATATCAACAGTTAGACACAAAACATAATTAATAATCTTCACCTCATGCATATTAATAAGCCATCCCTCTAAAGGCGGTCCTGTCTCCAATCTATCAAACCCCATTCGTTCATCAATAACATTAATCAATTGAAGACGTTCCCAACGATCATAAGCATTTGATGGTGTTTTTTCATCATTTAAAGACCTTTTCTTCCGAGTGTAGGCTCTTCGTATTGCTGGACGTTTCATTGGTATAAACACATCATAAACATTATCTCCAATAACTCGGATCCATTTCAAGACGTACTTTACATAACCCTAAATCTCAAGATAGGGCTATACCATATTCAATCTGAACGTATTTTAAAAATTATAAAAAAAATATTTTTAAACATATGTTTCTCAATATATCAGATATACTTAATGTTCATCGTATACCGTGTTTTCAGAATGCCATTTTATATGGAATAGCAAGTGGAGTAGCAATGAGCACCATCCGTATCATTTTTCAGGGTAAACAAGTCTAATTTAACCCTACTTATCTACCAATTATAACCAAACGATGTAGCACCTATCATAAAAGCATGCCATTCAGGTGTTGCTACATTCTGTGGCATCAGTATTGTATCTTGGGAAGGATGCCGATACCAACGTTATATGAAAAAAAAAAATATGAGAGTAATTGTTGATAAAGATTCAAAAGAAAATCCTGAACCATCACCCTAAACAGTGTTCTAACAGATGCATTGAATAATAATTCATAATATACATTTCTTTTAGCCATTATCAATCACAATAATATTATAATTTTATTTGTACAAATATCCGGATCCTTAGTTTTGAACATTATTTAATAAAAACAAAGATAATCATAATTAGCCTTTTACCGCTTACCACTATAAGAATTACAATAATTAGTGATAAATGATTGCTAACTATATTATATATAAATATATAGCCGTTATATAAATATAATAATTATATTTTATTTTTCAGTCATGTATTTTTCAATTATATAGACTGTTTATTACTAGGAGAGTTATTATATGTAGTATCATTCTTAAAAAGTCGTTCATTTCTTAGTGTTAGTGCTCGAGACAAACATTCTAGATACGTCTTATATTTTACGATTTCACGAAGAAGATACTGAGACTTTCTTTCCCAATTCAATAATGCTTTTGCTAAGTTTGGGTGTCGAGGGGAAAACTTCGAATGTTAAGAAAATTAATTTTAAAAGGTAATATACCGCTTGAAGAATTTGCGGCCTGTATGCATTATGTTTTTGGACATCTTTCTCCAAAATAGATATATAATTTCTAAGATTCTACAAAAAGATTAAATTATAATTACAGTGACTTTGTAAGGAACATTACTTTTATTTGTTCTTCTTCTTTTGCAGTATTAGTTAAAAGATATAACTGAGGAGTATTCCATGTTTTAATAATAGCCTTATCTCCTGGCAATTTTGACTATGAACAGTTAGTCTTAGCGAAATTTCCAGATGCTATTACAACATGTTTGTCTTTTACTTTTTTTTTGTAATCTTCCATTTCTTCTAAACATTGTCCCCATCCATATTCAACGTTACTAATTCCACCTAACAAAGGCTCCTTAGAAAATCTAGCAGCCCAATAATTAGCCGTATAGACCCATTCATTTAACAATTCGCTAGTTCCAGCCTGAAAAAAATGCACACTACCATTTGGCAAAGTTAAAACCCAAACATAAGGTCTAGTAGGAGAATATCCTGGAGGAGGTAATGCTGAAGCAAGAGATTGCAACAATGTAAATGACCCAATGATATCAGCATTTTCCTATAAATAATTAATAATCTTTATATATATAGTATATATACAATCCAATTTCCACTGCCAATAACTCCTCTCCTTTCTGAAAACTTACTATTATTAAACCGAAACAATTTTAATTTCCCTTTTTCCAATACAGCAAAACATTCGACCCATGTTCTGTTTTTTGCCTTTTTAAAGTTTTCAAGATAATGCTTATGCTTTAAGATACCTTCCTTTGTCCATGGTGGTCCAGACAATGCTAATTCATTTTCTTCAACAATATCATAATTACAACTAAGACTAGTTGATGAAAGCATAGATGCTTTTTTCATAACATTATTTAAAGTACCAGCAAAACCTATTGTAGCAAACTGATAATCACATGTATTAGTTGAATAACAAGAAGAATTAAAAGAACAAACGGATCTATTTTCAGGCAAAAACTAAAGAATTAAAATATATAACAAACTATGAAAACCTTACATTATTAGATTTATTTCCAAAACTAGGACTCCAGTCATTTATATTACAAGAAATAGAATCACTATAACTATCATGACACCCTTGAGATATATTTTTTTTTTTGCTTCCCCAATTTTTAATTCTAAATTTTCCTGTTCTATACTTTCGTGTACTTATTTCAGAAAAAGACCCACATGAAAAACTAAGTGTTCGATCCAATGGCATAGAATAAAAGTCTGAATTTGTCATTTTATATATAGAATTTGTATCCTGAATGTCATTAAGTTGATTATCATTAATCACAGGCTGTAATATATGAGAATTTTTAACCGATATATACATTTCCTTTTAAAATTAGTTATCCTTTTTACAAAAAAAAATAAGTGTACTTTTAATAACGTTTCCAATTGAAAATAAATAGAATTATTCAATTCATCGTCTAACATAACACTAGACGCTTTATTTACTGAAAAGTTTGATGCTTTTCTTGAAATATCCAAGCTGAGTCTTAAGTCAGTAGATAATCGATTATATGAAAGAAAGTTTTGAGATAAAGCATGTCCAGCAGGAACTAAAGATACAGAATTATCCATTAAAGATAATCCGCTAAATTGTGAAATATTTAATTTAGATTTAGGGTAGGAAGAGAATATAGTTGATAATGTATTCTGAACAAATTGGTTTTTGGTCATTTTTTGTCCCTGAGTTAAATCAGCAACATGCAAATCAGTATTTAATAAAAGTAATGAGTATGCAATAGGATGAACAATATCTAATAATTAGACAAATAATTAAAATTTATTAAAACAAACCAGGTGTCAATTTAGAAGAAGAGTTACATTCATACCATCTTTTTGAAAATGATTCTAATATTCTATCCATTTGTTGAGTTTCTGCTTTCATTATAAGTTTAGAACATAAATTTCTAATAAATAAGCCTAAAACCTAAATTATTATTATTACTTACCTAAGAGCAGTCAGTATATCTACACCGCTCCAGTCAAATTGACTCATATATACGGTTCTCGCATTAGAATTTAGTTCGGGACTAATAAATATCAAAAGATATAACCAATCAAAATAAATATTTTCATACCAATCACCCAACCATGTAGCTGCTTTAATTCTACTAATATATGTTTCTTCTCCACGAAAAATACTCTTCCCTATATCAGAAGCACTATATTTCAATGTTTGACTTTTAATTAATCCATCAATGCTTCTGCAATCTTTACTATCTAGTTCTATAGGATCTTTCATATCTTTATTAGAAACATCTGTAAGAGAATTTTTATTGTCAAATATTTCATGAGCAGAAACAAATGAAAGTTCAGAGTACTCTGTAACACTTCGATTTAATTGAGAACCAGATTTTTCAAAATCTTTAGAATGGTCTAATATCGTGTTATTTTCTTTATTTTCAGTATTGAAAAACACATCGTTTGCTTTATTCACTATGATAGAAGATGAAAGATGATCATTAATATGTTTCAATCCTGAACTAGTATTTAAACGATTCCCATAAGATTCAAAACTAGTTCTTCGAGCTTCGAGGCTCTTTACTGAATCCAAACTATCTGATACTGTTTGAGATAACATGCTATTACCCAAAAAGGATAAAGACCGTTTACATAATGATATAGGATTTTTATTTCTAGAAGTGCTAACGCTTCTTGTTAATTCATATGAAGAAATTGATTCAGGAATTGGCGATGAACAGGATTTTAAGGATTCTTTATAAGAATTATAATCCTAATAAATTATTATAAAGCATTTGGAAAATAGTAAACTACCTTTAAATTTTTACCTGTAAGACTTGGTGTTTTTTTGGAACACAGTGGTTTTTCATTTTTCTGTGTAACATTTAATAAACTAAAAAATATTTTTTCAAACATACATAATTAGTGTTGGGTTTTTCTACCATTTATAAGTACAAATATAAAAAAAATTAATCATCTAGAGATACGTGGAGCATTCTTACTGCTTTTTTTCCTCATTAGACGCTCAAAAAGTCCTTTTTTGGGAGATTCCTCCATTAATTGAACCAAAGACACAGATCGGAAACCAGTCGGCACATATCTAGATGCCAATGACTCTGTTACAGATTGAGAATGAGTCAATCCTGTCTTACAGGATTTATCTAGGTGTTCATGCTGTTTTTTCCCTAAAGCATCTTTAATTTTATGTGATTCGTGTGCAAAATTATCCAAATTAGAATGCAGAAAAAACGAAGAACCTATTTTCAAAGAATTCTCACCAGATGTCATTTGAGAACTCCTAAAACATTAAAAATTCCGGTAAAATACTTATTTTTATATATACGTAAATAATCCGTCAAATAATTCAAAAACAAAAGACTAATTCTTAAAAACCATTAAAAATAACACAACAACATGCTGTTTATATATACGTTAAATATCATTCCTCCTAAAAACAAAACCAAGTCTTAAATAATTTAGGCAAATTAATATCTGTCTCAAAAAAACCTATTTAAATACTCAGATCATACTCATTTTTGAAGAAAAAAGAAAAATATACATCCAACGAGTAAGAAAATACAAAGTATACTCTGTATGTGTGTTCCTATACGTTTTTTATCTGCTTTATAGGCTTTTTATATGCGATATAACTTTTGACAGCGATAAACGTTTGCCGACGATGATTACACACTGACCTCTACTTTTGAAACTAAAAAAAGCATTATTTTTTAACGCATCCAGAACATTCTTTAGCTTTTCCTTCAAAGAAAACAAAATATTTTTTGCTTTATTTTCTACAAAAAACACACTTTTTTAATTATAAAATTTGAACATATTTTTAATAATCTAAACAAATCACTTTTCTTAAAAATACTTTTATTCAAAAAAAAAAGCATATTTTTATATTTCTTATCATCTGTATGCACATTTATGATATATTTTTTCTGAACTTTAGCACTCACTAATGACAACAGAAGATGACAATCTATTACTTTATATTTAACATATCAAAGCATTCTATAGCTATAAATACAATTGTAATTGTCAGAAAGAAGACATACTTTTATTAAATATTCTCTCAAATCAGGATATACTAAAATCAGAGAATAGTTTTTGGTTTTATTTAAAATATACTGATCATAACCTATCATTAATCTGTTACATTACTTGTCAAAAAGATACATCTTTTTTTACACTTGAAAGTATTGTAATATTTAATCTTCAACTTTAAACAATATTATTGGATCCTATCTTTTTAATTTTTGCAAAACAAAAATAAAACAGTATTTTGTAATATCTTTTTAGATTATTACTATATATTATTTTTAAGAGGAGTTTTAGGAAAGTCATCTATTTTTATTACTTATATTTAAGATACAGCAAAAGGACAAAAAATTAACAGAAAATGTTATCTAGACGTATATTATTAGGATTACCTACTAATCATCCAAAAACTAAAGATAGATTGACTGATCCTTTTGCCATACGTCTTGGAGGACTGCCAGTTAGTTGGGTTAAACTTTATTTTACAATTAATATATATTCTAGATTGGCCTTGATCCATTTACGAAACCACCAATAAAATTTTCAAAATGTAAAAACTGCGACCAAATTATGCCTCTTATTTTACAAACACGTGCTTGTATTGATCATGTAAATTATGATCGAGTTATATACGTATGGGCATGCTGCAATAAGTATTGTCAGTATAAAGAGGGCTCGGTTCGAGCCATTAGAGGCGTTTTATATGAAAAAACAAAGGTTTATATTAAAAATTTTTAAAATATAATATTCTTATAATCTAATTATTAGAATTTTAAAATAAAACATTCTCAAAACAATAATCTGCATATTGATTGTTTTTCAAATCTTGGTGATTCTTTATTTAAAACCTCAAATCTTCCGCTTTCTCACGCATCTAATTCGTTTCAAATAAATTCACCTACAAGAATTGAGGAACATTTTTCTGTATCATTAAATTTAACAAATCAGTCAAATACAAAAAGTTCTCAAACAAATTTCCTTTTAACTCAAAATCCCTCCCAATTTGAAGTTGAAATAGGAGAAAATGAGGAAGATAAATGGCCAAATGATAGTAAAATACTACAGTATCCCGTAAAATTTCTTTATATTGCAGAAGAAAATGAGCCAAATCATAAAGAATTTACTAAAAAGCTAGATATGAAAGATATAGAAGAAAAGTTTGTAAAAGAAGGTGAAAATGAATGGTCCGAAGAAACATATGAAAAATCAACATTAGAAAAAGGATTTAATATATTTACAAAAAAAGTTATTTCTAATCCTCAACAATGTGTTAGGTATCAGTGTATAATACTTTTAATTGTATTATAATAATAAATAAAAACTAGATATAATAGAAAAGGAGAACCTTTATATTATTCTTTTACTGACTCTCTTGTTAAGAAAATTAAATCGTCTAAATCTACAAATCCACTAGGAAAATGCCAATTATGTGATTCTCAAAATGTTTTTGAGCTTCAAATTATGCCAAACACTATTAATATTTTAGAAGAAGATTCATCTTTAGGAGATATGCTTTGGGGAACAATTTTAATAGGAACATGTGGTAACGATTGTATTCCTAATTTGAATAATAAAGGTATTGGATATGCCGAAGAATGGGCTGGTGTTCAGTGGGAAAATATGAGAAAATAACATAAGTTTAATAGTAATAAGAAATTCATTATACTTTTTATATTATATTTTTTAAATCATCATAAACTATTTACAATTTCTGTTTTATATATTCCTCTCTATATGCTTCAACTAAATCTCCTTCTAAGAATTTATCCCATTTTCCAAAATTCATACCGCATTCTTCACCTTCTTTTATTTCAATTATTTCTTTTTTAATATGCCGTAATGATTCTAATTTTCCTATATTGCACATCATTAAACTATAAAAAATAACAAAAACAAAACATACCATCCCAAATTATTTTTTGATTACGTAATACACGTATTCTTTCATTTTTATTTATAACACCACTAATAACACTACAACCTGCTATTGATATCTTAGATGCTTTTTTACCCATAATGAAAATTTTAATAATTTTAGCTTCACCTAGAACATTATATTTTACTTTCAAAGGCAAAAGTTCCGATAATTCTTCCTTAATATAATCCAAAAGTTTATAAATTATAGAATGAGAAATAATTTTAACTTTTTCTCTATGTGCAAATTGAGCAATCTTCTTATTTAATTTTAAATTAAAAGATACAATATAACCTGTTAATTATAAGTCTAAGCAAAATACATTTTTTTAAAAAAATACCTTGCACAGCAGCCGCTCGGGTAATATCAGATTCAACAACAGTTCCAACATCTTCATAAATAACTTTAGTCTTTATTTCGTCATTTCTAATTAATAGTAAAGCATCTTTTATAGCTTCCGCAGAGCCATTTACATCAGCCTTAATAATGAATGGGATTTCTTTTAGTTTTTTTTCAATCAAAACATTTTCAGTCATTTTTAATTCTTTTTGATGATTTTCCATACGTTTTTTATTAATCACCTCAATATCATTAATCTGCTTTTCTTCATTTAGACGAATTAAACGATTTTTAACAACTTTTTTAGCATGTTCCTAATAATAATAAACAAAACGTCCTATTTCTAAATATTTTTACTTCATTTTTTGCTTCCAAAACATCATCTCCAACAAAAGGAGTACTTTTCCAACCAGTAACTTCCACTATAGTTCCTGGTATGGCAAAATTGACCTGCTGATTTGAAGTATCTGTCATAGACCTAACACGACACCATGTTGTTCCTGAAACTATATAAGAACCTAACTTTAAAGTTCCCTCTTTTATAAGAATAATAGCAAAATGCCTAAATTAAATTACGAATTCATATAAATAAGGAATATAGCAACTAATTATACCCTTTTGTTTTTTTAACAGAAGATTCTATTATCCAACCTTCAACACTTCCTTTTACTTCAGATCTAATATCAGAAATTTCAGCTAATGTAACAATAGCATGCTCTAAATCCTTAATCCCTTGTCCCTAAAAGCGTTAATTATTATCAAAAATTAAACAAAACCTTAACTGTTATTGCAGATATTAATACTACTTGTGTATCACCCCCAAACTCTTCAAGCTCAACACCATTCTTTAATAAATCTAATTTTACATTTTGAATATTAACACCTTCTTTATCTATTTTATTTATTGCCACAATAATTGGTACACATGCTTTTTTTGCATGCTCTATAGCTTCAATAGTTTGTGGCATAACACCATCATCAGCAGCTACAACTAACACAACAATATCAGTAATTAAAGCACCTCTTTTTCGCATTGACTCAAATGCAGAATGTCCTGGTGTATCTAAAAAACATATTTTTTCTCCATTAGATAGAGTTACTACACTATCATTTAAAATATATTAATATCAAATACATTTAATACCAGAAAAGGCACGAATATGTTGAGTAATCCCACCCGCTTCGTGTAAAGCTATTGATGATTTTTGTAGAAAATCCAATAAAGTTGTTTTTCCATGATCTACATGTCCCATAATAGTAACTACAGGTACACGAAGAGATGGACTTATTCTTTCTTTATTTTCTTGCCTGATTTTATTTAGAAAAATCAACAATTAAAAACCAGTCCAACCGATGTAAATCAAATGAATCTTTATTAGTTACAATAGGATCATAATTATATTCCATAGCAATTAAAGAGGCCTCTTCATATGTTAAAACTAGATTAAATAAATCATTTATCTAATAAATTTTGAAAATATTACGAAAGTTATAACTTAAATTTTTGAATCCTAAATCTTTCATTTTTCCTAATAATTTTGCTAAAGAGTATTTTTATAAAATTTTTTAAAGAACAACAACTTACTAAGTTTTAATCCCAATAATTGTGACAAATTAGATACTGTTATAGCTTGAGGAAGATGAATAATTTTTTTTTTAGAAAAAATACGGATATTTAGTTTTGGCTTAGTTATATTTGATTTTTTAAGATTAAAATTTTTTTTTATAGATATGTTCTTATCATTAGACTTTGATACTTTCTGTTTAAAAAAATGTTTTGAAAAATCGTTGGCAATCCTAGAACTTTTGCTATATCTAACTTTTTGTATGTAATCAAACCTTTTTGATATATTATGTCTAGGTTTAAAAATATAATTTAACTTTTTTCAAAATACCTAAAATTAAGAAAATTTGAAACATAAATAATATCATCCTTAAATCTAAGAAATATTTTAGGAGCTTCTTGAACTCTTTTTAAAAGATTTTCCTCGAATACTTGTTTTTTTTTGGTATTTTTATTTTCATTACTTAAGTTTACAAATCTTGAAAAAGATTTATAAGATAAAGTCTTTTTTTTTAAAGAATTATGACTATCAGCGTATTCCTTATATTTATTAATAATTATCAAAATTACATAATTTAATTTTACTTCATTTAAACAAATTTTTAAATTTTGTGTTGAATAAAATCTCTGATACGAAATTCTTAAATAATTAAATTGACAAGCAGCATTTGGGCTAATACTATATTTCGACATTAAAAAACACCTTACTGACAGTGTTCAATGATCATTTTTTTAGAATAAATATTAATTTAATTTTTATCGCTAAATAATTAAAATTCTTACAATTTACTGTTAAAATTATATTATAATCATATAGAAACAAATTATTATTTATAAGTATGAAACAAAATAAAATAAACAAGATACGTTTTTTTAAATAGAAGGTATATAATCAATATTACCTGATCTTTCCATTGGATTATCTCCGAGATAATATGAAACTTTCCATTTTAATTTCAAATCATTGGACATATTTTTGACACCAAATACTATTGCATGTTGTACGATTCCATTTCTTTGGCTTGGATTTATGACTAATCCACTTTGCGGCTCCATTTTAAGCAATATTGTCTAAATAAAATAAATTATTATCTATGAAAAAAAAATAATTTACCTTCGGAACAGCCATTTTAAAATTTAAAGAACTTATTGTATCAGTGAAAGATTTATTAGAAAATTCAATCTTAATCAATATAGGTGAATCCAACATGTTATTTTTGCGTGTTATAAAGAAGTGAATAACAAGATCCGGACTATCCAAAGCCGAAATACTCAGATTCTTTTGTTCATCTGTTTTAAGTGTATGGTTAACCACAGGATTTGATAATAAATTAGTATAATAAATATCATTTTGTGCATTAAAAAAATTATTAGAGGGTCGATCTGTTTGTAATTTTAAAACATCAACTTTATCATTTTCAAAACTAGACAAATTTTTATCCGTTAATGGTATAGCTTTACACTTATTAGCTATTTATAATCATTTATAAATGAATTTACGTTTTGCATCTGATTGTGTTCCTTCATTTGCTTTATGAATAGCATCAGTAGAACCTTTGTAAAAAGAGAGTCCAAGAAGATCATTTAAATCAGATTTTTCATCTTCTGCATCACATGAATAATCCTCAAAGTTTGGTTTATCTTCCAGGTCAATCAATGAAATATCATTTTTTATAATTGATTCTTTAGAACTATTATTTTGGTTATTTAATATGTTAAAATATATTCTAAAAATTACGTTGTTATTGAATCTTTTGTATCATCCAGTTCTTTTTTCACAAATTTTTTTTCATATTGCAAAATTGTAGTATTGATTATATCATTTAACTCCAAAAGTTTGGATATCGCAGTTGTATCGTCTTTCTCTTGGTCTAATATCTTTTGAATTTTAGGTTGCGCATCTTTAATAGAAAGAATTAAATCCTAAAAAACTTAAAATATGAATTTCAAGTGCATATCAATAAATACATTACAAATATCGCTTTGATAAACTACATCTGCATTACTCGTTTTAATCATTTCTTGAAGTAAAAGGGTCTTCCTTCGTATTTTTTCAATATCTTCTGCCATTTTTGCCCTGTAATTATTTTTCATGCCTGTATCATATCCAGCTAATATTTTCATTAATTTATTGGCTTCCACTAAGTCAGCTGGAGTCCCTCTCCGAACAAGCTCCTGTAACTTTGCTGATTGTGTCTCTCTATCCTCTTTCTCTAATTCCTCAACTGATCTAAAATTCTACCACATATTAATAACATTACTTTTCCAATATCAAACCTAACATCAGGTGTATTCATAACGGATGTAGAATCATGCTGAATTTCTGGAAACATATAGCCTATTCAGCATAAGTCTTTTTCTTCAGCTAGAATTTCCACTTCTAACCCTTAAATAACAATAATCGATGCATATCACGAATATTCATCAAATCTTCCTTATACCGACTCGTCAAACACAATGTTTGGTTCCATTCTGCTATTATTTGAAGAATACGTGTTTGAATACGTGATAACCGATATGGAGGACGTTCAGGAAATCGCCGTACCAACTTATTTAAGAATTCTTTTGTTGATACTTGGAGATGAAATCGGTATCCACAATTTTTAACACATACATCCAATAGCTACAAAAATTCAATATACACCTTTAGCTAAATCAACACCATCTTACTGAAAGTGCTAGCATAGGAACCAAACTGCCTCGATCATTTACTTTATGTACAATCATCATTGCTGCTTCACGAGCTCTAAATCTCAAAATTTAGTGATTTTCACCGCTTAAAAAAAGCTAATCATTACGTATTGCCTTTTTTCTGATTAATCCAATCAACAACTTCTAAATTATACGCCAAATTAGGTTCCTCAAGTTCTGATGAGCATGACCGTTCTATTTTACTTTTTAAAATCATTCAAAAGATATTTTTGCACAAAAAACCAATATAAAATGGTAATGATGAAGATCTTACACGAAAATTCATTATTTTCTGTAAGATATACCCGTATTATAATGCAAAAAATAACAAATCGGCTAAAAATAAGTTATTGTCGTTAGATATATGACATAAAGATGGAAGAACGATCAAAACGTTGTACGAAGACAAATTTAAAACGTCAAGAAATAAGATAATGAAAAAAGATAGTACAAATAACAATTTTCAGAGAAAATCTAAAAAAAACAAAGTAAAAAGTTTAAGTATATGTCTATCAGTATTTCTGAAAATTAACAAATTTTTAGAAAAAACAAACCATACAGAAGATGAACAAATACCTATATTATTGGCGATGTGGGTAACAGCAAAAAGTTCTTTAAAATATGTTCTTATCTTAAAGAATGTAGGATTATGGACACTGTGATCCAAAGCGTTGTTCAGGCAAAAAAATGGAGCGATTAGGGCTGATTCGGACGCTGAAAATAGGACAGCATTGGTGTGGAGTTGTTCTTGCGTAAACACCAGATTTTTTGCTTTTTATACCTCTAAAAATAAGAGTCCTGGCCAGAAATTATTTTTGTCACCAGCAGATGCTCCAATATTAAAAAAAATGGGAGTAGCAGTGATAGAATGTTAATAAATAAAAAAAGTCAAGCTATGCTGATAGACAATTAGGCTCATGGGCAAAAATAGACGAAATTCAGTTAGAGTCTATCAAAGGAAGTTATTGGAGGACATGTGATTTGCTTCTAAAGACTCATTTACACTTTTAATAACAAATCATAGTACCGTATCTTGTAGCAGCTAATCCGGTTAATTATGGTCGACCATGGAATTTGAACTGTGCTGAAGCGCTTTCAGCATGTCTATATATTACAGGTTTTAGTTTTTTATGGTCAATAGTTATATTTTGACCAACATCAGGTAATCAAGAATTTGCATATAAACTTTTAGAGAATTTTTCGTGGGGAGAAGCATTCTTTCAGATAAATTCAGAGATATTGGACATCTATGCAGCATGCACAAACAGTTCTGATATAGAAACAGCACAAAATGCATGGTTATTATCGTTATCAAATGAATATATACAAAATAAACAGAGTACCATTGCTCTTCCATCCGATGAAGATTCATATGAGGAGTAAAAGCTTCTAGAAAAAGAAAATTTTGCAGATCTCAGAAAAGCATTTCCTTTAACTTATTGCTCCACTCTCAACTATACATGTTAGCACAGGTTCTTTATATCCAGATATAAGAGTATCCACATTTCTTTATCTCTTTGTTTTAATATCAGCTATTTATCTTTAAATCAACACCATATCCTACCTTATTCTTGGAATATATCTGATATTGGTTGTATTCAAAAAATTCAAAGTTCAACATAAAATCCATACAAGCATTCACAAAATATACTTTTCTACATTCTTGGACCATTATTTCATGTATTTTTTCCATTCTTTCTCTTAACTCTATTTTTACTCCAAATTTTTACTCCAAAAAACTTTTTCTTAAATTAACTTTAAAAAGCCTTTTCTTAATACCATTTCTAGTAAAATATCTCCATTTTTATCTATATTTATGTATAAAATTTCCACTTCTCTCTTTTTTTCTGTTACCCGGGTAACACTTGTTTACACTTAAATATCCCAATGCACCATTCGGCTTCGAAAAATCAAACGATAATAATTGTCAAAATTTAACTCTGCAAAAGCAGCGTCAGGCACGCATTTATTGCAAAGAGTTCAACTCAATCTACGCAAAGCTCCCCAACAAAGTGAATTCTCCATAGACCCAGCAAAAACAATCTCAAAAACGATCTTAAAAAGCATATTTGTTTTTTAATTTCATCAGTAGTTCAACTTTTCTAGATAATACAAAGGTCCGTTAAGGAAAAGCCAAAAAGAACAGTTTTTCAGGATATATGCAAAGAATGAGCACATATGCAATGCATCTATTGCTTATAGTACATATAAAGTGTCTATATAACACATATATAACGTATACATAATGCATAGATAATAAATACATAATATATACATAATACATACATTATAAATATATTGTATGTATATTAAGTATATATCCTTTTGATATATCAACAAAGATACATATATTCTTAAAAAGGATGTATCACACAATATATCTCGTAAAAAATACTTTATCAGTTTTATTACCAACATTACAGACATTTATATATTTCTATGAGCAAATTCTGATATTATTTTTAAATAGGTCGTTTTTTCTTGCAACGGTCTATGGGGGGCACAGAGGCATCTAATTCTGGTAAAATGGGGGTTTTGGGGGGGAAAAGTCCGTCTGTATATGATCCGGAGAATCCCATTACACTTTTTATTATACAGGTGAATAAGTTGGGTTCAAATACATAGATATAACTGTGGACCAGTGTGTGATTATTATCGGGTTTTGTCGGCTACTTCATCTTCCACTGTCGCGTCTAAAGCAGCCTCGAGTAATCGCTGAAATGTAATATCTATCTTTGAAGAATGTGCAGAAAAAAACTAATTGAGTAGTGTTGCTGGGATTCTTTTGGGGCCTTCTGCACTAGGAAAAATTCCGTATTTTAACAAGCATATTTTTCCCGAAGATTCACTAGTTATTCTTAACCTTGCTTCCAATATTGGGCTTGTTTTTTTCCTTTTTGTAGTCGGTATGGAAGTCGATGTACGAGTAATTCGCCGTCATTTCAAGGCTGCACTAAGTGTGGGGCTGGGAAGCTTGTTTTTACCTTTTGCAGGAGGGATGGCTGTTGCCTATGGATTAAACAAAGAATTTAATGACAATAAAGATACAAATCTTGTTGTATTTTTCATTTTCATTGGAACAGCCTTTTCAATTACGGTTTGTTTTTTTCTAATAATCAAACAAAAGTGTTTTGTGTTTATAATGTTTAGGCATTTCCTGTACTTGCTAGAATTCTTACTGAGTTGAAACTTCTTCAAGAAAATGTGGGCATTGTCGTGCTTTCAGCAGGTGTTGGCAACGACATGATAGGATGGGTTCTTCTTGCACTTACTATCGCTCTTGTTAACGCAGGAAGCGGAATTATTTCTTTATACGTTCTTCTTCTCGGAATTGCATGGACACTTATACTTATTTATATTATTCGTCCTGTTTTTATTTGGTTGGCAAAAAAAACCAAGAGTTTAGAAAATGGTCCAACCGAATTTATGATTACTATTACTTTTTTCCTAGTTTTAAGTTCGGCATTTATTACTGATATTATTGGTGTTCATCCTATTTTTGGAGGTCATTTTTCCCCAACTCGTTTTTCGTATTATAATCAATTTTAGGTTTTCTTGCTGGTCTTATTATACCTCATATTGGAGACTTTGCAGTAAAAGTTACTGAAAAAGTTGAAGACCTAATTACTATTCTTTTTCTTCCTTTGGTAAATTATACAACCGTTAAAATGTTTTATTTTACATATGATAGTATTTTGCATCATCTGGGCTTAAAACCGATATTAGTTTATTGAATGATCGGATTTCTTGGGCGTGGACAATTTGTATTATTTCTACGGTTATTGTAACCAAAATTGTAGGAAGCTCCTTATCAGCGCGTATAAATGGTTTATTATGGCGGGAGTCTCTTACAATCGGTGTTCTTATGAGCTGTAGAGGGTATACTTGTTCTTTAAAAATGAAATATTTCAACTAAATATTTAGTCTTATTGAGCTTATTGTTTTAAATGTTGGCCTTACAGCGCATATTTTAAATCCAAAAATTTTCACTATGTTTGTTGTTAATGCTGTAATCACAACAACATTAACAACGCCTTCTGTATTATTTCTTTATCCTGCATGGTATCGCGAAAAAGTAAAAAGATGGCGTGCTGGTGAAATAAATTGGGATAATACGCCAACTAGAATTGACCCTAAAAACGAATTTATTTCGGATAATTCCTTTGCTCCAGTAATAACTGATAGATTAATGGTCGTTCTCAATCGTGTAGAACATCTTCCTCCTCTTATGGCTTTCATTCGTCTTCTTGCACCAACATCATCAATAAAAATTGATTACATGATGGATGATTCTGATATTCAGTTTCCAGCTAAACCTATAGAAGAACCTCTTTTAGTTCACGGGTTTCGTCTTATTGAATTAACTCAACGCACATCGGCTATTATAAAAGCATCAGATAATGGAGAAGATAATAAACTTGATCCATTGATGAACGTTTTCCGAACTTTTGCTTGTTTAAATAGATTACGAGTATCTGGGTGCTTAAAATTTGCGTCAGAAGAAGAGTTTTCAAATAGTGTTATAGAACAAGCTAAAGATATCAAAGCAGAGCTTTTAATCATACCATGGAGTACAGATGGATCTATTTCCGATGAATCTGAAAAGAACCTTAAACTTATTTCAAGTTCCTTTGTACAAAAATACACAACACCAAGACATAATGAATATGTAGAAAATATTTTTAATAATGTACATTGTGGAATTGGTGTTCTTATAGATCGTGGACTTGCAGGAAATATAGTACAAGAAAATTTTGATTCTCAATCATATGGTTTAGATAGAAGATTATCTTTTGCAAGCTTGCGCTCTCATTTTAGTAGTATACGTCATCCAAGCACATTATTTGAAATTTCAAATCCAAGTAACGGCAAATATCATTTGTTTTTCCCATTTTTTGGAGGAGAGGATGACAGAACTGCTTTAAATATTGCTTTACAATTAATATCTAACCCAGCAATATCAGCAACTATAGTTCGAATAAACACTTCTGAAACATCTACACATAATCTTCAACCTGTTCATCTAAAAACAAATTCTAAAGATTTTTCTCCTTTACATGAAGGTAAAATAAGTCTAAAATAAATGTCACTTAACAACGGTACAGTACTTCAAAAAAGTGGTTCTGTTAGTTCAAATCATTTTACATTACAGTTTCGTAACGATCTTCCTCGACAAGTATCAATGTCACAAACACCATTGGAATATGATGATAAATTTAAATCTACCACAGTGCCAGATGAAAACGACACAGCTGAAAATACTCTTGATGATAGATTTATACAAACTTGTATGAATCCTATCCTTGAAAAATTTTCTTCTCGTGTTACATTTGAAACCATTAACAGTAATTTACCTTTACAATATGCATTGTCGTTGGCTAAAAAAGACATTTCTAAACACAAGTATTACGGAGGAGGTTCAATCATTATACTTGGGCGCTCCTGCAAAAACCCAAACCCTTTTATTCGAAAAGATTTAATTAATATATTAAAAGCATCCGGTTATCCTACAGGAGCAGGATCAGGATTACGAAGATGTCTTGGTGACTCTGCTGAAGCTTACTTAGTTGCTAGAATTAAAGCTAGGTGCATTTTAATCTGCCTTATTTTCAATAAGTGCTAATTTTAATATAGCATATTAGTTATTCAAGCGCCATCAAGGAAGTCTTAAAAGTCTCTAAATAACTATATACCCAGTTCTGAAGAATCGTACGTTTTTATGTTCTGTTTAGTATTATGATTACGTTTGACTTTTAACTATTAAAAACAAATAATTATAAACTGTAATAATGTATATATAATCCATAAGTTTTTGGTCATTAACAATTGTTCCAAAATTTTCTAAGAATTGGTTTGTATTTTATAATTATTATAAAATTTATTATTAAAAAAGCTGTATAAAATAAAAAATTACAATATTTGATAATTATCTAAAAAAACTTTTAATAGTACTTTTAAGAGCTTGCTTGCGTATAGCATTTTTTTGCTGACCAGCATAATCTTGTATACTAAATAAAATAAGAATTAATTTAAGTAGATTATTTGAACAACCTTTTAAGCAAACTCATTGATGAACTTTCAAGGGAGTTAAGTTTCTCTTCAATTCCAAAGATCTTTTTCCCTCGTTCACGAATATTTTCAGTAGTCTGAGTAAATAGAGTACCAGAACTTTGAAAACTATTCTGTTCATCTACAGGTGCTGCTTTTTTTTTTGTTCTATCTTTCAACTTTTGTTCTGCCAATGAATTAAGGAGTTTTTTAGGTAATGGACGATTCGATCCACCAACTATAAATGTATTAAAAAATATCAAATAATTATATAAAACTACTTAATAAATCCAACTCTGCAATTGTAATATAATTTGTACCAATTATCCATTCCCATGTTGAGATTGTAGCTAATAATAATAAAAAATATGACAAAATATATTTATTTTACTTACGTCGTTGAGGAACTTTCTTTAAATCATCATAAAGAACACCAGAAGAAAATTCATTAATTCTTACGCCATTTCCAAGTAGATAAAAAAGAGAAAGTTCTGTTTCATTTACCCAAAGATATATGTTAGCAGCCAGTGTAACAATACTTTTATTTAATCTAAAAGTTATATATATATAAACAAATATAAAACAATTATTCTACTTATCGCTAAATGAAGAAGGTAAATTAATACTAGTAATAAGACTCAAATTTGACAACGAAATAAGTAAAACCCTTTTGTCATTTAATACACAAGCAACAGCAGGATCTATTTCTTCTCGATAAATATTATTAGCCGAAACGCATTGTATAGATTTCCCATAAAGATATCGTGATATTTCAACAAAACATGAGTCAAACATTTTTAATGAATTTTTGGTTACAACTAAAATTAAATTTTCTAAAACAGAATTACTTTTTAAGTCTTTAAAAATATTTGGATAGATAATGTAAGGTTTTAATGTATTTCTGTGTATCGATAAAATATTAATAATTGAATCATTCTCAAATAAGAATTCCCCCAAATATTTAATATTAAATTCATTTTTAGACATGAAATATATACTGTAAAAAATTAATCTTCCAGTTGATGTCCCAATCATAAATAAAATAGCAGGTTCGCCTAAGATAATAAAATAAGTATATACAAGATTATGTGTAATTATGTTATATACCGTTTGTTTTAAATTTCCCAATAGTAAATTCAAAAATCAGTGCAACTTCTAATTCATAATTTTCATCATTTTCAAAGTCTTTTGTTTTTTTTGAAAATTTCTTTTTTTCACTTTTTACTTCACTTAATTCAATTTGAAAAATAATAGCTTGTTTATGCGTATTAATTAAAATAACAGTCCCAAATTCATATCCACATGCTACACTATATCATATATTAGAAAAATATTACAACTACATTTTTAAGAGTTATACAGGCCAATATTACTGGTTTTTACAGAAATTACTGAACCCCTATGTATTTGAAAAACTGAAACTTGAGAAGAATTATCTTCTATTTTGTTATTTAATGAAACAATGGATCTATCATCCATATAACTGTTTGATTTAGAATTCTCAATGGTATATTTTGCAAATTCTTTAGAAGCTTGAGAAAAATTATCAGATTCAAATGTTTTTTTTTTATCAAAAGAAAAAGAATTATATATTATGAGTTCTCCTTTTTCGCACCCAACAATAAGCTCTGATGCTTCAGAAAGGTTGGTAATTGTAACTTTAATCATATCAGATGAATTATTAAGAACCTTCCCTAAAAATATTTCATGCATTTTCTCAAGCTTATGATCTCTTGTAACGTTATATAAGCGCACTATTCCATTATCATGTCCAGTAGCAATAACTTCATTATAAGATAATATCTTTTGTTGCCTTAAAAATTAACTTCAATAAATTTCATTTAATTCTTTATTATACCTTTCATTTCCAGACAAAAAGGCATTATTTGACATACAACATAATGATAGATCACGAATTCTTGGTGACATCCATTCGAGTGATGCTGGAAGCGATTTTAAAGAATTAAGAAAAATACCATCTGGATATTTTAATAATTCTACTTCACCAGAGGCTAAAATAAGCATAATTAATTCAGTATTATAATTCCCAAAATAAGATTGAGAAATTTTTGAAAAAACACAAATATCAACAACATTACTTGACAAAAAATGTGATAAAACATGATGCTGTTTAGGTGCAGTATAGTATTGACTAAAAACGTTTACAGACGATGAACACGAAGGGGACTGTCCAAAATCTAAAATACTTAATTCTTTAGAATCTTCATTGTTTATGTTTCCTCCAACTACAAAAATTGATGTATTTTCAAGATCATCATTACAACTCCATAAAATTGAAAAAATAGGGTTACGAGCATAAACAGAACTATGAGAATCATTCTTCAATCTATCTTCCAGAAGTATATCGACTTCAGTTTCATCTAGTGTACGCACTTGCAAAGGGCGTTGATCGGATTTTGCTGACCAAAATGCAAAACATCCATTTTGATAAGAAGTAACAAGATGATAGCCATGAGGAGCCCATGAAAAACTTGTTAACTTAGGTCTAGAAACGACTACCTTCCCCACTGAATTCGTTTCATAAATTCTTTGAGGAATTTCTAGCTCAAAAAAAAATACAGGTGCATTTTTTTTAATCGAATATAAAACAGCACCATCAGGATATCCAATTAAAAGTGTCCCAACATCTCTTGGATGTATCCTGATACATATAACAGGTGACAAATATGATTTAGAAGGAGCGTAATTATAATTCATTTCACGCCATTTCTCATGTCTTGCAGTATATAAATTAGCAATTTTATACGGAGAAATACATTCCCTATCAATGTCCCACACATCAACTGTCCCATCCTTGAGCCCAATATATAACCAATCAATACACGGATCCGTTTCAACACATGTCACATAACCTCGGATAGAATAAATAACTGAGGGTGTTATAGATGCCGTGTCTATAGACCACGAATACAAATTATTCCTGGAATCAATTGCAATAAGATAGCAACCATGAAGGACTAAATGTAGAATTGGTATTCGTTTTGGCAAACTGTATTGAACCTTTATGTTTTTATCCTTAAATATATATATTTTCGAATCAAGGGTTGCTAATTAATGTCAATCTTAAGCAAATATTCACTAAAAAACAGCATTACCCACTGCAAGAAGCGACTGAACTGCATCATATGTTGCAAGTCGTATACCATCAGAAATACCATAACTCAGTAACTTTCTCATTTAATCATTTTCAAAATTATTTAAAAATATCTACTTCATTACAAAAGAAACGTGAACTAAAATCTGATTGTTCAGGTGCGTTTTTAGTCTTGAATTTCCCTTCTTTCGTAAAAAAAGACATGTTGTATAAAAATAACTATTTGATTTAGTTCTTTTTTTATATTTATTGCATTTTTTCTATTTAAAATAAGCTACTCTCACAAAAATAAGTTAACTGGGCTTACTAAGATATATTTTCTGAAATAAATGCGTGTTTAATCTTTTTTCTAAGTGTATTAAAATTTTTGTTTTTTTTACGTTTAACGATTAGATTAAAATGAATTCTTAAGTGCTATAAAAATAAGTTTTTTTTTTTATTTTCTAATGCCTTTGTTTTTTTTTTAAAAAAAACTTCATTTTACTATTTTATTTTATTCTTCTTATTTCTTATATATTTTTGCTAAGTATTTATTGCAACAATTAGTGTTATATATAAAATTATATTTAAGAATGTAAATACACATTTAATATAAAAGCAATAAATAAAATGGTGTAATTATATTTTATTGACAAAAACATCGTAACTAAATACTGTATTTATATATTTTTTTCACATATATTAAACCTACACTTTGTCACTTATGCTTGACCGACTGACGACAAAATTATCTATATTGAATGTATTTAACTCAAATATCTATTTTTTATTGTATAAAATTCACTTTTAAATAAAAAATTGAATTCAGGCATATTATTTGTAAGTTATATTCGTTTTCAACTCTTAATGATCTATATTAAGTAACATGTTGGCGCATAAACCATTTTGTATCTATTCAGATAAACCTAAGTTATGCTTAAATAGGAGACTATTTAAACATCGAATTATGGAATAAGTTAGTTTTTGGATGCTTTATTGAAAACTTTTTTGTTTTGTATAATAATATTATTTTTAGTTAACTGTGGTGAATGTTTTTGCAAAATCAATTAGAAATAAGTGCAGATAATGGCTTTGTATTAAAAATTAAAGAAGATTCTTCTGGAAATTTGAAAAATTTACACAAAAGTCTAAAAAAACATGTGGAACAAAAAAATAATTTAGAATTATTCAACTTTTTTTTAAATATATATTCAAAAAAAGAAGATAAACAGAAAAAAAATGAAAAAATGCATAATTATTCGAATATTGTTCGCAGTATGAGTGATTCTAGTTTGCATCAAAAAATGTTTTTTTTGGAAAAAAGAAAAGTAAAGAATTATATATGTAATTTACATACAATAAATCAATCTTTTAACAAAATATCGATTAAAATACCTACTAATCAGCATCTAATAACTACATCTTCTAAAAAAATATCTTATTCATTTCAAGGTAATAAACATATGAAATATCTGTTGGATTGGAATTCAAAAGAAATTTGCAAATGGCTATATAGAAATGGATTTAATATTTATGTTGAAAGAGATTCTTTAAAAAATCGTATCATTGGAAAGCCACTTTCAAGACCAGTAAAATATGCTCGAATAAAACGATTGCAGTATCTTGAGGATCAAAAGGAAACTTTAAGATTATATCACATGATCAATAAATATGTAAATTGTAGCATAACTGATGGTAAAGAAAGTCTAGTAAAAAAAAAAGAATTACCTATGTCAAAATACCATACATCAGTATGTTATCATAAGGAAGATTCTAAATCATTAACTTTTCTACCTTGGATAAAATCATCTGATAATATAGTTCAAAACAATTCGGAAAATATTTTTAAAGTAAGCAATTTTAAATCTAGAAAGTTAGCTAACTCGTATGGAACCTTAATATCTGATCAATATACAGAAAAAATACAAGAAAAACAGTACTTGATTTCATTCTCTTCTGATGAGGAAACCTTTCATGATTCTAAAAGTTTTTTAAAGAATTTTTTAACTCCAAAAAATTCAATTTTTAAATTATTTAATTCGAATGCTCATAGAAAGTTAAAAACTAATACTATTAATAATAATAGTAAAGAATCTGCTTTTTTTTTAAAACTATTTATGCCCAAGAGTAAAAAATTTCAAAATTATAATGATTTTTATAAAACATCATCTTATAAAAATGATAATTTTTATGAAAAAAATCAAAACTTTCAAATAAAAAAGAAAAGGAGTAATATTTTTGATATTAGTGATAAATTTATGAGGTTTTTACGAAAAAATGCCACCTGTGTAGATTCTTCTGGTTTTAAGATTTATCAAAATGTTGTATAAATAATTTACTTTTTATAATTTATACTAAATATTTTAGTCTAAATACAAAAAACTTAAGAAAACAGAATCTTGTGAATTTTTAAATAATACTAATGCAACAAAAAATTCGAATACATTATTTTCAAATACCTATAAATCATATAAACTTAAAAATATTAAAAATATTATAACAAAAAGCAATATTAGTAATTCGTGGACGCCAAAAACTCTTAATTTAAAAAATAAAAATCGCACTTTAGAATTAACTAAAATAGTTCAATCTACTAAAGATAGAGAAACATTTGTAATTGTTGATTTAACTGACTGTATAAATGCTTCTGATATTAGAAAACAGTTATGTAGAAAATTGGGTATTATAGAATTATGGTCTGAATGTCGCATTTTTAGTACTCAGATTTATACTAAAGATTATGGTTAACAATATCCTTTAAAAATAAATATTTTTTTAATTTATCTATTAGATGAAGAGTTAGATGATGAAAAGTTAATTTACGCAAGATTTTATGCAGATAATATTGGAACTTTGAAATTTTATGTAGAATTTCCTTCGAAAAAAGTAGATAAAAACATATGTGATACAATATCAGTTTATTCAATTCCTCGTAATGAATTATTGGAACAAGAAAACATTTATTTAAATCTATTATCTAATTCTCCTATTTTACTAAATAAAAATAATAATGGTTCTCAAATTTTTAATAATTTTTTCAAAATTTCCTCAAATATTTCCAATAGAAAAATGAATTTAGAATCTAAAATTCAAAAATCATTTATATCAAAATCCGAGTGGGATAATAATATATCCATTAAGAATCAAAGTTATAAATTAGAAACTAATAAAAAAACATTTTTAAAAAAAACAGTTCAATTTCAAAAGAATAATATTTATAATAATTTAAGTAATCAAAAGAGAAAAATAGATTTCTTTGATGTTTTTCAAAATAATGAAGGTATTTAAAATACATAAATAATATATTATATTTGCTAAAAGTAATAGAAAATGTTAATTTTCATATTAGAAAAATTAAAGATAATATAAATACTAGATTGGATTCTTTATTAAATCAAAACGGAAATTTAGGATATTTAAAATCTTTCAACAATATACAACTTAATAATAATAAACATATTAATGTTGAAAAATTACAATTATCTAAAAAATTAAACACTAATATTATTACTGATTTACCTGCTATTTTTAACAAACTATTTCCCTCAAATTTAGAAAAAAAATTAATAAAACAAATAAATACATTAAACTTAAACGAATCTTCTGAAAAATCATATCAAAATATAGAAAGTATATTAAAAGGATATTCTGGTAAATTTATATGTTATATATACATATATTTAATATTTTAATTAGAGAAAAACAATATGTCTTTTGAAAATGAAATTCAACTGAAAAAAAATACGTATAATTTAAAAAATAGCTATATTTTTTTTGAATCTGACAATTTACTTTTTGATGTATATGATGAAAATGTTCATGATTATTCATGTTCTAAAAAGGAAATTAATAAGAATATTTTAAGTTTTAAAAATTCTGATATAGAAAACTCATTAATTAATACAGATTTTTCTACGAGAAATATAGTTAAGATACAAGAATTGTCAGAAAAATTATATAATAAAAAATGTAAAATTAAATATTCTAATAATGAACATAGATTAAAAAAATCATTAGAAGAGTTGCCTAATTTAAATTTATTTGAACTTCAAAATTCTCATACTCAAAATCAAACAGTTTCTAAAACTAGAATACTTTCTATTATAGAAAAAAGCCTTCAACCTAAAGAAGTTTTAGATTTATCTAATAGTAGTTTTATTGATGAAATAGAAAACGATCAAGAAATATTTTGGGCAATAAAACCAAAAAGAATGTCTAATAAAATGTTTTCTGAGAAATTGAAGGATTTTAAGATAAATAATTCAAGTTATAATTCAAACATAAATATTTTATTAAATGATTTGGAAGTAAAAAATATCTCGAAAATGTCCATAGAAAAAATATTTTCAAATGAAGCTACTAATTCATTGGCCTTAAAAAATGTCGAAAATAGTTATGACTCTACTTCATTTACATCATCAATATCATCAACTAAAAGTATTTTTGAAAAAAAAATCTGTAATAACGATAAATGGGGAATTCGTCCATCAACTCAGGTAGTTTATGAACATTTAGAAGACTTTTTTCCAAATCATGATCTTGATAAACCTATAATTAATCAATTGGTTGATTTAACTAACTTATCTGATACAAAACATATTTCAGATACATTCTTAACACTTAAATTTATTTCTCCTGTTTATTGCACTAACATTCAAAACTGTATGAAATCTATTAAAGTTGTTGCAAAAGAAGCAAATGAAGCTCAAAAAAAAAGCGAAAATAGTTTTAAAGATAATAAATCATTTATACCAAGAAAAAAAAGTGCAAAATTATGGGGTATAAAATCCCAAGAAATAAAATTAAATAAGGACAAGAATGATTATAATTTAGTAGAAACTAACAGTATAAAAAAAACACGTATGTATTATTATTATTATTATTATGCATTTTAGTAATAAATTTAGCCACTTTTAAATGGATAAAAGGTAAATTGATTGGAAAAGGCAGATATGGGAAAGTATATTTAGCTATGAATGCAACTACTGGAGAAATGTTAGCTGTAAAACAAGTAAAAATTTATGATAATTTAAATAACCAAGATCATGAATACCAAAAAGATTTAATTGATGCTTTAAATATGGAAATTGAAACGATGAAAGATCTTGATCACCCTAATGTTGTCCAGTATTTAGGCATGTTTAATATTACTTTACAATAAAAATTAATGTTTTTTAGGATATGAACGAACCAAAACAACTATAAGCATTTTTTTGGAATATGTTTCTGGAGGTTCTATTGGAAGATGTCTCCGAAAATATGGAAAAATCGATAAACCAACAATACAATTATTTACTCGCCAAATTTTAGAAGGACTGACATATTTGCATTCTCAAGGAATCCTTCATAGAGTAAGTTTATATAAACATTTTTATTAATTTAACAAATTTTAGGATTTAAAAACAGATAATATATTATTAGATGTAGATGGAATTTGTAAAATATCGGATTTTGGAATATCTAAAAAAAGCAGTAAGTTATGTTTTCTAATTTACTTTTTTTTACATTAAATATAGAAGATATTTACGACGACAATGCAAACATGTCAATGCAAGGAACTATTTTCTGGATGGCACCTGAAGTTATACAAAATCGGAAACGAGGCTATAGTGCAAAAATAGATATTTGGTCATTAGGCTGCTTAGTTCTTGAAATGTTTGCAGGAAAACGTCCTTGGTCTAATGATGAAGCAATTGGTGCTATGTTTAAAGTAATTAACTTTCTTTATTAAAAATTTTCTAAAAAAAAAAAAATAGCTTGGGAACAGATCACAAGCTCCTCCAATTCCAGAAGATATTGCTTCTGATATTAAAGATGACGCTCTCGACTTTCTTAAATCATGTTTTATTGTGTAAGATTTCCAATATAATTTAAATTTTCCATTTTTATTTTTATTTAGAGATCCAAGTATAAGACCTACTGCTCAAGCTCTTCTTAAACATCCTTTTATAGAAAATGCGAATTCTGAATTTAGATTTTCGAATTCTTTGTTAAGTCAACTGATTAAAACAGAGTAATATTGTTTTGAATTGTATTTTATAAAGTTTTAAATAAAATTAAACTGTTTTATTAAAAAATAAAAAATATTTATATTTAAATATACTTTATATGAATTTACCATATTGATTTTAGATTTTAATAAAAATTAGTTTTAATAAATATTTAAAGATTTTTTAGAAATTTTTAATAAAATTCACTTATCATTTAAACTTTTTCGTAACTGATAAGATTTTGAAAAAATTATCTTAAAAGTAGTAATTTGTATAAGTATTTTAAATAAATATATTAATAAAAATTTTAACATTTAATAGTTTATCCATAAAAAATATGAATTGTTTAAAAAATGTCTGTTAAAAAAAGGAAAAAAAATAGACAATTTTTAATTCAGAAAGAAAACCATGAAAATTCTATTTTGCAAAGTAAAAAAATATTTTATAAAATATTTATAAAATAGAATTATGTTAAGGAATATAGATGAATCATTTTTTTTTAATACCCTTAGTTTAGAAGAAGAAAAATATTTTAAAAGCGTTGAAGAAACGTTAATTACTCAGCGTTTTTCTCAAGAAGGTAAACATGCTATTTTTAATATACATATGTTTTATAATTACAGATTATCGTCTATTTATTGATAATACTTTTCTTGAAATTGAAGGGAAAGAACTAAAATTAGCAATTAATCCTTTATATTCGAAAACATTAGAAACATTATTATACATGGCATCCCCACCTCAAGTAAAAAAATATTTCCAGGTATTAGTTGGAAAGTAAGTATGTCTATTTATTCTTTATTTTTTTATTTTTTTAGTTTTAAAAAATTAATATGTGATCCTTTTGGGTCTCATGTTTGTGAAACACTTCTTGTAAAATCTTCATATATTGTTTCTACAGAAAATGTTTACGATTACTCTAAAGATAATAAAGAAATATTTGTAACTATGGAAAACCTTATTTTATTTATGTGTAATGTAAAAATTATTTTTTTTTTTTAAAAAAATTAATTTATATTTAGGAAATTTCCGAATTATTGTTAACATTTATTACTCATAAATATGCGTCGTATGTTTTTCGTCAATTGCTTTTTACATTACATGGAATTATATTTCAAACAGATTCTATATCTGAAAAATTTATAAAACACAGACGAAAAATACGGGCATTAGATGAAATTATTTCTGCTAAACAAATACAAATACCTGTTTCTTTTTATGAGAAAAAAAAATCTATATTAGATAATATAAATACAAATTATGGTGTTACTGAAGTTAGAAATCTTGCATTTAATCAACATGGATCTCAAATTATATCGATTTTACTTTTAATTGAAAAAAGTCTGTTTGATGATGGTAAATATAAAAAACAATTTTTATTAGAAAAACTAGTTTTTGGCAATATTAAGCAAAATTCTTCAAGTTTAGATTTTACAAAAAAAACAGAAAGCGATTCTTTTATTGAAACTCTTTTAAGAGATCAAATTGGATCCCATATTTTTGAGTCTATATTAGAATTTTCATCAAAAGAAATTTTTGAAAAATTATATAATATTTATTTTAAAAACAAAATTCTTAGAATATCTAAACATCCAGTTGGAAATTATGTATTACAAAAGTTTATTAAGAAAAATAATAATTCTATAATATTTAATGAAATTTTTGGAGAAATAATCAAATATTTTGAAGAATTGATCGGTTTGTTAGTTTTTTTAAAAACATATATTAACTAATTTTGAAAAGATATTGGACATGTTGGCGTTCTAATTTCTCTTATAAATACATGCTCTTGTGACCCATCAAATATTATCAAATTTGTGAATGTTTGTTTTATTTTCTGTAAATATTTGTTCTGAAAATTTATAGGTACTTAAAGAATGCTTTGGAGGTTCAGAAGAAAAAACAATGAAGAATATTTTTTCTCTAATATTGAATCTTGACCCAAAAAATAAAAATGATTCATTGAAAAATTACAAAAAAATTTTAAATGATTATAATAATATAACTAGTCATATTAATATTCAGGGAACTTATTTAATCAAATCTCTTCTTAGATTTCCATATGAAATCTATTATTTTTTAATTGAAAAGTTAAGTTTTGGTATATTTATATTTTATTAATATTTTATATAGTCTTGTTTTGCAAGATAAAAAAATAATTCTTTATTATGCAACTGATAAAATTGGTTCAAGTGTTCTAGAAACTATTCTTAAGTTGCCTGATTTAACTCTTTCAGATAGAAGAAAATTATTGAATAGCTTTTTTGAATCATATTCTGCTCTTTCTTGTCATCCTTCAGGATCACACATTGTCGATGCATGCTTGTATACTTCTATAGGATTAAATAATTATAGAGAACGAATTGCTGATGAACTTTCGAAGTCTGCTGAAATAATAAAGGATGATTATTATGGTAAAAGAGTTTGGAAAAATTGGCAATTAAATATATATGTAAACAATTTTTTAGAATGGAAAAAGAATTTGAATTCTTTTATACAAAAAGAGCGTTTGAAATATCAAATAGATAGCAAAATAACTAATTTAAATGTATTAAATTCAGATTTTCAAAATATAAATAATTATACAAACTCTTTATCAATATTATCTGATAACAAAAAATTAAAAAATAATGTCATTAATGATCCAGAAAAAGAAATAGATATACTATTTAAAAAAAATAGAAAAAGGAGTTTATCACAAGGAAAGTAAGGTATATATTCTGCTTTTTATTTACATTGAAATATTTTGGATATTTTTAAAATTATATATATTAGATATAAATATTAAAAATCATTGTTTTATGAAATTTTGATTTTAAAATGACTATTTTTACTGAAATCGAATTTTTTATTTTTATGAAAAATTATAATATAAATTATAAGTTCAATTAAAGTTATATTACATTAAAAATCAGCAATTTCTAAAATTTAATAATGTCTATAATGATTTATAATAAAAATATGTATCAATAACAAATAGAAATAAATCGTTAAACTTAGAACCATACTAAATTGAAAAACAATTAAGACTTTAACCATTATCTTTAATGAATATATATATTGCACAAATTATAAAACAGTATTAGTAAAACAATATAATAGTAAATACATCACATATCAATATATATAATCAAAAATACTTCTTTGTGGCTTTAGCAAGACCTACCATATTTTTTCCTAAATCATAAACAGAATAATACTAATCATTATATAAGTCGTAATATAGAATGAATTTAGAATAAATATACTTTACGAAGAAACACATCACCAATAATCCAAAGAGGACCCGCAGGTGGAGGAATATCCATACCAGTAAAAGTAGTCATACATTTTGATTGTACTAAATTTATATTAAATAAAAATTATTATTTTTATTAAAATACTTTTTATGATATATTCATTTGGCCCAAGAGAAAAGTTATGATGCCCAAATCCAAATGTAATATCAGGCAAAGTAGGTATTTTATTACAATCAAGAATATAATCACCTGTCCAAGATCTGGTTGCACCAATAGCATTATTCAAAAGATCAGCAATATCTATTAAGTGTAAAAAAATATTTATATCATCCTAAAACATACTTTTAGGCATGACAATTAAACTAGTCCCCGTATCAAGAATAGCTCCTACATTTTCCATTCTGATAAAATCTTTTCCATATGCAAAAAAAGATAAATCAACTAAACAAAAAGCTTTTAGCACATCATGTATTCAAAATTTATTCTTTTCTAAGACCATACCTTCCCAATAAGCTTTCCTGCGAACTGGAATATACGTAAGATCTCCTTCATAATGCATTGGATCTATGCCACCAAATGTACATTCTCCTCCCTCAATATCTTTTTCAATATTGCCCATCCAAAAGGCGAAAACTGGCTCATTTATTGCCTAAATATACGTTTAATATTGTTTTAAATAATAATAATAATAATAGGCAAATTTTCAACAAAAATACATACATTTTGCTCAACCATATTGTAAAACGGTGGAATAATCCCATTTACTGCAATGGAACTATATCCAAGCCCCAAAATACCATCAAATCGTCCAAATGTAAATGTAAAACCCGGCTCTGACACGGCTTCTGCAAATTCTTGTGCTGGAAGCACAATATCAGAGACAGAAAATTTATCTGTACTAATAAACCCCGAAATACTCCCAGAACCATATCGAATTTCAAACTTGGAGCCATTTGCAATATATGTTGACGATAAACTAGAATCATACTTTGAATGAATAATACATGCAAGAGACGTGCATTTTGACGATGGAACCCACAGATTCGATGAGCCTGTGTCAAGTACAACCTAAAAATATTCAACAAAATACAGCAAACACCAGAAAAACCACTTTAAATGTCTGTGGCGGCGTACCAATACTAACACGTGTATAATCTAAACATCAACAGCCTCATAAAACGTTATATCAATCCTACATTGTGCATTAAACTTGAAAAAATTAGTTTTTATAATATATATATATTAATTTACAAAATTCGTTAAAGAAACTTCATGGGCATTTGTTCCAAGTGGTTTTCCATGTATAATAGGCTCTTTATTCTTTCTCTCATCTCTTCCATATGAATAAAACAGTGTATATTTACGTGCAAGAGAATATGCTTCAATATCATTATGGACCTAAAAAAACCCCCTGTAAGCACAAATATATACTGAAAAAGACTATATATATGTTTGTAAACCTTATTAACCCGGTGATCACCGGGTATTTTGCGTAATTCTAGCCTGTGGAGCCCTCTAGATACGCCTGTTTGGCATACAAATAGCACATATAACCAGTAAGCAATCGAGACCATTGCTCAGTGCATCCAAGATCGCTGCTTTTAAAGGTGTTGCCATAGCAACCTACAGGGGAAAGAGTAGATATATTATGCGGTGAGTCGGAGGAGCGGAGAGCAAAGAGGCATTTGAGGAGAAATAAACAGCAGGATTCATGTAAAAAGAAGGTACAGTAGCAAAAAAGCAACAAAGAAGCATTAGAGACGCATATAGTGCGCATATATAGCGTGGATATAGCAGATAACTGTCTTAAGGCGATTTCGAGTGTATATACGAGGCGGATATATAGAGATCAGGAAGGTAGAGAAATATACAAGGAATAGTGGGGAGGAGATATTCTACGTATATATTAGTATTTAAATAAGTGAATTGAGATATCAGAATAATGCTAAGTAGAGATATAAAATTTGGGATTGATTGGGAGTTGAGATACAGCAAGTAGCCAGATAGGTGTGTGAGTTATTAGAAGGTCTAATAAGTGAGTGGGATTGATGATTTCTGTGGAATTTTCGCAGTTTTACAAGGAATTTTATTTTCTTTTTGTAGTCGGTATTTATGTCTTTATATCTGAGTATGGCCGAATTAAAAATGCACTTTTAGCGAAGAAATGGTGAGTTTGTAGTATTTGTTTTGCATGTTTATATTTTTCCAGGTTTGAAGGACTATATCCGTTGTTTTCTGCACAATTTGCACAAGTTGGTATAAAGAAAAATGATTCTGTACGACTACATAACTGGAACCCGGCCCGTTTTATCTCATATGCTACTGGACGTATTTATATTGATTATGCACATATTCAGTTTATAATGCCTATGCGCCAAAATGTGCTATCACTGCTAAAATGTGCGTTAAAAGCATTTTTTGCGGATGAACCAATAGCTCGGGACCGCTTATATGTAGATATGGTTATTTCAGATGATGCTTTTGATGATTTTGTTTTTGCTGTGGTCAATAAAGCAATAATGCGCTGGTTGCGTGAGAAATACTATCACTTGTCTTTTACACGGGTGTTGGAAACACCTATATTACCAGAAACATATGTTGTGATGTCAGAGTCGCCAGAAATTATGTCTGCTTTACTGGAAAACGATGCCTTTATTCAGTGTATTACTGCATCAGAATTTGAATTAGAGTATTTTATTGTGAGTGATCAGCCTTCCAAACGGCCAAAAAGGTTTTTTCTTCTTAAACATAATGTTTTTTATTAATATTTTATGTTGAATAATAGTCCGGATCAAAAGTATAGAAAAACTGTTTCATTTTGTATAAGATTACCATTATTACTTCACTTAGATAGGGTTGTCTCTATTGTCACACAATGTATTACATTTGTAGACTTTCTAGCTGATAGGGCACATTGGAGATCCAATATTTCTCAAAAACTCAAAGCAGCTCGTGAAGAAGTGAATCGAAAACTTAGAAAACTACAGGATGAAGAACAATTAGCAAAAATATCAAAAAAAAAAGCCGAAAAAGATAGATTAGAAAAAGAACGTGTTCGAAATATGAGTTTTCAAGAACAACGGAAAGTAAGTAATTATAAATTTGCTTTTTTTTTTCTTGATTAAAAGATTGAAATGCTTAGTATTTAGATAAAGAACGAGAACGAAAATATAAAAAACAAATAAAAACAATAAGGATGTAAATGCTATAAAGTAATATTTGTACCCTATATAGTCTTAGTTTTTTATTTAAGATATTTAAAATTTTAAAACATACTATTATAACTGTTGCCTTGTTATGACCAATATTTTTTCTTGTTTACATGTATATAATTATGCAATAAATGTATTATGTATTTCTCTATAAAATGATGTTTAAAAAATTTATTGCTATGTATTATTATTGTGTAATATTTCACAATCCTGGTAAAATATATCGCACGAAAACATTTCTAAGATAAACTTTCGAACAGGCTGTCGATAACGATAACGTGTAAGAATTTTAAGAACTGATTTATAAAGATCCAATGATTTAAATTCTTCAGGATACTTCAATTTTAGCCTATAATTTAATGAATATATTATGTATTGATATTATCAGAATTACCTTGAAAGAGATTTGACTGCTTTATTGGCTAAAATATGACTAGATAAATCAATTACTGCTTTTAAAATACTAGCTTGAATATCATTTTTAAAGGCTAACTTAGATATATCCTCTTCAGAATCAGATGTGCATGATTGATAATGCCATGGTTCTAACTAAAAAAATTAATTATAATAAAATGATAAAATATAATACAAATAATATTTTTTTAATATCATTTGGAATACAAACACCAATAGGGATACCAAAACTAGTAAAAACAGATACCCATCCATATTGTTCTAATATTTTGGAAACAGGTGTTATTATAGAAATTAATCCTAATACAAAAAATGCAGTTCTAAAAAGTTAAAAAAATCAAAAAATAAGAATAAAAATACCCCCTAAGACTCATTACTTGTGATTTTTCTGCTATATATACAATTTCAGGAATTACTCGACTATTTTCAAGAAATGGAAAACCATTATTATGAGAACCAATATTCCCTATAGCCCAAAGAGAACTTTTTAACTGAAGGATAATATTTTTATCCTCATATTCATCTTTATGATTAAAAATATAAGAAGCAAAATGCTCAAAATGCCCTTTGTTTTTTAAAAGTTGACATCCTTCAAATGTTTTAATGATTTCTCCATAAAAATGAGGTGGAATAAGACTATCAATGTCATTACTATATAAATTAACTTTTCAATATTAGAGAAAAATGTTATACTTATTTGTAAGCAAAAATGCTAATGAAAGACGATTCTCTACATAGTTTACATAAGATTCATTTTGTTCCTAAATGATTAAACTTTCTTTTAAAAAAAAAAAAATAAACATACATGGAACCAATTATCCATTTCTTTCTCGATATAATCAACTTCTTTAAGATAATTAAATCCTATAGACGATGCCAAAAATCTTATAAAAGCTAATTTTTAATAATAATGAAATTTTAATAATCACCTTAAACGTAATGGTGCGCCAATATCACCAAGATGTTCTAATGTTGGACGTAGTTTTAATGTATATTGAAGATTTTCGAAATCATAGCATGCTCTTTCTAAAACTTTAACAGCCATTTGACATACTTCGATAGAAGGATCATATAACTGAGTAACAAGTAAATAGATAGCCCATTCTGTAACTTTAGTATTTTTGGTAGATATTTTTTTATTTGGAGATAAAAGTGTTCCCAAATGCTTCGTAACAAAAAGTCGCACATCCTGATAAATTAATTCTCGTGATATATTATCATGGTTTAAACCTTCAATCCTGTAGTAAGAGCCTTTGAAAGAATTATACGAGGATGTCCTTGGCTAGACATATGTTAGAAAGAACATTTAACATTAAAATACTACAATCTATAATCCATATTTGTTATAAAATTCAAAATTAGATCATCACGACTTCGAAGTTCTGTAAGATGATAAAACATGTTAAATATTTTTAATTTTTCCATCATCCTATATATATATATATAAGATATGTATATAGTATGCAAGGGAATTTAATACGCAATTCCTTCTTTATTTTCAGATAAAGTCCCAAGTAAAACAAAATATCCTGATGTCAATGTTTCTTCTAAGCGTTGTTTTGAAAATAAAGGATATGGACAAGAAACACCACTTATCTATGACTGTTAAAAAGAAGAAAGTTATTATTAAAGAAAAAACTGGATCAAGTTGAGCAAGACATTCTGAAATTTGTCTTAAAAGTTTGCTATCTGCTAAATAACGTACGCCCTCTGGATTAGCAAGTAATGTAGTGAAAACCATTCGACCAATTCTAACATAGCGCTGATTGGGCTATATATATTAATCTATATATATTGTACTATGTTGTATTATTACTTTTGTTTGTTTAATATTAGAAAACCTATAACTAAACGGTCGGTAAAAAGACAATAAACGTTTCATAAATTTTGTAGATCGAATAGATTCTTCTAACCTTTTTGGATTTAACAAAGGTCCCTGTAAAAGTTCAACAAGTATATCCCATCTCCATTTTTTATAATTTTTAGTGCTTAAAACCTATATAATTATAAAATAGTAATATTTTTGAAACTAAAAAGAATACCTGAGTATCTAATAGAAGAGTTCTGAAACGAATATCGTCGATTTGTAGGCCTAGCTTAAGTTTAATTTGTTCAAGCTGTCTTCGCCCTCTTTTTAAGAAATTTTCTGACCCTGAATAATGTTCTTTTTGTTGAATAGAGCTAATTTTCATTTTTGCTCTATTCAAAGACTCTATTTGAAGAAGAGCAGACGTTGCGGCAGGATGAAACTTATTATCAAATTCTAATGCAGACACAAATAATTTTGGAAGAAACTAAAATGTATTAATTATTATAAATTTGTAATATCATATAAAAACCTGAAGCTTGGTACCATATTTTAATGGCAAAATTCTATTTACTAACTGAAGTAGTTCTACAATTAGCAATGTTGCTTTCCGAAAAATCATTTTATCTTTAGAATCTTCTGCAATAGTCATTAAAGCCTATAGAATTTTTAGGTATAAAATTTATTTAAATATCTGATATAATACATCCAGTATTCCAATATCTATAAATACAATGACAATTAATGCTAAAAACTGTTGTGATAAATCATTTCTTCCAGATTCGATAAACTTATTTGAAAATATATTTTCATTTTGCGGTTCTTGTTGACCATGTGGAAATGGTCTTCCCCAAGTTGTAAGTCTTCTACCGGCCAAAAATGTTGACGTTATAGAGGACGGTTGTATTCTAAAAATATTATATAAAAGATCAAGAATTGTATCCTTTATAAATAAGTATATATGTTAAACATTAAGTATAAAATACCCGGCATCTAGAAGAAGATATACGTAATGCATCAATCAAAGAGCGAATTGACCGCATATTATACATACTCATATAAATCAGTCCTAAATACATTAAACAATACGCATCATTAAAATTGCTTTTATACCCGACCAAGACTTTATCATTGTTGCTACTGCATTTGCACAATATCTTACTTTGTATTCTTCCATCATGGGATGAATATTAGTAAGGTTAGAAACAATAAGCTTAAGGAAATTAATATATTTATAAAAAAGGAAAAACAAACTTGAAGATCGCTTTGAGGTCGAACGTATTTTCTTGTAGAGGGAACATCTAAAAGAAATATAAATAATTTAACAAGTTCATTCGCAATCTCGAATGGTCCATCGCTTAAAGTTTGAAGTAATACCTTATTACCACCCGAGGAAATAATTAATGCTGGATCCAACACAACTAATATAACATTAATTGTACATTCAAAAATATTACTTCTGCTACTCATTTCAGCTAACGTCTCTACACATATCGACGACATTTTATCTCCTGAATGCTCAGCTAAAGATACGACGGCACTAACTACACTTTTGGATATCTCAGATATACCACCTTTGATTTCATAAAATGATCTAAGTAGCTTTAAAGCCTGTTCACGTTCATTTGATGCACTACTATCTTTAGAAAGTGATCTAAACGGTTTAATAAACATTTTATGTGAAAACGATATTGAATAACCGTATAATTGCATATTCTAGATGAATTTTTTTCAAAAAAGATATAGATTCTAAATCACAAATAGCGTATCTTGAAAGACGATATCCACATGCCACTTTATCTGTATTCGGACTTGAAAACATATTACATAAGTGGTATCGAAGTGCTTCCCAATTCAAGTCATATTTTAACGTTGAATACGTTTTGAGAAGTGATATAAGATGATTTGTGCACTTTATATAGTGAACCTTGTCATTAATAGTCTCATCTAAACGCTTAAAGGCAGACTCCAACGTTTGTACTGGATTAATCATCTCTGTATGTTCTTTTTAAGGTTGAGTAGATTAAAATAACAAGTGGTAAAAACAAACCATCTTTTTCTTTTTTCCGCATAAATGCTTGTGTAGGATGCTGGAACTCATTATAGCACATGACGGAGTTTTCGATATCTTGATCATAGATCGTGTTTGACGTAAATTTTGCATCTGAAACAATTATTTTTACATTTAAATGACCCAAAATAGCCCCACATGAATTATTTGATTTTATTTCGTTTATCTGCATTTTTATTCGTGCAATTTTCATATTAGCTGCATCCAACTCCAGTTCAATCTTTCTTCTTAATATTGCATGGTTTTCACCCTCCTGATCAGCTGTTTTTATATCAAAAACCTGCAGCCACATGTTTCAGGCACGTTCTACAACTAATTTACTTGTTTCACCTGCAAAAGATTTTCTGCTCCTTCTTTGATCTTGTTTTCAATATCCAGCTGGTTTGTAAGCTCATTCAGCTACAAAACATGTTACATAATCCCTCAAAATACTCTTCTTTAAGACCTTTTGAACTCTCTGTGCTTCATCCTCAATTTCAGGGGCTATCTGTGCTGGTAAACTCGATGATACCGATACATTTTCCTGTTTTTTTGCCTTGTTGGCTGCTTCTACTGATGTTTTATTTAATGCTGCTGGTGCTGCTATTCTTCGACTCTGTATCTGCTTCTTTCCTGCACATCTCTCCCAGCTCATACGTCTGCTATGTACTTGCAGTGTCTTTATACGTTAAGCTGGTTGATTTTGAAGATGAGAGGTTAAGAATATGGAGGAGAATCACTATAGGAACGTGTTACTATGACAACTGAATGCTATGACGTGAGGAGAAAATGTTCGCAGAAAAAACAAGCATTTACGGTGGGATTAAAGAGTCAAAAAGGCGTGTTAAAACGGGGAAAAACGAAGGTTTAAAGGTCTCTATCAGAATCTATTCTGTTTGTTTGTATAGTGATTGATGGGGTGGCTTTTTCCCGGGAAAAAATCATCAACAGAACAATTGGAACGAGTGAAAGATGATGCATTGGCAAAGTCGCCTTATTCAGCTCCAGAAACGATAGAACTCTATGATCAGGGAGTTTTGGATCCATCTAGGCTGCATCCGCTTGCAGGCCTTGGAAAAGCGCTGGATTATCTTTCTTTAGAGGATGCACAGTTAGCAAATCTTCCAGGTGGAAAAACAGCGTTTCCAAGCAGAGGGTGGAGTGATGATCTTACATATGGGACTGGAACAGTATATGTTTCTGGTTGAATACTGTTTGAGCTGTCAAAACTTGGCTAACAGTGGCATAGCTCTTGGTATTGGAGGTGCTTGGGGTTTTTTTGAGGGACTATCCAAGGCAAAAAAAAATGTTTCAACACGTGTCCGATTTAACAGTATTCTTAATGCCATGACGTCCAGAGGACCTTTCTTAGCTAATTCAGTGGGTGTAATTGCTCTTGGCTATAATGCAGCAAATTCTACACTCGGTTATTATAGAGGAAAACACGATGATATGAATTCTATTATTAGCGGAGCACTGGCTGGCACTGTTTATAAAAGTACACGAGGCATCAAAAGTATTGTTATCTTTAGTGGTATTTGTTCTGGAATGGCTGGTATATGGTGTCTTTCAAAACGACTTTTTATATAATAAATATTTTTATACCAAAGTATTTGTTTCCCATTTAATACATTCATTTAGACTCATACCGTATACTTTTTTCTTTTTTGAAAAAATACAAAGCTATAAAATTAATATTGAATATTACCCATGTCCATGTAAATAATATAGTTACAATATAATTGGAACAAATAAATGTTCATGCAAAACATATCGATTAATGGTATGCTGCTTGGCACCTTATATTTGTTACATGATGATGCATTTGTTTAGTTTTTTCTTTTTTTGTATTATGAAATGTATTTATCGACTCTATACGTAAATGATTGGAAATGTTATCATTTTTTTCTACTAATGGCTGAATATGTCTACCAGAGAATGCTGAATCTTTTGAATCAGAACGTAAACATATAACGTTATGTTTTTTCAGAGTCCATCGTTTGTTTAAAAAAGTATTTTGACGTAAACTTAAGTTTTGTCGAAAATTCTGCATCTCTATAGCACATGTAGACGAATATGAAGTTGTTAAGCTCGTTGTCGGCTCTAAACTAGGGCTATTGGACAGAGAATTTTTAAAAACACAATTTACAGCTGACACCGTTGATAAAAGATGACTCGATCTGTAGATTGCTTGACTTATAGAAGGCGTAAATGGACAAAGAGTTTTTTGTGACGATGCTAGAGCTGCAAAACGTAGCATTCCCGTAATAGAAATAGGATGTTCTGGATTAATATCTGCTAATCGTATAAGAGGAGTAGGTTCCTTATTTTTAGATTCGTTTGTCAATATTGTAGTAGAAGAATTTGTATTTAATTTTTCTATAGACTTTGGTGGCATAGAAATAGATAATTTATGTATAATGGCTGGAAGCTCTTCCTGAAAAAACGTACGTAATTGTTTTTCAATTTCTTTTTGCAAAAACTGTGCAATAACAGGTATACTGTCAAATGTACTAGAAACACGTACAGATTCAACTGGATCATTACGGAAGACTAAAGTAACACCTTTTGCCTTAGAAAATACCAAAACGACAATACCTGATAATTTAAAATCTGATAAACGAAGAAACATAGGAACAATTAACGGTGCATCTGCAAAAAGTATTCCTTTCCATGTAAACTTCGGAGATGTATTTTTATGTGTATTTAAAGGGTTAATCTTACATAATTATTAACAACTTATTGAAATTTAAAATACTTACTTGAACTTTGGTTTGCAAAACAATATATGCATCTCCTGTATATCTAAGTTTAAATAAACCACGAAAACGGTCTTCTGCAAGATCCCCTATCTCTAAAATTTCAAGTTCTGGAGGCTAATTTATTAGTTATTTGATATAAAAAAAAAAACTACCTTTGAACCCATATTTAATTCTTTTACATCAATTTTGTCAACAATAATAGGCAATTTATTCCCTTTGTTAAGTGCATAACTAAGAAGAGAAGATGTTTTTTCTATAAAAGATTGAGAAAATTCTTTATTCCATGAAAAATGAAAAGCCATATGTTTTTTTTAATTCTATGTTTTTTTTTAAAAAAAAAAAAAGAATAGACAATATATAAATACAAAAACTTACTTTTTAGAAGGATATTAAACTCAAATATTGGATCTTTGTTGCTTAAAACTTAAATTCATTTTTTTTATATTTGATGATGTGTTGATCGCTGATCGATAAACGGATTTTCTTAGAAATTTATAAAGTTTATTAAATTATAGCAATTTTTAAGGTAAAAAGAATTGTATTTTTACTTCTAAAACATAAGAAATGACTTAATATTTTCTTATAGAGGTGTTTTTCTTTTTTTAAATAAATTTTTTTTCTTGTATTTAAAACAAAACATTTATCAGTACTGCAAAACTTCTAAATGCCACGGCAAAATAAGGTTCCATACTATCAAAAATTATTTCAAGAGAATACACATCTTCCTATTTATATGAGAGTATCTTTTCTGCTACTTTTTCACTATCTGAATCATTCTATAGACTCCCAGAAGTAAATTGATGCTGTACCCTTTTATGGTACTTTGGAGTGTTAGCTTAATTGGTTATATTTTTTGAAATACTTTTATATTTTTTATTTTAATGTTTTTAGGCTCTGTATGGGGTACTGTAAATATGATAAGGGCAAGTTAATTTTATCAATTAAGTAAAAGTTAAATATGTTAGGGTATTAAGTGATAAGATTTTATTCTTATTATTTTTCTTAAAGTATAATTAAGCTAAAAATCATTCTTCTGTGTTTTTTGTTCTATAGGAAGCATGTTATGAATTTTACGAATTTTCAGAAATCTTTTATAATTTTTGAATATTTTATAATAGACGTTGAAGAAAAAAACTACAAATGATAAAAAAATAAGAATTTGCTGGTTATTTTAGTATGAATGTTTTTTATAAGTTTAGTATAAATTTTTCTATTTAGTGAAAAAACAAATATATAAAATTTTAATTATTTTAATTGTTTTTAATTCATCTTTTTTAAAATCTTTTATTATTAATATTTCTGTATTTAACAGGCTAAAAGTATTTATTAAGATTATTTTTAAGATTGTTTTTTAATTTATGTTTTAAATATTTTTATATTTTACTCAAAATTAGAATATGATATTTTATCTAGTATATTAGAATAAAAAACAACGAAGGATATTTAAATCACTTTATAAATTTTTATTACTTTGTTTAGCTTGAACATTTATTTTGTTTAATTACCTATTAAAATTTAATACTTTTTTTTAAATAGACAAAACCATATTTTTTATAAAGATAAAAATAGCATTTTCAAAAATTCATTAAGCTTAAATTTTAATTAAATCTAAAGGATTTTAAGTTTTATTATGAACATCAAGTATAATATTTATTATAGAAAATAAATGCCAATTATTGTTCATTTTGTAATGTTTTTGATATTTTATAGATATTTAGATATTTAGATTTAGAAATTACTGTTTTTCTTTATGAACATCAAAATTGAGAATTTAATCATATATATAATACGTTAATTATTTCTATTTAAAATTGCTCAAAAATTCTATAATATTTTGTTATTTTATATATCATAAAAATGTTTTAAATATGCTTAATAAAAGAATGTAAATACTAGTACAATTTCATTTAAAAATTACATTCTGGCTTAAAATATATTTTTATAAAAATATTCTTTATATAATTATTAGATTTAATTTTTTACATTATTATATTGTTAGGTATATATAGTTTTTATAAATTATAAATAAAAACATAAGATATTTATTCTATTTAAAACTAAATAAATCTAATAAAATTATAAAAAAATATAATAAATCTTAAGTCCACTAAATAAATTATTGCCATTTAAATATGTTATATTAAGAAATATTTAATTTGAAAAAAAAAAATATTTTAAAATCTAATATATATATTTAAATGATTTGTAATTGATTAAATATCTAATTATTTATAACTATTTTTATTTTTATAGCTTTATTATAATAAATATAATTTAATATTTTTGCTTAAAAAATAAAAGTTTCTAAGATTCTTTATATATTTATTCGTGTGACTAGTTTTTTTTTCCAAAAACCCATATAGTATTTTTATTTATATCAAGAAATAATAAAAGAATATAAATATTTACCATGTTGCTCAAGCACTATAACAATTTATATTGGATTTAAATCATTTGAATATTTTTTATTAAGGATAAATATTAAGAATATGTTATTTTATAATTATTGTCACTTTTTAAAACCATTATATCATCAAAGATTTATTTATTCAAAACATTTTAAAAATTATGTAATATTTAAAATATTAAAACTTGGTATAAAAAATTAACTTTTTTTAATAAAAAACGTAAATTTTCAAATCAATTAGATAGTATAAATTCCAAAAATGTTAGTAATAGACACTTTTATATTTTTTTATTATTTTTTACATACATTTACACACATCTTTCGAACATATATAATACATCCAAAAATCATCACGACATCAGCTTTTTTATCAAGTTTTCAATCCTTTAATAAAGAGAAAACAGCTAGTTTTTAAGAAAATAAACACACTAACATGTAAGCATAGGCCTTATAAAGCCAACAAAAGTCAATATACATATTATTATTATATATTATTGTCGAATAAACCATATTTTGTATTTTCAAAAAAAATAAAAAAATAAAAGAAATGGAAGATCCAGAAAACAGTAGTTCATTTTTTGAAGAATCTTATGAGCACATAAGTTCTTTTTTTTCAAATTCTAAACCAGATTCAACACTAAAAAAAGCAAATGAAGATCAAGAAGAAATAAAGGTAGAAAGATCGAAAGATACACTCTGTTGTCACATATATTCTGTCATAGATAATGCTTGTGAAGATCCTTTTATTTTTATTGTTAATGCAGAAAAAATAAATGAAAGCAATAGCAAACATTTTACTGTGTATACAATACATATGAGGGTAAAAATATTAATAAAAAAATGCAGCATAAACACTTAATAATTATCACTAATAGAACTTTGAAGTACGCCGTCGCTATTCCGAATTTGAATCCCTTAGAATATCACTTTCACGATTATTTCCTACAGTGATTGTTCCTCCAATTCCTGAAAAATCCAATATCAGTAAGCTAATTTAGATAACACATATTTGTCCATATAAATTTATTAGATTTATCAATTTCTTCGGCAAGGGCTAAAAGAGATTCAAATATAGTTAATCAAAGAAAAAGAATGTTACAAGTTTTCCTTAATCGTTGTGTTTTTCATCCTGTTTTGAGTAAAAGCCACGTTTTTCATTGCTTTTTGGATGATAATATATCATGGGTAGAATATTAATTTTTCAGTTAATTTTTATGTTTTAACGAATAATAGCAACAAGTTTTAATAACACCGCCTATTTCTTTATTACCACAAAATATTCTTATATCACACCCTCTAGATCCAATTTCTAGCACAAATAATCCTAATTATCAATGTCTTCCTATACCCTCTGCTAATGCAAAGTTAATAAATTCTAATAATAAAGATGAAGTAAAATTTCTAGAATTAGAAAAAAAAATTAAAGAAATTGAAGATATTATTGGAACTGGTATCTTAAAAGCAAATAGATATATTATAAAACACTTTCAAAGTGAAAGCATTTTTTTTTTATCATTCGTTAAACCTTGATAGATTTAGCAGATCATTTCAGCGAACTAGGTGCAACTTATAATGCTCTTTCAATAATTGGACCAGATCACTTAGCGGCAGGAATTGAACGTTTTGGCCAAGCTCACGACTCAAATTTTCATTCTAATTATGAATTAGTACAAGAAAGATATATTTTTATTTATACTTATATTTATTTGTTAGATTGAGAATATGAATTTTATATTATCAGAGCCGTTAAAAGAATTGGCACAGTTTCATGAAGCTGCTAGGTCTCGTTTAATATATAGACGTCAGAAAACCGTACAATACGAAATTATTGTAGATATATTAAATCAAAACAAAAATATACTGGATACACTTGAGAAATCAGAAATAGAAGCACAAAAAATTGAATCATCTCTAGCAAGATTGAGTACAGGCGGATCTAGTTTATCAACATTGAATTCCGATGAATCTATTGATGACAACGAGCATTCAAAACAAACTAAGAATTTCTTTGGAAAATTAACTGTTGCTATAAAAGATATGGTTGATGCAGATTCAAAGACTACTAGAAAAAAAAGTATTGAAAAAATATATGAAAAAATTTCTCAGGTAAATCAAATTTAATAATACAAATTAATAACGATTAATCAGCTGGAAAATGCACTTAAAATTACAAGAAAGGACTCAAATGTTGCAGCAGAGGCTATAATGGATGAATTAGAGAGATTCCAAAGTGCAATTAGGAAAAATTATTGTGATTTAATGATTAATGTCGGAAAATGCTATATAGAATGGGCTAAAAGAAATATTAAGGTCTGGGAAAAAGCTAATTGTTTAGCTTAAAAAGTCTTTAGTTCTTCTAAAAATATAAATAATTAATTATCTACTAGATACTAAACGTATGGATTATACTTTCACAATGATGCCCTACAATAAATACTAAGGTACAATTGGAATTAATGAAAACAAAAATACATCCTAAAATACGTCCTATAAACCTAAATTACGAGTATAAAAATCAAACTACCTAATTTACTCATTATAAATTTCTTATAACATTCCTTTGAACTTTTGCATTTCCTAAAATAAATTATAATATTCATAAATTATTTATGAAATGAATTTTTCATATTAAACTATTATTTTTTAATTTAATTTGTAATATAAACTCAAAAACAAATACGTCAGAGCAGTTCATTGATTATTTTAATTTAATAAGACTATTTTATAAAGTCTTCTCTTGACCTTTCTGTTGTGTCTATAGTATCCGTATCAATGATACCTTGAGCATCTTCATCAGATTCGTCTTCAATATCCGATACTGTTTGTGCTTGAACTAATAAAATAAAAATACATAAATAGATATAAATTTAACAAAATTACCTCCTACACGAACTTCTTCTCCATTAATATCAATGTCTTTCATAAGACGATTCAAATGCTTTAATTTTTCTTTTTTACTTTTATCATCTCGCTCTTTAATAAGTCTTTCAAGCTCAGGACGATATTTAGATTCATATTCCTCCACTTTTCGTTTAATAGCATCCAAAAAATCATCCATCCCTAATCCTGTAATGGCAGAAACAGCAACCACGTCTAAATGGCGATAAAATTCCTCGAGCATAAGACTCATACTATTCATCAAACTAGACATGTAGCCAGATCCACCTTCGCCTTCCATATTTCCTTCATCCCTTGAAAGTGCAGATTGAAAAGTCTCAAAATCAGTCATCCATTCCTTTGCAAATGTTGCATCTTGCACATCAGTTTTATTAAATACTACAATAAGAGGCAATTTTGTCTTATAAAGAATTGAACATGCATACAGCATTGAACTCATAAACGTTGTACAAGATCTAGAACGTACAGTATCAATAATGTATGCAATACATGTCGGAAATGACGATGCTAAGGCATCTGTTATAATTGATCCAGAAGCAGACCATGTAAATATTTCTGATGAAATATAAATAAAAATCAAAAACAGATGCTCAGATTACCAATTTGCCCAGGCGTATCAAAGAGAATATGCCTATAAAACTAAGTTTTTACATCCATAAACTCAAACATACGATGATGATCGTTTTTCAAGAATTGAAAGTACTTGATCAAACTTTGTAGCAAAGAGATTCAATGACGTAAGAATAGCACCATTAGGACCAAGATTGTATCTAAAATTGATAAAAATTAATCAAAAATACAAAATCCATACTGTTTCATCACTTCTTTATAATTAATGGTATCACAGATATCAATATTCACATTATACGGCACAGACAAAACTGCTGGGTCTATTTACTCACAAAAATTCATTATTTTTCCTCAAAAAAAAGATAAATTTCTTTACCAAGATTAACAATATATGGAATCTGTTCTTTACTCCGTATATGAGCGTTTAATCTCTGTAAAAAAGTTGTTTTTCCTATAAAAAAACATCAATATACATCTTTGAATCTCTTCTTGTCTTACCTGATCCTGCCATACCTACAACAAGAACACAACATGGTTTTATCGTCATGATTTAAAAGATTACTTGGTTATAACATAGATATCGATAGAACTGGATATATCTGAGTAGACTGATAAAAAAAGGACACTTAATACACACAAACAACACTTTGTATTAAAAACGAAAAAAATCTATACATTTTTCATTTATATACTTTTTAATGGTAATTCAATCAACAGCTTATGTATACATTTTTTCTTGTAAAAAAAGTTTCATAGAGCTTTTCCCATAATGAATTGTATTTACCATAATTGAGTCTATATATATCGCTAGTCATGTTGTATATTCAAACAACTTTATACAATCTATATTATTTTTGAAAAACTTCTTTCAAGACTCTAAATTACATACAGATATACGAATCTATAGAAAAATAAATACATGATAAACACATATATACATATACGTATGACAGAGTGGGTAAATACATCCATAATACATAAACAGGCATATCTACCTGTATTGAAATATAAAATCAGATACTTTTAAAAATATTACAATAAAAGGAATGCACCCAAATACTCTCCATGCCAAGACATGAATGTCCTTTTTAAAACAATACCGTTAAATCATATAAAATCATAACAAGAAATAATGCAGACAAAAACATTGTTGTTATTTCACATCTTTTGGACTTTTTGTCTTAGATATCTTTTGTGATTTATCGACTTCATCAACCATTCTTAATACTAAATGGAAAACCATTATATATCATTTATGATCCTATTCGGTCTCTTTGAGCAAATTAAATTCATCATATATATGTTTGTGTGCCATATTCAGTAAAAACATACCCTTTCTAGCATGTTGCTGATCTAGAAGGATTCTCTTGCTCATGTATTGAAGCACAAGACATATCCTCTTCCGGATCAATGTCCTCAGGATTAAAAGCATGTTCAAGATCAGTTGGATCAGACCCAACCGTCTCTTCTAATTCAATGTCATCACACAACCCAAAACCATCTTTTAAATCAGATTCATCCAACTCAAAATGATCATCTAGATCAATATTGTCGTCTAGCCCAAAAGAATCATCCAGTATAGCATCCTCTTCAAGTTTAGCTTCCGGTTTAGCCGTACCATTTGAATCAAATTGATGTTTTTTGAATCTAGATTCCGTTTCATACCGTTTTTTCAAAATCTTTTGTATATTTGCTTGATTAGAAGCATCCATTGAATCTGATGTTAAATCTAAAGCCAAATCCGAAGCCAAACCTAATGTTATCCCTGAAGACACTTCAGAGGATTGAGAATTCTGTTCAGCCCTAACACTCTGTCTTGCTGGGAGAACCGGCTGTTTTGCCTTCTGCTTAACAGGCGGCAAAGGCACTGGCCTTTGTTTAAACGATATCGTATTATAACTCATAGTTTCTTTCACACCATGTTGCTTATTCTCTTCCCGCTTCATAGAAGAAATCGGTTCAGATGCCGAATGCTCGAGTCGTGGCACCTCGTCTCCTATTTCTTGTTTCGAAACACCTATTGGCTCCATTGACTCTCCTGCAACCTCTGAATACTCAGGAAGCCTGTCTTCCAAGACTTCTTGTGCCAATGACTCTTTTTTATCCCTTTCAAAACTCACCGACGACGATCTTCCTGTGTATTCACTCAATACCTCCGAATCAAGCGATGCATGTGCTATCCACTATCAGTATACACCTTTTTTCCATACTACTATCCCCCTACAATGTCTTTTCGTTATATAATTCGCCCCCCATCGTCGCACTGCATTTGTTGCCGAACTAACACTCAGAGACAGAGTATTCTTTTCCCCTACTTCTTGCTTCCGCCGACCCTCAAATAACGTAGATCCTTCCCGCATCGTCACAAATGCTGCACTTAGTCGCTCTTTCTTCGTCGCAAACGTCGACTTCAATGAACTTCCCGATATTGATGATCCTCCACTCCCAATCATCCCAATACTCTTCCAATTGTCAGTCTTTTGCTTCCAAAACACTTTTTTTCTTCCCACCTCGTTTTCCCCTTCTTGCTCTCCTTTCTGCATCTCCTCCGACTTGAAAATCTTCGATTGCGAGATCTTGTTCAGTGTTTTCGGCAAAACACTCGACTTTCCAAATGCACTCATCGCTGCCGCCGTCACAAATGACTTTCCCAATTTCTCCTCTCCCTCTCCTCGCCTTTCTCTCCCCTCTCCTCCCTCTATTCCTCCTCCACTCCCCGATGCAATCGTATTGTATGATGACGACCTCTTCAATCCACTTTTTTTGTTTTCTCCCGTCCTCAGTGTGGTCAACAGCACTGCCTGCCTCTGTTGCTTCCCTCCTAACCCCCCTGGTCCTCCTAATGGCACTCCTTCTCCCTCTGTTTCCTTCTTTTCTCCCTTTTCCCCCTCTTTCTCTTCTCCTTGCCCTTCCTTCCTTCCTTCCTCTATTCCCTCCCTCTCTACGCCTTTCTCCACTTCCTCTTCCCCTTCTTCTCTCCGCTCCTCTCTTCCTGCTCTTGATTCCTCCCAAATCCCCCCTCTGTACATTTGGTTTTTCGTGCTACAGATGTAAAAATCCTCCATGTGCGGAAAAACAAGTGTATTCTGAATCTACCTTCCATCAGCTCCTCTCTAATCCTCCTCTACACCCACCGTCTCTCGAATCCGGTTCTCCAACACCTTCAAAATCATGGAATACGTAATTTGCTTCGAAAACACCACCGGTTCAATCGTCATGTCAATCTACTCCCCTGTAAGCCCCTCTGTTCCCTCCAAATCCCTCCTCCACTCTCTCTCATACCGTCGGCATCTCATAAAACCCATACCACACCCGATTGCTTGGCGGCGGCTTCATAATTACCCCTATGGTCCCCTCAAACCGTTTTACCACCACCGCCACCACCACCTCCATCTTCCGCCCACGTAAACGCCCTCCCAGGTTCAGTGTCACACTTGTCCCTATTTCTACACGCATCTGTCCCTTGTATGTGATCTTTACGTCCATATTAAGCTGTCCATCCATCGACAGCTCTCGCAGCCGCGGATTTGTCACATAGGGAATGCTGTTTCCTATCTCTACCCGTCGTACCACTATATCTGATAAAAATCCCGGCTTTTTAATCCGTGCAATCTTCTTTCTGATCCGTTCCATAATAAATTCCTCTGCCATTTGTGTTTGATAGAGTCCTAGGAATAACCGCCCAATTAACCCATTCAACCATCTCATTTCGACTTGTGCATCACTCCCATGGATTGCCTGCAGCAATGCCGACATGTCTGCTGCCTCAAACTGCAATGGCTGCCGCCCACTTGCTGCTGCCAGTGCAAAATACCAGTCTTCTTGATCCGATGGATTTCCACTGAACAAAAAGTACTGTTGCCGTGCTGTGCTCTCTGTAGACACTGCTGACGCCTGTTCTGCAATATGAATTGCGTGTGCCCGTGCAAATAGCTCTCCATCATGTGCTCCCGGCGGCCACAAGCCAACTGTGCTCGGTACAAGTACTATACGGTGCCGTAGATCCGTCCGGTGCTCACGGTCATATAAATGCAGTGTATTGTCACGTAGCACTGCATAGAACAAGACTGCACGCCGCCTTGGATGCCCACGGCAGACCCTCAACCACCCTGTCTTGGCTGGTGGATCACGGGTCCGCTGCTGTGGTAGCTGCCGCGGTACTGATGGCGGCGCTCGGCCAACAAGCAGAAGCACAAGAATGAGCAGCGGCAGTGTCACTGCGCCTGCAGCATATGCCACAAGGTGGGAGAACGCAGGAAACCAGTGCATGCTCAGGTGTGCGTGTACAGTGCACACACTACGTGTGTACAGTATGCAATGACAGTGCAACAGATAAGTATATACTATAGTATAACATAGCGTATATCATATGGTATAACGTATACTATAATGTATACAATAAGAATATATAGTGCAGTAGTCAGCAATGGAGTGTGTGTACAGTGTATGCTATGTATATATGTATATATGTATATATATATAGTGTGCATGTGTATAGGGCAGTGCATTACAGCATATCATGCATGCTATAGTGTATAACGTATACTATAGTGCAGTATGTTGTATAATATGTGTGGTATAACGTGTATAATATAGCGTGCATAGTATATGCATGGCGTATGTAGCATCGATAGTATATATAGTATGTGCCGCATAGTATGGCAGAGTATACAGTGTCACTGTATGTCTATTCACACTTTATACAGTGTACGTAACACACACAGCGCACGCACAGTATGCACACTGTCAACCATATGCCATGCATGCATGTGTTGAGTGCGTTGTATGCGTCATATATGCGTTGTATATGCGTTGTATATGCGCTGTGTATGCAGTGTGCTGTATGCGTTGTGTGCACGCGCTATGTATACTGCATACAGTGTATGTATAGCATATAGTGCGTGCAACGCATGTAACACATAGAGTATATACAGATACACCGCGTTATATGCGTTGTCTGCACAGTGTATGCAAAGTGTATGCGCATTGCACATACGCCGCACACACATACTATGCACGCATACTATACATATACTGCATATATATGCTATGTATATACGCAGCATATACTGTCCGCATATGTTATGCAGTGTATACACATACATAGTATACGCATCGTATATACACTGTGTATGCAGTGTATGCACTCTGCTGACTGTGCGTTGTGTATGCCTTGTGTATGCATCGTATGCTGTATACGCTGTGTATGCTGACTATGCGTTGCACGCGGTGCGTGCAGTATATACACAGATGTCCAGTGCACACGCTATACAGATATATCTACAGTATGCACAGTATATATAGCGCATCTGCAATGTTTGTATTGTGCCCCTATATATATGCAGCATATGCGTAGTATATCTACAGTGTATACGCAATGCAATGGACAATACATACGTATAATTGCACAACATATACAGTGTGTGCGTTGTATACACAGTATACGCGTTATGTCCTCTGTGTATGCGTTATACGGTGTATATGCGTTGCAATGTGTAGCGTGCATGTGTAATCGTGCAGTGTATGCGGTGTGTACATTGTATGCGTCACACATATATACATACACATATACATCATAGTATACATAGTATATAATGTACAGTGCATATGTATAGTACAACATACAGTATATATGTATTGTATGCACTGTGTTGCATGGCATGTGCACATTGCAGACTATATCCATTCAATGCACTTTATACTCAGATTGTATATCTGCAGAGCATGTATATTATATGCGCAGAGTATAGTCATGCATGATGAATATGTAATAGGCGACAATAATGCATGTTATATCTGTTATGCGTGCATTATATACAGAGAATATATGTGCTGCATGCACTGCATGCCTATTATATGTATATTAGGTCTACTATATACACAAACCTCGCCTTGCAGAATCTGTATACATACACATGCAATGTACATACATTTATAGTGCATATACAGTGTGCATACACACACTATGCATATACCATACATGCACTGTATACATTGCACATATATTTTCCATACAACATAATGCTCTGCAGATAGCCTATATATTTTGCATATAACGTATACATTTTGCGTACAGCCAAGGGAGGTCAGGTGGGGTAGCAGGTATGTATTACCATGCGTGAATACGGCATAGATGGACATATATACGTGTTATATATGCACATATATAGGGTGCCGCTGCAGACTAGCCATAAACTGTACTGTATACCGTCAACTACTGTACGCTATATACTATACCATATACTGCAAGCCATGCTATACATTATAAAACATGATACATGCTGTGAAGCATAATATACACTACAAGCATGATACAGTTGCAAACCGTGATGTGTACTGTAAACCGTGATGCAAAATGTACCATACGCCATATCATGCATTAAGACATACAGACTATAATACAAGCCAGGGTCACTACAAAGCCAGGGTCACTACAGGCTAATACAAAGCACAAAACATGTATAAAGCACACACTATATGAGTGCAAAAACTCCTCTATATACATAGGCACACAGAAATATATATATCTCTGTATATATACAGGCAAACATGTACAGGCAGACTGCCCCAATAGGTCCCCAATACCCTTTTCACTGCATTTGCCTACATGCACAAGAGGCTACTCGCTCTAACATGTTGCCATGGCATGTTTCCATGGAAACACATGGGTGCTCGGGTATATTGCGATGGCGTTCAGCGGTGAGCCAGTGTGCGACAATGTCGCATCCTCCTGGATTCAGCGGCACATTGAGCGCAGTAAGAACCCCATTGGAAGTACAGTTAGATGAAAAAGCACGGCGGTGGCGGCAGAGCCAGCACCACCGGTTCGAGACAAAAAAACGTCAAGGCTATGTAGAAACACAAAAAGCAGAATTACCAGCAGAACATTTGAGAAAGGTACATAAATACACAGTATGCATGTAAAAAGCATAGCATTGCTGAAATAGACGCATATACTTCAGCTACATTGCTCCAATAGACCCAAATAGCATGCCTAATGGATAGATATTTGCATAAAATTTTATTTAGTATCGATGTAGGCGTGCAAGTAGATCTCTGGAGAAGCGCTTAGAAAGACATTGAAGACATTAATAGGGCGTATATGCGTCTATTTGCATGCATACAAGTGCTTTTGAACATATTTAGACGCATTTATCTCGCAGATCATCAAGGACCATGGTGATATGAGCAGCAAGAAGTTCCGACACGACAAACGGTCATATCTTGGTGCACTCAAGTATATGCCACACGCCGTCCTCAAATTGATGGAAAACATGCCTATGCCGTGGATGGAGGTGAAATGTATGCGCTCTTTATGCATTAGATCAGCTATAAACACCTATAGATGTCCCTGTGCTATACCACATAACAGGTGCAATCACCTTTGTCAATGAAATTCCCCGTGTTATTGAGCCCCACTTTATTGCTCAATGGGGCACTATGTGGATTATGATGCGGCGAGAAAAGAGAGATCGGCGGCACTTTAAGCGGCTACGACTGCCGCCGTTTGATGATGAAGAGCCAGTTATTGATTACGGGGAAAATATAGCAGATGTCGAGCCTTTAGAAGCCATTCAAATGGATTTAGATGCAGAAGAAGACGGGGCAGTGGCAGAGTGGTTTTATGAACATAAGGCACTTGTAGATACAGTGCACGTGAACGGACCAACGTATCGACGGTGGAATCTGAATTTGGCACAAATGTCGACACTGTATAGGCTGGCACACCAGCTTTTGTCAGATTTAGTGGATCAAAATTATTTTTATTTATTTAATCTCAAGTATGAAGCTTATGCTTGAATGCAGAAGCACAGAAAATAGGTTAGGGAAGGGGCTGATGGGAGAATAGTTCGTGGATTACATCGAAAAGCTTAAATATGGCGATTCCGGGAGGACCGAAATTCGAGCCGTTATATAAGGATACACTGGATGTAGATGAAGATTGGAATGAGTTTAATGATATATACAAATTGATTATCCGGCATCAGATACGGACAGAGTACAAGGTGGCGTTTCCATACTTGTATAATTCATATCCGAGATCGGTTCGGTTGACGACGTATCATGAGCCGTCGACAACGTATATTCGGACAGAAGACCCGGATTTGCCGACATTTTACTATGATCCCATTATTAATCCGATATCCATGCGCTCTTTTATTGAGTCGTTACCGGAAAAGACTCATGAAAATGAGATTTTTCAGGAAGGGGAGATTGATGAGTTTATGTTACCGAAAGAAATGGACTCATTCCTTTGTCATGTCCCGTTGTATACGTCGAATACGACGATGGCAATTGCGCTTTGGTGGGCACCGCATCCATTTAACAAGCGTACGGGACGGATGGTAAGGGCCGAAGATGTGCCTTTGGTTAAACAGTGGTATTTGGAATATTGTCCTCCTGGTGAGGCATGAATGGATAAATGGTGGGATTGGCTTATTTTTCCAGGACAACCGGTGAAGGTTCGCGTGTCGTATCAAAAGTTGTTGAAAAACTATGTGCTTAATGCCCTTCATACGAAACCACCTAAATCACATCTCAAGAAAGATTTGTTTCGCCAATTGAAAACAACCAAATTTTTCCAAACGACGACGATTGATTGGGTCGAAGCAGGACTTCAAGTTATTCGACAAGGATATAATATGTTGAATTTATTGATTCATCGGAAAAATTTGAATTATTTGCACTTGGATATGAATTTTAACCTAAAACCAGTGAAAACGTTAACAACAAAAGAGAGGAAAAAATCCAGATTTGGAAATGCGTTTCATTTGATGCGTGAAATCCTGCGGCTCATGAAATTGCTCGTGGATTCTCAAGTTCAATACCGTCTTGGAAATATCGATGCGTTCCAACTCGCAGACGGCATACATTATTGTTTTAATCAGTAACACTGGTTCAATATTTTCCTACAAATACTTATATTTCATTAGTATCGGTCAATTGACTGGTATGTATCGGTATAAATACAGATTGATGCGTCAGATTCGAACATGTAAAGATTTGAAACATCTTATATATTATCGGTTTAATACAGGGCCTGTAGGTAAGGAATTTTTTATCATTTTAGTACCATATTTACGTAAAAATTAGGTAAAGGACCTGGATGTGGATTTTGGGCTCCTTCATGGAGAGTTTGGCTTTTTTTCATGAGGGGTATTGTACCTTTACTTGAAAGATGGCTTGGAAACCTCCTTGCTCGTCAATTTGAAGGACGACATTCGAAAGGAATTGCCAAAACGGTGATTTAACTGGAATTTTCTTTTTTTTACAAATTAACTAATAAATTTAGATCACGAAGCAACGTGTAGAATCTCATTTTGATTTAGAATTGCGTGCGGCTGTTATGCATAATATTCTTGACCAAATGCCTCAAGGCATTAAGGCAAATAAATCAAAAACTATTTTACAGCATTTATCGGAAGCATGGAGATGCTTTAAAGCCAATATCCCATGGAGAGTTCCTGGATTACCTGCTCCTATTGAACAAATTATTTTGCGATATGTTAAAGCAAAAGCAGATTGGTGGATTTCTGTTGCTCATTATAACAGAGAACGTATTCGGAGAGGTGCTACAGTGGATAAAACTGTTGCAAAAAAGAATCTCGGACGTTTAACAAGATTATGGTTGAAAGCAGAGCAAGAAAGACAACATAATTATTTAAAAGATGGACCTTATGTTACTGCAGAAGAAGCCGTTGCTATTTATACCGCTACTGTTCATTGGTTAGAGAGCCGAAAATTTAGTCCTATCCCTTTTCCTCCTTTATCGTATAAGCATGATACAAAGCTTTTAGTTCTTGCTTTGGAAAGGTTGAAAGAAGCGTATAGTGTTAAAGGCCGCTTAAATCAAAATCAAAGAGAAGAATTGGTATTAATCGAGCAAGCGTACGATAATCCTCATGAATGCCTCTCACGTTGTAAACGATTTTTGTTAACCCAAAGAGCATTTAAAGAATGCGGGATTGAATTTATGGACCAGTATTCATATTTAATACCGGTATACGACGTAGAACCTATGGAAAAAATTACCGATGCATATTTGGATCAATATTTATGGTATGAAGCGGATAAAAGGCATTTATTTCCATCGTGGATTAAGCCTTCTGATTCCGAACCTCCTCCATTATTAGTCTATAAGTGGTGCCAAGGAATTAACAATTTATCTGAAGTTTGGGAAACAGATCAAGGACAATGTAATGTTATCCTAGAAACATCATTGAGTAAAGTTTACGAAAAAATTGATATTACATTGTTGAATCGTTTGTTACGTCTCGTTGTTGATTCAAATATTGCTGATTATATTTCCGGTATAATGTTATTTATTATCTACAAAAGTTTTAATCAAAAATAGGGAAAAACAATGTTAACCTTACATACAAGGATATGAATCATATTAATTTATATGGTTTAATTCGTGGTCTCCAATTTTCATCATTTGTATTTCAATATTATGGTTTAATAATTGATCTTTTAATTTTGGGTTTACATCGTGCGAGTGAAATGGCTGGTCCTCCTCAAATGCCTAATGATTTTTTGCAATATCGTGATGTTGCGACAGAAGTTCAGCATCCTATACGATTATATTCACGTTATATAGATAAAATACACATATTTTTTAGATTTACTGCAGATGAAGCTCGTGATTTGATTCAAAGATTTTTAACCGAACAACCTGATCCAAATAATGAAAGTATTGTAGGTTTTAACAATAAGCGTGTTTGGCCTAGAGACTGTCGTATGAGATTAATGAGGTTTTTTAACCATTTTGTATTAAAAAAATCTCTTATTTAGTATAGGCATGATGTTCATCTTGCTAGAGCAGTATTTTGGGATGTTAAAAACCATATTCCTAGATCTTTAACAACAATTGAATGGAGCGATTCATTCGTAGGTGTATATAGTAAAGATAATCCTAATTTACTTTTTTCAATGTGCGGTTTTGAAGTTAGAATATTGCCTAAGATAAGAAGTGCAACGGAAGAATTTACATTAAAAGATGGTGTCTGGAATTTAGTGAATGAGCAAACAAAAGAACGTACTGCTCAAGCATTTCTTCGTGTAACAAAAGATGATATGGCAAAATTTAATAATCGTATACGTCAAATTTTAATGTCATCCGGGTCAACTACATTTACGAAAATAACAAATAAATGGAATACTGCATTGATCGCTCTTCTTACATATTATCGGGAAGCAGTTGTATCAACTCCCGAACTTTTAGATTTACTAGTCAAATGTGAAACTAAAATTCAAACTCGAGTGAAAATTGGGTTAAATTCAAAAATGCCATCGAGATTTCCCCCTGCTGTTTTTTATTCCCCTAAAGAACTCGGTGGCCTTGGAATGCTTTCTATGGGCCATATTTTAATTCCTCAAAGTGATCTTAGATGGTCTAAGCAAACAGAAGCCGGAATTACTCATTTTAGGTCTGGAATGTCTCACGAGGAAGATCAAATGATTCCTGCTCTTTATAGATATATTGTTACATGGGAATCTGAGTTTATAGATTCTCAAAGAGTTTGGTCTGAATATGCAATGAAAAGACAAGAAGCTATTCAGCAAAATAGACGTTTAACGTTGGAAGATTTAGAAGATTCATGGGATAAAGGCATTCCCAGAATAAATACATTGTTTCAAAAAGATAGACATACATTAAGTTACGATAAAGGTTGGAGAGTTAGAACAGATTTTAAACAATATCAATTATTAAAGAATAACCCATTTTGGTGGACAAGTCAACGACATGATGGGAAATTATGGCAATTAAATAATTATCGTACCGATGTTATTCAAGCATTAGGTGGTGTGGAAGGTATTTTGGAACATACTATGTTTAAAGGTAAACTATTTTCTTTATACCGTGTTATTATTTTCTAAGTATTTTGTAGCTACTGGATTTCCATCATGGGAAGGGTTGTTTTGGGAAAAAGCATCTGGATTTGAAGAATCGATGAAATATAAAAAATTAACTAACGCTCAAAGATCTGGTTTGAATCAGATTCCAAACCGTCGTTTTACTTTATGGTGGTCTCCTACAATAAATAGAGCAAATGTTTATGTTGTATGTTTATACTATATGTATTATAGCTATTTGATTAATTTTTTTCAAGGGATTTCAAGTACAACTTGATTTAACTGGTATTTACATGCATGGTAAAATACCAACTCTGAAAATCTCATTAATTCAAATTTTCCGCTCTGTAAGTTTCACAAAAATATAAAAATATGTAATTAATATTTTTAGCATTTATGGCAGAAAATCCATGAAAGTGTATGTATTAATTTAATATATAATTTATTTTTTTAAAAAAATTCTAGATCGTCATTGATTTATGTCAAGTTTTTGACCAGGTAATATTGATTCTATATTGGATTTGGGAATTTAAAAAATTAGGAACTTGAAACTCTTCAAATAGAAACGGTGCAAAAAGAAACGATTCATCCTAGAAAATCATATAAAATGAATAGTTCATGTGCAGATATTTTATTATTCGCTACTTATAAGTGGAATGTTTCTAGGCCTTCTTTACTTAATGATAGTAAAGATATACTTGATGGAACAACTACGAATAAATTTTGGCTTGATATACAGCTTCGGTTTGGTGATTTTGATTCTCATGATATAGAACGATATACTAGAGCAAAGTTTTTGGATTATACTACAGATTCTCAATCCATATATCCATCGCCTACTGGTTTAATGATAGGTGTTGATTTAGCTTATAATTTACATAGTGCATATGGTAACTTCTTCCCTGGTCTGAAACCATTGATTCAACAAGCCATGGCGAAAATTATGAAAGTTAACCCGGCTCTTTATGTCTTGAGGGAAAGAATTCGAAAAGGTCTCCAACTTTATTCTTCTGAACCTACTGAACCTGTATGTTAACTAAAAAGTATAAGGACATATTCTCTAATATATAATAGTATTTAAATTCTCAAAATTATTCTGAACTTTTTAGTAATCAGATTATTTGGTTTGTAGACGATACTAATGTATATCGAGGTAAAGTACATAGTTCATTGTTATAAATCTATATTTATTTTTAGTAACAATTCATAAAACGTTTGAAGGGAATTTAACGACAAAACCAATTAATGGTGGGATATTTATCTTTAATCCCAGATCAGGTCAATTATTTTTAAAAATTATTCATACTTCAGTATGGGCTGGACAAAAACGTCTTGGACAATTAGCGAAATGGAAAACTGCAGAAGAAGTTGCTGCTTTGATTAGATCACTTCCTGTTGAAGAACAGCCCAAGCAAATTGTTGTCACACGTAAAGGTATGCTTGATCCTTTAGAAGTTCATTTACTGTAAGTATTTTAAACCGAAATTCATTATTTAATAAAATTTAGTGACTTTCCAAATATTGTTGTTAAAGGAAGCGAGCTTCAGCTCCCATTTCAAGCGGCTTTAAAAGTCGAAAAATTAGGTGATATGATTTTAAAAGCAACAGGGCCTCAAATGGTTTTAATGAATCTCTATGATGATTGGCTCCAAACTATATCATCTTATACTGCATTTTCGAGATTAGTTTTAATTCTCAGAGCTCTTCATGTCAATATGGATAAAACCAAAATGATACTTCGTCCATCCAAAGAGATCATTACAGGTAATAAAGATTTATTTTTTGTTTTATAAATTCTTATTGTTTATAGAATCTCATAAAATATGGCCTACATTAACAGATCAACAGTGGATAGATGTTGAATTATCATTAAGAGACTTGATATTAGGAGATTATGGGAAAAAAAATAATGTTAACGTGGCTAGTCTTACATCTTCCGAGGTTAGGGATATTATATTGGGTATGGAAATAAGTGCGCCATCTATACAAAGACAACAAATTACAGAAATCGAGAAATCACAGCAAGAACAAAGTCAGTTAACTGCACGAACTACTAAAACCACAAATATTCATGGTGATGAAATTATTGTTGTTAATACTTCAAATTATGAAGCACAAACATTTTCATCAAAGACTGAGTGGAGAACACGTGCTATATCTACCACTAATCTTCACTTAAGAACAAATCGTGTATATATTTCTTCGGATGATATCCAAGACCAAGGACAATATACGTATATTATACCAATGAATATTTTAAAGAAATTTATAATTATATCGGATTTATATACTCAGATTGCAGGATTTTTATATGGTACATCTCCTTTGGATAACAATGAAGTAAAAGAAATAAAATGTATTGCAATTGTGCCACAACTTGGAAGCAATTCTGGTGTTCAATTACCACATAAGCTTCCGAAACATGATTTTCTTCTTGATGGATTAGAACCTCTAGGATGGGTTCATACTCAATCTCATGAGATGCCACACTTGTCTCCTAATGATTTAACGATACATTCGAGAATAATAGCAGAGCATAAAGAGTGGGATTCTAAAACAATTACAATGACAGTTAGCTTTACTCCTGGCTCTGTTTCTTTGGCAGCATATTGTTTGGTAATTTATTTTCATGTATGAATAATATTTTAATGCATAGTAGACCCCTTCTGGTTATGAATTTGGAGCGAAAAACAAGGATATGACAAGTGGGAACCCTCAAGGGTATGTATAATAAATGCTTATATCTAAAAGCATATAGCGCAATATTGATCTTACTAAATTAATAATAGATGGGTACCGACTATGGCAGAAAAATGTCAATTATTATTGTCCGATCGTATTATTGGTTTTTTCCTTGTTCCTGAAGATGATATATGGAATTATTCATTTAATGGTGCAAGCTTTTCAGATAAGGCAGGATATAATATGAAGCTAGATGTGCCAATCCCATTTTATAGTCCTCAGCATAGGAAAACACACTTTTCTTCAATGGTACAGCTAGAAGGTGAAGATGTTGTATTAGGCGATCGTGCCGATGTGTTTGCTTAAATGTACGATGTATTGGTGTTAGTATATTTTATGAATAAATCGTTGTTTTAATGTTTATTTTTGCAAGTATAAATTTTTAAAAAATAATATATTATTCTTAACATCAGAATCTTTCAAAATACAGCTCATTGTACACATTCTAGAAGTATTTGTTCAAGGGCTATTAAAAACACGGTTTGATTTAAAAACAATACTTTGTAAGAAAAATACAATCGATACTTACTTAGACTATAGAATATATTTTTTGTTTAAGGAAATATTGGATAAAAGATGACACTGATAATATCTTGTTTTTCTTTGTTTTTATTGCGACTATATCGGAGCACACTGGATACCGCAATCACTGTTACTTTTTTGATACGAGGAAATTACATTACACACATCGATTGATAATTCACCGCAGAGACTTGTTGCAAGAAAACTCTGTAGCTGTCTCATCGCTGGCGATGAGAGAACGTCGTTCAAGATCACGGTCGCCTGGTACAGTAGACCGGCGCAGTCGATTACATTCGGATCGTGCAAAACGTATACCATATGGTCCACAGACAGAAGATTATAGCAAAATTCTTGAATGGCAGTCTCGGGAAGGGGAGTTCATGCTTTCTCAGGCAAAAAAACGAGCAGAACTGCGTGTACAGAATGGCAGAGGTGCACCCATCGATATTCTTGCAGTGCATCTGCGTATTGTTGATGTAGCAAGTGGAATGAGTGAAGAACGCCCAGAACATGCAGAAGTAGTGCTTCATGAACCGGTTGCGTATTTAGAGGTTCAATAAGAAAGTTTAAAGGATATGAAATAATCAAAAATGATAGACATTAGATATAGAGAAGTTAGAGACACTGAAGGATGAAATAGCAGAATATTTAGAGTGGGAAACATCTAAGGATAATCGTGTATTTTGGGAGGTAGTATAGTCGAAGATATATTGTTTCAAAGCCGATAAAAAAGGCAGTAGAGGTGATTCGGCAAGCACGGTTAACACAGTTACAAGCAGAAGATGATGGGCGGTTTCGGTTATCACGGTCGGTAGAGAAACAAGTGGATGCATTGTTTAAGGGGAAAACACTGGAAGAACTGGAAGTTTTGGAAAAGCAAGTTGAAGAGAAGTTGCAAAGTGGAACGGTGATTGATATTGATTATTGGGAAAAGATGCGGGAGTGTGTTGGTCTTTGGAAATCAAAGGTATGAATGACATGTGCTTGTTTTTAGTTTATCTATTTATGAATTTTTTTATCTGACATAATTAGGTAGTTCTTAAAACGCTTCATGAACGGATTTTGCAGTTTCGACGAGAGGCGCTTCGGAATCAGCAACTTTACAATGCTAGAATGGACCGTGAAGCGCTTAAAAATGTTTATAATAAGTGGTTGTGTAATCCTACAAATTTTGTATCTGATATGTCAACATATCTTGGTGATATTACCCAACAAGGAGTTGATATCTATCAAGCAAGCATGGATCCAAAACCACAGCCTGTTTTAACTTATGATGATAAGAAATGTATTCGTATTCATTTATCAGCTTATACGGATCAATTGGTATAAATATTTTGGTTTGCTGTGGTAGAAATTAACTGTCGATTTAGATAACTAACCGAGAGCGGGTTTTGCATACGGGATTCGTTCCTGTTAAAACGGTTGTACCAGTATTACCAGCAACAAAGCAACCTGTAAAAAATGTTCAAGATGTTAATGACGATTCGTTTGCTGCAGTTACAAACGCTTTATATGAGAGAGAAGTTGCAAAAGGCGAAAACGATGATGAGGAATTGTTTAATGTTGATGAAGAAATTACTCAGGTAACTCCTAGCTGGGCAGATATTCATCGACCTCGAAAACCCAAGTTTTATAACCGAGTACAAACAGGATATGATTGGAACAGGTATAACCAAGTACACTATGATGCAAATAATCCTCCACCCAAAGTGAGTATACCTTTTTTTGATTTGTGTCTTATTGTTTTAAGGTAGTTCAGGGATACAAATTTAATATTTTTTATCCCGATCTTATTGATAAAACAAAAGCACCTACATACAAAATTGAGCGAAACCGTAAAAAGCCAGGCGATCAAACTTCTGTTTCTGAAGATGAGACTTGTCTAATACGGTTCATTGCGGGTGCTCCATATGAAGATATTGCTTTTCGTATTATTGATAAGGATTGGGATTATAGTGCTAAGCGAGAAAGAGGATTCAGGAGTTCGTTTGACAAGGTTTTGGTCTTACGTTTCTATTTATTTATCTAAAGCATCTAGGGTGTCTTGCATTTAAGTTTTCAATTTAAAAAAGTAGTTTTTTTAAAAAAGAATTCTTGCTAATATTTCTAGGTTTTCTATAGAAAATAAATTATCTATCTTTAGAATCAAGAAGAAATGCATAACAACTGCATTTCTCTCCTAATCATTTTTAAATATTATACGGTATATGTTTATCTCTTATCTGGCTGTCTGCGCTACATATATACTTGATGCAGAATAGACATTCTTGCATAAATAATTATAGCACTTGTATTAGTTGTACATGTTTGTCAGCACTATACTATTTTTCCTGTATTTTGTGTTTTATTTTACAATCTCTAAGTTAATCGTCTTAGTGCTGAGGATTCCTGTTAACATGTTGTTCTGGTAACCTGTGCATGTTGCTATAGAAACCTTATTTAGTAAAAATCACTAGGCATTTTTTGGCTCTTAGTGGCTCACTTATATATGTCCATTTAGTTATATAGGCATTATTATACATAAAAACACTGTATACATGCTTTTTATCTCTTAATAAACCACAGAAGCACCTCTTTGTTGATCTTTGATGTATAATAAAAACCGATTAACTATTTTTTCTGCGTCGGTGATTTAACTGCTGCGATTTCGGAGATTCTCGGTGATAAATGACACACGTGTGATTTAGAACGAAATAATGTATATTAAAGATATAAGTGTTAAGAGTATTTATAAAAGTAATTTATAAGCAAACATGAATAAATATGTTCTCTGAATATTTTGAAGGTGTTATTAGGGCTTTTCAATAAGGTTTATTGGTCCAATTTTTGTTTTGAAACGGGCTTTAAAAGCCAGGAAAAAGGTGGGTTTATCAAGTCACTGGATATATTTGCGGATGTGTTGGATATATGTGCAGAGGCTCTGGAATAGATGCATAATAGAAGAAATGGTGACTTTTGAACAGAATTACACTGAATAAAGGCTTTTCAGACTCATCTTGGAAACAACTCTTAGTTGAGCTAAAATTTTGCTTTATTGAGGGTTTGATGAGATATATATGCTATGTTTTTTTACTTTTGCTTGGATATATGCGTCATAAAATACAGTATATGTCCAATACTAAGTTTATATGTGAAATATGTGAAAATTATCTCTCCATTATAGAGTATATGCGCTATAATTTCAATATTGTGCTTTAAAATTAGGTTTGAATGCAGCAGAGTCTATATGTAGCGTAGTGTTTCAAATATTGTGGAATATATGCACATTATATTACATGTTATACAGTTATTGACAAATATCAGGCAAGCAGGGCTTTGTATGCGGTCTTCAAGATGGGCCAGTGTCCATCTTTAGACAAAGATTGGCATACACAGTTATCATCAACATCTAATGAACCGTCTTTGCTTAATAAGCCATATGTAAATTTGCCGAATACAGAACCAGCATATTCTTATTTTTATCCTACTCGGACATATCTGTCTAGTTTTTATGATAAACATTTGGCAGAACGTAAGCAAAATTTTATTTATATATAGGAATTAAAATTTGCATAAGGAGACCGGGTTTTAAACCAGGATTCAAATGCATTTGTACATGAAGTAGTAGACTTTTAATAATTTTGTTATTTTAACCGTTTTTAGAACCAAACAGGTGTTTTGACGTCATCTTTTTGCAATCCGGGGACGAATATATTGAATAATACAGGTAGATCGGATGCATCATTCTCTACGTTTAAGCAATGTCAATATCATGCGTGTTCTCGTGGTTTTTTATCGCCTGCTAGCTCTTTAGATCGAGAAACTGATTATGATTTTCAATTTTCAGACTATAATTCGCCAATGATGTCTGGAAAGATTTCAGACGGGTCTTTTCAGGCACTGGATGGATTTCCAGAGTATACAGAAGAATTTAGAGAGTCTTCTCCTGGTTCTCTGGATCCTCCTTCGCATATTGTCACTGGTGTATCCGGGAAACCGTGCTCGTATGCACAATTAATTGCTTATGCTATTTCAACATCTTCAACTCAGAAAATGACACTATCTGAATTGTATAAATGGTGCACAGATAATTTTCCTTATTTTAAAGAATCTCCTAGTCAAAGTTGGAAAAATACTATTCGGCATAACCTTAGTTTAAATAGAAATTTTATTCGAGTGCCTAGACCTGTTAATGAGCCTGGAAAAGGAAGTTATTGGACTCTTAGTAAATTCGGGCCTAAACATGGTGTAAAAGTTCCAGACCGACAAAAAAGTCGAGGTCGTCCTAATAGTTCTCATTTCTGTGATTCATCACTTGGCTCGACTAATAAACTAGATGAAGAGAAAGATTCATGTTATTATTGGTAAAATAGATTTAAATGTTAGCTATAAGTTTAACTCTTTTAGTCATCCTCATTTACCTTATCCACCGCAAAAAAATCAAGAAACTTTGCTACAACCGTTTAATAATTATTCAGGCAGTCCAGCGTTTTATCCAGCATCTAATATGCAACAAATGTTTCATTCTCCTGTTTTTCAACCTGAACCTCTTTCTCACGATCGTTCGATTCCTACTCATCCATCTGCGCAACCATATAGCCCGTTTCGTTATGGTGTTTATCAACAATCTGATATTCAGTCTTGTTTGGATTCTGTATATGTCAAAAATAACAAGAATAGAACAGGATTTATGTCAAATAATATGCAGTATCAGCCTTATGAGACTCAGAAGCCTTATGAGACTCAGAAGCCTTATGAGACTCAAAAGTCTTATGAAGCTATTCCGATATGCAATAATCGTAGTTATTTAAACCAATCATTAATATCCCAACCATCTTATTTTCAGTCATACGATGATGATTTAGATCATAATAGTATATGATTTATATAAGAGCGAGGGCAGCTTAAGTAGCTGGGATAATGATAATATAATGAAATTAGTATAGATGCAGAAGATACCATCTAAATTTTAGAAAAATGTTTAAAATTACTAATTTTGGATGAAAAAATTAATTCAATAATTAATTCAATAGGATAAGGGTATATTTTTTTGAGACTTTTTTTTGGATATTAAATTAATATTTTCAAATGGTTTACATAAATACATTTTTTTTATTAAACGTCATATTTAGTCTGTTTTGTAACGAAAATTGAGTTTTTCCAATGAAGTTTTAAATTTAAGTAGATTGTTTTTTACAAATCATGAATTCAAGGATTTTTCAGTTTTTATGAAAACCGATTTTGTTTTATGAATAAAAGTTTTACAGTAAGGTTTTACGATTAATTAATTAGAATTATTTTCTAATTGTAGGGCATAAATTTATCATATTCTGTATAAAAATAATTTTTAAAATAAAATAAATATATATGTTTTCATGGTGTTCAATACATTACTAATTTAAAAAACATTGGATTTAAATTTTGTATATTAACTATGAATTCATATGACACGTTTTAAATAAAAGATAATTTTAAAGAAAAATAAGGCAAACTTTGTATCAAACAGAACCTTTCCTATTAAATTTAAAGGATTTTTGCTAAGTGTAGAGCTGGTTTGTTAGTAATGAAGCAATGGCTCTTGTATCTATTGTTTCTACAGTATCGTCTTCCACTGAAAACTCATATTTGTATTGAGGCAAACGTGCTTTTTTCTCTTCCTACATACAATTATTCAAATATTATACTGTATATATTAACTTACAGGCATTAATTCATGGTCATTATAGATCAATCTTTGATTAGGTTTGGTTGAAGATGTTATATTTTTTATAGACGAAACATCTGAATTAGATGCATTAGTGGGAGACTGATCTGTTAATGCCTCGTGTTTATCGGGTTGTAATAAGGAAGATGGTCCTCCTGTATTTGTCTGATAGGTAGTGTTGACTACAGGAGCATGAGTATCAGTAAATGCTGACGGTGTATTCGATGGTATATAATTTTGCCTAGACAATGTTATTATAAGATAGTTTACAGTTATATTTCCAACGTTGAATAATATGGTTGATTTGTTGTTGGATTGTTTTTTTGATAAAAATTTTGGTATTGTGGAGGAATCCCATAAGCAGAAGGAACAATTGACTGCTGCGGTGTTTCAACAGGCGCCATTTGTGCAGACTGTTCTATTTGCGTAGCTACTGAGTATGATTCTGCTGTTTTTTCTGAGTTTAGAACAACTTGTTTTTGTTGCATAGCTGCTTTGTGGGCAGCTAATCTGGCTTGGATATCTGCTGCATCAACATGTGTTTCTACCTTTTGTCTTTTAGGTTCTGGCTGAGGTACAGCGTCATGAGACAACATTTTTTCCATTAAGCGTTTATAATGTAATTGAATAATATCTTCTGGGATACCTTCCATTCCGTAAATTTCAATATCAATAGAATCTCTCCCAGGAATTGCATTTTCGACTGTAGTAATAGTTTCTTTATGTACTTGGACAACATGGATTGCAAGACCTGATGCTGTATTGAGTTTTCTTGAACATCTTGCACTATTTTATTAAGTATGATCCTTATAAAGAAAAATAAATACCATTTAAAATGTTTTGCACGCTGATGTGCTGTTAGAACCTTAAGATCTTCAAAATCTCTTTCACAATAATAGCAAAACGGACGAGATAAGTCAACTTGATTATGTTTTTTAGATGATTTTTTTGTCATTGTATACTTGTTTTAAATAAGTTTTTTATGTAGAAACTTCTTGAAAACAAAGATTAGAGTACCAACTTCAAAAAACTATTAAATTCTATCAAAATAATATGTTTTTTTAGTTAAAATATGAAATTTTTTGATAAAACGTTGGATTTTTAGATTTCTTTTTCTTTCATCAATTATGGAATATTTAAGTGAAAAAAATCGTTCGTACTGAGAAAGTCTTTTACTATTTTATAATGCTAGAAGCTCATAAAAATCCTGTTACAAAATATTTATATTTTCTGTAAAATAGTATTCTCTGTAGAAATAGTATAAATGAGAACGTTTGTCCGGAACTTTAAAAATTGTCGTTCGTTTCTAAAGTTATTACTATAGAAACTATTCAAGAGAGTGACATGTTTAAATGATTTTTTTAGTGTTTAAAATAATGATTATAGTCATTAATTATATATAAAAGTTTGTATTTGTATTTAATTTTCTTTTTTTTTTTAAATTTTTCCTTAGTAAAAAAGAATTGATTAAAATGTTATTAAGCAGAAAAGCATGTCTTGATTAAGATATAATAGACATATATATATATATATCAAGTCTACTTTAGAGGCATGAATTTCTAGAAGGTTATTGTATTTTTATTGTATTTTTTATTGTATTTAGAAATAGGTTATATAATACTTGTATAGCATTCTTAGATATTAACTAAATAACTATATTATAGCGTTTAAATATAAATAGCCAATTTGTACACTTTTTACGTCTCATAAGGAACTCTTTTAAAAGATTTTTGTGATATCTTTTAAAGAGCAGGTCTTAATTTGGGTCAATATTATTAAAACAAGTATTCTTTCAATGATAGGAATAATTTTATATGATTCAACAAAATATATGAAGAAATATAAATATGGAATAAATAATAATGTATCCAGTACAGTAGATATTCACCAAAAACCATCATGTGCAAAACTGTTTTTTGTAGAACGTTTTTGTTTAAATAGATAACATACACTTTGAGAGATATTGAAAAAAACTAAACACACGATAAAAGAGTAGCTAATCGGTTTAACAACTTGAAAATGTATGTATGGAAGATGCTTAGGGTGGCATCAAGCTTGAACTGGATGTGTATTCGAGACAGGTGGATCTAATTGTACTGGACTTTCACTACGAGCATCGCGCTGTATCGGTACATTCTCAACAGGCTGGACAAACGCAAAGTCAACAGATAATGTTGATTCTAATAGCTGTGTTCCATTACAATGTGCAATCGCTGCTTTTGCTTCGGATAAATGGGTATATTCAAGTAGTGCATATCCCTATTCTTAGTATTAGTGACTATTATTTTCTCCCTCCTTTCTGACCTTTACATAGCCTAATTTTGTTACATTTTGTTGTTAACACTGTCCTTATCCTACCTGTTCTCCGATCAAGATTGAGATGCAGATTCTTAATCTCCCCGTACTCCGAGAACTTATCCTGAAGATCTTCTTCTGATGTTTCCTCATGTAGTCCTGTAACAAGAATAATCCATCCTTCAATTGCTAATCTCTTTTTTAAATTTCTATTTTTACTGAATTTCTTGCTTACACTGTACTGCACGTATTCCATATTGTGTCCATGCTGCCTCTTCATCCATTCCATCCATTCCAGGCCTTGATCCTCCTTCTTCTTGCATCTCTTCTGGAGCTAAAATAAGAGATTCATCTGCATTTTGGTTAATTTTCTTTCAATATATTTATCCATCTTTCCTTGTGTCATAAAACCTCTGCCACGACAAATAACCGGCTCTAAAAAAGATCAGTAATGCTTATTCTGAAAAGAACTCTCTGTACGTTGTGTTTCCTCAACATCCATTGCATCCTGTGCTGTTGGCTGACTCATTGTATTTTACTCAATCTTTGTCGTCCTTGCGGATCTCCCTGCTTCTACTACTGTCTACACCTAATCCTACCCTTACCCTGTAACACAACCCTACAGTATAACCCTATCTTATATTACTCTGTCATTCTAATATAGTCCTATAATTAATATAGCCTATAATTATGATGTTCTGGTGTCAACTAAGCCTGTTTAAACATATGAATGTATTTAATATAAATACGTCTAGAATCCATTTAGTCGAATGTTTTTGCATTATTTATGTGTCTTGTTTTTGTCCTATTTTTATCTTAAATCTGATTTATCTATTCCATGTTTTTGTGCTTTTAATATATATATTTAAGATGTATACTTAAAATTTGTATCTAAATTGTGCATCTAGCTATCTAACCTGTCTATATGGTTAGGTTTTGTGTTCTTGGGATCCTCTAGTGCTAGGGTTAGGTCTGTTAAATGCCGATAAAGCGGACAGTCTCATCCGTTGCAATTAAAGCAGCGTTTTGGGCCAAAAATAAGGTGTTTTGCATTGCATCTAAATCCTTCATATACTGACCAAGTCTCTTCAGCTTTACTCTTCTTTTCTGGCTTTTTAATCAGCCCTTTTCATACTTTTTCTCTTAGTAAAGGCCACTATGCAGCGGTTAACGTATCGTCGGCGTCTCTCTTATAATAGTACCATTTTCCCCTTCATTGATTATTGCTGACTCTTTCAGCTCCTTCTAATAAGGTCTATTTCAAAGCTATACCCTTTCTTGCTCTTCATTGACTCCTGCCCAGGTCCGCGTTCTTAAGACGCCTGGTAATGAATTACGTTATTTCTACAAAGGAAAAGTATATTGCCCATTATCTTTCTGTATTGCTGATCATCTAGGTTGGAAAATCACCCCGTTGTGGTGATTGCCACAAAAAGCTTCAGGGAGTATGTTTTATTGAATATGCTATTCTTGTTGATATTTGTAGATTCCCGCTTGCAGACCTCATCAATATTCACGTATGTCGAAAACTAAGAAGAGAGTATCGCGTGCATATGGCGGTTCACGCTGTGCAAGCTGTGTTAAAGACAGGTATGTAGCAGCAGTAGAGACATAGTTAAAATATTAAGGGTTATGCGTGCATTTTTGATTGAGGAACAGAAGATTGTGAAGAAAGTGCTTAAAACACAGACGCATGCTAAGTCGAAAAAATAGAGTGGTGTGTTGTATAGAATAGTGTTAGTGTAGTGTATATTGCGCATATACCACGCATATACCACGCATACAATATATATGCAGTGTAGAGTATAGTGTTTTTGTCCAATATGTGCCTCAGTATGTGGAGTGTATGTATCCACAATGTACCAGCATGCACAACATATATGTATATTTGCTATATATGCTGTATATATTGGTGTATGCAGCATACGCCTGTATATGCCTGCATATACCAGTATATATGCCAATATATATGCATGTTATACCAGTCAGCCTGTATGTATAGATCTATACATGGCTATATAGAGTATGTGTTTATACAGTGGTGTCCAGTGCAGAGCGCCTTAAGTTTTCACTTTTTGTGTCTCTTGTATGATATGCAGTGTATGTCTGCTGTATACACAGCACTGTTTACTATATGCGTGTTGTATATGTGAAACATGTGTAGAATGTATTATGTCTGTAATGTATGTACCCTGTTGATTTGGCACAGTGTATATGCATACTGTACATACTGTATAAGTGCACTGCATGTATATTACATCTGTTATATGTATGTGTACTACATCATCTCGGCCATATATGGCACACGGACAAAACTAGTTAATATATAGAGCTCACGAATATACTGCATGTGTAACACATATAATATATATACAATTCATACAATTCATACAATTCATATAATACACATAATCTACATAGCACACCATCAATGTAAACACATTGTATATATGACATGAATGCAACCATCAAAGTACACAGCATATACACTTTTATGAATATAATACATATATTGCGTTAGGCACATACAGTATACATATACTACACACACAAAACATACAGCATGCATAGACTCAAATATAAGGTTCAACAGTACATACACTTTACATACAAGATATTCATCTTCTCTTTTACATATATTTAGTATCTTCAATACATGTTTCGTATTACTGACCACAGAGCACATGTTTCACTGTTACACATCTTTGCCCAAAATACATGGCTTTTTCGCATATCTTTCTTATAAAATCATATAGAATAGTCTTTTTATTTTTTATGTCTTCACTCCTTTTTATCTACTTTGGCTATTTTTCAGCCTATCTGCTCAGAGGCATCTTCTGTGCACCGATCAACGTTCAAAAATACGACTGAACAGCAGCTCCGGCTTTAAAGGTGGATCAAAGGCATATTAAAGGGCAGATAAGATGCACGAACGTTGGAAACGAGGTGGACGTGCATCTTGGAGAAGCCAAGCACGTCCTGCAGTGCGGGACGGGATGGATCCGTTGGAAAGAGACGGTGATATAGAAATGACCGACGAAGCAGGCGGATTACGAGAGAGATTGTGTGTTTTTACCATTTATTTGTGTTTTAAGAACAAGAAAGGTGTTTACAGATAGTAGTACTCCATATAGAACACAGGGACGTGCAAAAAAACTGTTTAAAGAGCGTTTTCGTGAAAGTCCAACAGAAATAGTGGTATGAAGGAAGAAGCATAGAGGGGAAATAGAGGTTTATGAAGAATATTTAGATCACAGGACATGAAGGGGCGAGTCAGGAGGAGCTGGTGTCGTTTATTTCTCGAAAATCACAAGTGTTAATTACGGATGTATGTGCAGCAGTTGTGTTTTTGGGGTAATGCTGATATGGTATGGAAATGAAGTTACGTAGTGAAGGATCTGTTTTGTACGCACATGTTCCATCAGGATCGAGCATTCGTAGTCTTCTTAAGCTTTCAGGGACTCGATTTGCGGGGAAAAATGTGAGTTTTGAGCAGCAAAATGTGTTTATACTTATTTTAAGCTTTGTATATCTATATCCAATGCGTCCAAGGACCATCCTATGCCTATGGTGTCGGGGCATATGTCTTTGTCAGCAAGCAAAGAGTCTACTATGAATATTTTGCGGAGGTTTCTTTCAAGTAGATATTCACATGAGACAAAAATGCTTGATTTGTCATCTGTACATTCGGATCCAGCGCTTGTTGAAGCTGGTATGTTTTCTTCTACGGCAACTTCTCTTAAAATGTTTCCTGCTTTAATGAAAATAGCTGAGCGTGAATTTCCAAATGTAGTATATATATATATATATGGAAAATGATTTAATGGTTATTTAGGTTATAAGTGTCAATTTATCGTCTAATAAAATATCTTCACTCTTTAATATATCTATATTGGCTCAAATATATCCTAATCTTAAAAATCTTAACTTGGCTGATAATTTATTGAAACATTATAAAGATCTAGATGTTTGGTCTCATAAAAATAAATTTCCAAATTTGCAAGAACTTATATTAATTGGAAATGGTGTTCGAGAAAATGAGGTTAAAAAAGGTAATGAAGTTAATTATCGTTCAGAAATTACAAGACGATTTCCAAACTTAAAATTACTTGATATGGTCCCAGTAACACAAGCCATTGAATTTGATATTAAGGATTCTGCGATTGATAATTCCGGAAAAGTTGCACTACTTGAAAGAATATGTAGTAGTTTTTTTGATTCCGATCTTACTAGAAATACGGTGATGAGTTTCTTAGAAAAGTATGTCTTTATATCTTTTAAAACTATATGTAACTTTTTAGATATTTCTCTTTATATGATAATGATAGATCAAATACTGTTTCAATGTATGATCAAAATGCTTTGTTTTCTATATCTATAAATACTATTGCCCCAAGAAAAAGAGAAAAAGGAGTATTTTCATATGGAGCTTCTCAATTTTCACAATACATTTCCATGAGTAGAAATCTTTTGCGATTAGGAACATTAGGTTGATAATTTTTTTGTTTTTAAATATTTTAAAATAGTGTAGAAGCAAGAATAGCAAAACTTAATGTCGGTCGTACTAATATTTCTCAAGTTCTTTCTGCACTTCCAAAAACTCGGCATAATTTTACAGATTCAAATTTATATTGTGTTGATGCATGGTCACTTAAAGGTGTTTTATCTGCAGATTCTGATCCAAATGGATTAGTTGGCATACAAATTATACTACATGGAGAATTTTTTGAGTTAGGAAGTAGACGAGAGATTAAGAGATCATATGATAGAACTTTTATTATTGGGCCTAATAATGGAAATATTACTATTCGGAGTGACATACTAGTTATTCGGGCTTATGGTGGTAATGATAATTTTCATATAAATAAGCAAAATGTGCCGCTTTCTTCATCCAATATTTTTCAAGAACAACAAAAACAATATATGTTAGCAGAAATTTCCAAAAAAACAGGACTTAACCAACAGTTTTCTTTGATGTGTTTAGAACAAAATGAGTGGGATATGGAAAAAGCTATAAATAATTTTAATATTTTGAAAGTATTACTATACTTGATTTTATATCTATTATCTAATTTATTGTAGAACAAAGGTGTTATACCTTTAGAAGCATTTAAATAAATATAAAAATATTGGTTTAACTTGGTTCTTTTTATAATAAATTGTCTTTTATGTAAGGTTTTGTATTAAAGGTATTTATTTGCATATAAGTGTAACTGTTGTTTATTATTAAACTATCTTTTTATAATATTTTAACAGGTTTTGATTTTATAAAAAATTATAAAAATTCGAATTTTGCAGAAAACATTTTGTACTAACTATTATATGTTTTGTAATATACTACCTATAAATAAATTACAATAATAATTTAAAATATTTTGGTAAAAATAGAAATTTAATAGGAAATTAAATAATAATGAGTGTTAATTATTTGTGGATTAGCATACATATGAACTGCGTTGGGCAAAAATATGAATTCGATATATTTAAAGTTTTAATAAGTATTAAGTATTTGTATATATTATATGCAATAATTGATTTACAAAATAATTTTTTTTAAAAAATAAATGCAATATAAATATATATATTAAATAAGATTTTTCTTTTAAAATATTACTAAATACATAAATATCTAATTTTTAACATATATAATATCTTTTGTAAAAAATTTTTGATAAAATTATTTAATAAAAAATGTTTAAATCTAAAATATTGTTCGATTTATAGAAACAAAACTAGTTATTATAATTAAGAACTTTTATTAAAAAAGATAAATAAGCATAAAAAATATTTAATACTTGAATAATAACAATTACATGTATTTTAATAGATATTTTAGTCTGAAATGATTTTTTGTTGAAATATCGATTACTATGGATATGCAATCGCATAGATAAAATACGCTATCCATCTTAATTATCTTTTAAAATATAGGTTTATCTGAGAAAATGTTAATATTGATATTAATTTTTTAGGAAATATAGTATTTGAAAATATTTTACTTTTTTAAAAATCATTTTTTTACACTTCTATGAAAAATGTTAATATTTTTTCATTTTTAAAAAAATATCAAGAAAGAAAACTAGACTTTACAAAGGAATATGTTTTTTCTGGAAATATAAAAAGTCAAAAAAGATATTTTAAAGAACATTTTTTTTCTTTAATATGCGAAAGTTTTCTTATTTTTTATATATTATTTTTTAAATTTAAAATATTATCTATATTTCCAATATTCAGTATACTTTTTTGAATCATGGCTTTTAAGACGTATTAATATTCCTTTAGCGTTATTTTTTGTTTTTTATATCACTATAGTTTTTTTTTCTCTTTTTTCAAAATTTTCATTATTAATTTATGATTTTTGGTAACAATTAAGTATATTTTATTCTATTAATATCTAAAATTATTTATAGTAAAAAAATTCTTTATATTGTGATCTTTCCATCTGTTGTATTTATGACTAAAGCAGATTCTATACAAATATATAAATGGAATTTCGAAATTTCAATATATACTTTTTTATTTATATTTTTTTATTCTAATTTCAACAATTCTTTTTTTTCTTTTAATACGGTTTACTTTATTTTATCTATCTTACCTCTAGATTCATATTTTTTGATACTGTTGCATTTTTCGATATTACCATTTATAAGTAATTTTACATTTCCATCACTAAGTATAGAAGAAATATCTCTTGTCTCTCAAGTTCTTACTAATTTACTGGCTTATTTAATATCTTCTAAAAATAGCTTACCACATGAATTATTCTTTATTTTAGCAATTTTTGGACCTATTATAGGCGTTTTACTTGCCATTCCTTTTTTAAAGGAATCCATTAAAATTTCTCAAATATCTTCTCGTTATCGTACTCCACTTATGAAGATTAAATATATTGGATGTGCTATTATTTCATACTTCATTATTATTATATCTATTCTTATAATACAACACTATGGATTTAAAAAACACTTTACTAAAGACAAGAATCTTATTTTCTGGCTTATTAATTATATAATATATGAAAATGGGTCTGTTATAAGACAAAAAATGTTGCTTTGGTGGTTTACTTGTTTAATTATTAGTATTTTTTTTATAAGAACATTTTTTTGCCAACATAAATCAAAAATGGTCTGTAATAATAAAAAAATATTATATAGTGAGTTGAATAAAAAAAGGAAATTTTTTCATGCAGTAATTGTAATAATGTTTCTTCCAACATTATATTTAGATGTAAGCAATTTTTTTCTATTTTGCATTATTAATATCTATAGCCTTTATTTTCAAATATATCATTTTCTATTGCACTTTTATTATTTTTTATTTCTGAGGTTATTAGAGTGTTTGCATTACCACCTTATGGACTATCTTTACATTCTTTTTTATCTAAATTTACCGATGAACGTGATAATAAAGGCAAAATTATAATTAGTCATTTTTATCTTCTTATAGGATGCGCTAGTCCATTATGGCTAGATTTTGCTGGCATTGTATTTGATCAACAAAATCAATATAAACTTAAGTTGGGCACTATTAGTGGTATACTATGTTTAGGTTTTGGTGATTCTGCAGTAAGATTGATTATATTAAATACAATTTATTTATTATATTAAAGGCCAGTCTTGTTGGAAAAAAAATTGGTAAACTACATTGGCCCAATTCTAAAAAAACACTAGAGGGGACATTTGCATTTATTTTAGCAGTATTTTTTGGCGGGATACTAACAGAATATATGTCTTGGATAAATGACGTTATTATAGTAAGTATATAAATATAACTTCTAAAGTTTTACAAGTTATAGTGGACCGATTTTTTCATGGCAACTATTATGACTGGTAAGTAATTGTCTATTATTTAAATAAATTAATGAAAACAGCATTATTTGAAGCATTTTCGTCACAAAATGATAATATTTTAATGCCCATATATATGTGGTCATTATTAAAGAGATAATTTTCCAGCTAAAACAACATCTTTTCCAAAAGTTTTCCATGATATATTTTTGATTTGACAAAGTGTATTAGCACTTTTAATAACAACATCATTACGATCTTCTATGAATATAGGTGATATTGTAATTATAATTGAATCAATCAGTTTCCATTCTTTTAATAATGAGGATATTACATTAGCACCTCCTTCTACCATAACACTTGTGATTTTCAGCTTTAGAAGTGTACGAAGAATATCATTCCATTCAAATAACCCATTTATATTTGTTTTTACTTTAATAATTTTTCCTCCAACTGCATTTAATACATCAAATGATGGTTTATGATATGCTTGGCAATTAAAATTTTCTGTTACTAAAATAATTGGGGGATGTCCCCATTTGTTCTTGGCCATAGAAATAATTTTTGATTCATGTGTCAACTTAAGCCGAAAGTTAGGATCCAGTATAACAGGAATAGGTTGTAATTCAAGAGAATAGTAGGATGTCTGTGAATCTAAAACACGTGCTATTCTTGAATCAGTAAAAATGTTATCAACAGGATTAAAAAGTAATATTAATAACCATTTAAACGTGGATTATCACTTTCAGCTGTCCCAACACCAATTAATATTGCATCATGCTCTATTCTGAGTTTATGTGTTAGTGTTTTTGATTCTTTACATGAGAGAACAAACGGAGAAGCCGTCCTTGTTCCAATTTTATTATTAATTGACTGAGCATACGTAAGTGTCAAAAAAGGTTTCTCATTATGTATTTGTTTTGATTTTGAACAGGGTAAATACTGAGTTAAAAATTCATTAATTTCACTGTTTAGTTGCTCCATTTTACTCAATATTTAGATAGCAATTCTACTACTTATTCTAATAATCTCTATTTTAAAACCAGAAATCCAATAATGATTGATTAGTCTTTTAAATATATATTTTTATCATAAAATATCTTGAGTATTTGTTTTAGAATTACTGTATAAATATTCGAGTTTAGAAGTGATAAAGATAAATTTTAAAATGTGTCAAAAATTTAATAGATATTTATATAAATATATGTCAAAATTTATAGATAAATTGTCATATATTCTTAATATTAAAATATATTCTTTTTTCCAAAAATAAAAAACAATTAAAATTTTAAATAAGATTCAATAATACCTTTTTAATTATCCGTTATTTTATATATAGAAAAACAGTTTTTTATAGATTTCTGATATGATGTTTTTATATTTTTATAAAATTTTTAGACGTATTAAAAATATTTTTAAAACACTAAGAAAATATAAAAAAATACAAAACTTATTGTTAGTTTTGGTGTATTTTAAATATATTTTTATTGATTTTTTTCTATTATAAATAAAATATTATTATATCAGTTACCAAGGAAACGTTACTATACTTTTTTTAAATTCGCATAAGATCGAAAAGAACATCGTGCGGCTCCCTGTATTTTCGTGTTACTCAATGATTACATCAATGTAGTTTTTGAGTGTCATATACAGTGTAGATTTATGTTGATGTATAGGTGCTTTACAAATTATTTAAAATTTATGTTTTTGATCTTTTTTTATTTGTAAGAAGATCAAAGGTACTGATAGTTCATACATATATTGTTAATATATTTGACAAAAATGGTTACATTACATATTTAATACAATAGACTGTGTTCTTTTATTTACTTACATGTTACTTGTTTTAAATAAATGTATTTCCATTAAAGTACAGTTATTGGCTTAATTTAAAATAAAAAGTATATTATTTTTATTGTTATTGCAACTGGAGTAATAGTTTCTCCACTTATCCATATTCCGTTTGTTGAAATACAATGAGACTCTATTCTGTATCCAAGAAGAGATTGAATAGTATCTGAAATTGCTTTAGAAATAGTTTCTGGAGATTTTACTTTTTCAAAACTTTTACTATTATAATAAATAGTAGATGACAATATTTTGCCATTTGTAAATTTTTCCTCAAAAGAGTGTAACAAAGTTCCTAGAATAGCTTCCAATGATAACTCAGAATCTTCAGAAATTTTATAAGTAAAAAACGAAATTGACCATAAATTACTTTTAATGATTCCTAAAATACTTCAGAAGTGTACATTTACTGAAAATTAAGCACCATCATAAGAATTTTCACATTCCTTCTTTCCTATTATATTCCATTCTATTAATGCCTCGGAAGATAAACTATTGACAAGAATTATTAAACAATCGTTATTATATAAAAAAGAATGTTTCCATATTTCGTTAGTAAGTAAAACATAATATTCATTTGAAATAAATGCTATACATAATATGCTAAAAATCTTAATATTTTCAAATATTCTTTCTAAATTTTGCAAACTAATAACAACTTCAGATGAAAACGATTTAGGATATGGTAAACACATAGTAGATGGTATAAGGCCAGTTTGACCAGAAGTAAAAATCATATTTTCAAACTATTTGTTTATTAGAAATATATTATATATATATAATAAATACTATAAGAGCATGAGAATAAAATCCTATATTTGCTGGAATCCAATAATTTCGACTATGAACATAAACAACAGATCTTTTTTTATCTGAAGAATCCGCTAAAATAGATATTTGTAAACGATTGAATTTTAAATTATTACAATTAATATATATTCTCGAAGGAGGTTTTGGAAAATTAAAATATTGGTTATATAAAGCATCTATATGAGAAATATGTTCTTTTTTTTTAAAAATAAGCTCAACAAATATAATATTAGAAAGCTCAAGACTATATTTTCTTAAATTGTCTATTAGAATTAATATTTTTATCAGGAAAATTAAATAATACCTTTTAATTTATTCATACAGCAATGGAATTCTTCTTCTAATGTATAAGTCTTCGAATCTATTGAATTTAAATATGCGCTAATTTCTCCAATAGCTACTAAATTTTTTAAGTTTGAAAAAGTCATAAATAGCTTATTATTAATATTCTTTTTTATAGAAATAATTGGTATTATATAATTTTGTTTATATTCTCTATTTTTGTAATCATCATCAATAATTTTCTTAAGTTGCTTATATTTTTCATTTAATTCTTGAGGTAAAATAAATTTTTCTTTCCATTTTGTATTAATAAATGATTTTTCTTCTAATTTTGCAACAAAATTAAAATAGGCAACATCATCTGATGAATGATTAACTATTTGAGACTTAAGACTACATCACTATTAGCAATATTATTATTTATTGAAATAACTACATTTTTATCTTTTTTTGAAAAATAGGACAATCTAAAACTAGACTTTCGTATTCTCCACCTTCTCCGCATATGTTTAAGTTATAGCGTTTATTCTGTTCTTCATTAATGACTTAGAATCCATAAAAATCCAATAAACCATCTCTAACAAATAATCTTTAATCTCTACAAGAGATTTTCCCAAATGAGACTTATTTAGCCCTAATATGTGTTATTTAAGTGAAAAAATTCTGTAATTTTTATTGCCTAAAGATGAAACTTTTATTATAATAGCATGTAAGTTTTGGGATATCATTTCTTCGAGTAAATCTTTTTGATTTCTTTTCCAAAGATATGCTAAACATACTAAATTAAGTCTTTTGCATACATTTTCAACCCTTGTTCGCTGATAATTTGATAAAATAGCTCCAACAGAAACGGCTTCTAAGTCGGGATGTAAATTCTTCAAAACATTAGATATAAAATATATTTACACATTTTATTATATCCCAATACCTGAATTCTTTTAAGTAAACGATGAAGATCCTCTGTTTCATCATTAAGAGTTCTGCAATAGTTCAAACTTTTGTCAATTGATGATCCTGTAATAAATTCATAATAAAACGGAATATTCATAGCTTGCCCATAAAGGTGAACTACCTCTTGGCCAACTGTTTGGTACATATAACTATCGATTTCCTCTTTATATGTATAAGCTAGACTTTCTCCTTATAAATGAAAAAATAATTACGTTGTTTTAATGGCTGCAAATTTGCTAATGCTATAATTTCATGACCATTTGCGATACAATACATCATATTATAGCAGCTGTCTTTTCCTCCACTTATTAAAGCTGCAACTTTCATTTTCTTATAAAAAAACTAATTAATTTCTGCTTTCTAATCCATATCAATGTTTATCTATCCTATTTATTCATTAATACTTTTTCAGCTAAAAAAATAGATATGTTGCGTTTTTCTATAATGAAAAGATCTAATTAAATCTCTTCATCTCAAACAAACGTATTTAATCTTGCAAATTCTGTCTTTGATAACAGTGGAGCATATCCTTCAGAAATTCCTCCGGCAACTCTACTGTGTTTGCATAAAAACGCATACTTTAAAAAATAAACCTTACCTAATGTAAAAAAAACATAATTTCTATAAATCTATGCTCATTATTAGCTGAAATTACTCTGTGATCTATTCTTTCTTTTACATTATATTATCTCATCTTTTTTTTAATTTAAGAGATTAATCGTCGATCTTGAACAGACGTCCATGTCTTTGGCGTCTTACTTGGCAGAAAAGTATTTAAACAAAGAAGTCGTTAAAAAAAAGAAAAAAGCACAAAAAGATGATAATTCTATTCATATAGTTGATGCAGATATTACAGGATGGGTTGAAGTTCAGCCAGATCGTAAAAAAACAAAACAAATATCAGGTAAATCATAGTGTTTTAAATGACAGATATTTTAAAGGCTTTTAGCTGCAGAAAAAGCACATGAAACCTTAAGAAAGGCACAAAAGGATCTTAAGTCAGCATTCAAAAAAGGGGATCGCTCTTCCTGGCAAAAAATAGCTAATGAAAAAGAAATTGAACATGACACTCTAGACTCACAAGATCCACCTGTTGTAGTGACACTTGATGGACATGACATTACTTTGAATGAGAACGAGACTCCAGAGGGTCCATTAATGTCTAGTGGTGCACGAGCAGGGCTGCAAACAGCAAAACAGGTTGCTGATGATTTGAAACGTCAAAAAGATCGAGAACGTGCTATTTTTCAAACAGCAGATCCTCAATGGACAGGAAAAAACGCAGAAACCATCTACAGAGATGCAAGTGGCCGAAGAGTTGACATGGAGCTTGTTATGATGGAGAGACAGCGTCAGAAAGCCAAAGAAGAAGCTCAAAAAAAACTCGAACTTGAAATGTCAAAAGGAGAAGTACAGAAACGCCAAAAACTTGAAGAAAAACAAAAACTAGAGGAAATAAAGCATTTGCCATTTTCAAGGTACTCTTATTTTTTTTTAATCTTTGCTCATTTACTCCAGATCAATCGATGATCCAGAACTTAACCGTCTTCTTAAAGAAAAGGAGCGCTGGAATGACCCTGCTGCTTCTTTCCTCACAAAAAAACAAACTTCTACTCGTCCCGTGTATAAAGGATACTACAATGCCAACCGCTTTGGAATCCCACCTGGATATCGCTGGGACGGCGTCGATCGAGGAAACGGCTTTGAAAAAGCCTGGTTTGCCCATCAAAACGAAAAAAAAATACAGGCTGCTCAGGCATACGCTTGGAGTACCGAGGACATGTAAAAACACTTACTCTTTCACCATTAGCAACTCCAGCAACTTTATCCCCCTGCCTAGGCCTCACTTCCCCTCACACACTTTTGTTTAACAAATACATAAAAACTCCTCCCACTGCCTCCATTCAAACTAAGCTTTCAAAACTCTTCACTCTTTTTATTGTTTTTCTTTACGCCTCTATCTAACAATATATATCTCTCGGCTGGTCCGCTATTCTATAACCCAATATCTAACGATACTATACATGACACATTATACATCCATCAATAATATTTACTTTAAATATATATACAAACTTTATACTTTTTACACTACTTCTACTCTTTATTCACCTTTATCCCCTATTCAATACATTATATACTTTATCCTTCTCTACCTATATTTTCTATCTATATTTATATACTATACTAATTCTCCCCATTATATATATTCACTGCCCTCCAATTCTCTTAAACTTTAATTTACTTTATATATGCAAGTGTTTATTAGCATAAAGCCACGTGTATCATCATTTACTGTCTCATCTGCATCTTTTACATAAATCGGTGTTTTAACTTTTCTCCAAACGTTCTCCAAACGCTAAGGCCCCCTCTTAGCTTAAGTGCATATCATTATAGACTTAGGAATAATCAATAATAAGTAGACTAAGTCTTAGCAAAGACTGAAGAGGGGTTTAGTAAAGAGCTAATTAGAGTGTCTAAATCAATATTCACAAAAGAAGTATAAGTAGATCATTAAATAAAAAGGATATGAAGAAGAAATGACGCATATATGCATGTATTTGCATAGCCACACCGCATATATATGGTTTTTTTGTGGAAAACAAGGGAGAGAGGTCGTGCACATATATATATGAGCTTTGACAGCAATATACTCCACAGCAGGTTAGCAGCAGATTATCATTAAAATTCATGGGAGATCCCCGCAATGAGGCGCATTAGCAGTTGTCAGACACACTTTGAGGCTGTAGTTTAGGCGAAGATTACGTGCATCGGGTGTTAGGATTAGCAATTGGATAAGAGGTTTGGAGACCAGACGCTGGATACGTCTTGGACGGGTAGATTGGAAAGCAGAGGGCGGAGTGGAGGTTCAGAAGAAAGCAGGATTTTCATAGCATTGGAGCTGGAATTGGTTCAATATAAAGAGTATCAGTGTGTAAAACACACAGTCGACACGTTAGACACGGTCGACAGCATCCAGACGGGCTAGACTCGGCATTATTAATAAAAGAGTGGTTCTCTGCGGTGTAATTTGGGGTTTGGTATTGGTAAAGAGGAATTGGGGATATTAGGGGACACAAGTGAGAATCAGAGAGCTGTATTATACGGTGTTTTAAGTGTTTTCTGTTTTTTTGCCAAGAGGACATTAGTTTTTCCTTATGGAATCATCATCGCCGCTTGATTTTGAATTGGGACATAATTCGGACCGAGTGGGCGGGTTTTGTGGTCCAAAAGCGATGCAATTGCAAGTGAGTCGATATTCATCGCCGTTGACATATACACCGGTTTCTTCGCCGAGTTTTAATGTGTTATCTGGGTCGGGAAGGTTTTACGTAGAGCCTCCGCCATATATTGCACAAGGGAATGCTATCTCTGCGCCTCTGAACTGCCCATCGACGTTGCAGCGTGAGGAAAGCCCGATATTTCATTTATCTGGATCGAATCAACCATTTATGGGAGATGAGCTGCATGATTCAGGTGTACAGGGCAAAGATAGGACATGGGATGAACGAATGACTGCAATTGACGTAGCGCCTTTGTCGAATCCTCCATTTGACGACAAGCATGCAATGTTTGCATTGGTTCGGGATACTTATCAGCCGTCTTTTGATATTTCGGATTATATTCTTCATCCTAATTATGATACAAAAAGTCCACGGTCATTTCGGCCTGCAATGTCTCCAGGATCAACAACAGTAAGCGAATTTGCACCAATTACTCCTCCTTCTTCCACAGAAGATATCAGTTATTTTGATTACATGTTGCCTCATTCACGACCAGCATCAATACTTGATCGATCTTGGCTAGTTGATATAGAGCAAAGTAACAGCAATGAAACACATGTAGATCCATCAAGACTTTGCATGAATCAGGCTTTGCAACCGAGTTCTTCATTGAATAAGTCAATTGCAGAGGAAACTATGAAACGTTCCAAGGATGAAAAAGATAAAATAGAATATGAAGAGCATGATGAATTGAATGATAAAATACATGATGATGATGTGAAAAGTTTGAATGATAATGAAGAAAACGTCTCTGAATATCAAGAAAAATCGACCACAATGTTAAAAACAAAAAAAACTCGGAAAATAAAGAAGGGCTCGTTTAAACGGCGAAATGAAGCTCCATGTATTGAAGAAGTAGAGGATTGTTCGAAACCAAAACGGGGCCGTGTGTCTAAAGAACAGAGACAAAAACTTTTGGAAATGTCTACAGCGGCTGTATCAGGTGCTAATTCGCTCGTGGGACTTGGAATCTTATTGCATGATCCACAATATGGTCAAAGAACAGATACTTTTTTTCACAATAGAGTTCCACTGGACAATAAAGATGTCGAAAGTGGTATAAATCTTCCTCCGCAGGGTATTTTTCTTACAAAAACGAAAGCTTCCCGGCGAAGATATGGCCAAAACCATTCATTAAGAGCAGGGGGTTCAGTTGAAAAATCTTTTATATGCGAAATCATTGGTTGTGAAAAGAAATTTCGCCGAAGCGAGCATCTTAAACGGCATGTACGATCTTTGCATACAGGAGAGAAGCCATTTGTATGTACAATATGTCATAAAAGATTTAGTCGTTCAGACAATTTAAATCAGCATTTAAGAGTTCATAAGGTTTCTAGCGAAGGAAATCAAGGCACAGTAGTTAATAAAAGAAGAGTCAGAATGGTTGAAAAGAAAGGCCGATATCATGGTATACCATAATGCTTTCATTGATTTTGAAAAACAGTGAGTTTAAATCAGTGGTCATTTTGTTTTTAGAATTGAATTGGGTTCCTTAATTGTCTTTGCTTTGTGAATTTACATTTTTAATTCTTAATATCAACATGTGCTTGTGTATTAGTTTTAGCATTTTTATAAATGAGTCATCCATCATGGAAATGATAAATCATTACTTTTCATTCTTAAAAAATTCAATTCTTATATATTTCTTTTTTGATTTATTTTGCTTACTAATTATCTTACGTAATTTTTTTTATATCGTCTATTAAAATTTTCTTGGCAGATTAATATACAGATCAAAATATATCTTGATAAGATTAAAAGTATTTTTATTTTATTTTATAAAAAAAATATAATACTTTAAATTTCAAAAAGATATTTTTAAACAATGTTTTTAAAACAAGGTTTTAGTGTTTTTAAGATGTCAACACGTTTACCGGTTTTTATTGCGAAAAACAGTCTACATAGAATGTATTCGACTACTACATCTTCTTCTTCACGTAAAATCCTGTATGGAGGATTTGTTTTTAGTGCAGCAGCTTTAGGATATGGGTATTATTGTATTAAACACAATTCAAAACCGCTTGATTTTTTAATTGGCAAAAAAATTACTGAAAAGGATTATTACAAAGTGTTAGTATTTATAGGATATATCAATTTGTCTTAATATCTTAGATATCAAGAAATAGCGGAATTAATGGATTCTGATGATGTAGAAAATTATGATGATGGTTCTCTTGGACCTATTTTAGTTCGTCTTGGATGGCATTCTTCTGGAACATATAACAAAGAAAACAATAGTGGAGGATCAAATGGTGCAACAATGCGATTTGAGCCAGAATCTAAGCATGCTGCAAATGCAGGTCTTCATGTTGCACGTGATGCTTTAGAAAAAATTAAAAAAAAGAATCCTTGGATCAGTTATAGTGATCTTTGGACTTTGGCCGCTGTGTGTGCAATTCAAGAGATGGTAATAGTATTTTTGTATAATGTTAAAAAAAAATTAATTTATTAGTCTGGTCCAGCTATTCCTTGGCGTCCTGGCCGTATTGATGGTGTCTGTACTCAATGTCCTCCAGATGGTTTATTACCCGGTATATTTTGAAAATAATGACTTTATTTTCTTAATACCTATAGATGCATCAAAAGGACAGGATCATTTACGAAATATTTTTTACCGTATGGGATTTAATGATCAAGAAATTGTTGCTTTAAGTGGTGCTCATGCATTAGGACAGTGTCATACGGATAGATCAGGTTATATAGGACATTGGACGTAATGTTAATTTTTTAATTTAGTTATTTTTCTGATTTTTATGTTAGTTTTTCGCCTACTGTGCTTACAAATGATTATTATAAATTGCTGTTAAGTGAAAAATGGGATCAAAAGAATTGGAATGGACCAAAGGTGTTTCTAGTTAATCAGCTTTTATGTTTTTGCTAATAAATTTAGCAATTTGAAGATAAAACTAAAAGTTTAATGATGCTTCCTACGGATATTTGTCTTATAAAGGTAGCAATATAAATTGAGATAAATTATAAGTTGATTTGGAATAGGATAAGGAATTTAAAAAGTATGTTGAGCTTTATGCAAAGGATGAAAAGAAGTTTTTTGAAGATTTTTCAAAAGCGTTCAGTAAACTTTTAGAATTGGGTGTTCCTCGTTTTGATCAAGATCCTATTATATTTAAGCCTCTTAGAGTTTAAGTGTTGCATTATATTTTTAATCGAATGTTTATTTTTTAATTTTGAGATCTATCAAAAATAAATTTTTTATGATAGATCCAATATAGTAATATGTTAGTTAAAATGTACGGAAATCATTTTTATATATATTTAAATCAGTAACATTATTTAAATAAATACTATTATTTAAATATATATATTTTTTATTTATTGAAATGTGCTTAATATTATAATTGTACTTTATGAAAAAAATGACATAATTTGTTAATTTATTTTAAATTATTTATATTAAAAAAAATAAGTATATTTTCTTTTTTGGATGTGTTTAAAGGCTATTTACTTTAAAATAAGGCTTTTAAGTAGGTAAAAAGATCTTTTTCTTTAATATTACTTTATTTACTTTTGAACTTTAAGTGAAAAATTATTATTGAAGGCATTGATGAATTTGTTTTTGCTATAATAATGAATAAATTATACGTTGTCTCTTTGTTTTTACCAAATACATTAGGCTTTGATTTAGATGAAACAAATTCAATCGAACTTAATTCACAAAAACTACACCGTAAAATAGCAAAGCCTATTCCCCATTTAATGCAAAAATTTGCATCTTATTCTAAAGGTTCTCAAGATATAAATTGTGATACGTCTTTACTTGAGGTTCCAGAAGATCAGTTTTTTTATTCTTTAAATACTACAGATATGTTAAAAGATAAAGATAATATAAAGGAAGTTTTTGAAAATGAACGAAAAGAATTGAACCTTCCAAAAATATATTCTCATATTTCTTCTTCTGTGGTTACTCTTAGGGAGCCTGTAAAAGAATCTTCGAGTATCATGGCTGATTATTCTCATTCATCTATCTTAACATCAAGAAGACGTCGAACATCGTTTGATATTACTCTCTTTTCAGAAGTAGTATGGACGATTGAATCAAATGATCAAAGTAATTGTGGTCTTGGGAATGCAATTCGTGCAGCTTATGAAACGGGTAATTTAGAAGAATATATTTTTATTGGGTTACTAGGGATACCTACAGATTCTCTTTCTGTTGTAAGAAAGTATGAAATTGAACAAAAGTTTGTAAAAAATTATCGGAGTATTCCTATTTTTGTTTCAGACAAAGATTTTGATAATCATTATAACTATTGTTGTAAACAGGTATTTAAATATTCAAGATATGATTAGTTTTAAACTATTAAGGTTCTTTGGCCTTTATTCCATTATCAAGTACCGGATATTTCTAAATTTAAAGTACATCAGAATTATTTTTGGAATCATTATATTGCCTTAAATCAAGCTTTTGCAAATAAAATTATAGAAATATATAAAAAGGGTGATATCAGTATGTTTTATTTTTCTGATACATTGAAATTGATGGTTTTTAGTTTGGATTAATGATTATCACCTACTCTTAGTTCCTCAAATGGTACGTCAAAAATTACAACATGCGATGATAGGCTTTTTTTTGCATATATCATTTCCATCATATGAAGTATTTCGTTGTCTTTCTGGTTAGTTTTATTTTTTTTTTAAAAAAATTATTTATATGAAATCAAGTTAGAAAACAGCTTTTAGAAGGTATTTTAGGGGCTAATGTTATTGGTTTTCAAACTGATGAATATGCATATCATTTTCATGAAACATGTACTAAATTACTTAATGCTGAAACATTACTCCAAGGTATAAAATTTGGATCATTGTTTATTAATACAATTAATCTTCCTATTGGTATTGATCCTAAAAATTTACAAAAAAAAAGATCATTACCTTCTGTAAATGCTTGGATATCATTATTGAAAAAAAGATATGCAGGGAAATCTTTAATTGTTGGACGAGACAAAATGGATGAAATTAAAGTTTTTCTCTTAAATTTATATTAAAAATTAATTAATTATTGATTAATTTAGGGAATGCGTCAAAAATTACTTGCTTTTGAACTTTTTTTAAGCAAACATCCTGAATGGAGAGAAAAGGTATTTTTTATTTTGCATATATGTATATTAATCAAAAAACAGGTTGTTTTAATACAAGTTGCTCTTTCTACTAGTGAAGAAAATGAAACTCAGCTACAGATTTCAAATATTGTGACAAGGATCAATTCTACATATGGAAATTTATCTCAACAACATCAACCTTTAGTATTTCTTAGACAAGATATTACATTCTCACAATATCTTGCTCTTTTAACAGTTGCAGATATCCTTTTGGTTACTAGTTTAAGGGAAGGGATGAATCTTACAAGTCACGAGTTTGTATTTTGCCAAAATAAAAATTGTGGACCCTTAATTATAAGCGAGGTATAAATATTTAACCATTTTTGAAACGCATTAACTTATTAGTTTGTTGGAAGTGCTACTCGTTTCAAAGATGCTGCAATTATAATAAATCCATGGTGTTTTGAGCAGGTTTCTAATGCTATTTTTAAGGCACTTACTATGCCTCATGAAGAGCGTTTACTACGTTGGAATAAACTTTCAAATACTGTTATGCATAATGATGCTGCAAATTGGGCTATAAATTTTGTTAATGGGATTAAAACTAGTTTATCTTTTGAATAAAAGAAAAATATTATTTAAAAAATATTATTTATGAATTATTTTAAAATATATAAAAATAATATTATTGAAGGATTTCTTTGAGATACTAAATCTTTTTTAAAAAATTTCATATTAAATGTATTTAATGTAGGATTTGTAAACAATTTGGTTTTTGTTAATTTTCTATATTTATATTAGATTGAATAAATTTTTATTTTTGTTATTATTTTACAATTTAAAAGATACTAAAAAATTTATATTTTTATGTCATTAAGTTTTGAATAGTTCTATTTTTTAAAAGCAAAAAAGTTAATTTTTAAAAATAATTAATTTTCTATTACTTTATTATATTATTATATTATTTTTATATGAAATATATTTATTGAAGTAAAATAGTTTAAATATTATTATTTTCAAGATATTAAAGATAAAAATATTTTTATTGATTTAAAAAAAAAAGTTTGTTATTAACAATAAAAATGATAATATATTTGAATAATTGAATTAAATAGATAATCAAGTAAATTATATTTTGATTATAAATATGAAAAAGAGTATATTTATAAATAAAATTTATTGGTCAATTGTTAACTTTAAGATTTGATTTATTGTGAATTTTAAATATTTTAAAATATTTTTAAGTTTTTGAGAAATTGATAATATCGTTTTTAAAATGAACATGATTAAATACTTAATAGAACACAATATAAAGTTGATTATATATATATTATTAAAAAAAATTGTTAAAACTGTTTTGTTCAATAGTGTATAAATATAATGATTAGTTTTTATTCATTATCAAATCTATAGTTTATATGAATAAATATCTAATTTTTTTATTGTTAATTTATTTATTAAAAGCATAAACTAACTGTTTTTAATATCACTATTATTTATATCAGGTTAAGAAAGTTATCAAATAAAACCATATTAAAAGGCTAAAGTTATTAAATAAAACTAGTAAATATATTTTTTATTGTAAAATATATTCATAAGATTATATTTAGAGCAATATTATTCAAAATAAAAGTGACAAATTTATTGTTTTCAATATATTTATTACTTTTTAATTAATGTTTTAAAGACTTTTAAATTCGGTTTTTTGATTTAATATAGAATTTATTTTTAACTATTTTTAAAATATTTCTTAATTTTTTTGAAAATAATATTGATATAATCATTTAAATAATTCAATAACAGAATATAAGTTGTTCTTTAAACATTTGAATTCTAATACAAAAATAATGATATTGAATATTTTCAAAATAATATATAATAAAATGTTAATTTTAAGCATTTAAAATTATAAAAATATTTATTTTGTAACATTTAAATAGTTTCTACAAAGTTTCTTAAAAATAAAAATGTATTTATATAATAATATCTTATTTAGCTCTATATATTTAATTAACATTTTTTTTTTCAATTCATTAAAAGATTTAAAAAATTGATGATTGTAAAATTAAAGTTTAAACAACATTATAGTATTAAATTATTTTAATACAAAACAAATAGTAGATCATAATTATATCATTTAGTATATAAAATTCGATTATATTTTTTCTTTAGCAGAGTAATATAAGTTATATTACAATAATGAGTATAATTGCTATTTAAATTCAATAAATATATGTATTTTTAAAAATTTTAATAAAAATACTATTTAGAAACATGTATATTCACATTTTTAAACAAAATATTCAAAGTTCATAAAAATAAAATTATCTTAAAATAATTTTATGTTATTTTACTATTTAAAAAATACTTTTAAATATCATTGTTATATTAAGATTAAATTTAATTTATATGAATATTTTTATATAAAAAAATTTCAAAAAAGCATGCAATAATTTTATTAGTGAGTCAAAAATTCTCTAATATATATAAATATTAGATTATATTATTAATAAATCAAATTTTTCATTACATATAACTTTTATATATGTTTATAGAAAGTAATTTTAAATAATTAATGTTTTTATATAATATTTTAAATACTTGTTAGATATATATGTTTAAATTTATAATCTAATTTGTTTTGAAAACAATCATCCTCAATAACAACCCTTTTATATGCAAAACTACTTTTGATTTATTACCTTAGTCTATTGAAAATATTTGTAAAATTCGATATTTAATTGAATATTGCTTGTATTTGCTATATTTATAAATATTCAAAAAAAAAGCTATAATTAAATCAGATTTAATTCCATAAACATTTTGATTTCTTAGAACATGAAAATTAACAAATAGTTATATATTTCTAGTAATTACTTTTTTTTTAAAAGAATTCATTAAACTTTATTTTTTTATAAAATTTTATATCTATATATTTAACATCTATACTATATTTTTTAAATATATAACTTAAACACTATTATATTAAAAACACGATATGCTGTTAAAAAACTAACAAATATTCTATCACTAAAACACATTATTCAACTTTTAAATATTTTTCACAAATTTACACACTTATCCCCACAATTCGTATGATGCTCGAGGGCGCAAACATTACATGATCAAAATGTCAAAAATACATCACAAAAAACCATTCACACTATTTCTATAATTTATACCCAATTTTAGAAATTCCAATCCTGCCTTCTAATTTACATTTTCCATAAGCAATACTAATATATTTTGCGTTTACGCACACCGCTTTTTATCTCATCAGTAAATCTCTCCCCAAAATACTTAACCTCCAAAAATACAGCTTTTTTCCAAAATAAATATTCCAAAACATCATTATTATTAAGTCTCATCTTTAATATGTCCCAATTCTCAGATAAGTGCACATATAAATCACGTGACTCTTATCACCCACCTTCAGGACATTTAAAAACACACATATCCGTCATATGTAATTTCTAAATATTATGCACTTTAATTCCCCGTAAACACCTGTATACATTTGCATTACCTCTCCCGTATCTTATGCAGGTGCTCATAACCCATTCTCCACTCATCACAAAAACAAAACCCCACATTAATCTCCATGTCAACAGAGCGTTAATACCACTTAATACTACATTAATACCCACACTAAAATATGTGTTTTTTACACCATAGAAAATACATTTCTGCTGAAAAAGTCAAAACATCCTATTAAACAGTTATTATATACTTTTTTACTGTATTTTATTCTTTGTTTCCCACTATTTTACCACAATATCAACACCTTTCTTTACACTCTAACCCTAACCCTAATACAGAAACCCTGTTCATATGATAGTCGATCCCATTCCAAAATTCCATTTAGGGTTAACATTAACAACAAAAACCCAAAAACCAACCCTGGTGACACACAGGACACACAAAATTAACCAAAAAAGGCAGGAGACTAACCTTAGGAGAGTTTTGAAACAGCAGAAATCCTGACTCAAATGCTTAAAATAAGAATTAAAAAATGAAGAGAAAGATTTAAGAAAAAACAAAGGAGATTTGTGGAAGAAATATAGAGAAATTTAAGGATATTTAAGAAATAAAGAAAAAACAGTGGGTAAGAAAGTGCATATATCAAAGAAAATAAGGGTTAAAAAGGTATTTTAGAGTCTACTGGGAGCAATCGTTGCGTATTCACACGCATACATACAAGGGAGTTGGAAGATTAAAAAAATAAAGTATCAAACAGCACTGGCAGAAGCACATATATAAATAAATTTACGGTTTTAACACGCATATATAGCAAGAATTACGAGGAAAGTAAGTGGAAAAAGACATACGCAATAAAACAGGATGTCACCCAAATTTTTCCAAGATCCTGTGCTTTCCTTAGCATCAAACAGCATTGGAAAGCTTAATACGTTAGATGCAGACAGTTTGTGGTGTATATGGATGGGTATGAGTGTTTTTTGATATACATAAAGGACTTTTATAATGGGAATAGTATTTACAAAATGCGCGGAAAATCTTGAAAATGGACGTAGACTTGAGAATTTATCATGGCGTCTTTGGCGTAGAACGGCATTCTTTCTGCATAACACGCCATCTATGTTGGAAGAGTCAGATCTGCACAAGGAATTACCAAAGTTTATAAAAGACAAAAATTTAGATGTGCCAGAGTTATCAGTGAGTGTAGACTCTGTATCATCAATAGATGAGCATGAAATAAAGGGAAAAATTGCAAATTATCACACGTCTAATGTGCCGGTGCTTTTACCAGCACCATCAAAAAAACAAAATACAATACGGTGTGTTTCACCGAACCAATTTCAAAAAATTATTACAAATTTGATGCCTTTTAATATTGAGGTTGGGAAAGGGAAAAATGTGGACAATAAGGGAATACTAACGTCGCATTTATATGAAAAAAACACTTCAGAAACACCTAAAGAGAATCAAGTACATTCTAGCATATCGAATGATTTGCAGCAGGAATATTCTTGTCAGGTATCTTTATTATCTTCAAGCATAGATACTTCATTTTCTACAGAAGCGGAACCACCACAGTTAAGCAAAAAGCATTCAAAATCAGCAAAAATTGTTAATACCTCAAAACCTTATGTAAATAGAATTTCCAACAATACTATCCAGCATCATCATACGCAAATACAGGAGCCATCTGAAAAGCCTGATAAAATGTTTTTCATTCAAGAAACATTGCCAGTTGAGTCATTTATAGAAGATGTATCAAAAAGTGAGTTTAAATCGATTAAACTGAAGCAATCATCTCATCAGCCAGCTAAATCGGAGAAGCATATTTCATTTCGGAAGTTAACGATTGCACCATCTGAATTATCAAAAAATGAACTATCTGATTGTAATTCCTACAATTCATTAGATGATAATGATTGGGATTCTGTTTATGATTCTAGCGATTTTTCGAGTACGAATGAAAAGCCTATATTTCAAAAAATAAGTACATGTTCATCTCAACCACAGCTTCAGTCTCGTAGATCATTATTATCATGTATGTTGCAAAGTAAATCGGGCAAAACTTTAGCAAATTCAGGCTCTAAATCATCACCAGCTATTGCATTATCACAGGCTTCTGCTTCTCCTGTAATTCCTAAACAAACAACATATAATCAACATCCTATTATGGATCATGTTTCAAACACATCTTTTAATGTCATATCTCCTAATGTCATATCTCCTCAAATGATACGTAGAAATATGTTTGCTACTGAATTGTCAGAAAGTCTTTGCAGAAATTTATTATGGGAGCGTCAGCAGAGATCAGCAGCCATATTTAATACGTTAAAATATCATAATACTGTGCATGACACAGCTAATGTAGACAGATTATCGGTTCAAACTCGTAAAGAAGGCTATGATTTTTTTGATGATACAGATTATGGTTATCACGCTGCTGGATGGTGAAAAATATTTTGCAAATTGTGTATATTTAAGTCATTAAATGCTGTATTTTGATAAAAATACAAACTATATATTCAAGATACATGACACTAGACACATTTAATTATTTTTGGGATTTTTGTTGCGTTAGTTCAAACACTTCAATTTGTATAACTAGACCTAGTATGGCATCAGTCTGAATCAAGTTGATTTTGTAGCACTATTATCAACTTAAAGAGTCTTTATGTAAGTTTTATTCTAGTTTACATTCATGTATTATTATGGTGAATTGTAGTTTTAAAATTTTCAACGCGGCTTCATATATTGTTTATATATGTTTATATGTTTTGTAAAACATTATTAAATACATTTAATCATGAATATTATTCAGAATCATCACTTTTGTAAGAAACTAAACCTTGAGGCCCATCGGATTTATGGTTAGTCATTAAAAGCATTTGTTTAAGATTATTTGCATTCAATTTTATATGATTGTGTTCAGTACTATTATTTTGAAATATAAAAGGGTCTTTTTTAATTCGTGTGTTTATTTTTAGTTGTCTAACAATATTCTGCTTATCTGAAGTATGATGAATAGAAACGGGAGAGGCTTTTGGTGCAAAAAAAGGTAAAGAATGTATTTCCTTTTTTGTTGTTTCAATCAAATTTTTCTCTTGAGATTTAAAATCCACAAGTTTGGCACGTAAATAATCTTGAGGATCTTCTTTAGCCAATTTAATTGAAAGAGAATTAAGTCTTCGAAATTCCTCATCTTTTTCTTTTTCCATTTTTAATATTTTTTTTTCTTCCTAAAATAATTAATAAAAAACATTACTAGGAATTTTTATAACTCTAAATATTTTACGCAAACGTGAAGACACTGTATATGGGTCTGCCCATTGTTTTTCGTTGAGCTTATATAATCGAGATAATAAAGGAACTGATTCTTTAGCTTTATTTATATCGGTTACACTTTTTTCAATCTTATAAAAAGGATCATTTTTCAAATCATCATCTAGATCATCTAGATAACAGTTAAAGTAATACAAATACTTTTTGTTTAAAAACCTTTTGATCGAACAATTCCCACTTCTGATGAATCCCATTCTTCATTTTTCCTTTTTGCACCACTAATTACAATATATTCCGTATTCTAAAAACATTAATGAATAAAATAGCAATTTCCACACACTTTAGGATCTGTTTGGATTTCAAAAAGACCAGAACAAAGGTGACATTTCATTTTAAAACTCCATATTGGCGTACTGTAATAATTTCCAACTCTTTTTTTTTCTGCATTAAATCGTACTCCTTGTCCCACTTTTATACATTAATATACATTAAAAGAATCAATATTTATCTACCATGTGCGTTACATGATTCACACCATATATTATAAGGCAATTCAAAACGCACAATCAAAATTCTATTTTATATAAGAAAAAAACAATAGAAAATAATCAAAGACCCTTTATCAAGCTTCCTAGCCCTATTTCCTAATGCATGAGTACCCTGAAGCTTATTAAGACCTTTTCCTTGTCTCCAGTCATAATCAGGCGGATAATACTGTTAAATTTAGCAAAAAACAATATATTTTAATGAATTTGCCTTATTAAAGCCTAGAAAAAAGCATTAACCAGAGAAAATATAAAAGATTTTAATATATACCTTGCATTTTTTATTCCTAAAAATGCACTTTTCTGCTTATTCTTAAATATTTCAAAAAAACATACGTGGTTCGATTGACTAACCTCCAGAAAATGAATATAAGAATAAATAGTAGAAAAAAACAAGAATTCTGATAATATTTCATATGGAAAATACATCTAAATGTAGTTCCTACCAAAATATTCCCTTTACTCCTCAAAAAAATAAGTTCTTTATGGCACATCGGCAGCCATATGCAAGCCAACATACCGTTGATACTTATGACCCTTTGGAATATTCATTTTCAAGAAGAAAACCTCTAAGATGCACATCACTTCACCATTCTATTCTTTCAAGTTCACCAGAAGGCGGATTAAAGACACCTAAGTCAGCATCAAATAATATATTGGATTCTCCACAAGGATATCAATCCTATATTTATCAGGCACAGAATCCTCAGGATGAAACTGCTCATCATGAGGCTGAAAGTAGTTCATCAGATGAAGGAACTAAAATGAACCATACCCAGGCAAATTCTGCATGTTCTATAAACCGTACCAAAACAAACTTTTCTAAAACGAATATAAAAGATATCGGCAATTTTGATGAAACGGGTCCTTTGTTCTCTGAAAATTGTGCTTCGAGGTCTTTTAATGAATTTCCAAGTAACTATAGCTTTAAAACCAAGTTTTAAAATAACCTTCAAAGATTTCTCTCAAAAACAATACGATTATAGCGATTTACTTGCACTATCCTCTATTCAGCCTGATCTTGTTAAGCGAATCTCAACAAAAAATATGTTGTTTCTTGTAATTTAACTTATTTTCTAATTATTCATTGATTGCTCTATAGCACAAACCTAAAATGATTCAAAGGATTGCTACAAGTTTACTTGAAGAATCTGCACCTGCTGAATCTGAAATAAGAAACGAGGCACTTCTTTCAAAAATACTTCGCAGATCACGCTACATTGATGATCGTATCGACTTTTATAATGCCACAGGACAAAATGAATCCCAAGATATGGCTACAAATTCATCTTTGACATCGACGCATCATGTCGATTCTTCTTTCAATGTCTCTGATATGCTTTCTACTGAAAAATTACCCTTTACTTGTCGAAAAAATCTTGATATTGACACTGTATTTATCGACACATTTGTCTATCCACTAACTTTTTTTAGGTAAATCATCCTCCATTGTGTTCTCCTCTGATGAATAATTCGTTTCAAGCAGGAAAAACATCTAAAAGAAAAGGTATATTATTTTCTATATATATTTTTCCAATTTTCTCCTAGTCCATTCTGATGAGCGTTTTGAACCATATCCTTCTTTTAAACGAAGAGCTCTTTCTCCTGCACTGTCTACATCCTGTCCCGTGTTTACTACAGGCTGTTCCCCTCTTTCTCCCAATTCTTCTCTTTTTCCTATGCAAGGTTTATTTTTTGTCCTTTTGCTCTCTACTTATTTTTCCAAGATACCAATGAAGGTCTTATGAAGATGAGCTTGCAATAGCTCCGGCTTTTATATTTCCAATAAACTTAGATACTCTTCCTAGCTTTTTAGTTTTCGTTTCTTGGTCCGCGTTATCTAGCTTGTATTATTCAGTCTACATTGTCCAATATGTTTCTTAATTCATATTATTCGATATACATCTTTTAATACACACTTGTGCATCCAATGCATATCCAATGCACATCCAGTGCACATCCAGTGCACTCTTAATCGATATCTTTTAGGCTTTTTAATGTATACCTTATATATATCTGATATAGATATCTAATATACACATCTAATATACACATTGTATACAATATAGATGTGTAATATACATCTAATATACATTCAATACATATTCCTAATCTATATCTAATGCACACATCTGCATCCCGTCTCCCACTCACTGTCTGCTGCTTGTATGCACACTGCATATGCACTGCACTCATGCATACAGAGTAGATTTCTATATATATCTCACTAGACTCACTGTTTTGTGCACTCTGCTCTCTACACTTATTTACCTATTCTGTACATACACTCTACATATATTCTGTATACATTCTATACACATTCCAGAGATGCATTTTATACATGTAATCTATAGCTATACTCTGTATACATACTCTGGATGCATTCTATACACCCTACCCATCCTATATACATACTTTATATTCTACACATTCTATACACTCTATATACATATTCTCTATACACACATGCTCTGGAGATGCTTACACATTCTATCGATCCACATATTGTCTACACACCTGTATTCCGCACACCCTTTCCTCTGCCTAGAGTCTTATCAGTGCACTTATCGTCGAGGGTGTCCACTCCCCACCTGTGTGCACTGTTATCTGTAGATATCTATACACCGTATGTATTATATATACCCTATAGACACTCTACAGATACTCTATAGACACTATGGACACTATAGACACTATAGACACTAGACACTCTATCTACTGGCTATACATAGAATACATTGTAGACTGCATGCGTAGCAACACTGCACTTGCACTGTATACACGCTGTGCGTTATGTACACATTATATACGCTGTATACAAGTATGCATTGTGCATGCTGTGTGCTCTCTGCGCGTTGTATGCGCTATGCATGCTGCACAGTATGTGCACTGTGTGCGCATCTGCGGTGCATACACTCGCTGATGCCGCCAAGCGCAGCCTGGTGTCCCTAGAGCCCTAGCAACACATCCCTAGCAACAGGCAACCTCAGCCACCTGTCCTGCGCATATATGCGCACTCTGAACACCTGCATCTCTGGACACCCCTACACTAACTGCACTATGCACGCCGCAACTACACTATATTTGTACACTATACATTATACTATATGCTATATGCTATACACTATACTATATGCTGTACGCTGTACATGCTCTGCACACTGCAGGCATATGCAGACACGTATGCACTCGGCACACCCCGCCGTCAGCACCAGCCGCCAGCATTTGCCACCAGCACTTGTGTGTGCCATACCAATATTATGTATTACACTATACTGCGCTATACTATATATACCACACTATGCTAACACTATATGCTAACCTACAACTAATACTATACTGTATACTATACTATATACTATAGTATATACTGTATAGTATATACTATACAGTATATGTTATACTGTATATACATACTATACATACTGTACTACATACTATACTATACATGCTGTACTATGCATGCCGTATTGTACACACTATATGCCATACCCACTGCACACACGCTGGATGCGGCCTGTAGGTCTGCTGCTGACATAATGCACACCCATGTGCGCACCCCCTACTACCCTGCGCCCGCCTTAGCCCCTTCTAGCCCCGCCCCACACTAGCCCCCTCTCCATGCGCTAGCCGCTCTAGCACCGCCCCTTCCGCCCCTTCCGCCCTAGCCGCTCATGCGCATACACCGCGCATAGACACGCAGTCGCTGCTGCGTCCACTCCCAATCCGCTACGGCTTCCCGATCCGTCCATCCTCCTTCCGAATCCGGCCCCCCTCTCACCCACTTTCCCCTCTGCGCTACTCACCGCGCATCCACCGCCCCCGCTGCGCATCCACACGCATACACTCCGCATACACTCCACATGCACCGCATACACTGCGCATACATTGCGCATATATCCCGCATACACCACGCATACACCCACCACGCATTGCCCACCGCTCTCCTGCTTTCCTGCTTTCCTCTTGTTCGGCCCTTATCGCTTATCCTGCTGCCCCTTCCCACTTCCGCTCCGGTGCGCTTTCGCTAGCCGCACTTATAACCCCGACTATCGTGCCTAAGCTCACCAATGCCGTCTAATCGGCACAGAGTTTAGCTTTGACGCCTCACAAGCTAAGTCCGCGTAGTCCGCGTAAGTTCCACTGCCCTCATCCTCTGCTGACTTCTTCAGTGCCACTTGTAACCACTGCCGAGACCCTCGGCAACCCCTCTGACCCTCTGGATGGCGCCAGGAAAATGGATCCCTCCTCGCCCTCTGACGACTACTATCCTTCGCGCGCTCCCCTCGCTTCCGTAACCTCCACCCTCCCTCCCGTTGCTCCTCCGACTTCCGGTTCTTCTGGCTCCGCTGGCCCCATCGCTCCCGTCGCTACTGCCGCTGTCGGCATTACTGCTGTCTCTGTCCCCGGTATATCAAGCATCTCTGCCGTGCCTGCCCAGTCTTCCGGTCCTCCCGACCAGCGCTGGTCGGCCTATAGCCGCCCGGCCCTCGGAGAGGGCCTTAAACACGGTGCATTCGAGCATGATTCTGGCTCCTTTGCTGGTCTGCCTCCGCTCTCACAGGCCTTCAGTACCTACCCGCAGTACCCGCGCTACGTCGACAGTGCCTATGTGGGCCAGAGCCACGGGACTGGGCGTGGAGCGCCATATGGTGAGTGAGCCGCACACTGACGGTGAGGCTGAGATAGCAGGGGGAGAGGTACACGGATACTTTGCACTGAACCGCGCCAACGAAGACGTCTTCTCAGCACCGCACTATATGAGCCCGCCGCAGACAGGTGCGCCGCCGCTGCCGGCGCTGCCGCCGGTGGCGGGCACGGGGTATCCGGCGGCAGTGGAGACGCGGTTGCCAATGAACGGGCAGGGACAGCGGGCGCCGACATACTCGGCGGTCGGGCCGATCATACCGGATCCACTGTCCACACAACATTTCTGGTCGAATTACACGGTCCACGGGCACACGGTGGCAGAGCGGCAAGCAGGGAACGGGTTTCGGGCAGCGTCACCAGTCGGCATGGCCAGTCAGGCGCCGGCAACGCTGCCGCCAGCAGCGCCAATGACATACAAGGCGCCGGCAAAAGTTAAGCAGATCTACTCGTTTGTACCGCTGCCCGGAGCACAGACACAGAAGCGACCGCGGCGACGGTACGATGAGATTGAGCGGATATACCAGTGCGGGTGGAATGGGTGTGAGAAGGCGTATGGGACGCTGAACCACCTGAACGCACATGTCTTTATGCAAGGACACGGCGAGAAGCGGACGCCAGACGGTAAGGCAAAAAGGGCGGCGGAGAGAGCTAACAGTACAGAGTTCAAGGAAATCCGGGCGCAGTGGCGTGCAAAGAAGAAGGAGGAGGGCAAGAAGAAGCAGGCGGAGGAGCAGGAGGAACAGAAGCAGCGGGCGGCAACGCCGCCGCTGAGAGAGCCGCGCGCAGCGGAAAGCCAGACACACACAGCGAGCATGGGGCAAGTGGTGTATACGCCGCTGCCGAATATGTACCCGTATGGGGGGAATCAGCAAGCACCGCAGGCAGAGCAGGCGCAGCACGCGTACTCGATGCAGACGTACCATGCGTCTATACTGCCGCATCTGAACCAGTACACGGCGCAGCCGCAGGCCTATGCAAGCAGCAGAGAGTACAAGCCGCATACGGAGGAGGAGGACCGGGATGCAGAGGGGGAGCCGGATCCCGAGACCTCTGGATGACGTCTGGATACCTCTAGATACCTCTGGATAGCTTGTGGATAGAATATGAAATGTGGAATGTTGATTGGAGAGCATGGTTTTTTGTTTGAAAAAGCATTGAGATTATACCTATTTATATATTGTGAATATGATATATACTCGGTTTTGTCCTTTGGTATTGTTGGGGAGTTATTTTATATGAAACCAATGTACTTTGTAAATTGAGAGATGTTTGACAATGTCAATTTATTGATAGATAATATTTAAGATTTTGATGAGAGGTACTCTGTTAGATATTCACAAATTTATTATATATATATATTACATAGAGAATTATAAGAATTATAAGAACTGCATTAATTCTAAAGAAATGCTGGCGAAAATAATACATATATTAAATTTAGAATACAGAGGGATCACCATCTCCTAGTAGAGCTCAAAGACGCGTTTGAGCCGGACCATGAGCAGTGTCCTCGGTAATTGCTTGAATGCTTATTGCCGTAATTGATTCTGGACATTTCTACCAAAGCAGAAGGGATTTCCTGCTTAGAATCTCGCAAGACCATCATGAGGTCACGAGCCTGTTTTGCGTTATCTGTGGTGAAAAGAGTTACAGCGGTTCCTTTGGCACCTGCTCGACCTGTACGACCTATTCGATGAACATAGTCTTCCAAACTATTTGGGTAATCGTAATTAATGACCTACGCCAATGTTAACAAAAAGAATCAAGTCAATACCATTCCAAACATATTTAACATCTTTAATATCTAAAACCATATTAGTCATTAAATAAAGCTCAAGTTGCCCCTGTTCACGTTGATCGCTCTCTTAATCTCATGAATACGGTAGATATAAAAAGCCGCAAGCACATGGCCATGCACAGTAACATAACGGATTTTTCGTATAACAGACGATTTATAATCCATCCAATGTTTTTTCTGGGAACAGCCATATTACCCATTAAAACTGAAACAAATTTATGATACTGTGCTTTTAAAACCTACTGTTGTGCGTAATGCATTAATACCCATTAAAACGACACCCAATAATGGCAAACATGAGAAAATTATACGAAAGAGAGAGCAAAATCCCAGCAAAAGGGAAAAAGATAAATTCATACCAATACCGCGTGATGCTACATCAGTTGCAACCATAATAGGAGATTTTCCCGTTTTAAATTCATTCAAAACCCAGTCACGCTCACTCTGTTGTTTATCACCATGAATTGCCAATGCAGGCCATCCATCCTGCCGTAAATACTTCGTAATATCATCTGCAATCTTTTTGGTTGCCACAAAAATCAGTATCCTATTTTCCTTATCCTCCATAGCGTATTCCAAATGCTTAATTAACCTAATTGCCGATAAACTACAAAAATACAAAATAAAGATAACCAACTTTCCACGTTTATCATATTCGGAGCATATTTCAACAATTTGTTTAATATCCATATTAACATTAAGATCCAAAGAGCCAATGTTAACTTGAAGAAAGTTCTTTAAATAATCATGTGCCAGCTTTTGCACATCCTTTGGCCATGTTGCAGACCACATTAGTGTTTGACGATCAGGTCGTATTTGATCTACAATTTTCCGAATTTGAGGCTCAAAACCCATATCAAGCATTCTATCCGCCTCATCTAAAACAAGATATGTAACCCTTCGAAGATTTGTTTTACCGGATTCTAGCATATCAAGAAGACGACCAGGAGTAGCAATACATATTTCAACACCTATCGAAAATATTAACCATTATACAGGAATAAACAAATAAAAACCCGAAGCAAGATCCCGAATCTGAGGACCACGAGGAACACCACCGTAGATGCATGTACTTCTAATTCGAGATGATTTACCGTACTTAGCACATTCGGTCTGAATTTGAACAGCAAGTTCACGAGTAGGTGCAAGTACTAAAACAATAGGGCCATCACCCTTAGACAATAAAGGTTGCGCATTAATATGTACAATAGCAGGAAGACAAAATGCAAGTGTTTTTCCTGATCCTGTTGCTGAAATTCCTACCACATCTCGTCCTGAAAGCGCCTAAATAATCAGAATACAGAAACAAAATATCCATCGAATACCATAGGCCACCCTTGGGACTGGATAGGCGTAGGCGATGCAAAACCCATACGTTTGACCTCATTCATCACATAATTTGGGAATCCTGCTTCCTAAAACGTGTGTTAAAACATTTAATATAAATGTAGAAATAAACATCAAACGAAGGGACCGGCTTAGGGATATTAACTCCTTGAACAGTAACTTGTCCTTTTCTCCGAAATTCTTCTACTTGTTGTTCTGTCATTTTTTCAACATTTGGATGAGGTTTATAAAAATTCTTTTCAAATTTCGGTAAAGAACTTAAATCTTTTCAAAGTTAAGTATTATTGCATCAGATCTTATACACATCATACCCCAATGTGGTTTTTTTAACTTTTCATCAAATCTTGATCGTCTACCAAAATTTTTGTTTTCTTCACCACGTCTATCATAACTATTGCCACGATATAATCGCTCAGAACTATTTGAGGGCCTATAACCCCTATCATACGTATTTCTACATTTTTATCAATCCATTTTCTTTCTTTCTCGTCTATAGATTACATTGACCCATATTCATAGTTATTTGCGCTATTATAACCATTCATACGATTTTCTCCATAAAATGTGTTATGATTACTATATTCCATTGAACAGTCTTCAAAAACGTTAATATAGACAATAATTCAGCACAAAAAACAAATATTTTACACTCATTCAGCTAATGGAAAAAATTTGTGATGAAATGATTTGCGAAAGAAAAATGAGTTAAATAACAAAAATATCAAACAATAAAAAAGTAAAGAAAAAGAATTAAATATGAATATATTTTTCATAAATTCAAAAAAATATATGAGCAAGTATAATTTATATGTGATTTATATATATTTTATATATACATTTTGAAAATTAAAAAATAAAAAATAGTCAAAAAATGAACAAAAATGATATATATATATTATGTTCTTTATTTAATATCGTTATAAATTTTTCTGTAATTATATTTGTATTTTTCTAAATAGAATAGGTTTTTTAACTGAAAATATGTAAGAATGATAAATTAATAAATTTAAGATAAAAAAATATATAAAAAAATAAAAAAAGGAAAAATAGTTTAAAACAAAAAAAAATTGTATGTATATAAAAATACATATTTTAACTGTTTTTAATTTATATTTTTTTTTATTAAAAATAAATTTGTTTTATAAATAATCACTTGTAAATATATAAAAAAACAAAGATTACGAAAAAATGCTGTTAACTAAAAATATTGAATACAGAATTTACACAAAATTTATATATTCATTTTAATCGTATATATTTAAATGTTTAAAACATAGCACTAAACAATCAATAAATTAAAAGATATAAAAAAACCATATAATCATACAAAATTAGAAAATACTATTATTTTTGTAAAGTTGTATTTAATAAAAATAACAAAAAACAAAATTCAGTATATTTTTCATCCAAATCAAATATAGAAAATAATTAACTAAAAAAAAACGAAAATACTTTTTATAAAATGAACATATCATAAATTTTATTATATTATAAAATAATCAATTCTTCTAAAAAGTTTTTAATAAAAACTACACAAAATATTATTCGTAACATCTTTACGTTGAGGAATTAAAAGATATGAAATTTAAATTTTCTTAATTTAAATAATAAAAAACATTACTCGAAGAATGAAATAATGAATGCAGTAGTCCCTGGTATTCACTTAAGAGATTTTTCAAAAGTTCTTCTTTGTCTCTCAAAAATTGGTGATGAATTATCTATTGAAACTCGAAAAAACAAGGTAAAAAAATCTATATAATACTACATAAATAATATAATGAATAGGTACTTTTATCGTCTTTGAATATTTCAAAATCAGCATTTGGCCTTATTACTCTTGATTGTTCAAAATTTTTTGAAAAATATGAATATCTTCCATATGAGTCATCTGAAACATCAAAAAATAGTCAAGCATTGAAGTGTAAAGTACAAATACGAGTATGAAATTCCGATATATACCTTAAAATAACAGAATATTTAGCTACTTCTTGCAATATTTAAGCATCGCAACTTGGAAAATAAAGATACTAAAAGCGTTTCCGTTCAAAAATGTGAATTAAAATTAATACCTCCAAACAATTTAGAAGTAGAGTGTCGTTTTATTATACGGTTTTTATGTAAACATAGTATGCTGTAATTGTTTGAAAACCAAATCTCAATTTAACAGATGTATTAAAAACATACAAAATAACTTATGAACAATCTCAAGCAATGCATGCAGTATGTAACAAGTCTTCATGTAAAAATAGTTGGAAAATAAATTCACGAATATTCAAAGAACATTTAGATCATTTTTCAGCACGTGCAGAAGAACTTACTTTAATGACACAAAATGATAAACTACTTTTAACGAGTTTTACTGAAGGAATAATTCATAATAAAGGTATCTATTTATATCAAAAAATTAAAAAAAGAAATAACCTTTTATAGAGATTTTAAAACAACCAATACAAACGGCAATTTTGTTAGATAAAAGAGATTTCGAAGAAATAAATTTTGAAGAACAATCAATCATAACATTTCCTCTTAAAGAATTTAAGGTATGTAAGTAATTTAGGAGACTAAATTTTAAATGAAAGGCTATTGTAATTCTTGGAGACTCAATGAGTACAATATTAAACGCTTATTTCAACACTGGAGGTGAACCTATTTTATTTGAATTCGAAAAAGACGCTCTTTCAATTCGATTCATTCTCGCAACAACATCTGAAAATATACAAGAAAATCCATCAACATTTAACTGGAATAAACCCGTTAATTCAAATAATTCTGATCAGCACTCACAAAACTATACTCAAGTAAATGACATACAGCTTTCTAAAAATGAAAATATTTTAAACAATGAAACAAACAATAATGTAGAAAACTATAAAAATAATACATATAATCATAAAAAATTTGAGGATTCAACTCCAGAAGTAAGAAACACATGACAAACTAATATATTTAATCTATTTAGAATATTTTAAATATAAACAACATAATTGAAAATAACGAAAATTCTGAATATAAATTCAAAAATATCCATTTTAGCGAAAAAATAGAAAAAGATAATGCAGATTCATTAATGGAAGAAATAAATTCTGATGATGAAGAAGTAGGACCTACACAACAACTAAGCATTAAAGGTATATTCGATTAAAATATTATTAGTCCTTAAATACAAAAAATATTTACTATATGATAAAATTTAGAAAATGCCATATATATATATTTCAGTAGCAATATTATGAAGATTGCATTTTTCTAATTTTTTCTTCCAACATCTGAACATATTTATGTTCATTTTCACTAAAATATTTAGAATATTTAATAATATTACAACGTATACGATTCCCAGCTAAAATTATATCCTGTCTTTTACATTTATCTTTTATATAAGTTAAAGAAGTTAATGATTCAAAATCAAGTTGCCGTAATATATCAAATAAGTCTAAAATAACACTTTTAGAACCAATATGTGTAGCTATTTCTATAAATAAATCAACTATATCTATTTTTATTTTTATTTTAAATTGTAACGAAATTCTTAATATAATTTTCGCTATAATATAATCATGAAAAGTCTTGTTTTTACTACAAGCTTTCATATAAAACAATACTGAATCAAGATTTAAATTATTATATCTTTGTATTGTATCTTGAATCTCTTTGTCAATATTACTTTTTAGTTTAGTACGTAAAAATAGCCGAAAATAATTATAACAATTATTATTATCAGGAAAAAAATCATAATTATTAATTATGAAATCCCAATACTTTATTCCCAAATATTCTTTCTTCAAAAGAAAACATGTTAACAATATAATATTTAAACTTTTATTACCAATTTTAATATTGTTAAAAAACGATAAAGATTGAGATAAATCAATATTATCTAAAAACATATTCTTGTTCCTTTTCAAAGGTGGTTCCAATCTTTTTATACCAAAAAAAAACTCCATTAATGTAAAAACAAAATCATAATCTTCAAGATTTTTTCCACGAAGAAAAGAACGAGCTATTGAACATACTAAGGACTCATCCACAGTAAAACACCTCATCTTCCATGACTTAATAATTTGTTTTATCATTTTCTTCCTTAAATCATATATGTCTATATTTTTCATATCTTTATAACTCAGAATATTAAATAAAATAGTATATGTTATATTATCTGCAGCAAGGTTGTTATCAGAAATCCCTTGAAAAATTTCAAACGCAATTTGAGGTTGTTTAGAAAGAGCACATACTTGAAGTATTGCATTGGTATGAATAATACTCAAACGATCAACATACTTAGATGAACACAATGATTTATAAATATATAAAGCATAAGAAGCACTCTTAGGATATTGTATATTCTTAGAAAACCCATGCAACAAAATAGTAAATGTCTGTGCATTCGGAAAATGTGCTCTTTTCTTCATCTAGAAATAATCTATTGATATTCAAAGTACAGTTTAATCAGTAACGTACTTCATTAAAATACTTTAAACCAAGAGAGACTTTGCCAGAATTCATGCAATAATCAATAATATGATTCCATGCAACTGTACAAAAAACATTTCGAGTATGATTACGTACTCTTATAACAGCATCTATAATATTTCCTTTATTTAATAATATTTTAACATTTTTTGACAATATATAAGGATCATTATCTAATTTCTTATATTTTCCAATATATTCCAAACTTTTCTGAGCAAAACCTTTAAATCTTCTAGGCATTCTTTTTTTTAATTTTTAAAAAATTGAAAAACTTTTACTTTTTTCTCATCTAGAAAAAACTTAGTATTCTATCAACAATATTTACTATTTGCAAACATAGAAAAAAAACATCATTTTCCTTAGAGTTTAAAGATAAAAAGGTTTATTTTTCCTAGTAATTTATTATTTTCAATTAATATTAAATAAATATCCAAAATTTTCATAAAGAATATATAAAAAATTAAAAAAAAAACTTCAAAAAGTAGTACAAAAAAATATTAAAATAATTCAGATCATATCTTGTTTACATAGATCAACAATATCATTTTAAAAGTAATCAAAGACAAATTAAAAATATTTACAAATGCAAATTCAATCAAAAATCCTATTCTTCAAATTCCTTAAACATAATAATACAAAATAAAACACAAAGTAGAAATATATATACGCTAATCAACAATAAACCATTTTCAACGAATATTTTACATAAAATTTTGAAAAAAGCTTCAAATAATCTAAAATAACAATATTTAAAAGATAACACTTAATAACTATAAGCACATAAAAAATTAAACTCTTATATGATTTATCATTGTTAGTTATAGCTAAATACAGTTTGAAAAGCAAGAAGGCATCTATATATTGTTAATCATATGAAGTATACTATTTCATTATTATATCTTCAACCTAATAATCTTAAAAAGCTATCCAAAAAAAAGAATTGAAAAATATGAATAAAACTCAAACAATTATTTAGATAATACTGACAAGTAAAAGTAATCTCAGTTCTTACAAAATAAAAATCAAAGTATTTATATACGAATCATATAACAAAATTAATATCCTATTTATAAGTTTTGAAAAGATTGTTTATACAATATATCGCCAAACCCCAGTTAATAACAATGCTTTTAGCGTATCGTATTTTGCAATTTTATCTATGTCAAATGTTTTTATAATGCAATGGCAAATGTCAAAAGGAAAAATCAATAAAATATTATTTATATTCAGGCCAATACTCATTAAAACAAACTGTTCATGACAAATTTAGCTTTGATAAAGAAAAACAACACTCGATTATTCAGGTTTACTCATGTTTAAATCATGATAACAAATTTACGACTCTATACTAAATTCTACTATTTTATCTTAAAAATAAAAGAATTAAAAAAATAAAAAAACATAAAAAAAGTAAAAGAAAAGTAAAAAACAGTAGAATTATACAAACATAATCCATTCCTCTTCAAAATTTCATATTTTTTGTTTACAATTACTTTTTCTAAATTTACATAATCTAATGAAAAAAAATATCTACATGAATCTTAAATTATCAACTATTACAACGATAGAGTAAGGCATAAAAAACAGAAATTCACTATCATAATACTTATCAATGTAATTTCACCTATTTCAAATCTATCATATGTTCTATTAATAATGCCATTACCGATACAAAATCTACACATATATAACTATCTAAAAACTAAATACAACCAATTTCTATGTATATTGTTCATATATCAAACTCTTAACTAATATACGTTTTTGGTAAAGTAATAGCTACAATAATTATTCAAATAAATAAATACATATTTTTTAGAAAAACTATTCTCTTATATAATAATTCATTCCGTTTTTTTAACTTCTACTCCTTTCTTTCTTTCTAAGTCTGTTTTTTTCCTACTATTATAATTTTTTCTCTATTATTCCTAATATCACTTTATAACTTTATATATAACCCTCTAAAAACTACTCAAATTCCACAAACATGTCAAAAACATCATAATATCTTCAAATCTTCATATACTTTTTCCTGATAAGATAACCCAAACGCTGTTTCGTGATCCATCAGAGTGCGCGAATCCACCGAGACAACTACACAAAATGTACTCTACTCTGCGTTCACGGTTGCGTTTCCGGCGTAACCGCTCTTTTCCACTTTTCCTCAACTTTTCTTCTTTTAAATCTCATTTTTCTCCTATTAATTTATTTTCATCATTTGATACAGCCTCAGCAGGTTCTATTGGCTTTTTCAGCAATCTTATCAACAATACAAAGTCTATTGACAATACTTTTGAAAGCCCAGATAGTATTAATGAAGAATCGCTTGATTTAACAGAACGTGCAGTAAAGGTAAAGTTTTGCACAAGTTGTGCAAGATATTGAAAATATTTATTCAGGATAATTAACAATAATAGCAACTTATACATATTGCTAGCCAGGAAAACAATCCACGGTTGTTATTACGTGTCCTTACAGAAAGTGGTGGATGTCATGGTTATCAAAATACATTTAGTCTTACAGAAGAAATACATCCAGATGACAGGTAAGTTATACATAAGATGAAAATATGTTATAAAAACATATACCATTATTTCAAACAAACAACAGAGGATATAAGAAAAAACAGAATAACAGAATATAATATTGGAATGATAAGAATACTTATATATTTAAAGGATATTTGAAAAAAACGGAGCACGGGTTGTGATTGACCGTATCAGTCTTGATCTGATCAATGGTTCAAAAATTGACTATGTATCAGAACTTATTGGAGCATCTTTTAAGGTGATTGATAATCCTCTTGCAAAATCTATATGTGGGTAAGAAGGAAATTTTTATGTTTTGTGTTTTTAACAAGGTGTACTAGCTGTGAAGTTTCTTTTGACATTAAAACACCTAAAAAAAAACAAAAACTGTAAAGGTGTGTATATTACAAATTAAGAAAAAAAAGTATATTTTGAAAGATCGAAACTTAATACATTGACCAGAATATCTATCTTAACATAATGATGAATGTGTCATCTAACACATTTTCCGGATCAAACTATTAATATTTTCTTCACGGTTTCCTGAATCACCACCTTCAACATAATTTTTAAACTTTCTTGCTCTCCAACCACCATTTGGATTGCTAAGTTTAAATGGCCACAAAAAATTCGAAACCTAGTATTAAAAAAAAACAAATCAATATGATAAACACAAATAATGTAATGATCAAAAACGTACTTGTTTGAAATTCGGGCCACATGTAAAAATTTCATGGATTATGTCTTCAATTGCAATAATACCATATTTACCAAGATTATCTTCAATCAATGAATTATCCGTTAATGGAATACGTTGTTTATTAATTTTCCCATATCCACGTTTATAAATAAGCTCGCGAATAGATTTAAGATTAGGTTCACCATAAGTTACATAACTAAACTCAATATTAAAAACAAATGCAAGTTAAGAAAGCGTACGGCTCAATAAGTCGAAGCATATTTGCTGTAGCTTTGGTCATCCTAATAAATACTCCATTGTTAATCTGAAGAAGACGGAAAAGCTGTAAAATTTTCTTTGGTTTAGGCGGAATTTTGTTAATACTAAAAATGTATTTAAAACATTATATTCAAATAAATCCGCTTATACCCTTTAATTCGAATAACAAAAACAACTTTTGGCTCAGCATCAACATAAAAATAACCTTCTTTTCTTGATAATCTTCTCAAACGAATAAGTTCCCGTTCATTATCCAAATATTCTTTAACGTATTGCTCTGCACGCTTAAAAATAATTTGTCTTTTAGACTTTTTATCCTTTTAAATAATTAGTTTCCGAAAATATTTATTTCTTCAAAAGAAAATAATAGCAATTTTTCAATAATGTTTACAGTTCAGTCCCGAAAGATGGTATAAAAGGTAGCAACATTGTATACACTAGCTTGCCTTATTATATAGACGTCATCACTATTGCAAACACTATTGAAAAACTACTACAAAGAAGAATACCTTCTTTCTTGCAGCTATTTGGGCCTTCTTTTCAAGATCCTGCTTATTGATTGATTTCCTCTTTTTTAAGAGTGTCTCAGGAACATAATTTTCACTGTCAACATGCATCTCACTATAAAAATAGTCAAAATCAATATCTAAAGAACATAAAAGTGATCGATGATCCTAGCACACAAAACTAATGTATTAACTTTCTTAAATCCAAAGCAACAATAGAACGTTTGAACATATTATATTTCATATGACCAAAATCTATATTTTTTGCCAAAGAGCCAAAAAAACCAAAAAACACATATATTTACAATAAAAAAAGGAAAATATACTCTGCATTTCTATCATTACCCTAAGTTATTCAGTATACAGATTCTAATATTCATAGTATTATTTCTAATTTACGCCGTTTTTGTTGCTTCAAACGCCAAAATAAATAATTATAAAAACAAAAACCTTTTCTCAATGACCACTCATAAAATACTTGCCTTGAAACCATGATTTTTTTAAGTTATTTTTTTCTTTACAAAAAACTAAATTATATAAGCGTTCAAGTCAATCGAGGATCTTAACGTGACTACAACTTCAACCCTGATTAAGGGTTTAACCCTAAGCAAAACCTTAACTAAAAGCTCAAATACAAAAGAATTAAAGAGCTATTTGAATAGCCTATAAAAGAAATATATAAGACTATCAAATGGATTTCAAAAGGAAAAACAATTATTTCTTAATATTAAATTTTATAAAAAATAGAGGTATAAAAACATAAAAAATCAAAATTAAAGTAAGAAATAATATATTTTAGGACAAGCTTAAAATACATATTAAACATATTTCATTCTTACATAAAATATTATATTTATTAATTTTGTTTTAATACAAAAATAAGTACCCATGGTAAAAACAAGAATAAAATAATTTTTTTGTTCCAAGTCCATAAAAGTAAAAACATCCAATAAAAACCATTGTATTATTTCATAAGATAGATCCGTTTTTAACAATTTAAATAAAATGCCAACAATTCCAATATAACATTTCAAACAATAACATTTTATGTCATAAAAAATCAAACAATAACTATATAGAAAACCTAAATATTAAAATCATTCATAATATGATCAGTTATATAAATATTGGAAATAATTCCAAATTTCCAAAAATCAAAAACTGTAATAAACATACATGTATACTATAAGACAATCTAAAATCTCATGATAACCACAATTCAAAAAATATATTCATTTAGTGCTAACCAAGATGAAAAAAAGAAAAATTATTTCTATTATAAAAACTTATGTAACGATTGCCTAAAAATATAGTAAATCACAATATCATAAAATACAATAAAAATGTTATTTTAAAAAAGCAAGATAATAACATATAAAATAACATACCTTAATCCCAAGACAAATCTTTTAGTGTAACATGTTTATCAGTATCGTCATGATCAGCTTGATTAGAGCGTACTTTTAACGATGGAAAAGATGTTTTCATATAATTCCTCATAACACTCGAAAACTCTTCAATCTATTATGCCTTTTTAGACTAATTAAAAACAAAACATTAACCATTACATTTTTGACTTTCAGCGCCCTTGAAACAGTAACAATGCTTAAACCAAATATTCCAATACAAATAAGAGTACTAATGCCCAATGCCTTCATCCCAAAAAGCACATTTTTTAGTGATAAATCAGATGGTTTTACTATATTTTATGGTCAATTTAAAAAAAAAATTAAACAGATAAATACATCTTGTATATTTATATGAAAACCCTAAACCCAATGCAAGAAACACAGTTGAAGCATATAATAGACGTTTGCATCGCTTTTCCTGATCATATTCAGACATTTTTTATATCCTAAAACCTATATTTTAACCAGTATATAATATTTTTTCTATTCAAAATTCGATGATTAATTCTTATGAGATTCTCACATAGCAACTGTCACCAATAATGTATCACGATATGAACGACATATGGGAAGACGATATAGATGAGCCAACAAATGGACAGAGTTGGGAATTTGGAGAAAAACTAGCTTTAAGCAATATAATTAATTGTCATTTTAATGTTTTTTTCCTTTAGTTTTTTTTTTAAATTTTAAAATAACATATTTAGCAAGGCTATTTAAAAGGTATAATGCAAGCAAAAAAACTATATAGTGCGTCAGGATTTGAAGAGAATTACAAAAAAAGTGCGTTATTAGGTGCTAAAGCAGGACGTCTCTTAGGTTTACTCGAAGGAATACAATTCTATCTTGAAAAACGTGGAGAAACAGGAGAAAATTTTGAAAATCTTAAAAAATGGATTAAAAAAGTAGAAAAAGAAATTGAAATTAACAAAATATTTTCGAAAGAGTTTTTGGAATTAAATGGATTATTGAAATATGATGAACACCCTATTTTAGAGGGATTTGAAGCAGAAATCATAAATTATTTAGAAGATATTAAACGTAATGAATATATTAATACAACAAAAAAAAATGACGAAAGTTTCAAATATTCACACTCACTATTTAATTATTAAGCTATTTCTAGTACTTAACATAAGATCATTAATACCTGTTATAGGTATATAACATTAGTATTTATTACTATATTTATCAACCTCATTGATATTCTCATATAAATAACTAAAAAATAATACTATATTACGCATTTTGAACCAAATATAAGTTAAATACAAATGATCAATATCAAGAAAAACGCTAGAAAAGCATAAATAAAACTCGAATAAGACACAAATCATATAAACTATGAAAAAATATGCAAAAATATATCTTTAACCTAGGAAAATATTAAACACGTACAAAAAGTATCAATCTTTTTCAGTTTTATAAAAACAATCAAAAGATTATTGATCATGCAAAAAAACATAAAACATTTAAAAATATAGCAATATAACTAACCCAAAGAAGCAATACGGCCTAATCATATTCAACACAAATTCTCAATATATGCCCCTCTAACCAATTTAAATAAAGCAAACATATAAAAATAATTTAAAAAATCTAATTTTCAAATTTTGTCATTTTTGATGAAATATTGCCTAGTTTTTCAAGTCTATCAGTACGCCAATTTTCATACAAAACTTCTTTGCAAAATTCTCGCATTTCATTTCTCCATTCTCCAAAGACCATTTCTTTTAATAAAAGAAAGTCACAATGTTTTTTATTCAACGGATCAGCTTTTCCCCAAGGATATTCTCTACACACTTCAGCCACAGTCTTTGTTTTAAAATGAAAAGATTGTTTTTGCATCTTATCAGGTGACATACAACCAAAAGGCAGTAAATTACGTGCTTCATCGTAATTTTCTTCTTGACTACAATTAGAAATTGATATGTCTTTTGAGTCATCATCATGATTTTCTCCATCTCCAAGAAATTCTAAAAAATTCATAGCATTTTTCTCCATTTCTTTTCTCCATACATATTTTATATTCTCAACGCGATATTTTGTACACGTATCCACTTTAGATATAATAGGAATAATCGTGGTATACTTGCTTAATCTTTTTATAATCAAAATATCTAGTGGATCTACCGATGTATCATATTGAAAATAAGGAGACATTGGATCTATCAAATAAAATACACAATGAATATGTGTATCAATATTTTTATGTGGCCGCTTAACTTTGGTTTCCTAAGCTTATCAATTTTATGTTTTTTTATCAACTTTTTTCATATAACGCTCCTAATTAACCATGAATACACAATTTCATATAAACAATAAAAACAACTATAATATATAAAATTGGGAGCATCGTATCTGAAAAAAGCAAATAATTAAAAAACAAATACGTACCTCCAAAAACGTTTCTTCAAACTTACTTTCTAAAAACAACCTTATCTCATCCATTTGAAGATCAACAATTTTAGCATCTCTTGCTATATCAAATCCACGACTATCCCATAAAGTCACTGCAATACGTTCCCCATTTATTTCTCCATCCGCAAAATAACTAACAAATTCTTGATTCAATTGATCTTCATGTTTAATCACCTCATCTGCGTCTAAAGAATGCCGATCTCTCACTGTATCCAATTGATCACGAAGAAACTCAATAAAACTAGTCTTCCCAGATCCATGAAGTCCAATAACCAAGACATTAAACGGTGTTGGGTCTCGCCGACGTCGAAGACGAAGAGGAGAATTTGTTGGTGTAATTTCAACAGAATAACGCGGATTTAACGGAGAAGTTGATGCACTCCTAGCTCCTGACTTATTAAGAGCTGGAGTCATAGGAGAATTTTCTTGACGCTCTTCATTATCCGCTACTGATAAGTGAAATATTTGTTCCAGTATCATACCAATAAAAATAGGATTTTAAACAAATATTTTAAAAAATAAAAACGAAATAATATGTTATCTACAAGAATTAAAAAAATTTAGTGAAGTAAAAAGATTTGTTTTACCCTTAAAGTCTTAAATTTGACGTCTTAAATATTATTTTTCTATCAAACAATGAATTTTTATCGAGATAAGATTAATGTTAGGAATTAAATAAATAAATAAACAAGGTAAAATGTAGAAATATAGTATAAATAGCAAATAAAGTAAAAAAAATAAAAAATATTTTTTTATTTTTAGAACAAACAATAAAAAAATTAAAATATAATATATATTAAAATTTATAGTTGAATCCAAAAATTATGTAATTTCACAATGCGAGAAACAATTTTAGATTCAATTTCTATTCCTTCATCAGATTCAGCCTGGCTTAACCTTATCCAAGACTCTTCTGTATCTGTAACGAAAACAACTTCATACTTGCGCTTCATTAACAAATTACCAATAACTAATCGATGTCTATAACGCTGAAGCGATGCCCTTGCTCTTGAAATAAGAAGATTTGTATCTGTTTCCAACTGGAAGAATCAGTGCATCATAATATAGAAAAAAAACGAAAAAAGTACTTTGAAGCTCACAATATTAGCGTGAGGTGCCCATTTTTCAACAAGTCCCGCCAAAAATTTAGGCACTGGATCAAATTCAATTACAAGACGTTTTTCTGGGAATTCACTATGTATTTTGTGATCATTGATCCTCTCAGGGGGAATAAAAAAATCTGATACAGCAGCAGCAAGATAAAAAACAGCATTTTTTGAAAGTGGCCGGAAATTAATAGCAATCATACGTAGATAAAACAAGTATTCAGTAATTGTGAAAAAAGGAACCATTAAAAGTTTATTATTTAGTTTAGCCTTCAAAAATAAAATAAACGAAAAATAAATATTTAACTTACATCTTGATACTGTCTTAAATCCTGAATCATTTTTTCCCTATATTTAGCTTTAACTAGAACTCGTTAATAATTCTAAGCTATAAATATAAATGTATTTGCCTATAACATTGGAATCCTGTGTTTCTTCAAAATAGTCAAAAAAATCATCTTTACCATAATAATAGGATCTTGAATATGGAAGAAAACTATATTGTCGATATAGAAAAATAACAGAGTAGCCAAACTTAATAAAATATTCAGTGCTAGTAGATCCTCTTGTTCCTGCAGAGAAATTATCCAAAAATCGAACAGGCTGACTCTCCAATGGTACAGCTGTACCACCAGACTTCCTATTTATTAAAATAAACTCTAATCAATAGTAAAAAACACCAAACCGTCACTAAAACCACACGTTTATCATTTTTTAATTGAATATTAACAAATTCTTCAACTTTTTGTTCCCATTCTTTTAATAAAGCTGGTTCTTGATTATTTTCAAAATAAAATTCATTCATTTTATAAATAGAAAAACTTTTTAATTATTTCAAATGAAATTTATCAAGATTTTAAATTAAAGCAGTAATATTCATCAAAAATATCTTGATTAAAGAGACCTAAAGCTTCTGAATACTAAATGAATAAAGTTTATCGAAAAACATTCAAAATATGAAAAAAATTAAAAAAGAATGATTATATTTAGCATTATTTTATTAAGAATATTTTTTAAAATATTAAATATATAACTTATTTAACATGCCAACTTTCCATGCTTTTAATGGGAGTCTTTGTAATTTTTCAATTGAAGGTTTTATAAATAAAAAAAAAAGCAAAGTCCCAATAAAAACTGAAAAAATATTAACAACATAGTACCCATCAATATTTTTAATGCAATGGCCATCGAGTTTTTTACATGCGCTGATGTCATCATGGGTTTTACATAAATTTGCAGTATTTCTTGAACAGTAAGATTTTGTAAAGAAATCCATTCCCTCAAGAATAAAATAACGAGGCCATGTCCCGCCTAAATTAGATACTGTATTAAGAAGCTATAAATCATAATTAACTACTTCATATTATAAATATATATAAGGATTTATACTGTCATATATGTTCCGCCAATCACTGGATCAGCAATCCGTGTATGAAATGCACTAATACTAATAAACTGAATTGTACTAAAACACAGTAAAAAAAAAATAATATATAGTATATACATACTTCATAAAGCCTGAAAAAATATTTTGTAATATAATAATATAAAAATACCCAGAATCGATTTTACCATCAGATGGAAACATATAAACAATAAATATACCTATGAAAGCAGATATTAGCCGTCCAATATGAGCATAAATCCATGGCAACAAGGGCTGAGATACGGAACTCCATCTTACAGCATAGTATCCAAAAATAAATTCAAATGGAAAATTAATTAATATAGCAACAGAAAGATCTTCTTTTTTTAGTCCTTTTTCAAGAAGTTTCAAATTCAAAGTAGCATCAGATGCAGTAAACCCAATTTTTGCAATAAGATGAACAAATATAAACAATCTAGCATCTATAAAAATTAGAAAACAATTAACGTATAAAAATAAAATTACGCCGAAGTTTCATAATATTACAAATAATTAAATAAACATTTTTAATACCACCAGACGGTCGTTTTCCTTTCTAATTATTATCAATTCAAAAGTAGACTTAAAAAAATGAAGAAAATACTGTTTCATTTTGAAAAAATGCTATAAATACAGTCGATATTAGAAAAACCCATCCCCAGAACCACATATATCCACTCAGTGTTATTAACCCAATATCCTTTTTAACAGAACGGAAATATTTATTAACAAATTCACTGGAATTAAATGCTAAAAAAACAGTAAAAGACATAAAATAACCAGTATTTAGTCCAATGCTTTGAGCTGTTGATGCATAAGCAAGGTTTTTCTCTGAAAGAAGTGTTAAAGCCCATCCTGAATAAAAATGGTTAATAAAAAATGACACAAATATAACATACAACCGCACCATCAACAACAATATCTTGTGTTGCACACAAAAAGACAAGAATAAAAAATGCAACAGTCATTTCTTTAAATAGTGTTGTAGCCTAAAAACATGTTTAACCTTTTATAATTACTTTATCACAATACGGTTACTTCTTCAAGCCATTTCTGAATGTTATAACTAATCCAAAGCAAACAAAGACCTATACTAGTTTGAACAGGAACAATCCAACTTTTACGTCGACCCCATTTCTCATTATAAACCGCATCCACGATTGGCGACCAAAGAAGTTTCAATGAATACGGATAAGATGTAAGAGAGAAGAAACCAAGAGACGTAAATGAAATGTGTGGTTGCAAAAGATAAGGTAAAGAACCCATCACTAGACCTAGTGGAATACCCTGAAGTAAATCTATAGTAATCAGCACTCATTCACAAGAGTTTCAGTCGCTAACAGCGACCACTCAAAAACTCCTGACGTACAAAGGAAAATAAGAAGAACAATAGATAACGAATTAGGCGCTTGCTTCTCTGAATCAGTGTTCTTAGACATCTCATCAAAACTCTCTGTCTTTTTAGACCCTAAAGAAGCACTTGCTCGCTGTCCTTTACCCACACACCGCCGAGACAGTGTTAGTTCAACAGAATCATGCTGGTGTCGCTTTTTACACATCGATAATACGTCTCGTCCTACTTCCTGCAGTGTCCACGCTAATAAACGAATATTCCGCATCAAAAATCCCATCTAAATGTTCCAGAACACTTCAAAGAAAGTAGAACTAAGTCCTAAAAGAACACTACCGTTATTGGTAATACAAAGTTTCCAAAATAAAGAACCAGAAATAAAAATTCAAGAAAAAAGACAAAAAATTAAAATAAAATCCAAAAAATCTAAGCGCTCCCGCCAGTAGCCTACAAGAATCTCGTGATAAACACTGATCTGGACTTTAAATAGTCACTGAACAAGCTTCTCAAGTCAAACTGTCTGAAATCTACAAATAAGAATAATGTTGATAAAATATTACTAAAAAAGAGCTTGAAAATTAATAATTCAGCAATTTATAATATTGATACAATAAATCCTTAAAAATCTTATTAAGAATCAATAAAAACAAGATAAAACCACAAATATATTAAAAGATCAAAAAGCAAACACGTCACCGTGATTACGCAACGATAAGTACTATTATATTCTAGATATCTAAAATATAAACCAGAAATAAAATACATAAGTAGAAAACCCACTTAAAACATACAAAAAATATACAAATAAACACTTATTTTCCATAAAAACATTAAAATATTCATCTATATTTAACCTAACCATATCCTAACACAATTTATATAGGGTTAAGACCTAAGAAGTCACATATTTACAATATCGAGATCAACATAGTCAACGTCATCAAAAAACTTAACATGGCGAGAGGACCGTAAGAGAATGATTTAGAAGGAAAACATGCTGAAAATATACAGGAAAAAACACCTGAAGCGTGTCAATGCACCGCATCACTGGATGGTTGATAAACTCGGTGGAACTTACGCACCACGACCATCACCGGGTCCACACAAATTGCGTGATTGTTTGCCGTTGATTATTTTCCTCCGGAATCGTCTTAAATATGCACTTAATAACCGTGAAACAATTGCTATTTTAATGCAGCGGCTTGTCAAAGTTGATGGCAAAGTGAGAACAGATCATACGTATCCGGCAGGTTTTATGGGTATGGGAAAAGCACCAAAATAGTGATTTTAAGGCCAATATTTGCATAGATGTAATTAGTATTGAACGTACGGGTGAAAATTTCCGTTTGGTTTATGATACAAAAGGTCGGTATATGATCCATCGTATTACATCAATGGAAGCCACGTATAAACTGTGCAAAATCAAAAAAGTCCAGTTAGGGCCGAAAGCAATACCATATGCTGTTACTCACGATGGCCGGACTATTGTATGTATTGATCAAATGCTTCTTATATTTCTGATTTCATTTTTACAGCGTTATCCGAACCCAGACATTCATGCTAATGACACCGTTAAATTTGACTTAGTGTCAAATAAAATTGACGGGCATATTCCTTTTGAAGTTGGAAAGCTTGCTATGGTGACAGGTGGTCGCTCTAAAGGAAGAGTTGGTCTAATTATTGATCGTGAACACCACAATGGTGGGTTTGACATTGTTCATATCAAAGATTCCTTGGATCATACTTTTGCAACACGTTTAAGTAATGTATTTGTGATTGGTGATATTTCAGGACCTTGGATTTCTTTGCCTAAAGGAAAGGGTCTTAAGCTGACAATTTCAGAAGAAAGAGATAGACGCCGAAACCTGCAAAATGCATAGTTGATCTTTTGTTACAAGGGAAACATATATTTCAATAACATATTTTAAAAAATAATTATTTCTTTTTGTATTTAATTCATTATATTTTCCATTGTCACAAAACATACAGAACAAAGCAGTTTTGTATATAAATATTTGATAAAACATATAAATTGTTTCTAATATATGGAAAATTACTGCACATCACTTTCTTTGTTCATAAAAATCTTATTTTATATAACTTATTTTACTATTTCATAAGATAAATTAAAAATATTGGAACAAGACTAAAGCCAATTTATCAACAGTACTACTATAACCAAAAGTTGGGTATTATCATACAAAGATTCTAACCATATGAATACTTAACGTAACAAAATGAAAACATGATCAAGTTCCTTATTAATTTAAATATGCTTAAAAATAATTCATAAACCCACTGCAAACATGATATTAAATTCTCACTTCATAAAAATCAAAAATTTTTATCTACGTCTTCGCATAATTTACCATTTTTTCTACAATTATTCAGCATTAGTAATATGATTTAGAAATACTCTACAAGCACCAATACTTCCGACAATGCCCATATTCTTATGTGGATTTCTGGAAACCCCATAATTCGATTTATTGGCCAAGGCTGTATCAGTAATATTTTGTTTAGAATTCGTTGTTCGAAATACTTGCTCTTTGCTAGGAGGTACCCAATTTGGATTTATCCCTCTCTGACTTATACTAGTGAAATGTGAACTAGTAGATTCAGCCGGTGATCTTAGTCTAGAAGGAGATCCCTGTCTTCGAAGACAATTATTACTTCGATAATTCTGATGTATACGACCATGATCATTCGAGGACTGTAAACGTTCTACATTATCCGGGAACCGATAATTAGCACTTTGATAAGAACGAGGAGCATAAGCATGATTTTGTGATACATAATTGTGTACTTGGAAATTGTTCTCACATGATTTATCAACGACCCATGCCTTATAATTTGAAGAAGAACCAGGTTGCCCTTCAACAGATCCTTCGGAAAATGTATACCCATTTTGTGATAATGGATAATTTTTCCATGATTGCCTTGGTGGAACATATTCATCGTATAAGTTATTGAAATTATCACAAGGCTTCCCTTTTTCAACAGAATCATATAAAGGCTTTGAATCACCTTCAGGTTCAACTCCATGACAAAGAGGCTTAGATGGAGGATATTGTGCAACTCTATGATTCGAATTTTGTTGAGAACGAGTTTGTGATACTGAATGTTCCTTTGAATGATCTTTTGAATGTTCTCTTGAATGCCCATTTACATGTTCTTTTAAGTGCTCCTTCTGAAATTCTCTAGGGTACTCCCTTATGAACTCTTTCGGATATTGCCTTGGATATTCTCTTGGATGTTCTCTCGAAAACTCTTTTGCAGGTTCTCTTGAATCTCTTAGAGGTTCTCTCGAAATATCAACTGAATGCTCTCTTGGATGATGTCTTGGAATATCTGTTGAATGATATCTCGAATGATATCTTGGATAATTTCTCAGGCGGTCTCTTGAAGGATCTCTAGAAAAATCCCTCGGCATATCAGTTGAATAATATCTTATATGACTTCTTGGATCTCTTGGATCCCTTGGACATTCTCTTGGATCTCTTGTAGATTCTCTTGGATCCCTCATATATTCCCTTGGGTTTCTATGTTCCCTTATATGTTCTCTTGGATCCCTAGAACGATATTTTGAATGCTCTTTTGAATGTTCATCAGAGGAAATCGTTCTTTCGCGAGAAACATCGTCTCGTCTTGAATGAGAATTATATACCCCATCATTATCTTTGTGCTTATCTTTATTATTTATATTTGAACACTGACCTGAAAAATGTGAATCAGAATGAGATTCTAAATTACAATATGCAGGATCTAAAAAATTTATAGAAGACATCTTATGATGATCGTCGAAATGAATATTAATAGGAGGCAGCTCCAATTTTTTCAAGTTAGATGTATAAGTTGTAGTATCATTATTAGAATGTTTTACAGAATCCAAATTAGATTTATTTTTATCAATACGTTCCTTTTCATTTTTTTTTTTTTTAACAGGAATATTTGGATGTCTAGGAGGAGGAAAACTTTTATATACAAAAGTAGACTCAGGACATCTTTGAGAATGATATGAAAAAGCTGTTTTGATTTTTTCTGTTTGAGAAACAGCAAGATGTTTTCTGGCAAGATGAACAAGACCTAAAATTATAAATTAAACAAAAAGCCTTATATAATAAAAAAAAATTAATTACCAAATACCAATGTGTTTAAAATCAAGGCAGCAAGTACACCCCAACTACCCCAATCCAAATGCGGAATAAAAAATAAAACATCAATAACAAAACTTAGCAAAGAAGCAAGAATAGCAAGCAATGAAACAATAAGAACAATAACCAAAAAAAATCCACTTTTACTGGGCCCCTCTATATGTGCAATCAATGAAAAAAAAAGTGTAATCATCGTTAGCACAGCAGCTACCACGTGTAAAATAAGAGCATTAGAAAGCTTCGGAGTCTTATAAAATGAAAAATAAAAATCAGAGGTATATTTAGGCTTTAATGATATTGCAGCATCTACAATATATTAATAACAATACAAAAAGACAACAATCCTGTATTTCAGAGCCATTGCACATTATATATATATCAATAGCCTAAAAAAATCTCCAATACAAAAAAATCACTCTTTTTCAAAATAACTTACCCAAATTATATCCCAATTGTATTGAACTACAAACTCCTTTAAGAAAACAATATCCAAAAATACCAAAACGAAGATCTGAGAGTGATCCAAGAGACACCAATCTTGTAATAGGAACAGAAAGACAACATAATAATAACAACGTCGATGCTGGAATCAACAAAAATGTAGAAAACGTAATTGCCCGTGACATTTTACTCCAATTGCTCAAATTTTCCAAAATTTTTTATTCATTTATAAAAATATGCATTTATGCTCCAAAAATGGGCTTATTTGCTGCTTTAAAGCCTAAAAACACCTACTTTTGCCTCTTAAAATCTCATCGTATTAATATCGCAAATATCAACAAAAGCTCATTATCATTATGTTAGGGTTAACCCCTAATCACTAAGTTAACCTTTGTATATTATATATTACAGGGTTTAACCCTAATATCTAATCGAGTTAAACTTTTACTAAAACATTATTAAGTTGTAGTTAGACTCTAAATGCATTATTTATAACAAAAATAATACTGAAAATACATAATTACAACAAAATTCATGCTCAATTGCAACTTAATTAGAATATTTGTGTGCTACTTAAAATTTGTTAAACCATTGGCTTTCCGTTTTTTATGTTTCCACAGCAACTTTAAGAAATACAGAAATAATCAGTCATTCAAACACTAATAAATACACAAATAGTTATACTAAAGCTTCAAATCACACTTATATTATTTATAGATTTATGACTAATACTATTTTATTATTATCCTTGTACCAAAAAACAGCTAACCTAAAAATACCAGCACTATCGATAAAAGTCATTTTAACGCAAATTTTAACGTAAAATAACCTGTAGATAAACAGGCACCACCTAAAAAGCCTTAATTAATTAAGGAGAAGCAAGGGAAACTGGGTAAAAAGTATGTTCTAGGATCTATTAAATACATTGGGTCAAAATAGCAATTTTTTTTAATTTTTAAAAGATATTTTTACTTTGGAAATACCAAAAATAAATAATTTAAAACGAGGGACCCATCTTAAGATTATTTCCAGGAAATAAAACAAAGAAAAAACATTCTAAAAAACTTTAAAATATAGAATATTTAAAGGGGTTTTATAAAGCTTCTCAGGAAATTATGCAAATAAATATAGAAATAAGCATTAATGAAAAAAATTTTTGTGCATAAAAATATATAACTAATATGACTAAGAATCTAAAGCAGATATAGTATACACAACATATAGTAGATATATACATAAGATGTAAGAAGAATATACAATATATATATTGTATATGCCTTAATTAGAACATTATAATATTGGATAAATAATTAACATCAGGATTATACAGAAAAACTAAGTGGTATCTGGGAATCATATTAAAATCAATAAAATTTTATAGAGTATCTTAAATAACAAACATAACAGATAGTTTTAAAAATATAACATTTTATAGGAATCTAGCATTGTCTTTAAAACCCATTTAGATTATATTAGTGATTGAGTAATACAAATTGAAGTTTATTTTTATGCGATAAAAGTTAAATATAAAACAAAAACCATGGTAGTGGAACAAGAACAGAAACAAACATTTCTTCGAAGAGTGAAAAGCGCATCTTTTTTCAGGAATCGTAAACGAGAACATGCATTTAACATTTCATTGGAAATTATACCGCCTCTTATATCCAGAAAAGGTGAGCTGTCGGAAAATTCGTCTGAGGTGTCACCAAATATATCATATCAAAGTAATGAAATACTAGAGAATCAAGCCTCCTATTCAAAGTTTGATATTTATCGAGATATTTATGAGCTTAATCAAAAATGCGTACTTTATAATGATTTTTCTAAAAAAACACTGTTAAAATCAGATGAAATACCACAAACTGATATGAGTTACACTACAAATACATGCGACCATCATAAAATAGAGAAAATACTTCATGAAATTGTAGAAACAGAGAAATCATATGTACGTGGGTTAGAAGAGTTAATTGAGGTAAAAACAATAGAGGATTAGCATTTTGAGTTTTTAATGATTTAAACTAGATATATATTGAAAAACCTTCACCCGTTATGTTACATAAAGAATCACAAGTAGTTTTTGCAAATGTTCTTCCAGTTTTTATATTTCATAAACAATATATGCTTCCAAGAGTAATAGAGGCAGTTAATAGCTCTGATCCAGCAGAAGTTTTAGCAGAAGAGTTTCTTAAAAACAAAGATATTTTGAAAATTTATTCATGCTATGTTTCTGGATTTCAAGATAAAATTCATATTATTAAACAATGGGAAAACTCAGAAAAAGGCAAAAAATATTTAAAAGTTAGTTTATCTTCAGTATATTGATTCTTACCAATATAGTCACGTCGCACATTTAAATCACATAGCCAACTTAGTCTAATAAGCTATCTTCTCCTTCCTATTCAAAGAATACCTCGGTATAAACTTCTACTTTCTAAGCTATTGCAATGTAAAGACTCTTTAATTATTCGTTCTGCTTTTAATCAAATTTGTTTTCTTGCATGTAATATGAATGAAAGAAGACATCAAGAAGAAGGCTTTCGTCGACTTTTTCAGCTTCAAAAAAATTTATGTTCTGACATTAACATCGTAGAACCATGGAGAAAACTAATTAAAGAATCAAAAATGCATTATCTTTTAACAACACGAGCATCTTTCTTTTATGATCATTTGCCTCTTATTTTAGATAGGGATGTTTCTGTTGTTTTATGTAATGATATTTTAATCATTTTTAATTATGCTTGTACTTCTATTATAAAAATTATAAATGTGAAAGAACTGCAGATTACACATGCATGGGAAAGACCAAATACAGGTTTACGCTTTATTTTCTGGGAACTAGAAGAAATTTGGCATTTCGATGCTATAGAAGAGGATGCAGATGAATGGGTTAATGTAATAAATAAAATTCATACTAATTCATAAACAATTGCTATATATTAAAATATTTTTTTATATAAATTACTTTTATAATTTTTCAAATTTCATTTCAAACTTCAAATTGATAGAACATCCATTTATATACATATAATAAGATATTCGGCTTTATAAGCATTAAGCTTTTAAAAAACAATTTTTTTTATATAGATTGAAAACGTAAATTTAATATTTTTGTTACACATTTTTATAAACTTATCAAAAAAACCTTAAAATTTTTAGAACACAATTGCTTTTAAATGAAGAACTAATCATGCTTAAATTTATGATTTAGTGTTTCCTAAACATATTTAATATTATAATTCTTCCGTTTCATATCTTTGTTTAGCACGATCTTTAACCTTAAAAAAATCAAAATAACCAGTAAAAAATAATTAACTTACTGATCGAACATAAGCCGCGTAATCACTTGGACGTGGATTTTCTCCCAATTTTGCACCAACAGAACCAAGACCAACACCTTCTTGATATGCTTCTGCCTTGACCGGTTCAGCAATACCTTTACCTTCCAATCCCAAGCCCATTCCTTCGGTCCACCCCATTTTTCCAAGAATGACAGCACCTTTCCCTTTTGTTATATTTACCGGTTCTTCTGGTACATGTGAAGTGTTAGTAGAACTCTTTTTAGAACTATATGACGGAATATCAGGTTTCGAAGGTTGATTAAATGCAATACGACGCTCTTGTGCCCTATCCCTATAATTACTATCATTTAAATTCTCTGTTTCTAATTCTTTTTTCATGGAAATTTTTTTTAGACGCTGTCTAGCGAGAATTTTGGAATCCTCACTTTCTAAATTTTTCTAAAATATTAACTATAAAACATTTATAATAATAAATTACCTTATGTAATTCTGACAACTTTTCATGTTGTTCTATTTCCCTTTCGGACTTAAATTGTCTTTGACAAAGCAAACACGCCATAAGACCCAAATCAGAAAAACTTTCAGCTTTTGTTTCATTTTCAGGGACTTGACCTGTCCGTAATTCTTGCTGTTTAACTGCCCATTTCTGTAAATGAGGAGCCATCTAAAAATAATTGATCAGACTAAATTTCAACCGACATATATATACCTTTATTGAAGTATTATCACATCTTTTCTTTGCTATAATAAATAAGTAAAAAAAGAAATTGAAATTAAATAAATACGTTTTTTTTGTTCAGACGAAGAACTAAAAAAATGATTAACCAATTCATTCTATAAAAAAAAATACGTACGATGCATCTCGTTTTGAGCCGATAGATACATCCTTCGAAAAAACAGGTGCTATATTATTTTAAAAGAAAAAAATCAGTAAAAATTAAACAAACCCTTCATACAAACAACAGAAGGGTCACTGGCATTAACAGTATCAAAGCTCGAAGAAGCAGCTGCTTCCCCAGCAAGCGTATTCGAATCATAATCTGGCTTTTGACCTTCAGGATAATGTTCTGATGTATACCCTTTTTCATCCCAATACGCCAACAATTGTCCAGTTCGACTCGCTCTAAATACAAATTCATTTGTTTCACCATACACAGGCACGAAAACACCACCATGAATAAATGATAATAGAATAGATTTTGATGAAATAGTAAACCCCTTAGTTGAAGAAAAATTTGCAGAATTTGCAAGTGCTTTACTAGAGCCCTATATAATATAAACCAATCATAACAACTCAGAAAACACTTTACATTTACATCGGCATACTCGACAAATGCAAACCCCCAGCTTTGGCGTGTCATTCGGTCACGGATCAAAAGCACACGCACGATTGGCACTTGCAATTTTGCCATTCCCTTTACGATCAATTCTTCAGTTGTCAAAGGATCAAGTTTCCGAAGTAACAAAAATTGAGAGGGTGTAGTCGAAACATCTTGACTTCCATCATTTAATAAAGGCGCCGCATGGGTCAGATTCCCTGCTACAGTGGCATCTAAGAGATCTCAACACTACATATAATTTTACAAGTAAAACCACTACCCTGCTTAGCCAACCCGCACCTAAAGCAGACTTCTCGACGAGGATAGTTGTTGATGCCACACTATATGACTGTCATCAAGACACCCTCAAGACCACGGTTGAACGATACACTGCGGCAAATCCAGCCGTCATCATCCCCCCTATTTTCCTTACTATAAGAGATCCTAACACGGTTGTTTCCCATGTATAAATATGGAAAATGTGCATCTATAAATTGCCGAGCATGCTCCACTGATATAAACTTGGCAAACGCAAAACACCGTGATTCATCTGCTCCAACACATATAAGCTTTGCTCACATTTTCCTCTCTCTTACACGTTTCTCTGTTCCGTATAAGAACAACACTCTCAATCTGACCACCAAGCTCTTCGATCACCTGGTAAAGCTGCAAATAGTCAGCTCTACCTTTCCACACACATATCATCATATCACACATCTGATTCAACAACATGTGGCTCTAATCCCTGAAAAATAACTTGTATATTTGGCTCTCCCGGCCCTTCTTCATATATTCGTCGTCGATGTGTGTTTTGATGTCCCGTACCCCCCATCCCTCCGGAAAAACCCCCTGATCCTCCTCCTCCACCTTGATTCCATTCATATCCTCCGTATCTTCCCCGTTCTACTCGTTCTTGGCGCTCTCTTCGTCCATTTTCTTCTCGAGCTCCACGACCATTCCGGTCATATCTTTCCATCCGATATGCCCCTTCACGCCACCGCCAGTCTTCATCCCTTCTAGATCTATTAGTACCTTAAAAATACTCTTTATATACTGCGTTTTGACGCCCAAACGTTCTTTATTTCTCATCTTACCTGCTCATTTGAATATTTGTCGTTCTCCGTCTGTGATACTGCAGCCGACTGTCCATATCATTTGCGTGGATGCCAACGCGAAACACCAAACGCGTGTCACGTGACTTGTCTTCCTTGCACAGATTATATACACGAAAACGCCTTTATCTGGCTTGTTAATGCATCTATAGGTACAAAAACACTTACCAGCACTGTCCTGAGTGTTTTACTATATATACTTCTTCCACCACTCTCTTGTCCCCCACGTGTACCCCACTTTTTATCCACACTGTCCCTAACGCGCCCTATACCGCATCCTAACGCCTATACACGGGTGCAAAGCCGTGTATACATTAAGAATATACAATCTGCTACTCCTCTCCCACATTCTTCTACGTTTGATCTCATCAATGTGTCTACGCGTCAACGCGTCTCCCAAAGCTTTACAAATATACAATAAATATAGAACATACTTTAAGCAAATACTTTTTTATAAATATTTACAATCATAAATATCATAAACTTGGCTCTATTGCACTGTATTTTACACTCTACCATTCTGCTTATGCTTATCCGTGCATTCTTTAGTAGATATAAATCTTGCGCTCCGATCGCTAATTATGTGACACACTAAATATATCGAGTATATTCATTATCGCCCCTTACATAGTTTATCGCTTGAAACCGTTAGTAACACGGTTTAGAAATAATATACGGTTAGTATAGTATTACTAAAACAATACAATGTATGGAACGGAGTAAAACGTAATAAATAGGGTGAGATGAAGAAGTGACAGGGTCAGCTTAATACCACTTAGAAAAAGGGTTAATAGAGTGTCATTAAAGGCTCATTAAAGGATTATTAGAGGATTATTAAAGGTTAATACAGATTAATACAAGTTAAAGCTTCAAAAGGCATTAAGGAGACGTTAAAAAGATATAAAGAAGTCTCGGGAGAGAGACAGGAGAGAAAGTGTAAAAAAAGCGGGTATATGCTGATATATACACGCATATAAGAGAATAAAAAGGGGTTTATGAAGAGGAGGAACTAGTAAAATGAACAGGTGTGTTTTTGCTGCGGTGCAGACGCGTTCTGACGAGTAAAGCATAGCATATCCACGGCCTCTTTTGATAGGAAAGCAGGAGGAACCAGGAAACTTTAGAACAGAGAAGATGCAGAGTACAATAATGCAGACAAAGAGCCCGGAATATGGGATATATACGCGAGTATATGCGCAAGAAAAGACAGGGCAATTTCGTGGAGGGCATAAGACATCACAAAGTGTTCAGCAGCCTTTACAGAGGGTTCGGGAGGATATAAGTGAAAAACGAAGGACTTACTCGGGGTATATGCGTGGAAATGATGAATATTCGTGGGAGCAGAGTACAAGGAATGGACAACGGAGTCCACAGCTAAAAGAACGGGATTCGAGGGTAAAAGAGCATGAGAAAGACTTAAAACTCGGAGTATATGCGTCTCCAGACTGTCATATGAAAAATTCAGAGGCACAGCGCTCCTTATCACAACGTACAATAAGTTTTGGAGAGGGTGCAGGGTGGAAAGCAAAAATAAGCGAAGAAGAGTTCAGGGCAAGTGAAGAGCAATTTAGATCATATAAAAGACCAGGAAGAAGCTCAAGAACATGTATAAAAACGTATATGGATTCTCAATATGAGTTGGATGGAAAAAGCCCATCGAATCACGTTGATTCAAAGATAGATAAATCGTCAATCTGTGAAGAATCACGTGACAAACCGGGGTTGAGTCGATCTTTGAAGGTCCGTAGGCAACATAGAATGTCTTTTCAACATACTGAAGATGGAATATGTATTAAGTCTCAAAATGCACGGATGGGGATGGAGAAGCAACAGCCAGTAGTGGGTAAAAATAGAATGCTAGGGGAAAAAGAGGAATATCTTTTGAAGAAAAAAAGAGATTCTCGAGAAGAAAACAAGTATTTTTGTGAGGAAAAGTTTTTTTGCATAGAGAAAGAGCAATCTTGGAAAGAAAAGCCTTTTTGCGATAAAAAAATAGATTTTCACGAAAATAATGAATTTTCTAAAGAAAAAGCGCGTTCTCCGGATAAAAATACGCGTCCCAGTGAAGACATGGATTTTTTTGACAAAAACAAGAATATATGTGCGGAAAATGCAGAAATTCATGATCAAAAATCGGTCGATGGGGATTTAGAAGTCAAAGAAGATAATCAGGATCAAAAATTAACAACTATTCTTTCTATTGTTAAAGAAATGTCTAAAACAAATACAGCTGATTTATCGTTGAATACATTGCAAGACCAGGTTTCGAAAATATCGGGACCGTCTTTGGTTAGTCCAGAAAAACAGTCCAAGTCTTCAAGGACTTCGCCTTTTTCAATGTCTAGTTTGTCACAAAGGAAAAAAGGGGGTAGGTTTAAGGATTTAGAAAAAGAATTTTTTGAAAAAAATGCATCGAATAAAGGAACATTGTTTCGAAGAAGTATCTTTGGCAGCTATGTTGTAGAAGATACGTTTGAAGATATTAGATCATCTTTGAAAGATATTATTCAGCATAGCAAAAGTTTTAATAAAGAGCTTGAGGACGTTCCACGCCCGTGTTTAGATCGATTTTCTAAAAATAATACAGGAAACGAAACATTTATAAAGTCATTTATAGGTGGAAAAAATAGTTATATTAAAGATTTTGTTAAAAGACCTCTTTCAGTATATGATAGTTTTAAGTTTAATAATCCATTGTGTATTTCTAAAGATGATCAAATTAATTCAGCTTCTGATAAATCTTCTGATCACAGAGTATCTTTGCAGGAAACTTCTAACATAAATAACTCTATTGACTCTAAATCAGAAGTTAAGTCCCAAGAGCGTCAAACTATGCATAGGAAATTAGCATCGTTAGTTTCATTAAAATTCCTGAAAGATGCAGATGATGAAAAACCTGTTTTATCGAAAGGGAAAATTATGAAAAACTCGCAACGTCATACTTGTCTGACAAAACGAGTAATAAATGATGAAAATTTAAGACCAGAGGATAAAACGTTATCCGATACAGCTAATGCAAATTATTCAAGAAATGATTCTAAAGTAAATGAAAATTGTAATACTAATAATCTAAACTTTAATAATCCTGATAAACAAGCGGTCTCGGAAAGTTCTTTTAAGAATTCTTATGATAATTCACATCATATACATTCCGATGATGCAACTAATTCTGACAAATGTTCTGTTCAAACAAATAATTTTGTTCGAAACCACGAATCTGATTACGATTCTAATAGTATATCTTCATGGTTACTTTCTATAAAAAATAAATATCGTGAGTATCATATTTCTTACATTATTTGTTAATAAAGTTAGAAAATATAGAAATAGAACACAAAACACAAGACTTGTCTTATTTATCTACTAATTTAGAACCTACACATTCCTCTACATCTCAGTCAGTACCTCAGCTAATGCCTCAGTCGATGCATACATCTCTATTGGAGGACGATTTAGACGTTAATACGTTTTCATTTTCAAAATTTGGAAATGTATCATTTGATACAGTAAAGAAAACAATAGCTTCATTGAAGAAAAAATAAAAATAATCATGGATTAGTCGTTTAAGAAATATTAAAATGGTTTATACGTGTTCAGTAATAAGACAATATTTTTATTGTATATGGTGTTTTGAAACATCGTATGTATCATCTAGAAAGATATAACATAGCAATTTATTAATTATCTCTAAATATACTAATAGCTGGAAATTCAAATTGTTTTTTCGAATTCATTACTCCTATATTTAAATAGGGTTTTTATCATGCTTTTTTTGGATATTTCTGCCTGTTGTTTTTATATCTTATATCGACTTAATTACTTTTAAATTAAGTTATATAGAATTGAAGTATAATTTTTATTATTTAAGACTTTTTAAATAAATATTTCAAAGACATTAGAAATATACTTAGTAGAAATTCCATCTTGTATTTTTAGTTCAGCAAAATTCAAAAATTAAAAAAAATAGCCAGTATTAATAAATATTAATTTTATACATGAAAGTAAATAAGACTATCATCCTAGCTGGTATTTCTTAATTCAGTGAATATATTTCTAAAGTAGTTTGGAGATGTTTTTAATATATTTTTTAATATTTATAACAAATTACAGTTGAGAATTGAACTTTAGGATATTTGTTTTATATCGTTAAATTATTAGATACCAAAATTTACCATAGATAATCTAGTAAACAGTATAACACTATATATAACATAACATTATAGAGTATGCTATAATTTCTTGAAAATAGTGTATTAAAAAATATTAAAGTTTTATACTAAAAAGTAATCTAATACTTATGGAAAATTTATTATTTATTATATAATTAAAAATTTAAAAAAAATGTAATACTGTTTTTCTTTTGTATTTAACAAAAATTCATCTTATTCTATCCTATATCTACAGTATCTAAAAAACTTTCTAAAAGAAATCTTGCGATTCTTGTTCTTTATGCCATCAACGTCATTCAGTATTTTAAGTATGACTAGAAGGGCTTTTTTTACTTATAGAAAACATAGAAGTAATATAAAAATATCATCATCATTAAGAAAAACACAAGTTTTTCTAAAAACGCTTTTTTAACAATTTGAAACACTAATTTTTAAATAAAAATAAACAAAATCATAAATAATGTGGAATACTAATACCACGCAAAATTCTCTAGAAAACATAAGTAATAATAAAAACTTTGAAGAAACAGTACATGAACAATTACAAATACAGCAAAAAACATTACCAGAAGATCAACAAAAAAATTGGATAGAAACTTCTACAGAAGAATTAACAAACATAAAGACACCAGAAAATACTACAGAAAATTTTACAAACGAAATTGCTATTGCAGAAAATGATGTAATTTCAGAAACAACATATGAAAGTGATAGATTCTTTCAAGAACAGTTTTCTTTATCACCCTTTAAAATTGACACAGAAACTCTAATTAAAGAAGACAATAAAGTGGATAATGCATTAGAAACTGAACATGGAAACAAAGATAATTATATAGACGTAGGTGATTTCGATGATTTCGATATGATACGGGAGATGTTGCCTGACTTGCAGCATCATGCACTACGTCTCATTAATTTTCTTATTCCTATTATTTCTTCTACCGTTTATACTAAAGAGATTACTGCTACTGGTACAAAAATGTACAAAAAAAAGGAATTTTTTCTACAGACCTTAAAATGTATTCTACCTAAATCTTTAATTATGCTTACATTTTTATAGTAATTGTTTCGCAATATACACATGCACATTATATAAATTTATCACAATTCTTAAACCGTTTATCAGAAGACGAGGTTCATACTTTGCTTTTTGCTAATGCAGCATTGCTTTTATCTGAACTTTATAACCCTCTTTCTGAACCTCCTACATTTGAAGATTTAACACAACAGTATAATTCATTATATGAAATAAATCAACAACTTCCTTTCATATTTAACATTGCATTTTCGAATCTATATTTGCAGATAATTGAGTTACGAACACAATTATTTATACATGCAATCTGGCTTAATAAAATATCAAAAGACCATGAGGAAAATTTTCAATTTAATGAAAATAACGAATTAAAAAAGTATTTTATGAATGAAAATGACTTATTTGAAATATCAAAAGAAGATAAAAAAGCATATAACGATGCATGTATAGAAAGAGTAGAAAAGGTATAAATTTAACAAGTATCTTTCAATAGTAAATTTATAATAAAAGATACAACACATAAGAAAATTTTCGACTTTAGAAGCTTTAATTGAAGCATTTCCATGGCATAATTTTATTAAATTAACGACAAAATTTATAGAAAAAAATATATTAGATTTATTAAATGAACCCAAGGTTATAAATTAAAATATAAAAGACGTTTCTAATGATATTAGGCAAATAAATTAAGTCCAAAAAATTATAAAGAGGAAAAGACATCAATTATACCTTTTAATTGTAAGAAACTTTTTATTAAATAAAAGTACTAATAAAAAAAGCACAATTTTCAGAAGATTCTAAAAATGATGACAAGAATCTTATATATTCGTTAGAACAGAAAGAACATATTTTTAATTCGGAAAATGAAGGAGAAATTTCGTATTTTTCATTATTATATTGTTTTTAATAATAATATTTTTTAGAGCAAGTGACATAAAACATCTTAGTCAAATAGTTTTAGGTATATGATAGTATATATTTACATATTTGTTTAACGTATTATAAACAGACGTTCAAAACGATGATGTTAAACATATTGAAAATAATAATCAAGATTCTAAATACATAAAAAACTTTTTTGATAAACAAAAAGATTATCAAAAAATTATGTGGGAACTTCAAAATGAGAATTCTAAATCACTAAAAAAGAGAAATTCATTCCAAGACACATTTAATAATCCTAATATATCTATTCAATATGAATCCGATTACAATAGGAAGAAAGAAAGACATATAAAACATAGCCTATTACCTTCTATTTCAACAAAAGCAAAAAATCTAAAAAGTGTACAAAATTCTGAAGAAAATTTAAAAACAGATGCAGTATTCTTTACATCATCTGATATGTCTTCCGATTCAGAATTTAATTCACCACTTAGTTCACCTCCTATTATACCTTCTATTTCGGCACAAATTGCCATGGAACTTTATAAAAAGTCTCTTGCTATTCAAGGATTAAGTTCTACTTTAATTATGAATAAAAATAATGTACAATCTACCGACAATACAGAGGAAAAAAAACATAGATTAATTAAAAATTCATATCAGAATTACAGTGATCTTAAGCAACATTTTCAACTTAATAAAGTTCGTAGAAAAGAATATAAACATCAACATAGAGTACCTTGGTCAGAAGTCGAAACTAGTTGTTTAATGAAAGCTATAGAAGAGCATGGATCGCAGTGGTCTTTCATATTATCTGTTTGTTTTCACTGACTTAATAATAAAATTAACAATATTAGCTTTACGGACCTAATGGAACTCTAAGTAGGGATTTGGCCGAAAGGGGACAAGTTCAGCTTAAGGATAAGGCAAGAAGTATCAAAGAAGAATATATTAGGTTTTTGTAACTATATAATTATATATTTGCTAAAAAGTCAAGGGCTCAATGGAAACTCCCACCTGGTTTCGAATCTATTACTTGTAAATATGATTAATCTTGATCATCAAATTAACGTTACGTCATACAAATATTTTAAATGCTGTAAATATATTTTTAAAGTTTATAATATTTTTTGGTGTTGGTACTAAAATCTAATATTTAATAATACAAAAAGCATATTTTCAAGTTTTAGATATTTATTTTTCATTGCAGAAAAAGTACATAAATTGTTAATAGATGTATTTAGGAATAGGGACACATTATATTGTAATTATCGATTGATGTTTTAAAATTAAATTTTGGTAGACTTGATTTTTTACAGAAATTACACTATTACTAGTATAAAATCAAACTAAAAACCACTAAATAGCTTTTTATATAATTTTCTAATATAACAGATTCTAGTATACTTAACATAAGTTATCTATTGGACATACGGTAGTTTAACTAAATACACTTTCAATATTCATTGTTTCAATTATGTAATGGTTACCATATAAATACTGGACTTTTTACATTATATTTATTAAAAACACACTTTTTAGTTATTACTGTTACTTATACTTGGAAATACTAGTAGACAAAAACCTATCAATGCTTCTACGTGTCACTTTTATTTTCAAAAACACAAAATATCTAGCTTTGAACATATTTGCTAGCTTCTATTCAATGCATATATAAATGTGATTTTATATATGCAATACCATAACCAATATATATACTTTATGTTTCAATACATATACTAAGTTCTTAATATATCTTCCTTTTTGCATTGCGGACTAACTACTTAAATGACAGCAGAATTCACATTTAGTTATTCAATTATTATATTTTATTTTGCTATCTGCATTTCCAGTTTCCAATGTTTGATTACACTGCTTGGTTTTTAAATAAATACATAAGTTTTAGTTTTTCCAGTACTGTTATGCACAAATACAATATACATATATATTTATGACGGAATAAGGACATTATTAATAGGAATATGTATAAGTTTAACAAAAAATCCAATAAATCCCATCACTAAAAATCCAATTCCAATTGCCCAGCAAATCCTAAAGAATTCTATAGATGTTAGCAGATCTTTCTATATTATACTAAATGCTTTCTATGTATATAAGCTTGAAAAGTACATAGAGAGCAGAAAATGCATATATGTATAACAATAGCATATAGCACGCATACAACACGCATACAGTACGCATACAATACACATACTACACGTATGTGCTCATTTTGGCAGATATACTCTGCTTTTTAACGCATATTTTAGAATTCTGCTGCTTTATGGCTTTCATAGTTCATTAAATACCTTCTTTGTCTGGTTTTGTGCAGCGATTAATAAACTGCGTCCCCTCTTTAAGAAATAAATTTGGAAGCTCTAACCACTCTTTCATTTGTTCAGACATTGCTTAAGATTCCTATAAATTTTATATTTAAGGATACTTTGTTCTATTAGACTTCTAAAGACTCCCAATTAACAGTTAGTAATTGTTGTTAGCTTTTCTCGACGGACGGTTCGCTATTGTCTCGAGATTTAAGATTTACAAGGACGATTGACGACGACAAACGGAGATACGTTTAAAAACGATAATAGACAACAATAAAAAGGGAGCTACGTATAAAAGTAAAGAGGAAATGAGCATTCGTCTTATATTTGTAGATTTACACTTTTTTTTGTTGTTTTTTGCGCTTTTTTTTATTGATTTTCCATCATTGAACAAGGAAAATCTATTTGTGTAATATTAGTAATATTAGAGCTCTTAGTATGATATTTATTACATAATTGAAGAGTTTTTGTTCTTATTGAATATAGTTTTTTTCTAAGTCTCTCCAACAAAACGTTATTTGGCTTTAAAAGATATTGGGACCTATGCACGGGTCATGATGGAGGAGGATAACTTTGATATTGACATATATGAAGATGAACCATTTTTGTATGAAGAAGGGAAAGAAGATGAGGCATTTGAACAAGAAACACTGAAAGAATCAGCAAATGTAAATACAGACATAGTAAAGACGAAGACAGATGTTTTAGATGCTGAGAATTCTACTAATACAACAGAACTTTCGAATATTGGAGAAAAAAAAAGTAGAAAAAGTGTAATATATTCAGAAAAAGGTTTGACAGATGTAATAGGTAATATAAATACATCAAGTAATACAGCAGAGAAAGAACTTTCGGAAACTAAAGTAGACACACGACCTATTGATAGCCATGCAACTACAGCACTTTATCTTGGAGAAATGAATTGGTGGAACTCAGATGAGGATATAAGGAATGTTGTTCTTGAAGCAGGGATTGATTGTGAACTCAAAGATATAACTTTTAATGAACATAAAGTAAACGGAAAATCAAAAGGGTATACTGCCAAAATTATTATGCTCGTTCTTTAACATGTAATTTTATTCTGCAGGATTGCATTTGTTGAATTCACAACACCTCAGGCTGCTACAGCAGTTAAACTTTTTCTTGAAAACACTACAAATCCTGCGTATATGAACGGCAATAAAAAATTCTCTGTAAGCTTTTCATCAACTTCTAATCCTTTCCGTACACTCCCTAAAGAACCTCCATCTAAAACTGCACGTGGACGTAATGATATGGTTTCTACTAATACGCGTGGATTAGCAAGAGTAAATTCAGGTACTCGCAATTCAAACAACCGTAATGCGTCTGGATACGGAAATCGATCAAACTCTGCCAATATTCAAGGGAATGTAATGATGGGTGGCATTCCAGGCAGAATACCATTTCCTAACATGATGCCTTTCGGTATGATATTTTAAAAATCACAAAATAATATTCAATAAACAATTTAGGTTCATATTCTCAGCAACAAGGTACAGTGGGACCCGGTTTTAATACTAATATGATGGGCTATGGAAATTTCGGTAAGTTTAAAAAAAGTATATTCACATAACATATATACATGTGAATATATATGTATTCTTAGAAGAACCAATAATTAACATGTTTCAGGTGGACAAGGCTTTCCTGCACCACATTTTAATCCCACATTTTTTGGAAACAATGCACAAGATCCTAATGCATTTCCTGAAACAAATCCCCATGGCCAAAAAAGACAAAGAGGGTCTGAATGAGCCCTCTATCTATTCGACATGTATAGGATACATTATTTTTTAAAGATAGATCTTTTAACATATTTTGTCATTTATTTATGATTATAATCATCAAAAACATTAATCAAATTCTCAATCACAAACCAATTATATTCAGTCTTTTTCGTACTCTAAAGCATCCTATTTATATATTTCCTACTAACCCTCTGAACCGGATAAATAAAACATAAACTAACTTATTCTAAAACTTTATGTTTCTATTCAAAAAAAAAAAAAAACTATCAGTAAAATATATAATAAATGTTTAAAAACCCACATTGACACGGTCATTCCAAAATAATGTCTATTTGTTAACTAAATTTTTATCTTTTAAAACAATGCAAATTGTACCTTATCTCCATCACCTATAGATAAGCCATCATGTAAGAATTACAGAAAACATACAAATATCTTGCTTACCCCAGAAGAATTTTTTATTTCGTATATTTTGATCTAAATCTATATTAATCATTTAAAAACATAAAAAGCAAAGCAGACATGGATATTCAGGAGTAGGATCATTTTCCCGTTCTTCTAATACATGCGATAGATGATCATGATGCTTCAAATCTATTTTTTTAACAAAAAAAAAATAAAATTAAGCAACTCACATAATTGTAAAGCATTTGCACCAGAGAGAAGCAGTGCAGGAATACAAATACTAAATACGATAAATAATGATAAATCAGCTAAAACATACAAAATTGATATTTTTCGCCATAAATCTATAATTTTTAGAAATTTTTAAGTAAATAAATAAAAAACTACTTGCTGTTTTACCAGCATGTTCTTTTTCTGCTTGTTGTTCTAATATAAAGGCATCACGAGAAGAAGTTCCTGTAGAGTAAAAACTATGTTTAATAGGTACAGATCTCTGTATTGAAATAGTACGTCGTATAAAAGCTGTTAAGAACATATTTATTTATATTTTTATAAGTCTATCGACAAGTAAATGTATCTTAGATAAAAAGTCAATAAAAAAGAAAAACGTATATAAAGCAGGAAATCAAGAAAATATCATTACTCATAAGATACTTATGCAAATCCTTTTATAATATTTTCTTTTTTTTACAACAAAAAACTCCATTCTTGAAATTTATAAGAAAATTAATAAGATTTATTAATAAGTATTTTAAAGAAAATTATGCGTTTGGTTTCATGGAATTGCAATGGAATACGTAATTTATTTGACTATTATCCATGGTGTTCAGAAAAATCATTTGAGGTTTGTTATTAAGTATTATCAAGCAGAATGTTAATCTAAATAGTTTATGTTTAAAAAGCTTGAAGCAGATATTATATGTTTTCAAGAAACAAAAATACAAAGAAAAGATTTAACTTACGATATGATAAATGTCCCTGGATATTTTGCATTTTATACATTTTCAAAAAAAAAGAAAGGTTACAGTGGAGTGGCGATATACGTTAAACAGTCTTTTTGTACACCACTTAAAGCAGAAGAAGGCATTACTGGACGTCTTTTGCATGCAGATACAGGTGTTCCATATATTGAATCACCAGAATCAGTTGCCATAGGTGGATATACGAAAATTTCAAATCAACATGCACTAGAACTAGATCAAGAAGGCAGATCTATTGTTTTGGATTTAAATCTTTTTGTATTATTTGGCGTATATTGTCCATTGAATTCAGACCCAGAAAGAAGCAAATTCAGGCGAGCATGGATGGAGACGTTAGATCATCGTATTCGAAATTTAAAAAAGATGGGACGAAATATTATTATTATGGGGGATATTAATGCCAGTAGAGATGCTATTGATACTTCATATGCACTTGAAGAGTTTCAGGAAAATAATACAAATGGCTTAGAAGATTTAGATCAAAGAGCGTGGCTTAATAAAATTTTATTACCACATCCTGAAGGATTCATGATTGACCTTTGCAGGCATTTTCATCCAAATAGAAAAGGAATGTTTACTTGTATGTAAAATGAATTTTTTATGTTTAGTTTCTTAATTTTTAAGGCTGGAATGCAAAAATTAATGCCAGACCTTGCAATTTTGGTATATAAAAATAATATTTAAATATATATTTATTTGAAAAAGGAACTCGTATTGATTATATTCTTGTTAATCAGGAGTTATTACCATGGTTTGAATTTGCTGATATACAGATGGACATTATGGGCTCAGATCATTGCCCAATTTTTGCTGAAATTAAATCAAAATTATATAACTGGGAAAAAAATGGTAGAATAAGCAATATACTAGATCTTTTAAATAAATCAGGTACATATATAAATGGAGTATTAATATCTAAATTACCTAAACCTCCTCGATTAGAAGCACATAATTTTCTTGAATTTGCATCTCGAGATATTATATCAATGTTTAAAAAACAAGAAAAACAAAACATTCAAAAAGAACAAAATTTAACATTTAGTACAATAAAGTCTGTTAAAAGAATAGCATTTAAATCATCATTAAACTCATCAAAAAAAAAACGATTAGAAAGTTTTTTAAATCAGCCTCATATTATTTCATACTTTGAAGATATTCCCAATGAATTAAAATGCCATATTAAAAAAGAAGAAAAAAATACTTCTGCATTTAAAACATCAAATTCTCATGAATCTAAAGATAGGAGTATTGGAACTGTATTACAAACGGTTAATACATCACAAAATAATACAACATTAAACAAGAATGTTATTGAATTGCCAAAAAAAAAATGGAATGATATATTTAAGAAACCTTCTCCTCCTTTATGTAATGTTCATCAAAAACCTTGTATTGAATTACAAAGTAAAAAACCTGGTATAAATTTTAAACGATATTTTTGGATATGCTCTAAGTATATATTTATTTATATTCAGAAATACATACCTTACTTATTGTTTAGCCCTGTTAGAATGGAATGTAGTAATCAAGATATATCTGATTTTGATATGAAAAATAAATTTAAATGTGATTATTTTAAATGGAGTAGTAATCATAACCAAAAATCTTCAACTAGAATTAATAAAAAATAATTTGAATTGGATATAAAATGTTAAATATTTATTTAAATAAAATTAATCATAAATATTACATACTAATACAAAAACTAGTATTTACCAAAAATTGAAATAATTAATGTTGATTATCTACCAATGTTATATATTTTGTTTCTATAATTTTTACCATAAATAATTTACACTTTTTTAAAATCTCAAATTAAATTAAATTATTTTATTTATATCGTTAATTAATCTTATAATAGATTCTTTTAATTTCATATTATTGGAAACTAGAACAGAATATTTGTTTAAAGCAATCAAAACAATATCATTTTTCATTAATGGACGCTCATTGCGTCCAAAACCAGCTTTAGTATTAGCTTTTACCCATAAAGTTATTAAGTGTACAGCTTCTTTAATTAAAAAGATTAAAGCAGATTTTGTTTGCCAAGGACTTTCACGACGGTCTATCATTTCATCCAAAATAGAAAAAATTAGCCCATGAGAAACTCCTGCTGAAAGAAAAGATTCTATAACCCAGCCCTGGGGGACTCCATCATCTTGTCTTTCAAAACTATATACTTCTAACATTGGAACAAGATCTTCGAGAGGAAAGACATTTTCAGAAGATCCAAATTTTCTACCTAATCTACGAATAAGCTCTGAAATAGCTTCATATGCTTTAATATCTTTATTAAAAGCAAGATTATTTTCTAATCTTCATTAAAAAAAAATATAGCTTTAAAATATACCTTTAGTTATAATTTTTTCCCAACACTGAATAATATCAGCTTTTCCTCTATAATCTGAAACATGAAATATTGCTAAACATATTTCACCATAGCCTAAAAGATCGGCATATTTATTAAAAAGCTTTAATTAAAATGAGCCATATTTTTTAAAAAAATATAAAAGTAACTTACTTCTGTAAGAGGTATTAATTTCCCATCAAGATTTCTTATCATCTCATGCTTTTTCTCAACACTTAATCTTTCATCATTACTATAGAAAATAAATATATATTTATAATTATAATTGTTTATACCGAATAGATTGAATAATGTCATCTTGAATAGTAATCACGTCAAGTTCTTCTTGTAAATCATGTGCCAGCTTATTCATCATTGGTCTAATTTCTAATGAAACATCACAATTACATAAACCCTTTCCACGACTAAGATATTCCATTCTTTGGCCTAAAGTAATAGGAAAATTGCTTTGTGCTAATTCATATAAAACACGTGCAGCCTCATAAAATGAACCATGTTTTGAATGATATTGCCATAAAAGATCAGCTAAATCAAGATCATTAATGCTTCTTCTTTCTAAATATGTCTGAACATATGGTGTTTCAATCTAAACAATTAAATACTTTTTTAATAATTATGAATACTAACATTTAAAATTCGCTCCAACATTCCACGTTCAACATACCAATCATATAGAGAATAATGAAACAATTTATCTCTTGATAAATATGCAGTTTTGTATGTATCATCTCTCAATAAGGTAATATTTGAATTATCATTATCTAAAGTCTCTTCAATTATTTTATCAATGTCATAAAGAGTTTCAAAAATTAGTGAGTAATATTTCATGCGCTGAGTATAATAATAATGTCGAAAATCCTTAAAAATTATTAGAATTAATACGAGAATAGATGAATCAAACATTTAGTGGATGCCCATCTATAATATATGATAAAGACAAATCATCAGGATCAAAAGCTTTAGCAACCGCTAAGCATAATTCTACAGCGCCTTAAATGGTTTTAAAAAATTATCTAAAATTAAAATGAAAAAAAACCTGTATGAAACCCTAAATCTCTAAATTCAGCAACAGTTTCATTTAGATTTTCCAAAGTCAAATTAGAAGCAATTTTCATGAAAAGACGAAGACATTCCTGTAAAGACCTCTTTTTTTCATCACTAAATTCAAACTTTTCTTTTGCTCGTCTTAATTGTTCAATAGCCTAAAAAAATAAGATAAATTTTTTTAAGAAGAAAAAAAACCTTATACATAATAACATCATCTGCACTACAAAATCCACCGCATCTTTTTCTTAAAGACTCACTAACAGCATCTACACTTCCTCCTCCAGCCAATTGTTTATTAACAATAGCTGTAACCAAATCTTTTGCTAATTCTTTTCCTGATTCTTTAGAAAAAAGATCTTCAAAAGTAAGCTTTAAGCAATTATCTTGACTTTGTTTAGAAAGAGATGAAATTATATCATGCAATTTTGATGGTGTATCATCTATAAGGACACATACAAAAGATAATCCTTCAATAATCCTACGTATCAATAGAATTAAAGCATGAAGAGCCCTATGTTCGGCTTGAAAAGATATCTCCTCAGAACGACTCATTGATCCAGAGAGCTGGTCAGGTGCAACAAGTCCTTTTATATATGATTTATTGTTATCAAGAAACTCAAGTAATGTAACAAATTCTGATCGAATACGAAGTAATGTAGTTGTGGGAAAATTGCTTGAATAAGTCTTAATGGATAACTTTTTATTGATGGTATGTTTTATAAATGGCTTTTTCCATAATTCTCCAATACTTCTAGCTATATATATAACTAAGCCATCATGGCGAGCTGAAAGTTGGACATTATCCAAATCTAACACTTCTTGTCCTAAATTCTTTAAAAAATAGCTAAATTTAAAAGACCAACCCTACCAAATTTATATTGTGTTTGTTTAGTAAACGGTTTACCGCCAAATTCAATATAATATTTCCGAGCAATTTCAATAATATCAGAATCAGCTAATATATTGTTTCTATTGGAAAAATATTTAGTATTATAATATTCATCAGGCTGAGATATTGTATCAATTTTTCCACAAATCAAACCTAAACATGTTGCACAGCCTTCAGCTTGTCCAACCATTTCAAAAAAAGATTGAATTTCTCCTTCAACTCCATTAAGAGTAGATGCACCATATTTTATAGCAGAATAAAGAATTTGAAAATTATTTCTCCTTTGTATAATATGTACACCAGTATTTGTTAACACTGCTATTTGAGGAGAAAATACATTATACTGAGTTTTCAATTCATTAGGACAATATGTTGGTGGTGTAAGTAGTGAAACTGCTTGGACATAACCTTCTAAAGGTATCCATCCAGCTGTTTCAACTAATGATAAACGATGATTATTAAGTGTTCCATGAAGAATTCTACCAGTATCTGCTGCAGAAGCAAAAAGTTTGTCACCCTCTGATACTGAAGCAGAAGATTTAAATGCTAAAAAATAACCTGGAGAGAAAACATGACCAATACGAATAGAAGTTAAAATAAACGAAGATAAAGAATTTAAAAGAGTGTTATTATTTAAAACCTTATATGAAATATTACTTGGTTGAACTTTATAATCTTCTTGCTTATTATCAGAATCAACCGGTGGAAATCTAACATGTGTACATGTCATTGTAGAAGGAGGCCCGTTTATGCTCCAACTAGATCTTGATGCTCTTAAATACAATCTACAACCAGTAGATGTAATAGCAATAAGATAGATTTGACTAGACTCGCTTAAAGGTACAGGCGCTAATGAAATAATAGTTGTTGTTCGTGGATCTAAAAGAGAAGAACTAGCATTAACCATTTGAGCATGTGCAACAATTGAACGGTAAGAATAGCTTATAACATGATTAAGACTTTGTTGATTTGCTAGATGATATGCACGAATAGATGACTTAGATGTTAATGCATATAATAAATTTCTTGAATTGTCTGTTACAAGTTGTAAAATTGTTTCTAAAAAATATTATAGAAAATTAAAAAAATTAAAAAAAAAAAAAACCATTTTTCCAATTAAACCAAAGTCCTTTTGGAACAAAGCGATCGATTACAGTTCCAGTATGATTCACTTTACTACATCTTTTAGAAAACCATCCATCATCGACTTGATATAAAATCTCGTAAATACTATCATCCTGTTTTCCAGAAAAAAAAATACGCCCATCCACAGTACCTTCTATGCACAAAACATCGATACCTGAAACAGAAATAGACATTTTTGTTGAATAAAAAACAAGTTCTTTAGCATTTTCTGATGATTTAGAAGTTAAATATTCTACACCTAGAAGAAAAATATCATTCAACGTAGAAATAACAAGCAAGAATTCAATTGAATCAATAAAAACACCTAATGAACGGCCGTCAACACATCCACATAGATTCAAGTATTTTACCAGGCCTAGGTTTTACTAACTTAATACAAATAATTGTTCGATCCAAATCTTCATAAGATTGAAAATCCTCACTTACCGAATCAGTTCATACGTTTGCATAGCAAACGCTTAAAAAGAGCGTTTAATATGTCTTACCCATTTAGATAATTCCATAAATACAATCTATTATCTACTGTAATCCATGCTCTTTGTATTTCAGGAAAAAGTCCCATTTGTGTATAACACTCCGTTTCTAGGATTGATTAAGATAAAAATATTATTATAAAATTCTCTTTACTATTATATTGTTCGAAAATAGCATCTGGTATATTCATCACTGAAATACGTGAAAATGGCTTCCAAAAAAAATGCAAAGGCAAATTATAATCAGAAGAATATCCCTCTAAATAATTAAAAAGAATTTAAAAGTACTTCTCCGTCATCAAACGTGTTAAAATATCGCCAATTTCTGGATAATTTTCGTCTCTTGTTATGCACATATTAATTGCCGTACTAGCTCGATGAAGTGGCTCAAAAAGAGGATCAGTAGATGAATGAGACTGTATCCCGTGATTTTTATGGTTGAGAATAGCTTTATTCTCCATTTTAATGCCTTTTCAACGAAATTTTTATATTTTGGCAAAAAATGGACGTTGAAGTAATAGGTAATATGAAACGATACCGACATCATTTTTCTTAATATGAAAAAAAAACATATTAACAATGGACTTTAGTATTTTATTAGAAATTTTTGAAGGTATATTTGTCTTTAAATATAAGAAATTAATTTTATAGAATATCAAAAAGCTGGAGTTTTTCTTCGTTTGATTAGTCTTATAGGCTTTCTTTATCTTTTTACTTTTGCTTGGTCATTAAAAAAGCTTATATACGAAATATTTCTTGCTAAGGGACTTCAAGTAGTTTGTTTTTGTTTTATTTTTTTATTTTTAAGAAAATAAGTTAGAGAAATTTCAAACAAGGTCAGGTGCCTGGGCAATTATTACAGGTGCTTCAGAAGGAATTGGCCGTGAATTTTCGCTTCAGCTTTCTGAACGAGGGTTTAATGTTATTATAATTTCTAGGTCTAAAGATAAGCTTAAAGCTTTATCGCAAGAAATAGGTAAATATATATTTTTGTTAAATAAGTAGTCCTTATTTAAAGAAAATACCTATGCAACTAAAACAATTGTTCATACTATGGATTTTTCAAAGTTAAAGGATAAAGATTATGAAGCTTTGAACGAGATTATTCGGGATCTAGATATAAAGATTTTAGGTATATTATGAAAAAAATGATTTGGTACTTAAAAGAATTAGTAAATAATGTCGGGTTATCTCATCAAATGCCAACACCATTTTCATTAACTTCTTCTTGTGAAATTTCTGATATTATAACAATTAATTGTATAGCAACTCTTAGAGTGACAAAGCTTGTTATTCCCGGAATGATTAGAAGGTTAATTAAATGTGGATATTTTTCATATAACTTATTGGAAAATTAGAAAAAATGGGCTTATATTAACAATGGGATCATTCAGTGGAATTTTTCCTACGCCTCTTTTAAGTACATATTCAGGAAGCAAGGCTTTTTTAACAACATGGAGCCAAGCATTAGCAGAAGAATTAAAACCTGAAGGTATTACTGTTCAATTGCTGAATTCATATTTTGTTGTAGATTCTCTTATTTTCGGAAAAAACTATTTTAATTCATAATTTAGGTTTCATCAATGTCAAAAATTAAGAAACCATCTTTTTTTGTTCCTACACCCAAATTGTTTGTAAAAACAGCTCTTCAATCAGTTGGTTTACAAAGAGGAGCATCTACACCCTACACCACGACACCGTATCCTTCTCATTCTATTCTAAATTGGCTTTTAGAGAATGTGGTTTTCAAATTAAGTCGCTCATATTTTCTCAAGCATAACTTAAAAGTGCTTCAAAAGATTCGAAATAAAGCTTTGCAGAAACAATTTGCTAATAGCACATAAATATGTTTTTATTTACTCATATATATTATTGAAATATATTTCCATATTGATATAATTTTTGTTATGATTTTATGTATTTATATTAAAATTTATAATTATTTTAAATCTCAAAGCTTAACGTAAAAAATTAAAACTAAAATTTTCAAAAGATTTTAATATATATTTTTAAAAGGAAGTCTATAAGTCTTAGAAATAAATCTTTGATTCATTTTATATATATATAAATCATCTTTTTTATACAGATTTTCGAACATCATACTTTTAGTTTAAGATTTTTTTGAAAAACTTAATAAAAATAAGCTCTTACAAGTATGAAAAAAGGTGAACTGACTCAGTATGATCTTAGATACTATGATTCATATGCACATTATGGAATTCATGAAGAAATGTTAAAAGATGAGGTCCGAACTCTTTCTTACCGAGATGCTATTTATGAAAATAAACATTTATTTCAAGATAAAATTGTATTAGATATAGGATGTGGTACAGGGATTTTAAGCATGTTTGCAGCAAAAGCAGGAGCAAAACTTGTTATTGGTGTAAACAGAACATTTATTTATAAAAAATATATCTAATTACTTTTATACTAGATTGATATGTCAGATATTATTCATCAGGCAGAAGAAATTGTTAAAATCAATGGGTTATCAGATAAGATTCTTTTGATTAAAGGGAGGATGGAAGATATTACTCTTCCTGTTGATAAAGTAGATATTATTGTGTCAGAATGGATGGGATATTTCCTTCTTTATGAAAGTATGTTAGAAACAGTGATTATTGCGCGGGACGCATATTTGGTTCGTTTGATTTGTATTTTTATTCTTCTAAGAAAATATTAGAAGGAAGGTGGACTTATGTTTCCTAATAAGGCTACTATGTTTATTGCTGGAATTGAGGATGCAGAATATAAAGAGGAAAAGATTGGATGTAAATGATTTGAATTTTTGGGTCTTTTTATCTTATTATTGTTTTTAGTTTGGAATGATGTATATGGATTTAATTTTACACCTATTCAAAAACTCGCAATGAAAGAACCTTTGGTTGATACAGTAGAATTTCGTGCGGTTGTAACAGATCCTTACCGTCTTTTAACCCTGAATCTTTATAATGCTAAAAAAGAAGATCTATCTTTTACAAAAAATTGGGAATTAAAATCTCGGAGAAAAGATTATATCCATGCAATTATTGCATGGTTTGACATAGAATTCGAGGCGTGCTATAAACCTGTTAGGTTTAGTACTGGTCCACATGCTAAGTATTACTTTATTTTTTTATTTTTTAAATTAAATATATGATAGATATACTCATTGGTAAGTATTTAATTGTTTTTCTTTCTTAATATCTTATTTCACCTACAGGAAACAAACTGTTTTTTATCTCAATGATGTAATTTCTGTTAATGTAGTTTTAAATATACTTTTTCTTATTATTGATTTTCTATAGGAAGGTGAAATTATATATGGTACAATAACCAATGGTCCAAATCAAGAAAATCATCGTGATTTAGATATTACAATTGAATATAGATTTGATAAAAGTGATAAACCTATTAACGGAATATGTTCATATACAATGTTGGTAATTTAACACAACAAAACTCTTTTAACTTCAATTAGGTGTTAAACAATCCTTAAATGAAAATCTTTCACCTATTATCTATTATACTATTTTGAAATACTTATTTTCTAAATATAAAAAAAGGATTTTTTTTGTCTTAAATAAAATCATTTATTTTCATAAATTTTGATTTTTAATTTTTAGATTCTTTATCAAAAAAAAAACTCAAAATTAAATATTCAAACCTATTGTTATTAAAATATAGAACTAACCTATCATAGAGAACGTTTTATTCATGTTTTTTAGGCTAGTTTTCCCACAAAAATTATTTTACCAAAATCTTATATCAAATATAAATATTATAATAGATTTGTTCAAATATTAAAAATATTATTTTTTACAATTCGTTCATTATTATTATTATTTGTTATAACAAAAACATCTTTTAAGATTTTTTTTAGTTTTTATAAAAACTTTACAACACGTTTTTGTTTTAGAGGAGTAGGTTCATAAGCAAGTTGTTTTTATTTTGTTATGTTTCTTTTATTTCTAAAAATATTGTTTTATGTTTTATATTGATTTTTTATATTTTTCGATATTCGTTATTATAATAGAACGTCAAAAAAATTTCTAATATCAAAGTTTTTGTTTAATCCTTTAATTATCCTATACTAAGTATATAATAATACATTCTTTTTCATTTTTCTTATATTATCTCTTAATTAGTTATGAAATTCTCCAAAAAGACAAAAGTTACTCGTTCTGCAATTTCAGATGTAGTTACAAGAGATTATACAATTCATTTGCACAAAAGGGTCTTTATATTCTTGTTTTTCTTTTTTTCTGGATACTTATACTTTAAGGTTTTTGGATGCTCATTTAAGAAGCGTGCTCCATCTGCAATTAAGGCTATTCGCAAGTTTGCATACCTTCATATGGTTGATGACTTTATATCAAAATAATTTTTTACTTATTTGTTTTCAGGGTACAAAGGACGTTCGTATTGACCCGCAACTTAATAAAGAATTGTTTAAGAATGGTATTAAGTCTGTTCCGCACCGTATGCGTCTTCGGTTATCAAGAAAACGTAATGATGAAGAAAGTATGTCTGTACAATATATAAATACACTTCTTATTTTCTATAGATGCAAAAGAAAAACTATATACTTATGTTCAATTCGTAAGTGTTTCTGGTGGTGCTAAAGGTCTTCAAACAACAGGTTTATATTTTTTTCTTTTTTTCATTAGTTAACAATGTAGTGGTTGAGGAAGCTGTATAATTATTATTATTATTCTTACTTTAGAAATATATAAAGATACAAATATTGATTTTGTTTTATATATATTTGTTATTTTTCTTTTCATTATTCTATTTTTCATTTTATCTTTCTTTTTGCCCCATATTTCTTTACATCGCCGTCATCGCTTTATTGCACTTATTTTAACCTTTAAAAAATGGTTTGCAGGCCTAGTAGAGCTTTATTTTACATTGGATTGACAGGTTTACTTGGATATGGAGCATATCACGTTTTCCGGCTTGGCATACCTTTTTCCAAAATGTTTGGATTGAAATGGGGTCTCACAGAACCTACATTTGTTGATAATAAAGAATGGATTGAGTTAACGGTAAGTTTTTACACTTTATGAAGCTCTATATTTCTTATTAATTGTTCTAATGTATTTAAGTTATCTAGAATTACAGATTTTAATCATAATTGCAAGATTTTTAGATTTGATTTGCCAACAAAAAATAGTGTTTCAGGACTTCAAGTAGCATCTGCATTACTTACACGAGTTGAGCTTCCATTACAACCTCCTGTTATTAGGGCGTATACGCCTGTTTCAGATGAAGATACAAAAGGAATTGCTTTTTATACGTATTATATTGTTTTTGCTAATGGGTATGTGTAGGGTATCTTGAGCTTCTTATTAAAAAATATGATAATGGACCTATGAGTTCTTATATTCATGGAATGAAAATTAACGACAAGTTGTTATTTAAAGGACCAGTTCCTAAATATTTGTGGAGTCAGAATATGCATGAGCATGTTATATTGATTGCAGGGGGTACTGGTATTACGCCTATGTGTAAGGAGTCCTTTTTTTTTATTTTTTGCTTTATATATATATATATATATATATGTTGTGTTTTTTTCCATTAAATTTGTTGACAAGAAAACTAGATCAGTTTATCCGTAAAATTTTTGGAAATAAGGAGGAAAAAACTCGTGTTACATTAATTACAGCTAATGAAAGACTTATTTTTATGTTATTGTCTGTTTAATATATTTTAGGTTTCTGAAAGAGATATACTATTATATAGTGAATTTGAACAATTAAGAAAAAAATATCCAGATAGGTTTAATGTAGTCTACGTTTTAGGTAGAAATATTTAAAGAAATTAAATATTTATTTGACATTTTCTAAAGATAATCCTCCTGAGGGTTGGAAAGGTGCATCAGGAAGAATTGATAAAGATCTTCTTAAAACCCACCTTCCAGATCCTTTATCAAGAAATATTAAAATTTTTGTCTGTGGGCCTCCTGGGTTTTATAAGGTATATTCTTTTACTTTTTATGCGATAGTATTTTACTTTTTTAAAAAAGGTTATTAGTGGAATGAAATTGTCTTCAACTGACCAGGGGGAACTAGAGGGATATCTTAAAGAGGTATGTTTTGTTAGAATACGTCTTTTAGGACCAATTAACCTATTTATATAGCTTGGATATACTAAAGAACAAGTAAAACAATTAGTGTTGAAACATATGTTAATTTTTATGGTAGGTTTTTAAATTTTAAAAAGAAATATAGTATATTCCATTTATGCTATTTTCTAAACAATATGAATATTGGTTTATTAAGCAGGTCATAATGTTTCTATTTCAAAATCCATACTTTTTAGTAAACATTATTTTACTATTTAATTTATGACCATGAAAAGTGATCCATACATTGTCTGTTTGTTATGCTTTCCAAATACGTTTAATTCCTTCTATGAAAATAATAAGTTTTATCATAATGAATACTTTGCTTACCTGTAATTCCAACGTCATTTGTTTCGAATTCATAAAGCCCAGCAAAAACAAGGCATGTTGCCCCTCGTAGCACCCATCTCATAAATGTAGAAAAAGATCCATATTCTCCTATATTTATTTTTTAATCATTTACAAAAAATATACAAAACTTTACGCTTAGGAAAATAATCTGTAATACATGTATCAAACCTAAGATTAATTAAAAAAGAAATTCATGAATATAATTTTACCCAATATGAGAATGAACAATAAGTGCTAGTGAAAGTCCTGCATCAAGAATGAGATTTGTACTTGAACCTACAAAAGGTGCCATAACTAATGGCACCAAAGATAAAGAAATAAGTCGTTCAAATGTCCAGTGATAGCTTCCATGCATAGGAGACGGTGTAGGTACAGGTGAAGGATCTATTATTATGATTTCTTCACAACAAAACAATAAAAATATAAGTACCATTTACTGAACCAATAACGATTTCTATATAACCATGTCAAAATAACACATTTAAAAGAAACAAAACCTACGAGGAGGTGCTGGACCAAGTCCTTGTCTTATAAAAGATGTTTTAAAGCATGTAGGGTGCTCTTGAAAACAAATTATTAACAAATTGTATATTTTACAAAAAAGCGACTTTACTGCTATGAAATTTTGCCGTTCCAAAGAGAATAGATGTAAAAGAAGGAATATTTTTTAAATTTCTTAAAGTAATCAAGTTTCTTTGCACCATTTAATCTATTTTTTAATGTTTTTGAATTTTTAAATATTCGTTAATCAGTTTTCAACGAAAAATATTTCTAACATACGTCAAAAGTGTATAATCAATTATTTAAGCTAATTTAACAATATTTTTGAATATATAGATTATTTTAATAATTTTAATAAGTATTATTAGTTTTTTATTCATTTTTTACTAATAAAAATAGAAAAATTGCACAAAAAAATGAAATTTCAAACTGGATTTTTGAAACATGTATTAAAGAGATGTTTTCATAACAAATGTCTTTCAGTGTATCCTAAAAATGCAATTCCCTTTAGAAAATATGCATCAGTTTCTGATTTTCTTTTAAAAACAGAAACTACAACTCTTCAGAATGGATTTACAGGTTTTTTAATATTTGATAATATAAAACACTATTTGTTGACAACAGATAGTTGCATCTGAAAGCTTTCCACATTCACAAACTGCAACAGTTGGCGTATGGATTGATTCTGGTTCTAGATCGGAATCTGCAGAAAGTAATGGTGTTGCACACTTTCTTGAACATTTAGCCTTTAAAGGTACCAAATCTCGTACACAACAAGAACTTGAATTAGAAATTGAGAATATGGGAGCACATTTAAATGCGTATACTAGCAGGGAACAGACGGTATACTATGCTAAATCTTTTCGAGATGATGTTCCTAAAGTGGTTGATATTCTTGCTGATATTTTGCAAAATTCAAAATTTGAAGCATCTGCTATTGATAGAGAACGTGATGTGATACTTAGAGAGCAAGAGGAAGTTGACAAGCAAATAGAAGAAGTTGTTTTTGATCATTTGCATGCAACTGCTTATCAAGGTTTTATTTGCTATATATTTAATATTATAGCTTATTTAATTTAGGACATCCATTAGGATGTACTATTCTTGGACCAAAAGAAAACATTCTTTCAATGAAACATGAACATCTTATCTCATATATAAATGAAAATTATACAGCTGATCGTATGGTTCTAGTTGGAGCAGGTGGAGTTTCACATGAACAACTTGTAGAACTAGCAGAAAAGTATTTTTCTAATCTTCCGACTTCTCCGAATCCTGTTAATATTGGTTCATCTCGAGGTGCTGCTCCTAAATTTGTAGGGTCAGAGGTGCGAATTCGAGATGATACTTCACCAACAGCAAATATTGCTATTGCTGTTGAAGGAGTCTCATGGAAGCACCCTGATTATTGGATAATGTTAGTAATGCAAGCGATTGTGGGTAAGTTTATTTATAAAATTTTAATCATTTGTTTATAATATTAGGTAATTGGGATCGCACATTAGGATCGGCTTCCCATCTTAGTAGTAAATTAAGTGGTGTTGTTTCAAAATATAGTCTTGCAAATAGGTAGACTTTAAAATAAGGGAATGTATTATAAAAACTAAAAAAGATAGTTTTATGTCTTTTTCAACAAGTTATTCAGATACAGGACTTTGGGTAGGTTATATGATTAATAATTTACACTATTTTGATTTTATAGGGCATTTATCTTGTTTCTGAGAATCTAACATCTTTGGATGATTTAAGTAAGAATTTTAAAATTAATATTCTTGAATTAATATTTCTAATAGTTCATTTTACATTAAAAGCAAGACTATTTATTATTATACGTATATATTGTTTAACATGAATAGGAATGGAGCCGTTTAAGTCTTTCTGTTACAAAACCAGAAGTCGAAAGAGCAAAAGCACAGCTAAAAGCAAGTTTGCTTCTGGGATTAGATGGGACTACAGCTGTTGCAGAGGATATTGGACGGCAGATTGTTACATGTGGCAGGCGCATGACACCATATGAAGTAGATAAACATATTTCAAAAATTACAGAAAAAGATGTTCAAAGAGTAGCACAAAGCAAACTTTGGGATGCAGATATCGCTATTAGTGCAGTCGGATCTATCGAAGGGTTGCTTGATTATAATCGTATGCTTCTTTTCTTTCTATGCAATTACTTATTATTTATAGGCATTTGCGCAAACATGTTTGTGAATCCTTATATAACAATATCCTATTAACTCTTACAGGTCACTTAATAGATGGTGAGTATAATAAACTGCAATGCAGATAAATTATTGTATTATACATGGTACTAAGATTTTATAAAAATAATTAATGTTTATATTTAATAAATAAATAAATTATATCTCAATTTCGTCTATAATTTCATCTGTGTTTACATTATCAAAATCATCATAGATTGTATCTGTAGGTAATCGTGTATATTTCTCAATTGGTGTAAATATTGATCCCACTTTCTCAATCCATTTTTTCCTTCGTTGCATTAATGCATGAATATGATTACTTAGTCCTATTTTTCCGGAGCCACTATCAGTTGAATTGGCATTCCCTATAGTTTTTTTCTTTTTTGCTTCAATACTTTTAAACCTTCTTAAAAAAGCTTGTTCAAGTTGTTTATTAAGATCGTTTAAAATAACAGAATATTCTTGATACGCAAGATGCTCTTTTATTAATTTAATTAATTTATTTTTTCTTGCTGAATTGATAGCGCATTGTCGTCTTAGCTGAGACTGTAGAGATCGTAAATTTGATGATATTTCATCATCTTCTCGATTATTCCAATCGATCTATATAAAAGTAAAATACAATATTTACATTAAAAATCAAAATATACCTCTTTTTCACCCAAAATACCTATATATCTAAGCTCTCTTTTTAATCTTTCTTCAAGGGTATGATAATCAGCTTTAATAATGGGAATCTTGCTTCCAGAATTGGATAAATCTGAATCCTTTTCATTATCATCTGTTTTCTGTTCATCATCTGAAACATTTTCTTCCTTTAATATTGCGCACAAAAGCCGCTCTAACAACGGCCCACATGATATTTCCTCTGTATATAAATGTTCATCTGTTAATTGACTAGGTGATCCATAAGGAACAGAAGAAATAGCATTAAACCCAGAAGAGGCTATATTAGATGGGTCTTCCGAGCTCCATACATTTTCAGAAAATATACCCAAAGGAGGAATCATGTATGTCGTCAACTCATCTCCCTATATGATCGTAAGCATATTTATTTATAGAACAGTAATATACTTTTTCTTTCAAAAAGGCTATATCTTCTTCAGAAAAAGGCCGATAAAAGGGTTCCAAGTATGCATAATACGTAGAAATAGATACTTGAATAGGTGCTTTGATTTTAGAAAAATCTTCATTAACAGGATCTCCAGGAAGCTTATCGGAAAGATCAACAGTAGGAAAATAAGAAACCCCTAAACGCTGTTTTAATTCCTCAGGATCTGAAATATGTAAAATATCATCATAAATATTTTTTTTTTCTGAAAAAGGTACTTCAGGTAATCCCTGCAGCTCCGTAGATTCATTGATCTCTTTAAGGGATTCACAATAAGTTTCACTTAACACTACGTTTGTTAAATATGTTAAAAATATTAAATCAAAAACTAACTAAATTTTTCCTTAGAGTCATCCTTTGTTTGAATTGGTTCACTTGGAAGTTGAGATCTTCGGGATACTATATTGTCATTTACATTTATTTTTCCCACTTTTTTCACGGCTTCTTCTGATTTGTCCATCGATACGCTAGTATCCAAGTCCTTTGAGAGCCATTCTTTATATTTAACTTGAATATCTCGCAATTCTTCTTCCAAAATTTCCTGTTTCTTCTGAATCTTTGCAAAAACATCCTTCATATCTTTTTTTAATTCTAATAATCGGGAAATACTCGGAATACCATGCTCCGTACTCTCTTCAGATATCCCATTTCCCGGAAGATGCATACTAAGCAAGCCACATTCTGTTTTCATTTCTTCATAAATCAATTCATTTCCATCTAGCTGTCCCATACTATCTGTCTTAAAAATACAATAAATTCTAGCAGTCTAACAATAATTTCCTATGCCTGCATTAAGACAATCTTTTTTTGTCTTTGTAAAAGTGTTTTTATTATATTTTTTAAACTAGAAGATGCGTTTTTCACTAAACGTAAACCAAAAAAAGGACCAATTCAAATAAAAATGCATAAATATACTGCTTTTTTCTTTAAAATACAATAATCAATTCCAGAAAATAGCATATCTAGAATCATGTTAGTTACCTTTCATAATCCTCCAATTTCTAGAGAAATCACGTATTTCACTCGGAAAAAAAAGGAAATCTTATTAAAACCCTTTTAAAGTATAAAATCCCTTTAGATTTCCCAGAATTCTTTGTCAAATACCCACTTTTTCTGATTTGTTATTTTTTTGATGTTTTTGGTAAATCTCGACTACGAATTCTGCGTTATGTTTTAAAATATATATAACGCATATAACTCGAGTATCCAATACTGCCTTTTTCCTTTTATATTCTTCTTTGTCCTCGCGTATATACATTTAATTCCATATATATGCGCTTAAATTCATATGTATGTACCTGTTTTCTTGCTTTATACTGATATTCTTGTTATATATTCATACTCTATCTTTACCTCTATTCTATCTCTTTTTGCTGTTGTTTTCCCTTGTATTGTATTTATCTGCAATATTTGCCATTATATGTGTATTATATGCGTTATATATGCCGTATATACATTGTTTCTGCATGTCCGAAGAACCTGCTGGTTCGGGTATCTATTCATTGCACACATCACCGCCTTCCCGCTTACATGCTGAACAATATTTAAAGGCATTTGGCTGGAAAGGTTATGGTCATGGATTACGTGCTAACAGCCTTGCAGTGCCGCTTCAGTTGCCGCCTGCAAGCAAACAGGGCGTATACACATATATTTATTATATCTGCAACTCATAATAAAAGCTAGGTAGTCAAGTAGAAGCCTGGTGGACACGTCTGCTTGATACACGTCTTGCATCTCTGGAGGTGGGAACTCAGCCAGAAAAAACAGCAACAGGCACATCACAGGGACTTTATGCACGTTTTGTCCGTGCAAACACAAAGTCAAGGCGAGATAGTGCTTCTAAGCGGAAAAAAAGGGTAGTCAGAGGCGCAATAGAGCGTCCTATGTATGAATGTTCTCTGCAACGATGAATCTATGTTTGTATTGAGCATAGATCGATATTTAGCGATTACATGTACTACATTGTTTGTGATATATGCATATCATGCGTTGTACGCATTATATATGCATTGTATATGTGCAGTGTATGCATTTTATGGAATATATTGTAGTGTATATACATTGTATATGCACTACATAGCGTATGTATAGCGTGCTTTGTATGTATTGTATATGTTATATATGCGTTATATACATTGTATACATTATATACACTGCCTATCAGTGCTTTATGTCTCTATTATACATGAGTTTTGTATAGCATACACACTCTGCTATGTTATAAATGTTGCATGCAGATTATATATATGGTATATATGTTGTAACTCAAATTGGGTTACATGTGCTGTTAAGAGTGTGGTATATATAATAGCGTGTGTAGTGTATATAATATATATAATGTGCATATAACATATATAACATATATAACATGTATGTAATGCATATAGCATTTATAATGCATATATATTGTATAGATAAGTTGTATATACTATAGATCAGCACAGATGTAACGCATGTAATATATGTATAATATGTATTACGATGTATGCATGCATAATATAGATATATTGCAATGGTACATGTATTTTGCACATAACATATTATATATGTAAACATTTATATGTCTGCAGCACAGTGTCTGTATGTCTAGACTTGTTTAAACATATATAAGTACATACACTGCATGTACTGCATAGAGTGAAACCATGTTATATGTATACTGTATGCATTAATATATACTATATATACTATATATACTATATATACTACATATCAACTATATACACATTATGTATACACTATGTACGTTATATGAGCACTATATGCTAACTGTATGCACTTTCTTTGCATTTCCATTTTACATCTATCTTTATGTTTGTATATGTTTTATCAAATATACTATTGTTAATATTAATAATATTATAACGTTAATAATATTAGCAATATTAATAGTGTTAACATTATAACATTAACATGACAACATTAGCAATATTAAGGTTAATGTAATAATATTTGTAATATTAAAATTATATTCAATATTAATTAGTGTTAATAACATTATTGATGTTACTAATGATACTAATATTACATTAATATTGGCATTATATTAGCATTGCATTGCTATTACAAACACTGCCTAATACTATTATTTAACTATACACTGCTAATTGACAGTATTATGTATCTTTAGTATTGTCTGCCGCTCGCAATGCTTCGAGACGTGCACAATTACGACGTACAAGCAGACGTTCAATATTGCGTTTTTCTGCATCAGTTAACGCTGCCCAATTATCAATGCGTGCAAGTGTTCCATCACTATTAACAATAACCGGTCCAAGCTGATCAAGGCGCAGTGTTGCCTGTGGAACACCAGTAGTAGCTGAAGGATTGGAAGGGACAGCAGGTAGCATTAAAGGCGTTTGTGCATCATTAGAAGCAGTAGACACGGCGGCATTAGTAGTATTTGATTCGTTGGTGCCATTGGAGCAGTTCATTGAAAATTTCCAGGAGTTTCTAGGGGTTTTAAAGCACAGATCAGTAGAAAACACTACAAAAAAACAGCGTCCCTAAACATGGTAAAACAAAGCAGAAAAGACAGAAACAGGGTAAAATACGATGAAATGTAGTAAAATGCAATGAAATAAAGTGAGATCTCGCAAAAAAAAACGAAGCAAAATGTAGTAAAACACAGTAAACACGGTAAAATATGGTAAATACGGTAAATTGTAGTAAAAGACCAGTAGATATTATTAAGATATTGCTAAAATGTTGCTAAGATACTGATAAGAGGATGTAAAGAGAGACAATGTACGATGAACCGGTTGGATGGGCGGAAAAGCGGACAGACGTGTGTTTGTCAGGAGGAGGCAACACTCGGCGGTGCCTGGAGGGTAATGGTGATAATTGCTAGATGCTTGCTAAATACAGATAGATACCCATTGAATATTTGCCAAGCATCTACAATATATCCTTAAAATATAGCCTAACGCTTTTAAACATTATTAAACGTTATTAAGTGCTATTAAACACTGTTAAATACAATTAAATACTCTTAAGTGTCTCTTAAATATAATCAAGCAATCTTAAATACTGTTAAGCACAACATAATACTTGGAAAGTCCACATAAGTATTCATTAGTGGCTAGTATAGGTGTGCAAAGTGGATTAAGTGGCAAAAGTAGTACAGGTTAAATAAAAGCTGCATAAGAGTCTGTATAAAGTATATTGGGGGAGTATAATGCAAAGTATGGACAAGGATGTGCAGAAGGAGGCACTGGCAAAGGCACCACCATCCCCTTCATCAGACCCGCCACCATATGAGTCAGTAGCGGTATTATCAACGCCAGTGCATGAACAACTTCAGGGTAAACGTATAATACTTGCATCCTCATCACCGAGGCGCAGGCGGTTAATTGAGCAAATGGTATGGGTAAGGCAGGCATGGCCTAATTTTGTGTCAGTTGCAGGTTAGATGTGTTTTATTGGGATTTATTCTGTGTTTTGTGTACTTTATTATGTTTCAATGTGATGCAGTTCGTTGCAATATGGTATAGCATGGTGTTGTGTGTTATAATGTGCTATGCAATATATTGCAATAAGGGTTTGTTTGAGTTTTTATTTGAAACTATTTTATAAATACATATGAACAATGCAATATAATTTTTTTTGCAAAATAATGCAAAATATTTTGAAAAACAATATAAAATGTATTGATTTACTGCATCTTAGTTTTGTTTTAGGTATTTTTGCGTTCTGACTTTATTATACAGGGTTTTTGCAATGTTGAAGTACAGTTACCTGACTTGGAAGAACCAGTGAATCCATCTGATCGTATACCCTGGGAGTTTTGTGTGGATATGGCCAGCCGTAAGGCACTGCGTGTTTATGAATCACAGGTACAGTGCAAACAATGTTATTTAGGCTGCGTCTTACCTGTATAAAAGGTAAATACGTCTCCACCGCCTGCATTGGTAGTAGCCGCAGATACCGTGGTATTATCAGGTGCTTTGATTCTTGGGAAGCCTCGATCACAGTCAGAACAGTTGGTAACACTACGGCGGCTGCGTGATAGCAAGCGCCCACATAAGGTTTTTACAGGTGTTGCAGTAATCGTGCCTTTACGGGTGCCAATTCATCCAGGATACAATCTTCGTACACATGTAGAGGAGTCAGAAGTGACGTTTGATGCATCTGTGTCAGATGAATTTCTTGAAGCGTATGTTCGTTGTGGTGAGGGTATAGACAAAGCAGGTGCGTTTTTAGAATTGTGTTAAATTTGAATTATATATGGTTTTTAAAGTTTATTGAGTTGTTTTGTATTATTGATATATATCTTTTTTACTTATAAGCTTTTTATACCTACTTCTTATTTTTTACTTTTCATACTAACTATATTTTTATAGGTGGTTATGGTATTCAAGGATATGGTGCATTACTTGTTGAATCGATAAGCGGTGATTATACTAATATCATTGTAGTACCAACATATATTATTTTTATTAATATGTTTTAGGGCCTTCCAGTGCGTTCTACTTTTAAGCTAATTGAAAAGACACTAAACGAAGACTTATATGATAATCTTCCAGACCATATGATCTAGCTTTGGAATTAATAATTTACCATTCAAGATTATTATAGATTTAATAACCATAGGAGAAAATATATCTCAGGCTGCTATTGGTTATTTATTAAGTCTTGCTTTTGATTTATAGCTAAAAAATGTCTACTGTTTGCATAAAGTTTATTTCTGACTATATACATAATCTGAAATAATATATATTGATAATTAAATGGATGTATTATTAAGTATTAGAAAATATCTATTAAATTCCCATAAAAACATAGACTATATACTTTATAAATGTTGTTGAATAAAAAATCTGTATAATTTAATTTATGTTTCATTGTAATAATGAACCATTTATTAAAACTATTTACTAGAATTATAAAAGAAGAGAATGTATTTATTCATATGATGCTTCTAGTTTCGTAAACATGTTATATACGTCTTTGGGTTGCATAATTTCTTGTTTTTTACCATCCCTAGATCTAACAGAAACAGTTTTTGTTTTCAGTTCTTTATCACCGATAATAATTATAAAATTATATGCTTTTACCCATGCCTCTCTAATCATCTTGGCAAGTGTTCTTTGACTTAAATCTAAATCGACGTAAAATATCCTTTTATGAATTGTTTGAAGAACTTTTGAATTATTTTCATATCCAGATATTTGATAATAGACATCATTTGCATATTCTATGATATTTTTCCCACCAATTGGAATAATGATTGCTTGACGAGGACTTAGCCAAAAAGGTATTTGTCCTTCAGTATATTCTAACAATAATGCCATCATTCTTTCTATAGACCCAAAAATAGCTCTATGTATAATTACTGGTGTTTTCATGACAGAAGCACCTTTAGATGTATCTTTTAAGTCATTTTCAACAGGTGATCTATATTTAAGTTGAAATCTTAAAGGAAGCTGAAAATCTAGTTGAATAGTAGCCATTTGATATTTTTTGCCATTTTTATCTGTTACTAAAAGGTCAATTTTGGGCCCATAAAATGCCCCATCTTTTTCATTATAAAACCATTGTTGTTTTTTAGCATTTAAAGCATGCTTTAATATTTCTTCAGCTTTTTCCCAATCTTCAAGCGTACCAACAAATTTAGAAGGTCTAGTTGATAAAGAATACTCGTATGAAGGGAACTTAAGAACTGAATATGTTGTTTTAATAATATCTAAAATTGAAGATATTTCATCAAAAATTTGTGATTGTCGACAAAAAATATGCGCATCATCTTGATGAAACTGACGAAGTCTTGTTAACCCACTTAATGATCCAGATGGTTCATTGCTATAATTATGTTAGTTAAATCTCAAAATGTTGTATTTATTTAGACCGATGTAGTGTTCCAAAGTCTGTATAACGAATTGGCAAATCCCTATATGATCTTTCTTTAGATGAATAAATAAGACAATGACCAGGACAGTTCATTGGTTTTAATCCATATGTTTCATCTTGAAAATAATTTCCAATTTCTTTTTTGTTGTTTTTTGCTGTATTTTGGCCAATTACTTCAAACATTTCATTTTTATAATTTTCCCAATGGCCACTTTTTTTCCAAAGTGATTTTTTATAAATCATAGGACTTCTTACTTCCTGATATCCATAAATTTTACATTGAATCCTCATGAATTCCACTAGTTTGTTGTATATTCGAGTACCATAGGGTAACATAAAAATAGATCCAGGAGATACATCTGATGTCATTAGAAGGTCTTCAAGCCCCTTAACTTTCTGAAGACCAGATAGTCTTCCAGCATTTAGATTTTTACTCAGTGTCATTAGCCATCTTTTTTCAATTTTATCGATCCAATGACGTTTTGATCTATAAACATGTAAGTTAATGTTTAAACATAAATCATTTAAATTAATTCGATTATAACACAATATTTCAGCTCTTAAGAGATTTATTTTGTTCATTTTTACAAAGATAATACTAAGTCATTAAAACTGCGGTAAAACATATTCATTTAAAACTCGCTGAAATTCGAAAAAATTCTGTTTAAAAAAAATGAGTTCATATCCTACTAAATCGTCTAAATTGAGCTTCAAAGGAGAAAAAAAGTTTTTTTTGAATATCTTGTGTAATTAACTAGTTAATCTCTTTTAGAAAACGAAAAAAGAGGTCTTCTGCGACGACCGGTGAAATAGTCACCGAAACTACAAATGAAATAGAAAATGTTGATGATGAAGAAACAAGTTGGATACGTTTGACTTCGTTAGAAGATATCAATGGACCTCTATTTCTGACGTAAGATTACCCGAAATTAAAAATAAACTTATTCGTAATTAGATTTCCATCTTCTCCTCGTAAGTTTTAATTGAAACTAAATAAATATATTTATATTTTTGCACTAGCTATAGCACTTTCATGTGATGCCTCTGGAAAAGTTTTTGGAATGCCTCTGGATACTTCAGATAACTTAAATACTGTTGAACCAGATGATGTTCGTCAAGTGTGGGTGGCTACTACCATTTCAGATACAGGAAAATATAGTTTTAAATCATCCACTGGCAAATATTTATCCTGTGACAAATATGGCTTTCTTTCTGCAAAACAGGATGCACTTGGTTATGTTGAACAATTTGAATGTTATCTTAGAGAAGACGGTCTTGCGATTCAAAGTGTTTATGAAAAATTTCTTAGTGTCCGTGAATTAGAAGAGGGTATAGAGATTCGAGGCGATGCTGAAACTATTGGTTTTTGTGAATGTTTCCGTGCAAAAATACAAGGATGTCGTAAAAAGCGAAAAATTGAAACAAAAGAAATTGTTGTAAATAAAATCCGAAGCAAAGAACTTGAATCAATGTGAGTTATATTGTTAATTTTATGTAAAAAAACCAAATATAAATAGGGCTGGACGGAAATTAACTCAAGAAGAAATTGCACAGTTAAAAGCTGCTTTTAAAGAAGTATGTTTGCATCATTGAATGAACTGTTTTTAAGTAATATAATTAGGGTACTTTAAATGAGGCATTACTTGATGTATATATCAAAAAATGTATAATATTGAATTTAACGAAATCCTAGATTCGAGTTAAACATGGACGTGATAAATTTGCGTATTATTAATTATTATCGATGTATATAATCTATTTTTCCAAAACTTTTGAGTTCAGTTTCCACTTCTTTAATTGACTTCTTTGTTTCTGTACAAATCTCATCCATATTATGTGTACCGTCTAAATATCTAGCAAAATTAAATAATGTTTTCATAATTTAAATTATTATATACTTCAATAATGATTCATTTGTATTATCAGAGCTATTATTTTCTGTTAAAAATGGGTATCTGTGAATCCTATATAAAAATCCCTTTATAATTCCGAAAGATATAAAACGACGTATGTCAATTCCTCTCAATGATAGTCTATTTTCAATTATCCAGTTTTTCAATGTAATTCTTTGTCGCAAAGAGCAGTATAAATGAAAAATAAATGCAAAAGATAAAGGAACGTCATGCCCTACAGACATATTTTAGCAAATAAACCATAATGTGCAAAAGACTACGTGTAGAAATATATGCAAGACATTCTTCACGAAGTGCCAAGTCTTCAACTAACATATTAATATCTGGTGTTGGTGCATACATGTTACTAAATTGGAAAATATCCACGATGATTAAACATCCATAATATCTAACATAATTATTCGAAGTAAAAAGAAAAAAAATATTTACAAAAGATGTTCCATACATCGACAAATAAATGTATAATCAACATTTGCTAGTTCAGTAATCCTTTTAACTGAATTAATGCCATCAATAAATGGAACAACCTAAAAGTAGTAAGTTTAAGTAAATGTAGAATAACTATATAACCTTCCGGACTGTAAGATCCCAGTTAACATTCATTAACAAATCCAGTTGAACTGTCAATATAGGAACTTGATGCGGGAGTACTTTTGGGGGATTCGAAAATGTTGGAAACAATTTGATATTAATCGTATTTGATTCATCTTTCTTATTATTATTTCCTTTTTAATGAATTATAACATACCAATAGATATCATGCATTCGCAGTAGTTATTTAGATCCTCCATGATCTGCTCAATAATATTATAAATAATCATCTTTGTTTTATCTTTGGATATAAAATTCCCTTGTTCCTATATTTCTGATCAGTTTCACATTCTTCAACCATTCATTTCATACTTCTAATGATCTAAATACTTTTGCTAACCGCCTCACTACAGGTATATAACATGAGCTGTCATCCTCTTCTCGAAATACAAGTGCACAATTAAAAATCAGTGCATTTCTTTCATATGTGCCATCTACAATACATACAGGATGTCCTAAAATCCTATATCCATTGGTACAAATTGCTACTACGCGATCACAAAGCTTTCGTTTAGGGATAATATATTCTGATATAGGTTCAAATTCAAATAATGGGCGTTTATTCGCTTCTCCTTCTTCTAATGTCACTGCATTAGGCGGTACTTGATGGACAATTTGTGGCCCTTGAATTGGATGAAATTCTGCAAAAAAAATTGCTAAAATTCTAACTGGAAATGTTTCATATTCCTTTTACATATATTTTATTACTATTCATATAAACATTGGCTTTATATATACCTTATCTTGTTCATATCCTTCTACAAGTTCTTTTTTATCCATTGTTGTGTCAATCTAACATTTTAAATTAAAAAAAAGTATCTATAGGTTTTAAAAACTTTTAGTTTGTATACTTCTATTAAAAAATTTTAAAATACTTTATGTTTTTAAGAAAATCACTAAATTTTCTCTTTTAATTTTGAACTTAAGATATTCATCGTTTAATGTAGTAAAAACGTATTAAATTAATATATTTTTTATATAAATAATAAATATTATATTAATATTTTTTTATCTTTAAAGTTATATTTTTCTAAATATATATACTATTGTTTAATAATTATATATATCATTGTTTTGATATATGGTTTTTCGAGACTATGCATCGATCTTATTGTATTTGTCTATTATATCTCTTGTATATCTTTATTTATGAATGGAACAACCTGAATCTTCTGTTTTATTTGAAAATGATTCTTTAAACGAGTTAAATGAAGTTATAAAGGATGATAAATTGCCAGATATTTTATATAACTTACTGTATCCATCGGTAACTGATATGTTCTTAAACATAAGAGAGGTTTATAATACAGAAAAAACATTATCAGAGAAATTAGATTCTTTAATCCAAAGTAATTTTTGTTTTTGTTTTTAATAATGCTTAGTTTTTTTAGAATTACAGGCATGTATCCATCTTGTTAATCCAGAAATTCTTGAAGAGATTCTTAATGATTCTATTGATCTTAAGAAAAGAATGAATTTAATTTATAAAACACTTAAAGAAGCTCAATTGAGAATGGAGAAATGTTATTTTATTTTAAATAAATATCAACAGTGATTTTTTATTTTATATTTTTATCAATTTAAAACAATTTTTGAATATTAAAATATTCTCTTATTATGTAATATCTAGTTTTTTTTTTTGTTTTTAAAGATATAATTTTAATACAAGATCATATATTTTTCCAAAAATGATTTATAGTTTTTCAAAATCTTGTTACAAATAAATTTAAATGTACTTTATTGTATAATTTTGAATTTTTCTTAATAAAACAAATATTAATAAAATATTTATAGAATAAATTATTTTTGGTTTTTAGAAATTTCATAAAAATCCTAATTATATTATTAACTTTCTTTTTATCTGTTTAAAAAATTATAATTATTTTTATATAAAGTAAACAAAACAATTATAGTCACAAAAAACATTTTTTATATGAAGGAAAATCACATATGTTCAGAAAAGATACATGTATATATTTTAATAATAAAAGTAGATAATATGATTATTTATTTACATTATTATAATATATCAATTAGAAAGGCTAACATAAATGGTATGCTTTTTTCTATATTTAATTCATTATTTTACATTTTTAATTTCGAAATATGACATTATAAAGTTTTACTTTAGCTATACGATTTTATAGATATCTTTAAAAAAAAAAAAAAACAAAAAATAGTTTATATAAAAAAAAATTGATTTATAAGATTTATGGGTTATTTTATTTTTATAAAATTTAATATTTAGTATTTTTCACAAAATACATAAATTTTTGAGATATATTTTTTTGAAATAATTAGTTGTACTTATTTAAAATGAGATATTTTTTTAATACATATAAAAAAAGGATACATAAATTAAATACCATAACTCATTCAATAAAGTTCCAAATTCAAAAAAAAAAAGAAATTTATTATTTATTAGATTATTAAATCACTGTATATTAACTAAAATATAAATTTTCTGATTTAAATACATATGGTCTAAATTGCAAAAAATATGAATTATTTTTAAAATTTGAACCTTACATAGATATACAGATTCTTATTTAATAAAATATTTATACATAAAAAAAGTTACTATAGACAAAAGAATAATAGAAAGATAGATGCACCAATACTTTTAGATTTATATTTATAATTTTTTATTTATATTAAATAGTTTTCATTAAAATAAAATGTATTGAATTTTTTAAACTTGATCTATAAGATCTCAACGTAATTATAGAATTCAATATTTTAAAAAAGTTAAAAAGGATTGAAAAGTATCTGAAACATTAGAAAATATTAAAAAATATCCTTTTTTAAATGAATAAATGTCATTTTTATAATTATTTAATTTTTTCATTTTAAAAATTAAATAAATGTCATTTTTAGATGCTCTTGCAAGTACAGGAATTTTTAAGTTTTTTATACTTTTTTATTAAAATATATAATTAACTTTTATATTTAGTGAAGAATGGACTGATTGGAAATCTGTCTTTGAAAACCGTTTAAAAAAGGTTAGTTGAAATAAATATTTAAAATATGGTTAATTAATATTCAGAATCTATGGTTATTTGAGCCATCAAAATCATTTTCAGAAACTCAAAATGGCATAGAAATAGAAGATGGAATTCCTTCAAGTGTTTCTGAATCAGAAAAGGCTTTATTTTACAGAATTATTAATGTTTTACTTTCTAATTTCTCATCACATCCTCCACATACTGTACAACGTTTAGCAGAGCTTCTTTTAACACCTAAATTACACTACAATTCTTTATCAAAATATCTAAGAGCAGTAGAAAAAACAATCATGGTATTTTTTTTTTTTTAAATTTAGTTTTTAATTTTTTCAGGTAACATCAACAACTGTAAATTTTGAAGTATTTCAAACAAATTCCCAAAATCAAACGAGCTCTGAGGATCAAACAGTAGATCGTAGCGATTCTAGTGTGGCAAATCTGGCACCTATTTCATGGATACATAATGATCAAAATAATACAGATAACAAAATTTAAAAGATATTAAAAAAAAAAGGATATTCATACAAAAAATTATACTTTGAAAAATTAAACTACTTTACATTTACAATATCCTTTTTAGCACACCAAAATACTTTAATCTAAATCTATTACTATTTATAGGGCTATCGCTTTATATATTATTTATATGGTATACATTCTAATGTTCCATAAATTATAGTAAATATTATGTAGCTAAACTATACAATTAACCTATTCAATACTCTAACTATCTTGGGTTATTTTCTAAATATGATTTTTAAAACATGATAAATAAAACCCAAAAAGATTAAATTAATAGAAACAAATTCCCATTTTACCTGTTATATAGAATTTTATTAATAGTATGACAATAAACCTGAACAATTATTATCCCTTCTCTACATGTCCTTCTTTTTTCTTATGCTTTTTACGTTCCTTTTTCTCTTCTTTAAGCGAGGCATTACCATCACTTGACAAATGTGATCCATCTCCTTTTTTCTTATGTTTTCTTTTTTTTTCTTTTACAACTTCATTGATATTATTTTTAGAAGTATTTGTATCATTTACTTCTTCGACTATAGAGACAGTTTTTAAACTTTCTTTACTCTCTTCTAAATCTTTTTGTAAAGGAGGAGTCTTAATATGTGTTTCTACAGGATTTTCTTTTGTCAACAAAGCGTTTGAATTATTTTTAGATTCTGAAGAACGATACGCCGTCATTTCTTTATCATACTGTTCTCGTGCTTTTCTTGCTTCTTCTTCAAAGGGCTAACTGATAAGAAATAATTCACTATTAGTATGTTCATTACCTTTCTTTCATCATCATTAAGCTTAGACCATCTTTCAGCAATCTCACTAAGTATTTCTTTTTGCGTTGCACTTTCTCCTAGGCTATCCTTAACTGCTTGGCGTGTTTTTAATTGAAATGACAAATATGCACTCAACGGCCGCTTAGGTTGATTAGGATCACGAGCTTTACGTTTCTTAACTTCTGTTACATCTGCTTGAAGCTCTGGAGTAGACTCCTGAATCATTTGGATTTCTGATGAAGAAAATATAGAATTTTCTGTTGCAGATTGTTCAACTGCAACATGTTTAACTTTCTCTCCATTCAAAGGCAATGCATAAGGTAAAGAAAAATCCTGAAGTTCCCGTGCAGCCGCACTGCATGCTTCAGAAAGCAATCGAAAAGCAGATGCCAGCTTCAATTGTTTAGTATTAAAAATAAAATTTAATAAATAAGCTACCGCTGTTTGTTTTTTGTGCCAAGCATTAATATAAGATACTTCAGATTGTGTATCTTTAGAAGAGAACATTGAAAAAAGCAATAACTAGAGGGTATTCAAGCTATAAAAGATTATTAAGTTTAAAAAAACATTATTTTTGGCGTATTTTTAAGATTTTTTTTTTAAAAAAACACTATTATTAACTTACCTAAACTTTTAAGCAAGAATTATTCTTTTCAATTCAAATATTCTAACTTAATGAAAAAATAAAATATAAAATTTTTTCTAATAATCTGACGTCTGCATATCGCAAAAACCAAAACAGCAGGTTGCTATGCGACAAGATTATTGTAAATATTATATTTATTTTTAAAAAAAAAATACAAATGTATTGACAAAAAATATTATAATGTTCATTAGAATTTTCCTTAGTTATCTTTGCAATAAAAACTTTTTTATAATATAAAAAAATCATTGAAAACTGTCTTAAAATGAACCCAAAATTAAAAAAAGTATTATTTTGAATGCCTAGGAGATATAGGACTATAATTTGGAGAAGAAGGCGAATAAGTAGGTGAAGTTGGTGAATATCTTGGAGATGTTGGAGAGTACCGTGGTGATGTCGGTGAATACCGTGGTGAAGTAGGTGAATAAGCAGGTGAAGTTGGAGAATAGCTTGGTGAAGTTGGAGAATAAGCAGGTGAAGTTGGAGAAAACCTAGGGGATGTCGGAGAATAGCTCGGTGATGTTGGAGAATAACTTGGTGATGTTGGGGAATATGCTGGTGACGTTGGAGAATAAGCTGGTGATGTTGGAGAATAAGCTGGTGATGTTGGAGAATAAGCTGGTGACGTTGGAGAGTAAGCAGGTGAAGTCGGTGAATAGATTGGTGATGTCGGACTGTAACTCGGTGAAGTTGGAGAATAACTTGGTGAAGTTGGAGAATAAGCAGGAGAAGTTGGAGAAAACCTAGGGGATGTCGGAGAATAGCTCGGTGATGTTGGAGAATAACTTGGTGATGTTGGGGAATATGCTGGTGACGTTGGAGAATAAGCTGGACTAATTGGTGAACACATTGGAGACGTAGGTGAAAAACTTGGTGACATTCCAGCAATCTGTGGACTTGTTGGCGAAAACACTGAAGCCGGAGAATAGCTTGGTGAAACTGGTGATGTTCCTGAAAATGGAGAAAAAGGATGGTATCCAGGTGATTGTAAACTTGCACCATAAGGTGATACACCAAATCCTCCACCATACTCTGTAAACCCACCAGGAGTCTCTGAACCAGATTGAACAAGTGGAGAGAATGCAGCACCATCAGATGATCCAACATAGCCACTATCTGACATAGGAGATCGAGAATCATAAGGGGTTGCTTGATCATCATATAAAGGCGTTTTTCCTAAAGCAGCAGATGCTCCTCGAAACATTTGTCGATCCACAACCACTTCATTAAGCATATCTTCATCTAAAATCACATCAAACTCTCCTGTACCTAAAGGAGCCAGCTGTCCTAACATAATATTTTCTGAAATTCCACGACAATCATCCATCTCACCAGCAGCTGCTGCTTCCATTAAAATTTCTACTGTTTCTTCAAAAGAACATCTCATTAAAACACCAGTCTCAGCACGATTAATACCATGACGTGTTATAGCCATTAAGTGACCACGTGATGTCATTGTATCTGCAAGTAAAGAAAGATGACGATAATTAACATACGAGCCATCAAATTCAATAACGTTTCGTAATTCTTTTAATAATGCAGCCCTTGTGGCTTCAATTCCTAAAACTTGAAGAATTTCTACAAATGAATTTGAATAAGTACGCCGAGGATCGACATTCTCAACTGCCATAACTTCTGCTAAATTTATCCCATCTGTTTCCAGAACCCACTCTTCACCTCTTACAAACTCCCCATTTTCACTTTGGTATACTGTTTTATGCTCCATCATAAACACTCTAGAAATATTCGGAACACCCCGCAAACTAATAGACTCTAACATATGACTTTCAATTCTTTTCAACAAAACATCTTCTTCAATAGGATCATCATCATCATCATCAAATGACTTTTCCTCGTCTTTTATCACACGACATCTTATAACCAATTTATCCGCATTGTCTTCACTCCATATAACAAATAAGTCTTTATGAAAACTTTCTGTAATTTTTGCAGCAACATCACTCATGCTTAATTTTTTATCAAGCATTTTAGCACGATCTAGTTCTAAACGAAGAAGCCATGATGACTGACGATGTAAATTAGCTTCAACATCTTCATCAGGAATAGCAAAAAATGCTTCTACAAAAGTACGATCTTCTTCTATAACTGTTTGTTGAGGATCAGGATCATAAAATATTTCTGTAACAGACGTCACTGTTTTTAAAGTTGTGTGTTCGATAGCAGTTTGAACTTGTTTTGCTGATTCCATATCTTTAGATACTTCCGGTGTTAAATATATAGTTAGGGAAGGAGTTTTTATAGTTTTTGCAACATTTAAAATTTCCTTCAAGCGGGGTACACCAAGAGTGATGCTTTTCGATGATACACCTGCATAATGAAAAGTATTTAATGTCATTTGTGTAGCAGGTTCTCCAATAGATTGTGCTGCTAAAGTTCCAACCATTTCTCCTGGGTTAGCAACAGAATGAATAAACCGAGTTTCAATTTCACCTAATACCCACTCAAAAGCAACTTTATTAAGACGATATTCCTCAATGACTCGTCGTGACGCAAGTCGTGATCTAAGAAGAATTTGAAACAAAAGAGTAGCATTTTCTTGACTTTCTCTTGTAAATTTATCATTACCACGGACAACGGTAAGTCTTTTAATTGTTTCATTTACGCCAAGAATAATATCTCTTGGATTCAAATCAGTTGCTTTCCTTTTATCAATATGGAAAATTTGTTGAGCATTCCGTATAATTCTTTGAATATTAACAGGTAAAGGTCTTCTACCATCACCATCTTTAAATATAAAATTACGTAACAATTCCCGGTCTTCACATAATTGATTATATTCTTGGTCTAAAAGATTCTGAATAGCCATATCTCCTTCTATTTCATTTCCTGCTTCTAAATACAACGGAAAAATTGTTTTTTTAGGGTCCATAACATCTACACGATAACGTCTATCAAATTCTTCATTAGAAAGTCTCAAAGAATCTAAGTTTTGATATTCAACAGATACGCCATCTAAGCCATCTTCACCATATACTAGCTGAATGATATCACCAAGCGAGTTCCTAACAGTACCATCATATTTTACCATAACATCTTCAAGAGCTTTAACAAGACGTCTTTGAATATAACCTGTTTCAGCAGTTTTAACAGCAGTATCAATTAATCCTTCTCGACCTGCCATAGCATGGAAGAAAAATTCTTGAGGTGTTAAGCCTCTAAGATATGAGTTTTCAATAAATCCGCCTGATTCAGGACTATAATCATCTTTAGTGAAATGCGGTAAAGTTCTATATTTAAATCCATAAGGGATACGTTTTCCTTCTACTATCTGTTGTCCTACACATGCAGACATTTGCGATATATTAATAAATGACCCCTTAGATCCAGCTGTTACCATTTGTTTTACATTATTTGAATCTTTAAGACTCATTTGAGCAGAACGCCCTGCTGTATCACGAGCTTGATTAAGCGCTCTAGAAACTTTGCTTTCAAATGATTCACGCAGTGTCATTCCTGGTTCAACTTGAAGTCTATTTTGTTGTGCATCAAGGATAATTTCTTGAACTTTAGCTTTTGCTTCTGCAATTGTATTTGTTATATCTCTCATAGTATTTGCATCTGCTATAGTGTCACCAATACCAATACTGAAACCATTATGTAATAACCAATAATTGACAACCATTTGAATACCATTAAAAAACACACGACATACTTCAGGGCCTTTTTCCCTCATAATAGTATGAACAAGACCCCCCTGTGATGCTCCTACTGTCTTTTTATCTACAATCCCATATATAATCTCACCATTTTCTAACATCATACCTGTATCATCAGGAGTCATAGGAGTTTGCTTTTCATCATCTCTAATGAAATTTATACCTTTAGGAATAACCATACTAAGAATTTGTTTCCCAGTCCACATAGCTTTAGGCTTAATAATTGCTGGAGGAGGCATATTACCATCCCACTCAGGAACCCACAATAAAATATTCATAACTTGATCTTTAGATAAAAAGTTGTCCCGTCTAGTAAGCTTTTTTACACCTGCTAATGTATCCTGAACAATACCCATTACTGGTTTATTTGACTGAGGAGAAACAATTTGTTTGGGAACCATACAAATCTCAATAATTTCTGCCCGAGTTTCTTCAGATTGAGGAACATGAAGATTCATTTCATCTCCATCAAAATCGGCATTATACGGTGGTGTTACAGATAAATTAATACGGAATGTTGAATATGGCATAACTTTGACACGATGACCCATCATAGACATTTTATGTAATGAAGGCTGTCTATTAAAAATAACCACATCACCATCTGTAATATGTCTTTCTACTCTCCAACCATATTGCAACGGGATATCGCCTGCTCTTTTATGATAACGTAAATCAATTCTTTCTCCTGTATCGCGAATGATGTATTTTGCTCCAGGATGCTCATTGGGTCCATTTCGTACCAATTCTTGGAGTTTATGAATGTTATATGGAGTTACAGTTTCAGGGTATGTAAGAATACGAGCAATACTTCTTGGAACACCAAGTTCATCGAGAGACAAATTCGGATCACCAGTAATCACTGTTCGAGCAGAAAAATCAACACGTTTACCCATCAAATTTCCTCTTAATCTCCCTTCTTTACCTTTAAGACGAGCACGTATAGATTTTAACGGACGTCCAGTTTTCTGAAGAGCTTGAGGCTGACCAGCTATATCATTATCCATATATGTTGCAACATGAAACTACATAAGGTTACATAAAAAACATCACGTGAACAAAATATACCTGAAGAAGTTGTTCATACTCACTTACAACATGCATTGGAGCACCTTCTTGTTCATAACGTCGTACATTCGCATTTGCTTTAATAATATCTGAAAGTTTATGAGTTAAATCATCTTCTCCACGACAAGTGCCATCAACAGAAATACTGGGACGAACAGAAGGAGGAGGGACTGGAAGAACAGTAATAATCATCCAATCAGGTCGAGCATATTCTTCATTTAAGCCCATCTTAGCCATGTCTTCACTAGAAATGTGCTTAAATACGGTATATACTTCTAGAGGCGTTAATAGTCTACGATCAGGCAAGTCGCTCTTTAAACTATTTAAATATTGATTTAATATCACAAAAACACAATTACCTCTGAATCTTTTGGTCTTTTATATGTAGCCCATAATTTAAGTCCATCTTTTCGTATAATAGGTTGAAGATTGCCGCACCCTCCATGTCCAATCATGGATTTGGCTTCATAATGATCATTAACTGGTTGATCAATTTCACATATCATTTTCGTTTTACAAATATTCCAAACAGCTATCAAACGCGATTTAGGGTCTCTATACCTTTGTGACTCTAAAAATTTTGGGCTATTCTAAACAAGATATAAAATCACCCTTTTAACTTTTTTTGAATACACACCTCATCTGCTTTCAATTTTCCGCAATTCAAACATACACATTCCAATATTTTTTTTATTTTCATGAGAAACCCAATATGAAATACAGGCTTGGCGAGTTCTATATGGCCAAAATGACCCGGACATTCTGCCATACTTTCTCCACACTAAAAATATTTTTTTTCAATACAAAAAAGTATAAAAATACTCAAATACCGTTTGACACTTGAAATTCCTGTCAATCGTCCCCAAACGTGGGTCTAAAAGTCCTCCAATGCGTGGTCTATGGCCAGATTCATCCATAATCTCTGGGTATCTTTTTTTATGTTAAAATTACCGAAAAAAACGCCGTTTTCAATATTAAGCACATACTCAATCTTGGCTACACTCATTGCCCTCTAAAATAAGTAATTAGTTTTAATTCACAGTGCTTTTTTGCATTTTTTACAATTTCTTCCGGACTCAAAATCCCAAACTGTACCTCCTCAACTTGGCGTAAAACTGCAGAAGAAGGTGCAAAAGCCAAGTCCCCACTCATTATGGACTACCTGGAGAGCCCTCGCTACTGTCTATGCGCAGTAATTTGGTGTTGTTATTGTTGCTGTTCTCCAATCCTCATGCAGTTGTTTTAATGATCTCTCGATATTTTTGACGAAAAAAAATCCAGACCTCCAAAAAACGTGTTAATTAAAAAGAAGGAGAAAATAAGGCAATTTGTATTTAGCAAATTTCCTGTCTCTTATTTCCGAGGCAGACAATCTTAGGTATGTCTTTTTCTGAAGTTTTTTGACTATATTTATATTGATATATTTTTTTTAGTATGTTAAATAAAATATCAGTGTTACTCATGATTTGAAGAAAAAAACTAGAAAATGAAGCATGAGATGGCATTTAAATAAGGACAGTTCTTTATTTGGTTTATTTATTGTTGCCTGTTTTTTTGTATTTTTAAAAGAAACGTCATTTTGAATACTCTATAAAGATAAATGAACTTGGTAGTGTTTCTGAACATAGTTTTATCATTTTTAAGATTTTTTCAGGAACTTTTAAATCCATTTTCCCAGGAGTATCCAGAAAGTTTAACGTCGTCACTTTGTAAGTATTTACTTTGAAAAGTACATAAGTTAATGAAATTAGCATATGGGCATGCAATGTTGATTCGGTTTAATAAAAAAGGCGATCATTTAGCAGCTGGTCTTTTTGATGGTGCTGTTATTATATGGGATTTGCTAACAAATGGTGTTTCAAGAGTATTAAAAGGACATACTAGACCTATTCAGTCTGTTTGGTAGTTATTTTTTTTATTTTTTGACAACTAATGTTTTTAAAATAGCTGGTCTATCGAAGGTCGATACTTATTATCAGCTGCTCGTGACTGGAGATGTGTATTATGGGATCTTAAGGACGGTTCTCGTATAAAAACAATACGTTTTGATGCGCCTATTTGGGGTGCTGAGTTACACCCATTTAATAGGTTTTTTTGATTACTTTTATTATTTTTATTATTAAAAATAAAAGAAAAATTTTCGTTGCATCTCTTCTTGAAGATGTCCCTATTCTTACTGATATATCAAAAGGAGATATTCAAAAACATATTCTTCCAACAATTCCTAAAAGACCTTTAAATGAAGGCGCAGAAGAAGGGGAGATTGACGAAAAATTAGTGTCACAAGATATAAAACAATTTACACTTGTTTGTACATTTAATAGTACTGGAAAATATATTTATAGTGGCACTACAAAAGGTTGGCTTAATATTATATCAAGTACATCTTTGGAAGTAAGTTTTAAAATATATTATTTTGAATTTATAAATATATATAAAGATACTTTATTCTTTTCGATTGACCAATTCAAATATCAAACAAATACGTTTAAGTCCAACCGGAAAAACACTTGTTGTAAATTCAACTGATAGAATTGTTCGAACGCTTTCTATCATTGATGATCCAGAAAATCTAAATGAATCATCAATTGAAATAGAACATAAATTTCAAGATGTTATCAATAGATTCCAATGGAATGCATGCGCTTTTAATTATTCCGGGGAATATGTTATGGGTAATTGTTTTATATGAAATTCTCTTTTTAACTTTTACTTTAGCATCTACTTATCAATCAGCTCATGTAATTTACATATGGGATAGAAATACAGGGTCCCTTGTAAAAATTTTGGAGGGACCTAAAGAAGAATTTATTGATATTGATGTATAACTTTATGTTTTTTTTTTTTTTAATTCTTATTTTTAAATAGTGGCATCCAGTTTATCCTCTTATTGCAGCAGCAGGGTTAGAAACAGGGACTATTTATATTTGGTCTATTCCACAAACAGAAGGATGGTCAGCTTTTGCACCTGATTTTACTGAATTGGAAGAAAATGTTTTGTATGAAGAAAGAGAAGATGAATTTGATATTGTTCCAGAAGAGACTAAGAAAAACATGGTTAATAATGATAATGATGATGATGTAGATATAATAACTATTGATAACATTCAAAACACTGTAGGCTCTACTCATGTAGAAGGGTTTTTACTACCAGTACTATTCGATAGTGATTATACAAGCTCATCTGAAACAGATGATCAAAAAAAAAATAAAAATATGAAAAAATTAGAGAACTTTAAAAATAATCCGAAAAGAAAAAGAAATGAGTAACTACATTTAGATGCTCAATGGTGTTATGCATAATGTTGAAAATAATTTATTAGCAATATACAAGCATTTTGATAATTATGTATATATTATAAATATGCAAATTAGATGTCATCAACATCATAGCTTATTTTGTCTCTTAATGAATTATAGTGTGCACCTATTAATATTGAATTTAGTAGACAAAGATAATCTTATATACCTAATGCGTACATGTGCTGATAATAACTTAATTTAACTGCATTCTTATCATCTAAAGGTGATTGACTATTCGGTTCATAATTAATCTTTAATGGGGGCCCTTTCATTTGTATTAATTCCACATTAACTTTATACGCTCTTGCTAAAGCAATAATTTCTACTTCACCACCCCACATGGCTGTATGTTCGATATCTTGACAATATGATTCTACATCTCTAACTTCTCCAGTTTCATCGTTAAAAAGAAATGGAATAAAATCTTGTTCATGTTCTCGGATATAAGATGCTGCTATGGCACGTAATTCAATATAACTAACCTACAATAAAAAAATGTTAAAAGATATCAAAAGAAAAAAATTACTTTACATGAATACCATGTCGAACAGCGAGCTGATCTGAAAATGCTCTGTATAAACAATGTCCATCAGGATTGATCTGTTCGTTTTTAAGCCCGAAAAACTGTTAAAATTAGAAAAATGTTTACATCTTTTTCTTCATAAGACATTTTCTCGATCGTAGCAGTAATAGACTCCTGTTCAATTTTCCTCATGTCTAAAGAAGATTTTTCTTCAGAAGCCATTTCATTTCTGATTCTTTCCAACTCCTTTTTTCTCCTTTCCTATATGTATAATTAATATAGTAAAAAAGAGTCAAAAGACCTACCATACGGCTTCTTTGGCGACTCTTCCGAGGAATATTAGGTGAATCAGGTTCTATAGATGAATCTAATGAGTTTTTTAGTGCAAAACATTTTGAATTGTTGTTTTTTATAAGTTTACCCGTCATAAGCATTATAAGTTTTATAAGTTTACAAACAATTATAGCTTATTTGTTTGGAAATGTAATTCCAATATTTAAATAAAAAAAATTAATCTTATCCTGTGTAATAAAATATTCTTGAAAAAAGTAATCTTTAATAATTCAAATTGTTTAAACGTTTCGATTTAGGGTTTATAACTTATCCTTTTTATATTGAATATAGCAAATTTTTTATAAAAAATGTATATCAAATAATAATAGAAAGTCCCTTTTATATGCAAATCATTTATAAGAGAAAAAAAAAAAACAAAAACAAAAAATAATATTTGTAAATATAAAATATGTTGTAACAAATATTTAAAAGAATGTATAAAAGTTATTTTAATAATTTTATTCAGCTGGGATACGGATAATTATTCTTATTTTAGTTATTTAATTAGTTTTGTAAACTCTTCAATGTGTTAAATTATAAATTAAATGTTTATTTTTTGTTTCTTAAAATTGCTCAAAAATATTTCTCCACGAAGTACTATCTTTGATGCTCTTTTTATTTATTTCAACAAATCATATTATGAAGAATTCACCTCTTTATTTTTATAGACTTTTTCTTTATGTTTAACTTAGATGTTCCAATTTTTCTATATATATAATTCTAAAATCGTTGATTAGCTTTTCAATTGACTCTTTATTTTTATAAATTAAATAGAATTGTTAAATTTTTCAAAAATTCTTTGGTAGTTTCCAGACTATAATGACAATTTATTGATAGATTTGTTAATATTAGAGAAAGAAACATATCTTCTGTTTTTGAATTTAATACAAAAGCATTGATTTTTCATACCAAATTTCCCAATAAGTAGAAAAAAATAAATTCAACTAATAATCATGTTTTTATTTTTTCTATAATTTGAAGAATTAGGATATGAAAGTAAATCAATGTGTTTTAAATTTTAACATATTTAATGTAAAAATGACATAAGAACAATATATATACTTTATTGTATTGAAACGACAATATTTCTTAAAATTCTTAACTCATATCTCCAGTTTCTTGAAAAAATCAGAAAAAACAATTCATTTTCTTAGAATTATCATTTAGTTTTATTTTTATTTATTTAAAGCCATTACCATATCAATAGCTATAGGAACCATAGAAATAAATATATAGAATTTAAATATAAAATAAATACACAGTTTCTTTTAGCTATTCATTTTAATTAATAGTTATTTCAGACGATTCTATCTTATTAAATGTCGGAAATTTTAATTCAAGAGTTCATAAAGCTCATTTAATTACTTTAATTATATTGAATCTGTATGAAAACTGAGCTAATAAATTATTCCAAAAAGCTTATCTTTGTGGTTGTTAGAAAATCAATTAAAATTGAATTTAACGATTATTTAACGATTGTTAGGTAAGTTACGATAACTTAATGAAGGAAAATTATATATCTTTATACACCTGATTTATTGGAAATAAAATTCTTAAATTATTTAAGCAAACAAGTTATAATGTTTAAAATTGCTTTTGAATCTTTTGAATTAATATTTACTAAAAATCTATTAGTTGAAATCGATATTTTTTTTTAAATCTATTTTTTAAGGTTAGTTATAATGGAATGAGTGCATATTTTTATCTTTGATGAAAAAAAAGTATCGTATTATAAATGCCTGAAATTGAATAAGTTTATTCATGAAGACATTTTAATCTTCTCTCTGAATTTTTTAATTTAAAATGTTTAAATAAATGACTTATCATTAACTAAAGTTTAGTATATTTTGGATATATAATTTATGTTGATATCTTTGTATCGGGATTTCTTAATTCATAAATCAATTAACAAGAAATGGTTTACCTTATTAAATCATTTATTTTTTACGCGGACAATTAATATTTCCAAAAAACAAGACAATGACATAAATAGCCGCAATAATAGTCTTTTAAAAGAAGGAATTGAACTATATCCAAGGATACGTCCCGATAAAAAGTATCTAGAAATTCCTTATATCATCGATACATGGAAAGAAGTGTTAAAAAACGGTGAACGTGCTTTAAGTGTTGGAGAAATTACTATAAGAGGTCATAACTATGTTTTTATTGTTTAAAAGTTTTTTACATGTTATTTAGGACGGATATTTTCAGTAAGGATGTCCTCTTCAAAGCTTTTTTTCTATGATATATATGCTTCTGGTGCAAAAATACAAGCAGTTTGCTCACTTCGAGTATATAAGGGTGATCCATCCATTTTTTTGAAAATCAATCGAAATTTAAGAAAAGGAGATGTTGTTGGTTTATAAATATTTGATGCTTTTTGGTTTTAAAGACTAAAAAAGACTTTAGAAATGGTTGGCATTTTGGGAAAAACGAATGTTGGAGAATTTTCGATATTTATCACATCGAGAATACAATTACTTTCTCCCTGTATTTATCCATTACCATCTGAAATAAAAGATGTCGAAAAACGTTTCGAAAATAGGCATGTAGACTTCTTAATACATCCTAAAGCATCTAGCTATATGATTTTACGTTCTAAAATATTAACATATATTCGTACGTTTTTATTAAATAGAAATTTTTTAGAAGTGGAAACACCTATTTTATCTGGATTAACTGGAGGAGCAAATGCTCGTCCATTTTATACACATGCAAATTCACTTAAAAAGAAAATTTTTCTTAGAATTGCACCTGAATTATGGCTTAAAAAATTGATAATCGGTGGGTTTGACAAGATTTTTGAAATTGGAAAATGTTTTCGAAATGAAGGTTTGCAAAGGCTTAACATATTTAATATTAAAAAGAAAACTAAAAAATATCTTAGGCTTAGATTCAAATCATAATCCCGAATTTACAATGTGTGAATTTTATCAGACATATGCGTCTTTAGATGATTTAATAGAAATAACCAAATCACTTTTATCTGGTTTAGTTAAGGAATTAACGAATAATTGTCTTCTTAAGGGTAACACTCTTTCTCTTGTGAACAATGGGTTTTTAAATAATTATAAAATATTGGATTTTATTCCATCTCTTGAAAATTGGTTAAACACACCTTTTCCTAATTTAGATTCTCCTTCTGCAATTTCTGAACTTCTTTCTATTGCTAGTGAAAAAAATATCATTCTTAAAAAACCTCATACGATAAATCGTATTTTGGATCAACTTTCTGACCAATTTATAGCTTCTCAGTCCAATGAACCGACATTTTTTATTTATCATCCAGAAATTATGTCACCACTTGCAAAATCTTCTCTAAGACATGGTCAAAAAATAGCTCATAGGGGAGAGCTTTATATTTTTGGCAAAGAAATTTGTAATTTTTATGAAGAAGAGAATGCGCCATCTGAACAGTATTCAAAAATGTGTCGTCAACAAGAAGACCGTGATCATAATAGTGACTTTGATATACAAATGATAGATTTAGACTATATAAACGCATTAAAATGGGGTTTGCCACCGACAGGTGGTTGGGGTATGGGTATTGATAGACTTTGCATGATTTTATCTGGTACATTGAGAATCAGCGAAGTTCTGTCATTTGGAAATCTTCGAATGACTTGTATTTCAAATTTATCCAACTCACAAAACGAATATGATAAGAAAGATAAATGAAATAAACGAAGTATACAAAAAACAATAACATTTCACAGAAACATTCTCAGAAATATTCCTATACATTAAAATTTCTAGCTATTTTTAAGCAAACCCGTTGCTCTTATATCCTTCCAAAATCATTTATAATACACGTTTTCTTTATATCCTATTACTCTTTAATTTGAAATACAAATTACTTCTTCTTTCCATATATTTTCTTAATATTTCTTTATATTTTTTTGTTCTTGCTATTTGCCCTTCGACAATACTCTTATCAGCTTTCGAAACTACGATCTACATTTTTTCTTTGTACATGATTCTGAAGATGCAGTACGTCGGAAAGGCATTTGGTACTATGTCCAGGACGTGGTCTTCTATTAATCCAGTATGTATTTTGTATTTTGAGACTGATATTGATGAATTCTAGGCTACACTTTCAGGTGCAATTGATGTTATTGTAATAGAACAAGCAAATGGAGATCTTGCGTGTTCACCGTTTCACGTACGGTTTGGAAAGTTTTCTATGCTTCGTCCATCAGAAAAGAAGGTTGGTTGAGTATATAAAGGTTTTTTTTGATATCTTTTAGGTAACATTTCGAGTCAACAATGAAGTGGTTCAATATTCGATGAAATTGGGAGATGAAGGGGATGCATTTTTTGTTTTTAGCACGGAAAGTGATGTGCCTGATGAGCTTAAAACTTCGCCTGTTATTTCACCTTCAAGTAGCCCACAATCTAGTGAAGAAGTCAATATATGATCTCATATGGTTAACGGTGTTAACGTGTTTTTAGACAAGTCTTCAAGAACCAGATGATTTTGATTTAAGTGAACATGTTTCTCGTTAGTTATTTGTAAAAATAGTATTTTATTTTTTGACATTATTAGGAACACAGAAAGATGGTACGAGTGCACGTTCATCTGATTTTAACTGCAACGGTCTGAATAATGGATTTATTGAATATAGTTTTTGATCTTTATTGAGCAGATGATATTGGTGATGTAGGCTTTACACGCCATGAATCATGGGATATTTTATCGATTGATCAATCATCAAGTACACCAAATGATACGCCTAAAACCCAGATAGTTTCAAACGATAGCACATATTCTGGTTCTAAAAAGACTAATGATGAGTTACTTTCAGGGTCAAATGCATCGTCTCCTGATCTCAGAGAAGCTCGGTTAAGCGCAATTAAACGTGCATCCGAGCTTAGTAAAAGGCTTTTAAGTAGAGATATTCCTACTCATATTACAGATAACGGGGGTATGTCTTTTTTTGCTGTTCTTTTTGTATTCTTTGTGAAAAATAACACCATGTAGATGTAATATTGGACGTGCGTGGTTATAAGTCATCTGATGAGGCTGAACAAGAAGCAGAGGCTATTGCTCGACGTATTCTTGCAGAGATAGGTATCGACCCTAGTGAGTTAGAGAATCTTATCTCTTCTGATTCGTATGGAAATATTTGGATTTATGCAAGTGAGGATTCAAAAGAAGATGCTATAAATAGAAAATCATTATTTGCAAATACAGATATATTTTCTAATGTATATTTGGAGTTTTTAGAAATTTATATTAATATAGTATAGAATAGCTCAACTGATTTATCGTCCAAGATTTCTTTAGCTTCAGCACATGTTTTGGAATCTCAACCTAGACCATCTATGAATACAACCACACACGTTAAAACGCTTCGTCTTACTTCAGAACAATTAGTAGTATTTTTTTCTTTGATATTCTAGTTAACTTTTTCTAGAAATCACTTAATCTTCAATTAGGGCAAAATTTGATTTCATTTAGTGTTAATAAGGGGAAAGCTACTGTCTCTGCAAATCTTTATTTTTGGAAACATAATACCTCTGTTGTCATTTCTGATATTGATGGCACAATTACTAAGTATATTTACTTTTTGATACACTTTATACTTAAAGTCAGATCTGATGCTCTAGGACATGTATTGACAATTATTGGTAAAGACTGGACACATCCTGGTGTTGCAAAACTTTATTCTGATATTTATAATAATGGTTTTAATATATTATATCTTACAAGTCGTTCTGTAGGACAAGCAGATTCTACTCGTGAATATTTGAAAAAAATAGAACAAAACAGATACAAATTGCCATTAGGTCCTGTCATTCTTTCTCCTGATCGGACGATTGCAGCTTTACGAAGGCAAATATATTTTTGGCCTAATTTTTTCCTTTATACTAATTATACTAAAGAGAAATGATTTTAAGAAAACCAGAGGTTTTCAAGATATCTTGTTTACGTGATCTACAAAATGTTTTTGGCAAGGATTCAAATCCATTTTATGCTGGATTTGGCAACCGAATCACTGATGCATTGTCGTACCAATCAGTTGGGATTCCACCTACTCGAATTTTTACTATTAATTCTTACGGAGAAGTCTGTATGAAATTTTTGGAACTTGCGGGCTACCGTAGCAATTATATTTCTATGAACGATCTAGTGGATCATTTTTTTCCGCCTCAAGGCATGTCTCTGTTTCAAATGAAGCAAATAGAATTCATTGATACTTTATTTTGGCGCAGTCCATTACCTCACATTTATGATTCCAATGAAGATGATACTCTCTTCTCAAACGATGGAGATAATGAAGACGATGATGATAACGATGTTGATGATGACGAGACAGAGATGTATTCTGACAAACATAATGTTCATATTGACTTTTAAGCCACAAAAAACCATACCCGCTATCACATTCAGAATTCATACATAATAAATGGCTTATTCATACCTCCTCTTGAAAATTTTATACATTTGATTTATATATATACACGTTTTTGTATTTAAAAGGTTTACACACTCGGGTTTGCTGAAAACTTGTACACTCAATTATACATACGTTTCTTCTGGAAAACATTTATTTATTTATTCTAATGCTGAAAACATTCTTTTACACTAAACTTTATACGAACTATACCAAACACTTGAATACGCTTTTGCTTAGGTATTTCTTGATGCTCCTCATCGATCGTGTGTCCAGATGTACCACTCATCTCACTGGGCCTCCTCAACTATCCGACCGATATCCGTTGGCTGCTGCTTGGCTCTTTAATGCCATTTTTCGGCTTTGGACACAGTGGTGCTGGTGCCAGCCAGGCTATCAATCCCCAGAAGGTCTCTGCTGCTGAAAATGAGCTTGACATGATCACCGACTTGTTTACAAGGTATTCATACATCACTGCATGGTGCATCTGCACACACTCCTGCATAGACAGACTCTGCGTCTATAGACACCATTATTGCACTGATATCTCTGTTTTTTCTTTTTTCTACTATATTTGAGTTACGGCTAACCGCTGCTCGGTAGACTAGTTGATGCTTGTCATAGTAAATGCATCCCCCCTAATTACACAGACAGCGAGCTTAATAAAGGCGAGTCGGTCTGCATTGACCGCTGTGTCGCAAAGTTCTTTGAAGTGAATGCAAAAATCGGCGAAGTATGCTCTATTTTTCAATGTGCCCGCTAACCGCTGCAGCACATGCAAACACTGAGCCAGAATGCACGCTCTGGCCTCGGGCAGACACTCGGCCGCTGAGTCGGCCGCGCTTTGCAGGCGTGCATCGCATATATAACGCATACACAACGCATACAACACGCATACACTCCACATACACACAGCATATGCACAGCCATGCAGTACACATACACTGACTGTTGAGGACAGAGCCTGTGTATGCACACTGCGCGCCGTGTGCTCCCTGCCCGCTTACTGTATGCTCCTATGCATCCTATGCACTTTGCACTCATGTACTCTGCAATACATACCATACATAAACACAACTCATACCACACATAAACATATAACTACGTAAGTACATAAGTACATAAATACACATAAGTGCATGAATACATATAAATGCACTCCCGTGTCTGCCCGTCCTCCCGGACTGCGCAAAATTTGCCCATCGACACCGGGCACCACTAATGACCAAGGTAAGCCGCCTCGGCAGCATGCGGGCAGCATGCGCTCCCACACGCATATACCCGCCCACACACCCTTCCCTGACACCTGGGCCCTGCATGCTGCCGTCCTCTTGCTCCTGCATCCTGACTCCTCTAGGGCACCTCTTCCTTCGGCAAGCGCAACACCAAGACACACACTCAGTGCCGACGCTGCGGCCGCTGTGCGTTCCACATGCAAAAGTCCACCTGTGCGTCCTGCGGCTATCCCGCAAGTAAGATGCGCCGATGTATGCTCCCCTCTGCCGCCCGCGCCCCGCTGACTCCCTAGATAACTGGTCCTTCAAGGCAAAGCGCCGTAGGACCACCGGCACCGGCCGCATGCGCCACCTCAAGCACGTCTACCTGCGCTTCCGCCACGGCTTCCGTATGCCCCCTCTCCCGCTCTCCTCGCTTACTCTGCAGGCACCGGCGAGACCCCAAGGCTGCCGCGTCCTCGCGCCTAAGCCGCACCGCATGCACCGCATACAGCGCATACAGCACGCATACAACACGCATATACTCCGCATACAATGCGCATACACACGGCTACACATGGCATATGCACGGCACTACATGCATATATGCCGCATGCCGGCATACACGACATACGACGTGCACACGGATGCCGCGGTACTGCGTCACGGCATGTGCGGCTGTATGCATGATCTCTGGTCTTTGGCAACTTGCGGCGCACGTGCGCCGCACATGTATATGTATACGCAATATATAGTAATCTGGCATTCTGGCTCGGCCTACTGCCGCTCCTCACTCCACTATGTACACTGCCCGAGTCCTGCGCGCTGTATGCGCGCTGTATGCGCCGTCAGTGCCCCGCGTGCGCCCCGCGCCGTGCTGTATGCGTCAGCGGCGCCGCGCCCCGCCTGCACACTCACCTTGCGGGTTCCGTGGGTCCCCCGCATACGCCTCCGACTGCTTCATCGCATCCGCAACTTTGCACACACCGTAGAACACTATGCCGCCCGCCACAAGGAATGGCGCCAGTGGCCCACTGCCCCATCAGCTCATCCGCCGCGCCTCTCTGCTTCGCCATACCTGAACGCTGTTGGCCACCTCTTTCCCCAGTGCATTGCTGCTGCCGGCGCCCACGCCCGCCATGGCACGGGTTGCCATGGGGTTGCCATGGCAGGCTGTGCAGGCACTGCAATGGCCAGAGAGAGGGCACGGCGGACGGACGATGCTGGCGACGCACTGAGCAGTCTTGAGGGCTGTGTCGCGTCACTCAGCGCATGCAACTACCGGGTAGGCGTGCAGCACTGCGGCTGCGGCTAACCGTGCAGATGGAGCTCCTTCTCGGGACTCTCGAGGCGGGAATTGGGGACTTTGAGCGTATGAGGCGCGTGCTTTCGTGCAAACGCGTAGGGTACCACACTAACTGCGCCCGCTGACGAGACAGCACTTCGATGTAGCCGCTGAGGCAGAGGTGCGCGCTGCAGCGCGCGAGCTCCAGCAGGAGCTCTGTCCGCAGATAGAGCAGCTACTAGAGCGCGCAGAAGCGGAGATTACGCGTGCTGCGCACAGCGAGAGGACGCTGCATGCGCTTCGCGCAGAGAGGGAGCGGCTGCAGCGGGCGCTTGAGCGTCTGCAGCTCGAGGCAGCACAGCGCGCCAAGAGAGAGCGTAGCACGGGAGCTGCGCCGCGGGGTTAGCAGGGTTAGCAGAGGGGCATGTACAGGTCTGTATGGCTCATTGGGCTCACTGGGTTCACTGTTTTCCACTGTTCTGGCTGCTGGAGGCGCGTCGCGGCAGGCGAGCCACGAGTAGGTCGAGCTTGCGCACGAGGTCTCTGAGCTCGTTTTCGGCAGCTTGGCCTTAGCACCACAGTGTGGGAGGAGTGCTTACCTGCAAGATGGTCTGTGGCTGCAAGCAGGGCCGAGTCCTGTGCGCCAACGCGAATTCTGGCGACGACCTGCGTCTGTCTGTGGCCGGCGGCGCCTGCCGCTGGCTGCTCAGGCTTCCAGGCACGGAAGCCGAGTAGCCGCAAAAGAGAAAAGGGTCTCTGTGCGGGATCGTGTTCCTGCAAGAGGCAGACACATGCGGTGATGGATGTCTGGTCGACGCCGATGGAGAGACGGATGCTGGGGGGCAGAGGTGGGTCGAAGATCTGTGGAGCAGTTAGCGGGCAAGGAGAGGGGCACATACATGGCTGGGAGCACAGTGAGCTGGGTCGGGCTCGGAGAAGGAGGCGGCGGGCAGGCGGAGGATGCGCCGTGCAGACTGGGTCTGGAGCAGCCAGTGGGCGGCAAGCTATGGCGGTAAGCAGGCGGGCTGGCAGAGGAGGAGAGACGTGTTGTGCTGAGGTAATGTCGGCGGGGGCATTCAGTATGGTGGCGTGAAGGAGGCGAACGGCCTTATCGAACTCGGCGAGCTGTACAGTGAGTACGGACAGTGTGTAGCGGGTGCAGCATACCTGGGGGAGCGGGAGGGAGGCACCGTGTCGGAGACAGAAGGGGGGCAACTTTGTGTCTCTGAAGCAGAGCAGGAGTTTCTGGGAGGGTCAGCGTGCAGTGTGGGCGGTAAGGAGCAGAGACGCATTTTACGATTGCGGACCCGGATCTTGTTGCAAAGCCCTTAAGGATCTCGGTGTGGACGGAAGAGAGCGCGAGGGTGGAGTCGGGGCAGCAGAGCGCGTCTCTGCATGCATCGAGTGAGCGGCCTATACTGAGCCTGACACTCGGGAGCACCTCGGTGACAAGCCATTCGAGCTCAGCCTTTGCAGTTAGCGCGGTGGGAGGTGAGGAAAAGGCGGGAAGGCAGTGAAGACAGCAAAGACAGCAGGGGCGGCCTGATACGTACGGAGACTGCTTCTTCGGGGGGAGCTTTGCGCGCTTTGCCTGTGCAAACGGGCAGCCGCGTATTTCCCGACATTCCTGTTGCCGCTCTGTTGCCGCTCTGTTGCCGCTCTGTTGCCGCTCTGTTGCCGCTGTACGATGTTTACCGCTGGATAAGCCGAGAGCGGGAGCGAGAGGGAGTATATTAAGGATTAGGGGTTTACTGGGGGTTTACTGGGGGTTCATTAAGGGCTTATTTATTGGGGGTTTATTGGGAGTTTACTGAGGATTAGGGTGCTGGACTGAGAGCGGGAGAGAGCGGAAAATAGGGTTTAGGGAGTCTGTGCAAAAACGCTTGTAAAAATGCATGTAAAATGCATGTAAAACGCATGTAAAACGCATGTAAATGCATGTGTCAGGGCCCTTTGGATGCAAACTGGCTTTTGGGTGGAGCCGGCTTGAGTTCTGCATTCTCCTATTTGCTCAGCCACACAAGAAACGGGCGACCAGCGGCACTTGAAGCAAACCGTATGTCTCCGTTAGAATTTCGCGGGGGCCCTTTGGAGAAAGGTCTGTACAGAGGACATGTGTGGCTACCAAGGAGTGCACGGGTTCTTATGGGTTTTGGCGCCTGGGTGGCGCTGCAGAGGGATCTAAGGCGGGCAGATCTGGTGGGGATACTGTCGGAGCTGACTGCACTGCCCTGTGTGCTGCGCAGACTGCATGCACAGATGTTGGGCGACCTGGCGGGGCGACGGCTGCTCCGTGAGCAGCCGCGTATCAACTCTAATACCGTTAACCGGCAGGCATTGCGTGCCTTGCCGCCAGACACATTTGGCCGTGTCTATGCAGAGTGGATGGATGCATACCGTCTGAGCCCGGATACACGTGGAACGGTAAGGGGTGGGCAGAAGGACAGCACTGGAGCACAAAAGCAAGCAGAGAGAGAGGCAAGCAGAGAGACAAACGTTGGGTGCGTTCTGGCATTTCCGGATGTGCCTGTATACGTGCAGGAGTGCTGTTTTTATGCATGAATGTTGCATGGTTTAGAGTCTTACTGCTTCACAGGTGAGATATATCAACAATGCGGAGTGGGCATATGTTGTTCAACGGTACCGCGAGTCCCATGACTTTTACCATGCACTTGTTGGTCTCCCTGCTACTCTTGAGGGCGAAGTCGCGCTTAAATGGTAGGAAACACTGAAAACATCCAGAAGACCCAGGAAAGCATCCAGAAGATGCAGAAAAACGCACTGTGGGGGCAGAAAAGCACACAGTAGAGGCAGAAAGCATTTTAGACACTTTTTGGATACCTGGCTTTGTACTCTTGGGGTGTACTTGTTTTTGAGAAAAGTCTGCATTTGGACTTGGCATTTCTTTTGCAGTATTTTTATGTTTTCTTGCTAACGAGTCTCTAGCTTTGAGCTATGCAATCTGGGGCTCCCCATAGCTCTCTTCTCTATACTGGCTGGTGCACCCCGGCTTTCTTCTGCAGCACGCAGACGACTATGGACACTATATTTTCCATGGGCTCTGCATTGTGGGCGCCGTGCCCAGACAATGCTCAACGTTTACTGGGAGGAAGAGTTTAGAACGAACATTCATGTGCTCCGTCAGCGCCTCGGCGTAACCGCTGCACCGACCCATACATCTTTTTCTGCTCCCCAAAGGCACTGACTGCACAATGCCTCTGCTTGACCTCACACACGCACTGTCTTGCCTGCAGACACATGCCCTGGGTTTATTGTATCTATTTCATGTCTACATATAGAGTGTATACACGTATACATACACATATACATTTGTCCATACATGTGCATTTATCCATGTATATACATATTATACATATATATACATATACATACATACGCCTACGGATGCATAGATGCACTATACACACTACTGCAGATGCATACTATATGTGCTAGATATGTCTACACACATAGACACACTTGCTCACGGCTGTACACACTATATACACAGAATACACCTGTATACACCTGTATACACCCGTATACATATATACAGTATATATACTATATACACTATATATACTATACACTATATACACTATACACTATATATAGTGTATACATTATATATACTGTATATACTATACGTACACATTATACTGCTGTAGAGCCGTTATATATCATCGTCCTCACAGTATCGCCGGCGATACTGTGTATATTAGTATCTGTACTGTGTTGTATATATCAAATATACTATAATCTTTGTTTCCTTTGTCTCTTCACCACTAATCTCCCGTAACAGCCCAATCAGTGCTTCCTCTGTCACTTTGTGCCGTAGTGTCCCCTGTTGCGCCATACGCAGCAGCATCTCTTCAACTGCACGTGCACGCTCAATGTGGACGAGCGCAATCCGCGCGAGCCGGTCGCGCGCTGCCGGCTCGAGAATATGTGAAAGCTGTATTATTGCAGTTAGATATACACAAACCTACTATACATTATGTATAATTATGTACCATTGCATGCCGCGCTTCTTTTGCTGCAGTTTGTGCCTCTGCAGAGTCTTTATCGGGATTAGCACTTTGACGCAGATACCCATCGTATGCATCCGCAGAGTCCATTGGGCAGCCAAATAGACACTGTATGTGTCTGTAGGCAGTGTATATAGGGAAACGGGGATTACAGGCGTATATATGCGCGGAAAAAGTGAATATATGCGCGCGGACCGTGTGGTGTATGCGCGGAGAGGGTGTCCAAAGAAGCTTGGTTAGGTTTGATTATTATCGTCAGGGATCCGTAGTGCGGGACTAGAGCGCATACAATACGCATACAACACGTATACAGTACGCATATAACACGTATACACTGTATATATTCTACATACACACTGCATACAATATATATACACCACATTCTGCGTCTGCGCCGCATCGCAGCCGTGTCACTGCACACAACGAACATATACTAAGCACAGTGGAGATACAAGTATACGCGACGCATATATAACGCATATATAACGCATATATAACGCATATAGTGTGCATATAGTGTGTATACACTGTATATATACTGTTATATACTTTGTATATACTGTGTATATACAGTGCATAGAGTGGATATATAGTCACATAGTGCACATACAGTGCACACAATAGTGTGCATACACCACACATATATAGCGCATATACCGCGCATACAACACAGATAAACACGCATATATCGCATATACAACACATATACAGTGCATACTTTGTAGTATGGACGTTGTCGAGTCTGGCGTCTCTCGTGAGTTTGAAGTACTCAGTACAAAGCTTGTTGCCTCTATAGAAAAGCAGGCAACACTTGAGGATCAAATGCATTGGACAGATGCAGCACTTGACCGTGCAAAAACGCGGATTTCAGAGCTTGAAATGGCACAAAGGGACTGTGTTGAACGGATGGCAAATGTTTTGCAGGAAAAACGGGGCGCTGAAGAAGAAACACAGGCTTTAATGACACGCCTTGTTGAGGAAACACGACTGCGTGGGCAGGCAGAGGCAGAGAAGCAGGCAATTGAAAAAGAACTGGAAGATCTGACAAAAACTCTGTTCGAAGAAGCAAATCAGATGGTAACAGCAGCTCAACACGAACGAGATCGGGCAGAACGGCGGAGTATGCAACTGCAGGCTCAGTTGGAAGAAGCAGAGAAGCTGCAAAAGTCACAACAGAAACAGCTGGAGGAGTTGAAGGGTTTGTTGCACGCAGTTACGGGATCTGCAGCAGGGGCGCTGAGAACCGGGGAAAATGGGGAAGAAAAGGGAGGAAAACGGGTACGGCGAGTGTTTAGAAGCGATATAGCAGCGTTCCAGGAGTTCCAGGCGTTTTTTAGCACAGTAAATGTGCAAAAACGGGGAGGAGAGCAAGGAGGAGAAGGACAGAGTGTTCAGACTGCACAGAATGGGCAAAATGGAGGAAACGGGGGAGGAGGGGGACTGGGAGGACCAGTACGGGTGAGTTCACCGTCATTTTTTGGGTTGGGAAGTCCTACAGGAACAAGTTCATTCAGAGATTGGAAATTTATCAAGCGGTGCATCTATGAAGACATAGAGCCGACTCTGCGGCTAGATAGTGCACCAGGACTATCGTGGCTTGCACGACGAACAATGTTTTCAGCGATTTTGGAAGGACAACTGGTGATTGAGCCGGGAAAAGTAGGGAAAGGAGGAATAATATGTTCACTGTGTGGAAACAGCTGTACAGAAGAAGGAAATCGGCGGGTGCACCGGTTCAGAACCTCAGAGGCACAGAATACAATGAAATTTTATTATTTATGTGGATATTGTTTACGGCGAGTGAGGAGTGTATGTGATTTTGCAGGATTTCTGCGGCAGCTGAGAGACGGGGTATGGCGGGCAGAAGGTGATGGTGAGGGTATAAAGGCATGGGAAGAGACGGTACGGTTACGGGAGGTGATGTTCTGGTCACGGGTGGGAGCTATAGAGGGAGTAGAGGGTCCAGCAGAGAAGGTGGCCGTTTCTATACAGTGATGGTGAGGTAGTGGCTACAGAGGAAAGGCAGCAGAAGCGTGTAGGGGCTGTCAAGGAGTTGTATAGAGTCTATAGAGTATATGGAATGTCTAAGGCGTACATATTGTGTATAAAGTCTGTAGGGTCTATATAGAATTTATAGAGTCTGTAGTCAGCAGAGGAACATCTGTAAGAGTGTCTAGGAAGGACTGTATAGTTAGGGGATTATATACACTGGAAAGGGTGTATATGAGGATAAGATGTGTATGGTAGAAGATTGGTGTAGCAAAGGCACTGTGTAGTTGGGGTTTATCTATAGTCAGGGCTCAACGGTATTGAGGTTGATTGTACTCAAGGTTTACGTATAAACAAGGTTACTAATAAGGTTGTTGATATTGTTTTTGGATAGCGCTTCTGAGCAACATTTCCGGGTAATGTTTCTCTATACACAGTGTTTCTATATAGATGGGGTGTTGGTGTGGGTAGTGTCTCTATGGATAAGATTTATTTGTATGAGTAGGATTTGTATTTGAGTGCAGCAGACTGTGCAACAAACAGTACAGCAGGGCAGTATATTGCAGGCTTTGTTGCATGCTCAGACATAAACATGCATTGTTTAGTAGGCGAGTAGGGAAAGTTATGGCTCAATCAGGGTCACATGGTGCATTAATATATGTAGGAATAAGAGATTTTGTTGAATCTGTTTAAATTTGCTTCTAATTTTCGGTTTTTATTGAAAGTTTTATTTTTGACGCTGTAAGTTTAAGATTGGCTTTTGAAATATGATTTTAGAGCATGTATAAATAGTTTTGTCTGGTATAAAAAAGAATCTCTTGAAGTTTTGATTGAATATATTGATTGGGTCGATGTATTCAAGTTTTGTGTATTATTTTTGAAGACACTAGGAATCTGAAACAAGTAGCATTAATTCTGTAGCTGGAGATTTGAATTTGTATGGATTGTCTTGGGTTTTTCATTGTTATATATTGATTTAAAATGCAAAATGACTAATATATAGATTTTCTTAATTTATTTAGCTGTGTATATATGTGTATTACAAGCTATACACAAGCACTACATATACTACTTGGTGCATATGGAAAGATGTATTAGCAGGCTGCATTTATACACTAATATACATAGATGTTATATTTAATTCCACTTTATATACATAATTTAAATATTTTTAAAAACATTTCATATGCTTTCAAAAACCATTTTATCCTACCATATCTTGATACGTTTGCTGGCTTCCACAGTCTGCAATGCATATAATGCGCATATAGCGTGCATATATAACGCATACATAATACATATAGTGCATACATATATTTCTTTGGGCCCACTAACTGTTTTCTGCTACAGCCGGATCTCCTGTTGATGCAGACATCACAGGTTTATCTTCAACGCCCTGCTCCGAGGCCTTTCCTGGGGTTTCTGTGCTTTCAGGTTCTTTAACCGGTACCCAACAAAACGTTTTAAACGACATATTTGTTTCCGCTTTACCATCTTTTGTCTGCACAGGACGTGTTACCCATTCCTGTCGCCATTTTTGCGGAATAATGTCGAATTCTGTGCTGCCAGTAATAAAACGGCCTTTTTCTGCGCGTGCACGAGTGCTCATTCGACGCACTAATTAAACGTTTTTATGGTTTTTCGTTACGAATGTACACAGATACAGACAATGAATATACATAATACAACACGCATATATTAAGATATATCGCAAATGTAACATGCATAGATAGGCATACAGTATGCTTTTTGTATATATAATTTGAATAAGTATGCAACGACTATATACTATATATATCGTATGCATATAAAGCGCATACAGACACATATATTGCATATAATACATATATACTATGTATATGTGTTGTATGTACACACTACATCAAAAAAGTATACTATAAAAATATATAAATGTGTACAGGCATATATAGGCATTATAGAACATATATAAAGCATATGTTGGTGTACAAAGAGGTATATGTCTATATGCTGCATATTTGTTGTACATGCTATTTGTTATACAGCTTTGTGTGTTATATATATGCAAAGTATACACAGTATGCGTGTCTTACATAGGCTGTGTGGGTTGTATGTCTTCTGTATATATATTATAGTATACTATGTATATTATACTTTACGATAATGTATTGTACATACTGTATATGTTGTATATATGGTATATATGTGCCAGATGTTGTATGTATGCTATATATACAGTATATGTGCACCATATATAGTATATAACGCAATATTTAAATACATAGGGCAACGTTAAAACATATATAATCAGAATAATTGAGCTTCTAAGCACATATACATGCAAAAAAGTGCATAAAATTCTTTATTTTTATGTATTCAATCTATGCCTAGTGACTAATAGACTAGGAGGGCAATATTGTATAAGAGCTTAACGAGAATATTGTGTCGATTAACGTTAAAAATGAGATTTTAGCAAAAAAGTATTAATGTCAAAAATAGGACCAGATAAAGGGGATTTAGACCCTTTAATAGAGGATCTTATGTCTCGAATTAGCTCTGTTGAAAAAGTTTTTTTGTTGTTGAAATCGGATGATTCAAACAGCTTATCAGAGATGGTAACGAAACTTTCTATTCTAGAGAAGGCAAAGTTCTATGTAGGGCTGAGTTATGCAATCAATTCACTTGTTTTCAGTGTGTTCTATTTAACTGTGTTTTTTCTGTGAAGTTTAAGAATGTTTTAGTGAATTTAAAGCTAAATCGTGTGGATACGAAGGAGCATGCAGTAATGAAAGAGCTTGAGAGAGTTCAGCTCTATGTAAACAAAATAAAAGAGGCAGAGACGGTGTTATCTAAGAGTAAATCCCTATTTCTTTATGATTTTGGGATATTAAGTGTTTAGGGACGGTGGTATTAGATAAACATGTGGTAGATCGGATAATTACGCACGATTTGTCAGAAAATGTAAGAATAGACAAGAAAAATAAAGAAATTAAGGGAAAAGATGCAAAAGATCAGAAAAAATTGTTAAAAAAGAGTGTTCATATAAGATTTAATACACCAGATACAGAATCTATAGTTAATGTGAATGATAAATCGATAAAGACAGATTTAGTAGGCGTTCAAGGCGCAAAAGCAGATACAGCAAAAGGCATAAAGCGTGGAAAAGACTCTGAAATGTCCTCAAGTATTGTGACTTCAAGGTTGTTTTTTTGAAATCTGATGAATAATAGATTTACATCTAAAAGCATCGGGAAAAGCACATAAAAAACATAAAAATAAGAAAAAGAAAATTTTAATAGACTAAAACATCGAATAGTCTTTATATAAATATGTTAAGCGTGTAAAACGGTTAACAATATAATGAAAAGTATATAACATGCTGATGCAGTGGGGTAAGGAATAGATTATTCATCTGCGATAAAGTCATAATGTCCCGGTCGGTAGAGTAGATTAATAGTAATTGGATTTTTATTTTCAACTGTAAATTCGTATTTTTTAGCGTGACTAGAGTCACTTCTGTCAATATAATAGATATGAATACAAACCTATATTAGTGAGATAGTAAATTGGACAATAGTTATACGAACGTACACCAAGAGCTTTGGATAGTGCATTAATCATGACATGGTCAGCTTCTTTTCCGATAGATTCAATTGTATTTTCGCAAAAGGTAAAAACATCTGCTACACTAGGAACATCCAAGAATGGTGCATATTCACAGGCGTTTTGTTTAATATAAGCACTAGTTAAGAAACGAAAATAGACAACCATTGCATTGCTCTTTTCGGGCGTATTCATAAGCGTAAGGAGCTCTCTTTCTTTGGCTTGAAAATCTTGATTCTCAGATGGTTTTAACAGACTCAACGCTAACAAAATTTCTTCATAAAAATCTTCATATGATAATGGCTCAAAACCACTCTTTTGAAGGAGTTCTGTAGTCTGACTGAATGCAACAATATTTTTTTCTGAATCAGCGGGTGTTTGGCGTATCCATGTCCAAAGCCATCCAAAACATAAAGCTATAAAAATAAGTTTGAAATAACCGTTTTGACTTGGAATTACCTCGATAAAAACAATCACCATCTCGTTTCAAACGATACAATGACATGTTTCCTAATGCCTTTTCCAGTGATCAACTATGAATAATAATATAAAACATACTTTAATTTTTTTATAAAAAACTTCATTTTCTTGATATTCTTTTAAAAGTTCATGGACGGGAATGCGATGAAACACAAGTGGATCTACTTCTATTTCCAAGTTCATTATTGGGTTTAGTATTATGATTTGTTCATTAGATAATTCAAGAATATATTTTACGGTTCGGTACCGCTTTAATAATGGGGTTCGGGTTAAAGACAATGAAAGAAATATTTGTTATCTATAAAAAACATCTTTCTAGTATTTAGGAATATACTTTTTAGTTGAAGTTGACTTATATGAAAATAGTGTTTAAAATAAATAGTATTCATTACATGTTTTTCTTAAAAAAATGAACGATTTTATAATAGAAGATTTAGAGTTTGATCTTGAAGATAACGAGCTCAAAATCAATATGGAAAATAAGTATTATTTTGCTAAAGGTATCTGTTTGTTCTTAAAAGATTTATTTTTTTAATTTCTACAGCGATCAAGGAAGAAGATCCATTACGCGCAATAGAAGAATTTAAGCAAGTTATTCTTTTGGAAACTACAAAAGGGAATTGGTAAGCTTTTTTATACGCTAAATGACTAATTTTAAAGTTTTTAAGGGGATTTCGTTCGCTAAAGCAAATTATGAAACTGCTATTTAACTTGGGTTATAAATATGATGTAAAAATATAGGAATTACTGTTTATATCGAAGTTGATTGAATTATTTTAGATGATCAGATATTATACGGAGCTTTTAACATATAGAAAATCAGCAGTAACAAAGAATTATAGTGAAAAATCTATTTATAATATTCTTGATTATATTTCTTTGGATAATGACGTAGAATTTATGGAAGAAATATGTTCCATAACTTTGAATTCTCTTGAAGAAATGGAAAATGAACGTCTTTGGTTAAAAACGAATTTAAAACTTGCAAAATTATGGTTAGATAAGAAAGAATATATACGTTTGAATAAAGTTTTTTTAAAAAATATAATAAATATATATCTTACTTTGTATTAGATTTTAAGCAAATTGTACGATATTTGTGAAAATTATAATGGATCAGTAGACCAATTAAAGGAAGTATGTCTTCTTGAACTTTATTCTTTGGAAATACAAATGTATTCAGAAACAAAGAACAACAAAAGACTTAAGGTTAACTATTGTTAATTATTTATGTTTTTTTACGTTTTTTAGGATTTGTACCATAAAACTTTAAAAATAAAATCTGCAAATATATACCCGTATATTATGGGTGTTATTAGAGAATGTGGCGGAAAAATGCACATGGATGAAAGTATTTAGAACTTTAATTTTGAAAATTTCAAATAATTTATTTTAGAACGGTGGGGAGAAGCTTTGACTGACTTTTTAGAGTCATTCAAGAATTATGATGAAGTAGATTCTCCTCATAAAATTCGTGTATTAAAATATTCAATATTGGCAAATATGTTAAACGGATCTAATATTAATTTATTTAATTCTCAAGAAATGAAGCCTTATAAAAGTGATCCACAATTTTTGGCAATGGTAGATTTAATGAATGCTTGTCAAAAAGGAGATATTCAAAAAATTGAGCTTATTCTTAAAAAGCATCATGATGAAATTATGGAAGATGCCTTTATTCAAGTATATATTGATGATATTTTGCAAAATATTCGGTCCCAGATTCTTGTACGTTTGATATTACCATATACCCAAATCAATATTTCATTTATCGAAAAAGAATTGAACGTTACTTCAACAGAAGTAGAAGCATTACTGATTAACTTGATTTTGGACGAACGTATTCAGGGGAAAATTGACCAAGTTAATCAAATATTAAATTTAAAAGCAGAAGAAGAGTTGGAAGAAAAAAAAGATGTTGCAATTCTTGCTTTAGCTGAAAGTGTAAATAAGTTATGGAGACTTTGTTTAAATTATCGGTACTAAAACAGGAGTATTATATTATGAATTTCCAAAACATTCAAACAACTAAAATAAGACTAAGATATAGCTTAAATGGAAATAGGAGAGCAAAAATGTTTGCATGCTCAAATACATATGCTAGACAAAAATACAAAAATTTTTTTGAACAATATGTGTTGATAAAGATGGGTATCAGTGGTTCGTCGAATCATCACATAAGGAGACAACTTTTTTGACGGAAAGGACGATCATCTACAGGTGTACCTTTAGGTTTAGCGGCGATCGCTACACGGGCAGCCTCTGTAAATGCTTCGTTAACTCCTAGACAAATATTAGACTTAACTATAATCGAAGACTGTGGAAACATGCCTCGATTGTGTTTTGCGCTGCATTCTAGCAATATTAGCGATAACTATGCAAAAAATATCATAAAAATACATACCCAAATAACGAACGGCACGGATAAATTTTGCAACAGAAAGGCCTTCTTCATATTGAATATACCGGTGTTGACCGTTCATGTTACAATTATTATACGGCGTAATTTCATCCTCGAGCTCTCGCAAATCACATTTAAGTGCAACAAGAACAAGCTTAACACCTTCACAATGGCTTGCAATCTCAGCTACCCATTTGGATTGTACATTTTCAAGCGATCCACGAGAATCTACTGAAAAACATATCATAATAACATGTGTATCGGCATATGACAATGACCGTAAACGATCAAACTCCTCCTGACCCGCTGTATCCCATAAACTTAATTCTATTTGCTGACCATCAATAAATACATCGTGTACATAATTTTCAAAACTGTATATGTTAGCTAAACATCAAAAATTTTTGGTGTTTAAAAGAAGCATTGAAAGGATTTAGGGTGCCAAAAAATATGTATCTGTCTTTTAATGATTTTTTTAAGGTTGCTGGAGTTTTTTTTAGCTTTTTGATACATTTTTACTCTAATAAAATATTTTTCAGCTTATTAAAATATCCTTATTAGTTTGTCAAAAACGCTCGAAACTCCTTATAAATTTCTCAAAGATGCTTCTTTAAAAGACTTTTAATTAACATACACTGTTGGCTCATAAATCTGAGGAAAATATCCACCTATATTTTCATTAATTTTATTTGTATCTATATATTGTGTAGTATACGTGTAAAGACATTTAGCAGTGACGTCTTCCCACATGCTGCATATTATCAGTTATTTTGAATACAATTATGCGCTGCAGTAAATGCAAAGCCAGTCAATGTATGTGCTTTAACCCCCATTTTAACTCCAAATATCTTATATATGCGTATTATATGCGCTTCCTTCACCTTATATGCTTAACTTAGTCAAATTTTCTTCGACTTTGGACTTCGGTTTTGCAATACTGCAAATGCGCATATAACTCACCTCCGTCACCCAAAATAACAATTTTTCGGTGGAGTGCTCGTTGTGATGACCAACAACCCATGTGTTTGATTCTATGTATGTTGTATACACGTTGTATGCGTGTGGTTGGTACACCCGTTGCAAAACCTCGTTGACGGAGCCTCCCGAGAGCTGAGGCTGGTGTTCACGTAACGCGTAATGTATATGAAAGTCACGTGACTTTCTCGTGACTCTGAAGGAAAATATAGAGAATATACAGCAAAATAGTTGAAGAAGTCTGCAATAACAGGTAAAAAAAGTGCTTGATGAGTGCCTTGTTGGAAATATTGAATAAAAATGCGGTTGGAGTGTTTAATCGCCAGATATATTTTGGGGAATACGCCGTATATGATCAGGAAGATCAATAGAAGCACCATATGCTTTACGTGCAATTTCTCTGAGATAGGTGCTTTTATTATCGCCCCATTTCTGATTGATCATTCTTTCTTCGTTTTCTCTTCGTTCGTCCTCAGCTTCTTGCTTAGAGAGTTTTTCTAAACGCTTTTGACGCTCTTGATCCAATGCTTCTGCATTTTTCATCATGGCAGCAAGCTTTTCAGCTCTTTCTTTTTCGTTGTCATGATGAGCCTTTTTGTTAACACCACCATTTGTTGTATTTTTCGAGTCTGAATAGTGTGAAGAATGATGGTAAAAAACAGAAGAGTCATAATGACGCTTTGTAGATGAAGGTTTTTGTGTAGAATGATATTGTCTGTCTGGAGACCTATGTTTTGAGCGAGAAATTGATGGAGATCTTGAACGGCGATGATAATGGTTTCTAGGTGAAGACCGACTTAAATGCCGTTTGTGCAAATAACGATTTCTTGAGCGATCTCGGTGCTCAGATTTTTGCGGTGAATAACGTGAGTGACGTGAATGTGTATGCTGATCTAAATGATGTTTTTTGTTTTTTCCATTTTGTGCTTCTATAAGCTGACGTAATTTAATTGGATTGTTTCTAATTGCCTCATACTGTGCTTGCTCTTGTTTTTTAATTGCCAACAAAGGATCTTCTCGAATTTTATTTTGAATATCTCTTACAGTATTTGCATTTTGTGAAGCGATAAATGGTTGGTTTCCATTTTCAAGCTTAAATATTAAATTAAATACATAATAAATTACCGTTATTTTACCTTTGATGTATCTTCTTTAAGAATATCATCTATCCTTTTTCTTCCTAATAAATATGCCTCCATTTCTTCGGTTGTTCTTGAATCACCTGAAAGATGAGGTGCGGCATACATCCAATCTAAACGTTCTACCCGTTTTCTAGACCTAATTAATATATAAAAAAATATTTTCAATTTCCTACTTTCCGCCCGATGCTTCTTGCAATTTCTGTAGTTCTTGGAGTTGCCTTTCTTCTTCGATCTCTTTTTTTATTTGTTCAATCCTCTTTCTTTCTTCTAATGCTTTTTTTTCCTCCATCCATACCTTCTCTTGATTACGAATCCTAATAAGTAATTAAAAGATGTATTTTTGCATATCAAACAAGTATACAAGAGAGGATGCCAGGATTCTGTAATAAAAAATAAGTATTTGCTTAAATAACAAAGTAAAAAACATACTTTTCATATTCAAATCTCCTCCACCCATTTTGAACTACAAAATAAATATATAATAAATACTTTTTTGTCTTTTATATAGAAAAATTATTTAAAAAAAAAACAAAATGAATTTGATAAATTAACGTTTTGTTAAATTTATTAAATTTTGATTAGCAAAAAAAACTAAAACAAAGTTAGATTAGAAACAATTCAAACATACACTTTACTACTGTTGATAGTTCAATTATATTTTTTTTCCAATAAAATTTAGTTTTATAATTTATCACAGTTTTATGTGGCGATTGTTAGAAGATTGTTAATATTTTCGAACGTTTCAGATAATTAATAGAAAAGATAATATATTACGAATGGATTAATTTGTTAATTTTTTCTTTTATTTAGCACTTTTTTCAATAAAAGAATCATTTTTAGTTTTTATTTTTAATAATGTTTATCAAATAAAGATTTTTTTTCAATTTTTAAAAATTATGGTTAAATATTTTATAATATTTATTATTTATAGGTAATAATAACTTTAGAATGCTATAATTTAGAATGCTATAAATAAGCTAAAAACAATATTTTTTAAAGTTTTTATTTGATATGAAGAAAATAGTTTTAAATAAAAGTAATTTATTGTAAATATTAAATATAATTTTTTTATTTTTATATATATAAAAATTAATATAATAATATAAAAATAGTCTTTATCTTTCCAAAATTAAAATTTATAATGATGAAAATGTTTTTATAGTTTTAACAAATAATTTATATTTAACAAATAACTTATAGATCATCAGTATACAATATAAATAATGTACGTAATATATCTATTTTATATAATGTATAAAAATTATCTTCATATAATACAAACAAGATTTAGTAAATTTATTTAAATACAAAAAAAAAGTAAATGTTAACTTTGTGTTTTAAAATTATTTCAATAACCGATATAACCTTAAAAATGAGGATTTCTCTTTAATTTTTATTTTGAAGATACAAAGTGATCTTTTAATATTTAACTATTTGGCGTTTTTGGATTTATTTTTTGTCAAATTATATAAGTTTTTATAATTTTATTAGATTTTTTTATAATTTTTGGTTTTATACAGAGTTCTATAAAAAATGAATATGCAACTAGGTTATAAAAAATCTCTTTCAACCGTAATTGGTATTCGAATGGGTAATGCAAACAGTTCTATTTCTTATATAAATGATGTTTGATATTTTTTTAAAGTACGTTAAAATACAGATTTAATAAGTATTTAGAGTGGAAAAGTTATTATTATTACAAATGAAGAAGGAGAACGTCAAATCCCTTGCGTTCTTTCATATTTGGATGGAGAAGAATATCATGGTTCTCAAGCAAAAGCACAGCTTATAAGGAATTCAAAAAATACAATTACTTATTTTAAAAATTTTTTTGGAAAAAAGTAAGTTTGGAAAATTAAAGAAAAAAACACAATTAATGATTAGGATTGAATGTGCTAGTTTGCATATTTCAGGGTATTCTGCAGAACCTAACATTTTAGACAATGAAATAGTCTATACAATTATATCTGGTTCTGGAAATGAATATGAAAAACGAATAATTACTCTTAATGAAGTAATGATTTCTCATTTAAAGTACTTAAAAAATTGTGCAGTAGAATATATAGGAAAAGATGTTACTGATTCAGTTTTTTCTATTCCCCCTGATTTTTCTTTTTCACAAATAGAACTTTTAAAAAAATGTGCAGAAAAAGCTGGTTTAAATATTCTTCAAGTTATAAAAGAGCCAGTTGCTGAAATCTTGGCGTATTCGGATGGTATTGATTCTTTAGTTTTAGCTGATAAAATATTTGTCGTTGCTGATTTTGGAGAAATGACAAGTAGTGCTACTGTTGTTGTATGTAGAAATGGTCTATATACAATTTTAGCAACGGAAACCGATTATAATTTAGGTGGAAGACTTCTTGATGATTGTCTTATTGAGTATTTTGTAAAAGAATTTCAAAAAAAATATAATCTGGATCCTAAACAAGATTTAAGAGCTATGGCCAAATTAAGAACTGAATGTGAAACAACTAAAAAAAGTTTAAGCTCTAGTAGCGTTTGTACGATTAGCGTCGAATGTATGTTTGGTGGATATGATTTTTACTCTAGTATAAACAGAGTACGTTTTGAAATGTTGGGAAGATATGTTTTTAATAAAATGCTCGCACTTGTTAAAAATGTTCTCAAAAAGGCTCAAACCGAGAATTTTGATATAGACGAAGTTATTCTTGCCGGAGGCTCTTCTCATATACCTAAAATATTAGAGATGTTCGGCTATATTTTTCCAGAAAAAACTTTAATTCGTACACAATCTTCACAAACTTCTATGCTTAGTCCTTCGGACATTGAATGTTATGGTACAGCTATTCAAGCATCATTAATATCTTCCCTTGATAAAGAAGATATTTCGGATTTAATAAATCCTAATATAACTTTAATACCACATTTATTGAATCCTATTGGTATTGTCATTCAATCCGACGATAAAACAGAATTTATTCCTATTATTCATTCCTACACATCAGCTCCTGTTCAAAGAAGTATTTTTCTTGATAAATTTTTAGATACTGGCGACTTCTGTATCATTATTTCTCAAGGAACAACTCGTATTCATCAAAAAAAAGATGAAACACATGAAACACAAACTTCTGATGATGATGATGATGATGATTCATCTACAGTGGAACAATTAAAAGTCATAGAGCCATCACAAAAGATAGCAGAATGTTCTCTTAAAAATATTCCATCTAATGCAAAAATACAGGTTACTATTTATGTAGATTTTGAATTAAAAACCACTATTACAATACAACTTGTTTCGCCTTTTTCTGCAGAACTTGTTAAAGGAGAAATATTTATGCAGCAAAATCTATTATAAAATATTTATTTATTAAAAAATCTAAATTATATTCTTTTTTTGTATATTTTTTAAAATACTCTACTACTAGACTTCGATCAGTATTAATATTTTTGGTACTAACATTCTGAAGCCTTTTGTCTTCAAAAGTTCATTTTAAATAAGTTTTCTAATAAAAGATTTCCTTTGAAAATATTATTAGTATTTTGTTTTTGTTAAATTTGTTTTATAGCATTCAAGATGGCACAAAATGGTGTTGCACCTGGCACTACTCAAATGAACGGGTTAAGCTCACTAAAAACACCCTTAGCACATCTAGGGATGATTCTTCCCCCTTTAGATATTAGAGGTATATTGTTTATATATTTTTATTATTTTTTTAAAGTTATTTTTGATTAGAAATTGTGGAAAAAACTGCTAATTATGTTTTAAGAAATGGTATTGTATTTGAGGAAAAAATTCGAGAAAAAGAAAAAAATAATGCTAAATTTTGCTTTTTAAATCCAGCAGATCCATATTATAAATATTATGAATACCGTCTTGAAGAATGTAAAAAAGGAAAATTTATTTCTCCTATAACACGAGAAGATTCGTCTAAAGCTGCTCAAAATGCTTCAAAACAAATTCATGATAAATCTATGTTTTTAGAGCCTCCAAAGTTCTATTTTTCTGCTTCATTACCTGCAATTTCGGCTATGGATTTGTATGTTGATTAATAAGTTATATATCTTATATAAACATTTATAGGGATATATTAAAGCTTACAGCACAGTTTGTTGCGAGAAATGGGAGGGAGTTTCAGACAACTCTTTCTCAAAGAGAAAGCAGAAATTTTCAATTTGATTTTTTGCGTCCGAATCATTCTCTTTTTCAATATTTTACAAAACTTGTTAAACAATATACTAAAATACTTATCCCTCCAAAAAATACCAATAAAATATTAGAACGGAATATTGAGAATAAGTATCAATTATTAGAAGTGATTCGGAAAAGAGTTGCTTGGCAAAAATATCAAGAAGAACAACAAAAATTAAAACAGGAAGAAGAAGATCGGGAAAAAAGTAATATAACTTCCTTTAGATTATTTAGATTTTAATTTTTCTACAGTTGAGTATGCACAAATTGATTGGCATGATTTTGTAGTTGTTGAAACAATAGAATTTACAAATGCAGATGAACAAATGGATTTACCAGCTCCGATTTCATTAAGTATTTTACAGTCAGCAACTCTCGAACAAAAACAAATGATGACTATATACCATGATCCCAATATATCATTATTTGATGATACACCATATAATCCCATACAACCATATTCTACATCAACGGAAAAAGTACAGTCATTACAAGAAGAAGAGGGTGTAGAAATGGATATTGAGGCTGATTCGGATGAAGAGACTGCAGCAATTAGGGAGAGAAGAGAGCACCAGGAAAAAGTTCGTTTTGCGCAACAGCAAAGTCGAGCAGGTCTTCCTATGAAAATTCGTACAAATTATGTTCCAAAAGGTTGTTTTAACATTACTCATATTTTTTGTTAATATCAATAGTTTTGAATAAAACTGAAAACATGCTTATTTGCCCTCAATGTAATCTTCCAATTCCTTCAAACGAACTTGAAGAGCATATGCGTATTGAAATGTTAGATCCTAAATGGAAAGAGCAGAAAGCAAAAGCAGAATCTAAGTCTGCATCGAGTAATTTATACCAAGAAGGGGCTGCTAGCAATCTTAAACGCATGACAGCAAGTATGTATGATATGCAAGGAAATTTCATGAGTAAAGAAGAAATGGAAAGAAATAAAAGACAACGCTAAATATCCTAACAATTTTTTCAATCATGGTGTATCTGTAAATATTCATATATAGGTTCTTTAATTTATTACAAATGAGTTGCAATATTACATAATAAAATTATTTTAAAAGTAGATCCTTTTGACCAAATAAATTTCCAACAATTGAAATCACCATGTCTATATTAGATTGAATATATAAAGGAAGTTTTGTTTTCTAAAGTAATATTAATATTCAATACCGAATCTTTAATTTGATCAAACTGATTTTCTAAGAATTAAACATTTTTTACAGAGTTCTCTTAAAATACTAAGTTCATCTGATGTCATCACCATATCTATTTTTACAAGAAGAAAAAATATCCATATCATCTGTAAAAAATTACATCATTTAATGTCAAAAATATTATATAATGTTACTTGTTGTCGCGGACTGTTACATGAAAGCCATCCTGTATTCCATTTTAGCAAATTTAGAGCTGTATATTGATCAATGCAACACAGCATTGACAGTGTAGGGGCTTGCAATGCTTGAAGAATTAGCTGACGCCACTCTGGCTTATTTCTGGGTAGTGACAATAAGGTAGATTGAGTTTTCAAAGAACTGAACGATGTGCGTAATACTATAAATTTTTCCAAAAACTTCTCTTCCCAAATAAATGAATATGCTTTAGTTTCACACGTAGTAAGCTGCTTCTCTAATTTTATCTCTTCCTTTATTGTTTTGTTTATTGTTTGCACAGATTCTGTTAAAACTGATAGTGGCAAATGTACAGTCATAATCCCTGGTCTTTGTTTTGCTTCTATACGCACTTGCTTTAAATATGAAATACCATCAAAAGGAAGTTCATCATCTTCTTCTGAAGGGTCATCTAACTCAAGCATTTGTGGGAAAACCCCCCGCTGATTAGTTTCTATATCAATTGGCCCTGATGTGACATTTTTCTGTTCGTTTGAGACCTGAAGTTTGCGTTTTTTTTGGATAAATAAACTCTCTGATAAAGATTCAGGTATTTCTTCCATTTAATGTTCCAAAAATACTCAAAAGTATTTAAAAATCTTTATCTTTCTACATTTTACATTTTTTGAGGTTTCATCCGTCTACGATAACCAATACATCTAAAATAATTAAGCGTTCACCATCTATTAAACCTTAATATTATTTATAATAAAGCTTTTTAAGAAATATCAGAATTTATAGAGGAAAAATGCATATTTTTAATGAAAAAAAGAATGATCTTCTTCCATTTAGTACAATTTTGTCTCGTGAAACATCTCATATGTTATATCCACCTAGATCTAAGCAGGAATTTGTTTCAGAAATAGAAAATAATGATAATAATGAACAGGAATATGATTTAAAGACTAAAGGATACACAACAGAAGCACCCTATGTTAATGTTCAACATCGGCAGCGTATGAATGATTTTGAAAAAAAACGACAAGATTTAACACCAAGAAGCCTTTTTAATGAGGCAATTACAAATACAATTGAAGAAGGTGAAGAGGTTCTTCAACTTTCGTGCGTTTTATGTATTTTTATATTTTTTATATATTGACAGGTTCAGAGGATGCAATATTGTTGAGATCCCAGAAAACATTTCACAATTAACAAGTCTTGTAACAAGACTTGATCCTGATGTTGAAAAACCGCTGACTCCTCATCTTAAAATATTTTTATCTGGAAATTTTATTCATAAACTCCCTAGCGGTCTTTTTGATCTTTTTACACTTACTGTTTTATCTCTGCGTTTGTATTTAACCTTAAAATATTTGAATGCTAATATTTTTATAGGGAACAATGAATTAACAATGATACCCCCCTCAATTGGTCGTTTGGTGAATTTAGTTGAATTAAATTTAGGCCAGAATAAACTTGTAAAAATCTTTTATAAAATAAAATAAGTAATTTACTTTGGATAGACTTATTTTCCATCAACACTACTTTTACTTAAAAAGCTGCAAATTTTGTCAATATCACCGAATCCTTTAAAAGAATGTCCAATTCCTCCTTTATCTCAAATGTCGTTTCAGACTCTTGTATTACCCACCATTCGTTATTCATGTATAGACGTAATAAAAACAAACTCGAATGTTCCTAAACTTCTTGAACTTTCATCTAGGATTATTGCTTCTTCTTCAATTGCTGAAGTAGATCTTCAAAGATGGGAATTGAAATTTTGTCTTACTTCAAAAGTTAGAGAAGCATATGAGGCTGGAAAATATCATATATCCTGTGAAGTTTGTGGAAATTCTATGGTAGAGTCTGTTGTAGATGTATTTGAATGGTGGGATGGTTTTGTTGGTACATGGTCTCTTCCAATAAAGAGAAAAATATGCAGTTTGTTATGTCTTAAAAACATTCCACAAGCTGAGATACAATCATTGCCAAATACTACATAGAATACATAAATATGCATTTCTATGGTTTTCCTGAGATATATGTTTTATATTAAAGTATAGGTATAATTTTTAATAGATGGAACATTTTACAAAAAATGTAGTATCATATATTAAATATAGATATACAATGTATCATATATATAGTATTATGCACTAATTTTCACATGCATTTCCTCTTTCAAAATCATTTGTCTGACTTTTTCAATTTTTTCTAGTAAACTACTAATATTCCAACTCCATTCATTTAATATTGCATTGGCACTTTTTGGCCTGATAAAGCTAACAGTTCGCGCAGGACGATCAATTCGTGCATAAATAACACCTGAAGTAACTAAATTTGATAAATATTCTTCTGTTTCTCTCTCATCTAAATCAAGAAGCATATTCAATCGATTTAATCGAATTCTCAAATAATATTTAGATATAACACGAATATTCTAGTAATGTCAAAAAATATATTAATAAAGAAAAATGACATTTACATGCTCGATAATTCGTTTTTTTAGTTCTGACCATCGTTTCCTACCTTTTTCATCGTTGAGATCAAAAACAGAAGTTTTACATAAAATTTTGCCATAAATCTCCTCAATTTTTGGCCATCTCATGAGTTCCATTTTTGTAAAATATTTTATAAGCTCATAATGAACTGGAAGTGAAGGTAATCGAGGATCTGTTAATATACGATGCAAAAGATCAGACTGTTCATTGCCATAAGGTGAAATAATAATAAAATAAACCACATTTTGTAAAACCTTAATATTTTAATTTTTAAAAATAGATTTGTTCATACATACATCTTTCCATTTAGATTCATCTTCAATAATACTAGGCGTATTATAGACTGCTTTATAATATTTGCAGACATCAAGATAATTATCTTCATATAGACCAATACGGATAAGTAATTCATAGTATTTTAATTTTAAATCCTCAACACCTTCCTCTTGAAAATATTTTGCGGATATTTTATGAGAAATGATGGATGCCAAATTATAATCCGATTTAGCTAAACAAAGTCTAACTTGTTCAAGAATAAAATCCGTTTTCTCTCGCTTATCAATAGATCCAAATGTTTCTATTTTTAAATCACAAAGCAATTCTGCTGCTTCTTGTATATTATTTTGTTGTTCTTTAATTTTTGCCAGTTCTTTAGTTAAAAATACCCTCTCTGCTTCAAGAAAAATCTACATTGAACTTTTAGTATTTACATATAAAAGACACAGTCTCTTTTTTGACCTTTCCCTCAGTAATGCTACGCAAAGATGTTATACATTCTTGTTTAATTTCAGACATTGGCAAAGATTCAAAAGCCTTCATTGCTTCTTGAATCATATCAACAATACTTTTTTTTAGCTGCCCATGTCTTTTTGACATTAATTGAACTTGTTCACACATTAAAATCCATTCATTTGCATTTTTACATAATTGGACAATTAAAACTAACAACCTTGATGTAGATGCAACATCATATGCCTATTTACTATTATATAAAGTGTATAATGTCTAGAATTAACGTTACTTTCCGTGTTTTCTTTTCTAATAAAGACAATTTTTCAAGAGCACTTGCAAGATGTTTCTGTCCTCAAAATTAGCTTAAAAAATGCAGAAAAAAAGCGTACTTCTGCAAGAACTTCTATTTCTGGTATTTGATTGTCTAATATCTCTTTATAATCAAAACTTGGCTTTTCTAAATATCCATCCGACATGACGTTTACTTTGAAGTTTCAGTATACGTTAACGAGATGTCACCACGATTATTTGTACGTACTATATATATTATTTCATATTTAAAATGAACTGCAAAAAAAATATTGAATATTTAGATAATACATTAATTCAGTATTTTTCTTTTATAGATGACTATATTTCTGCTGTTTCTCGTCTTTCTTCTGCTTTAAAACAGGTATTTATCAAATTTCTTTTATTTTACTATATTTTTGATATCTAACATCTTAAAGGGTTATTTTTCTATAGCAAGAGCTAATTATCTTGATCTTTATGTACGTGGTCGTTTTGCATTATTGCATGGATATAACAGGCCTATGAATGCTCTTTATTATGTGTATATTTTTCTACTTTATTTATATTGTTTTACAATAATATAGTGACTTAAACTCTGAGTTTAAGTTGATACGCAATGATTTAGTTTCTGTATCTACAACAAAAGGAAAAGTATCAGAAAAAGTTTTTAAAGATCCATTAGATTGGTTTGGTATTTTAGTACCAAATGAACTACGAGAAGTACAGAAACATTTTCAGGACGGTAAGAATATTATAATTAAATGTTTATGTATAAGAAAATTAGGGCTAAAAGAAGTGGCACATATGGCTCATTTACGAGTAGTACTAAATAAATTAGAAAAGGATATCATTTTATATAGAAAAGAAATTCTATAGTTAACGAATACATATTATGTAAAACGATTATTATTATATTCTGAATTTTCATAATACATAATTAAATGACTATAAAAAGGTATTATTTAATGAATAGCATCTAATATTTAAGATGCTGTTATAAGATGTAATCATAAAAATATCCTATATTCCAAAAATGCAGATTTAAATAGTTTTGGATAATTGATGGTTAATGCCATAAATAATAGTTAGTTTATCATTAATTAGATGAAATAGCTTTATGTTTATTTGTAGATTCCCATTGTGTACTTAACAATATTAGAATTTTTATAATACAAAAATATTTCAATACCGTAACTGGTCTAATTCATTTGCTAGTGAATCTAATGTATTGGATGTTTTTAAAAATGCTGTATCTTTGAAAGTAGTATTTTCTGCTGTATTATCAAAATCATATAATGTGTCATTATGCGTATCGTCGCAATCTATAACAGTAGCCTTTGTTTCTTTTAAAAGTGTGGTATCATTCTTTGAAGAATTCATTAAAAACAAATTTTCTTCATTTAAAGTTTCCACTTTTGGAATAATATTTTTATTGTTAGACATTTCATTTGGAGAAATAACTTGACTGTTGGATATGTTCTTAAAAACTAAATTACTTTTATTTGAAGTAACTTCTAATTCTTCAACCGTTCTTTCCAATTCAGAAATGGCATTTTCGACAGATTCTTTGGTATTATCATAATATGTATTTTTTAAATTTATATATTTTTCTTCGAGACTTTCTAATTCTTTTTCCTGCAATAAAATATCTTGATCTGTTTGCATTTTTAAGTATTCATCAGTTAAAGTATTATTATGCATTTCAATGTTTTGAAATTCATGATTTTCGAAATTTAAAATATTAGTATTTTTATAATTCTTTAAGTCATCATTTTCTTGTTTCAAGCGAGAATTTTGTAATTTGTATTTTGAAAGTTCATTCTAGAAACTATAAATTTCTTCTAAATTAAAAAAAAAGCTACTACCTTCATACGTTTTAACATATTTTCTGTACTTTTCATATAATAAACTGCTGACTGATAATCATTTTCAAGTTGTTGTAGACGTTCTTTATAATTCTGAGTAGATTCTGCTAAACGACGTTCTGCATCGAGAGCTCTTTGCTCATTTAGATCAGGATTCTCTTTATCTAAATTAGACGAGGATATATAATTATTGCTAATCTCGTTATGATTTTTATGAAGAGGAACAGCATTTTTTATATTTTCTTGATTAACTAACGTACCATTTTTCTCTGAGCTCTCTGGATTAAAAACATTATGATGCTGAGTTATTTTAACTTCCTGTTTATTATTATTGTTTTGTTTTAATTGTAGATCTGATTCTTCTGAATTGTTTTTATTTAGAATATCAGGTGTCATATTAGTTCCCCGAGTTACATAAGTAATAGCGTTATCTTGAAAGTTCTTTCGTTCTTCTAATAAAGGATATTCTTCAAGCAAACGAGATATAGCAGATGCTTTTATATGAGCTATTTCTAAATCTTTATCTTTAGCACTCAATAAAGTTTTCATATCCCTATGATCCTTTTTAAGAGTATCTAACTCTTTAAGTAAGTCAATTATTTTATCTCTTAAATCCTGAACTTCTTTGTTAGAAGCAAAATTTAAAGCCTCAAGCTGAGAGATTTTTTCTAACGCTGCAACTAAATCTTTAACTGACTTATTAGCTGATACTTGTAACGTTGAATATAAAGATTTAACAGATGCTAATTGCTCTTGAAGTACTTTGACTTGACTGTCATCTAAAAGATTTTCAGAAGATGTAGTTTCTCTAGATATCCTAAGTAATTCAAGAATTCCTTCATTCATAGCTTCTCGTGCCACATTAGCTTCTTTAGCAACATCTGACATTTTAGATTCAAGAGTAGTAATTTTTTCTTCAAGAATCTGTTTTTTATTATTCTCTATCATAAGTTCTCTAGTAAGCTGATTCACTTTTTTTTCAAGCTCTATACGAATTTCTTGTTCTTTTTGAGATTTATTTTCTGAATTGGCAACACGATTTTCTGCCATAGTTATAGAAATATTAATCATTTCAATAGATTTTAAATATAGTGTATTTTTTTCTTTAAGATCAGCAATTTCATGTTTCAAACTAACATTTTCCTGATATAATTGATTTTTTTCAAATTCTAGTTCATTTTTTAAAGATGATTGTTCTTTAAACTTCTCTTCAGCATCAATACAGGCTAACCTTGTTTCATTTAATTCACTAGAAATCCGTTCATAAGCACTTTCTGCAACTTTTATTCTTTTAAGATAGTTTTGATTCATATCTTCAAGCTGTTGTATTTTCCTTTGTCCTAATTCAATATCCTCAGTCAATGAAGCTAATTTTTTGTTTAATTCTTGACGTGTAGCCATAATACTAGATAACTTAGTACTTAACTCTGTAATTCGAGCATTTTCAACAGTTGACAACATTTCTGGATTAGATAAAGCAGCAAGTTTTGCTTTATAATATACAGCTTCTTGTAAGCAATTATTTTTTTCAGCTTCAGCTTCTGTAACTTTTAAACTTGCTGTCTTTGTTTGAGATAGAATTTCTAGTTTAAGCAAAGTTATCTGCTTTTTAAGCGAAATAAGATTTTCTATCATATTCTGTCTTTCAATGGAATCGAAGAATACATCTGCAGGTGTTTTGTCTAAATCTGGATTTTTTATTAGATTTAATTCCGCCTGTAATAGTTCATTTTTAATTTTAAGTTCATCTATGTTTTCTTTAAACTTAAAAGACTGAATATCCTTATTGTTTATTTGAAAATCTGTGATATCTAAATCATGTTTTTCAGCTAATTTTACAGCTTCAGCTTGATTTTCTACAATAGTTGACATTGGATTAATAATATTAATGTTATTGTCCTCCTGCTGATCTGTAATATGTTTTGTTTCGTTTGTAGCAATTTTTGTGTCAGCTGCTGTATTTTTTTTTATTTCATTTGTATTAGTATTTTTTGTACCATTTACTATATTTTTCTTTGTTTCACTAGCAACAGTCTTCTTTACATCGTTTGTAGCAACTTTTCTTATTTGATCATAACTTTGAGATTTTGAAAGCAGTGTATCTTCAACTTTGATTAAATTTTATTTAAAAACAAAAAAATACATACTGTTTAAACTATTAGAAGATTGAAGATTAGCAGGCTCTTCTTTAGATGAACTTGTTACTCCTTTTGATCTATTATGTTTTCTAGATACTCTTTGTTTATGAAATTGCTCTAATGACATAGTTTGTAAATCAGTTCGTAAAGATTCTGAGTGTTGTAATATTTTTGATGGAGTTGTAACATTAAAAGAATTTTTAGATGTTTGCAATTTCGACATTGATGTCGATAAAGGCTTTGAAAGCATAGGAGATAAGGGGGAGGGTGCCAACAAACTTCCTGATTTTATCATTGGACTTGAAATCAAATTTGGAATAGATATTTCTGGAGGATAACGAATTTTTGCTAAAAAATATTTTAGAAACATAAAGTATTAAATTACAACTTACATGTATCTAAGATATAAATGATTGACAAATCTTCTGTTTTATTTAAAGAACCTTCTCCCCCAAGTACAATTATTTTTTGGCCAAAACTAGTTAATGTATGTCCTGAACGAGGAGACGGAGAAGGTCCCATATTTTGAAAAATATACCATTTTGATGTCGTTATCTTAAACGCAATAAGGTCACCAAGATCTGAACCATCCAGACCACGCCCACCAAAAATATAAATAATATCATCCACTAGGGAAGCTGAATGACCTTCTCTTGGTTGAGGAATACATCCGTTACATACAACTTCTTTCCACGAAAGATTCTTATAATCAAAGACCCAAACATCATTAAACCATTGACTACCATTTGTGCCGCCAAATCTTAAATATTAAGCATTGTGAACATATATAAATACATACATACAAGTAAAGCTTTTCTTGATAAGTAATCATTATATGATTCGTACGAGCAGGAGGCAAACTTGTAATAGGAGTTATTTGTTCCCATTTAGCACTAGGTGTATTTACTACAGAAATTAAATTACGGTCATTAGAATATTTCTTAAACATACATGTGTCTAAATTAAAGGAAACTAAATCATTAAAAAAAAATGTTTCTGTTTGCCCACCAAAAATAATGATTTTGGTTCCAATAATATTTAATGTATGGCCATATCTTCCACTAGGTTTCTGTCCATAAATTACTGCTTTCGTCCATATTTTAGAAGTTGTATTTAATAAATATAAAGAGTTGTCATTAATGTTGTTTTTTGATGTTTTTGTATCTCCTCCAAACACTAAAAAATATTAGAGAGCTGTTTTATCCAAAAAATATGCTTGCCAATGAACGCGTTCCCTATAACAAGTGCTGCATGCCCTACACGAGAACTAGGACAATCTCCTGGCGCCTGTATCTGATATGTCATCATAGTAACTGTAGTCAAATATGTTAGATAAAAAGTATATAAAAGGACTTTTAAGCAAACAATAGGTGATTTTATAAAAATCATCACGTACCCGTATCAATAACCCATAGATCATGTTTCACCTTTTCTTTCACAAGCCCACCAAAAATAAATATATCACCTGTTTTACTAACGGTCAGATTACTTGCATGTCCATATCTAGGAAATAGACAAGGACCAGAGAGCTTCTGCCGCGACCATGGATATGATGTTTCTTTGCTTATATACGTTGATTCAATGTTCCCAACAGATTGAGAATAACTTTTTTGTTGAAATCCTAGCGTGTTTTTTGATTTTTTATTTTGTTTAAAAAAAAATGCCATTAGTAATAACAATAAAATTATTTATTACGTATAAAATTTTGTTTTTTAGCTGCTAAATACATTAAATTAGCTTGATTTTCTATATTTTATAGATTTTTTTTTCTAAACGGTTGTTTTTCAAGAGAATTAAAAATATTATGAAATATTATGAAAAAGAAAAAATATATACATACAAAAACTATTTTAAAAAATTGGATATACTGTTTAAGCAAAAAATCTATAAAGAATGTTGTTTTTTGATACAAAATAAGCTTTATAAAATTATTTTTTAAAAAGTTGAAAAAATGAATATTTACGATAGATTAGCAAATGAAATTATTACTTTTACGGTAGAGTTAAGGCGCACTTGACTTGTGATCATTTTATCCTTATGATCAATGTTAGTAGTTCAAGATGATAACTGCAAAACAAAGATTACCAAGTCGTATGGTAAAACATCGTCCACAACTTCAATCGTACCAGTTTCTACTTGAATATTCAGAGGAATCTGATATGATAAAATAAGTGCTGCTTCAAGTGCCCGCTCAATTGCCGCTGATTGTGCATATAAAATAATAGGTTTACCTTTGGGTCTAAAAACTCATGATTTTAATAAATTACATGTAAAAAGTTTACTTGTTATACTCAGATATTAATTTATGCCTCATTTTTTTTATAATGCTCATTAAAAGTGTCTTTCGAGATATAAACATTTTGTTTAAAGTGTTTATAGGATGAGGAATAGTTCTTTTACGAATAGATGCATCTAGAACTTACATCATACTTTTTATATTTAAAGACTAGAATATAATACCATGTAATACTGCACGTTTTGTTGGGGTATCAATTGAGTTCCTTATACAAGTTTTTTTTGTTGATTTTGACAATTTTTGAGCTTTTTGATTCCGTTTTCGTTTGGATGTTATTTGCATTGTTTTAGCCTGTAAAAAAAGTTAAAAAGCACATATAAAATACCTTATAAATACATATATTTTCTTTTTTTTATTTATTTGTTCTTATTTACTTTCCAAATAGTATCTTTATATTGTTCTTTGGTTTAAATTTGATTATCGATTGCGGTACCTTCAAAAAAACTACCATCAAACAGTGATTAAAACTTGAAATTTTTGTAATTTTTAATCGTTAATTATAAATTGATTTTTTTCTTAATGAATCAACTAAAGAAAGATGAAGAGTTAGGTTGGTTTTTATACTTTTTAATGAGTTAGTTGAGTGTTTTTTAGAACATATTTTTCATCATATTGATAAGACAACTGTATTGCAAGAGGCACGGATATTTAACAAATCGCCTATTAATCCTCGAGTGTGTCGTATCTTATTGATGAAAATAGCGTATCTTTTACATACAGGGGATCATTTTGTGACACGTGATGCTACAGAACTTTTTTTTGGGATAACAAAGCTTTTTCAGCACAAAGATGTATGTTTTTTTCTTTTTAATTTTGTATATTTATATTGGAAATTTGGTACAGGCATCCTTACGTCAAATGGTTTATGTGATTATTAAAGAATTAGCAAGAACGGCAGAAATAGTTATTATGATTACATCTAGTGTAATTAAAGATACAACAATAAACCCAGATGCAATATATCGTCCTAATGCAATTCGTTCGCTATGTAGAATTGTTGATGTTGTTTCACTGAAATATAGATTATTTTCTTATGTTGTATAGGCAACTACTGTTCCAACTGTTGAACGTGGTATTAAAGCAGCTATTATTGATAAAAATCATTCTGTGTCTGCTGCAGGTCTTATTTCCTCTTACCATTTGCTTCCTATTGCAAAAGATGTGATACGTAAGTGGGCGAATGAAGTTTTGGAGGCACTTTCCTCGAAAACGGTTGTAAATCATTCTATCATACCATATTTGGCTAGTTCTACTCGGCAAATTCAGAGTTTTATTACACAATATCACGCATTAGGTTTATTATATGTCATACGAAGCCACGATCGTATGGCTGTTATGAAGATGGTACAACAGTTTAGTAGTTATCAGAATAGGGGATCGTCTGCAGGAAATATTCAGCTTAAGAACCCTTTTGCTATTGTTTTACTTGCTAGATATGCAGCAAAGGTTATGGAGGATGATCCAAGGTAGATTTCTAGTATTTGTAGCTATTCTCTTAAGATTGTTAGTCAACGTTATAATATGTTGAAATTATTAGAAGAATGGCTACATCATAAAAATGATATGGTTAACATTGAAGCTGCAAAAATAATACTTCAATTGAAAGACATAACTGAAGTAGAAGCTACTTCTGCAATCTCTGGTCTGTATTTTTAATATTAGTTTATATTTTCTTATTCTATAGTGCTTAAAGGATTTTTATCTTCTCCTCGTACTGTCTGCAGATTTGCTGCAATTAGGATCTTAAATAAATTCACAATGATAAAATCCCATATGGTTGGGTGTTGCAATTCTGATATAGAAAGTCTTATTTCCGATTCTAATAGGTCAATTGCAACATTTGCTATTACAACACTTCTTAAGACAGGGAATGAGATCAATATTGATAAATTGATGAAACAGATTCAAAGTTTTATGGGCGATATTACTGATGAATTCAAAATTATTGTTATAGAGGCTATCAGGTCACTATGCCTTAAATTTCCGTCTAAGTATACTGTTATGCTTTCATTTTTGAGTAGTGCTTTAAGAGACGAAGGTGGATATGATTTTAAAAAATCAGTAGTTGAAGCAATGTTTGATATGATTAAATTTATTCCTGAATCTAAAGAAGAAGCGTTATCTAGTCTTTGCGAATTTATCGAGGATTGTGAATTTACAAAATTAACAATTAGAATTTTACATACACTTGGTATAGAAGGACCTTATATTAACCAACCAACTAAGTATATTCGATATATATACAATAGAATTGTTTTAGAAAATGCATTGGTAAGAGCAGCAGCAGTAACTGCTTTATCAAATTTTGGTTTAGGGTTAAATAATTCTGAACTTAAGAATAACATAAAAATTTTGCTTCAAAGATGTCTAGAGGATCCTGATGATGAAGTTCGGGATCGTGTTGCTTTAAATATTAAATTATTAGAAGACAATAATGTTTCTGGTTTTCTTAAAAATAGTGTGTAAGAATTATTAATGATTTTTTCTAAAACATTTAGATAATATGCCTTCTCTTTCTGCTTTAGAATATCAACTTGTATGTTATATTTCATCAAATTCTTTTGAAAAACAATTCGACGTTTCATCTATACCGAATATTAGTAAAGAGGAGTTAGATGCTGAATCATACAGACAAAAGACTATTGAAGTAGACTCATTGTCTACATTTATGTTAATTGAGACAAAGGCCAATCAAACAACTCATAATACTCTTTTGAGTGATGTTACGGCCCAGTATACTAATATTCTTCAGTCCGTTTCAGAGTTTAAAGATTATGGTCCTCTTTTAAAATCTACTTCAAACCCAATAGAGTTAACGGAGTCTGAAATTGAGTATTATGTTACAGCAATTAAACACATATTTAAGGAGCATATTGTTCTTCAGGTATATCTTTTTATGTTATTTCTTTACTTAAAAATATAGTTTGATCTTGTAAATACTCTTTCTGATACTATTTTAGAAAATATTTCAATGATTTCAGAACCTGATGGATCTGGTTTAAAAGAAGAATTTGTTATACAGGCTCAAAAAGCGGAACATAACTCTCCTGTTAGTATATATGTTTCATTTTTAAGAGAAGATCCTGATTCATTTGTTACTATAACTTTTACTAATATTTTGAAATTTACAACTAAGGAAATAGATCCAAATACAGGTGAGCTTGAAAAAACAGGTTATGATGATGAATATCAGGTTTATATTTCTTATTTATACGTTTATTTAGCTAAATTGTTTTAGGTTGAGGCTTTAGAATTATCTGTTGCAGATTATGTTTTTCCTATATATATTAATAATTTTGCTCAAATTTGGGACTCTTTAACTGATAAAAATGAAGTTGTAGAAACATTTTCCCTTAGTTCAATTACATCTGTGCAAGGTTTGTATTTTAAGTGATAAAGAATAGTTTTAATACTATTTTCTAGAAGCATGTCATAAGATACCAGAACAATTATCTATGCAACCACTCGAGGGTACTGAGGCTGTTGTTCATTCTTCTTTTCATACGATGAGACTTTCTGGCAAAAGTATTAACGGTAACAAAGTTTTGGCGATTGCAAAAATAGGTTTTATATCTATGTTATTTTTCTATTTTTTAACCTTTGAAAGCATATGCTAAGAATGAAATGACATTGAAACTTAGTGTTAGAAGTGAAAATATTATGTTAGCTACATTGATTGCAAATGGAATTGCATAAATAAAGATATTTTTATAAAAACATCTTTATTGATATTCAATTTAGATTTTCGTTAAAATTAATCATTTATTTTTTCATCAAGATGCATTTCTTTATAACCATTTTTGTACCTCTTTGATTGTTTCCCGGCATATTTTGATAATATCATTGTCATTTAATGATTCACTTTTTTTAATTGCTTGTACTAACGCAATAGTAATACCAACATGTTTACTATGTATCCATATTCTTCCATTTGATCCCACAGCTACTTCAAACGGTATTGATGCACCTAATGTTGATAAAAGAGGATGATTTTTGTCCAGAATTCTGTATTTAATAAGATTAATAATTAATATGTTGAATTATATACTTTTGACATAAACTCCTTGATAATCCATGAATAAGAAACCCCCCTTTTAACTCTCCAAAAATAGATGATTTTTCGTCTGTTCCATCTGTACATTCAATTTCTGGCTCTATTTCTTTATCTGCATATATTACTCGTGCGTATATCAGTGCTCCCACCTATTTTTTAGCTTCTTTTCCATGAAAACTTTATATTTACTTGGAGATTTGGACGGCTTTTTCTTGTTACATTTTCAAATGCTAATGCTCCAAGTTGTCCTAATCTTGTCCCACATAAATCTACTTTATATCCTTCTGCGTGCTTAACCATGACTTGTCCTATGACAGAGTCCCCTATTACAGGAGTATACTGATATATATTAGCTGCTTGTAAAAGGCTCTATTCTACATTTTAAAACACACTTTTCGGCAATCATAATCAATGTAAAATGTCTTTTTTCCTGACTGTATAAGTCTGCCCATTTGTGTAGCACGTAGTGTGCGTAAAGTACAAAAATATGTTAAACCACGCCCAATACGCAACTGTGTTTCATCTGATTCATTAAAATGCACTTGTTCTCCTGGAAATATCACTGATTGATGTATATTCATTTGCGCTCATATGGCTACTGTATGTATCGGCTGCACGGAGTGCACGGCGTGTGTGCCAAGAATGAATGAAGATACAGAGTGGTAAGCAATACAGGCGTAATACACACATTTTACATGTATTAAGGAATGATTTGCTGCGTGCACACGGTATTCTCCCTCCTCTACCCAAGAAAACAGAGTCAGACAACGATGAAAAAAATGATACAGCAAGTGATGCTGTAGAAGCATCTCCAGGCTCTGAATGGGAAGATTTGGAGGATGATCAGGTTGTACAGGCGTATATGTAGTTTTTTTACATATAATAAATAGATATTGATGAATATCAGGCAACGACGACGGGAAGAAATAAAGGCATATGCTGAGCGGGCAAAATATGGCGAAATATTACCCATTCAACGTGCAGAATGGGCTACAGAGGTTAATGAGGCTAGTAAGACGGCTTCTGTGATTGTTTTCTTGTATAAAGATGCGTAAGATTCTATGCACTTTATGGTTAGCTGATATAATGGGTGATTCAATAGAATTTTAGCAAGTCGACAGTTATCGATGATACTTGTGCAGCTAGCAAACGAGCACCCATATATAAAGATAGTAAAAATACAAGGAGATCAAGCAATTGAGGGTTATCCAGACAAGAATTTACCAACATTACTGGCTTATTACAAAGGAGAACTTGTAGGACAAAAAATAAGTGTTTCAGTGAATGTTAAGATAGAAGGTAGGTAAATATAAGTATAAAAGCAGGTTTTAAAGCAAGAAGAAATCGAAGAATGGCTTATAAAAATGAGTGTAGTTGAATATAAAGAGGTAAATAGACATAGACGCCTGAGAATATGTAGAACAGAACCAAGAGATGATATAGATGAATTGGAAGAAGTATAGGATTTGCTATTAAGATAGAAAAAGTCCTAAAAGATGAGAAAACATGATTCGAAAAAATATGAAAAAATGTAAAAAGTAAATGAATGACTGAAGATATATGATTGTAATATAGTTTAAATGTAGCCAAAGTGTTATAAGGCTAAACAAAGATATATTTTTCTAGTTCTTTTTTCTGAAGGAACAGCCTTCCATTAAACGGGCTTTCCCACCAGTTGGTTGAGACAACACACTAGTGCAGGCACCGCAAATTACAACAGTCTGTGCATGAGAAAAAATCGTTGTAATATTAAAGCAGCCGGGACATTTGACATCCTATGTAAAATAAGTTGAAGATAATAAAAGAGGTGAATAACCATAAAGAAAGAGTTAGGACTCTGGACTAGTCTTTTAAGTTTGTGCTTTTGTGCTTCTACTGCAGGTATAGGATTTAAAAGGTCGACGGCAAGTACCTAAGAAAAAGTTAATTATTTGTAAAAAAATATTGTTTTTATTTTTGTAATTCCCAGATACAAGATAAAAATGAATGCAAAAATGCTTGTTTTTCTATAAAATAGGTTTAAAGTCTTACAATAGCCATATAATTTATTTGTTTTTTTATAAATTTTCTATGGAAGTGAAATTTTTACTTAATTATTAAAATCATAGTATTTAACTTTAAAATTATAATATAGAATCTTCTTGTGACTCTAGAGACTAGGAATTGTTGTTGTTTGTATAATTTATGACTTACCATGATTATTAAATAAAATATTTAAAATTAGTTTGTTTTATTGAAAAAATTTCGTTACTAAAATTTTAAAATTTACAGTATAAAATAATGCAAAAATTATATATAAACTTTATATTACTATAAGAAGTATGTTTTTATAGGTGGAAATATTTGTTTATAATTACTGAATCTTATAATAGTTATTATTTAGAAAATATAGAGAAACAGAATAAAAAAAGTTATTTAAGGTTAGATTTTAAAAAAGATAATCTTTTTATATTCATAATATTGATTAATGGTTTTTTAATAAATAAAATTTAATGAATTTTTGAAAAATTTTAATTTACAAAAATATTAATAATATATAGTTATTTTTGTCATTATAGATGTATCCGAGAGTAAAAAACTAAATTAAAATAAAAAATAATAAATGTCTGATTATTTACATATTGATTTAATATAAATATTAACATAGTTTTATTTTGGTATTTGATAATATTGTGGGTATGTTTTTTATGAATAAGTATCTTATTTTTTTTAATATTTCTTTTTAATATACATTATATCGATCTTTTTTGTTTCAAACTTTGGTTCTTTAAAAATATTTTTTTATAATATTATTAATAAAAGAATATCTGTATTTTTGTTTATACAATATTATATAATTGAATTTTATTATTTTTTATTTGCTAAATAAATATACAATTATTTTGAAATGACTCATTTTAAAATTTAAAACGTAGATTTTAATTAATATTTAATTTATTTATATCCATGATATAGAAATATTTTGAAAATTAAAAAAAAATTGTAAAATATTTTTTCAATAAAAGTTGATAAATTTACATAAATTTTGAAAAGATTTATAAAAGATATTTTTAATATTTTTATATTTAAAACAAATAATTTATATTTTAATTAAAAATATATTTAAAATTTTAATAAAATAATTTCAAATTAAAATTTATTTTTTATTTTTTTACAGTTGTAAAAGTTTAGATTCTATTCAAATAAATCATATTAAATTTGTTTTATGGTTACCTTATAACTTTGATTTTTTAAATATTTTTTTAAAGATTTCTAAAGTTTCTTTTTTCAATTTACTAAATTATTGATCCAATAAAATATTTTTTCATCATTTTAAAAATATTATGTTATAAAAAATAAAACAAAAACTTAAATAGTTAAAACTAAATAATTAAACTGTTTAGCATTTTTAAAATATGTTACTAATTTTATAAAAATTTCTTAAAATTATTAAAAAACTATTAAAATAAATAGTATATTTTCACAAAAATTAACCTTATTTTTAAATATCATTAATATCATTAAAATATATCATTAGTTAAAAAATTAAAATTATAAAATGTTTTTTATATTTGTATTATACATTAGATAATCTTTTTTTAATGCTTACTATATTATATATCATATGTCACTATTCAAAAGAAAACTATATAAAATTATTAATGATTTCATTTTATATCACAACTAAAAATATTTATATGATTGTCACTTTTGTTGGCACATGCTAAAATAGCTTTGTGAGGATGAAAATTTAAAGCATTAACTGATACAACTTTTCCTTGATGCAAAAAACTAGAATAATATCGGAATGTAGACAAGTTTAATCCATCTGTATTCCAAACTTTAATATCATTATTATTAGATCCCCTATTATAAAATTAATTATTTCAGAGATTAAAATAAAAGAAAAATACGTGGCAATACATGGAATATGTTCATGTACAGAAAGTGATAATAGACCATCTAAATGTGCATTAATAGTTCGTATAGAATTATTAAGTCTAATGTCCCAAAGTTTTATGTCGCCCGAGATACTTAAAAATTAGGCATTCAATAATATTAATTACAAGAAAATACCTTCCTGAAACAAGTTCTCTATTTCCACCTTTTTGCATAGTCACTTTAGGAATCCAAGTTTTATGTTCTTTCCATACTTTGACCATTGCATCTCTTGGAGGGTTCCTTTGATCATAAATGCGTATAGCTCCATCACCAAAACTAGCTACAAAAATATTACCTTCAGTTTCATCTGAAGTAATCGATGTAACATAATTTTTAGATCTTGCTGGTATATTCTACAAATGATCAAATAGAGTTTTAAAAATTAATAGCATACACTTAAACACATTTCTTGAGATGCATCCCAAACTTTAATGATTTCTACTTCGCCACCAACAAAAAGTATACCACGTTTTTGCTGGCAATCAATAACTAATCCACTATTACGATTTGATGGAACTAAATCCGTTAATGCTCTCCAAGCAGTAACAAGTTCTATAGATTCAGTATCATAATTTTTATATATTCGTATAATGCCATCAGAAGATCCAACTAATATATATCCAATATCATCTTGATTTATAAATTTCACATCAGTAATTCGTATTCCAAAAGTATTGTTATTAGAAAACTGATTCAATTTTATTCCTAATTCCCAATCCCATACTTCCACATTATCTTGATCGTCTGCACAAATAAGATGTGATTCAAATTCGTGAAATAAAAGATGAGAAACTTGTATGAAACTTGACTTAAGGTTACAAATTTGACTATTCCATGAAAGTGATCCTATATTAAGTCAAAATATATTTAAAGAAATATATTTAAAACCAGCCACGTCTTTTAAATTATACGTTTTGTTTATAATTTTTTCATTGCGATTTCTTCTCCACAGTCGTTGATTATAATTAACGCTCCCAGGTTCATCTGCTTCTGCTGGCTATTAAAAGTTAATAAAATGCCTATTAAGGAAAAAGAAAGTTGCCTTCATTTGAGGTTCTTGAAAATATTCACAACTCCAATCAAAAAAAGTGCTTTGAAGGGTATATTGTGACGACTTATAAAGTTTTATATCAACTTTTTTTGGAAGAGGCTTAATTGAAGCAGAATGAAAGTTTCCATGTTTAAGAAAAGTATCTTCATCTGAAGAAAGACATGATTCTAATGTCGATGCTTCAATATAATTCCCAATCTTGAGATTTTTTAAAGATAAAGCTATCGAGGCAGAACATTTTAAAGTATTAGTTAACTTTGAAGTAGATGATATATGTTGAGTCCCAGAAGACAAAGATTTGATGTTTTCATCAGTAAAGTTAGAAAATTTTGATTTATGTGTTATATCATTTTTTGTAGTTATTATTTTTTTAATAATAGATTTTGTTACAGTTCCAAGTTCTGACTTAATAAGCATATTATAAATTTTATTTATTAAAGAGATGCTAATAAGTTCTATTTCCAAAAATGGGTCTACTGTGAGTAATAATAATGTTTTCCATATTGCTAAAGTTAATGAATTTGTACTATAATTAATAAAAGGCTTTTTAAATCTAAATCCATTAAAATTAAAGTCTGCACATTCATCCATTAAATGTTCAAATGCAGCAACCATTATTTTTTTATTATAACGTGAAATATATTGTGAAAGAAAAATTGCTAACTCTTTACGTACTAAAGTTGAACCATCAGAGAAAAGACTCAACGATGATACAACGACATAATTTTCCTTAGCAATTACTTCTTTATTCTCAGTAGAAAGCTCTATAAATGTTGTTAGAGCAACTAAACTAGCAGTTCGAACTTCTGGAACAGGGTCTGATAATAAATTACATAAACGATCGACTATACCTTCTTTAATACCAAGTAATTTTGCATCTGAAAAATCTTTCCATATTTGACTGATACAAAGACATGCCCATTGTCTTAATAAAGGATCTTGATCATTAAGATGTATGAAATTAGCTTGTAAAACACCAGAGTTTAAACATGCAGTTTGTCCTTGTTTAAAATTCCGAGAGAAAACACTAAGAATAAAAGCGCACATTGCACGATGTTCTGATATATTAGTAATTGATAAATTCCCATAAGTTGGAGAAAGAATTTGAACAAAATAAGAATAACCATCATCTTTAAGAAGATCCGATTGACAAGAATTATCAACCGCTAAAATTCTTGCCCATATAAAAACTAAAACAGGTTTTAATTCTGCAGCAGATGATTGTAAAAGTTTTAAAACATATGGAAATATTCCAATAGATAATGCAAGATTCACTGCCCATGGACCTAAATCAAGGAACCTACTAAGTAAAATTAAAGCTCCTAGACGATGGACTTGAGACAAAAGTACTTGAAGTACTATTGGTAATTGATCAGGTGCTTTTTTAAATACTGAACCTTGTTCTAACCATACTTCAAATGCAGTTAACTGTTCTCTAAAAAAACTGCTATGCTTATATTCATATGCAGGTCCTCCATTTTCTGCTTCAAGTAATTGAGGTAATTGGGCCAAACATGCATCTACAGCTAAATCCCATGAATTCCACATTGGATGATGATAAGTAGCAGGTAAAGAAGGATATGACATTGGATGACATTGATGAACTCTCATTATCCTTTCTGCTAAAAGAAAATTTCTAAATAATGCTGCCACCATTAAATCTTGTCGAAATAATTTTTTGAATAAAGGCTTTGGAAGAATATTCCATGCAATACTATCCGTAATGGCAGTAAATATCCAATTCAATTCACCAAGAGGCGTTCTTCTGTCTTGCAAATGCCCAGGTATTTTCATTACCATATCTATAGTTATATTTGAAAGGAAAGGATTTTGTAAAACAAACCATCTAACTGCAATTTCAATAGGAGATGTTAAACAACATGTAAATAGATCAGCAGGAAGATCTGGATTCATAGGTAACCATTCTTTAGGTCCACATGCTGCCAATTGAATAGATTCTTTTTGTAACGGTGGTAAAGGAATACTTGAATCAAAAGCGTGTTGTTTTTGAGCTTCCGCGTCCCGTTGCTCCGCAAATTTATTAAAATTTATAAGAATATTCCCAGCCGCACTACAATCATATACATATAAACAAGGAGAACCTAACCATGTCTGAAGATCATATAAAGATATTGGAATATATTGAGTATAATTTTTGTTAAATACCCATATCTCACCACTTTCTGTAGGCCTTGGAACACCATGTCCATTATAATGAAATAATATACGTTCATCTTTAGCGTTACGGCGCTGAGTAGAACAAAATTTTTTAGTTTCTTCTATAGAAGGATCGAGATATTGTTTGTAACGTGTACGCATACTAAGAGTTTCATATTGTTGCTGTAAATTTTTTCCTATAGCTTCTAATGATTTCTGTGATGGTAATGAAAAAGGATCAATCCAACATTCCAGTTTTGCACAAGGACTTGTTTTAACTATATCAGGCGGGTCAACCCCAATATTCATACATATGCATAATGCCGCTGAAACTGTTTTTAATCTTTCTTTTATTCTCCAATCCTGGAGTTTTTCTTTTTCATTTTCGGGTTTTGGAATGCCATATGTTTCATGTCGTTTTGCAGTATAATGCATATAAAATATCTAAATTTTTTATTAGATATATATTAATATTAGAATAAAAACAGTAAAAAACCAACTTTTTCATTTGCATAATCATATTCCTGTGAATTATTTTTACTTTTGAATCCATGACGAACTCTTATTATTTGAATTTTTGTTTCATTGTTTTTTGGTGATATTTTTGTAATCAAAGTACTTTTATATTTTTCTTTTGAATCTTCATCTTTTCCTACATTTTTGTTATTCTCTTTTTCTTTCGTTTCTATTAAATCAAAGTGTTTAACTAGTGCTTTGTTTAAATTTTTTGTTCCAACTATATTGGAAGTTTCATGGGTTTGTATTATCCCATTCTTTTTAAAAATATCAAAATCAATTTTATGCTCCTTGTTAACATTAGAGTCTTTCATTTCAGACTCTTCTCATATGTTTCTTGTTAGATATTCTATATTTTATCCATGAAACCTCCATAGTTCCTCTTTATCGTAATCGTCAAGTTTATTTTGTTTAAAAAAATTAAGCAGATCCACCTAAAATGTATTAATAACCTATTGATTTTCTATATATATATATATATATATGCATATATAGTTCAATATAAATTATTATATTTTTATATAAAATGTCAAAATTATCTTTTTTTATATTATTAAATTTTGAAATATATATTAAATTTACTTATATTATAATAAACTATTATACTTTATTTTAGTTATTTTTCTGGGTTTTCAAAACTACAAAATAAATGGAATTATATAATATATAAATATGATAATATATGTACATATATTTCATAAAGATTTATATTGCATTATAAATTGCATCAAAATAAATTGAAACAAATAATTTTGATTTTTGGAATCTTAAACTATATACAAATTATTATTTACATTTATATATAGAAAAGGGATATTTTTATATGTTGTCATTAGAATTACTCCGAGTTTTTAAATATTATAAATTTGATTTTTTTTTATAAAAAAGTTTAGAATTTTATAATTTTAAAATTTAAGATAACATTTATTATACATTTTAGTATATTGTATTTTTAAAAATGATATTTTTGTGATTTAAGGTTTCGAAAAGTTAGATTTAGTTTTAGAAATTTAAAAAATTGCGTTATTGTTTTTGAAAAAATTATATAAAAGTTTTTTAATTTTAAGTGCTTATTTTAATAAAATTGCATATTTTAACTAAATTCTAATATTGTTTTATAGAAATTGGATAATGGTATATAACTCGTGTCATCTTATTGGTCAACCTATTATTAAATTACAACTAAATGATCTAAAGTATCTTATTATTTTAATAATGGTTGGTTCCTATGTTCGCCTATATATGATAAATAACCCATCTGGTCCGATTTATCAAGAAGCTTATATAGGAAAAAGAATTTCTAAGTATTTATTTTTAGTTATGTTGTTTTGATTAATATATTGATTTCAGTTATATTAAAAGAGAACTCCATGTTGATAGGCATCCACCTTATGCTCTTATGCTTTATTCTTTAATTGCATCTATTTTTAATTATGGAAAATTTAATTTAAAAAACATTAATAAGTCAGCTTTAAAAGTATTTTTATAATTTGTCTTAATTGTTTAGAGCTTATATAAACTCTAACGTTCTTTATATATCCATGCGGTTTTTTTCTGCTATTTTTGGTATTTTCTTGATACCCGTTACCTTTTTTACATTAAGGGTTATGAAATTTACAAGAAATACTGCTATTTTTGGTTCTATATTGATTATTTTTGAGAATTCTATAGTTACTCAGAGTCGTTTTTTATTTGTTGATTCACTAGTGTTATTTTTAATTGCTTTAACGCACTTGTTTTGGAGACTATTCGAAAGTCATCAGCAACATTCTTTTAAAAAAGCATGGTGGATATATTTAATAGCAATTGGGTTTACTTTAGGTGCACTTATAAGGTTTCTATTTTTTTTTATAACTCTATTTTTAATTATTAAATAGTACAAATTGGTTAGGAATTTTTACACTTCTCTGGATTGGGCTTTTGGGATCTCTACAATTATGGCATTTTATAGGAGATCTTACAATGACTCCAGTAAGATATTATTTATAATTGATTTAAAATTTATTATTTATAGACTACCTGGATTAAACATTTTGTCTCACGTGTTTTGTGTTTAATTATTGTTCCTATTTTATTTTACATCACTATATTTTATTTTCATATAAGTTACTTGAAAAATGCAAACAATAATCTGTTTTTGAGTCCCGAATTTTTGTCTACACTTAATAATAGAGATGTTAAAAATGTACCTTCACTAGTTCATTATGGTTCTAAAGTAACTATTCGACACTTTGGCTCATCGGGAGGGTATTTGCATTCACATCCTCATTTATATCCTGCAGGAAGTAAACGTATTTTTATATTTTTTAATTAAAAAAATATTGATGTTTTTTTAGAGCAACAAGTGACTCTTTATTTATATGAGGATAGTAATAATGATTGGTTAATAACAGACTCTGGTCATGACTCTTCAGAAGGTTCTTCTTCTTCAATCTTAGATGGTTCTATAATTAGATTGTATCATCTAGAAACTGATAAAAGATTGCATTCTCATGATGTTCGTCCATCTTTATCGGATACTGATTGGCAAAATGAAGTATCTGGATATGGATATAAAGGATTTGCAGGAGATAATAATGATCTTTTCAAAATAGAAATAGATAAATCAAGAAGTTACACTCAAGAATCTAAAGTTAGTGTTCGTGCAATTCAAACAAGGTTTCGTTTGATTCATGTATCCACTGGATGTGCTTTATTTTCTAATGGTATTAATCTTCCTACATGGGGATATGGCCAAATAGAAGTTACTTGTGCAAAAAATGGAATTATTGAAAATAGTTTATGGTATATTGAGAATAATAACCATGATGATTGTAAGATTTGTTTTATTAATATATTTTAATAATTGGTATATTTAGTTCCTGATGATATTGAAAAAGTAACTTATAGAAAGATTAATTTTTTTCAAAAATTTTGGGAATTGCAGAAATCTATATGGAAAAAAAAATTTGAATCTAAGAACTTTTATGCATCCAACAATCATCCACTTTCATGGCCTTTTTTAACACGTGGAATTCGTTTTTGGACTGCAAATAACAAACAAATTTATTTTCTTGGAAATCCATTAGTATGGTGGCTAGCATTTGTTTTTATAGGAATCTATACTGTTTTGAAACTATTTAATATATTGCGTAATCAAAGAGGATATTCGAAATATAATGATAGTATAAAACCTTAAAATAAGTTAAATTTACTAATTAGAAAAAGAAACATATTTAAAATATGATTATCTTATTGGTACTACTCTAATTGGTTGGATTTTTCATTATCTTCCATTTTGTTTTATGAAAACACAATTTATATTATATCACTATATACCTTCTTTATATTTTTCTATTGTATCTTTTTGCTCTTTTTGGGATTTTATATCCATTAGATTTTTTCAAAAATCTCAAACTAAATTACTAACATTATTTTTTTTGAAAATAGTCATTTCAATTTATTTTATATTATCACCTCTAGTTTATGGCTCTATTATGAGAAAAGAGCATTGTAATTTTATTAAGTTTTTTAAAACTTGGGATTTAGATTGCTAATTCTTTATTAAAATAATTTTACATATTTTTTTAATAATTTTTATGATTAATACGTGAATTTGGCTTAAAAATTTAATTATAAGAATGATTAAAATATTTTTAATTAATATGATTTAAATTTTATTAAAAATATGGTCAATTTTGAATTATATGTTTTATAGGTTTTGATTTAAATAGATATGCATATATATATTTAAAAACAATTATAACTTTATATGTTATCTAATATTTTAAGTTAAAACTATCTAATGAAAATATGTTTAAAATAATTAATATCAAGTATAATTTATATATGTTTAAAATATAACGATTTCAACTTATTCTTAATAATAATTTGGCTTTTATATAATCTTTATCAGAAGTATTTTTAATTTATAATTAGTTTTAACTTTTGCTATATAATAATATAATAATGTTTAGAAAATATATATGCATGTAAAATAATAGTTTAATATAAAAAAAAAATACATCTAATATATTATTGTAAGTCATTGTTCACAGAAATTTTCTAATTCTAAAACAAAATCCATGAGTCATCAGAATTTTTCAATTTTTTATATGTTGAAGACTTATCATAGTCAGAACTTAAAGAAAGAAGTGAATAATCATCGGATGATATATTATAAGATACGTTATTTTCTGTGTCCCATATAAATTCCTCTTGAAGAGCTAGTGTTTTTGATATTGGTGACGTAGAATTTGAAAGATATGCTTGTTTAATGTTTTTTGTGTTATTTTCTTGTGATGAAAAAGGAGTATTTTGTTTCAGTTTCATGCAATTATTATACTCTTTTGTTTCAGAATTTAATATAAGAATATTTTTTTTTTCAATGTTTATGTTTTTATTCTTTTTAGTATTTTTCTTGATATTTTCTTTATTTGATCTTTTATTGTCGTATTTATAAACAATTGAATTAGAACTTGAATGATGTTTGTCCTCCGAATCTTTTTTTTTTATTTTACGCTTTTTATTATGCTCATAAGATAGAACTCTTTTTAATTTTTTACTGGGATCTGATGGTGCTAAATGTTTAATAGGTGATAATTGAATAATAATAGGATTTTTAAGAAATTCCATGTATATTAATTTTTTTAGTTCGTGTATTTTTTATGAAAATTCCTTTATTAAAATAGAAAAAACATTTATCTTTAAAATAATTTTCACTAATTATTTTTTAATTTTAACGTTAGGATTTTTAGATAATTTCAAGATAAAAAATATATAATAATCATAAATATTTATTAAAAAATTTTAATATGTACTTTTGAATGAAAAGTATTTTTGAGGATTTTCGAGTAATTACAAAATGGAAAAATTTTAGCAGTTTGAAATTTTATAGATTTTTATTTTTTGAAAATTTTAGATTTAATAAGAGATTAAAATGTATGAACATCAAAGATATTCTGGAGAAAAACTATTCTTCTGAAAAAAATATACAGAATTTAAATTTAGATCAAGAAAAATCTCATCCAGCATCTATATTTGGTCGTAAACACATTGGAAATGTTGAAATATCACCTAAAATTCTTAAAAGTATTGAAAATATTATTGAAAGTATTTCATCATAAGATTTTCATATTTTTTTTAATTCTTTTAAGATTCTCATAAACCAAGCATTCATTCATCTCTCATGAAAATGTATGCATCCTTAAGAAGTTCTCAAACAATTAAAAGAAAGTTATCAGCAATAGATACAGATGCCTATCTTTTGGGGATAATGCCCCAAATTTATGCATCATTATATAATGTGATTAATGAATTGCGGATGAGGCTTGGAAATAAGTGGGTTCCAGAAACTGTTTTAGATTGTGGTGTTGGTCCTGGTATTGGTGCTTTAGTTTTTCAAGAATTGTTTGAAGATTCTATAGAGAAAGTAAAGGATATATTAGTTATAGAGTCAGCATATACAGTGAGACAGCGTGCTTTTTATATACACAAAGGTAATAAATCAAAAATTCTTTCAAATATTCCATCAACTATAGATTCTAAATTTAACTTTATTATTGCAAATCATACAATTTTAGATATAAATACATCAAATCATATTTTTGCTGCTCATATAAAAAAATTATGGGATAAACTTTCTTCAGAAGACGGTATATTGCTCCTTTTAGAAAGAGGGAATCCCATGGGTTATAAAGCTATAGCTAGAGCAAGACAAATGATTTTATCTGGTTTTAATTTTACTTTAAAAAAAAGTTCAGAATATGTAGAAACTGGTCATATTATTTCTCCGGTATTATCGAAATATAATATTTTTAAATATTAAAGTTTATTAGTGTTCTCATGATAAAAAATGTCCTCTTTTTACTAATGGTCATCTTTCTAATCGTAAAAAATGGTGTCATTTTAGTCAAAAATTAATTAGACCTGAATATTTACAGAAAATAAAAAATTCACCTTATAATATAGAAGATGCTAACTATTCTTACTGTATTATTCGTAAGGGAGTTTATAGACCTGTCCTGGACTTAAAAACTAGTTTAAATGAAGATGTTTTGTTTTATGATTCTTATAACTGGCCACGGCTTATCTTTCCTCCATTAAAAAAACATGGGCACGTTATAATGGATGTTTGTGCATCTAATGGCAGTATACAAAGATTAATAGTTTCAAAAAATCAAGGAAAAATAGCTTATCGAGATGCTAGAAAGATACATTGGGGGGACTTGTGGGCATTAGGGTCATTGTTTTTTTCAGAAAAAAATAAAAATTTAGAATAAATTTATTTTTTTATAAATTATTAATAATTTACTCTTTATATTTATATTGATTTTTAAAAATCAATTTTAATCCATAAAAATAATTTTAAAAATAAATTTAAAATCAACAATAAAGTTTATATTAAAAATAACAATATATTGTATTATAAATAATTTATGTATTTTTATATATTTCTATCAATAGTTTTTAGTATATAGTTTTAAATTAAAATAATTAATTTTTTTTTTAAAATTAAAATTTAATAAAATTTTAAATATTTAAGTGAATTATTTTTACAATAGTAATTATACTTTTAGTTTCAAATTATAAGGAAATACAAATATATATATAAGAACATTTTTTAAAAACCTAAACAATCTTATAAAGCTAAAAAACTAATTATTTTAATAACTGAAAACAATATTATTTAAATATAAGAAAATCAAAGTATCAAATTACTTATACAATTAAATCGTTATCGAATTCCCATTACATAAAAGTCTCTCAAATATACTATTAATGACATTTTAAGCAAAACATTATAGACAAAACCCTTAACTACAAAAGTTATGTCTGCAGTATCTAGGATAAATTCTAAAGTCTATAAAATTATTTAAGCATTATCCTATTAACTACGAAAATTTTTATTTCATTTTCCTAATTCTCAATGTTTAGAATTACTTATGTTTATAAAAAATAAAACCAATGTCTAAACTTTGTAAATTATTTTCTAAAGCTGAATAATTATTATTCAAATAGAAATCTATTAGTTATTCCAGCGATATAGGAAACGTATAAAAAATAAGCGAAAAATTATAAGTAAAAAGGAAATTCGATAAATCTTGTGAGTTATTGATGATAAAAGTCTTAACTGGGATTTAATTAAATCAGCTTTGTGTTAATACATAAGTATTTGCAGAGACTAATAAACATGTAACATATTAACGTAGATATACAATGAATCCTATCATTTTTTATTTAAAAAATTAATACCATCCTGTTTGATTAGTCAAAACATGTTGCTCTCCTTTTTTAATTTTATGTAAATTACCCACTGGATATCCAGAAGATCCATTTTTAACCTGAGATCGAAGCCTATTATTAATAAGTTTAAATATCAAAATTAAAAAAATATACAATTATAGGACTTACATCCTATCACTTCTAGGTAAATTTGTTACTCTAGTAGAATCAATAGGAATATTAGATGCATTCGTTTCATTCATTTGAGATTGAATTTTTCGACGAGAAGTATTTACTGCCCCTGAATTTCCGCTTGTTCGAGGTGGGAATGCTGATGATTGTACACCATTAGATGGTGGTATTTGATTTACAGAATTAACATTTCTTGTTTTTTGTGCATTAGTATTTTGGTCATCTGATACATGTATAGCAGCCTCTTCTTGTTGAGCTTGAGAAATAGCTTGAGCCTGTTTAGCTTGATTCTAAAATAGTCATTAAAAACACTTAAGGGGAACTTTAAATATTACATATTTGAAAATAGTCCAATCAAACACATAATCGTATTGAAAACCTTCTCGAACAAAAAGATCACGAAATAATTTTCTTAAATAAGAATAATCTGGCTTATCATCAAACCGTAATGATCTTGTATAATTCAAATAAATAGCAAATTCATTCGGGAATCCTCTAGTAAGAACTTCGGTAGGTGTAGTCATCTTTTTTTCCATAATACGATCATATTTTTGTTTTTTCGTTGCTGCTTTCAATCCTTGCCATGGAAGGGACCCACGACAAAAATACATCATTACATATCCGAGTGATTCTAAATCATCCCTACGACTTTGTTCTAACATATTATAAATATTGAACAAAAAAAAGAAAATCTTACCAACACCAAGATGTGTATTAATACTTGCATATCTTGCAGTACCAGTAAGATTTTTATTCTCTTTATACGGAATATGTAAATGAGTTTTTGGGTCTCGAAATTTTTTTGCTAGTCCAAAATCGATAACATTTACTTGATTACCTCGTTTTCCTATACCCATAAGAAAATTGTCTGGTTTAATATCCCGATGGATAAATGATTTTGCATGGATATATTCAATTCTAGAGATAAGTTGATCAGCTAAAAGAAGAACAGTTTTAAGACTAAATTTTCTATTGCAAAAATTAAATAAGTCTTCTAGACTAGGCCCAAGAAGATCCATAACCATTGCATTATAATCACATTCTGTTCCAAACCAACGAACAAATGGTATACCAACACCACCTGCAAGTGCTTTATACACTCGTGCCTATCAAAAATAAATAACCATGAAAATAAAAATACAGTAACAACTTCGTATTCTAATTGAGGATGCTTTACTTTAGATGACTCCAACTTTATAGCAATTTCTTCACCCGAAATAATATTGGTTCCTGAATTAAATCTGGCTCAGTCAAAATAGAAAATTTTCATTAAAGAACAAATACCAAGATAAATATCACCAAAGGAACCTGAACCGATCTTCCTCCCAATCCTATACTTATTACCAACGCGAAGATCCATAGCCATAGTTATTCTTATTGATTAAAAAACGTTTTTTAATTGATTGTTATGATTTACTACTAACAGGATTATATAAGCAATAACAATATATATCTGCAAAAAATTATACAATATCAAAAAAATTAATGTTAAGGGCTTTCTTAGAAGCAAAATAGTTGAGACTTTAAGAGTTTTTGTAGTTCTTGTTTTAAAATGTAGAATGTATATCCAAAGTTTATTCTGAAAAAAAAGATCCACTAATAGAATATCAATCTCAGAAACAAAATCTGGAAAAACAATAATTTTTATGCTTTAAAACTAATCTTTTTAGAAAAAAAAAAAAAAACAAAAAAAATAAGTAAACTTATTATCTAACCTTTTTTCAACGTTTTAATGCTTCGTTAAATCTAAGAAAAAAATAAAAAAAATTACCACACAATAAAGAAAAACGTTAAAAGAAGTTTTTTTTAAAAAGATTCAGTAGCTATTGATATTTTATAACAAAAAAATTGATTTTCTTAATTTCAAGACTTCCTTTAAACTTTTTATTATAATAATTCTCTGTTATCTTTTTATTTTTTAATTCCTTTTTGCTTTTTTTATATTATTATGTTTTCCCCTTTAATACTGAATATACGTAGTTTAACTTATGACAACTCCAAACTCTTGGATAGTTTAATTTAGACTTTTATGACTTTTTTTCTTTTAAAATATCCCTTGTTAATGTTACGACAATAGTTAACGGATAAATCAGTTCAAAAAAAAAAAATCAAAATTAAAATAAAAAGATGTGAAAAGAATATAAAGTTAAAATAAAAATAGTTTATAATTTAAAATTAAAGAAAAGAATTAAGAAATGTTTTATTTAAAAAATTTTAAAATAAAATGTTTTGATAAAAGGGGGAAAATGTAGAAAAAAAAATTATCGAAAATACCTAGCTGGTGATAATTTTTGGTGTTTTAGCGAGAATAAAAAGTATAAAAGTAAAAAAATAATACATAAATATCTAAAAGAAATTAGTAATTATTTTATAATATTTTTAAAAAATTATTATTTTTTAATTTTTTTTTAATCATAAATTTGATTATACTTTTTTTAATCTAAATTCGTATTATAAAATATTATTATTATATATATATCATTATTTGATTTAATAGGCTAAATTTAGGATTTTAGTATAAATTCATTTATAAAAAGTATTTTTTATACTGTTTTATTTAATATAAAAGTTAACATTTTTTAAATATTTAAAATAATGATTTAATGATATATTTCAAAGATTATGAATGGTGCTTTAAATAAAATTTCACTTATGAATAATATAATTTTTAAATTTTAAATTTTAAATTTTTGTTTTTTTGATGTAAACATTTTCTGGTATTTTAAATAATTTTTAATTTAAACTTAAAACTATCTTTTTTTTAATATTAATATTTATAATAAAAATTATACTAAAAATAGAATTATAATAAAATACTTATAAAAGTTCCTCAAATTTTCAAATATATTATTTATATTTAATATAATATAAAAGATAATGTATATTCTAATATTTCAAAATTATTAAAAATTCTAAATATCTTATTACATATTCTTATTATAAAAAACAACATTTAATTATTAAAATTAAATTAATATATTTAATTTTTTTTTGAATATTTTTTAAAAATATCTATAGTATAAAAAATTAAAAATTCAAATTTTAAATGCATTGCTTTTACATTATACATTATGGAACAAGTCTTTTTGGATCGCGTGGAAATAAACATGAACGTCTATAGAAATTAAATATATTAATTTAACTCAAATATATAATACCTGATATTTCCAAGCTCTAAATACAAAAATACAACACGTTCTAAACCTATTCCTCCTCCTCCATGAGGTGGAGCACCGTATTTAAAACTATTGATATAATCTTTTAAACCAGTTGTATCAATATTCATAGCCTTAATTCGTTCTTGAAGATATTCTGGATCATGTATACGTTGAGATCCAGATAAAATTTCTTCTCCGCGCATAAAAAAATCATAAGAATTTGAAAAATCAGAATCCTCTGGATCTGGCATTGTATAAAATGGCCGAGCAACCAAAGGAAATTTGTCAATACAATAAAAATCAGTATGATAAAATTCCTTGACTAACATTCCGAGCTTTCGTTCTTCATCTGTTCTGAAAAATTAATATAAAGCAATTTTGTAAAATATATCATACGAAAAATCTATATAATATTCTTGGTTTTTGTCTGTTCTAATGCCCGCTTTTTTTAGCAAATCTACTGCTTCTTTAAATGTAAGACGAACAACTTTATTGTTTTTTAAAAATTGAAAACCAGTGCTTGGAAACTGTTTTTTAATAATATCTATTTCACTTGCATATCGTTTGGGAAGTTCTTTAAATATATATATAAAAAGACCTTCGATCATTTCCAAGACTTCATGATAATGCTCATAAAATGCCATTTCTAAGTCAAGTCCAGTAAATTCTGTCATATGACGATGAGTATTAGAATCTTCTGCACGAAATACAGGTGCAATTTCAAAAACCCTATCAAAATCAGATAGCACTAGCATTTGTTTATATAGTTGCGGAGACTGAGCAAGATATGCATCTCCTTTGAAATAATCTAATCTAAAGACATTGGATCCTCCTTCTGATGGGGCAGATATTATTTTAGGAGTATGTACCTCAACAAATTTATTTTCAAGAAGATATTCACGAAATAGTTGACAAATGCCAGATGATATACGAAAAATAGCCTGACATGTAAATGTACGAAGGTCGATTATTCTATTATTAAGACGAGTATCAAGATTAACTCGTGCATATTTTGGGTCATCATTATTACTTCTTTCCTGAATTATTTCATTTTCAGATCGACTTGCATCTTGGATTTGAAACGGAAGTTTACTAAGAGATTCACTTTCTATAAAAATCTATTACATTAAATATTTTTATATATTTATATTACTTTTACAAACCGTATGAACATGAATTTCTATATCTTGTTGTGTAGAACTTTTAATAATAGCAGGGCTTTCCTTTACTTCTCCTTCCACTAAAACGATACTTTCAGGATTAATGAAGCCACACCATTTCACCATTTGTTTACTTATTGAACTTTGGTTTGCAATAACAAGAGCTTGTACTGTACTTAAATGTTGGCGTAACAATAAAAAACATATTTTAGTCCCTTTTAAATATTAAATAAATGAAAAAAAAAAACAATAAAAACCCTGCAAACGAGATGTTTGAAGTCTTGCTCTGAGAGTAATATTTTTACCATTCATTATTTTAGATAAATCTTTTATATAATAAAATGATTTTTCTAAAACTATTAAATCTTAGAACAATTTCCAAAAAAATTACCTAATTTTTCAAATGATTGATTCATCTTTTTTTTTCCATAATTATCTTTTGCAAAATCCTAATTTAATTAAATTAAACAGTTTTATATAATTAAATTACTTGAAGTAAATTATCATTTTTTTCTTTAAAACATAATAATTCTTTATCTTTTCTTTTTTTTTCTTTATTTATTCTTTCTTGCAGTTTTTTTACCCCTTTTTTAGATAATTTATCTTTTCTAAAATATTGTATAAATGTCAGTTAATAATAATAATATAATTACATTTCTGAGATATCACTAATATGATCTAACGACAATTTTGAGATTTCCATTTCATCTTTTTCCTGATTTCTAGAAAATGAATCAGACATTTTTTGGATTTTAAAACTTTTTCTATATCATAAGAATTTCAAACAAAACATTAAGATTACACCAACCTAACCCTAAAGTAGAATATTATTTAAAATTAGAGACTATAAATTCTAAAATAAAAATATTAATAAAAAAAACAAATATAAACTATAATTCAGAAAGTAGAAAAACAAAAGTGTTTATATATTATTTAAAATAATTTTTAATTTTAAAATGTTAATTTTATAAAAAATTTTAAAGTAGAAAAAAAATAAAAACTTATAAAATATTTAGATTAAAGATCATGAAAAAATAATTTAATTATTATTTATTATCGACTTTTATTACCTTGGACATTTATTTTTGATCATAATCGATTTTTCGAATCTGAAATTTTAACTCCAAAAATTTCTTTAAATATAAAAATAAAAATAGGATATAAAAGTGACCAAATTTATATTGTAACTCATATTTTTAATGAGGGTGCTTCTAGTTTCCTTCCTTTTTTATGTAACATGTATTTTTTCAAGAGATATAAGGATTTCAGGTAATTTTCATTTTATGATTTGAAGTTTACTATTAATTTATAAAAGAAACTCGGATTTTTATTAGAAAGACTCAAATCCAAGGAACTTGAAGTGTCTGGATTTTTATCATGTATCTTTCCATGGCCTTAGAGAGTTTCTGGGATCATTTAAAAGTGAAAAAAATATTTTAGAACTAATGGAAAAAATTCAGGTACTAGTGTCAACAGAGAATCTAAAAGAAGGTGTGAAGTTTATGTTTTTTTATTTAAGTCTAATTGTTTAACAGAAGAAGAGCGACTATTCATGCACTTTCAAGTTATCTTAGAAATTTTTTTGATATAGAAGGATGCATGAGAATTTCAACGGCTTATTGTTCTATTCTAATGAGTAGAGAAATAAAGACTTAAATGAACTGAGAAATTTGTGCTTGAATAAAAATGGTTTATGTAAAAGAATATTAAAATATTTAAACGAAAGTTCTATATTAATTAAAAATAAACAGGATGGAATTAATTCATTAATAGGGAAACTTTGTCTAGAATATCTTGAAGAATTTAATGAAATGGGAAAAATCTATGGAGGCATTTTGGAAGCTACAAGTATAAAAGTGAAAAAAGAGTGTAAAGAATTGAATGTTACTATTCCATCTAAAGATATTCCACTACAAGAACTATCTGATGAACATAGTGATGATATATCATTTATTAATTCAGAAAAGAGTGAAATTTTAAAAGATACCCTAATAACAAATTTAATTAAACTATATCTATAGAAATATATACAGGAACAGGTACTGTTATTACTCATCTTGTAGTGACTGTTACTGTAAATGTTTTGGAGACATACTCTGCTAGAAACACTAACTTCAACTATGGCACTTTGTGAGTGTCAGTCCTGAAAAATGTACACATACAAATACACCATGTTCTCCAAGACCAACATCAACATATCTAGGCGAACCATCATTATTAAATCTTTCTTTAGAACCAACAAAGTCACCTGATTCAGATAAATGATCCAGATGAACCAGATAAATCGCTAAAGCCAGAAGAGTCAGATGGATTGGAAAAGTCAAATGAGTCAGATGAGTCACTTAAACTAGTAGAACTATCTGAATCAGAAGAGTTGAGTTAATTTACTATAATTAAGATTATACAGTTTTGAAAACAGTAACAGTGATATCAAACTCAACTAAAGGTCTGGATTATGATAAAACTTTTGTTAATAATGATAGAATACAATTAACTGTATTTCATAAAGATAAATTGACTTGCATAATTATTAGTATGATATTAGGAATATGATTGTTGTTTAAAAAAATATGATTCTTTTATATTTTATTAATAAAAATATATGGTATATAGATTTGTACTGAAAATAAACTTTAGAATAGTTACATTTTATTAATGTTAATATCTAGCTGATTTGTAAAAATAAAATAATTTAAAAATACATAAAGAAATGCAAAGGAATAAAAAGCTAGAAGTATAAATTCATCATAGTTTCAAAAGTATTACTTAAATATCTAACATAATTTGGATTAATTATTATATCAGAATTTATGATAATTTTGCATGTAATTTTTGAGGGCTTAAGAAAAAGCATTTTGAAAAAGTACTTAACTAAGGTTTTCAAAATATATAAAGTTTAATATAAAAGAACATATTTATGATTAGAAGCCTTAATTCAGGTTTTTTACACAATTATATTATCAAAAAATATGTATGAATCTAATGCTATAGTATGATTTTACAAGACTATTTGAGCTATTTTGCAGTTATACATTAAATCTAAAATTAATATATTACAAGATGATTCTAAAAGTAAATAAATGAACAATTGCATATTGAATTAATTGAACATAGATTAAAAACAGAAACTTGCAAAGAATTAACAATAAATTTAATAAATTTATGCAAATCTTTTCAAAGCAGAATGTCATGATATTTTTAATGTAAATACTGAATAATGAATACTATTATTTACAAAAAAATTATAATAAATTGAAAAAGAACCAGGAAAATTACCTATAGATAATAATGGGCTTTTTAGATATTACAATAAATTGAAAAAAAATTACTTATTTTGAGAATCTGAATAAATCGAACATTTTTGCTAAATAGGCGATCTAATAATACAAAAATTTAAAAAATATATATAATCTAAAAAAATTCTTTAATTGCTCTAATAATAATAATAATCAATTTTCTTTTGTACATATTCTAAGTATTCATATAAAATAGTTGTAGAGAATCTACAGC